TACTCTAGAAGACTATGTATAAAAAGTATAAAAAGTCTTAGAATAGCTCTAGAAGTATAGACTTTACCTACAGCTCTCTAAATACAAATTCTATGTTATAGAAACTAAATAATTAAAATTTATAATTAATAGTAAGGAAATAAAAATTAACTTAGCTAAAGTATAGAAAGTACTTAAGTAGCTAGAGCCTATAATAGTTAAGAAAGTTAAAAGATTTCTTAGACTATTAAAATATGTTAGACAAATAATTAAAAACTACTTAAAAATTACTATACCCTTAATAAATGCTACTACTAAGGAGTAAGTAATAGTAAAATTTATCTAGACCTTATAAATAAATAAAGCATTTATAGCGCTAAAACAAGCTATAACAGCTAAGCTAGTGTTAAGGATGTATAACCTATAATTAGATACTAAGATCTACATAAACGCATCTCTAAAAGCTAGCAGCGCCGCGTTTTATTAAAAACAAGAAGACAAAAAATAGCACTTAGTAGCATATTACTCTGCTAAGTTTTTAGGACTAGAAGTAGGCTACAGTATACTTAATAAAGAACTTAAAGCTATACTAAACACAGTAAGAGTATAGGCTATAAAGCTACACAGAATAGTAAAACTTTTCTATATTATAACAGACTATGTAAACCTAGTTATATTTCTAACTATAAAGAAACTATTACTAATGCACATAAAATAAGTAATAGAGCTTACATAATTTAACTACATTATTAAGCACATTCTAGAAGCATAGAATTAGTAAGCTAATGCTCTTAGCTAAAGACTAAATTACTTTAATAAGAAGAAAGAAAAAACTAAAAAGTTTACTTTTTTTAAAAGAACTAATAAAAAATAGATCTATAATAGACTATAACTTATAAAAAACGTTACATGCTTATAGTAAATAAGCAAAGATAAAAAAACCTAATTTAGAAATACTATAAATCCTCTATGTTTAGACACCCTAGAATAGGCACTCTTTAGAAAAAGTTAAGAGCAGCTATACTGCAATAAATTCTAAAGGTAAAGTAACTATGTACTAAGGTACTTAGAGAATATAACACCTGTAATAAAAATAACTTATAAAGGCATAAAACTTATAGATACTTTTAACTAATTAAAGCACTAAAACTACTATAGATAATAATTATAATAGACTTTATTATAGAACTACTTTTATTTAAGAAACTAGAAACAGAATAAATGTGTAATATAATTAGAGTAGCCTTTAACAAAACTACTAAATATCTGCACACTTAGCCCTTAGAGAAAATAATAATAGCTAAAAAATTTATTTATAAATTAAAATAAAATATAATATTAGTATATAGATGCCCTAAGATTATTATCTTTAATAAAAATAAGCTATTTACTAGCAGATTCTAGAAAGTAGTAATGCAGCACCTAGGTATAACACATAAACTGTTAACAGCCTACTACCTATAAATAGACAGCTAGACTAAAAGAGTAAACACAGAAGTAGAAAAATACCTAAGAAAATACATTTTTTATACTTAGTATAATTAGGCAGAATAGCTTCTAATAGCATAGTTAGCTATTAATAGTGTAGAATTAGCTATAATAAAAGAAACACTATATAAAGCTAATTTTAGATACAATTTTTACTTTATGCTATAAAAAAACTAACTTATAAATTTATAAAAATTAATAGACTAGCTAATAGATTTATAATATATATATAAAAAGTTAGTAATAAAAGCTAGATTTAGTAAAGAAATAATAAAAAAATACATAAACAAATTATAATAGCTAGGACTAGAAATCTATCTAAGAGACTATGTATACCTTAATACCAAGAACCTTAAGATACCCTAGCCTTTAAGGAAGCTAGTAGAAAAAAAATAAAACTGTATAAAGTTCTTTAAACCTAATAAAACAACTATAAACTTAAGCTTCCTCTATATATAAAGATACACTTATAGTTTTATGTCTCTAGATTAGAAAAAGCGCTTAAAAAAAATTCTCTTATCTACATAAAAATAAAAAGATAAAGAAATAAAATATAAAGTTAAACACATTATTAGTAATTAAAAGAACTAAAAGAAATTTTTAGTAAATAAAAAAAGTAGCTTACTAGTAAAAACACATAAAAACTAGCTAAGAATTTGCAGAACGCGCAGCTATTAGTATAAAAGTACTTTTAAGCTTATTTAAAAGAAACTAGCTAGGCAATAAAACACCTATATTAAAAGAAGTAGCTATGTTATTACTAGATAGCAGCAGCCTTTAGAGACAAGTCTTAGCTAATAAAAGTTATAAAAGGGAACAACTTTTTGCTTCTACTTTAGAAGCTTTTATCTTGTCTAAGAAGAAAAGATTTTTTTTAAATACTTTATGTAACAAGCTTCTAGTAAATCTAGTAATTTTTAGATATAATCTTATTTAGAACACTTCTTATCTTTTACCCCTAGCATCTTCTTCTGTAGACAGAGTTACTTTTAGTTTTAAGCTAACTATTTATCTAATAGCGCACAGTCTTATGCCTATAAGGCTTTAGCCTTTTAAAAGAGTGTCTTTCTCTCTTTCTCTAACTAGTCTTACATAGTATTAGAAATAAAGGCATTACACTTACTATGCTTTTTTACGCACTTAACATATTTATTTAAAGATAAAGTTAACACATAAGATAACTTTAAAAATTAGTAAGCGCTATAGGGCCTTATCTTTATCTAGTAAAAAGAATTAAAATAAAAAGTAACATAAAGATAATAAGATAAGCAAGACTAATAAGCTATTTAGTTTAAAAAGAATAGATGTTAAGAACGCTTTCTAGTAAGTAAATGCCTACTTTATAAATAAACTCTTACTAACATAACTGTGTAAGCAGAGTAGTAAGGACGCTACTAGGGAGAAGGGGCAGCGTGTTACAGTCTATAGTTAGACTAGCGTAACTCCACTAGCAGTGCTCTACAGTCTAGCTAGGTTAGGTTAGGGCTTACTTATAAACTAGTTAGAGGACATAGATGCAGCACAGCTGCCTACAATAACAGAGGAATGTGTTGTCTAATAAGTAGGCAGGCTGCAAGTCTAAAGGAGCTTAAGAGAGCTTATAGGAGCTTGCCTTAGCAGACTCCTATAAACTTCTACTAGCTCCCCTTAGCGCCTCTAGTACATGTATATAGTTACTACTTTAAACAACCTTTAGGAGGTGTGTTTAATGTTTAGTTTATTTTTTACATAAACTAAGTAGTATTTAGCTTTCTAAAGAGCTATAATACTATTTATATATCTTACACTATATATACCTTTAATTCTGTCTAACAGGACTGTTTAACCTAGCCTCTCTACTGCTGCATAAAGGGCAAACTATGATCTAGTCACTCTATTCCCCTCTAGTAGCCCATTAGCCTGTACGTAGTACTGTACACCCTACTGGTTGGCCCCTACCATCCGTTCTACTTCTCCTCTAGGAACATCACAAGACCTGAGTGCTTCTATAAAGCAAGGATTGTAACAATAGCAAGGAACAATTAGCAAGCCTTAATTATTAACAGGCTGCGCATCTATATAGATCACTATCAGAGCAGGCACGCACGCATGGCGTTTAGTTTAGAGGACACTGCTAGCAGTGCAGAGGAATAATTTAGAGCAAGGACACCTAGCTAAATTAGACTAGTTTTAGTTTAAGAAGGCAGAGGACATAACAGCGATACTTTGTACTATAATTACTACTAATAGGGACTATTAGTCTACAGAGGGGGGGGTAGTGTAACAATCCTCATGAATTGTTCCATCTCAGATAGCCCAGAAGGCCCCTGTATCAGCCCTGACCTCGACCTGGCCCCGACCCCTGCTGTTACCCCTATTCCCTCATGTATTTAGTCGCACCTCGCCCCTGTAGCTAGCTTAGTAGTTTTCTAATATCCTTTTGTACAAGGCCTATAGGTGTCAATGGCATTCCCAGGTTCAGAGTCCCCACGCACTCCCATATGCCTCTGAGTGGATTCCCACCGCATTCGGACCCATTGTCTTGCCTGCGCCGTTACATGTATAAGCGCTAAGCTAAAAATTTTATATGTAACTAAATTACTTATATTATAAAACTTAAGTTCTTACTATGCTTTATATGCGCCTATAATATAATAATTACTTTTAGTAATATTTAAAAAGAGTTTTAAAGCGCTAGTTTAGTCTTATTTAACTTAAAATAAGTTAAAATAGCTTTTAATATTTAGTTATATACTTTATTACTACTACTACTTATTAATAATAAGCTCTAGTAGTTATAAACCTTAAGTAATACTTTTAAATTTAAGTTATAATTAATGCTTATAAAAGTAAAAATTTAGAAGTATATAAATAGCTTACTAACATTTATAGTAAAGGCTTTTAAAAAAGTTTTAAAAAAGGTAGTAATTATTACACATAAGCTAGTATTAGTGTAAAAAAAGATTATAAAGCTTTAAGTAGTAAATAAGGCTACTATGTAATATAAATTACATAAAAAGAAGTAAATTTAAGTAAAAAAAACTTTAATAGTTAAAAATAAAGCTTATTTAACTACTCTAAAGAAGTTTAAAGTGTGTAGTAATAAAAAAAAGCTAAAAACATAAGTGCGCGCTAAAAAAAGTAAGCTAAGTTAAAAGTAATATAAGTAGTGTAATTAGACTAGGCATAACTTACATACATATAAGTAAGTAGTAAAACTAGACTTTAAATAATATCTTATGTTGTATTGCTTTATATAGGGCTAAAGTAGGCTATTTTGCGCTAGAATAGGGTGGTTTTAGTGGGGGCTTGGCAAAAGTGGCCGGCTAACCTGTGTGGCCGGCCAACCTGTTAGGTACGTTATTAGTAATTAACCTCTAATTAGCTTAGAAGTTTAGAAGTTTTGTCTAATCTAAAAATAGTATCAGCGTAAAATCATCTGTGAGATAAGTGGGGTCGTCGCTCCCCATCAACACGACATGCTCCGTATAGGTAGATCACGCCGCCCTTAGATTTCGAACAGATGACGTTGATGACTTTCCCCGATCCGCCGTTAACGACGCTGTCAAGCATATCGGTCGTGTCAATTACCAATTGCTGGGGCCATTGTCTCCTGTCTCCGGCATTGCAAATGTCGGAAATCTAATCCCCTTCACCTTCCCTTCCGCCCAACCCTCCTGACGCTTTATCGGCGGTCCACGATGCTCAGCACCAGATGCCTCTCACGAACCACGTTACGGGTCCCTCATGCCCCGCATGTTCCACAATTCTGTAGGCACGTATCGAATAAACCCCGCCCTCAGGCTCGGGCGGCCATCCACCCGTACGCCCAGCGCCGACAGCAACATTTCGTGCGCTCCGTCGTCGCCGTCACTGCGCTTTGGGCGACCGCTACTGCGTGGCAATGGTACAATGGGGGCCACTTCTTCCGGGAGGTGCATGCCGAGGAGCTGCCCGAAGACCAGGAGCTGAACTTCGAGAAGCCGAGGCGGCGCCCTGTAGATATTGAGGACAATAGAGCGATCATCAGTTCGCAGCACCTCCAAGTGAAGAAGAGCTGGGAGAATCCGGGGGTGTACGCTTGGGGGTCGAATTCAGGAAAGGTGGCCGCTCCGGATTCGGAAGAGGTGTTCATCAAGACCCCGCGGCGGATACCTTTCTTCGATGGGCGGCTTCTGCGGGATATCAAGCTGGACAGGAGCTTTGCCGCCGCAATTGATGAGAAGGGCGATCTTTTGCAGTGGGGCACTGCCTTCTCCCCACACGCAACGGAACCAACGCCCACGCTCCGCGGCAAGAACTTAACATCAGTAGCCATATCTCGCGACCGGATCATAGCGCTCTCTGCATCTGGAAATGTCTACTCAATCCCTGTCTCTCAAAAGGACCAAGAGACCGGGCCGAAGCCCGCATCAACTTCCTGGATTCCTTTCTGGAATTCTTCCAACAACGTCTCCTACCGCATCTGCACGCCCTCGTCTCTAGGCTGGAATGAGAGAGTAACAAACATTGCGTCCGGTCTCGAGCATGCCCTCCTCCTCACATCCTCAGGCCGCGTCTTCTCCTTCGCCTCCGGAACTCAAGACTTTCCCTCAAAAGGCCAACTCGGCATTCCTGGCCTAACATGGGAGACCAGACCTCCCGGTGTCTTTGACCGTCCCCACGAAGTCACTACCTTGAAAGGCTTTCCCATCTCCAAAATCGCCACAGGAGACTACCACAGTCTTGTTAGCGATTCCGGCGGCCGTGCTTTCGCTTTTGGAGACAATTCCGCCGGCCAACTAGGGCTAGATTTCAACCCGGAATCCCTTTACGTCGACGCCCCCTCACTCCTTCCAACCCACCGCCTCTACTCCGGGACCGCGCAAACAGCCTCCGTAACCAATGTCTTCGCCGGTGGCAGTACCTCCTTCCTAACCATCGACGCCATTAAAAACTCTACAACCTCAACCCTACCAACACGCGATCTCGGCCGTATAACAGCAGACACATGGGCCTTCGGCTTCGGCCTCACGGGTCAACTCGGCAACGGCCGCTGGATCCACAATCAATCCACACCGGTCAAAGTTCCCGCCTTCAGCGGTCTCTTCGAATACGACGAATCTCGCTCCAGAGTAATCCCCATCCGCCTTTCCTACCTCTCTGCCGGCGCCACCCACGCGGCGGCTGTCATGGACAACGTTGCTTCCGTCTCCATCCCGGTATCCTCCACCTCCCCATCCAAACGTCTAACCGCAAACGACACAAACTGGGGCCGCGACATACTTTTCTGGGGCAACAACGAGTTCTACCAAATCGGCACTGGGAAGCGGAACAATGTGAGCACACCGACGTATATCCAGCCACTGGACCAGAAGGCGGAGGAGGAGCGGGCGGCAGGCGTGCTGGCGGGCTGGGGCAGGCAGAAGAGCGAGAGGGAATTGCATCGGTTTCAGATTACGCCAAGGCAGAAGGTCCGGTTGGGGAATGGGAGGGTGGTGGGTTTGGAACAGAGGGTCGAATGTGGGAGGGGGGTTACGGCGGTTTATTCTGCTGTATAGATCCAAGATAGAATGAAGGGAGTGTGGATTTTCATATAAGCAACCTTTTAGTGTAAGAATTTAGTGTGGGCAGGGCCCCGTGGAGTTTTAAGGATGCAGTGGAGCTTGGATGAGGCACTCTCCGTTCACTTCTTGTACATTTTGGAATGAGGATTTGAATATGAATGCACATATTTAAGATAACTACCAGTCATTCTTATTATGAGCGCGATATCAAGCACGCCGTTCTTGAGCCATGTCAGTCAGTACTTTTGGATACCCCATCTAACCAGCTAGGCTGAAACTCCGTTCATGACTAGTATCGTTAATAGTATGAGACATCCGCACACTTAATTTGCATTAAGAAACACAGCAAGGAAGATGATGCTCTTTGTAGGTGCTGAATATTCCAATTCAATTAAGCTATTCCATCAAAGCGAGCATACCTAGCTATGGTATCATACAAATTCAGACTCGAGTCATGGACGAAAACCTCCATATTCATCCTCCCAAACTCCAATCCATCATCAGGCGTCGAAACATGAGACACGCTTAGTGCTTGTCACCCATACCAAGAGCACCCTTTGCCTTGTCGAGAATAGAGCCTCCTGAGCTACCGTGCACGTTTCGGTCCTTGCTGCGGCCCATCTTGTCGGAGAGTTCCTGGCCAGTGGACTTTTGCTCGTCGGGCTGGATACCACTGGTTGTTGTTAGCCTAGCGAAATGAAGCGAAGGGAAGAGCGGAGGAGCGTACCGAGCAACCTTGTCGCCAGTGTCGGTGAAAGTCTCCTTCATCTTTGTCTGAGTGGACTTAGTGGAGTCGGGGGTAACGCCCTCCTTGAGCTTGTCAGACCAATCTTTGCGGCCGGCGTCAGACATGTTTGTTGTGTATTGGGGGTGGCTGGTTTTGAAGGTAGATGTTGTTTGAAGTTGAAGTTGCTTGTAGGAATTACAGGTATTGGATGATGGGAAATTTTTCTCAGCAGCAGAAAGCTTTCTCTTTATATCCCCCAATTCCCTCCCTACGTCATTTCGCGCTCGAGCTGAACACAGTCTAGACATCCCTTCCGCATTCATCGTCACCTTTCCCAAACAAACGGCGCGGTCTTTCTCAAACCGACACCCGCATGACCGCAGACGTAGTATCGTCGTCATACTTGATCTCGCTTGAGCACTTCCTGTTTCATCGACGATGATCCCACACTCTCCCTACTGGCTCCCGCCGTCCTCGTCTATCCCACAGCTTGCCCCTGCCCCACCATTTCAGCTATTCACCCCTCTTACCCATGACATCATATCGCGTGTGCGCCACATGCACGGGCCACGCCCGATTCTGCCAGAACCTGTTTGCAGTGCCACATTGGGAACTGGACCAGATCGAAAATCAAGGATTCAGTTGATCTGGCCGACTGCAGTGCAGTGTTGCCATTTCCCATGTGAAATTGGTGGGATTTTGGGCCGGATTCCGATGCGGCCCGCCCGGCAACAGAAAGTGCGGATGGTGCCTGCATGCGTGCTTCTGCAGTCGACGAGTGACGTACGCCGAGAATCGAGATTTTGGTGAGATGGATTGGGGATTTGCTCGATCATGAGGGGTGGGGTCAGCGCTTGTCGGAATGTGAAGGATGCTTGCGAGAATTGGAGTTAGATTGGGTGCTCAAGTGACCTTGCAGCATTGAGCGGGATGGTAGGATTGGCTCGGATGTCAGGAGTTTAATTCTAGCGTTTGAGAAGAGAGTTTCGTGGCACGTTTGAGAGAGGATTGGTTGAATGGGAGCGTTAGTGGGTGAGTGATTTACCAAGACTCATATGAGTTGTTCACTAGTGGCATGGTTGTCAGTGACCCTCCGCTCGACGTTTTAGAGACTGTGAGAGACTTCTACTTGCTTCTTCTAAACGTTGCAGCCCAATTTACTGCTTTCCTTACTCGACTGTGGTTCTCATCGTAGGGTCCAGGGGTTTGAGCTCCAGCTTCAGTCCCGCAATGGCTTCGGTGGCTCTTCGGAAGCGTGTGTCACTGCCATGCTCTTTCCTGCTCACGAAATGAACTATTTTTTAGAGAGTAATAGCTGATAGTGCTAACGACGTCAAGATTCACAGTAAAAATACAAGCGTTCGACTAGGGCAAGCGAAATGCCAGGAGGATCCGAGTGTTTGCAAGATGTCGTCGGATACAAGAGCGTTGGCTGACGGCGGAATAGAGGGGCTGGGAAATCGATGCCCTGAGAACTTCGACATGCTCCGGACACGATCACGAAATATCATTTTGTTGAATCAAGAGCAGACAAGGTACCGGATGGTCCCACGAGAAGGTCTTGCCATGCTCAATACGGATCCGGAGACACTGTCCTCAACAGACACCGCTCGCCAGGGCAGAGGTGCAATGTCGAGCAGCGCAATACGATACCAAGGCCCAATCTCGTTGGGCCAGGTTCTGCGTATGGCCTGTGCAGCCAGTTCCACGGCGAGAATTGCACACCAAGGCGGGTTCCTTACGAATAATAAAGAAAATGTCGGCTCTCCAACTGCTACGTCTCGCCGCAAAAGGGCGAGGTTGGGGAACCGCATCTGGCCGCTGCAGGTACACTTGGCACCAGATGCTGGAAAGCGATGTAATTGGCCAATAATTCAGACGGCTCACGGGATGACGATCCACTCACGTGGGACCATGGCTTGGTGCGCTCCGTGCACGCGTCGGATTGGTTGCCGGGTGAGCTCAATGTTTATGTACCAGCCTCCTCAGGCTTCGCCCAGCCACACGAGAGCACATCCCCAACCACACCAATTTTGAACTCCAGCAAAACTATCTGCAAGGGAAGAAGACATACACCGCTAAGCTACACCTTTTCTCCTACTCACATCACTTTACTGCACTCTTTGCATTCCTGTGAAAAAGGAGACTTTCTGACAGTCCTGTGAGCAGTTGAGATCCCGACGAAAAAGGAGCTACCGAAACTATCGTCCATTCTTCGGTACCTCGATTCCCGACTTCTACATATCTCGACCCGCCCGCATATTTGTCTGCGTCCAAGCCGTCGCTCGCTCGATCCGCATTCTTTCACAAGATCTTCGTGCATTCCTCCGAAGACGCTCGCTCGTGCTGAGCATTCCTTCCACCGGTTTCCTCCCGGCCCTTCGGGAGCCGCAGGAGATATCACATTCCAGTTGAAGAAGGATTAAGGAAGGAAACACACATAATATGGCGAATCTAAGGTTCGCGGTTAGCATGCAACGTATGTTTCGCAATCCACGAAGTTGTGTCTGGCTGAGAGCGGCTTGAAGACTGACAATCCACTTTAGGGCTAATACCGTTTCTGGGCTACCACCATGTTCTTATGATACTCATAGCCATTGCTATTATCCTACTCTGTAAGCCCTCCTCGACTCGACTTCAGATTCCCTTGAAAGCCCCGACGCAGAAACTAACAACAATGGCACAGCACTACTCCTAGCAGGCTGCTCATCCACGTCCCCCCTAATCCCCGGCATCTTTCTCATCAACATGTACTATGAACACTACACACCCACCTACTCAACCTCGCAAGTCGATCCCGGTGTCACAGCCGCCATAGCCAACATTGTCGGCCGAGCGCAACTCGCCGTCCGAGTCGGCTACTTCGGAATCTGCATCAACCGAGACGGCGGCTCATACCTCTGTTCCAACAACGCAACCGCACTCGCAGACCAAGTCTCAGTTGACCAGGATCCCCTCAACCTCATCTGGGTCGCCAGCACCTTCAAAGACGCAATCGTCTTCCCCTATCTCCTCATCGTCGCCATCATCCTCGCATTCTTCACCTTTATACTCCTCGCGACCTTCCCCGGTTGGCACGAAGAACGCGACCTAAATACTGGCTCCGACGTTGACGTAAAACCCTTTCCCTCGCGGCCCGTCTCGCAAGTCGCCCTAGCCCTCATCTTCATCTCCTCCATCTTCGTCCTAGTGTCTGTCCTCTGGCAACACACCGCCTCGGTGGCCGCCGCAACGATAGCCCAGGACATGGGTAACGGGAGCGTGAAATCTGGGGTCGGGACGAGCGCGATGGTGTTGGGCTGGTTCGGCTTTGTGCTGTTGATCATCGTGACAATCGGGTTGCTGGTTATGATTTTAAGCATTATCGTGCTAGATCGGTTGACCGACGACTAAACCCCCCCAAACCCCCCCCTCCAAAAAAAAATAATTTGCTGCCCTACCGCTCGCGTCCCAGGCCAGAGAGTAGATGGGCGTTCGCCAAGTGTTATCGACGAGATAAGATGAGATGAGAAGCTATTTTCCTTTTCCCACACATAGCGTTTCCGTTTTCCGGTCCGGTCCGCCGCAGAGCCGGCTGTTATACACACTTCGGTGCGATTTGATTCGTCGTTCGATTCGAGACACATACCCCCTTGTATTTCTTGCGACGAGTCTGCCGTAGAGCAGATGCAGCTTGCTGCCGCGCTTGTTGGAAGCTGTTTGTTTGGCATATTCGGCGTTGGTAGGGGCTATTGGTCCACTCTATTGGATTTATGAGAATGGGATGAGATGGGACGAGACGGGATGGAAGTACATGAATGATTTCCATGGATTCGGATGATGGAATAGGATGGGTGGATGGGCTATACATATATTAGTGATGAAATCAAAATGAACGGGATCCCGGAAAGGGAGAAGTTAAATTGTATATCGCTTTCTTGAACTTGGGAAATGATGTAATGTCTGTCGAGCGAGCTTCAGTTTCCTTGCCTAAAATCCAGAAACGTTTGAGACACTAGCAGGACGGACGGACAGACAGACAAGTTGATTCTTATTTTCGGATCATTAAACATGTCCCATTCACTACTCAAACCCGTATGCCCCGTCCCCAGCTCACTGGGTATAATATTTACAAAACCACCATCCCCCCTCCAAACATTACCATCGCAACCCCCCACCCACACCCCCATAACCACGCTTTCCACCAATCCCTCCCCACACCCACTCCTACCAACCCAAACCTCGCCGCCGCACCCGTAAACAACCCAGGGTCATCACTAACCGTAACCGTCGAAAACGGCGCCGTCGTAGTCCCCACCACCACCCCCGTCCCCGCATCCGAAATCACCGTCCCATTAACCGTACTCGCAGGACCTCCTGGATACAGCGTAATCCCTAGTTCTGGAATCACCATACTACCGCCTTCATTAACAACGGTGTACGGTTTCCCACCGATTGTGACAACGGCTCCGGGTGTCGGGTGCGGAGTTGGAGGTATTAGTGTTACACCGTTAGCGCCCGTGATTGGGATGCTAGAGAAGGCGAGTGTGGATGTTGCGCCAGAGGTGGGATCGATGACGATGACACCCGTGCCAGACGGGGCTTCGGATATCACGATGCCGTTTGGAAGTGTGATAGCCGGGCCGCCGGGGCTGAGAAGAGTGCCAGACACTATGAGACTGGTGCCGGAGCCGCTGGCACCGGGGATGGCGGTTGCGGTTACACGTTCGCCGTTTGGAAGGGTGATGATAACGCCGGAGGTTGGCTGTGCAGAGTTGGGCTGTGGGATGTTGATGGTGGAGGGTGCGGCGCCGCCGGGGCCCGATACGATGATGTGGCCTGGATCAGCCATGGAGATTGTGGTGCCGCCGCCCACAGTCATACCTGGGGCGCCGGGGGCGAGGGTCTTTGTGCCGCCGACAATGATGTGGTTGGGATCGTTGGGGTCGACGACGACAGGGGAGCCACCAACTGTGGCAATGGTTGTTGGCCCCGATGGTGGGGGGGTTTGGCCTGGTCGTGGAGGATTTTGTCCGGGGTTAGGGTTGTTTTGCCCTGGATTATTCGGATTGGTTGGGTTTTTAGAATTATTTGGGTTATTTGGGTTATTAGGAGGATTAGTAGGGTTTGTAGGCCGTCCAGGATCATTCGGATCGCCTAGACCTTTCGTATGACCTGGATCAGGAGGATCCATGGGCTTCGTCGGTTGCGGTGGCGTCTTCGTAGGCACCACAACACTTTCTGGTGGACCTTGTCCTGGAGTAGCAGAAGGCGGCCTTGGACCCTTACTCGTAGGCGACGCAAAGATATTCCCCACCGAACTTAACGCTCTCGGTGGATCATATAATCCGTATAGGGAGAGATCGCAAGTCGCCCATCGAGGATCTAGACGTCGGATAGCCTCCGGTACTGCAAGCCAGGGGTTATAAGATCCGTTGATGATCTGACACTTGTCGATGACGCAGTTGGGAGTAGCATCCCAGGCGGACCAAGGGTAGGGAGATGATAGGTCGGCAAAGTTGAAAGAATAGGCGTATGGATCGAATTCGATCCTCCCCGAAGTTGTGGGATATGCTCGCTGGGAGAAGACTTCTGACGGCGCCATGGTTAGGATTTCTCCGGCGTGGTCTTTACCGACTTCGATGGCCGTGCCAGACCAGGTGCATTGTGCATTTATTCGTTTGAGTGAGATGTAAACGTTGCCGGAATACCACGTAGTGTTGCCTGGTAGAACAGTATATGGGCCCGTTGTTACTGGCGTCCAGGCTGGCAAGATATTAGCGAGAGACGAGAAGAACGGGTATACTATTGCTCACTGAAGTTCGTCGGAGGTCGACTGGTGATGCCGATTCCAACCGGTGCTGTAGCACACATATCTCGAGTAGCATTTGTTGTCGCAGGAAAATAGAAGATCTGCACTTCGTCGCCGCTGATTTGGCATCTCTGGTTCGCGGTACAAGTAGGCTTCTCAGTCCGGCAATGTGGCGTGTAAGGAGTATTCGTGGGGCTTATCTTATGCCTATACCCGCGGTTAGCTTTAACCCTCTAACTCAAACCTCTCCAGATATGCACCTACTTAATTGTAACTGGAGGGCCACCAGCCGTCATATGGTACCCATCCATGACAATAAGGCCTCCAGGCGGTGCTTCCGTGGTAATGATGTAAACCCCTTTTTGAAAATACTGTGTGATATATTCCGTTCCTAATGAGATTTTAGAAGGAGAAGGTTTTGGGAATGTAGTCGTTATTCCTGCAACAACCCACCAACTAGCTCCTGGACCAAGAGATACCACCGTGCTAGCTGTTTCAAACGAGATTGTTTTGTAGACGCTGGACGCAGAGCTGTAGCGTGACCACAGCCCGATACAATCGTCCCAGTTCACTGTACAATTTGGGTTCTTGTATGAGGCCCATGATATGCCTTGTGCAAGTAGTACGGTAGTCGAAGGGGGGAGAATGGTGGTCGAGATCGCGGTAGGCATAGAGGTGATAACTCGAGGGTGGCCATCACATAGCGTGTAGAAAGAGGTTGTATAGTATGTACTTTACTTTCTCTTAGCTTACATCCGATAGGACAGGGTAAGGTTTACATACTGTACTTTAGTAACAGTAACGCTTCTGATTGTCGAAGTGAGATTGTATAAAGAGGCGGTGACACTTAGGTAGTCTGAATTGATTGAAGTGAAGCTGAACCATGCATTCTGACATTGAAGTGCGTAATTGCTACCTATGAAGATATCAGATCTCAGCAAGAAAAAGCTGTTGCACTTTAATGTTTACCAGTTCCGGTAGGAGCGACGGGGGCGGATAAATTTCCCGCCCATGGGTTCACATAAGTCACCTTCGTAGTCAGGGTCGGAGATGCCGAGACCGTGGAGTTTCCAACACGGTTTGATGACAACGCTGTCGCGCTTGATCGTGCCGAGGCAAAAGCGCTAGTACTAGTTGACTTTGGCGAAGAGGACAGCACGGTCGTACTCGCTCGTACTGAAACGAAAGAACTCGCGGTTGCTGACTTGAACGAGGAGGGTGACCTCATACTGGTAGTAGTAACCGTAACTCCGATGCCTTCCAAAATAAATATTCCAGCATCCTGCGACGAGGAAGATTTGACTGTTGAGGAAGACGATGAATTTGAACGAAGGCTCGAGCTACTAGAGCTACTCGATGAGCTCGATAGCCCTAAAGGAAGCGATTAGCATCCCATCGTGTTTCGCGACAAATTTCGGCATACCAGTCGCAGCAAACGCGAGTGACAGCCACCCCAACAAAAGAATGACTCTCATGATGCCTGAGCCTGTCATTGTTTCCAGGCAGGTCGGAGGTGAGAGATATACTCCACTAAGAGACGTGAAGAACTTCAAATCCGTGCAATCATGGCAAGGCAGATTCCGTCTCTTTCAATATGAGCGATCCTTGCCTTTGCCTTTGAGCAGTGGTTTGTCCCTCCAGGGACAACGCTACGGCCTAGTCACATATTTGATATTAAATCTAATCGCTGAAGCGCCTAGGTTGCATTAAGGTTAACGACCGAAGGATCCACACCCCAGAGATGTGAATGCTCCAAGCCCGTTCAGGGAAAGCCGACGTCGGGAGCCTCACCTTGAGGGGTTTGTGATCGTGGCTGAAGGTGGACGGGGATATTGCGGGCATGGATCATCTTTGTTGGAAAAGGTCCGCGAGAAACAGGAACAGGGCCATTTAGCCAATAGAAGTGCTTGGCCACGCGAACGACCCATGATGAGGTCCTTGTGATTGAGCTTCCAGCCCACTGCTTAATATTGCCCTTGCGTGTCAAACTTCTGATCTGACAGCCCGGCGGGATCCTTTCCCGGGTTTGGGGGCCATACTGAGAGTTCTTCATCCTACCAGCAAGCGGGGATCGTGTGCTTTACACTTTGGGGCTATCTTTTGAACAGAAAAACGGTTCACGGCAGATGGAAGTAGGATTCCAATTGTCGCACAGAGGAGTCACCTGGGTTCCACTGCGATACCGAAGGATCGATGTGCCAAAGGGATCCACCCGCGAATACTTGGCAAGGGCACTGGTAAATCTCCCAGAACGGTCTGAGTTCCGACAGTCGTTTTTGATGTGGTGCAAAGGCATAAAAATATATCGTGGTCCAGAATGCGTCAATGTGGCGTAGGGTTTGGGAGTAGACGTCGAGATTCAGGCGAAATGAAAAGCAAAAAGTACGTGGTTACGACGCAGACAAGATTCGAACTTGCGAGGCCGAAGCCATTAGATGACATGAATCATGAAATTCAAGTCTAACCCATTAACCACTCTGGCACTGCGTCATGTTTTGAGCACCTTGCAATCGATGGTTGATCTCGCAGAAACAATGGTAGTTTCCAAAATTTATCGATATATATCTAGAAGCGAAAGGGGCATCATTCCGAGCTAACAATAACTGCCTGTGTTGCGGGTTATTCAGCGACAGTCTCGTGTCAGAGGCAAGAGCGGGGCTGGCCTAATTATTAAGGGCTGGCCTGGAGGGATCATAGTGGCACCATTTGATTGGCTATTTAGAGCGCTGACTTCGGACCTATAGCCCAAGTATCTTTATCCTCATCATAAGTGACCTTTCCTTCCTTCAGAAGCTTCTCCAAGATCTGCAAGATGCCTTTTTCTGCTGGCGCGTACAGATTCTTTGGGTAGTCCTTGTATATGATCTTCACTATATCCATCGCTGTCCAACCCCCATCTCTCTCCTGAGAGAGTACGTCGAGTACCTGCTTTTCTCTCTCCTTCCGATGCTTGATATATTCCAAGACCTTCGCTTGACCGTCTTCTATAACCGGACCATGGCCTGGATACGCGCGACCCTTGAATTGTTTTGACATTCCATCAAGGCTCTTCATGTAGGTACTGTAATCCTCAAAAACTGCCGTACCCTGGCCAAGAATATTGTCGCCCGTGAACATAGCATCTTCCTCTTCTAGAATTAGAGCCATATGATCGGTAGTATGTCCGGGGCAGTGAAATGCCTTCAAGGTGGCTCCATCGGTCTCAAATTTTTGACCATGACTGATGTTTAACCACCCTTCGTTCGGGTCATGCTTGTAGACCTTGGTACCAGAAGCCAGATGTAGTAGGTCTGGGACTCCTCCAATATGATCAGGATGCCAATGCGTCAGAATCGCCTTGTCAACGGCAATCTTATGGTCGCGCAGCACTGATTTCAATGACTCGATCCACTCAGGTTTGCCCTCTCCGGTATCTATCAAGAGGCGGCTTGGTCCCTGACCGACTATGTACGTGTTGGTACCTACGAACGTCAGTGAAGATCGAGCCCCATAAGGGCAGCTGCTGACCTTGAAGCGTAAACTAGAGGGCTATTAGAACTCACAGTTCGCAAACAGTATGACTTCACTGACCTTGCCCGGGTTGCCTCCAAGAACGCGAATAACGCGACTACTCAACTTCTCCACCACCGGTAGAGGCACCAGAGGCTCTACCATTGTCAAATATGTTCTGTGAAATATGAAGTGAGCACGTAATCGCCATGTCGGGTTCATGTTCACTCAGTAGACTTGTCCCGAGGTTCGGAGTTTAGGGTCTCGCTTACCCGAGTAAATCACAGATGGTGTCAACCTCATCAACACCGCAACTGGAAAAGTCGGCATGGCGTCGACTGAGACTGACGACAATGATATGCCGTAAGTTGCGTTTTGTACCGAAAGTTTGAAGATTCGCTGAGTCCGGGAGACAACTGTCGGCAGGAGCGCTGGATGCGTTGAAAGAATTTTACAGCGAACGAGACTCAAGGCAGAAACGATTCGAAGACCTGAAAACTCAAGCCGAAGATGACTTTGGCGGAAATGCAAAGCTATCCATGGAAGCCTTCACGGAAGACTGGAACGCGAGTCAATTCTGGGTACGATCGGTCAAGGGAGAGATGGAACACTATGGCACTCACACATGCGTAGTACAACGATGAGACTGCTACGATTCTCGCTCAACAACTTCTAGATGGTGCTACAAATGAGACCCACATCGCGGTTGTATCAGCCCCGAGTGTCTTCATTCAGTTGAAAAATCTTCTGGCCTCGGAAGACTATAATATTCAACCGAAACTTATACTCCTCGAATACGACGAACGGTTCTCTGTCTTCAAAGAATTCGTACAGTATGACTTCGAGCATCCAATCAAACTCCCGGCGGAATTTAAGAGCTCTTTTGACCGGATAATCTGTGATCCTCCCTTCCTCAGTCAAGACTGTCAAACAAAGGCGGCCCTTACAGCCCGCTGGCTTGCAAAAACCTGGGTTCCAATGGAGTCTCCAAATAAGACAGAATCATTCCATTTGATAGTTTGCACAGGTGAGCGGATGGAGGATCTCATCGAGAAGCTATATGCCAAGGCTGGGGCAAGAACGACTACTTTTGAGGTCAAGCATGCAAAGGGTTTGAGTAACGAGTTCCGGTGTTATGCTAACTTCGAGAGTGGGGCCTGGAAGTGGATAATGAATTCGTGAGTTCGGATGGTTCGATCATGAGAGGGAATGTAAGAATATCTGTGGATTGCCATGATACCCTTTACAACTCCCTCAGATGTCTAAGGGAACAATCGCCAGTTCCAATGCAACCTTTCCTTCTGTTTGAGTATCTAGATATCTAGGTTTGTCATATTTCCTGCATCCTCAGATTAACCTCCACTTTGCAAGCAGTGCACCCAAACTCGGGAGACAAGAAATACTACAAACCGAACTCAATCCCTCCCTACGCGCTGAGAAGCCCACCGCGCCGACAAATATAAGGGGCACTTTGACTTCAAGTAACTCAGACTCTGTGCACAAACCAGTATCTGCAGTGGATCTACACAAGTTGAAAACTATAGCCATTCCTGAACATCTAGTACCCCTTACCTAAAAATTGCATTCACATTGTTGCCTTAAGTCTAATTCATAGAGCTCCCTTTTATATTAGACCACACTTCCTTCCCCACAGCATCGCTATTAAGCTCTTACCCCTCTTAATACTAATAACAGGATCTTATCTAAGTGTAAGCCGGAGGGCTCTACGATGGCCTGAATCACCCTTGGGCTTGGCGTCCATCAATACTATGTAATCATATAGCTCTTCGGACCCTCAGTCTACAATATATGACTCCTCTCATAAATCGTGACCCTGCAAGGCTACACTAAGTCCTAGGACCTCGCTACGATGCTGAGTCATCTCTAACCTTGTGTTTGCTATCGCACGCAGCGTCAAGCAGGCCCGGATCGGTACCTCTAACCGGAACTATTACCAATCACGGCTAGTGAGAAACAGCCACATAATCATTACAGTGGCTGCTATGCCTGTGGCTGTGCGAAGTCTTGACAATCAGGCCGACCTTAGCCACGCCGATCCAACTCAACCTTGGCCATGCCGCCTCCAGTTAACCAACTCTGGCGAAATTCGCCACCTCACAAGGATGTGGCCGGAGCGGGTCGGCCAGCCTCCCTGCGAACGTGATTGAGGTGTTCGTCCGCCTCCCTGAAGACCTAACGATGGCAAATCTTTAAGCTCAAAGGAAGTTCTATTACGAGCTATCTTGTTAGCTAGTGGAGAGTCAGCTGTTAGAGCGAGATGCGCTAAGCCTTAAGGTTGTTAAGGAGATTAGGCGCATCGCACAGGCCCCGAGGCCTGGTAAAGAGGCGGTCATGTGGCAGGTTAATCTGTTGTAGCAACAGATGAAATACTTGCTAGATTAGCTGTATTCAAGGCTCTGGGTAGGCAGGAAGGTCTGGGGTAAGTAGAATAGAAAACGCTACTCTAATTTTTTACTACTATATGCTCTGCTCTAATTATTACTACGTACGCTGCCGCAACTGCTGCTGTATACTCTGCTCTAATTGCTGCTGTATGCGCTTCTTCAATTACTGCCAGCTGCTTTTTCTTTGTTAAGGTTGAGTAAGGCATTCACTCGCGATGCTCACCGTTGCATATTAAAAATGGGCTTATAACTCCACCAAAACACGGCCAATTCTAAGCCATCTTAGTCCCGTTTGGAAGCGCTAGAGCAGCTCTATAGATGGCGAACGGCCCAGTGTTGAATTATTTTAAAAATCGGGCCCATCGAGCCTGCAAAAAATAAATTAGGCTGGTTAGCATAGATATTCCACCGGGCCAACAAGTGGTTAATGGGTCTTGAACACCATCCCAGGCATGCTGTATAATCGAAGCGTTAATCATTAATTATCATGTATACATCAACAATGCCCTTTCATCATTAGGCACCCTGCCCATGTTTCTCCTTAAACCCAACGTTCCAACAATATCGTTGGCCAGGTGAACAATACCTCCTGCGTACCTGGACGCCGACGTAGAGAAGCCCCGTTGCTATCGCTAGGAAACCTAGAACTAGGAAAGATCGAAAAGGGCTCCATATTTGATCGGACGGCGTGATGTTGACAGGCTTCAACGAGAGGTACGTTGCAAGAATGGTTCCTGGTAAGTACCCCATTGTTACCAATGTTATTATCTTGATCGATACCAAGTCCTTCTCCGTCCGACGTGCCAATTCATGCATCTGGTCAGTGCTGTTGTGAGGGTGAGCGGACCTATATTCTAACATTGAAGAAAGGAGGGAGGCCGTGCTTTGTATGCGGCTGAGCAGGCTCTCCGCGTCGCGTTGCCGTAGCGCGAGTTCTGCGTGAGCGTTGGTAGCGCATTCTGAGAATCGAAGGACCTCGTAGTAGGCCATGTCCTTCATCCGCGACGGGAATTCTTCATACTCCATGATTTTTTGGAAGTGCATGACAAGCGCATCATGGACAATACCGGTCTGTTCAAGCATACGAAGGGCTTCTCTCATCTTCATCTCGAATTCGTACAGAGGTACCACGTACTGATTATTGTCTAGTATTGGCATGCCATATCGCGCTCCGCAAGATCCGTAACGAGTCCGATTGCCGTATGGATTACGCTCAGAAATGTCGAGTCTTAACTCTGGACCCATTTCGGAATCGTCAATAATTATGTGGTTTCGGATTTGTTCTAGATCCCGTTCAAGCTGTCCTATATAGTCTCTCCAAGACTCGATGGACCATTCGAAAAACAGTTGATGAATGATCAGCGACGAACGAAAGGAGGTGGTGGGGTCGGCGAAGTCATCCGCTAGCGGAGAGTCAGCTTGAACAGCCATCCGCCGTAACCTATCAAGGAGATTATCGTCGCCTTGAGATATGATCCACAGAGTCTGTCCAGTCTGTACGTCGAATTGGTGGTAGATTGCCGCTTGCCGAATTGACCACTTGTCGACCGACTCGTTGGTTACTGAAGGAGAGTGCAATAGGAAGGCATGACTAATAAATGAACCAGACCTTCCAAGTCTTGGGATAGCCTCTCGGTGGTCATGTAGATCGAGTACTGTGTCGTGTTGTCGGAATCCAGCGAATTCGGTAAGGCCAGGAGAAGGAGCTCCGAAAGGAAAGATGAAGTCTAGAAAGGAAGGCCCTACTTGGTGATGGGTAAGCACATATTGTAGCTGCTCCTTTGAATACCCAAGTCGACTTTTATCATGCCTTCCAAAGAGAAACCTGCCTCAAAGACTTGTTAGCGGGAGTCATGGCCCACCACTGAATGAAGAGACACTTACACAAATCGACATTTGGGGTCTGGGCGATCAAGTGTCAAGTATGCTTTGACATCCTTGATTCTCGCTACTTCGAAGTCTCCAAACCAGTCAGCGTGGGCATGAGGCCCTTAGCGTGAAGAATGTCTTACACATATCACCTGGAAGCATCTCAATGAACTCAATTGGGGTATCCTGGGCATTGAAGGGACGGAGCGTCTGGTCATTGAGCATTTTCGCATATCGAGGGATATTGATAATAGGGTCGCTGATGTTTGTTGGATACTTCTTGAAGTCATCTAATGCGTTGATGAGTCTGTCCTGCTGGTCCCAATTCATGTTGAAAGAGTTTGAAGGTCGCTTGGTACAGATTTAGCAGGTGAACGACGAGATGGGAAGACCCTCAAGAGCCCAACCCCAAATTCAATGAGTTGAGGGTTGAAGCCCGCTAGAGAAGCTCCAGCAACGAGAGGACGAGGTGTCAAACTCTTCGGTGAGGCAGTGCCATATTCAACTACGTGCCGACACACGAAACATGCGAGTCCCCAGGCGAGAAGAAAAACGCCTTGAGAGAAGCTTTAGAAGGCCTCAGGGTGCCAGCATTGTCTGCTTTGAGACGCTGGAAGCTCCTCGGGAGGTGCAATAGTAGCCAGTTAGTGGAGTTGGGTGGGGTGGGTGGATAGACAGCTCATCGGTGTAGAAATCTGCCTACATGCCAAGGCCGGCCAGCTGGCTGGTCGCTGGCGTGCACATCCCTGAACCGTTTTTCTCTCGCGGGCTGTATTCGCCAAACCAAGGCAGGCACTGCCCCAAACCTCTGTGCAAGCAAATCTTCGCCGCTTTTGCGGCGTATTTGCCTACCCAACTGCCGTCATGGATGTACCGTGGCATCGTTCATGTGACACTTCGCTTCTACGGAATCTGCCTGCTCACGCCTCACATGGCAAACCTATGCTGAACCACTCCGAGTCAATCCTTCGGACTGTAGTGCTTCACTTCATTATACCTTCAGCCTTGTCTTCTGCTCTCCTTCACACACTCTGCTTCTACACAAGTCATTTTCATATGCAACCCGAGACATGCGATAGATCTACAAAATGACCTCTTCCGAGTCGCCGATGGAACATTTCCGATGCGCTCTGGATACCATGAAGAAATTTGGAACTGACGGCAATGGTGAAGTCATGAGATATGTCCCATACGGGGATTTAAAGCATTACTGGTCCTCGGAGCGAATAAATTCAGTTCTCCAATCTTGCACCCTTCCGACGTCGATGGTAGACGACATTTACCAACGCTTCCTACGAATCTTCTCAATCCTTGTGTTTATCGATCGGCCGCAGTACCTTAAAGTGTTCAGAAGAAGAGGAATCAATGATGAGAATTTACCCTTTTCGGGGCATTGGCCGTACAGGACAAATGAGGGGGATGATTTCCAGCTGGCATTGAGGGATATTTACCAAAATCAATGGACCTTCTGTCCAATTGAGTTTGGTCAAAAGATTATGTACAAGAGGAAGCTTGAGACTTGTCAGATTCTTCCGTTCGTGCGTGAACAGAATCTCGGCGCTGGTGGCTTCGCGGAATGTTACAAAGTTAGGATTCATAGTTCTCACAGTATTTTCCAGGAACCAGTCCAGGCAAGTATTATTCCTCATGTGAACATATACAGACTAAAACTTGAAATGTAGGAAGAAGTATTTGCCGTAAAGGAATTTCCTCGCGCCACCCGACACAACTTCGACGCCGAGCTTGAAGCCCTTGCTGCACTTAGCAGAAGGCCATCACAACACATCGTTCAGTGCGTGGGCTCATACGTTCAGGGCAACAAGTACCATCTGGTTCTAGAATATGCGAATCACGGATCGCTCAAGGAATACCTACAAAGCTCAAGCCCGCCATGCTCTGCTCTTGGCTTGCAACGTTTTTGGAACAATGCGATGGGCCTTCTCCAAGGATTACGTCAAATTCATAACACGTCCTTGTGCGACACAAAGACGGGTTCAATGGTAGGCATTCATGCAGACATCACTCCTCAAAATATCTTAGTTTTTGGAAACAACGAGGAGCCATCCTACGACGTGACGTTCAAAATCAGTGACTTCAGGATGTCTTCGATAAAGTCGTCAGTCGGCAACAACACACCAGTAGTGGGCACGGACACCTACGGTGAGTTAACCTATGCTCTCCCAACAGATATTCGATCCTTACGTTCTATAGCCGCTCCAGAATACTCTTCGGCGCACATTGACGGAAGAAGAGAGCGACCCTATGATATCTGGTCTCTTGGGTGCATCTATATGGAGTTGATCGTTTGGCTTACAAGTGGGAGTGATGGCTTGAAAGGTTTCCGTGATCGAAGGGCCAAAGAACTATCTATACGGGAAGAGTGGGAGCCAGCATTTCACAATGGTACAGCCCCACTGAACGAAGTTTTGTTGATGTATGAACACGCTAGATCTCGGCTAAAGCCATACGACGACTGGTCAGGAATAGTACTAGATTTGGTCGAAAAACACATGCTAGTAAGCAGCAAGAACGAGAGACTTGGTGCCAGGGATATACATCGCCTGTGGAAAGAGAGCGTTGAAACGCCCACTCATCAGCCCCCTGTGGTAAACTCGATCGATTTGCTACAATTATCGACCTGTTCGACATCTTCCACGATTTTCGACAGTAGGCAAGTATGGAGTACAAACGAGTCGGCCAGAAATGTTGCTGAGGGAGAACTTCGTTGTATGGATCAAAGCAGCTTGGTCGAACTTGAAGCAGTTCCCGATTTGGCTTTTCGTGGCCAGGAGCTCATGGGTACGTACAGAAAGGGAAACCTAGAAAGGCACAGGAACAGGAAACAGTATGTCACAATGCATTCAGAGTTTTAAGCGTACTTGGCCGCTAACCACTCGTAAACATCTAGTGAAATACTAGAAGCCTACGGCAGAAGATATTCTCCATTTAGCACATCTGCTGCGAAGCGGAATCCTTTAGATTCCCTAGGTCTAGGAATACAGAGCTCCAGCTATCAAAAGAGGATAGGAGGAAATGAGCGTCACCCACACTATACACCGGACGCGGCACAGAGCTCTGATACGACAATATCGATCTAGAATGCTCAGCGTCAGAGCCGACATGGCTTAATTCAACTCTCGAACGTTTGAGTTGACTCGCTGCCCAACTAGCACTAAGATAGAAAATATTTAGTATTTGATCAGGTGACCGGGCTACATACACGTGACCTAAAATGTTTTCGGAATAATAATAATCCGAGCCCATCCCTGTACTTCTAAGAGGGGTACCTCACACAACCGGTGAAGCAAGGCCTTGCATCTCGATTCCCTTGTTTCGGGCTTACACGAGGCAGACACCGCTGCATGGCTCCCACAAACACCTGGCCTCAGGCCATTGGTCTCCTTCAAAGTTGCTCAGCCTTGAAGCAAAATGGCAAAGAGGGGGCAAAAAGGGGACAGCGTCGCAGTGGTGGCTCCGTTTCGTCGGTTTCCAGTGCGATTTCATATTCCTAGATACTTTCGTATCTGATCCTCATAAGGGTGTTTTCATTTGAATCCTCCACTAGCTGATATTATTGGACTCAATGGCTTCAGATTTTTCTTCCCAGTTTCGGCAAAGTTGTCAGAGACACTCATATTACCCGAACAACTTGCTTCAAGTCACTCAAGAGGCCTATACGCGGAATGGCATTTTTCAAAAACCTCGCGTTGGAGTTGAGGGAAAACAGGGCTTCTTCGCGAAAGAGGCGGCATCGACCAAAATCTCAAGGGCGGGTATAGGTAACGTATTTCTATATATACAATACCGGAGATAACCCATACAGAGGTTCTAATCCTTTGCAGGTGTCTTGCCGGTCGTTTGGACGAGTCTAGATGAGCTGAAGCATGGGTTGAATGAAGCACAGCGGGAACCAACAGTTCAATATGTGTATGTATAATGACGAGCCCTAGGAAACTCCTATTTACCATTTTGGCAGGTTTATTCGAGCAGACCATGCGAAACGGCTACTTTGTTGTTCTATCGAGATGTTCACATACTTGATGAGTTTCTATCAAGTACCACCCGCCATGCTCGACTTAATGTCCATTTTCAAGCACTCGGAGGTAAGTCTAGATCGCCATTTCACCGGTTTTGTCGGCGAATACACCTATTCTCCTGATCGGCGAGATTCTATAATACCCATATCTCAACTTGGGCGCTCCGGGTGCTACCTGAAACAATGTTATCAATTAAGATTCCTTGAAAAGGTGCATTATCAGCCCCTTTCTTGGAGAGCCCATCAAGTGGTAGTCCACCATTCTTTCGATATTCTAAATGGTCAGGCACTCTGGATTACCTTGGAGGGTAACGTTTCGTTGGATGAACGAATAAGAGCGATGCTCTCACAGTGCAGTTCAGCCCGGAATTACACGCAGGCCTTTGAGCTCACACTCTCTACTCACTTAATGCTATGCCAATGGTGTATTGAAAACTGGCAAGAATTCATTGAGGGCATTGAGATTGAGCTCTGTCAATTCAAGGCGACAGTTCAGAGCGTAGAGCCTGGGAGCACTCCAGCTTCACGCGATCGAAGCCATGGCACTTACTCGACAGCGACTTCTTCGCCCGGGCCACCCATTCAGTCGTTTGCTAATGCGACAAGAATTGATAGAGATCAGTTTCCCGCGCTCCTTCAAACACATGATTCAGATCTTGACTCTTCCATATCGCTTGACCATCTCGATCCGAGGGACACGTATGACATAGCCGATATCCAAAAACTGTATAAGGCTAAGGACCGGTTGACCGAAGCACTATTAATGGCTAAGTTGAACTCCTCTGTTCTCAGTCAATTAGGAGGATATTACGCAGGTCTGCATTTGAAGGTTGCGTCTCGTTTCGCTGGAAACAAATCTGACTTAGAAGACTTCACCGAGAAAATGGGTGCTTTCAAGAACAGAATGGAAGTCTGCCAAGCACAGCTTGAGGATCTGCTCTCCATTCAACGAGACATTAAGGCGCAGGTAAGTTCCGCATCCTAGCTGCCTCAAATGCTCCCCATGGCTTCAGAGCCGTCCTCTAACATCAGATCTCCGACAGATGGATGACATAGCCGACTTTCGAAGTCTCCAGATGAACAAATTCTTCGCCATGGAATCAAGGAAGTCTGCCGATCGGATGGAAAAATTAACTCTCGAGGCCACTCGGGAGGCTTCGTCCATGCACATTATCACCATCGTCACGCTTATATTTCTTCCAGCTACTTTTACCGCGGTAAGATGATTCTTTCCCTTTTCTCATTCGAAGTTACTAACATGTTTCGTGTTCGAACTCAGAGTTTCATGCAAAGTGGTGTTTTTCAATGGAAGTCTGCTGATACACAAACTCACCAATGGTTGTTCAAGAGCAGCGTATTCCTCTTATTTTTCGCTATTTGCTCGATAATGACGGTAGGCTGCTTCTTGTTGCGGTGGGGGATGCTGTATGCTAAACAGAGGCGGCGTAAGTAGTTGAAATAGAAGCGCCGCTACACAGATCCTCAAAGGCCATACTAGCTCCGTCAACGCTGTCGCGTTCTTACTAGACAGTATGCTAGTAGCATTGTCCTTAGTGGCAGAACGGTCCCGCCGTGGAACGCAGCCAACCGCCTGAAAATAAAAGTCGCACACCCAAATTTCCTTAACAATCACACCCCTACAAATTTGTATGACGACGCGATAATTTAGCTAAAACGCATATAGTTGCTATACATAGAGACATGGTCTGCCTAATTAGGTAGTTATAAGGCTTATTTTTTGGTATTTTAAAGAGGCCCTCGGCGTTGCTGTATTAATACAGCTTAACAATGTGAAACGTCTTCTTCAAGCAAACTATTTTGCGCGCCCTATAGCAGCTCTAACCTTTTCTTTTATTAGCATATTATAGGTTGTAGGAGTCTATAGACCTGCTATATTAATTCTATGTATATAAAAGTGTTTATAAGGGTACTGTTATAGGTACTTAGTTGTGTAGGTATTACAGTTGTGTTTTTAGTGTGAGGCCTTTACTTTCAGGCTGGTGGCAGCGACAGGGTGTTGCTACATACACGTTTAAGAATTACTCCACTTCTACCTTCGCATTATCTGAAGCCAGTCTATACCTTCGCACTATCTAAGGCTGACTTATAATTAATAGTACCGTAGAGGCTCTTAAATCAAACCACAATAGCACCCTTTCCATAGAGGAAAATTGAATTACCTTTTAAAATTTTAAGCTCCTTTGGCTCCCTCTAGAGTATTAGCCTTTCTGCTTAGCATATTAAAATAACCTCATCGCACCTAGTCTTTCTTCTAATATGGTAAAAGTTATAGAAATTAATATTCGCTAGGATATTTTAACGTCATAGATTAAGCTGTTATATTCTTACTATGCCTACAACCAATTATTTATTATTTTTCTTTGTGTCTTAATTTCGTAGAGGGATCCAGAGGTAAGCTTAAATATACAGTTAGGGAATTTGCTACTAGACAGAGCGAAGCTTCTAGAATCTAAATTGATGACAAGATGGCTAGTCGCAGAACTAACTTTAAGCTTAAAGATTTGCTACAGCTAGGTCTCAAAGGAAGCGGGCGAATACCTCAATCACGCTAGCAGGGAGGCCGGCCTACACGCTCCGGCCACACCCTTGTGAGACGGCGAATCTGTTGGTCTTTTCAGAGAGTTGAGTTGTTGACCAGAGGCATTATCAAGGTTCCATTGGGATCGCAAGGCTGCGGGGCTGAGGTTGGTCCGCTTGCTAGGACACCGCACAGCTACAGGCCTATAGCCACTACAAGTAAATTACACTATGATGATTCATAATGTGTGACGGGATTGTTTTTGTTATTACGCTAGCTAGAATTGGTGATCGCTTTGATTAGAGGTACTGACCCGCGTGGCGACCTCATGAATTTGCTTCACGCAGCAGACATAAAGCTGATAATGAAATCCTAGCATCGTATTAAAGCTCTAAGGATTAGATGAGGCCCTTTTATAAGTATCAGAAGTAGTGAAAGCTTAACAGTGGTGCTGTAAGGAAGGAACCTCTATGATGCTATAGAAGGAGGCTCTTTGTAAACTAGGCAAAGACTAATGTAAATATAATTTTCTAGATTAGAATGGTTTTGAATATTTAGGAGCGGCTATGGCATATAACTTATACAGAAATATAGCAAACGTTGACGTGTGCAGAGAGTCTGAGTTGGTTAAAGTCAAAGTGTAAGGGCGGGGCTCTGTACCACTGCGCCAATACAACCAAAAGGTGCGAATAATCAACCAACAGTTGATCTGCATACAGAATAGTATATATACCTGTCGCGCGTAAGGACCGTCGTACAAGGCGTTTCCGGCCTTAGGGTACATTATCCTTTGTAAGGGCTAGCGGCCTTACACAAAGTACCTACCATTTTTCTCGGCACGGCGGGTTTCCGTTAGCTCGAGTAAGTATGTATCGCAATGTGGCGGCCGTGGCTTAACATCACGTGCTCATTCTCCCCGCACCTTGGGAGGTCAGTTCCTGTGGCTGCCATTGGACCCCACTCCTCCAGCGACTGTCAGGCTCTTGAAGTCGGAACATCACGTCAAAGGTTACATCTGATCACCACAATGGCTGCCTGCATCTTCTGCAAGATTATCCGGGGTCAGTACTTCCTAAATTTAGTCTTGCTCTTCCTGCTAACACTGCTTCCAAGGCGAAATCCCCTCAATGAAGATCTTCGAGAGCGAGAAAACCTTAGCTTTTCTAGACATTGGACCTCTGAGTAGAGGACATTCGGTACCATGCTATCTCCCTAATCGCTAGAATTGGCACTAGCTGATGTTCTGGTTCAGCTCGTCATCCCAAAATTCCACGGCGCGAAACTCCACGATATTCCCGACGACCAGCTGTCAGAAGTGCTCTCCGTTGCGAAGAAGATTGCCATTGCACAGGGGGTCGAGGATTACAATATTCTGCAGAACAATGGAAGGATTGCACACCAGGTTGTCGATCATGTGCATTTTCATATGATTCCGAAGCCTAATGAAACTGAGGGTTTAGGAATTGGGTGGCCGACGAAGGAAGCGGATAAGGGTGATTTAACGAAGTTGCTGGAGGAGATCAAGTCAAAAATGTCGAAGATGTGAGGTGGGATTGTGCAAGGTGTAAATACTCCAATTGAAAATGGGAGAATTTTGGCCATTTATATGTTACATTTTCGAGGTTCAGTATTGTTTTCTTCATTTCCTTTCATTTCCCTTTGAACACGGGTTTCCTCTTCTCCTTGAAGGCGAGCAATGCCTCATCGCGATCCTTAGTCTTCACTACAACATCATACGCCGCATTTTCGGCTTTCTCACCCAACGCACAACCCTCAACAGCTTTCAGTGCAGCCTTGATGGCAATAGGCCCACCCTCACAGATATCTCTCGCAAGCTTCACAGCCTCATCTAAAACCTTTGTTCGCGCAGCACCTGCCTGCTGTGCTTCCTCTGGTGTGATTTCTACCAGTCTATCACATATGCCCAGAAAGTATGCCTCGGGAGCGCCAACTTTCCGCCCTGTCAGTATCAAGTCTCGAGCTCGTGACAATCCGATCAGCGCTGGGAGTCTGTAAGTTCCCCCAGCTCCTGGTATAATCGCAAGCCTTGTCTCTGGTAGCGCAACGGTTGTAGTGGACGCAAAGATACGCATGTGTGTGGCTAAAGCTAGTTCAAGACCGCCGCCGAACGCAGGTGCCGCAAGTGCTGATATCGTAGGGATTGGGAGGGCTGATAGGGAGGCAAGGGTACCGCGGAGAGTAGAGAGGAAATTATTTGTGCTATATGCAGCAATTTACCCTTGTACACATAGGTTATCTGGGAATTCGTAAACTTACTCTTCTTGAGTAAACCCCGCCCTCTCCTTCAAATCTGCGCCAGCACAGAAGCTGGAATCTACATTGCTAGCTAATATTAAAGCTCTTGTAGCGCTTGCGTCGCCTTCGTGGTGGATGCTATTCACCTGGTGACTGAGCTCGGCGAGTAATTGCCTGGATATAGCATTGCGCGAAGCAGGACGGTTGAGGGAAAGGATTCGGATGTTGCCACAATGAGGCGCAGGCACATTAGCGACAGTAATCACGGGCGAAGGGATAGTAGAATATGCATAGTGCTGGATTTTTCTGACAGAGAATCCTGAATAGGACCGTATAAGGAGAGGCATGGTGAATTGTCAGAGTATTGCAGAAGCTCGGTGAACTACGGTTAATCACGGGAAGGTTCGCCAAAAGGGACACTTTGCCCTGTTCAGCTTGGCGGGAAGCTATGACCATTCTGATAGCCTCTTGCTCTAGGGTTCTAGCCTCTAGCAACAAAATGCCACTTGACCTCGACACTGAGCCTCCAAACCTCACCCGCTAATCCAACCAGTCTTTAAATCGTTTTCCAAAACCCTTTATTCTATATTTTGCAATTGTCGTCAAGTCAAGCGCCGCACAGTGTGACCCAAGGTAAGGCTAGGCAGAGACACGAGCATTTTCGGTCACTAAAGCTGGAAATCATTTTGCTAACCCAAGAGGTACGATGAAGAACAAGGTCTGTCATAATTTTGGCAAACCCATTCCTTCTCCTTTTTTATCTTCCTTTGGCCTCCCATCGGCTATGCAAAGCCGAAGCCAACTGTCTCGCTCCTCCTCACTGACATTGAGATTCTAGTGAAGAATGTCATCTCCGAAGGTAGTAGAGTATACCTCCCCGAAACTAGATACTCTACCTTCAGAACTTCGGAGGCTGATTGTGTCTCATCTGGCCCCTTCCACGAAGATCTACGCCAAAGGATGCAAAAAACACTTGAAGAACGCCAACCTTGCCCACTCTTGCCTGCGAGAATGGGTGCCAGAATTTCTCTTCCGCGATATGGTTCTGCCACATGTGCTTGTGGGAATGTCATTCCAACTTCAACGCTTTGCAGTTGATCCAGCCGCTGCCAAACTTCTCAAGCATGTGAAGACCATTGGGGTCAAGGTATTTTTCAATCTGCCTATTAGGTACCCTAGTTCTTGAATTCCTTTATTTTTGACGCTACCAGGTTCCGCCTGCAATTCGCTGGGAAATCAATTCCTCCGATCCCTTTAATTATATCGATGACATTACCAGCCAACGACTCAAACGTAAATTCAATATCTCAGACCCAGCGCTGTTCACCAAAGAGCAACGTCAGTACTGCTCGGATTATCACCAAGCAATGGTCGAACCCTTCACGGACAGCCGCCGCTGGCTGCAACTACTCTCCTATGCCCGGCACTTGTTCCCACGAATCTTTGGCTATTTCCTAAACCTCGAGACCATTAGTGTTGGGATTTGCGGGCGTACCGAGCATCCTGCTTCCACTTACACCAATCTCTTTGTCACACAGTATGGTGAAGGTGTGATTAACGACGTTCACCCACTGTATGTGGAAGATCCGAATGCGAACCTGGCCTGGGCTAGTGCCGTCGTGTGTACGTAGCCCTTTTGACTAACCTCGACACGTGTTTCTATGGGTATTCAATAGTTCCTATGTCTTTCAGAGCAACATTCCTGGCTCAATGCTGACAGTACCTTGATGCATAGTGCAAAGCGCTCCACCCTCTGTCAAAGCTCTCCATTTATCAATGGCAAATCTCGACAATCTCAATTCGTTTGCTACCGTCAACCGACTGCTAAGCATTTGCTATAAGAACGCAAAGACCCTAAACAGACGGCCTACAAAGGCTATCACTAGTCTCACCTTAGATCTTCGTGGAATTGAAGGAGTCCATGGCCATCGAGACTGGAACGGAGGTATGTGAAGTCCCTCTTTCATCTAAGTGATCCTACCTATCCTACGCGTTACTTTATCTACATCCTCTTTACTCAATTGATGCTGCCAATCAATGTCCTCTTCAATGCAGACGCCAATCTTACCGATCCCTTAGACACAGGAACCGCAGGCATGGTGCGATACTGGAAGCATGCTTTAGGTTCCTTGCCTAGCCTAGCAACACTAGACCTTCGCGCAGACAACTTAGATCACGACCTCAACTTCTCTGGTCTCGATGACACCGATAATAAAGGCTGTATCCTTGAATGGCTCTTCGCGGGGTTGCCTCTCAGCAACCTCAAGACCTTGTCTGTGCGCTATTTCCTCCTCCATGAAGAAACGATTCCTAAGATATATGATGGATGGCCAATTCTCAAGACCCTCCATCTGGAAGAGGTCCGACTCATGTCAATCGAGGAGCCGGAGGGTGAGTCGCGCCCAGAGCATCTTAGAATCATCCAGGGATTCGCTTGGCTTGAATTGTGCAGGTGGCTTGAGGGAACCAGGCCAACGATCGATATCGAGCTCAACCGTCCGGTGTCTAACATCAACAATTTCAAAGATTGGGTGTTGCATAAAAATGTTATCGAGAAGTTATCATCGCTCCCCAATGTCAAGATGTTGAAGACGAGCGGCGACTACAAAGCTTGTGTATCTCTGCCGCGAGATAAACTTGAGGATTCCACGAGACGGGGCGAAGGAGTCAGCTAAGTTGGGTTTGAGTGGCCGAAAGTGGCGCCTCAAATGAATGGTTTGAAAGGGTATCTTAATTACACTACCTGGTGTCATACTCTACACAGCTCTTCCTACTGCGTGATCATGGTCTTCATCCACTTCGTACCACGACTCATTCATACTTGGAGCCTCTACATCCGTCGCTCTAGTCTTCGTGACTACTATTTTTATTCTTCCTTGTTCTTTCATATCTATATCCCACACTTCATCAGCCCCATCGCGACCGGCATGGAGTTTTGTGAACCCAGTATGAGACGATTTCATTGTGTCCATTTGAATAGCACTATGTGCCGCTGTCGATTTCGTGGTCTTCCCACTGGTCTTTCCCAGTACCGAGCGTGTGCGTGTAACGAGAGAGTCCAAATGCAGGGCTTTCGCGGCCATTCTAAATAATGGCTTGAAACTTAGCGCACAAGCAGCAAGGAGGTACATTCCTGGCTCAATAATGGTCCAGTTCACTAGTTCTGTGTGGGTGACTGCAGGGGATGGTCAGTACAAATGCTAGGCGTATCCGTCAAGGTCTTGAAGAGACTTACAAGTGACATCAACCAAAGGGTCAGTAGTGGCGAATACAACGGTCCGAATTATAGAGGCAATGATACCACTTGAAACGATCAGCCATGTCTGAACCTCGATTTGCTTGGCCGAGAGAGCGACTTACACGCTGCCCGTGAGGAAGATAAGCAGGAGCCCTATCTTGCGACCAATCGAAACCTTCAAATCCATAACCGTCCGGATTGGTAAGATCAAGACCGCCACGTCGGTGACAATGTTCGGGACACTGCTACTCTGTGAAAATACGTATATGTTGAAACACCGGCCTCCAGGGATCGTCTTGTCCCAATTGAAAGCAAAGGGTGTGCATTGGAAACATGCAGCTACGGTGTATGATATCCATGTTGCGATGATGATGTAAATGAGTGCCCAGGTTGCCATTCTAGCCCATTTGTTTGTGAAGACTCGGAGGTAGAGTAGGACGACAACAAGTTTTGGGAATGCGACGGCGGGTAGATGCAGCATTTCGTTGACCATGATACCCTTGTAGTGTTCATTAATTCTTGCGGGGTCCGTCATTTCGACGTACGCCATGTGTCGACCTGTGCTTGCCTTCCTGACCATTACTACCCGCAACTTTAGTGAGGTTGAATTACCTAAGAGGCATAATCTCTCACTTACCGATTCCGGTAATGCATAGTCCCAATTCTGCTATATATGCAAAAGGAATGATAACATCTTCAACCCCGAACTTCGTCTGCGTCAAATGTCGAGCGTAATAGCGGAGTCCAACAAAAAGTGTAGAAAAAATAACCATCAACGACGCAGTTGCTATTATTGTAGGCCCAATATCCTCAGCTAGATACTGGGGGGAAAGCGAGGGTGGGGGAGTGGGAGCAGACATTCTGCAAACGAGTGATAGCTACCAGCGCCACATTAGGGGAGACAAACAAGAGCACTCGACACTCCATGTGGAGCGACCGGGCGAAGTACAAATACCAAAGACCTCTCGGGAGGATTCAAGCATATCGATGGGACAGGGCCATCCGTGCTTTTTGCGCAGGATATTGCAGCCCTACAACACCAGAAATTTGTACTGAGGGGAATTGGGGATGAGCAGGTAGCGCATTGAAAATTTTAGGGAAACAGGGGTGTGTTTGTCCTGAAACGAGAGGAGATCTCTTTAAAGGATGCGTAAGCGAGTACGTTCCCAGTATTCAGACTGATCTTGTATCACTGACTCCCTCGCGAGAAGTTTTCTGCAGGGTACGTCCTGGGGATGGGTGTGTTGGTATCTATCAGTACCGCGCGCCGGCCCGTGTTCATCGTGAAAGAAAAACGTCAACCCTTTGCATGCGGCGTCTGTAACACTATACCTCGCGACGGCGGAGTAGTCTCAAGAGGCGACGATGTTGGTCGCAATAGTTGCCCCATTTCCAAAATACAACTTCATGTTTTACTGCAAGAGCGGTTGACATTGTTCACACCTTTGTAGGCCGACAGAAAAGATCCACCCTCGTAGTGCTCGGGAAAGTTCAGCAATGGGGGCGATATATTTGGCCATAGAACTGGACGCGTGGACATCCCTAGTGTAGACATATTAAAAGGCCAGTCGTCCTTCGTAATGCGATTGGTCGTCATAAATACAACTCGACATTCCCAGGCTTCCAGAAAGAGGTTTGCGTCGCATCCGGTATAGACCTCCCTAAATTAGGACAAGGGGCAAAACATTCCCCTCTAAAAGCGCATGTTCCTGAGATATCCTTGTGGTCCTTCGGTATATCGTGCCACTTGGAAGCTCTGCATAAACCCAACAAAAGGAACACCTCGCTTGTCTGTAACCGATAACGTGGCTGGCTGCTAACGAGCTTCCGAGGTGGGCAATAGTTCATGCAGGTAGGAGGGCGTAAACGACATCACAGTGGTCAGAACCAACGGCGACTTTGCTTCGCGGGTTCTCCGCGTCATTTCGCACAAGGCGAAGCCGAATACGAAGCCGCTCTCTATTCTTTTCAGAATGTAATGGAGTTTCAGGTATTGCACGACCTATATTGGTCCCGCAATGAAGAGAGAGTTGAGTTGCGGAGTGGGCTGGATAGAGAAGTGATGGGTAGTTGGGTAGATATTTCTAAGTCTAGCAGCGGATGATGCAACTGCCTCTCGAGGATCAAATCAAGCCTACCAAACAGCGGTGGGAATTTCGAAGATTTTTGTACCTGACCACGGCTGAGTCCTCTATGCAATGTGATATTGACATCAGGGATAGGTTCAACCGAGGTATAGGGATGTCCTTCGGCGGGCTAAATGCGTTTGTGTGTAACTTGAAATCGATCAAGCTCTCAAAAAGTCTTCCTCATTCAGGGCGGGTTACTGGTTGTTTTGGTGTTGAGTAGGCTGCTGAAACGCCTTCGAGGTTTGAAAGCTGTCTCAGGACAAACCAAGGTTCCCTCGGCTATGCTATACCACACGTGACTCATCCCCTTCCCAAATGCTCTTTGGAATATCGAGGTTCTCGTAAAAAATTTCAGCCTTGACTGTATGGTTTAAGGATCATTGTGCATTAAAGAAGAGGACAGGAAGTTTGCAGAGTCAGGCGTTCCACTGAGCCCCACAGCTCGGCTAGGGCTGAACACTAACCTAAAATAGTTTAGACTATGATAGGATTGAGGACAAGCTTATACCAACCTCGACCTCCAACGTCAGATATCCAGCACACACGGCCTGAAACTCCCCACATCAGCTTGAACATTGTTGGATATCCATCTAGCTATTCATCAGCCCAGGTGTACCCTTACTATACTTTTTCAGAGCCGGGGTCACCGGATCATTTGATTTGGTGTTCGCTGCTTTCGATAGTGTTGGCAACCTTTACAATCTCAGACAAGTCTTGGATCTCGGTTTCCGGATATATTTCTATGTCATTTTACTAGACTTTATATTTATCAATGGTTGATTCTAGCTTCCTTGGGTCGCGGGGACCTCCACTTAAGCGCAAAAGGTTGATATTTGGAGAAGAGTCACAAGCGTCGACAGTCAAGGACACTCGGATTACCCAAACCCAAGCTCTCAAGTAAGACTCCCTCACATTCAAAAGTCCTTGCGTTCAAACTCGTACTTCCAAATATCCTTCCCCTTATAATAAGCCGGTTGGCTGGCCTCCGTGGCTTTTGCCTACCCTTCCTATCTCTGGGTTATCATTTTCCACGGCTTTCATCACAATCTAACGGACAAAGGCTAGATGGCAAAACCATAGAAGTTATAGTTGGGCCAGAGCAGGAAAGGGCTTCTTATCAGGTCCATGAAGCGGTCATTTGCGCGTCTGCCGAATTCTTCCGCAATGCAATGAAACCCGAGTGGGCCTCGGCTCGGCCTGACCCTCGGGTTGTAGAGCTTCCAGACGACGTCCCAGCGGCCTTCTCTTTGTACATGCACTGGATCTATTCGAAACGACTCCCCGTGCTGCCTGACCCAAAGGAATTAGTCACAGGTGAGGGGGGCTACCACACCTTGGCATACGCTTATGTCCTTGGCGAGCGGCTTATGGATTTTGAGTTCAAGAATGCTGTACAGGACGCATACGTATTATACGCACGAGGTTCGCCTCCCACAAAACGGTATTATCCTACCAATGAGGAGATTCGCATCATCTATGATGGGACACGCGAGAACTCTCCAATGCGGAAATTTCTGGCTGATATTTGGACATGGAGAGGCAAATACGAGTGGATTGAGAAAGACCGTGACCTTCCTCAAGATTTCCTGGCCGACGTCACCACTGCGTTGTTGAAGACCCGACCTCCCATCGAGGATTTGTCGCGGCCATGGAAAAATTCGCACGAGCAGTATCACGATCACTAAATAATTCATAATCCCGAACTCCTTTATTGCCGAATATCGACAGACTTTAAATACGCGCGAGGTTTGCAAGTATGCGCTTGTTCTAGCCCTTGTAGGTGAACTTGGATAGGTAAAAACTTTCTGTCCTGTGGGCGGCTTCGACATAAAAGTAGAGAACCAGGCGAGATGATCAAAACACCCTTCGTTAGAGTCTTAAATATGAGACGATAAAATGTGACAAAGATTTAGTTTTCCCTTCTTGCTATCTGTAGTTTCCTTCTCTGTCTGTTGGTTCCAATGTGTTGTTCGATCATTATGGATCCAAGAACAGACCTTTAGGCAGTATTCTAGGGTAGCGAATCCAGCGCACTTTCTTGACATTTCTTTGTACTTTGGCCTGGGATTGATTCGTCATATTTGTGAAATGGTATGATTATCGCGGGGCGAATAGCAAGCGGTGCGAGACTATCAAGAGTGAGAGTTAGGGAAAGTAGTGAATGGGGTCCTGTAAATTAGCCTGCCTTCTTTCCATTGGAGCCAACCTCAGCCCTATCAAACCACTGCGCTTCATCACAAAGCCACCCATGTTCTGCGAATATGGTTAATGAAGTCTTGTCAGGTAGTGGACACGTTCTCGAAACGGCCGTAGTCAAGTACGTAGTTTTCTAGCATATTGCAGCTGAATTACTGACATGTCGTAGTCTTCGAGACCATATAACCTTCACCGTTGGCGACAAACGGACCAGCTTGCTTGTTCACGAGTCCCTTGTCTGCGGAAACTTCGGCTTCTTTAAAGCTGTGATGAAATAAGACTGGACCTCATCTAACTAGATGACCCGTGGGTCATCGACCTCCTTGAGGAGTATCCAGCTACTTTCGAGAAATATCTGCACTGACTGTACTTCAAGAAACTTCCACCAGTTCTCGCCAATTCAGAGGACACCAGAATATGTATTTCTTGCAAAATGCCACGTTATTGGAGAGAATCTCCTGGATGCGTAGTTCAAATGCGCCACCCTTGGCGTAGCCATCGGCGAACACAATAGGCAGCCCTTCAAATATAACGTAGTGCCCAGTTAGAGAGAGATCGACATAACGTATGGAGGGACGACTCAAAGCTCGGCCGCAAGACGGCTCATGGTGGACTTTTGGACTTGGAGCGCGGTTGGTGACAGGGGTTGAATCAAACACTTTTATCTGTTTCCTTAGGAATTCGTCGTCACTGTCACAAAAGCACTCATAGAATTTCGGCTACTGCCAACAGAGGAAGAGCCTTGGGAGCCACCTAAACGAAGCTACCTCGATGATGTCACACAATGAGTACCCGTTTCGGCTCTTTGGATTAGCTGAGCGGTCTATTCTCCCCAGGGATGGCAAAGCTGTTGTTTTGGGAACCGACATCTGTGAAATTTTACTCCATACTACAAAGCTACGGTACAGTTAACGTCATATAAATGGAGACAAATTCGTTCTCTGGGCGGCTTTGCTAAAGATAGGGAATTCAACACGTAGCGAAATCTCAGTCAAATGATTCTAAACCTTTCATAAGGAGTGAAGTGTACTGGGGTGATAGAGTTAAAATATTACTTATCTTTCAAGAAATGCGGACGTGTTCGCATATGTGTGTCGCCCAGTGTTTCTTAGTCGATGGTAACTTGTAATATATTACAACCACATCATATTAGAGTACAAAGTAAGTGGGTCCCCTTTGCTGATATTCCTATGACTTCGCCCTGGAGTAGAGTTTGCTAGAATTGCCCAAGTGTGAAAGAAAAAGGGAAGACGTGAAAGGATACGCTAAGCCCGCTTACCCTGCCTTCACTAAGGTTTCATTGACCTTATGGATCTGGAGGGATCGTGGATATGACTGCTATTTAAGTTTAATCTGAGTGCCTTGTGTCCAGTCTTCTACATCCACTGATCAATCCGCTTGGCCGGGGACCAACTACGCCATGTCTTCCTCATCAATGGCGTTTCTCAGTAAGCAAGAAGCTGCCTTGAGGTAAGTTTGCATGCATTTACCTCACTCACCTTGCCTTAATGTTAACGAGTCTCAGCATCCGCAGATCGATCATCAAAGTCGCCATGAGTAATCCGAACCAGACATATTTCGTCCATCAATCAGCCATGTGTGCCATCTCATCGCTCTTCCAGAATGCAATGAATCTAGAATTGCTCCAGTTTCAGGACGACCCTCGTTTAGTTTAACTTGAGGAAGTCGGTGCTGGGGATTTTGAAGTCTACGGCAGATGGCTTTCACCGGAACTCTCCCTCCGCACTGGACTAGTGATAGCAGCTCAGTCTCCGAAGTGTTTAGTAAACTAGCCCAAGCATATCTCCTAGGAGAGATCATCATAGATGTAATGTTCAAGAATGACATACTAGATGTCTTCTACGTCATTGCTGTTTCTAGCGCAAAGTATCATCAGTACAAAGTCGTAGAGGTCATTTGCAGCGGTCGCCTGAATCATCGCCCGCATGTCGTCTCATGTTAAATTCTATGCATTTGGAGCATATAATGACCCTACTTGGTCAAAAGTTATTGCTGGATGCTCAAAACAACTTCTCGTCAACCTTGCGAAGGCCATGGCTAAATTACGACCGGTACTAGGGACGTACAAGCAGTCATGGATTCCATCGGCTCGACTGTATCATGAGGAGGAATCCGGCGGACGGACCCCCGGACCCACGATTCGAGCATGGTTAAGTAAATGTACCGCATAGAATTCTGTTGGTAACCTAACGGGAAGGAAACGATTAGAAGGAACCTATGAGACAGGATGTTGAACTACTACCTTGGATAGAATATATTCAACGGTTTCTGCAGCCCTACCATGGGTGGTACTCGAGGAATCTAAAACATGCACTCCTTTCAACAACCGCAATACTGGCCTGCAAATATCGACTGCCGTCTGACCTTGCTATTGTTGTGGACAGCATTCGGGGCTTTTACCACTAAGCAAGGTGCGCCGTATGCGTTTGACAGGTCCATGCTCTAAAACATCTTATTGGCTTGTCGATTTCAGAAATTTGTTCAAGTTGACAAATATTGAGTGATATGGAGTGATATGTGGGTTTGAGGTCGGGTCGGATTGTGACACGCGGGGCTTGGCAACCTCGTGATGCATCTCAGGATTCCATCGTTCCTGCAAGGCTAGAGGGAAATGCATTTCCCTACATTCACTGACCCCAATCCCGCATACAATTAATAGCCGGCCATGCCGGACAAACCACCTGAGTCTCCCACAGACCCGCCCGGGCCTAAGGATGCGCGAATCCCAGAAGCAGAAGCCTTGGAGTACGACATCACCAGCTGTCTTGCATCCAACGTACTAACAAACCAATCCAAGCATCTGGGGACCTATCGTAAAAGTCATTGTGGGCGACTCCGACCAAATTTTCTACTTTCACCAGGGTCTGCTATCCTCCAGCTCTTCTTTCTTCCGCGCCGCTATGAAACCCGAATGGGATGAGCGCCGCGCAGAAACTAACACGATCGACCTACGAGACACGGACCCGGCCATCTTCAGGCTCTATGCGCACTGGGCGTATTTTGGAACAATCCCCATGCCGACAGAGGCTAATGCGAGTGATACCTTTGTTCAGCTAGCCCATGCTTACGTACTCGGCGAGAAACTTATGAGTACGAAGTTTAAGAACACAATTTTGGATACGTTTATCACGTCGTCGATGAAATTCGGCTTCTATCCGATTGGGGAACCAGTAGCGGTCATGTATGAAGGTACTGCAGAGAATTCAGCTGGGAGACGCTTGCTGGTAGAGTTTTGTGCGTATGTTGCGCACGGGAAAGAGGATTCGTGGATGCTGGAGTTTGAGAATTGTCCGAAGGAATTTTTAGTCGATGTTATGAAGGTCATGGTTAAAGTGAGGCCAGCGCCGACTGAAAATCCATGGCCGTGGCTTGAGGAAAGTACGCAATATCATGAGAAAGATTCTGTCTAAGGGATGGGTTTGCACGTACTATCTCTGGAGGGCGGGGTGCGGGGGATTCTAGCAAGGGTGAGTGGTGAGTTAGACCTATTGTCAGGGCGGAGTACATGATTTACATTAGATTTCTGTCATACCTTGCAGGGTCTCACCCCAATATACGTCTTAATATAGACAACTTCATGAGTTAATATTCCCTCATCGATTCCAGCAATTCAGAAGGCCTTCAGACGGGAATTTGGGATTCATGACGGCAAAGATTTTGTTTTTAAGGAATTTCATTCAACAAGAGCTTCACGGAGTGAGTAAATCACCACATATAATTCCATAAGCAAAACGGAGACTCTTCCCGGCCAGTCGAAGAGGTTTTCTATGACCCAAGCTCCAGATAAATGACGTATACACTTTTTTCCATGAACGCCAACATAGGACGCTGTCTCGGCCTTGATAGCCAGGTGGTCGTTAGAGCGTGTGCAACAAGTAGTGTATCTTGTGATCCCTCATGCCTTCCCTGCCGTTGGCGTCTGCTGCGCGGAAGACTGTATTTGAATGATCTGAGGTTGGCATTAGCCAAAGCTTCGCCTATCTCCACGGGCGAAAGAACCTACCTCCATCTTCGCTTTCTCGCTCTTTTCCTGAATACCTTTGATTTGCGTTTCGAATCGCAAGCTAGATACCTAATCAGTCCAATCCTGCCATTCTCTACGAAACAACTGTTGTACTGACATCTCCTTTTCAATGAATTCCAACCGCCCATTTACAGCCATGACAGCCTCGGTCTTGTCCTGCTTCAATAGTACAGGACCGATCTGCTTGTAGATGTTTGCGTCATCGTCGAGGAGGGCGAATTCCTGAATATCTCCTTTCAACTTCCCACTCCCAAGAGGTTCGTGGATTGCGCGTATACCTTCTGGACTGTGCTATTCTCCTGTTGCTGCGACTCGAGCTTCTCTCTCGCCTCGACGGCCGTGGCAAGCTCTTATCGAATTAGCCAAATTTCTCTTGCCTTATCTCAAATCTGACATACCTCCTTGCAGCTTTTGGTAGTCGTCGGAAAGATCCTGCAGCGTCTTCTGCAGATCCCCCATCTCTTGTGATGCTAGCTTCGAAAATTAGAATTATCAAACGTTTCGAAACGCTCAGGTCGAAGGCGGGATGCCTACTTCCTTGTTGCGGTCTAGCGCGGGGAAAGGCTTGGTCCAAGCGGTGATGTCGGCATGGCACCCATGGCTCTTAGCAACCACGAAACACTTACAACAACGCCTTCACTGGACTCGCGACCTCTTCATATTGTTGTCCGGCGCCATCTACCGTCCAAGCCCCCATAAACACAAACACCATTCGCCATTCGTGATCAACGTCCAACCTAGACGTGCCCCGCGCTAGTTTCCCCATAACACTACCGCCTGTACACTATTCCACCATTGGCCTCTCTTCAACAGTACTCCTACGCCTCCCTAGACACGCCCTCTGGAATATCTGTTAGTTCTTGGGAAGGCATAAGAGATGAGCAACGCGGACTTCTTGGGCCGCGCCATTGAGACGGTCAAGAAGGCCATCGAGACTGACACTGCTGGGGAATATGAGAAGGCATATCAGCTATACTACAGTGCTCGTGAGTCGATCAGGAGAACGCGTCCTCCACGTATGACTCTAACACTCAGCAGTTGAGCTATTCATGCTCGCCCTAAAATGTAAGACCTCTTCTCTAATTGTAACTCCAAACATTCACGGTCCGTCTGCTGGAGCCTACGGCACTGACCAATCCTAGGGGAGAAGAACCAGAAATCGAAGGAGATGATTCGGGGCAAAGTGGCTGAGTACATGGAACGCGCCGAGAAGCTCAAGTCGCACCTAAACCAAAACGACCCCTCGAACCGCAAGAAGCCCTCGGCCATGGGCGCAAACGGAAAAGCTTCTGGGGGAAGCGGGAAGGGAAAGTATGCGTCTTTTCCACTTTTGTCTGCAACGCTTGCTGAGACTAACCCGACGCCGAAGGGGCGACGATGACGACGATGAGCAGGACCCCGACGCCAAGAAACTCCGCGGTGCGCTCGCCGGTGCAATCCTCTCCGAGAAACCGAACATTCGGTGGGAAGATGTTGCGGGTTTGGATCAGGCGAAGGAGGCACTGAAGGAGGCTGTCATATTACCCATCAAGTTCCCACATCTCTTCACTGGCAAAAGGCAGCCGTGGAAGGGCATATTATTGTACGGGCCACCTGGTACAGGTAAGAGTTACCTGGCAAAAGCGGTGGCAACAGAGGCGAACAGCACCTTCTTCAGTGTGTCGAGCTCGGATCTAGTCAGCAAATGGATGGGAGAGTCAGAAAGGTAGGCACACCTTCTCCTACAGGGATATGAAGGGAGATGACTGACCGTGATCCAGATTGGTGAAGCAGCTCTTCGGAATGGCCCGCGAAAACAAGCCCTCTATCATCTTCATCGACGAAATCGACGCTCTCTGCGGGCCCCGCGGCGAAGGCGAATCCGAAGCCTCACGACGCATCAAAACTGAATTGCTCGTACAAATGGACGGCGTCGGCAAGGACTCGAAAGGCGTGCTCATCCTCGGCGCAACCAACATCCCCTGGCAACTTGACGCTGCCATTCGCCGACGCTTCCAGCGGAGAGTACACATCAGCTTACCCGATTTCCCGGCGCGCATGAAGATGTTTGAGTTGGCGGTGGGTAACACGCCCTGTGAGTTGACGCAGACGGACTATAAGAAGCTGGGCGAATTGAGTGAGGGTTATTCGGGGAGTGATATCAGTATTGCGGTGCAGGATGCGCTGATGCAGCCTGTGAGGTTGATTCAGACAGCTACACATTACAAGCCCGTATGTTTCCTTTCCCTCCCACTACCCCTCCTCTTAATTCCCGATAACCCCTTCCAAAAGCCGTTTACTAACAAATTATAGATCACCACAGAAGACGGCCAACACAAATGGACACCCTGCTCCCCCGGTGACCCTCAAGCCAAAGAAATGTCCTGGACAGACCTCGACGGTGACCAGCTAGCAGAACCACCTCTCCGCGTTAAGGACTTTGTCAAAGCGATAAAAGCATCGAGACCAACCGTCAGCAAAGCCGATCTCGATAGGAACGCGGAGTGGACCGCAGAGTTTGGCAGTGAGGGGGCTTAGCGTGTGTATATTGCGCTGCATCATTGGAGTAAATATAGGAAACTGAAGGTTAGAGAGACGGAGAGGGGTGGATAGGGGAATGTGATTTTCGATTTATCTTGTCTGTCCGGCATCATAGCGGTCCCTGTGTTGTTTTGAGCGGGAAACGGCGTCTTGGCGAGATATCGATCAATCGAGTGGGAGGCAGATTGGGGCATTGGAATTTACCGGGCCCGGTAAAACAAATGCAGATACTACTTCCTTATGTCTCGGGCGACCTGCCGATGACAAACCACCAAACAAACATTCCTAGATAGGCAAGAGATAACTACTTCCACCGATCACCGATAGTTTCTCATCTGAATACATTAAGGATCGAAAAATCTAATCACCAATACTTCACTCTATGCTTAATTACTCATCTGCTCGGTAGTGAGTGATAGACTGGGTGCCCTACATTTCACTGCCTGGACAATGTCTTCATGCCGTTGGATTATGTGACCAATCAATAAATTAAACATATCACCTCTCAATGCTAAAACTACGATTGTCGGTATAGTTATCTAGATCGCTTGTCACATGAACGGAAGGCTTTGCACGGCCTGCTCACTCGGCCAGCCGGCTATTCTCAGAAATAACACGAGTGTCACGAATAGAGATGTAGAGAGGTATTTTGAACTTCGCATTAAACACCATTAGATATGGATGGTCTAAAAGGGCAGGAGTGGTCTCTCAGGGTAGGTAGGTAGGTACTGTACTACACGAAGTTGGGGAAAGGGGCTCGGGTCGATGTGATGTGTAAATAATAAAAGAGACAGAGAAAGAGGGGGGGGGGGAACCTGGACCAGTACTTGCACCCCCATCCAGCGGACGGAACAGAAAAGAATCTACCCTCCAATCTGATCAGACCCATTCATCCCATCCCATCCCATACCATGAAAACCCCGTAGTTCACCCATCCCGTCCCATCCCACCCTATTCCATGACACGCAGTCCCATGCATTGCATCGCTCATCAGATCAGATCAGATCAGATCAGATCAATCATCCAACGCCAGTTGTAAATTATACCGAGGTATCACCCACCATAACGACGCACCCGCCAACGCGCACTCTTTTTCAACGCGTCTGCTTCTCGCTACAGCACCCTTGCAAGGCCCTCTGCTGCTTGGGCGTCAGACTCATGATGCCGCATCCATTGCGCATTATTAATCATACCGTTGAGGTCTAGCTGAAGTATGCTTGCACGGTCCTCTGCTGCTCGGGCGTCAGACCCGCCGCCACCTGCGCCAAATTGAGATTCGAAGTCTGCACCAACTGCTTCGTGGAATTGACGACGCGTTGCGCGGTTTGTCCTTGCAGGGTCTCGGCTTCGAGGGCTTGGGCGACGAAGTGGAAGCATTTGAGGGGTTGACCTAGGACCGCGGCGTTTTGCCTATTCAAACGGATGCAGTTAGCAAAACAGATTATCTCTGGTGGGGTAATGAAGGGGAGGGGGCGGGACGGGACGGAAATACGTACTGCTCCACAAGTTCTGCTAAGAAGCCATACGCGTATGGTGCAGCCTCCTCGTCATTCGTAATAGGTAGGGTGTCAATCCAGGCGTGCACGACGTCCTGCCAATTCGATACCTTCTGGCTGTTGAAATGAAGGATCTTGGCGATACTAGCACAGGCGTTTTCTGTGGCAAATACTTCATCGTCCTCCCGAGCATTCGGGCGCTGCGTGGCCTGGAAGAGCGTTGGCAGACTCGCAGCTGCAAACTCCGCCCATGCCTGACCACCCTTCGCCGCAGCAACACCAACGCCATAGATGGCTGCTTGGCGGTTTGCAGGAACATCGTCTTGCATGCCGGCGATGAGTGGTTGGATAATGTGCTGACTGTAAGCCCAGCTCTGTGGACCGCAGAACTCGAGCACGTCGTCGAATATGCAGATAGCCCATTGACGTTGAGTTGGGTCTGGGTTCACGACGGCCATCTTGTAGAACTCCATCAGCTGCTCCCAGTGTGGTAGGAAGCTGGTACCCATGTTCTTGAAGATCGTGTGGAAGGCCTTGTTCATGTCAGAGAGCAAGTTCTGGTCGTCTTCAATCGCAAAAAGGACGTCCTCGGAGGCCTCTTCACCATCCTCGTTGTCGGCTTGTTCCTCCAATCGTTCCTTGACACGATCTTGGTAGTCCTTGAGAACACTCTTAGCGGACTCAATGAAGGTCGACATGTGGGTGCTAGTGAGGCAATTTCTCCCAATGACCTCCACACACTCGTAGAAGCACTGGTACATTTCCGCAAGAGTGTCGATGGCAGGTTCGGTGCTAAGGACTTCGAGGACACGTTCAACTGTTCGTTCCCACAGCTGGCCGAGTTGTGTTGACTCGGGTCCGTGAGCTTTCTTGTAGGCATTGAGAAGTTGAGGCACGCATTTCGCCGAGGCGACTCGGACAGGGTCATGGAAGAAGAAAGCCAGACCAGGGAGAGCAATTTTGTCCATGATGTCGTTGACGTAAGGCTCGAAAGCTGCCTCTAGTACTTGGGCGTAGATCACGATCAGCTCGATAGCCATGTGCTTATCATCCAATGTGCTAGTCTTGATACCAATGACCTTGCCTTTGAGAGGTACTAGCTCCCATCCCTCTTCCTCTTGAATGTGTGCTACTTGCTCCTCGTCATCAAGAAGTTGTATATCGGCCTTGGCTCCGGCGAGTTTGGTCAGCGGTGGAATGACTCCAGCAAGGTAAGGAACGAAGTCCTGTCCAAGCACGCGGCACATACGGCCCCAGCAATGAAGGAGATAGGATCCCTGCGGGTCGTCCGCATCCTGGATGCTGTTTTGAATATGTCCAAGCAATGACACCAGCGCAATCGCATCCTGGGCCATTCGTTCCTTGCCCACAGCAAGTGCAATCAAGGTAGCACATTCCATAGCCTTTGCTCGGAGAAGCCTAAATTCCTTAGATTGCTCTTCCCTCAACACGTTGAACAGAAGAGGCATAAGGGTGTCATAGTACTTAGAGAAAGCGGCCTCGGCAGAATCTGCGACGGTAGCAATCGTTGAGAGGGCCTGTTCTTGGACGAATCGTTTAGGGCTCTGGAGAAGCATGAGCAGGTGGCTAAGCAACTGGTCCAGGTATGGTTCGAGAATGTTCTTCTCGGCTTCCTCGCAGAAGTTCACCAGTGCAGCGGCAGCGTGGGCTTGTACACGAGGCTCCGCTGACTCCAGAACCGGAATGATATTGGGAAGCACAACTTGATGGTACTTCTCTTGCATAGTCCCGGCGAAATCGGTGCTCATCTGGCCAACCGCATTACATCCTGCCCATCGCACTCGCGGATGGGGATCTCGTAGAGCGGGAAGGACTAGGTCGAGGACCTTGTCAAGCTCGCCTTCCATTAGTTCGCGGCAACCTTCTGAAATGGCTGAAATGGCCATGAGAGCGGCGTGTCTGTCTCTCCATGCAGCAGAAGTCATCATTCGTGGAAGCCAGTTGAACGTAGGTGGCAGAATTGCTTGACCGCCGAGCTTGTTGGCAAGACGGTCCATGCACTGTTCTCCGGCGACATGGTTCAGGTCACTTTCGTCGGCATCGAGCTATGCTTTCTTAACATTCTGAAGTCTGCATATTCCGGGATACTTACATCTTCAGACTGATTCCATTCCTCTGCATCATCGTCATCGATCCCGACATCGGTCATCAGAGACAAGCATTGGGTCACCATATCGTTGGTATAGCTCGGATCTTTTCTACACATTTGCGGCGCGCAGTCGGCGAAAGTTGCCATGAGCTCGAGAGCGTTTTGGCGAGGGGTCTCGCCGAGGTCTTTGTCTTGGATGACTGACACACTAAACACTACGAGACTGTTGAAGAGCGGCTTGAACATCTTTGGCGCAATTTCGGCCAAATCAATCAGCGAAATAAGGGCTTTGGTGAGTAGATCACCATCTCCGGATTCTTTGATAGGTGGCAGAATGTTCAAGATTTCTGGAATAAGCGAGAAGTACTTCGACTGTGCCTTTTTGTTGATGGAGCGGAAGAAGGACGCAAAGGCTTCGACAGCCGCGATTCGAACCTAGGAACGTCAGTATTTGATCTAGATCCAAGACGAGAGGAGACGGGAGGACTTGCCCTGGTCTCACTGTCTGCGAATCCACCTTTGAACGCTGTCATTACAACATCTTCGTGCTGCTTCTCTATTATCCCAGGTGTTGCTGAGAAGATCCTGAAGGCAGTCTCCCGCTGGCCCGGGTCGCTTGCTTGACTGGCGCTGAAAAGAGCTCCCAGAAGTTCTGGCCATGGTACGCCTATCCTAGTTAGGTATATTTTTTTGGAGTGTCATGCAGGGTTGCAACCCACCTTCTTCTGTGTGCTGTCGTGCTAGCTCCGCTACAGCATCAGCAATCTTGCCGCGAACAGAGTTCTCGGTCTCCTGGCCCAGACATAGTAGCAGCTTTGCACGAATCGCCTCCCGCTCGGCCTGGGGAAGGGTTAGGAAAGCGTCCTTTGCGACGCCCTGGGCATCCTTTCGCGGCTTGCCAGACTGCCGCCTAAAGAGGACGGCTGCGAAATTTCGAGTCTGCAAAAGCGACGTGGTCAGCAAATGTGCGCGCAGAGACCCCGCCGGGCGTTATGCGGCACTCACCGATGTCTCCTGTGCCAGTTGTATCTGCTCCGACAGGCCCATGAAGAAGACGTCCGGCCTCTCGCCCATCCATTCTTTGTTTAATTGCTCCTCCGCCCTGGTCCGCTCAACATTGTCCGCGGACTGAAGACCCTTCAAGAGCTGGCTCAAGGCCGTGTGGACCTCGGCGGGCAGAACAGACATAGTGGGCGTGTCTCGTCGTGAGTTGGAGTGCGGCCCCAGTGTGGTGTGTGAGGCTCGTCGGGGCAGCCAAGGGAATCAAGTAGTTCGTGAGAGAGCCTAGGCAACCTTGGAACACACCGCCGCTCGCAAAGATGCAAGGAGCGGAACGTTTCTTTCGGGGTCTCGGTGAGCTGCAGGATCTCGCGTGTTCGGCGCGGGTTGTTCGAAATATGGCTTGGGGGTTGTTTTGGTGGGGTGAATGCAGGTGGGTTTCGCGAGCGCGAACCTAAATAAAAATTGGGAGAGAACGCAGAGACCAGGGTGGACGTGTCATGCTCCTTGACGCCAACGCGAACACGTTCACCTTCCACAGTCAAGCGCAGCGTGGTTCGACGCAGTATCGAGTGTGGATTAAACATTGATTCCGTCAATTTCAGAGACCAAATACTACAAATACTACCGCCAAGACCTAGAAGGCAGACGCGATCGTTGCCCGACACGGAAACCCGCCGTTGCATCCAGTGATATCAAGAATGTAATTGCCAATAATGCTGCGGTCTAAAAATTCGAACACCCATAGAAAAATACCCAACATCTTCTCTGCTCTATCTATCGGTTGGAGGCACGGCCCAAGGCAAACACTGCCACGATGACGACTGCGAGGGTGACGATGGCTCCTGGGAGAAGGAGGTCGTTCGGCACTCCAGCAATGATCTCTTCTTGCCTGGCCATGGCCGGTGGCTGGCCTCTAGATCTTGAGAGGCCCTCCTCGTCATCGAAGAACTGTCTGCGTTCACGAAGCACTGACTCTGGAGGGGTCGGTGGCTTCGCCAATGCCGGCTGTGGCTCAACTGTTGCTGGAAGCGGAGGCTTTTCGGGGTCGTGCACAAAGAGGTCGACCTTATCACGATGGGCAAGCCGTGCGAGACTAATTGCCTCAACCAGGTCTTGGCTGGTTGTAATGGAGACAGTGTCACCCTCATTGTCGAGATAGCTCATGGCAAAACCTGCTTTCGAGCATTCGCCATCTTCAAAATTCGGCATACCTCCAAGAGAGGCAGCCTCCGCCCCGAGCTTACTGGCAACACGGAAAACGAGATCCTCGATCCCGCCAGATGCGATGACCTGGAGACGGTGGACACGGCCACTGGGGGCTTTAAACTTAAATGGGAAGGCTACATCCTCCAGTGCCGCGCGTAGTCCTCCGTCCAGAGCAGAGGTAGGTGGCGATTCACCATGATGGGAGGCAGACTCGTTAGGAAGGACGCTGTCGCCGCGATCCATGGCGCCGGGGCGGTGGATATCGTGCGACATCATGGAACGATGATCTGGTGTCCCTGGGATACGGCTGCCTTCTCCAGACATCAAGGATTCAGTCTCATTGTCTAAGGAGAGCCAAAACTTATTCCATGCCGGCCCTTCGCTATCCTGCGTGCTGATATTGTTGATCTGAATAGGTGTTAGTAGGTAAGTCGACCTGGAATGCACTTAACCTACCTGGTCGAGGGTGGCATATGTCAATTTCAAAACATCTACCATTCCAACAATCTCCCCGGCCTCGCTCATGACGGGCAAGTTTAAGTAGTGGCCATCATGCATCTTCCGCAGAGCTGCCTGTATGCTCATATCCATAGGTGCAAAGTCAGGATGTGGTGTCATGACCCTAACTACGCTGCAGGTGGCCGGATCAAGACCAGCAGCAATTACTCGAAGCACGACATCTTTGCTGGTAAAAATACCCGTGATCGAACCTTGGTCTTGTACTAAAACTGCGGTTGTGTGATTCTCCTTCATTAGCACTGCAGCCTCCTTGACAGAGGTGCGAACGGAGACGGTAGTGGGAGGGAGCCCAGTAAGGACGGACTCCAAGGTTGGGCCGGACATCTTCATGCGAATAGCTTCTACGTATTGAATAATCTGTTGGGGTTGGCTTGATCCCAGCTCTTGCTGAACACCTTCAAGAGCATCATACAGCTTGCGGGACGAGCTATATGCGCGTTCGAGTTTTTCCATAGCATCGTAGAAACATTTCGTGATATCAAGAATACCAGAGATATCGTGATTCTCGTCCATAACCGGCAAATGGCGGAATCCCTTACGGACCATGAGATCTAGAGCATCCGTAGCACTCGTATCGGTCTTCGCACAGAGTGGGTTCTTGGTCATGATCTCCTCAATTGTAACATCCCTCGCCTTAATACCTGCTCCCACCACTCGAAACGCAAGGTCCTTAGCAGTAAAGATACCGGCAATGCGATCGTCATCATCGGTCACCAGAACACAATCCTCCCTCTTCGCTGCCATCAGCTGAGCGGCTTCGGCGACAGTCGTATTGGGCTTGATTTGTAGTGCTGGGCTGGGCTTGAGAGCAAGAACTGTTCCAGGGGGTGCTTTTCTTGCTGGACGAACGCGACCAGATGTATTCTTTTTCTTATTTAGGTCCGTCTCGATTTTGCGTCGAATGGCCTGTCCATGGTTAGGATAAGCTTAGTGTTGGCGGACAGTACTTTGAGAGGACTCACCTCATCCCTTTTCGACATTTTCTGCCGGCTAGCACTGAGCGTTGAAGTGCCTACATCACTTTGTGACTGTGACGTAGCGTGTTGCTCGAGCGCAGGGCGTGGGATGCCGGAAGGGCTATTGGCGTATTGGACTTGTCCTCTGGACTTGGGCGTGCCTCTATAGGTACCGGCCGATGACATGATTTATTTGAGACGGAAACACTGGACACGCTGGCGGTGCAGAGAGCAGTTGTTCGTAGTGGGCCAGTGAGAGCGATGCTACTCCAGGGTCAGTAGCGGAGTAGGTGAGGATCCTGGTTGCCAGGTCAGAGGGAAAACAACGCGCCGGAGAGCCGTGTCGGGAAAGGCCGACTCTGGCAGATTGGTCACAAGAGCAATTCTGCACTAGTAAATATCACCCTGAAGGAGAGGGACAGTGAATAGAAGAAAGGACCTTCAATGAGGGAAAAAGAAGCACAAATCCACGAAAAGATCCGTGCATGCACCCTCGTGTCGATACGGGTGGGTAACCGAGTGCCAGCAAATGCCAAGAGATTAGATAAGATGTACGGCAAGATTTCGGGATCTACCTCCCTCGCTTCGCCCACATCGGAGGCTCGTCAATTTCGACCGTCCAGATCCGTGAGCAAGCAACGAACCCCAACGACGACACATCTTACTGACTCTTAGATACTATATCTTCGGTGCGCACACTCTCTCTGTTCCTTCTATTCTCAATTCACTGACGCCGAGGCAGACTCAGCCCAACATGGTCAAGAAGCGAGCGTCCAAGTACATCACCTCCAAACGTACACCCGCGAACTTCCCAGGAGACTAACAGCACAATAGTGGTCGTAACAAGAAGGGCCGCGGCCACGTTAAGCCCATCCGCTGCTCCAACTGCTCACGATGCACACCTAAGGACAAGGCAATCAAGAGATTCACCATCAGGAACATGGTCGAGTCTGCTGCCATCCGTACGTTTCCACCGTCATCAGGATGCTATGCAACAACGAAGGAGGTGGTGGATTTATTGGCTGACATGGCGGCTAGGTGATATCTCTGATGCCTCCGTCTTCCCCGAGTACACCGTGCCCAAGATGTACTTGAAACTCCAGTACTGCGTTTCGTGCGCCATCCATGGCAAGATTGTCCGGTATGTTTTCGACCAAAAAAAACAGCTAAGGAGGGTATCCTAGCTAACAATGCCCTTGCAGCGTTCGTTCTCGCGAAGGTCGCCGCAACCGTGCCCCGCCACCACGGGTCAGGTACAACAAGGACGGAAAGAAGGTCAACCCCCAGCAGGCCGCTAAGACTACGTCGTAGGGGATGGCAAAAGGCGATGGATATGGAGAGGAACGGTGAAGTCATGGCGCTTGGTATGGGTCTTATGGGTCCTTTCGGAATCTCATACTGGAAACATGCATGAATCCAAAGAAGTGCAGGCCGAAGTGACGGTTTCATGGTTGCGAATGCTTGCTCGGGATATGGTGAAAACCAGTGGCTAGCTATGGACTTGTAAAACGAATCCCAATTCGATCTGGATCAAACTTTGGTGCCAGTACTGGAGTGATCAATTATAATACAGAGTGTGAAAGCATATTAGTTCTGGTATTGGTATCCATATTCAAACAAGCAAACAAACGCCTAGATATGGCCGCTAGAAACCGTACATCCGTTTCAGTTCATTTCAATCATTCCGTTTCGTGTCCGCTACACCTATGTCTCCTCCGCTATCGTGTCCATTGGCTTGTGCGTTCGAAGTCTCAGGAACATCAGTGTCTTCCCAATCCTCTGCGTTCTCATCCCAATGATCCAGCTCTTCCTCCACGGAAGCGGTCCCGGAAGGTCTCAGGACTCCTGATTCTTGTTGCCCAATGCTCTCACCAAGTTCAACATCTCTTTCATCGATATCATCCCCAGCAACAGCAGCATAACTACGGGCCGCCCGTTTTCTCTCTAACATTCGTTTATGGTACCAGTTACACAGTGCTAGCGCCAACATCGAGCCAAGCATATTCGCAACAACATCGTAGTAATCGAAATCGCGATGGATCTGTCGCACGTCAGCTCTCGGTTTTGCTTCCATTCCTCACATCTACGCAATGACATACCGGCAACAAGCCCTGGACAATCTCACTCGCGAAGCCTAATCCTACAGTACAGACTGTAAAGGTCAACTGCAGTACTTTTCTCCGACTTGTTTCAAGGATCCAGTAGAAGGATATTGTAAGTAGGAAGAAGGCGAGGAAATGCAGTGCTTTGTCGCTCTGCTTATACTGCGGGATTGAGTAGGTCGGCGGCGAGAAGCCCGCGAGTGCAGCTATGAGGCATATGCCCAGGAACACGCCTGCGGTTGGGCATGTTAGCGATTGGCTTTCGAGCGGGGAGTGTGTGCATATGCGGTGAACCTCAGGCACCAGTTGGGGAAGCGTGGCTGGAAAGTGTCGGCGGAAGAGTCGACGTACCAGCGAAAGGTTTGCGTATCCGCATTATTTTGCTTCGGTGTAGGATCACCGGGAAAAGATCATTATCGGGTTGGGATTGTTTAGAGGGAGGGATAGTTAGGGCGGGTAGCTGTAAAGGTGGAGTTGGCAACATCGTGAGCTCAGCCTTGTCTCACGAAACATTACCCGTTCTCGGCAAAGCCTGCACCCGATACGTATCCTTGCCCGAGGCAACACAGCCTTGCAGCTAAAGGTACCTGAGCCTCCATTCCGATATTTTGTCATTTACTTGAATTTAGGAAATATCATCAACGTTGTCTAAAGAAACAGCGGAGGTTCCTTGACGCCACATCTCCTGTTACCCTGCCCAGGTAAGACAAGGCAACTCGGCACCGAGACTTCACCACGATCTCATCAACGATACTCTCTCATCTTTTCAGTTGATCCTCTGCTAGTATTGAACAGTCGCGCAGCTTTTGAAAACTAAACTCTCCCAAGTCCCTAGCCTTTCATTCTCAATTATATTTCTTTTGGACCCTTATAGAAATACGTAGCCCTTGCATTTCTGATCATTACATGGTACTTATTCCCACTACTAGATGTTTTATCAACCTAACTTCGGATACTATCTAGCGGATCTCAATTAACGAGGCCGCTACGAGATGCTTTGTAAACGGTGAGGCTACGTAGTCCGCCTATTTCTTCAAATACTTCAAGGTTCATTATCTGGTCCTTCCTTGTAGCGACCTCTCAGCTGCACGATGTTCCAAAAGAAGCCACTTGCAGAATATGGTTAGCTCAAAGTTTCGACTGCTTCATTTGAGTGCATCCTTTCGGATCAATATTTCGAAGCATGTAAAACATACTTATGAGAGACGGCCGTGGCTTTGCGAAGAAAAGTGTAGTAAGCCTAGCGGTTTAACGAGGGTGTTGGTATAAGTAAACGCTCTAGGTTCGTCTGGTTATGAGGGCCCCACTGATTAATCCCGATAAAAGACAAAGTCGTCCACAGAAAGCCTCGTCAGAACTTGAAACGATGACGCAGACTGGAAATAGAACGAAAGAAGGCCAAACCCGCGCTTTCGTTTTATAAGGAGCGCATGAACAAGGAGTACTGAACACTAACAGGATATATTTAACTTGCTAAACTCCCCCTGCTGAAAATCATCAGAACATTTTTTTAAAAAAAAAAAAAATTTAAAAATATGTCATCAACTATTATTATCAGATTCCATAGCATGTACTAACGTGCAGTATAGTCCATACTTGCCGACTTGATATTCTCTACACATGTGATATGAGCAATGCCCAGGCAAAAAGCGCAGTGAAGGTGGGCCGTACAACAAATTGCGAAGGAAGTGAAACCTTTCTAGATTCGCTACAAGACGTGCAACTTATAGTTTTCATCCTCACTTTCACCGCAGGATCTCATGAGTAGTGATTGCTATTGTGTTTGCGGTAGACAACTGATGTTCCATGGTGCGCTGAGGCTAAGCCTGAAACAGCTAGCCGCACCAACTCAAGTTCAACGACCAGTCTTCCCAGGAAGGCGCAACTCCGCCTCCGCAACGAAAGCCAGAGCGACCTCCCGCCACTTTCGGCCATCAAGCTGCCGCCCATCACGACTTTTTTCATCTCGAAACTCTTGTCATTCCCTTTGCACGCCGCCTGGCTCCTTCCATGCTTGGTTTTATCGCTTTGCGCAACCTGCACGAGGTCGGAGGCCGCCCGAAAGGCTTCGCAGCGCTGTGAGGAGTCTGCCAAGACATCCCCACAAGAGCGACATGTCGCTCGCTCCATCACTACATCGACCATCCTCACGAGAACGCCAACACTATGCACGCCTCCCTAATCAACCCCTGTCCGCGATTCGCTTGCGCACTCCGAATCCGAGCATGAGCGATGAGGCCATGTCAAACGGCTCGAACAACAACAATATGGGCGACGGGCCGGACAACCTGGCGGAGGAGGACCCCAGGGCAGCGTTATTTCGAGAGCATTATGCCCGTACCGAAGCGCGTCTGATGGCGGTTCTGGGAGGTGGGAGCAAACTCGATGCCCCGGATGCGTTGGACGGTGGGACCAAGCCGCTGTCGGAGCTCCCCCCAGCGGCGCATGATGCGCGCCCGCCCGTGACACCGAAGAAAGCGGCCAGGACCATCGATGAAGACGACTATGGTGACGATGACGATGGCGACGAAGAAGATGATGCCCACCCCTCTCCCCTCCTTTCGAAGAGCGCCCCCAATGGAATCGGCGCGGCCGCCCTAGACACGCCAAGCCTTCGGATACCCCCCCTGTCGAACAAGCTGGTTATTGAACGTACTAGCACCCCATCATCAGAGCTTATCAAGTCCTCAGATGACGTGCGCAAGAAACTACAACAAGACAAAACTGCCGCCGAGGACGCTGCAAAGCGTAGTTTCCACACCCTCTTCTATACCCTGGAAAATGACCGGGATGCGATGTTGGAACAGCAGAAGCTTGACGAGCTGGACCGGCAAGTTGAGACAGAGATGTCAGGCCAGCCCGCTATTCCTACCACGAACGGCGCCCCTACTATTCCGCAACAAGGCACACTGAGCACCACCAACCTCGGCGCTTCCAGTCTTACACTCAAACACCTGATCGCCCGCATCGATGCGCAGAGGGACATGGTCCATGCTAGTGATGCGCAATTGCGGAGCCTCATCAGCGAAGTGAGGAAAAATCGGAGTAAATGGGCAAACGAAGACCGGATCGGCCAAGAAGAGTTGTATGAGAGTATGGAGAAGGTACTCATGGAGCTCAAGGCCGGCGAACATGCACATCCCTTCCTTCAACGTGTGAACAAGCGCGAGGCACCTGACTACTACAACGTCATAAAACACCCCATGGACATCGGCACCATGATGAAGAAGCTCAAGCAGCTCCAATACAAGTCGAAGAAGGATTTTGTGGATGACCTCATGCTCATTTGGTCCAACTGTCTAAAATACAACGCCGATCCAGCGCACTACCTTCGCAAGAAGGCGCTCTACATGAGGAAGGAAACCGAGAAGCTGGTGCCTTTGATACCTGATATTGTCGTCCGCGATCGTGCCGAGGTGGAGGCTGAGGAACGGAGGATGCGAAATGGAGATGCTGATGCCGATGGAGCTGAAGATAGTGACGATGGTATGTTTCCTTATCTCTGGCAATGCTCAAATGTTTTACTAATTGGCTCCGTTCTAGAAGAACCTATTATGGCCTCTCGTGGTCGAAAGGCTCCCAGCAAAGGTGGCAAGGGTACAAGCACTGCCAGAAAAGCGCCTCCAGCAGGACTGGAGGGTACGCCAGGACCAGATGGAAAGCCTGCCGTCCCATCGCTGAACAACGCTGTATCAAACTTGAAAAACGAATTTCTTCGTGCCGATTCCGAGATGGAAGGCAGCATCAATGGCTTTTCAACACCGCCTCCTGGAACACTCACCCCACTACCAAATGGCATCCTACGCAGTGGCGCTCCAGGGAGTCAAGCAGATGTGTCGGATGTGGACGGCACTGGTGCCTCGGTCAGTGGCTTCACCCTTGACAGCGAGGACGCTGATCTGGATGATCTCGAGTACAAAACCTGGAAGCAAGTGACAAAAAAGGATAGAGCGTTGATTGCCGGAGAACGCAACCGGTTATTTCGCGGAGACCACTTGAACGTCGAAGAGCCCGCCATTCTGCGATCACGAGCGGGAATGCGTAGGTGGCTCCGTCATCGCAAGCAAGCACTTGAAGAAGGAGTCACAGATGGATCTGCTAACGCGCCGGATGGGAAAGAAGGTGTCCAGTCTACAGCCAACGAAACTCTGGCGGAAGGTATCGAGGGAGATGAAGAACGCCAGGTTCCCGACTATTACGACCCAGTATCTACAATCCCGGATATCAACGAGCGCCTCCAGTGGGTAGAAGATTCTGAAGGTCATGTCATCCAACAAGTTGAGGAGTATATGCGCATCGTGCCTAAAGGCTACTTCACGGCACCAACGAGTTCTCTCTCAAAGAAGGTAGAGTCAAACATGCGCCAAATGCAGGAAACGAGAAAGATCTGTGCAAAAATCGGTATCGTCAAGCAAATGCAACTTCAGTCACAGGTAAACAGACATTATGTCAGAAAATAAACGCCTTACTTACACATACCAGATGTACACAAACCAGTTTCAGAAGTACGACCCTCAGCCCTTCGTCGAAGCAGATATCGACCCCATAGTCGTCTCTGAGGATGGCGCCATAATGTCTCCATACGTCTGCCGCGCAGCCCTTCAGCGCAGTGTTGGGAAGATATTTTACCATGCTGGCTTCGAGGAGTTTCAGCCCTCTGCTCTCGAAGCAATCACCGACATTGCTGGTCATTTCTTCCAAAAGCTCGTCAGAAGCTTCGGTGTTTATCAAGAGACCCCAAAGATGAAGTGTGACACCCCGATCACTACTCCTGAAGGATTGACCACGAACTGGGTCCCACGATTCTCCCGAGAGGAGGCTATGCTTCACTGCTTAAACGCGAACGGAGTAGATCTCGAGACTCTTGAAACATATGTCAAGGAAGATGTGGAACGACTTGGAACGAAGCTCGCTGGCATGCATGATCGGATGCGTTCTCATTATGCTGAGCTTCTTCGTCCGGCGCTTGACAGCAGTGCTGGTGCAGATGGAGCAGGCGCATTCAATGATGGCAGCGAACAATTTGTTGGTGGTGACTTCGCTGAAGACATCGGGGAGGATTTCTTTGGCTTTAAGGAACTCGGACTAGACAAGGAGTTTGGCCTTACTCTCAGTGTCCCATTGCATTTACTGCAGAACAGGATGCACAATGCCTACACTACGCAGAACCCCACGTATGTCTACAACCTCTCCCGCTTGGAAATCCCACTAACGATCCGTCACAGGAATGTTTCCACTACGGGCGTCCTCATGGAAGAGCCAACCAAGTTCGAGCCCGTCACCATCCAGAACGTTGGCAACCAGATTGGCTTGGTTCAAGAATGGTTCCTCGCCAAGCTGCATGATAACAATAACGACGATCTTGTAGAAGACGAGGACCTGCCACCAAAACAACGTTACCCTAAGCCACGCCTGCCACCCACTGGCAAGATTTCTAGCCCTCGAAAACGTCCATTGAGGGAGCAGCAACAGATGGCGCGCAAGAAGCGAAAGCTCGATGAAGACAAAGATGACAACGCCAGTAATGAGAATGGCGCTAGTGTCAATGGTAATTCATTCTCAAAAGGCATAGGCAAGCCAATTGGCAAGCTGAAACTTGACATGCCTGCCCAAAAAGAGAACCAGAACGTTCCTGAACCAGAGAAGGACGACGGTAGTGCAGTTGGTATGATCAGCCCCGAGAGCATACTCGCCGCTTGATCGCCAAAACTTTCATTCGGGTTAAAGGGTTTATAGGTGAATTTCATTTCCAATCTTTGGATCTTGAAGTGGATAGAGAGCCAATCGTTTGAGCCCTGTTCACCGGATTTTACTTTCTTCTCATTTCCCCAAACGCCTAGTTACAGAGCCGCCTGTGACTTTTTGGCACAGCTTGGGACGTTTGTGTTTCTAATTAATTCCCTCGCCTTCTTTCATCGATTTGGGATCAGACTTAGAGCAGAGCCTGGTTTCTCCAGGATTGAATCTCCCAAGATCATTGAGAGTTTCCTTTTGCAAGGCATTTGGGCAGTTTCGGCGTTTTATTTCGTTTCTCTCTGCGGATGGTTAGTCATGCTCAGGGTGGGTGGGTTCGGTTGGGTTTGCGGTTGTATACCCAAGGCCTTTGGTCCTGATCTTGCGCTTCTATTACGACGTGGTGGCCGGGAATTAGATTGGCTCTCGTGCTCCTTTGTGTATATACCACGCTTCCAAGGCCATATCGGTCACTCATGTAGCGGGAAATTCGTAGCATTGTCATTAATCGATCTGCAAAATATTCGATGAAGAGGGTGCTGTGTTCCGCTTTATGGTGAATCCGAAAGTCTTTCATAGGCGGCCAATGACACGTAGATATATAGAAAGGGAAATGCCAGTCTTGGTCAAGCCAACTTTGAAGAATACAAATCTAACGAGAGCGCCCAACAGAGGTCTCGGGTTCGTTTAGAACGTGGAGCTGTGATCTGATATACGTAGGTAGCGAGCCGAGCTGAAATTGTGGTCTCTAGCGCTCGGCCAGTCCAGGCGCCGCGACCTCCATTCCACTTGCACTAAAAATGACATTTGCAAGTCTTGTCCGGCGGTCCTTGTTCGTTTGAAACATTCTTGCGTGTGGGTATGTCGGGCTACTTTGAAGGTTGAAAAGAAGTTGTTTTTCTGTCGATGAGCTAACGTGCCACCAGAAAAGTCATGGATGGATTCTGATGGACACTTCGTCTTGCCTTCGGTCACTTCATTCCACCTCCACTCCTCGACTATTGTGTGCGCACCTTCCTGCCCAACAGGTATGGCTTTTCCATTCCAGTGTTCCTGCTCATTGCGCTTTTCTTGGTTACTTTTCAATTAACAAACAGAAGTTATCGAACTGTTGATGCATAATTCACATTGCTTCTCCTACACCATATCGGAGTCTTTTCTCGAGCCACATTGCACCAACTCTGCGTCAAACTCCCGCCAACAAAATGACATCCACTTCAAACTCCAGGTTTGAGTCACTTGAATCATGGCTCAGCATTTATGGTACGGCGGAGTACGTCGTGTACAAAAGAGAAGCCACCACACCACACCTCTCTTATGAGGACTGGGCATCATCGCAACACGTCCTAGGTCCTTATCTGTACCACCTTACCTTGGATGCTTGGGAACAAGAGTCATCTTCCGTAAGCTGAGGAGTCCCGAAATTCTATTTCTTTTTTCGAACTGATGACGATAGGATGGGGACGATGAGGAACCTAAGAAACCCGTCAAACCCGATTCGTCTGAGCAGCTAATGTCAGAGCTAGCAGAGACAGTAACAAAAAACGGTAATGGCACATTGCATCCTCTAAGGTCAACAACACCTGTGGTCGCAATACTAGAGGAGCCTACCGTCCTTGTTAAAAAGCGAAAGCAGAAGGGAAAATATAAGGTACACAAAGTTGTTCTCAAAATTCTACGAGTTCCACGATACTGAATCTACAGCGTCCAATATCTATTCCGCCCGAAAATATCAACGCATCTGCTCCTGTTACTGGAGCTGCGACTCCAGTAGCAGCAGCTGGCACGTCCGAAGGGCCGAGCACATCGTCAGCACCGAGGCGGACACTCAGGGTGAGGACGCCAGCACAGCAGCGACCTTACCTCCATCACGCCAAATTATTTCAAGAGCAGCTATCAGCCGACGAAGAGTCATTCGTCCAAAACAAGCTATCTCCTAAAGCTAAGCCTAGTAGGCTCTCGCAAACCAGCACTTCCGCTTTTGAAGAAGATCCTCAAGACGATTCGCACGATCAAGGAAATGGACAAACTCTGGAGGAACTAGCATCTAGCTCGAATACCATGCCAATTCGGAGGCGTTGGAAGAAGACTGTGGATGAAGAAGACGATGATTACGTAGCGTCATCGAGTAAGCAGATGCCTAGCGAAAAGAAACCAAGTCGAAGAGGAAGACCAAGGAAAGTTCCTAGAGCCTCTTTACCCGATTCGTGGCACCAGCCTGGGTCCAGTGGAGAAGACCAAGAGAACAACGCGCTCACAGTGGAACCCGCGAGTGAGAAGAAGCATAAAAAGAAGGGAAGGTCGAAGAAACTCAAGGACAAGGATGAGGGAATTACTGCATTCCAACAGGGAATTGGCCGTGACGGAAATGATGATCATGAGGATCAGGAAAATCATGGGACGCCAATCAGTCCACTCAAAAAAGCTAGGAAACGTAAGACGGAGAAACGTGGGTCGGATGCATCTTCATAATGTCAGTAACTCTTCACTTCCTATCTCTCAAGATGGTGTAGGGGTTTTCACTGACATCGATTGGTAGAGCATTGTTAGGTGGCTTCATATCTTTGACTCCATTCCATTAGCTCTTCATTTTACCTACTTTGCGAGTCATAAAAGTGATATCAGTAAAGATCATCAAGCATGGGTAGGCAGCACTGTGACTTCAGTAGTAGATATATATGCAGGAATGAAGATCTCAATTCCGGGTATCCTTGTCTACGTCTCCACAACTTCCTGGCATCATCGCACTGACAGTGTGAGACGCAACATATGTCTCGAAGTGACTTCATACTGGTTTCCTCCTTTGCTTCACTCCTTCGTTAAGGAAACTATATAAAGCAACGCCCACTCCGCTTCCTCTTCCATAATATACAAATTTCTAATCCCTAGAGCTCGAGGCTCTATCGCCTTGCAGTTTACAGCCATAATATGTCCGCTATTGATATCGAAGTAGAAGGACGAAATCGGTTGAAAAAAGTGAGCACACCCTCTCCAGCTTCTTCATTCCTCCCCGCCCGCCGATCCACCATCACAAAGTCAGAACAGGGCCGTCATAGTGTAGACGTGCCACTCGCTTACAACCCTCACGTTTGCGAAGACCTCGAACCTATCAGCGAACACCCCAGCCTCAAAGAGTCGGAGGGACTCCATGAGAGCAGATTTATGTGCTGGGTGAAAGATTGTTCCTTCCGCCACCGATTACGATTTCCAACTGAGACAACATTGCTTAAACACTCATACCAACCTAGACACCATGTCGTGTCCAATTCCAGGTTGCGCCTCAGGAACCAACTTCGGTTCTAATTCAGACCACCACATACAACCAGACTACGCTGGCTGCCAGATTTCCTACCCCATTTACGCAACCAGGAGAAATCAAATTTTTTATAAGAGAGCTTACAGTTTCAAATTCCACTTCGAGAGGCATTTCGGCCGCAGTAAAAGGGGCTGGGTGCGCAGTTGGTGTCACGACTCACCAGCAATATGGGAAATGAGCTGGGTGGGCGAAGTGTCCAAAGGGTCACCTTGAAATGGAAAATGAAGCGAAGAGAAAGGTCTGGCTAGACGAATGAGAAGTAGGTGAACAGGCAATACGGGTGGTAAATATCGATGTCAAAGCAGCCTTGGTAATAGCAGCTTAGTCAGGGTCGAGCAGAACTACACTATGGACGAGGTCGGCACGAATTCTTGCTAAGGAAAGGGTGAGATATTAAATGCGAGCTTTCCCAGGATGGGTTCTAGCGAGCAGGGTAATGTTGGGTGTGGTATTTACGCATGAAAGGCTTCTGCCTGGATCTAGAGGGCATTAGATCATATGCTTCTAGTTTGACTGTTCCTTGCCATGGAATTAATCAAACATCTACAAAAGATGTTAGGCGTTTAGAATCGAGTTCACATATCTTAGGGTTTCCACAATAGCATTTCCCAACTTCCTTGAGTTACTGAAATCAGGGTCGAACAGACTACAATCGTTACAAACACTATCTTAGCTGTTGCCGAGCATGCGCTATTTTCACAACTACATGAATGGATTCCTCGGGATCCCACGTAAACGCAGGAGGAAATACACGGCGCCGAAAGCTAGTCCGCCTAAATGTCCAGCGTGCGCGACACGTGCTCCTTCCTGGCTCAGATAGAATCCATCGTACACTAAGTATCCCGTCATTAGCAGCCAGAGGGGTACAGGGACGATTCCGTATATGGCAACCTTAGCTCTAGGATACAAGCAAGCTGCCACGGTTCCAACCCCCATGACCGCACCGCTGAAGCCCAACGCACGTTTGTAATCACGCACCCCTTCGGATTGGATCGATCTTTGCGCCAAGTAACCAATGCCTCCCGTAATTCCGGACCCAAGAACCAGTGTGAGAAGTCTTCCGGGACTAATACCAGGTGTGACAGTAAGAAACTGTCCCAAATAATACACCCCCACCATGTTGGTGGCGAAATGCATGAAACTCATATGGGTGAAGCAAGAGGAAAGAATAGTCCACCACCGCCCTTCATCCCGGACACTGCTGAGATTCAAAGTCATGTTTTCGTAGAAGCTGATGAGAGGTTGTTGAAAGCCTTGCTGATATTGGACTTGGGTATAGCCAGCGTAGAGGTAGATGCCAGCGTTGATTCCAATCAGAGCCCAGATAAGACGGCTATTGGCTTTTTCTGTGGGGTGCGGCGAATTGGAAGGATTTCCTGAGGACCAGCGTCGTTGGGATGGAGTGAAAGGAGAAAGTGGAGTGGAGGAGCGATTTAATTGGTAGAAGCGAAAGGGCATAGTTGAGGGACGGGATCTGGGCTGGGTACAGAAAGCGGAAGGGGCTATGATTGCTCGGGATTTGAGTTGATTCCGTAGGGTGGACAACATCGTGGATGCGAAGAACGATGGAATGTTACAGCCCGATGACTGGGCAGTGTGTAACACGTGAGCACGTGCTTGACGGAAATGGTCTCGGATTAGAAGGAACCCGGAAGAAGACCTCCCTAAGGACTTTGAGGTCACGAGACTAGACGAGGTGCCAATTGCGAACTTTCCATGTGTTAGGGCTTGCTGCTGGCAACTGAAGCGGATGGTATTTTGTACCGAATTAAGGAAGAAGGGGACGAGTTACTCTTTGCTGAGCGTGCCGCGAGGCTTACAACCGGTGAACGATGCTCTTTGTACTATCTTACACCACGAGGAATGAGGGAATATAGGGGGGTGGGGGACCAATGGCTGTGGAATTGAGCCACTAGTGAACGAGTGAAGGTCAAGGGCTGCGTTTGCTGCGAAATTGGCCGACGTCGTCGAGGTGGCCAATCAAAGCGGGACAGGTCTTGGCGCCGGCCCACTGATCTCAACCTCTTCACAAAGCGACTGGGCTGCCATTTCCCTGACACCACAACTTGCCTTCACAAGCCCACAACACCCACCCACAACGCCTGCACACACACGCGAGGAGACACCAAACTGACGCATTCGATCGCGCAGGCTCTACATACACTACGCCACACCCATCCCCTGCGACAACGTTCCGAGCCGAAACAAGCACTTGCCCGCCTCTTGTCTCAAGACACTGCGACACCCCTTGACGAAGTGAAGGCCTCGCATTCTGCCACCGCGCACTATATCACGGCTGCCGAGCCGTCGCAAACAGACGCGACTTCTCTCTCATAACCTGACTCCCTCATTCCCGGCAACACCACCGCCGCACACTTTCTTTGGCTCGGAATCCCCGCTCTGAGCCTGTCTTCTCCCGAACTCAATTGTAGTCGCCGTTGTATAGGTCGGCTGTCCCCTCTTCTGCTCTACTAAGAGCCCCTGACTTCACTTTGCCATACCCCACCCTCTGGTGGCTTTCAGAATGACTTCCGAAATAACGAATCAATTAGCAGCTACACAGCTCAGGTCCGCAGAAACTTCCTTATTGCGCTAAACACGAACTAACTTGGCTTACAGTGGCGAGGCGCCTGCCTCAGACGCCAATTGGAAGGATGGGCTCAAACTTCCCTCGAAAGACGTGCGACCGCAGACTGAAGTACGCCCGGTTTACTGTCTGACAGCTGTCAAACCATATAGCTGACTTGAAACGTGCAGGATGTGACGGCGACGAAAGGGCTCGAATTCGAGGACTTCTTTATCAAGCGCGAGCTGATGATGGGTATTTTTGAGGCCGGCTTTGAAAAGCCATCGCCGATCCAGGAAGAGACAATCCCCGTCGCTCTCACTGGACGAGATATTCTAGCACGCGCAAAAAACGGAACCGGCAAGACGGCCGCGTTCGTGATACCCACCCTTGAGCGAGTCAACCCGAAGAGCAACAAGACCCAGGCCCTCATTCTTGTGCCGACCCGAGAGCTAGCACTGCAAACATCGCAGGTTTGCAAGACACTGGGAAAGCACCTCAACTTGAATGTCATGGTGTCGACAGGAGGCACTGGCCTGAAAGATGACATCATTCGATTAGCCGACCCTGTCCACATTATTGTAGGAACGCCCGGCCGAATCCTAGATTTAGCAGGCAAGGGCGTTGCGGATCTGTCGGCGTGTCAGACTTTCGTCATGGACGAAGCTGACAAGCTCCTATCCCCCGAATTCACTCCAGTCGTTGAACAGCTGTTGGGATTCCACCCCAAAGATCGCCAGGTCATGCTCTTTAGCGCCACATTCCCAATCGTGGTGAAGGCGTTCAAGGCGAGTTTTTGAGAATGCAACCCTAACATTCTTGACTAATTCAATTTAGGATAAACACATGAACCAACCGTACGAGATCAACCTAATGGATGAACTGACGCTCCGTGGTATAACCCAATACTACGCCTTCGTCGAGGAGAAACAGAAGGTTCACTGCCTCAACACGTTGTTCAACAAATTACAGATCAACCAGTCCATCATTTTCTGTAATTCTACAAACCGAGTCGAACTTCTTGCCAAGAAAATCACCGAACTTGGATACTCATGCTTCTATTCGCATGCAAAAATGCTTCAGCATAACCGTAATCGTGTTTTCCACGATTTCCGGAACGGTGTCTGTCGCAACCTTGTCTGCTCTGACCTCCTGACACGTGGTATCGATATTCAGGCCGTTAACGTTGTCATTAATTTCGATTTCCCAAAAAATGCTGAGACGTACCTCCATCGTATCGGTCGGTCTGGTCGTTTTGGACATTTGGGTTTAGCTATCAACCTGATCAATTGGGAAGACCGTTTCAATCTCTACCGCATTGAGCAGGAGCTAGGCACTGAGATTCAGCCCATTCCACAAGTCATTGAAAAGAACTTGTATGTCTACGAGTCCCCGGATACTATTCCCCGCCCTATCTCCAATCCCCAGCGACCGGGTCAGAAACAAGAACAAGATGGATCTGGCAATACCGTGAGATCCAACCCGGCTCAGTACAATAACCGCCAAAACCATAATCGCAACCAGCGTGGTGGTGGTGGTCAATTCCAGCGCCGTGGTCCGGCCCAGAACCAACAAACCCGACAAAACGGACAGCATCCGCAGCGCAACCCTCGACCGCAACCAGCGGGTCCTGCTTAACCCAAGCCAGTCCATACCGGGTGCCTGCGGAGTTTGGTTTTGTCTGAGCAGTTTTCGTTGACCTGGACAGCAAGTCTTCTTCAAGATATACGTCACGATTTCTCTATGCCCAGGGAGCCAGGTGGTTGCAATTGTTTTTTTGTTTTGGACTGCACATATTATGGGAGTCTTGTTTTTCGTTACGATAACGGGAGCGGCTGTCGAACGACTCAATACGGGATACCTGATTTCCTTTTACTCGGGCATGACGAATCGAAACCACCGGCGCACATGGAGTCTACGATTTCCCACCGTCTGTACTATATACCTGGTCTATTCTGGATCTGGCCTTCCTCTTTTCTTCTTTCTTTTAATCGGCTTTTACTACGATCGTGTCGACTACTTTTCTCGGCGATCTTCCTTTCTTTCCCCTTCTGATGGAGTCTCCTTGCATGGGCACTCCACTTTTCTACCCTATATCATCACTTTCTCCAGCATTGGCGACCGGCGGAGGAATTTGCTAAAAGTCCGTCTCCTTTCACGATAGAGGATTTACGATTCTCTTTACTCTGTTCACCTGACCGACAATCCTCCCCCTGGATATGACTGGCCCTCTAGTGGGCTACACGACTCAACTTCCTCTCCGCACATGGAATATGTTATATCCAACACTCATCAACACTTGTCTCGAAAAGACCACTCTCAGCTCTCATCAGCCGAATCTTTCATCACCCACTCTCTCCATCTCTTTAGTCAAATCGCTGGTGCACATTCTGGTGTACGAACATCTACAATCGGTTTCTTCGCGGTTTCCTCTCCCTTCCCCCCTCCCCCCGATACCGCACCCCCGAGCGCTACTCTTCGGCTCACACGTCATTGTTGATCACCTCTCTCCCTCGTGGGAAGAAGACCGGATCAGACTGGGCACTACTCTCGACGTCATCCTCCCCCATTTACACCACTCCGAGAAGAAAAGGCGACAAACATGATTCTTCCCTCCCTTGCACACAGCTCGTGTAAAATGTGGGACTTGGAGGCAGCAGCCTAGTAGAAGAAAGAATATTGAAAAAACAACACCATATCCACTTATAAAAATCAAGAAAAGAATTTTAGGGACATTGAGAGGCTCTACATGCATGGGAATGCCTAGTTCGGGCTAAAAAAACGCACGATGTTTATGGCAGCCTATGGTTTGCTGTTCACTTTCGTTCTGTTTGATGCATGGCGAATCGTGCTGGACTGGCTGGCTTGCTGGTTAGATTACGTAGCCTTCTCAATGCATACATTTGGTCCCTAGTGGTGTATCGGTAATTTGTGATGATGCAGCAAATACTTGGAGAATAAACGAGGGAATGCGGAGCATGACCTTCCTCATCCACTCACCGACTCTGGAGCCTTGACTCTGAGCCCTCCTCCCCCTCGACACATTGACTCTTATATAGACCTCTCTAGGTAAGCATTTTCACCTTCATTTACCTTTCTACCCATGTAGATCTCTTGCTTGAGGCAATCTTCGTGACACTTCAGCCTTGTGATATGTTTGAGGACTTCACGTATTGGTAATGTCCGCCTGTGGTGTCTCGTCAGCGAGCCATGCTTCCACCACCTGGCAACCTCGACATGGACCTTCGCCACCCACTCCCCACCCCCCTCGTCTGTCGTCATTCTATACGGGGAATACCAACCACGGGTTTATTCATGTATCGCTTAAATATCTGAAATTCTCTCTCCCATCACCAGAAAGTGCTTCATCTATCCCGCCGAGTCATACCTCGAGCTAGACATCTTAGCAAGATGGACAGTAGGTATTGTCTTAGTCCGCATATCGAGAACGTCACCCCCCTTTATTATACTACAAGATTCCCTTCTACGGACTACCAATAGGTTTCCCGATCTAAAAAACACTTCTATACATCTAGTCCTGCCACCGGGGCACAACAACACGAAATTTTTCTCTTGATGGTGTGCCTCTCCTGGAACCGTCACTAGTTGAAAATATTAGACGTGTTATTTCAATACCAGCTTCACTCATGGGGAACCTCCAACGAGGCCTAGAGAGAGCTAGGATTCAGAGCTATTACATGTGGTATGTTGTCTGGTACTGGATACTGGGTATAGGAGACGTGCAAATATCTAAGCAACGACGTATTGATTCGTTGGGCTAAGGATCAGATTATCTTACATGTTTCTTAAGTTCAAATCCGCGAGCATCTAGCATTTGTTTGGCATCTGGTAACCTGAGCGAGACGTAGCATCCCAGGGACTTGCAATATGTAAGCATGTTTGTTGTTATCGGCCTTTCTCTGTGCATAAATAAGACGTGTTAAATCGCTTCATTCTCCATCGTCACCATGGCCTTAAGCTTGAAGAGTATCTCGCTGCGAAGGGTACCACACACAGCACAGAGCAAGGGAAATGTATTTTGTCTATTATCTATCGTTTTCCTAACCTCCCTCCAAGTTCATGAAAAGCTACTTCACACTTCACACCTGCTGCTATAACCCACAGCAGCAGAGCATAACACAAGTACACAGAATCATTTAGGTAAATCTCCTACTACCTCCTCCTGCCTAGGAGTCAGGAAACCGAGGGAACATGCCATGATTGTTACCTCACAATCATATGCTCCCTCGCCGGCCCCACTCCGATCCACTTCACCTTAACCCCCACAAACTTCTCGATAAACTCGACATATTGCCTCGCCTGCGGCGGCAAATCATAGAAAGCCTTCGCCCCCGTCGTTGGCTTTTTCCAACCTGGGAGTGTCTCATACACGACGTCGACTTTCGTCAGCATCTCCGGATTCGCGGGGAAGGAGTCGAGGGATTCGCCATTGTAGGAATATGCGGTTGCGACTTTGAGTTCGTCGAAGTCGTCTAGGACGTCGAGTTTGGTCAGGTTGAGAGATGTGTAGTCGTTACAGATGTGCGAGTGTTTGATGACGACTAGATCTAGCCAACCACAGCGACGTTTGCGGCCCGTGGTTACGCCGACTTCGTGGCCGACGTTTTGGAGCTTTTCACCAACGGAGTTAATTTGTTCTGTGGGGAAGGGACCGCTGCTAGCTGTTAGTCAAAATCTTTGTAAAATTCTGGTTCAGTGTCTCATACGATCCGACGCGCGTGGTGTACGCTTTGACGACGCCTACGACCTCTGTGAGAGAACGCCATCCTAAGCTGAGGCCGGTAATCACTCCTCCAAGACCGGTGTTCGAAGATGTGACGAAGGGATATGTGCCATAGTCAATATCAAGCATGAGGGCGTTGGCGCCTTCGACTAATATGTTTGACTTCTTCTCTTTCGCAGACGTGAGAAGTGGGATCTGGTCTATGACATAATCTTGCAGCTTGACTCGGTATTCCTAGACCCCGAAATCAGTATAGAGCCCCTTGAAACTATGTTCTGCGACGATGGCCCACCTTGTATTGCGCAATTTCCTTCTCTGGATCGTACTTTAAGAGATTGCCGAACCGTTTCTGGAAACCGTGCACCATTCTCCGGAATTTAGTCTCGAACACCTGTTCATCAAAGATATCGCACACTCGGAGGCCGCTCCTCGTCATCTTTGTGCTATATGTTGGGCCTTGCACAAGTCAGCCATTGTAACCCAGCCTAGTTCCAATTACTGCATCTTATCACTTAGCGTGGAACGTAGTAGAGGTAATGTAGGACATAATTTTACATCCTATTAAAACTCTCCCTAGTTCCAGCAAGAATTTTAATGGATAGACAGTATCCTGGTCATGTTCCACGCTCTGTGACAAGATGCTATTCAGAATGACTGACCTATGCCTTTCTTGGTAGTACCTATTTCCCACACAATTCGTCAGTGTCTCGTCTCACGAGTCAAACGGGCACCCGACCTATAAAGCTCCCACCAAGCTCCACTTCCTCCAAGCCATCCACCAACTGATGGATATCAAATACGACATGGGCTCTATCTGAGATAAAGATCCTGCCCGTGGTATTTAAGCCATGTTTCTCCAGTGCGTCCAGTTCATTGAAGAACGACGGGATGTGCACGACGCAGCCACTGCCGATCAAATTCATGCACTTGGGATTGACGAGACCGGACGGCAGGATGTGGAAGTCGTAGGTTACGCCGTTGGCGACGATGGTATGGCCGGCATTGTTTCCACCCTGGGCCCGGCAGCAGAGTTGGGAGGTGTGCGCGAGGATATCGACGAGCTTGCCTTTGCCTTCGTCGCCCCATTGGGCTCCGAGGGCAACAGTGACGGACATCTTCTGGGGAGAGGTTGTGGAAGCAAAGGAGGGAGAAGAGGGGTGGACAGCGAGGGGTTAAATCTAATGGCTCATGGATGGGAGGCTGAGGCTGCGAACGGAGGTGGCCGGTCCACTGCGCGCGCCTTTTTTTTCCTTCCTGGTCAGTGAAGGCCCAATTAAAAGATTTGCGGCAAAGAGATTTGGAGTGCGGGTATCGGAGGGTTAGGGTTGGTGTGACGCACAGCGGGGAGTTTAACACTCGGAAAGTTCCTAATAAGTTCCTAGCACGTCTAGAGAGTGAAAGAGGAGTTCTAATGAAGCAATTGAATCTAACAATCGTCTTCTAGAGACTGGGAGTGGTGGCGGACTGTAAATGAATCTCTACTACCCCACGTGCCCCGCCATGCAAGATGAATTGCGAAACCGGGCCTGCATGGTCCAATCAGGATACGCAAGCCAGTGCTGATTCAGCGTTCCTTCACCATCTGAGCAGTCTGCGAAGACAGAAATTTGCATCCTACTGACGTCCTCCCTAATTCTAGCAAGACGTTTAATAGATCAAACCTGTGATAGTCAAGTTTCGTGTTATGTGATAACATCTTGTCGATTGCAACAATGCTACGTTGCGCTTATTCCTATTCCTACCGGGAGAGAATCTACCTAGGTACTGGCCAAAACACAACACAACACTACCCTACAAAGAAAACGCCGCAACTCCTGCAATAACCGCGGTCCCGACTCCCGCCCACAGGAACTTCCCACCACCCAAGACCGCCGGTGGCGCGCTACCTGGAATTGGCACAGTCGAAGAATTCCCACTCGATGTTGGAGTGGTGGTTGGTCTCGCTGGTGGAAACGTCGTCACAGTCCCCGACACGCCTGTCACGTTTTGCACCTGGATATAATTCGCTGCGATCGGGTCCTGAAGGCCCGTAGCCGCGATGAATGCTGAGATGTCGAACAAAACGCGAGTTTGTAGCACGTCGTTGAACTGCGCTGGAATTGAGAAGTTTTCGGGTTGCGAAAAGAGGACGAAGGTGTAGGCGTGTGGGATGTCACCGACGGGCGGAGAGGGTTGGCGGTAGGGCGCTTCTCCAGGCGTGGGAATGTCGAGGACTGAGCTGTTCTGCGCCGAGAGTGTTACGTTGGAGACGAGCCAATGGAGGAGTTGGACACGGGTGCCGTTGCGAGGTACGTCCGAGTCGACCATGAACAAGATGGCTTTTCCTGTGGATGTGAAGGCAGGCGTGCTGATTGTTGGCGGGTTCGCGACCTCTGTTGAAGGACTGTCAATTGGCTGCACAATCAGCTTCGAGGATGAGACGTATACCAGGTCGTGGAATCAGCTCTCCAGCTGGAGAGATGTTATTAGACCCATATGTAACCTGTAGACTCCTCTGAGCCTGCACCGGAAATCCAGGCGCCGTCTGCGCTAACACCATCTCCAATGCCCCGAAGAGTAATGCGAACCTGATCATCTTGAAAGCGACCATATCATTTAGTCAAATCTGAGCAAAAATTGATGAAAATAGGTTCCTCCTAGCTACTTAAGAGTGGCGGCTGGTGAACGCGCAAGCTGTGTTCTTGTGCACCTCTTGGCAACCGCTTGCCGTCTTGGTCTTGGTTTCAGGTCCCTCTGCCAATGATCTATGACGTTTTCCAAGCCGGATCGGATGGCATGGCGCCAGTGGTTCGGTGTTGGCATCAAGCCCAAATGCATCGAGAACAAGGAGCTGACAATCGATTCCAAATATCAAAGATTAGTCTAAAAGGAAAGTTAGATAAAAGGGAAATGGTCTGCAAGTACACGTGGAGTTGTGATCAGTCTGGGTTCTGTCCGTCACATTAGCTGTCTTTCCCCGCACTTGATTGGAGGAATGGTTGACGCTGGCTGTGAGACCGAGAGAAATCGCGAAGTATTTTGATCTGAGATCCAATTGCAGGTGTCGAGTCTGATATTCCACTCTGTGTTTTCTGAATGTATTTATATACCAGGCGCCACGGACGACGAGGGGAGTACTGCAGGTTGCGGCTTCCAACAGAATAAGCATGATCCGATTCGCAACAGAAATCAGTATCTTCTTAGGCCCTTCCCAAATTTTACCAAGCAGGTTGATAGATCAAATTCCCCATAATTTTGTTTCGCGGTGTGCGATACCACACTTCAACTCCAAATTTCTCCTCCCTTTTCCATTCCTCATCCTTATCCCTATTACCGACCCCACTCCCACCTCTTCAATGGCCCACTCTCTAGCCCATCTCTCCCCAAATTCAAACCACCAGCTCTCATAAGCTCTTCCTCCTCTGCCTTTAACTTGGCTTCTTTTTCTCTCCATCCCGGATCCATCCAATCCTTCGGCTTATCCCTTCTTATCACCTCCACTGCTTCTACCAACTTCTCTGCATCGTGCTGCGCCTGCGCAGCTATTTCCGCTGCAGTCGTGAACTGGAAGGTATTGCGATTGTTGGGGTGTTCGTGTGGTAAGGGTGCAGAGGGTGTGGGGCTTAGCGGAGCGCCTGTGGATGGAACGTTTGTTGGGGATGAGGAGAATGGTTGGATGGAGAGGCGTTTCGAGATAGAAGTGCGGAAGCGGGATTTAGATGTCACATTGGTTGGGGACACTGTACGAGAGAATGCTGAAAAGAAGTCCGCTGGTGCGGTGTTCCGACGAGGGTTTGTTGGTTTTCTGAGTGTTGTGCGTGATGCTGCTGGCGATTTACTATCTGGCGCTGTAGAGATTATCGTTGTTGTTGTTGTTGCTGGGAAAAGTGCTGGAGGCGGTGGTGGTGCGCCTGAGGTTTGTGGTACGTGAACGATTGCCTGTGCCTGTGCCTGTGCCTGTGCCTGTCCCTGTGTCCCGGATTTCTTCTCCTTCTTGAGTCTCTCTCTCCATTTCCGGAGTATGATGCGAAGACCTTTCCGCGTTGGTGTGGTCGTTGTAAGGTTAACCATTGCTTGTGTAGAGCGCAGTATTTCTCTGCTTTTAGCTCCTCTTATTCTGGAAAATTTTCGAGTGGATTCAATGCGTCCTGGGCGTGTAAAGTCCGCTGCTCAGCCCACATATTCTGCGGCGTAGCGACCGTAGAAACCAATGCCAACAACAAATACTCAGTCAAAAAGCAGTCGCCCTCAAGAAAAAAAGTCGGCAGCTAGCCAAGGGGTGTACGAAAGATTGACGAACAAAAAGAGGGAATGAGAATTGTGGATAGCCCACCATCTGTGGGATAACATGGCATTATCACAAGCTACTGTACGAATCATCCGGACTTCACCAGCAAAAGGTGACTTTCGGAGGAACCCACTCTGCAACTCGAGGCGCGGGGCACACGGCGAAGAAGGACTGATACGGGGCGCCCCAAAGCCACGTACAGGGGCGGATTGACTCGCGTCGACGCTTCTGGAAGTCAAGAATGCTGGGCAATGATCCGGCTCTGGAACGAGGATACAGGGGAAGAATGCGGAAATATTGACGGTGAGTTGGAAGAGGCAAAAGAGAGAAGGATCGTGCTTTTCGAGTAGGGGTTTTGGCTGTGAATGGAAGGTAGGCAATTGTTGAGGAAACGCCTTATGCAGGGGATAATCTAATCTGCTTCACAGTATTCGTTCCACAGCATACGGATCGCTGGGATTAGGCTTGCAAGTGTGCATGACTTCGAGGTCCAATGAAGGGGAAAGCTTAGACAAAGGACAGTTCCCAAGTTTTCTTAGCGACCAAAATCTATTCCCTACGAAAAGTTCGAAAACTCCTCCGCGTGTTGAATTAAATCTCTAGAAATGGGTAAACTTATTTCCCCCATTCACGGGCCGTTCCACGAAACTGTTGAATAATGCCCGAGTCTTAGGTAATACCTCTTTGAATTATCCCATAGTCCTACGCCCTTGTTGTTTGCTTCTAAGTTGGCTGATTCCTCTCTCTTAACTGATTAACCTCATAGTCATCTCGACGCTACAAGCTTTTAGTCTTCCATATAAGAACTTAATTTTAGGAACACTTACGTAGCAAACGTGCCCGCACTGACAGGCATAGCCCTCAACAACGTCGGGCCAATACCTCTCCAAAACCCACCCAAACCTTCCGCTCTCCACGTCTGTCTAAAGCAATCCCTCATACTCTTGTACTTCTGACCTCCTCCAAATCCATCGCTCTGCATCTTGCTCTTCACTACATCAAACGGATAACTTGCAATCCATAAGGCTTCACCGGCAAGACCTCCGTACAAGGCAACTTTGAGGGTGCTGACTTCTTCGCGCTTAATCTTGTTCCGCTGGGCGTCCGCATTCATCAGATACTCGAATGTCAGGAACCAGACACCGTAGGCTTGTGCTTCACGGAGAAGCGTCACTGCTGATCCACGGTAGACGCCTTTGAAGACGCCTTCATGGGCTGAGAGCTTCTTCACGCAGTCCATAGGTCCACTATACAGTCGATTCACTCCATGTGGTTGGGTTTGCAGCCGTATACGGATATGCTCGATCGGACTGGACAAGAACGTATTCGATATACCAGCAAAAGCACCCGCGGCGTAATACTGTGCGTAAGATAGTTCATGGCGGCCGTGTTTCTCCGTGTTTTGGGCTTCGAGAGCTCGGCGTGCGTAGTGAAATGCTCCGAATTGAACTGATACGCAAGCGCCAATTCCGACTAGTGGTGTTAAGGTGCCTTTGTAGAATGCAAGTGGTCCTTCGTGTTTGTAGATCTTCGTTGCTGCATCCAGAGCACTTGAATACTGCTGAGTTGTCTGTAATCTGACTTTGACGATGTCAAATGGTTGTCCTGGGAGTGATTAGCCCATGCTTGAATAATCTAGCTTTTGAATGTCGAAGGTAAGACTCAACAATCTCAATGCACTGAAGAAGAGGACAGAATGACAACTCAAAACCCGAGCAGAAAACGACAAAAAAAAAAAGATCTTCAAAAACCTCAACTTTCAAAGATAAAGGAGATGCAACATACCCAAAAGCACCTGCGCTACGCCTCCAGCAGCTCCGGCAAACAAATCCTTCAAAGTCCTCACGAGTCCCTGATCCGGAAGCTCCAGTTCTTTCTCCATCATGCTCAACCGCTCTCAGGCCCTCCCAAATGGTTCAAATTCTTGTTCTTCAGCTGAATCTCAATCGGGCCCTTTCTTGTCTAAATAAGAAAAGAGCAAAAAACTACGCTCGCTCAGAGCGCCGGAGGTACAGAAATGCGGGGAACCCCAGGGCTGGTTCCGTACCTCACTCTCATATATATCTCTCGCGCGTTTAAAGCGTCAAATTTTCGAGTGGTTCGAGGCTGGGTTAGATTTGCTTTTGTGAACGGAAGGAGTGAGATTGAGTTTGGCGACAGTTTGTAAGGTGGCAGATAAAGCGGCGGATTTCTTTGGTTGACGTGCTTGATGCCAAGGCATTGACACCGAGTTCGGGCAATTGTAACCGATGCTGGCCGGCCGTTGTTGGTGGCGGACGCAACGCAGGTCTCGGATCTCAGATTGTTTGTACATAAATGTGGGAAACAGGATCGAGTTATTACTTGACTTTATAAATAGAGAGCGATGAATCGTACACACTGCAATTTATCCCGGAGCGCTCTTGTTTGTGTCAGTATGCACGGTACTATTCACTGTGCATGCGGATTTGGAATCATGCCAGTCCTGATGAATTCCCGAATTTGAAATCATGTCGAAGGACAATCCTTCCCTAGTGATTTTTTGAATATACATTACAAGACGCTGTGAAGCTAAGCCGAAGCTTAAAAAAAAAAGAAACATGCCCGAATGGTGGATATACAAGAAGACCGTGTATGAAAACAGACGCTCCAGGATACTAATACACCGTGATGATCTCCATCCAATGCCTAGGCGGTCGACCTCTTAGTAGTGGTACTACAAACAAAACTCCAGAATTCGACTTGAAGACCCCGCATCTCCAACCCCATGTAATACAGTTAGCGCCAGGATAAAAGACATCCAAGAACTTGCTCAATAAAATATTCAACATCCGCATCGCACAACCATATAGTACGCGACTGGTCTTACAAATCCTTGTGTGGAGCATAGTGCTCCTTGCGTTGTAGGGTGGGTTTACCAGCACTTTAGCTTCTTCCAGAAGCTCTCTTTAGGTAGGCCGTCACCGCCTTTCTCGGGCGGGGCAGTCGAGGATGAGGTGTCCTTCTCGTTCATAGGAGGGAGTGCGGCGGTGCGATTAGGGATGGCTGCTGGACCACCTGCAGCGGCTATGCGACGCGATTCTACTACACGGCGAACGAGAACTGGTTGTTAGTGTTAGCATCATGATTCGATCCAATATCGGGCTAGTTGCGCGGGGTACAATTTGGAATACTCACGCGCAAAGGTTTCCTCGATGTTGACCATCTCGCGCGCACTCGTCTCCATAAAGCCACACTTTCGTTTCCTCGCCCATTCCAGGCCTTGCGGGCTCTTGATCTGTCTTGCAGCCTGCAGATCACACTTATTTCCAGCGACAATCTTCACAGGAGGGACCTTGCCCTCGTCCATTCGCTGCTCTTCCTCCATGTCGATCATCTCCATGAAAAAGTCCAGCGCATCAAGCGAGTGATGATTTGTTATATCGTAGACAAGAAGGAATGCGTCGGATTTCAGGTTAGAGGCTGCCCAGAGCCCCCGGTATTCCTCCTGCCCAGCCGTGTCCGTGAGCATGAGAAAGTAATTCTGGCCATCGATGTTGCGGGTCACGGAATATGAGTCCTCTGTTCATGCAATTAGTCTATGACTCTGTTGTTGCAGTGCTTTGTCTTCCTTGGCGGCGCGTTGAGACGGGCATGTTTTTTTTTCTCGGAGAATTGATATGGGGCTTATGACGGGAGAGGAGTTGGAAAATTGTGATCGAGAGGAACAAGCGCACCTATCGTTGGGTCATATCTGCGAGAATTCTAGATCAGCAAAACTATTGTTGGGATTTGACGGAGCCATTGGTGGGGGCTGACTTACTCATGTGTCCATTGACTCCTGACCAGTCGCAAAGTGATGGACGATTTGCCTGTTATCGCTTGTCAGCACTCGTCTTGTCGAGCCGCAGAGGGCCGTACCGCAGCCGCCGTCGCCGCACACAGTAATGGTGATTCTGTTGTTCTCGTCCATGGCGGTGTCGCTGTTGCGCTCGCGCGTGTCTTGGAGATTGGCTAGTAGGAAGAAGTACTGTGACGCGGTGGGTCTGGTCCAGCTCGGCGCAGGCTCAACAGCAACCAAACGTTCGGGTCGGAGCGCACAGCGTCAATAATATAAGAAAAAGAACCCGACTGTCGAAGTCCGAAGCGTCAACGCGAGTGGCAGGGTGGCTGTTCGGTAGGATAAATGAAGAGAGGAGGCCTGGAGCATCGTGCCACCTTGAAGATGGACCTTGCGCTCCAACGCAGGGGTGGCATCCAACTGCCGTCGTTCACGCAAGATGAGATGCGCCAAGCCGAAGCCTATCACACCAATCACGAGCGCCCTCATCTCAGAACATGCCCCACGGACCGTGAATTTGTATCAGATGTCGTAAAGAGTCCGACAAGCTTTCAACAACTGTCAACATCGTCGCTTGTTTTAGCATAGAAGACCGTTAGAGAAACTGTCACAACAGTTTGAGCTTCATCCCCGTGACGAAACCCCGGCAGGGGCGTCGCTGGAAACGCGCCACTGCATCGGCCTCGGGAAAAGTCAGAGCATCTTCAACGTTGTTGTATATAAGTGCGCTAACTACTCAAACTCTGGGTTTCATCTACACGCCCGAAGTATTTATGTATGTACATTCGACAGAAACGCCGTTGCGCCTCCGTCGCTTATTCACCTACGCCTTTCCAAATCCCACGGCCGTGGATCGCGTGTACTTAACATCCTAACGAAAACATTCAGCTAATGTTGTAACCCTCAAAGGTACCATCCCGATCTTAAGACGCTGCCAAATATCCAAGCTAAAATGCTGTCGTGCGTCTTGACTCCGCAAAAAGCAATCCAAACTTCAACAGACGGGGGATCCTGTATCGTAAAACTACCCAAAGGCAGACTATATCGGCTCTATCCAAATCCGGAAAATCCGTCGAGCTGTCCGGAGGACAAGGAAGGGAGGATGTGGTGACCGAAGTGTTGTTGAAATAGCGCACAAAGGGTATCGTATTATATCTGAGATAAAGGTGCTGGATCTGCAACAAGTAGACACGGAAAAAATTACGCGCCGAAGGATCTCTCAATCGGGCTCAACGCCTTCATCTATCTTGGGAGGAATACCACCGCCATAGCCCTGCGAGGCGGCAACCTCCATACGTGCCACCTTCGCAGCATGCGAGTCAGTGTTGGACTGCTGTGGCGACCGCTTCTCTGCATGTGCTGACGTGGGAGGGATTGTCGATTGGACCGCGGTATCGGACAAAGTATTGGGTAGAATGGATTGGTTATGGCGCGGCGAAGCACTCGTTTTGCTCTTGTCGCTCTGTTGCGAGTGTTGCGAGGAAGCTCTTGGTGAGACGCGCCCATTCTGAAGGGGATACATGGTTAGCAGGCAATTATGAAGTAAGGGGGAGGAAATGATATACTACCCAAAATTATTTTTCTTTTAAGAGACTGATAAGTCTTACCTGTTTAGCCCAACGCAATCCGCAAGAATTACATAAATCTCTGTTCCCTGATGGTCCTCTCCTCCACTCAGGAGTGGTCCGTGTATGGCAGTTTGCACAATCCTTCTGTAGCTGACCAGCACCCTTTCTCCGCTTGCGCTTCTTCTTCGCAGCAAGCAGACTCTGCACTTCCTCGGCGAGATAGCGGTTGCGCTTCTCCATTTGCCGCAGCTCATACTGCCAACTCGTGCTTCTAGTCGTCTTGAGCTCGTCGAAGACGTTGTCCTCCGAAGCAAGACTATGATCTTGGTGGCCAATCGCAAGCCCGTTCTGGCCTGGGTAAGTTACGGCTGACGCTTCCGTGGTTTTAAAATTTGAGATGGAGATGTTGGTCTGTGGAGTACTCGAGCCTGTAGTTTCGGTCGCTGTAGCTGGGTGGACAGGTGATGCGCCAGACTGTATTGATTGCATCGATGGCATATTATTTTGCGAATCCCCAGAATTGCGGTCTTGCTTTGTGTATATTGACGGGCGTTGACCGTGCCCGCTTCTGGAATATTTAAGCAGTCGGGTTTGGCCCACCAGGAAGGTTGGCTTCTGCCCTTCTTCGGCATCACCTGGATATATCGTCGTAAACGCCTGGAGGACCTGACCTCTCTTATTAATCATCTCGTGCTTAACTTCACCTTTTCTCCCCGTCCTTGATAACTCAAGTATTCGTCCAAAGTTTTGCTTCGAGTCTTGACGCATTAGCGCTTGGATGCTTGTTCCAACAAGGTCGTCAGGCTGTCTATCCAAAAGTTGGCGTACGTTGGACGAGACGAACAGAAACATCCCCGATGTAGACATCTTCGTCCATAGTTCGTTGTCTCCGATTCCTCCAGAGGCCCGTACGATCGTCTGGCTCAAGGTATAGACCGGCCGTTCTCTTCCCACGAGAATGATACATTTCCGTCCTTTCCCTTGCTCAGTGTGCAATGATCCGTGGCCCTCGAACCACATGTAGCCACTCTTCTTCCGTCTTATTCTGAAGACAACGTTTACTGATGTGCCATTGCCGGTCTCTTTCAATTCTCTGGTGACCGGCACAATATCACTGGGGTGACATACCGACGATAAAGCGGTACCAACCAGTTCGCTCGGATCGTATTCAAGGACCCGGTTGCTAGAGGGCGAAAGGTAAAGGAACAACCCTTTGAGAGAAAGCACGTGAACTACGTCGTCGGTGTTTTCCAGGAGAACCTTGTCCCAGAGACGTCTGGTGATTTCAGAGTCACCTGTGGAACCATATGTGGTCAGAACGTTGGAGACTTCATCCTTCGAGATAGTTTGTCCCATTTCCGGGCTGGGCCTGTGCATATCGGGATTAAAAATGTAGCTTGGCATGGATATGTTCCGTTGATAATTAACTCGATACGAGCCATCTAACTGATATTCAGCAAACTGGACAAAGACTGACGGGAAGCAATGAGTGCATACCTGGATTCTTGTTTAGCATGGACCCAGGTTGCTCCACTAAATCGACTTGAAACCCGACGAAGAACTTCACTTCTCCACCATTTTCCCAAGGAATAGGAATCATGGTCAGGAGATTCATGAAGGGCTGGCCACCCCGTCGATAGTTGATAAGGCTGATCTGTGCCTCCTGTCGGGTGCTTATCATATTCTTCAAATACAGAACCGAGTCATCGTCCACGTATTTCCTTTTGATACCGGGCTCGACTTTGCCATCAGGAGATTGAAGGAAGCGACAGTTTCTCCCAAGAATCATGTGTTTGCTATAGCCAGTGAGTCGTTCGAAATTTTCTGAGCAATAAACAATTGGATCGTCATCCATCTGAGCATCACAAACGACGAAAGCGCACGATAGGTCTACCGAGCCTATATCGATTTGCGGGTTTGGCCTTGTGGCTACTCGCATCTATTGAATAGTGAGTCGTGGTGATATATTGCGAGGGAGTCCAAGTGAACATACAAGAACCCCAAGCATGTCGAATCCAGTCGATGAATAGGCATTTTTGAACGGGGTGTTCATGTGAGGGTTAGAAGTCATGGTCGATGGGAATCCCCCTAAATTGTAAGTCAACAATACGGTTGTGGCAGTTTCTTGGCGGAAAAGAAATACCTGGAGGGGTTGTCCACGGAAACTTGATTTGACTAAAAGTATCCACATTCAGATCCTGCGGCGGGGGTGGAGCGACAGGTTCCTGCACCTGTAGTGATGAAGCGGACATTTGTGTTGGAATGCTCTGGGATGAAGAATGCGGCTCACTTTGAGGTCGAGAGTTGGACCGCGCACTACTTTGCTCCCGACTGTTGGTGCGGGAAGGTATGCCTGATCGTACATCGGGTGTGCCGCCACCCGCCATTGAACCATTTCCATACTGATCAGGAGCTTGCAAATTGGCAAGGTTCTGATCAGAAGGAGAAAGAGGACTTGCAAATTCTTGAGCAATAGGCGAATCCATCATCGTATTTCCAAACTGGCTGCCGGAGAACATGTTCATGTCGGTTCCCATAATACCCAGCGCAGGATCAGTCATGTCGAGAGGCATGGACATGGCGTTTGGATATGGGCTTGTCATATCCACATCTAATGAAACATTTGGGTGCAGTGGAGAGGCATATGCGGACCCAGGTGGTGGCATAGGTTGATAAGGGGAATTCTGATTTGAAAATTGAGTGTTGATTGCGAGACTGTTAGGGGAAGGACGCTCAGGTTGGGGCTCGGTTGAGCTTTGGGGAAATCCGCTGCTGTTACGCATCATGCTGTCCATAGCTGTCCTGGGGGACATATTGAAGCGGAAGTCACCGAGATTCCCAGCAGCAGGATCGCCAAAGCTCATCATGGAGAGGCGCCTGTTATCCGGACTGCCCATCTGCATCTGGTTGGTTCCATAAGACACGGGCATGCTCCGGCGCCGGTTCGCCTTGTCGTTCTGAGAGACAATGTCGTCGAGCGACTGCCCGTCGAGCACATCAAAAGGGTTCATATCGTCGTTGGCACCTGACGCGTTTAACATGTTCGGGCCGTTTGGGGAGGGCGCATAGGACCGCTGCGGAAACGAAGGGTATCCATTCATGTTAGCGGTGGCGGCAAAGAGCTCTTGATCCTGCCTCGGGTTAGGCTCAAATGGAAAGGGCGCGGAAGCTGCGATGGAGTCATGGGCGTGAGGGTGGTAGAGCCCGAGGGCGAGGTCGAGGAAGCGGTGACCTATCTATCGAGGAAGGTGTGGTGGGAGGTGGGAGGAAGGCGCGCAGGACGTAATGATGCAATGCGACTGTGGGGAACGACGTGAAGCCAGCAGAAAATGCCCAAAAACTGCACCCGCGGCTAACTACGCACGTCGCAGCGCCCAGTGGCGAGTTATAAGGACGGCGGGCTCTGCTGGCGAGGAGTGAGGTCTGCAGGCGGGCAGCGGGTGGCACTGACGGAGACACCCAGCCAAGGCCGGCCCGCCCTGCAGCGAAGCGTGTGGAGGCCCTCACGCAGTTCAATTGGAGAGACGGATCTTCAATGAGCGGAGCTGGAGATTCAGAATCCAAGCCAACGTTGTCACAATTTGTGGGTCTGCAAAGAGACACAGACGGATGCAGCAGGTACATGGGGGGCTCTCACAGCAAGCACTCCTCGCGCTGTTTCCACAACATGGTGGCTAAGGAAGGCGCTGTAAGCTCCGAAAAGTAGTATGAGGCAAGAAGCAAGGACAAAGGACAGAGGGACTTAACCTCGCGCAGCCACTCCCGAACTCCCATCTTGTCGCACTCTCGGGCGTCGCATGCACAAATTGATGAAGGGGTGGGGCCCAATCTGGGGCCCAAATCGAAGATGGCATTCTCAGCTCGCTCGCAAATTCGATGTTGACCCTGCGTTGCGGCGAGGTCCGGCTCCAGCTTCCTTCCTTAAGCCACAGTGCCAAGCACTCGCACCGCCTGCAGGCGCATCCTGATGTGAACTGCCTCTGCAACCCTTTGAATCGAATGGCACGGCTGTAAATATGATAATCAGACATTTTGCATTACGGCACGGTCAGTCTTAAGGCCAATGAAAGCTTCTTCTGCTAATGTGCGCTCTTGTAGGCCGTCGCGTACTGGCACGAAATTTTCAGCCCAGAAGATTTCTATCCAGTGAGGTGGATGCCATCGAAGCTTCCGCAGAAAACAGCACCAAACAGCTGCAATCCCTTAAGTCGGAGCTCAATCCCCATGTGCCTGCGCCAGCAGCCTCAATTGACCCCGAGACACATGCCACCTCTCCCTCGACGCAAATAACCAGCTCTCTTGCGGAGCAGTACCACCTCTTTAAGCAGCAGCGCAAGTCTAGCTGTCTCGCGTTTGAAGAGCCCACCTAACGAAATCTCAGAGAAACTGACTGGAAAACTTGGCTCTGATATCAGTCCCCACTACCAACCCCACACCCTCCTGAACCACCCCCCTTCGCCTGCCAACGTCACCCTCGAACTTCTCCTTGCATCCGAGGCACACCAAGGCCATGCCACCTCGCTCTGGAACCCCGCCAATGCGCGCTACATCCATGGTGTACGGCAGGGCATTCACATCATCTCGCTCGACGTTACCGCAGCGCACCTCCGGCGAGCAGCCAAGGTGGTTCAGGAAGTCTCGAAACGAGGTGGCATAGTGCTCTTTGTCGGTACACGAGACGGTCAGGACAGAGCTGTGGTTCGCGCGGCAGAGCTCGCTAAGGGGTACCATTTGTTTGAGCGATGGATACCTGGGAGCATTACGAACGGGCAGCAAATCCTCGGACGGTGTCAGACCAAGGTAGTGAATGAGAAAGATGAGGTGGTCCCTGGCTTCGAGGAACAGCTGTATGAACGCCCAGTACTGAAACCAGACTTGGTCGTCTGCATGAACCCCATGGAAAACTATGTCCTGCTGCACGAATGTGCACTTAACAACATCCCCACTATCGGTGTCATTGATACAAATGCTGATCCAACCTGGGTAACGTATCCCATTCCGGCAAACGACGATAGGTATGTCTTGTAGCCTTCGTTCTTTGTACTCACATCCTAACTGATATAGTCTCCGCTGCATCCAAGTTATCGCTGGCGTTCTAGGTCGGGCCGGTCAAGCAGGGCAGAAACAACGTCTGGATGCCGCCGAACGAGGGGACATAACCTACCGCCCAGCAAAAGGTCTCCGTATCCCTGGGGAAGATGAAAACAAGGACTCTTTCCCAGAGGTCGATGCGGAGGTGAGGAAAATACTCCACGAGAAAGAAAGTCTCGAGAACGCAGACGATTTAGCAGACAAACCCGGTACAGCTGCTAACTACGAAAGCGATGGAAGGATGGTTCATGTGACTTCATGAGAGTACTTTTGTCTTTATCCCACCTTCGTAGTATCTAGATCATAACGAGCATTCACAGGATTGTTGAGCCGCTAGCTACAGGAGACTTTCCCGAGTGCCCCTTAAATGCACTATATACCTTCGTTCGAGAAGGCTGTACAATATAGCTTGGCATCTGATATCTGCTGTCACAATGTCCTACTATCAACATATAGGCGTTCCTTCCCATCTCCCCCCCAGATCTACAAAGCCCCACATCCGATCTTCCTCCAGGGCGGCCATATGTAGTAGACCTCGAGACAAAGTAATCCTCTTCCGCATGGTGGGTATGCAGGTCCGCCCTCTTCCTTCGTATATCGAATTGGCATATGGAATAGCGTTGAACATTCTTCCGAACTGCACGTGACCTCAATAGGAGCGCTCTCATTCCAATGATATAGGCTAATGACACACTCACGTGGGCTACAAACAGAGTGAATGGGCTCACACGGCTTCCTTTGCGGAGCAGCATGAGCTAAGAGCCTTAGGGGTCTCTTCCTTATTGGCTGATTGGTCACTATGTGATCTTACCTAATTTGGAAGGGACCTTGAGATTGGCGAGGTAAAACGGCTGCAATATCAACGAAGATGGGGGGGGGCACTGTGAAATCTCAAACGCGCGTGGTCAACAAGAAATAGTAAAAACCATCTCAAGTGGTAAAAGTTCAGCCTTCTACTAAGCACAGCAAAAGAATATATATAGGCGGATAGAAATGCACGTGCGACAAAAACGCTAGTGTGGGCTTGAACAACTATTTCAGGGCCAGCTCGTTACGTTCAAGGGTGTTCTGTAGCATGCTGCGCCTTTCAAGGGACATCAGGCCTGGTGGATTAGATCACAATGTCTAGGCTTTACTGGAGAGTTTGTACAGGAGACATTCGGCGATATACCCTGGTTTGTTAACATGCCCTTGAGGACTTACTAATTCTACCCGCAAAGATTAGTGTTTCATCTCACTCTCAGACAACAAGTTCAAATTCATCATACGGCCATATACTCCATATGCAACCCAACTCCAGCAAAATATAGATGTCGGCGTGTGCTCCAGCTTCAGCCTCAGCCCCATCTGCAGGCCAACCCAATGAGGATATCCTGGCATCAGGCCCCCAGCGAACCTCACACAATGTCCTCCGCCAAAGGAATCTACCTTTTTCGTATTCATCCTTTCGGCCCCTTCACGATCTGACTTTCGGTCACTTACCGCTTCCACACCCGCGCCGAAGAAACTGATACGCTGCACCCGTTCTTCTCGGTCTTCCGATGTCCAGGAACCGACCGGCTTCACGGACATGCCAAGCCGAAACGGCTGGGGTGCACTTGTATAATGGCGTGAATAGTGTCAGATTGTAATATCGAAGAGGTAGGCCTAATTGTCCTTTGCAATATCATGACGCAAAGTGGACGCAAATGGAAGACAGGTGCGCGTTCTGAACGGCCTGATGGATCGTGAGAAAGGGGAGCGAAATGTATAAAAGAAGGTGAGTGCTACTGGGAGTTGGGTCATCAGCAAGAATATCAAGTCCTTCACTGCTTTATCAAAGTCCTGTTCATCCCAACCGCTGCTTTCCTTTGCACAGCTGTTGTTTCCACAATTCCGTGACTTCTTAGTCATTCTAGTTCTCTTACTATCTTTCTGCCGCTCCAGCATGAAGTCTCTTCTCTATCTTAGCACGCTCCTCGCTGCTGCATCTGCAGCTGTTCTTAGCGGGCGACAAGACGACACGGGAAACAGCACCCGCGAGCTGAAGGACTGCGAGGAGCCTAATGACGCTTTCCTTGCTCTTTCAGCACAGTTAGCGGTGGAGGAAGGCAACCAGGAAGAAGATGGTGCCGAGGGGAAGATGAAGCCTCGTGCGGATGTGATCATTAATACTTGGGTTCACGTTGTGGCGACTAGCAAGCAGGTGACGGATGGGTGGGTTTCGGTATGTTCAATTGCAACCCTCTTTTTAGAAATGTGGCGTAGGCGAGCTGGCTGTCTTCGACGGTTATTGAGGATCTTGGAGAGAGTGTGTTTGGGAGCGTAGCTAACGATTGAAATAGGATGAAAGTATTCAAAAGCAAATTGCAGTTATGAACAACGCCTTCAAAGTCCGCAACTTCCAGTTCAAACTCGCGGGAACAACGCGCACAGTCAATAAAGACTTATCTATCATTCAGAAAGGAGAAAAGACGCAGAAGTTGGGCGAGAAGTTCAGGAAGGGCGATTATTCCACTTTAAATCTTTACATCGTTAAGGATATGCCTGGAAATACGGCCGGGGTATGTGACTTTCCCCTCTGACGAGAGAGTTAGCTGAAATGTGACTCCACTGACCTTATAGGATTGCTCCCTCCCCCAATCCAACCCCGGCACAGAGTACAAGTTCGATGGCTGCCGTTTCAACTGGGACACGCTTCCCACCAAATCCAACGGGCTTGTCGTTGTCCACGAAATCGGCCACTGGCTTGGACTCTTGCATACCTTTCAAGAAACCTCCGATGGCACAACTGCAACTTGCACTCACGGACATGGCGACAAGGTCGGTGATACTCCTATCCACTTGCGTCCGAATGGCGTCGCATGTGTGCCGGTGGATACGTGTCCCGGAAAGAAGGGCGATGACCCGATTCATAATTATATGAACTATACGCCAACGAGCTGCTGGACGAACTTTTCTGATGGACAAGCCAAGAGAATGCACAGTATGTGGAAGCTGAGGGTATCGAAGAATTGAAATGATCACAAATTATTAAGCTTTTGGGTTGTGTCAGTGGTGGTGGAGGTGTGGAGCGCTGATGATACGCTGAGGAAGTCGAAGGATTGAAGTGATGGTTTGGAATTTAGGTTCATGTACCTAGTCGGGGTGCTTAGGGTCAGAGGTCGTTGGCTGTTGCGGTTTTATGTTCTTGCGTACGAAGCTTTTTTTGGGTGAACGATACTTTCTTAAACAACGCTTGTTCCCCTCCATCTGTTGCTCAGGAGTCAGCAAGTCTGTGTAAATTTCACCACGAAGACTTGAGTATAGAGCAAGTTGGTTTTATTCAAGTGCTATTTAATAATTAGGAAGTTCTGCCCACAACTCTTCCGACAGAAAGTCTTCGATGCTAACCCTTTGGCACATGTTCACCAATGCATCTCACATCAAGATCGCTGTAGAGTTGATCTGGGAATTGCTTACTAAACTTCTTAATATACACTCACTAACCAATGTCCCTTTTCGTAATGTCGTATAGATCCAACGCTGCATCACAGTTTGCATCGATTGAGGGACGGATATTTATAACAGTTTCAGTGGAATACCACCCGAGAGCAGAGCGCTGACGCGTAATGTCCTTCAGTACTTCGATACCGTTCAACGGCCGCGAAGAAGTTGATATTCTCGATTAGTAATGGGCCCTCAAACTCCTTTTAAACGATCTGCTACATGTTGAGAAGTGCGACCGCGCTTGCTCGGTCAGGTCTTGTAGCCATTGTCTTTTCCATGGCCGTGACGACATATTATTATAGTCTTCGCATTTTCCATCATACGCGGCGTCAGCCTAAATGAAGGGAGCCTTCGGAGTCAACTCCGCTCTAGACTACCCTTACGAAATAAAGAGGCTTTACTGTGTGCAAGCGCATCTTTTTGTCCTTCTCTTCTGGGATTTTTAACAATAGGGAGCCATTCACTTCGGTACGAACACTACTGCTCTAGGATATTTGCCAAATATTGTCAAGGGTTTTACTAGGACGTTCCCCGAGGAAAATACCTCCGACGAAAGGTGGCAAAGGTGTTCAAGGGCCGGAATTGCTGGGTATTTGGCACTGGCTTTTAAAATTAGGCTGTCCATGTGGGGGGCGCAGCTCATGTACCCTCACACAGGAGCATACCAGGTTCATGTGTTCGTCGAAGCAGGGAAGCAGGGTTGAATCTAGCAACCTAAGTTGATTCTTGGTAAAGGTCTAAGCGCTTACCGTTAAAAATGAGCATAAAAGCAGTCGATATACCCCCAATAGTTTGGTAGCTTGCGTCTGTGAACATGCCAGAGTAGAGCTCCTTTAGAGCTTCCAGACTCTCCTAGACCTCCCTAGCGAATTGAAGTTCGTTGATCTGACAGTTGACTTCTTGGAAATCCCGTCTTACTTCTAAATGAAATTCTTTGTACACTCGAGGAAAAGCCCTATGCCAAACACAAACTCAGTATGCATTTAGTTGGGCGTTTACTCTGCAGTGATATTTTCAGCTCTGGCTCCAGAAGATTAGAGAGGCTAATTGAAGAAGCCAATGAGGTGCTCTGATTCGAGCTCTGTAGTCATTATAGTCTGCTTAATGTTACGCAGAATAGAGTAGGCGGGATCTTCTTCCAAAGGAGCCAGACAGGGCAATGGTATTTAATCAGACCAAATCAAGAAAAAATAAAGCGTATTGGTGGGTCTTCATAAGTTCAATGAGCTTAATAGCCGTATTCAGCACGGTGACCATGAAAGACATTGAACTTAATGAGCATCATGGGTTTGATGAGTTTGGTGATGAATTGGCGGTGTTAGGTCTTGATTGTCTGTAGATGCCCTAACGTATCTTGATTCTAAGGCCGAATCAAGCGGATTGCCTAATCAAGAGGGCTTAGCGACTTCCCCTACTACCTACAAACCTGCTTTTTGCGCATGTATAGGTAAGTCCCCAAATAAAGTTACTTCCTAACAGGTTTAATAGTGTAGAACATGTAGAAGAAAAAAAAGGTAGGGCAACGATAAAAGAAAAGAAAGAAGGGACCGACTTCCGCAAAGCCTTGCATACTTTCCAGAGGATCCAAATGGAACGGAAGCCTCAACCGGCAGAACGCCTCTAATCTGAAGACCGCTTGCGCTTTCATATAAATGCTTAGGTGATTTCAATACACTGTAACCGCCTATCCACTTTGATACATATAGCATATTTTCACACAACCCTCCTCCCACCACCCGGAATCTACACATCGCGTTCTCGAACACAAACACAAAAGCCAGACCAATGGTGCAAAACCATCACCACGCAGGAGCTCAAAAGCCAACAAACAATAGCGTAAGAATTTAATTACCAAGATATAGATGGATCTACCCCAAGAAACCAAGACGCTGGAGTCTAGATGTGCGAATGCCAATCCATACAAAATGCGACATGATTTCCGTTCTTTCCATTCCGAGAAGAGTGCAATGGGAACCCAGCATTCGCGCTTACCAACACACTCGTTCAAAATTATGCTTTGCCATGCTTTGCCTTGCCATGCCTCAACTGCAATCATTATCAAAACAACTCAAATGCTGGCTTAGGATTGTACCCTTAGTCCACGTCATCCGGGCTAGTTTCCGCCGCTCCTGGTGTAGCTAGTTTTGGAGCGGTAGCGGGAGGAGGAGCACTTTCCTTCTTAATCGAAGGATAGAAGTTGAGTTTTCCGCCCTCCTCAATCATGCCAACCCGGTCATACAGCGTCCGGGCTCGAAGATACGGATCCAAACTCCAGTAGTTAGTTCTCAGCTCCTCGGCAACAGTATCCCGCTCTTTCCTTCTTTCCTCCAAGCCTTTCCCCTTCTCACTTTCCTCCTTCGACTCCCCAGAATGCACCCATTCCAACAGAGTAGTCTCATACTTCCTCACGAGTTCGCTACGATGTGCTAGCAGCGTGTCCCGTGTTGAGATATCTCCATGTAAGGGGTTTTCCGAAGGGTTGGGTTCTACATAGGTGTATTCCCATTTTTCGTCTCCGCCGAGTTCAGCGGGGATCTGGGTTCGTGGAATAAAGGCTTCGAGTTCTTCGACGTTCTTAGTAAAGTGCACTTTCCCGGCGACGACGGGGTCGAGCCAGCCCCGTATTATGGTCCAGATGGCGTTGAAGACCCACGGGGCTTTGTAGACGAGGACGGTGCCTAGGGATTCGGGGTAGTTTGCTTCGAAGCATTTGATCATGAACTTGACTGGAGTGTAGTCCTGTGATATATTAGATAAAAGTAATTATGAATGGCAAAAGGAACGCTTACCATATTCGCCATGGAGAAGTTCGTCATATCGAAGACGATAGTCTGGACGATCAGCGCGCGTTCACATTTCAATTTCTCTAGAGCTACTGAACACTCACCGCAGTATCAACAGGCGGCCTCAGAAGCATTCGCGCCGTCTCAATCGTGTATACTGTGAATCTTTCCAGGCTCTTTTCGCTTTGTTCCCCCTGTCTGTGTAACCGTACCCGGACGACACACAACGGTCTCCCTTCTTTGTCAACACCATGCAAATAACTTTTTCCCATGCGCATTTGGGATAGGAAATCTTCTCCTTCTTTCTTGACTTTCGGATCACTGCTTTGGCTGTCCTCCAACATAGCTGCCTCACCCCGCCGTATGATATCATCATCAACATGCATGTCCTCCGAACGCCAGTGCATTGTTGATATCAGCATCACGAGCGCTTTTTCCACATCCCATTTTCTTGCACGCAGAAACCGGAGAAGGAGCGCATCGGGATGGTCATGCTTGACCATACTCCAGAACGTTTTCCGAAGGTCTTCAGGCGCGGAGTTTGCCAATGCCGCGCGGAAGTCCTTAGTCTGCCCGTGTTTATCGTCCTCATCCGCTATCGACAATGAACTTATATCCGAGGGCGTCACTGTGCCTGACGGAGTGGTTGACTCGGACTCACCGTCCTTGTCGCCCTTATGCCGTTTGAAGACGTGTAGCCGGCTCTTCTTCTTCTCTTTTCTCGGGCTAGTGGTTTCGGTAGATTCGCTAGGAGGAGATAGTGGCGTTTCCGTGCCATTAGGTTCCGGTATCACCGGCTCGTATACCCCAAAAACTTTCATCGTGGCAGCCCACAGCTCGCGCAGCTTCACCTCTTGCTCGGGTGTGAGGGTTCCAGGCCGGCCGGGAGGCATGTTCGGCGCCATGATGAGGTACGAATTTGTCAAGTCCGAGAAATGGAATCCGTCAGGGGAAGTATATTCGTTCGTATTCTGTACTGATGTGTCCTCTGTAAGTGAGAAGAGGAGTGCGCCGCTGATCGCAATGCCAACAACAACGACAGCCGTGAGGAGCCCCGACCCGCTCTGTCTATGGAATACCGACGCACTATTATAACTGTAATGATATACTCGGCGACTGAAAGGGAGCCAATGGACGGTGTGTGTGAAACTGTGCTGAGACTGCTTGGTAATATACAAGCGCGCTCGAATGGTAGAAGATGTCGACGCTAAAGCGGGTATTGGGTTAATTGTATGGGGACGAAAGCGCATGGAGGAGAGAAGAGCAGACTGTGAAAGACAGCAGGACCGCAACAGCGCTGCTTTCGGAAGGTACAGATCTGTCGTCGTGACTAACCTGGGCGTAGGGCTGAAGGGACTCGGCAGCGGGCGGAGGGGCTGTGCAGGATTGGCAGAATTGAGGCTGGTGACGTTTTGTAAACAGTGAGTGGGTGCGACAAGTGTATTTGACAGCGCAATATGATTGTAGCTGTCGTTGAGAGAGCCACAAAGCCACGAGAAAGCTTTCAAACCGCGCACACGACTGCTATCGAGCTCGACGGCGTCATTCGTACCAATGCGGTTAGCGCCCCTTTCCCCTCCACCAAAACACCTGCAAGCAGTTCACGATAAACAAAAAACCGATTAAGCATCATCTTATTGCTCCACCCACACTCCACACCCCACTCCCGAGACGGAAATAGCCGACACATTCTCCTTGCAGGCACGTGTCAATCGCATTTCATCCCATCTATCAAAACAATTCACCCCCTCTCGTCGTCTATCCAAGCAACCACAGCAGCCACACAATGACATCCACAACTCCGACAAACGAGCCCTCCTCGCAGCGGCGCAAGCGTTCCAAATCCCCGCGCTCGCGCCCAACCACTCCTCTACGCCCTTCCTCCCGCAGCTCTCTCCGCGATAGTGCCCAACGCGTACGCGGCCCTTACCCACCATCCAGCTCCCCGCTCGACAAGCTCGAACCAGATTTTGCAGAATTGAGCGACGCAATGGCAGACCTAGAGGCTAATTTCATGCAATTACAACTCATGCACGAGAGCCTGGCACGCTTCTCGGAGAGCTTTGCCGGGTTTCTATATGGCCTGAATATGAATGCTTTTTGTGTTGACTTTCCAGAGGTGAGATGAGAAACTCCATTTCATAGTATACACGGAAAGGATGGTGGTATAGAAATGCTCTAATACGTGTGAAAATCAGACGCCGATTCCAGAGTCCTTCAAACGCCAACAAAACCAACCTGATTACTCTTCTTTGGTCGGGTTGAATCGATCGCAAGGTGCCGATGGAGATGTAGAAGCTACATTTCTGACCACAGACACTTCGTTCGTAGAGAATCCACCGAGTAGCAAGGCTGCAACAAAGTTCCAGACGCCCGCGCCTGCTTCCAAGAGAGGTAGAGGAGGTGGTGGTATACCCAGGGGACCAAGAGGTGGTGGTATTCCGACAAGAGGAGGCGTATCAAGAGGCACCAGAGGTGGAAGTGGCATTGCAAGGGGCAGTGCGGTAGGTCGGGGAAGAGGTGTACGGTAAGGACCCAAAACAAGTCCTCTCAGAGATCTGAGACATTCAAGAAGAAGTGGAAATAAAGACGTGGTCTGTCCAAGAGACAATGAACGACGTCATAGTAAGGTTATTCAGCCAGCAGTAACTCCAGTCTATGTCACAGTGCGCATTCTCATGTGCCTCATAACCAATTCGTAACGATTGTGTGGATTTCTCATCTGCTCATTACCACTTTCAGCTTTTCCAAACTGCCAAAACACTACAAGGTCATTCCAGCTCAAATTTCGCCTCTCCAAGGCTCATTTCTCTCCAGTGTTTCCTTCACGCGAGCCACATCTACAATCTTCATTAACATTATTACTCGACCTACTCTCGGAAACGCTCTCAAAAATGCAAATGCAGCAATCCAGGCCGTATCGCCGTCCATGAGGGGTATCGCTGCAGTGGTATCATAAAGCAAAGCTATAAAGACATGAAGGAGTGGATGAATGGGGTGTCGACAAATGGGTCAGGTCGATGATGCATGGCCATCGAGGCCGAAATGGTGATCAAAGATCTCGGGTGCTTATTTGCTCAAGCCAGCACGCCAGCGCTATGCTTTGCAAATTGACTGGTGCTCTCCTTGCGCACTGCCCAACCCTTGATAGCCATCAACACTGTCGTCCATGCCATGATGAGAGCTGTGAAGCCCATGGTGACGGTGAAGGTGAACATGGCATCGAGGCCGTAAGACTCCAGGCGGGCGACAGTGTCCTTGTTACTGACCATGAAGGTGATGCCACCTCCGACAAGACAGAACGCTGTGATGACCTCGGTAGGAGGGCGGGATGGCAGGTAAGAAGTCGGCGGAGAGATGTACAGAGTGATGTAGGTGAGAGCGCGAGCAAGAGCGAAGCCCATGAACATGCCTCCCCACTGAGTATGGATCATGGTGGAGAGCACCGAGTCCTGGTGGTGGGAGCTCATCATCTTGCCAAGCAGAAGGATGATGAGACCAGGTATGGGATTCATTGAGTAGCCATATTGCCTCGGCGGCTGCCATGGCTCATCGATGTGTTGTGAAGCTGGCTGAGAAGAAAGGACGGAGGTGTTGAGAAGTTCTCTCATCTTTCGCGATTCGACAATCATACCCAACTAGGAAAGCGTATCAGTGAATGTTCCATCACTAAAAGAGCAAGTGGTGGATCTCACCATACCACCACCAAAAAACATCACCGAAATGGAAACATGTTCCAAGTCCTGAGCAGTCCACGCATCGCCCCATGCCGCCAAATGTTCCATGAAAACATTTGTGCAGCCATAGAGAAATATGACGAAAGATTCCGTGAACTCGGCGGAAGGTATAGCCGCCCTCCGACGACCCACGACCTCCTGAGGTGGCTTCATATTCCACGCCCAACCATAATCTGCAAATGCCCCCATCCATCGGCCGAGAGTTAACAATCCGTATCCAAAGAAAATTCCCCCTTTGATGTAGTGTGCAAGCACATTGAAGATATCATTTCCGCGCTGCAAGCGCTTTGTCAGCCTAGCTTTCTTCTCAAAGTCTCATCGTTCACCTACCGCGATGCCTCCATACACTACCGTTCCAGTTGTGAGGGCAACGAAACCAAGAATCAAGATTGTTCGATCAATCATGATATAAAGAATTCGCAGGATACGGAGGGGTCGGCCAACAGCGAAGCGTGCGAGGTTGCGCGAAAGAAACCTATCCACAGGAGTATTCCGCAGGATGCCACGCTTCTCAGAATCATCGTGGAAGGCATCTTCGTCGTCATGACTGTATCTCCGCGAAGGTCCGGTGAAGTGCTGATCTTCAGACTCGACGCTTGGCGATCTAGAATGGCCGTAAAGTGAAGCCGAATTTCGCTCAGTGCCCTGTCCCGAATCATTTGACCACCTAGAAGGATCTGGAAGCTGCGAACCCTGCACGCGCTGGTACTGTGCCATGTTTGCAGTTGTCATCCGGTGGACAGAGTGGTTTTCCCAAGAATCCACTTTAGGCCGTTTCGTATAGACTTGGACGAGAGCCATGAAAACCCAGGCGGAGGCGATCCATGTTATTATCCATCCGATCTTACTATGTGAGTTGTTTTCGTATAGCTCAGGCGTCTTGTGGTCGTAGACGATGCCAAGTAAGAGCGCGAACGCATTTATGATGAGGAAGATGAACTGGGCCAGGAGGGTGAAGTGCGAACGAGCGATGCTCAACATCACAGCTTGTCAAGTTAGCCCAGTGCATGCTCCACCTCAAACTTGGATAACGTACCGACAGGGAGAATGACCACCCATGTTATTACCTCAAGAGTAATGTGTATGTATATAAGACCGGAGTGCTCGGGAAAGCTCCAATAGCTCTGCGGGCGCCCGTTATCCTGTACTTGCGGTCGCGGCGCGTCATGCGCGCCAATGTCTATATGGCCTCCATCGTTTCCATGAGCGACTACCCGAGGCAGGACCTCTAGCAAGAGTGCTGCAGTCGCAAGCGTGAGGACGCGCCTGCTCGTCATGTATATTGTAATACTAGGGCCTAGGTGTGTGTGGGAATATGATAAGTGGTGAGAGCCCAGCAAGACGTATATTAGGACCACCTAGGGTGTGGGGGTGGGCTCTGTCAAGTACCTATGGATGGGTGAAGCTTGGTGCGGTGATGCTATATAAAGGATGAGGCGGCGACAAAGGGAATAAGAGGAGCGATGCGACAGGTGGGTTTCGCTCGAGCTATGAGGTAGAGTGCGGCATCCGCACTACTCCGGCGGGAAGCAATGAAGAAGCTTGAAACATCACGAGAGAGCCGAGCGCGTTTGTAAGCACTTGCCGTTGTTCTGGTTGGGGTGCATCTTTCTCACAACATTCTCTCAGGCTCGCTCGGTGACGACCACTGCAAGTGGGTCCTCGCTCGGCTTCTCGGAATTAAGCCGGACCTCCTACCTGCCACAGTGCCGCAACATGTACCAGACCTCCCTTCGATCAGAGCCTGACAGCTCATCATTGTACACGTCAAAAACCTCATTTCAATAACAACAACCTCAACCATTGCAAGGCCGGTCGAGGCTGTAATTGTGTCAGATCGACATCAAACCGAACCCTGGAACACTTGCTTCCCCGCCTTCTCTAGTTCTCTGCCTTCCACTTCTCTCACCCGGCCGAGCACTCTGTGCAGGAAGGAGTGTCACACGGCTATGGCGTGATGCAACACCGAACTCCGCATCTGTTATCTCTCGACATGGCTGCACAGGGGCGTTGTGTGTGGAAACCATTGGGAGAATTTGCTGGCTTCCGTTGGACTCCGCCTGTCTGATCTTAGCATCGCGATCGACGTCATGTCACCACATCATTAAGCTTTATAGTGTCTTGGCCGTATGGCCAATCCTAGTGGGGAATGGGGAGCGTGCATGTTGCCGGATGCAGAGGCCGAGCGATTCAGGCGCAAAAGAATTCCTGTGTTGGCTCGGCTTCGGCGTCAAGAGCTCATCCGGCGAGTTCCGGATGCCAGACAGAACATTTAGATATCAGTTAACCTGCTTCCCTACCTAGGGAAAATATTAAGGTTTAAAGCACAACTTCAGACTGACATCAAACGTGGGTAGAACAGACCAGACCCTTTGCCATAATGACGTTTCAGGATCGTGGAGTGTTTGAACAAACATCTTGATCGCTCGTACGAGGCTGCTCCAAACTGTTTCGTCGTTTTGAAGTCGTTGGTGACTCACCGACTGGTGACTAGGGTCGTATGCAAGCCTCACCCTTTAGCGTCACGCCGAGCGCCATCGGCTCTCGAATTCTGACGATGGGATTCATGACTTCAACGTCTTTCTCGCTCATCGACGGCCTTGCTGACGGCTCGGTCAAGGCGGCTCTGTCGAACTTTATGGGTGCTAACTTTACGTTGCCTCCCAGCGTCTCGTGGGTTGACCCATTGACCTCGGATCCCTAACCTTTCGCAAGCCTTTCCTTTGCTGAAAGTTTCGGAGCTCCTTCCAGACATTCTTCAGCCAATCAATTCTCTAATCCTTCGAATATCCGACCCACCTGCAGGACGTAAATTTTGCAGGGATCCTTTCGCGAATCGGTTGCTGTCGCCAAGAGAGGAGCCCTTCACTCCTGACTTGGGTCCTGTTTGAGCCCACCATCTTTTCCTTTGCACAGACCAGTGGCTTTTCCGATGCTTACCAAAACTATGTCATGAGACCAACATCTATCCGCACATGAATCTTTGCCAAATGGGTACTTTTGTTGAAGTATCCCAGCCGGGCCAGGATGATCGGCTAACACCATATATTACTTTTCTGCGCTCCCCCCAACCCCTCCATCAATGTTCTGTAAACGAAATCCGAAGCCTCAATTCAGCAAGGATATGTTAGCCTGGGGTCAAGTGGGAGGAATGACAACTCACTCCGGTCTTTTGCCCCGGGCCCATCGATGAGGGAATATCGAACGCAGCAACCTCCGCCTTGATAATAGTAGGAACAGCAACGACATACACAAGACAGTCAACATCACTTACACAAGCCAGAGTATTCCTATATCACATAATTCCTCAGGAGAAGCGTCTAATACCCGACTTTCTGTAGTGCAGGCGCCGCAAAACGGTAAGCGACCAATTTGCGAAACTGGCCCCTAGTACCACTGCCTCTATCCTGATATTTTTGCGTACTCTTTCTATATTTACAGGACAGCTAATGAACACTTTCCTAAGTTTCCTAGCCTCTCATAGTCTTTCCTACATCTTCCAAATTGAATTGAAAGTTGAGCGCCGCATATCTTGAATTGTAGATCTTAACCTCTAAGTCACGAAGACTACCTTGCCTCTAGCATGCCCTCCTTCTAACCTTTCGAAAGCATCCTTCCACTGTTCGAGACCAAAAACACTGTCGACGACCCTTTTACACTTGCCTAGCTCAATCAATCTCGCTATCTCTCTCAACTGCGTTCCATTACCCGTTACAATGAACCATATTCCCTGAACTCCATCTGCTAAACCGTCCACCGGTTTCTTAGGGTTCGTTGGCTCGGCAACACTGATTACTTTCCCTCCTTTCTTAGCACATTTCCATGCACCCTCTAGAGTCTTTTATTTGTCAATCTACTAGCGATATGCAGATGATAAGGCGCAGAGAGAGCTAGCGAAAGCTACGAGAGCTGGAAGGGGTGTACCATAAAACCAATGGCCAAGAAGTGAGAGGTGCCTAACTTATGTGGCAGCTGAACTCCTCACTAGAACGAGGCTGATAGACGTTCTAAGGTTTACGTATTGCAATCTGCCTTTCTCCGCCTCAACCCAAATTTTACACTAGCCACGTGTGATCACCATCTTCAAATTCATCTCACACTTGACGTCCTTCAACCACCTTCATTATGAGTTCTTCGCCAGCACAAAATTCACCCTAGATCTGCCTAACTGCAGACATAATATGTCTACGAGATACTCCAACTAGTGGGCCTGTAACCCAGCAACAATCAATGCAGAACAAAAGCCAATGGAACGGGTATTCAATGGAGTCAAGAAGGATCTTCGAGTGATGGGCTATCAGCGACTCGGCATTTCCCACCCACAAACAAAAGGACAAAGACAAAAGAAGCGTAATTTGGGTCGCGAGCCTTTCGCTTGCGACAATATCTTGTTACATCAACCCGGTTTCTTTCACTTCCTATTCGCGTTCTGAAGTCGCAACCACTAAGATGGAATCCACCACTATGGGTAAATAATTGCTAACAGAGATGTTAAGCATAGTTGCAAAGTTTCTAGCTCCTAAGAGCTACTACGACGATAGTTCTGAATCAGAATGTCTGGTCTGAATCGAACAAAGTTGCGCTTCGATACGTGAAGCTACACTTCCCAATGAAAGCGTTTCCAATTCTTAGACTCGTAACCTTGCAGATGGAGTGAGCATAGTTAAAACATTCATGGAAGTGCGAATCATGGCCCCCCCTTTAATCAATTCGAGCTATTACGGCCACTTTTTAGAGTCTGCTCGGGGGAGCCTCGAAGCAATGATTCGTGTACCATGTATTCTAAAGTCTTAAGGAAGTGAAGAAGAAGGCTTGGCAACATTTCTGCGGCGTTTTGTATCGAGCTGTGGGAAAGTTCACCCATTGTGATGTGGGGAATTTCCTGGGGTTTCTGAGAGCAACTGCGGCTTTTTCCGAACATCTCCAGCGTGTTCGTTGAACTAGAGAAGCTGCTCGAACAAGTACCCTTTCGGATGGTCAATAATTAAAATCTAGAACAAGGAGACATTTACGTCCAGGTCCCAGAGGCGTTTTGGCTGTGAACATGGCCATGTTCTCAACAAAGCGGTGATTAGTTCACTCCATGCTTCGGTTATGAATTTATGGTGGATGAGACGACGGCTGCGTGCTTACAATTTGGCATACAATAGCGAATACATATTTCCATCAAGGAACTGGAAAGCCCACTGGAACTCGAATATCTCAGGTTATCCCTCAGAAACAGCACTCAGTACTTCGCAACCTGGAGATGCTCTGACTGCGGTACCCAAACAATACTTCCATTTTTTGAAGTGGACCACGTCAGACTCTGCAACCCATGAACTCTTTTCGAAAGCTGTCTGGATGAACCCATGCTCCGCAAGCGAAAGGCACTGCACTTCGGAACTATTCTTTCCAGAACTTTGGCCCGGCTCTTTAGATTCTGCGCAGCCAACAAAGATCAAGCTACATCTCGAAGATATCACGCTGCCAAAGAAGGTACAGTATCTCGGCAAGTCATACGTTCCTAGTGTCCGTACTCAAAACTCATGGCTCTATGTCTTAGAGTCCCTCAGAAGATACTACCTAATCTACGCCTCGCTTAGAAAGCTCGAATTTTCTGGCATTATCTGTGAAATCCTAGTTTCTAAGAAGATGAACAGAACATCAGGATTTGTGCACGAATAGATTTACAGAGGAGACGCGCTATTCTTCTCGAATGTTCCGCTGCGTTCCTTAAAGATATTCTAGCTCAGGAGATTCGCTATCGGTAAAGAGGTGATAAACATGGTCCTTCAATAATGCTCTGCCAATAAACTGGGGCTAGACTTGAACCATATCACCCACATAACTAGCTATGACTGGAAAAACAATGCACTAAAAGACCCCAAGAACGGAGAAGAAATGAAGGAGAAAGGAGGGTAGTGGGATTTTCTGCTGCGATGGAGGGATAGGCATCTAGAGGTGGTGTCGAACAACTTGTTAGAGAGCGTAATCCTTGTGAAGCCGGTCTATCGACGGAGCTAGTGGTACAGATGACTTGGAGAAAACAATTCATGAATGTAGAGGAAATGATTAGCCCTATGCTCTACCATGGAGAGGTACCGGTTCTGTTGTTTAAACTGATTGACAGAGAGTATAAATCCGGGCATCCTTACGCAACTTTGGAACTATATATTAAGCAGGGGCTAATGGCGGCTCATGCTTTCAGGTATAGAGGTTTCTGGGTACGGCGAAGAGTATGCATTCATAAAATAGCGGATGAGAGCAGCCTTGCCTGAGGTGCCCCTGTCTCACCCTGGATGAGGCCAACCTTAGTCGCCCTCTTCACTAGCAGAATCCTCTCCACTGCTATGACTCCTACGTAGTACAACTAATCTATATTCAGAGAAGATGCCCTCAAGGTAAAACTCTTTTGCAACAGCAACAGATCCAAGTGGCAACACAATCCATCGCGTCGGTACCATTTCCAAAAGCGGACTTAGCACCGCCCAACGGTTGTGGCGGTGCTAGGACTTAGCTATACCACCGTCATCAAAATCGCAGCAACGGGCCAATATTAACATTCTGTCGAAGGCAATCCCCGATGCAGGTCTCTAAATTACAAGCCTTGCTCTCATTTTTCTTGCATATGCAGTTGTTTCACTTTGCTGATGTCCTCGCCACACAACCATGTTGCAGCCTAGATTTTGGGGGGAATTTAGAGTCCTAACGAGCAGGAAGGTGGTATAGTGGCTGGGTGGCTAGTTGTGATGCCTGATGGAAGAAATCCCATAAATATTGTTTCACTTTGTTGATGTCCTCGCCACACAGCCATGTTGCAGCCTGGATTTTGTGGGGAATTTGAGTCCTAGTGAGTATGAAGGCGGTACGGCGGCTAGCTGTTATGCCTGGTGGAAGGTATCTCATAAATATTGCACCTCTTCTTCAAGACAAAGTCTTCAAGAGAAAGAATCAATCTAGCGCTGCCTTACCTTCATCACTTCTTCAATCCCTTGTGGGATAAAAATCTCCGTCTTTGTCCTCTTTAGACCAGTCGTATAGCAGCCCTTCCTTCCTTTCCCCCTCATTATTTTTACCTCACTTCAGTTTTAGACCTCCACTCATCCACCATGGCTGTAAAAGACACAAATGGACACGTTAGCAGTACTAGCGGAGTGAGCGGGTCTAACGGATGCGCCAAGGACCTGGCCTCTGAAGGCTTCCTTCCCTCATTTAAGCCCCTCTATCAAGGTCCAAAAGACAAGGACAAGAACTGGACTTGGCTAGATAAGGAGCCTGAAGACGTGGCTGAAGCTGCCGAAAACGAAGAGACCGCCCAACATGCGCTTATCACTCGCCTCCAGAAAGCGAACGACTCCAGGAAGAAATTCGAGATCCATTCCATTATCATCCAATCGCCGTGGCTGAAAGAAGCCTTGGGCGAAATTCTAAAGAATTACCCCGGAGTATGTTGCCAGCTGAAGCGATTGGTCTTCGAAGCCCCATTCGAACCTTTCGTGCACCGCTGGTCTGAGTTTCAGGAATTCAGGAGGAGGAAAGATATTGATGTAATGACTGCAGAGCACCTTGAACTACTTCATGATGTGCTTAAGGAGGAGTTGAAAGAGGTCATCAAAACATTGGAAGACTATGTCGTTCATGGCGTTACTACATGGGAGCATGTCTGGACTATTTTCCAGCCTGGACAAGTAATCTACTCGGACTCTCTGCACGGCGCCCCTAGTGCCTTGCGGCTTCGAAGTGGCAAATATGTTAAGCTCCAGTGTGGCCAAGCATACCAGCTCACCGCAGAAACCATCGACTGGACAGGGAATCACTTCGGCCGCAGTATCGAAAGGATCAATATCTTCGAGTTCCTCGGTACCACGCGAATTTTGGGCCTTGCCGCTTTCCCGATGTCGTTTCATCCCTTTAAAGCGAAAGCGAAAGACATCCTCATCAATCGAGGAAGAAAGTTCGAGGACCTTGCTGGATGCCATTACAAGGAGTACAAGGGCTTCGCGGTGACGTGGGATAAAGATGGGAATGAGGTCTTGACAAGTGTTTCTGGTCGTATTATTGTTGATTCAGATACTTTCCGGCGCTTTTCTCCTCGTTATGTTCCTTACATCGAGCCCTTAGAAGCCAAGGAAGGCGCCCCAGAACCAGAATGCGCTGCGAAATCTTTCAACGTCGACAATCAAAGCGACGACGAATATGTGTTCGGGAAGCAGCAAGAGAAGAAGCGTCTGCATCTTACAGAGGAGCATCAACTCATCTGCTGCCCTCGAGTTCGTGGTTACTCGCTCAAGAAAAAGCAGTGGCTCCTGTTTTACCTTGATTTGATCAAGGATATCAAATTTAACGACAACGCGTTTGAGTCTCTGGTGCTTCCTGAGGACCAGAAAGAACTGATCCTGTCCTTTGCCGAATCTCAAGCTATGAATCGTAGCAATTTCGACGATGTCATTTCCGGAAAGGGGCGTGGCCACATTACCCTGCTCAGTGGCCCTCCGGGAGTTGGAAAAACGTTGACCGCGGAATCAGTCGCGGAACACATGCACGCTCCACTTTATATGATGTCTGCTGGCGATTTGGGGATCAACCCAGACCAGGTTGAAACCAAGCTCACTAACATATTGGAGATGATTGCAAAATGGAACGCGGTGCTATTGCTTGACGAGTGCGATGTGTTCCTTGAGGAGCGGTCGGCGCATGATCTTGAAAGGAACAAACTCGTCTCAATCTTTCTGCGAGTCCTGGAATACTACGAAGGGATTCTCTTTCTAACCACCAATCGTGTCGATAATATTGACGCTGCATTCCAGTCACGCATTCACGTCTCAATGTCTTATCCAGACCTCAACAACGAATCTCGCCGACATATCTGGGAGAATTTCCTACAGCTATTGGATCGCCCAGAGGACTTCAGCGGAAAGGACGTCGATGAGTTGGCTAAAGTGCAGTTGAATGGCCGGCAGATAAAAAATGTGCTCAAATCTGCAAGTCTGCTGAGCACACGAAAAAATGAGCCATTGACGAGGAAATACGTGGACATGGTTCTTGCCATTGAGCGAAGGCGTCCGGGGGTGGCACCGGGTTTCTAAATTTCAGAACGATAATAGCTAGCCCTCTGAAGGAATGTGTAGCGCTTAGTCGGAGGGATTTTCAATCCCTCTGACATTCTAAGTTGTTCTCATTAGATGATGTCGCTTTGGTGGGGAGTTGTTCCGCATGCGGAGACATACTTGCGTCGCTAGAGTCTGACAGAATGAAGTCAGCCTCTACAGGGCGTATCATTTCGAAAGGGCCATGTTCTCCAACAATGCATTATTCTTTCTTCTCTTTAGTACAACTCCACTTTGAGAGAGTTCCATGTTTTCCATTTTTGTCTCTCAGCCTCAGCCTCGACCGTGAGGAGCTCTCGTATCCTTCATTATCCCACAGCAATAAACTGCTCCTCAATTGGGGAGCTTGGGTCTCTTATGAAAGCTTGGCGTCTCCTTTGTATAAGCCCCTAAACCATTCCGACACCACTGTATATTCAGTGTGTGAATGCAGTAGTGGAATTACACCAGCATGGTTAATGGCACTTAATGAAAGCGTTGTGTTTACGTCGAACCTATCATTATTCTAAACAGAGTTAGTCGAGGTTTAGTCTACCTTCGGAACAGAATACATCGAGCGACCCCCAAACTGTAACCACTCTCGTTTTCCCAATCATTTATGGGATAGTCTATTGGCTGGATCCCTATATGGATAACGTTCTCGATATTTCTCAATTCGCCTGGATCCGCATGACGAAGTTTGAAAATGAACCAAATCGGCACAAGCCTCTAGAGTGATGTTGATGTCGAAAAGGTCGCCCGCTTTCTGAGATGTGCCTCCGATCTCGATCGGAAGAGTCTGTGTAAACTCGGAGGTAGTCAGAGGATGCTTTATATACGCAAGCCAACATACGGCATGAATCCCAAGAGCTGCTTCTGACTGGGACTGCCGTTTGATTTGTTGTGCAGTGCTATGATGTGATAAATATCAGCAAGCTTCACCGATAACCGTCCAAGGATTAATCGTGTCTGGCCGTGACTTGCTCGATCTAAAGCCGAGCTAGTAGGAACATCCCAGAAGCTTCGTAAATGATTGTATGTACAACAACCTCTTTTAGGTTTACCTCTTTTGCGATGAAATCTTTTAATCTTCTCGAACCCGATACTTTTGTTTCGAGAAACATCCTTAGATAAGTGTCGGTAGCTTCGATAGTAATCTCGCGATGCTTCCCAAAGTATGATTCTGCTCCGGTATGTGACCTATTTAGTGCGCAGCATTCTTGAGCCTTGTGACAGGGTGGACCGAGCGCATCATAGTTCAAATCGAATGTCTTTGCTTTGGGTGTCGACATCCGGAATTTCGTCGACAATGTCAAGGATGGTGAACGGGCTATGTATCTTCAAGAATCATTTTGTGGGTAGCTCTAGAGGCTCCGAGAAAGCTAAGGGAAGGATGCTATCAGGTGTAGCGGTTGTTGCATGCTCTTTGTACTTTGATAAGGCTATCTCTAGCATGTAATGGCTCTGCGATGCAGCCTGCTGAGTGATAGAAAGCCAAGACGGCCTTGCGGAGAATGGTTGTTGTAGCGTGCATACACGTACGTTACAAGTTTGCTATTCACCTTGGACGGGGGATGGAGAGAATCAACGACAAACGATGTCACAAACATTTTGCCAGGAATAGGTACGAGAACACCATAATACTAGGTCAATTAGTCGATTCCTCCCTTACAGGGATTATTTGTGTTTGAGGGGCCATGCTCCTGTCCACGTTGGTGAAGCTGCGATAGTTGTCGGTGTTTCGCTTGAAACGAGAGGGAAGAAAGCCAGACAAGTATTCTTTGATGTTCTTCTTAGTCTCCATGGCGTAGTTGATGATCATTTTGGCCTAAAAGGCATAGTCAGTCTGAACTTGTTACGGTCCAGTAAACGGTTGTTTGCTATTTAGAGTGACCTTCAATTCATCGATGCTTCTTTATATGGCCGTTAACTCTCCAGAAATGTCCGGGAAAGTCTGCACGACAGCAAGGATATCTGATAACTGTTTGAGCGGCGATTCCATTTTAGCGACAAGGTCCGAAATAGCGCCGTGAGGACTCTTCGTTTCCCTAAGTTTCTGAGCCTGCTCTTGTAGAGAACTGGTTACTTCCCAAGAAGAGTTTGATAACAAGTAACAGCTTTTAATAGTCAGGATAAAATGGAACACCTGAGTATGTCGATGTTCTTGATAGTCTCTCGATGTTCTTATTCAGTGGCATATAACACTTGTGCGGGATCCTTTTGATCCTATTGGTTTGCACGGATGTGCTCTGGAGCTTTTGGAGAAGCTCCTGAAGATTGCTGATACACCTTGCATTAGTTCTAACAAAAGCATTGCTGAAATTTAAGCTTAGAGGTTGGCATGAAGAAACTCTTTTGGCCGCTTTAAGATGGCGGCAAAGGCGTTCAGCTCCCAATTGAAGTTGTACAACTGCGCAGCCCTGGAACCTTCTGCAAATGTATTAAGTTGGATGAGCTGTATTGCGAGATATAGCAGGCCTGCGACATTAGCAGATGATGAAGGTTCTTTATTTGTCGCAAATACCCTCGAAGGATTTCTTTCAGTTGGTGATGTCTACGGGGACGAGTCGGAAGACCGTATTTCGATCTGGCAGGTGGTGGCTGAGCAGCTGAAGTATGCCAAGAGCTCACATCCGTCGGCCACAATATCTGGCCTGCGGAAGCTACTGGACCTTCTTTTTTGACTCCACGATAAACTCGGCTGTGGCTTAGGATGTCAGGTCTCGAAGTTGTCGCAAGCATCGCCGGGGTTGCTGGCGCTGCGATCAAGCTCTCTGTGACGCTAAACGACGTGGCCGATGACCTTGGATCTGCAGGTAGAGATGTGCGGTACATTAGTAACGAAATGGCGTCTTTCTCGCAGGTGAGCAATGGAACGACGAGTTATGTTTTTTGCTGCCAAGAATCAATGTTGGAACCCCTGAATGACATTGGAGGGTTCTGACAGCTCCAAGTGAGAGATGAACTGACAGCCTTGGCAGGTCTTGCGATTGGTTCACTCTTCCCTCGAAGATAGTCAGAAGGTCGCCGGGTCCACAGTTATTCGAAGTGCTCTTGAAACGCTTCCGCAACTTCTGGAGCAATGCGGACTCGTTTACCTAGAGGCAAATGGTTTGATGACTTCATTGAAGCCTTCCACTGGCAGGGATTCTTCACTGCCGTTCATGAAGCGGGTTCGGTTCATATTCCAGAAGAGCAGGATTAATGTTCTGAGAAGTCTGCTCGATTCCTCAAAGAGCACATTGAACCTGTTATTGGTGACGTTGAATATTGAAATGGCTAAGACCAGATCACCCAACAGGGAACTTATGTATGCAATGTTTACCGGAAATAAGTCCACCTGCTCACATTGACGCAGGGACCAACTCCAATCAGAGCGCAAGGCCTTTATACGAGTTGTGGCATCTCAGAGTAAAGCTTTAGATGAAGCCCTGAAGGAAGTCGACAAAGCAAAGAAGGAGGCATCAAAACTGAAAAGCAAGGTCGATAAAGAGAAGCAGAGAGAGAAAGAGAAGGAGCAGGAAAGAATACCAGAACAAAAGCCAGGGTTCGAGCCACAATCTCTGGGAATGCTTCCATCTCCTTCTGTAACCTCGCTCGCGTATACACCGCCGCAGATTGATAAAGCCCCACAAAACTCCATCGTTAAGTTGGCGTTGAGTCTTGAGGCTCCCGGACCGAAATATACCGGAACGCCCGCCCAGCCTACACATCCTGACACGGATCCCTACGGGCAACGATCGTGTTTCTGTTCACCGCCAACACCCCCCTACCCAAGTTCATCACCACCCCCACCACCGACTTTCAACGCAGCGAACGACAGACCGAAATCCGATCCCAATCGGCTAAACGCAAAGCGAGTCTTCTCAGACCCAGGACCTCCGAAGACTGCGGCATCAGCTAACGAGACGCTTCATCCTGGAGGAGCAAATCGAGAGAGATCGAGGTCTCCCTACGGATTCTCGAGAGTGCCAAGGGACGAGCCTCCGAAGGTGGAGCGTAGTCGGGCTCCACCTCCATCTCATAGTCCTTCGAACACAGCGCAGGATGAGACTCCATCGACACCAGAGGCTGAGAGGAAGAGGGCACCCTATACCTTTCAATCATCACCAAAGCCTGAAGCGAATGATACACTATCTCCTGAAGGAGAAAGGGGTCGAAAGCCCTATACATACAAGGCATATAGACCACCCGGCAGTCAGCCTGAAGCCTCAGCATCACTGGACCCCTCTCCTGGTGAGCGACAGCGTATGCCTTACGGGGGGGCTACCCAGTTTCCCGCATCAGACCCAAACCCACCTTACACAAGCCAACAGCATCCACCGTATAGCAACTCGTCACCGCGGCCCCCACCATCCTCACCAAGTACTAACGGACCCCCGCCAAGGCCCAAAGTTCCTCCACCACCACCGCCCTGCCATGGTACAACCTACGTCGCTCTTACTCCATACACCAGCCACGAAGTCGGACACCTGACACTCGCCCCCTTCGATATCCTTGTAGACGTTGTTTCCTACATCCCCGATGATGAGACTCTCCCTTACCCAACAGCGTTTGACGCGACCCCAATGCATTACTGGCAGGCCTCTTTACATAATCGACGAGGTCCACGGGGTTTGTTCCCGCATAGTATTGTGTGCCGGATTGAGGATGATAGATTGGCAGAGAAGGTAAAGGAGTGCTGGTTTGCTAATGGTGTGCACCTAATTGCGGATATGGCTGGACGGGTCTGGGTTGGACCAGAATGGACGTTTGTAGAGCCACTGAGGAGAAGGAGTAAATGGTGGGCTGAGGAGTTTTGAGCATATATCGATGATTGAAAAAATTGACAGAAAATGTCCACCAGGACTTAACAAGAGGTAGAGGGAGTAAAGATATGCCTGCGTATATCAGGAGAGTTTGAAAGAGAGTTAATCAAATGCCTCTGATGTGCCGCCGTAGTTAAGAGGAGCTAGAAGCATGCCATCTTCTTTATGCAACGCTGTCTTGCTGTTTCCCTATCTTTATCAATCGAATGGGTTTATTCAAACCGTACACTCTTCTGCGTACTTAAGGTGCTCCAATGACGCGAGAACATCGATGTTGAACAGAAACCTCCTAGTCATCGGGACTAGAGTCCACGCCTGATGGCGTTATCAAAGAGAAACCTTTTATGGCTTGGACTTAAAGTCACCATTAATACGTGTAATTTTTGCAATCCACTGCACATAGCGATTGACATAGAGTCACGCCAAACATCGTTGCGCGTGAATGAAAAAGACGTGAGACCCTCACATGGAAATTAATTAAATGCGATGCGTTAAGCGAAGAGATCTGCAGCAGGGTTGGCACGCGACAACGCGCTGGAGCTCTCTTCAAGCACAATCTTTTAGAAAGCGGTCTCTTTATTCTTCTCCCTGACAGAGCGTTCATTACTTACTGTTCGCAGTCATTCCTCCACTTGAACACCTGTCACTCCACCTCAATAACTTCTTTGGGTCGCTTTCCGTGCGGAGACAAGAGTGGACGTGCTTAGGAGCGCTTGGTCAGCTTTTTAGCCTGGGATAGCCTCTGACCTCATAGGGCCGAGCTTTTCCTATTGGCTTCCAGGATTTCTGGACCAGGGCTCCTTACCGGCCATTTGGCGCCCTGGATCAGATAATACCATGTCGATGTTACAGTCCTGTTGAGATTCTTGTCCTTTGCTGGCTGATTATTGCGATAATCATCTGTTCCCTATGGATAAACTCAAGACGAAGGCGCGTTCAGCACGCAATGTCCTGGCGGAACGAACGTCACGAGGCACTGGCAGCGGCTCACTCTCCGTTCCCCATTCCAGCCTGGCCCCGGAGGATAATGCATCCACGACCGCCGTTAACGAAGGCTATCTGGGGCCACAGCCGGGAACTGCGGCACGCGATTTTGCAGCTCTTGACCCGCAAGCTCTAGTGCCAGAGCCACCGACTTCGTTGCAATCCTCCGTAGACGCGGGAAAGCCGGTGCCAGTTCCGTCAAGTTCTGGTTCTACTTCGAGGTATTTCTAGTCTGAATGTCGAAGCGGAAGGATCGATTGCTGATGGTGGCATGGTAGGACCCTTCAAGATGCCTCGAGACTGCAAGTGCCCGGCATGGGAAGCAGCCCCCCCTCCAGCAGCAGACAGTCGCAAACTCAACCTCGCCGGCCGTCGGTTGGAGCACGACAACCCAGTATTGGCATCAGGCGAATGCCCTCATCACAAGCACTACGACAAGCTGCTGCAGGTCATAATGGAGGTTCCAACCTCCAACTCACCCAAACATGTTCGCGATTACCGGCCCTAGAAGAGGAATGCGCGCAAGATGATATTTCATCAAGCTCCTCAGACACCTCCACAACCCAGGGGGAACAGCCGAGTCGGTTAAGGAGAGCTAGCTTTGCTCTCAGATCGAAGTTCGGATCTAAGAAAGAGAAACAAAAAGACGGGGAGGCTGGCAAAGTTCCTGAAACTCAAGCTCAAGCCGACGAGTCAAGGGAATATGCTTCGAACATGGTTGACGTATTGGATACCATAGGTGCGTTTCAGACATATCTGAAGGTTTGAGCGAAGTGCTAACGGATGTAGATCCTGAAGTCCAAACCCTAACTTCTTTAACAAACGTCCAGAATTCTCTCTTCATCCCAAATCTTGGTCGATGGGTGAATCGACGCCCTACATATGTACTGCGACAAAGTCCGAGCGAAACCGCTAGTTTGCAGGAGATAAACTCAGTCTTGGCGACCGCCCGTCAAGAGGAGGAGAAACAGGGAGGAGCTCCTAAGCTGGAGCGAAGTCAGACAGGCACGACTGTGGCGACTATGGCGACTCTGGCTACAATCGACTCGAGATTGAGCGATTCGCGCTTTGCGGTACTTCCGCATGGTACATCACTGGAGGGCTGGAGCAAGGAGGACAAAGCAGAGCTAAATGACCATGTGAGGCATATGCTACACTCTAAGCGATCAAAGTTCAAGCGCTCCATGAAAGGGTTTGGACAATATGTCCGACGGCGTAAGTTTTCCTTTGATATACTTGAACTTGACCAATCCATTAATCTGTTGACCAGCGCTCGGTTTTTTGGTCACATTATATGCCACGCTTATTACCCTTTTTGGCCTGGCCTGGGTCCTCTTTTTGATTGGCTGGATCAACGTCGGAGGAAGGCAACTCTACATCATCAACGTTATCGATAATATTATGGTCGCACTCTTCGCTGTCGTCGGGGATGGCCTTGCTCCTTTCCGCGCTGTCGACACGTACCATATGATTTACATCGCTCACTACCATCACTACACCTGGTCACGGCGGAAGAAGGAGATGCTCCCAGAGCTCCATGACCACAACGATCTACCAGCATCAAATGCTCCGATCGCTGTGCCTACAGATTCGGCCGACGTGGAAAAGCAATGGGAGTTTACTGTTCTAACTCCAAAACAGCAAGCCAAGCTTGAGCACCACCAGGAGAAGTTCAGCAAATCGCATTCCTTCTACAAGCCACATGAGACGGAAACACACCACGCTTTCCCTCTCCGCCTCCTTATAGCCATCGTAGTGCTTCTAGACTGCCACTCCCTGTTCCAAATTGCACTCGGCACATGCACATGGGCAATATATTATAAAGATCGACCATTCGCCTTGACCACGGTTATCCTTTGCTGCTCAATTACTTGCAACGCAACTGGTGGCTTGTTGATTTGGATTGGTGATAAGAAGACGAGGAAGAAGGATGTCATGGAACGGATGAATAGGCAAGAGCTAACGGAGGAGGCTATGCACAAAGTGGAAAAGAAACGAGAGCGAGAGAGTGAGAGCGAAAGGGAAGACGAGGATGGTATTTCGAAGGTGAAAGAGGGAAGGCACTCCCTAACGCTATCAAGAAAGCATCACCCAAAGAAGGATGAACAGAGCGCGTATCCATAGGGTTGGAATTTGGACAGGGATGTTTTGAATGTGATGGTTGGTAAATAGCAATAACTACGGAGACTTATCGTTCCTGGCTCTACATAGCCTTGATTCACACCCCTCACACCACGTGCCCCCCGTTATTCAAAATGAAGAGCTAACACACACGTGATTTGTTCGTCGAACAGTCGTGGGCCGGTGGTCGGCGCCATGTTCAATGATAGTGCACGGACTACTGTACACTGCAATCATCTTCCCCAAAACGAGCGAATTTTGGAATGTGGAAAGCTTTGATTGGCTTCATGCGAGTGGGGTCTGGACGCAACTGTTGAGCGGTGCTACGCTGGTCTTTAGACTAGGGTATATGACATGCTGACTGAATGCCTTAGTAACCAAAGCAGAGGCAAATGAGTTGAAAGCCAACCGCAAAAGGAAGCTAGGAGAGCTCCAGGCCTTTGTATAAGTCCCGAGAGTGTAGGGGAAAGGCTTATTGATGCTCAAATTCCCATGTTTTGTTTGGTACACGAGAACGAATAATGAGGTATCGAACACAGAGCATGGGTACCTCCCCAGATAGCATAACGGATGCCCTCGGATGCCCTATAATGCATTGTGGCTTTGGAATTCCAACGCAATGACTCGTGTGACGATGAGCTCGTCATGTCCTCTGGAGAGGTAGAGGGTTCCTCGCACAAAAGATTTGCCGATCCGAGCACGTGCCGAGCCTCGGAGGCTTTCACAGGCGTTTGGGGCTTATTATTCTCCTTGGCAAGTTAAATTCACTGTCACCTGGGCCTTCTCTCGCTTCCCTTTCACGCCGTCCACGACTTCAATTCGGTGCCTCCCCGCCCCCTCAGCTACCGCTGCCGCGTGTTCTACTTTGTACTGCCCCGACAATCTACTGCAGTGCACGCCTCGACCTCAACCCGTGCACTTCATTCCTACAAGGTTGCCTCACCGCCGCCCTTGAGCTGAACTCGACACGCTCGTACACAACTGTCTGTTCTGCTGTGCTTTGACTAGTATGGCGGCTCCTACACAGTTGGCCTGTACGTCTTTGCTTGTGTCTCCCTGTTGTCGTGTGCTTATTTGCTTACCTAGATCGAACCTCCAAGGGTGTGGGAGTCTTCAACGCCGCGCCAGTGTATGAGGCTCTGCCTGGATTCGACCGGTAAGTCACCTGCCTGCCTTCCTGGCTGATACTGATGCTGACTTGTGTTACAGGCCTCAAGGCAACCTCCGATGCTGCTGCTACTCTCCCGACAGTAGATACTTTGCATGGGCATCACCCGAACAGTATGACTCCCTTCTTTGCATAACCCCGATAGCGACTAATACGTGTCGCGTACAGGGTTTCGGTCATTGATGCCTCTGTCGGCCACATTGTCACCACGCTCCCCACGCCCAATGTCTTCGAGATTGGGTTCTCCCCATTGGGCACGTACATGATTACTTGGCAGCGACCCACAAAGGACGAGGATGGTAATTCTACGAAGAACTTGAAAGTCTGGACGACCGTGGCGGAAGATGCAGGGAGTGACACTGAGCGAACGTTCGTCGGCCAGTTCGTCCAGAAGTCTCAAACTGGCTGGAATCTGCAGTACACTGCGGACGAGCGTTACTGCGCCCGCGTCGTGACGAACGAGGTGCAATTTTACGAGTCTGGAGACCTGGGGACGGTCTGGAACAAGCTCCGTGTTGAAGGAGTGTCCGACTTCGCAGTCTCGCCCGGCAAGAACCATTCAATTGCCGTTTTTGTCCCCGAGCGAAAGGCAAGTCCGCTCAAAAATGCCCCCATGGAGATCAGGCTAACAGTGGATTCTAGGGTCAACCAGCCGCAGTGAAAGTTTTCCAGGTTCCTCAGTTCAGTGCTCCTGTGTCACAGAAGACATTCTTCAAAGGCGACAAAGTCCAATTGAAGTGGAACGACCTGGGCACTAGCTTGATTGTTCTAGCCCAGACCGAGGTCGACAAGACAAATAAGAGTTACTATGGAGAGACCAATATGTACATTTTGAGCGCGAACGGCACCTTCGACTCGAGGATCCAACTTGGTATGTCTCATGACCGGACGGGGGAGCAAATGCTAATATTGAATTAGACAAAGAGGGCCCTATCCATGATGTGTCATGGTCACCCAACTCGAAAGAGTTTGGTGTTACATACGGCTATATGCCAGCCAAAACCACCATCTTTAATGTTCGTGCTGTTGCCCAACACAACTTTGACCTCGGCCCACGCAACACTATTCTGTTCTCCCCTCACGGTCGTTTCGTGCTCGTAGCTGGATTTGGAAATTTGGCCGGACATATGGATATCTACGATCTTGAAAAGGATTACGCGAAAGTCTGCACCATCCAGGCTGCCAATTGCACCCATTGCGAATGGAGCCCCGATGGAAGGCATATTCTTACCGCAACCACGAGCCCGCGTCTTCGTGTCGATAATGGAATACGTATCTGGCATGTTGGTGGCGGGCTTATGTACAATGAGGACTTGTCGGAACTCTACCATGTCACCTGGCGTCCCCAGTCTACTCTGACGCACCCGCTGGAGAATCCTCTCCATCCTGTGCCGACTCCACATGCATCGGCTCTTGCATATTTGAGCACCGTTAAGACTCCTTCAAAGCCTGCCGGAGCGTATAGGCCCCCTGGAGCCCGCGGAACCACCACTCCTCTCCTCTTCAAGCGTGAAGACGAAGGCGGTGCGGCGTACACTAACAACGGAATATCTTCCACAAATGCATTGATATCGAATGGGTTTGGAAAGCCACGTCGCCGCGAAGTTCCTGGTGCGGAGCTAGCTGAATCTCTTCCACCTGGGGCTGCGCCGGGCGGCGGCGTCAGCTTGACTGGAACTGGAGAAGGTGAGGAGGCTATATCTAAGGCCGCTTTGAAGAACAAGAAGAAGCGAGAAGCTAAGAAGGCGAAAGAGGCTGCAGAGAAGGCAGCAGCTCTAGGTGCGAACGCCGACGGGACTGCCCCTCCCACAGGACCAGCAAGTGCGAACCGAAGCCCTGAAAGGCGAGACGGACGCGGACACCAACGTAGCAGAAGCAAGAACGGGGGCTTTGGAAGCCAAGGCGGTGGAAGAGCTCCAAGCCAAACGCGTAATTATCATGGAAACAGCCCGCATGGTCGCCATGGATCCGGATATGAGGACCAAGGCTACCAACAATCGAACCACCACTACAACAATCACCACCGCGCTGGATCCGGACATCACACTCCGCAGAGAAATAGTGCAGGTGGCCCCCCTCAGCAGCTCGCGCAGATCCAAACGCAGCACCAAAGTCCGGCGCCTAACGTCACGATAACGAGTCCCGATGGCGGACAAGATAAGAAAGTTCGCAGCCTATTGAAGAAGATGCGCGCAATCGATGATTTGAAAATGCGGCAGGCTGGGGGTGAGAAGTTGGAGGATACGCAGGTCAAGAAAATCGGCACTGAGGAATCGATTCGTAGGGAATTGGAGAGCTTGGGGTATCAGGCCTAACAGCATTATCCCTATGTCAAGACAGGACTCGACGCTGTGCTATACTGGTTGTCTTGCGAGTCCCTACCCGATAAGAATCTGGATATTTTCTGCTTGCTGTTTACTTGCACTTGCATTATCCTGGCGTTTTGAGAGATGAGGTGAGATTGACATGATGCCAAGATGTTACGGCTGAATAGTATCTCTTGCGTATCTAGGGAAAGAAAGTAAAAGCATCTAGATTCTTTGATCTTTGGAACTTGATAGATTGGGAGTATTATTAGATAATATGAAGGGGGTCAAGGCCACTGGGGGAGCTTGTGTGAGTAGATGAATAAAAACCGAGAAAATCCATATTGTTGCGTACGCAATCTTCACAGCTTTGGGCTAGTTAGATGGATGAATAGATATTGTGGAAATTTGCAAACACTGGAAAAAGATGTATTCAATGATTCCATTAATTCTGTATTACTATACTGTATCGTATACACATTCCATACATACAAATGTGTCCCACAATGCCCCATGCACACACATGCACAAACTTGAAATGCTCACGCACGTGTGCCCATTGCCTCACCGTCCTCACAAAACAACAACTCAACAGCTGTCGTCTGCTCAGGTTCTAGCTCCGGGAAATTTGGGGGGTATAGTGGATGCGCCATTCAGCTGTCCAGACACCAGCCCATAAACTTTTCGACCGCGAGGTCGACTGAGTCGAAGGCGGGGTGTCGGCGACTGGGATTTGACGCGGGTTTCTTCTTTCGCTGGGCTATACTGAGCTGAGGAATGGGTCTGGTCGCTGAGCTCTACCTTTGGCCGCGAAGATTTTATTTTTTTTGGGGAGAGGACTTGTTTAGGGAAGGGGCTTGAATACAGGAAGGAGAGATTGGTTTGGTGATGGCTGCAACAGAGGCATGGAAGATTTTCTAGATATTGGAATCGCTGTTGATAGGGGGAAGAACGATCTTCGAGTTGCGCCAGTACTGTGATTGTGAGTAGGTAATCATAATTAAGCGTGGAAGGGGGGATTTTCGTTCGAGTTTAAAAGGTCAGAATTTTGAAGCAGTCGCCATCTTCTTTTCCTGTCAAAGAATTACGGGTTGGGGTATAGCACAATTGGTCCAAAGTGTAGCCCATCTCGAGCTTCCAATTTTCCCGTCGATCGAGGAATGGGCGCCTCTCACTCTGCTCTCGTTAATTGTTCAACATTGCCTCTTCATGTGCGCGTAGTCATTCTCTTCAGTTCGTCGAGGAAGCGAACAGAACTTTCCGCGAGTTCCCTAGCACAAGGGTTCGTGAAGCACTTCCACTCCCATCCATGTCTTCAAGTAACCTGTCCATACCTCCAAGATCAAGCGCTCCTCTCGCTAGTAGAGCTTGGTCTGTCTTTCTAATCTCCTCCTCTTCGGCGCGCTCCTGTTCAAACACCCCCATCAGATTAAGCCCGGGTTTTGAAGCGGTGCTTGCCGTAATTATCAGTCGGTAGTCAGTGAGGATTAGAGAATCTCTAGGAATTGCCATCCTAGCATCCCTAGTCGTAGTATCGAACTGGTCGATAACCGTGATTGCTTCCCCATACAGTGCAAGACCTTGAATGCGGGACAGTCCGGATCCATGGAGAGAGCCACCGCCACCTCCAGATGCGGTGCGGGACCACCATTGCGCAAGATTCGGAACCCTATAGACCTCAGACCCATACCAGATGATGACGGAGTCTTCTGGGCCGTCTCCAGTAGGGGAATGTAGGGAGGCGATGGAAATACCGCCGCGGCTTGGCGTTGAAGAGGTAGCTGCCACTCCGCTAAACAGGGTTTCTTGTTTGACACGACGAGTGTTGGGAGTCATAGGCGCGAGAGTGTTCCGACTGTTTCGGGTCTTTGGACTTGTTGCGGCGATGCTGGCTCGGTTGAGATCTGCATTTCCTACAAATCCTCGAACAGAGAAAGATGAAGGATCAATAGGTGGGCTTGGACCAGACCGATCTGAATCCCAAATGCCCCATTCACCATCGGCAAGCAGGGCAACAATGTGATGGCCGTCAGCCGCCCATGCGGCGTCGATAATAGGCTTCCGAGTCGCAAGAACTGGGGGAGTAAGAACATCAGATTTTAGGGTTTCAAAGGCAGTTCTGAATAGCGCAACATAAGCGCCAGGATCGGTCATATTCCTGGAGAGTTGAGAGCCTCGTCGTTGGCGGCTGGATATTGCGAAAGGGTCGTATATGCGGGCAATTCCTGAAGTATCCGTGATGAGAAGTTGGGAATGGCGACGTCTTGGATACGTAGCAGAGTTGAAGACTACGCGAGAGGCAGGTGTCCGTAAGTTCAAGGTTTGGTAGGCTAAGACAGGGTTGGCAACGGTAACTGCAGTTTCCGTAAGAGGAAACCGCCAAATTTTCAATAGGCCGCCAAGTTCTGCGGAGTGAGATGCAATCAACAGATCGAAACCCTCAGACTCGCTACGACGGCGTGAGCGAGAGCGGCTCTGCTTCCGAGGCGACCGCCGTCTCCTCGGTGTCGCCGCAGGGTCTTCCTCTGGGTCGGCCTCCATGTCATCGTCGGCCCTCTCGTCAAAGGTTGGTTCTGCGCGGGACGTCCATGTTATAGTGACACCACGTGGTATACTTTGATGTCCAGTGTGGCTGCCAATTTTGGCTATGTCTTCGCCCCACGGAGATGCGGAGTTCAAAGGCGCGTCTTTTGTAGCAGCAGAGGGTGGGCTTAGCGGCAACGTGACAATACGGATGCTGTAGTCGGCACAAGCCACGACGAAGACAATTTTCTTGCCGAAGATAGCAGGGAATGACTCTGCCAGTCGTGTTGATGAGACTGCGGGGATATCAGGAATGGCAATGTGCAGGACTTCAGTATTCAGCGACAGACGCAGGTGCTGGATGATGGTCGGATACGGCGCGTCGGGGTCCAGCTCTTCGTCTTCGGACTCGAATTCTGCCTCTTCTGGTGGTTGTGGAGCGGACTGCCCGGGCGGCGCCTCGTCGTCTGAATCTATGATCATTATTACGTCGTTAGAGGTTCCATTGACCTTTGTAGGTTTCGCAGGCTGCTTCGGCGGCGGCAGGGCTTGTTTGAGCGGCCGACCGCCCCTCCACAGTATGCCTACGCCCGTTGCATGCCCATAGAGAATAATGGTAGAGCCGTTTGGGGCTTTGGTGGGATAGATTTTGGCATCGTGAGCGCGGTGCGGAAGCTCGTACCTGGAGAGAACATCTCCATTAGTTTAGGTACACATTCAAATGAGAGCACGCAGTACCTGAGCTGGGCGAGTTTGCCCTTAGTGGAGATGATAGGCTCCATGTTGCTGGCCGGAGCTGCTGAAACTGGGGAGCTCCCTCAGACAGGAAGGCGCCCTCGCAGGCGGGTTGAGTTGAGCGGTGGATGACTTCAATCGAAAATCGAAGGTCCCCACGAGCTCATATGCTGACCACAAAAGGAGAGAGGCAGGCCGAGCGCGATTCAAGGCGGGTGGAAAGAGAAGAAATAGCAGAGGTACAGTGGAGGTGAAGTCGAAGTTCGCAACACCAAACGAACGCGTCGGCTGCCCACGACAAAAATCACCACGTCAACAACCGCCATGCCCCGCGCGTCTCCCAACAAACATCTCCCTCATGTCACGAACCAAGCTTAGATGGCTTCCCTCCGCTCGCTCGGCGTCCACAAGCCCGCCGCCCTGCCATTCTTGATTTCTGAGTCAATCATCGACGAAGACGCGCCTGCCGACTGCTATACTTGGGAGACGTACACCGACGACGAGTCTGATGGGCCCTCGGAAGAGGAGGTCGTAACTACTGAGTATCATGTCGTTTGGTCGCGCGGCGGGGTCGTGCGCAAAGTCTTCAATTTTGAGATTGAACAGGAGAGGGTCCTCCAGGCATTACTCACTTATTTTCCCACCGAGGAAACATCTGTCGCCGCTTTGCACTCGGGAGCTGGCTCTGAGTATGGCGGACTCGACCTGTCTGGGACCTTCCTCACCCAAGGGACACAACCTACTACGGATCCTAATGCTGCAGTCCCGCCACCTGCCTTCAGAGTCGAGGGAAAGTCCCGAGCATTGGTGGTATTTCTCAAATCCCAGGCTCATGTCTTCTTCCTTTCTGGCGCCACACATATAGTAAACCTTCCCTTTGAGGTTGAAAAAGCCTTTCCCGCCGCCCGCGGGGTAATAGTCCAGAGAAAGTTACCACCGGTGGACGCCCTTGCCCTTCTACCAACTCCGCAGCTGCCCTCAGTCCCCCCCAATTCCTTTCTCACAAATCCTCAGTCGTTTCTCTCTCAGCCTCTCTCAAGCTTTTCTCAGCCCCATCGTCGTCATGGCTCCTCTCTAGGTTCAACAAGACATGCAAAGGCTCTTAAGCCAGATTCTGCCAACGCACTCTTTCTTGAAGAGCTAGCCAAAACATCCGCTGTTCCAAACATAGATGGACTTCCTCGAGTCTTTTCTTTCACCGATCCATTGGCAGAACTGGGGCTGGTGGTCAATGTCGTCACGAGCAACGAACGCGGTGGTTTGTTGACGGCGAATGGATCTGGTCATCGGCAGTTGGAGCCGATTGACAAGTCCGAAGAAATTATTTATGTCTCTCCTCGAAATGAAATCCGATTTGATCAGAGCGGAAATGACAAGCCGCTACTCTTAGTCGTCACGGCTAACTATAGCACCAATGTATTTACCATCTGGTCTGCAGCCTACCTCGAGCCCAAATCAATTTCAGCTTCCCGGCGACATCACGCCTCACTACCTGGAAATAAGCTGCGGAGGCGCAGCTCATATGGCCCCACTGCCCCAGGGACAGGTGCAACGACGCCTGCCCTACGAGGTAGCGACAGGATGAGGGAAAGCTTCGGCGGGGTTATTCGAAGCAAAACACAACCACCGTCTTTTAATATCGCCTCACAGTCAAAAGAGAGGCTTTCGGACCAAGCAGTGGAAGACGCGCTTGCTTCGCAATTGAATCCTGACTTTGATATGTCTAGACAACCCAAAGAGTCGAGGCGGGTGAGCTCGTTACTATCAAGGGCAGAGCTCTCCACCAGCTTTGACAAAACTGCATTCCAAGATCTCGCAACACAGCGTACTAGTCTTGGTGGGAGTTTTGGGGCCAGCTTTGGGGCCAGCCAGCGAAGTCGTCACTCTCTTGGGAACGACCGAATAAGCTTCGGTGGTTTTTCTCAGTCACGGAATCGAGCATCGACACCTGGTAGTATTACATCACGGATGAGCCTGGGTGGTGCTTCTGTGGACGACACACTTGAAGACATCATGGACGAAGACACGCTTGATGCCTGGGAGGACTATGATGAGCTGGACGACCTGTTCGCCCCCCCCGAGGCTGGCGTCGATCAAGGCCCTACGGACGGCTTGAGAAAGGAGCTTGTCATAAGTCCGGTTGCTGAGTTATCAATTCAGAGATACCTAAGGCCGGGCTTTCTTGCTTTACGCGATCCCAATGCAACATCACAGGTACGGACTTAGAGCTTCTGTCCATACCTACCGTCACATTGTTGTTGGTTCTAACCAACTTAAACAGGATGCACCAAATGTCTTTGCCTTGACGGCACCTTTTAACTCCTCGACTCTCCATGAACGAAAACTCTTCATCTACATAATGCACTCGTCTTTGGAAAATCCCCTTGAGTGTGAGCTCTCGATTACGCGCAAGCGCCTAACCGTCTCAAGTTTCCAATCTAGACCTAAAATTAACGCTCCTCAATATGCCTGTGTCCCGAAGCTAGTCAAGACGCAGGAATTGAAAGACACGCTTGATGCAATCAAACTTGTTGACGGCCATGTCGAGCGGGTGGTTTGTCTGGCTTCAACTGAATCTCGCGACCAATGTCTGTCACTGACAGCTGGATGGGGAAGCCATCTGCCCACTCGATTCGCTGTTGGGCCTCTAAGGCTGTTCGATCCTTACGCAATACTTCGGGATAGATCTACAAGGGCAACTGCCGGGCTGAAGAGGACAATCAGTGCACAGCAAGCGCTTCGGCGGGTGATATCACCTGGTCCAGGTGGAGTATTTGATATCATAGACGATGAATCTCGCAGGCATCGTTTGCAAATCCATCTAGCGCCTCAAGATCCATTTGTGGCACGTCTCTTCCAAGTATTGTCGACTGTCTTATCCAACCACGTTGGCGAATTTCTCCTTGAGATCTGGTGGAACATTCGCAAGTCACTCTCCACAGACCTCGATGCGCGCGTGAACTCAGACTGGGTGGCATTCGTTACAACCTTGTTCTCGCTAGTGGTGCCGTTCGTGGAGGAGCAGATGGTCAGGACCACAAAACGAGGGAAGATTTCTCAAAGGCGAACTTCAATCCGACCCTCAATCCAAGCAAAATCGGATGAGGTTGGAGGCATTGATGATTCTGCATGGCGCCTGATGTGCAGCCGGCAAGATTCCCATCCTCGTGCAAAGAGTTGGGACTCTGAACCCTGGTCGTGGGTCCAACAGTCGCATCCTGCCTCTTCCACCATGAGCCCACCATCTCGACGTTTGCTAGATCGAAACGCCCCCTTAATTGCGGACCACATCAAAGGGAAGTCGGATCTGCTGACGTCTTGCGCAGAACGTGCGCGACAATTCATGGAATCACCAATTGGAAAGGCAACGAACGATCACTGGAGGCATCTTTCTCCATCTGAGAAGCAGGACCTGCGTACATCTTGTCTCCCGGAAATCGTCGTTGCGCTTCATCTTTTTAGAGAGGAGCGCAAGTTGGACATTCTTTCATCAGACTCTTCAAGCACTGAAACAGGGAATCTTGCTCCGGTTTTGGCGCAGTTAGGGCATTGGTTGCGCTGGGAATCGTGGGGCCAGAAGCAAACAAGCTACTATGACTTTGACGGCGGGTCAACTGAGAATTGGCTGTATGAAGATTGTAAGCGAAAGATCTTAGTTCAATCCCATCATTCACTGACAGCTCTTCGAAAGCCATTATCAACTCTAGCACGCGGCTGCATTCGCAACCATGGGAAGCGCCTCCGTCTATTTTGGAATGGGTCAGCTCAGTACTGCGATCCCAGTCATACGTACCGTTCCCAACCCTAGCCATTTTAATACGGAAATCAAAGGCTTCTCCACACTCATCAGTCAACATCGACGAGATCATCTCCGGGGTCACTCCCCGAACTATGGCTCTGGATAAATTCTTCCAGGACATTCACCAGCTTTCCAATCCACGGAAGGCAGTAGAATTGATTGAGCGGTGCGGCATCACCTCTCGAATGCTTGCTACCCTCCCTGAATCCGCGAGGGCACCGTTGATGGAAGTGATTACCAAATGCCAGGGAAATCCTCCCACAACGTGGTCAAGCTCACTCCTCAGGCTCATACAGCGAGAAGATCTCGATTTAAGTCTAAAGCCAACCAATGAGTTCACTCATGACGTTCAGCAAAACCAGTCAACCTCACTGATGAGTATTCCGTTGAGTATGTACTCAGGCGCTCCCCGAGATGTGCATACAATATGTCAGGGCATAGATCGATCGGAGTCAGTTCAACCTATGGCTGAAGTTGAGAGGCACTACATAACGAGACTAATATTCCACGAGGATCGGCGTTTCATGGAGGCTTACTCCCTACTAGAACCTCTAAAGCAAGCAGTGGCCGAATACCGACCAGATGTCAGGTCTGAAGAGGCCGCCATTCTAGAAGGGCAAAAGACCCTCATGCAATGGGTCATGGTGCGGACGTTCTCGCTGCCAATTGGAAGCTCGATGTTAAAGTTCAGCAGCAAGAAGCCTCTGTTGACCGAGAAATACCCGCTTTATGGTTTCTCGACGTCATGTCTTATGAAGCCGATGGGGAACGTTCAGACTGCCGAGCGAGCGAATTACTCGGAAGAGAAGTACTTCTGGGCGTTCTTTAATGCTGGTGTTGCTGCGGGTCTGAGCATATCGCGAGACGCTCAAGGCATCGACACATCATGGATCATGTACAACAAGCCCCCGGAATTAACGAACAAGCATGCAGGTCTCCTGCTTGGTTTAGGTCTCAACGGCCACTTGAAGACCATCGCTAAGTGGCTTTCGTTCAAGTACTTGACGCCAAAACACACCATGACCTCGGTTGGGCTCCTGCTTGGACTATCAGCCTCATATATGGGAACAATGGACACACTTGTGACACGGCTTCTGTCTGTTCACGTCACTCGAATGCTGCCACCGGGAGCAGCGGAGCTCAATCTCTCGCCGTACACTCAAACAACAGGTCTAATGGGCATTGGTCTGCTATACTACAACACCCAACACCGACGAATGAGCGAAGTAATGCTCTCTGAGATTGAACACGTTGATGAACCAGATCCATCAGAGCCACCAGACGGTCTCCGAGATGAAGCATACAGGCTAGCTGCAGGCTTTGCCTTAGGCTTCATCAATCTAGGCAAGGGGAAAGACCTCCGAGGTCTCCATGACATGCGAATAGTCGAGCGTCTGATGGCCGTCGCAGTAGCCCCCAAACCCGTCGACATCGTCCACATTCTCGACCAAGCTACCGCAGGTGCCGTCATCGCAATTGCCCTTATCTTCATGAAAACACATGACGAAGCCGTCGCCCGTAAAATCGATGTCCCAGATACCCTCCCGCAGTTCGACTATGTCCGCCCGGACATCTTCCTTCTCCGCACTCTAGCAAAACATCTCATCATGTGGGACAACATTCGCGCAGATCACAAATGGGTCATCAAGAACCTACCACGCGAATACCAAGACTCATATAACCTCAGATCCATCTCTAAACTACGCAGCAATCAAATGCCCTTCTTTAACATCCTCGCCGGCCTCCTCTGGAGCATAAGCCTGAAATATGCTGGAACAGGAGACACACAAGTTCGAGATTTCCTGATCAAATATCTCGACCAATTCGTCCGAATCTGCAAACTCCCCGCCCTACGCTACGACTCTAAACTCGCTCGCAACACCGTCCGAAACTGTCAAGACCTCGTCGCTCTCTCTGCTGCCACCGTCATGGCGGGAACAGGCGACCTAGATGTATTCCGTCGCCTGCGAGGACTCCATGGTAGAGTCGGTCCGGATACACCATATGGATCGCATCTTGCAGCACATATGGCGTTTGGCGCGCTTTTCATCGCAGGTGGTACGCATACGTTTAGTACGTCAGACAAAGCAATTGCGAGTTTAATCTGTGCTTTCTATCCGCTTTTCCCCGTCGACGTCCAAGACTCTAAAGCCCATCTCCAAGCATTCCGGCACTTCTGGGTGCTGGCCGCCGAACCGCGCTGTCTGATCGTGCGAGACGTCGATACAGGCCGTGCGACCTCGATGGCTATTACAGTCCACCTTAAAGCATCCCCCAGCTCGAACTTACCCTCAGAAAAGAAAATGGTCGCGCCCTGTCTCCTCCCCGAACTCTCCAACATCTCGCGCATCGAAACAGGAGATATAGCTTACTGGCCTACGACCCTAGATTTCGTCAACAACGCACACCACCTTAAATCCTTCCGAGAAGCCCAGACACTACATGTAAGAAGGCGCGCGGCACATGATATGTACACCACCCCCTTCTCCGCCACCCTCATCGCGCTCAACGACGCGCAAGCCTCCCGCACCGCCAACTCCCTCTTTCACTGGATCTTCGAACTGCAGTGTCTCAGCGAATTTGAGAAGGCGGATCAGGGACTAGTTTTGCCGGTTGATGCATACAGTTCGGAGTACTTGGATACGGGTCCTACGGAGGTGGATACGAGACTAGTATTGAGGAGGTTGGCGGGGAGTTGGAGGTGGAGGGATTTGGTGGAGTTGAGGGGTGTGTTTGAGTGGGCGGAAGGGGTGGTGAGGACGGGGGATGGGAGGGTGAGATGGGTTGGACGGGAAGTGTTGGAGAGGTTGAGGGCGGGGGTGTTGGAGAGGGGGAGGGGGGTTGAGGGGTAGGGGTGAGGAGTATGGAGTAGGGGTGGATGGATAGGCTGTGTGGTTTAGTAGGAAAGGTTGATGACTGATGGTTCTGGTTGTGTGGGCTTGGGTTTGTGGCGAGTTATGAGATATGAATTTCACAAGTACCCCAATGCATGAATTAAAACATCTCGATTGGTTCAACCGTGACATATTAGGTGCCCAGAAATACTAGGTTAGAAGGATTTAAGGCTTAAAGGGGAGGAAACTATTGTGAAATTTATGTAGGTTGGGAGCAGGGAATTGTTTCTAGTGTTGGAATTGGAGTTATATATTTCATGTCGTAATTTAGAACTTTTGGCTTCAATTTCGATACAGGTCGATTTTTGTTTGCTTAAAGTGTGCTTGAATGATGTCTAGATTCTCGGTAAGCAATATTTGGTTCCTGTCGGGCGGCCAGAGCAATCTTTTTCTCCAAGTGTGGACCTGACACTCGTTGCCTCATTTATGAGGCCGTAGAGGCCACTTCGTTTGACCCACGTAGCAAACTCATCATATCGCGTCGTACTATCAACTTCCCACTTAGACCCTTCCCTTCCCAACCAAGTCCTCAAACAGCACTTCTCGTCTCCGCCTCACAGTATCCAGCTCCAGCTCCAACTTCCCCACCTCACGTCTCGCAGCCTCCCTATCCGCAGGCAGTCCCGCAAACGCCTGAACTTCTTTCTCTAAGCCCTCGACCCTCTCTCTCAACTGGTCCCCCAGCTTCTGCTGCTCTAACATCTCGAGTATTGCTTCCGCTGACGCCATATCTGCATTCTTGGGCGCCCTCCCCTGTGTTGCAGATAGCGTAGCAAGCTTGTCCTCGTATTCCCGTATCTTGGCTTTTAAATGCTTTGTCTGGCGCGCTTGGTCGTTTGTCTGGCGCTGGAGAGAGACGGGCGTGGAGAACGCAGGGTCAGATTGGAGCTCGGAGAGTTGGGCTCGGAGGAGAGAGTGCTGCTTTTCGAGGTATTTCTGCAGTGCGTGGATGTGCGTGAGGTGGTTGGATAGCGAGTGTGAGACGGATGTCTGGTGGATCAGCGTGTGGGCGATTGTCTCGGGGGTTGGGGTTGAGGTGTTGAGGTGGATGGCGGCGGAGGCGAGGGAGGCGAGGGCTGTGGAGCCGGGGGTTGTGAGGGCTGCAGTGAGGGTTGAGAGGATGTGTGTATCATCGGGGTGGGGTTGTGCCTAGGACGAGAGAAAGGGTCAGCAAAGTGGGTTGAGAGATGCCGTGGATGGTCGTGGCGGACCTAGCTCGGCTCGTACCTCATCCAGCTCTTTCAACGCCTCTCGCTCCAGTCGTTCCTGTATCACTCTCTCTTCGTCTGCACGCTCATTCGCCGTCGACAGCTCTCGAAGCACTTTCAAAGTCTCCTCGTTCCGCTCAAATGTCGGCATCGTTCGCCCGGCATACTTGTAACTCAACCAGCTCTCGATCTGCGCCCAGTCTTGAGCTTGCGCACGCTGCTGGCGGGCTTTCGATGGTGAGAAGAGATCTGAGGGAGTGAGATTGTCCATCACATCGACAATGGATTATCGAAAGGTGGCGAGGGAAGTGTTTGTATTGATATGCGCCGACCAAAACGCCGAACGAATGTATCACCATGCACCATGCACCATGCCCAGCTGGCCCATGCGTCTGCTACCCCAGATTCTGAGTCTCTGAGTGACCTCAGCCCCGCAACAATTGCCATTCTTTGATAACCACAGAATGACCTCACCCCACCCTCCCTCGGCGTATATCTCCGCCATAACTGCCTCACCTCCTTACTGTAGCCTCATATCGAACTTCTAACAGCTCTGGCGATTCATACCCCCACCATCCTTCACCTGCAGGCTCCTCCTAGTTACTCTCCTCCTAGCTACTCTCCTCTTTGCTTTCCTCCTTGCTTTCCTCCCTCCCTTTCTCCTTCCTTTCTGCATCCTGCCTCTCCTCCCCAAACTCCTGCGGCCAGCCCGCGGCCCATCGCCTCTGACATCTACTAGAAGCTTCACAATGGCGTGGCGAAGCTCTGGCTCGACCAACGCCGGTCTTGTCAACAACCTCGCGCAGAACGGGCTCATTACAAACGACCGAGTGAAAGACGCCATGTTGCAGGTAAGTACAGCACCCGCGATCCCCCAAAATCCCCCTCCTACGACGGGTAATCAGAAAATTGAAGAAGCCATAGGTTGACAGATCCCACTACGCACCCACATCCCCCTTCGACGACTCCCCGCAACTCATCGGCCACCAAGCCACAATCTCTGCGCCCCACATGCACGCCAGCGCCTGCGAATCCCTCCTCCCGTTCCTGAATCCGGGGTCCCGCGTGCTCGACATCGGATCCGGCTCGGGGTACCTCACCGCCGTGTTTGCGAAACTCGTCGGCGAGACCGGCACCGTCATCGGCGTCGAGCACATCCAGCCACTTGTCGCCCTGGCCCAGGCCAACATGCGCAAGTCAGCCGACGGGCGGCAAATGCTGGATTCGGGACGAGTGCGGTTTATTAAAGCGGACGGACGGAAGGGGTGGAAGGATGGTGCGCCGTATGATGCAATTCATGTAGGCGCTGCGGCCGCCGAACATCATGTCGAGTTGACGGAGCAGTTGAAGGCTCCAGGGCGGTTATTCGTGCCGGTTGCTGAGGGGTGGATGCAGCATATTTATGTGGTTGATAAGAAGAGTGACGGGAGCGTAGAGCGAAAGAAGTTGTATGGTGTGCAGTATGTGCCGTTGACGGATGCGCCAGTGGAGTGAATGACGACTGGAAGACGAGAAATCAGGAGGTGTCCTAAGATTGCAAACAGTCACATGAGATAAGCTAGGATAGGTGCTGAAAGGATGAAGCAGGATGAAGAATGAATGATGGAACCTGGACATAAGACTTGGGCATGGAACATGCATCTTCAACCCTCTACCCTCTATACATACATCTTCGGCCTGGCATATTCAACGATGCGCCGCCTTCAGGGTACAACTCGATACGACTCGACCAAGAGAACACAAAGGCTCTCACCATCTTCAATTGCCATGGCAGTGGCGAAGGAGGAATAACTATGATAAACTGTATTGTCATTGTACGATTGAGATTGAGATTATTAGCACACACACATATATATATATATATACGCGCACTTTATACTGTTAATACTATCTGTTAGGAAACCAAAACAAGACATACAATTCTCAACAGAAATTCTAATCCTTTCGGTCGACTAGAAGAATCCACTCATTGCAGCTGCTGGCAACAAATATCCTTAAACAATATAGAATGTGATTCCTTTAGACAATAAATCCGAGCATTAGATTATTCAAAAGCACTGAGTGTTGGAAGCGTACCTGGAATCTCAAAGAAAGCCACCCACGGAGTCTTCGAGCGCAGTCCTCAAAATGCAGATCGCGTAGCAGGGGAAGAAACAGGGCCCCTTGGACGAACATGCCACATAGATAAAGGCGCGATTCTTGACAGAACACAATATCCTGGCCAAACTCTCGCTTCGTGAGCACAAAAAACATAACAATGCATGAACCAAACTCACACCCGATATAAAATCCGCGGCTCTGTAAAATGAGATTGATACTGAGCCTCGGTCACATCATAAAACTAGAAATTATCTCGAGAAACAACTGCTGCGCAGGACTATTTTAAAGTAAGGACCGAGAGAAGTTCATTATACTCACAAGGATAATACTATCACGACTGCTATGCCATCATGTAAGCAATTATCTCCTTGAACCCTTTGAACTAAATGGAAGCCGAAAACATCATAAAAATACCACTATAGCAGCCATTGCCATCCACCTTCCTATTCCATACCTACGTGCACCACCAATATCAATACCCCTCAATCACGCGTCCCACAAACCCTTCCAGAGCCGCCACCCCTTTCTCCCCCCTCTCATTGCCACCAAAGAGACCCGGTCCGCCACCGGGTAGCACCAACACCTTGGCACCCACTTCGACGAATTCTCTCGAGGCAATAAATTGGAACGTGACAACCGTTGAAGCCGCCGCTGCAGTGTCGGCCAAAGTGCCCAAGCTCGTATCATCGTCGTCGAACCCAAAGCCGAACGATCCGTCCTCGTCGTCCTCCGGGGTTTCTGGAGCAGTCGTGTTTGCGTTCATAGAGGTAGTCTCGGAGGCGACGGACACTACTTTTGCAGAGGCTCGTACACTCGCAACATACGCAACAACGGCGCTGCCTACAGTGAGGCTCTTGACAGCCTCAGCATTAGCCCCCAAAAATCGGACCGCAATCACTCTGTTCGCTTTGGCCGCTCCATCAATTAATACCATGCCTTTTCTAATCCTCACTACCGTTGGACTCGCGATAGGCAGATCCAATGGTACTACCCCTATGGTCCCGACCTGACCTGCATGTAGACTCCGCACAGGCAACCGCAGATTGCGAAGGGAAGTTATACGCACGCGTCGCCATTCCGCGTTTCGCTCTTGCCCATAAGATCTAGATCGCAAGGCTGAATTGCCAGCTTGGCCTTTATGCAGCGCTCCGGGGAAGGAGCGGGATGTTGGAACAGGTGAGTTTCGGTGCGAATGGCTTGGAGGGGTCGATCTTCTCCCACTACCGCTATCGCTGTCATCTGAGACCGTGTCCACAGGATATGGGCCGAGAAGTAGTTCGTGGCCAACATGCAGTGTTCCGTAGCAAAGGTGGCCGCCTACGACCGCTGATCGATCAGAAGATGTTGAGGCGCTCAGCGAGAGGGGTTTGGAAGGCGCTGGGATGTTGCTATATATATCCTCAATATAAAACAGTGTACGAGGAGAGTCACCAAGTGGTTCCGGAATAGCGGGTAAAGGAAGCTCCCGGAGGAAAGCATGGAGTTTGTTTATGCCGGATCCTTTGACTGCGCTTGTGAAGATAATGGGGACCAGTGCAAGGGGGTCAGATTCAAGCGTCTCGACTACTCGCCCCGCCTCTAGAAGGTCGTCGGCAGAGACCACGTTCAAGTCCGCTTCTGAAACAGATCCAGGCGTGTCGGAAACAAAGCATGGCTTTCTTCTAGCGTCCTTGAGGGCTGACAGCACTTTGGCCAATGTTTGACGGAGTCCGGGCTTGTTGGCAAGGTCCAATTTTGTGATGATGACTAGCAAAGGTAATCCCAAATTCAGGCAGAGTTGGAGGTGGGTCTGCGAAAGGTCAACGTCTGCAGCGCCCGGACCAAGCACCTCCTGGGAAGTTGTGGAAGCGCCAATTCTCCCAGAAGAATCTTCTGTGTTGTCTGCAGGTATGCAGAGCAAAGTCCAATGGGGGTCCCAACCCACAAGTCCTCGGACAGTTGTTCGACGAAAGCGGGGGTGTCCCGCAGAGTCAGAAATAAATACCAACCTCCCCCCTTCTGCGGTCGCATGGATATCGACCCACGAAGACACATTGCCAGCGCCATAACTGACCACCTGAGCTGAAGTTCTCGTACCGTTCTGGTCGTTCACATCCTGGTAGCCAATCAACTCCTGTGTAACAGAGCTCGTCATCCCGGAGACAATCTCATGCCTATGTTTCAAAAGGCTTAACCGACTCTTTCCCCGCCCGTTATCTAGGGTGGCTGTGGACAGGCTACCAAGCAGGCTGGATTTACCAGACATGGTAGCACCAGTCAGCGATATGCGTAGCTGTTGGGTGCATCTCGGAAAGTCATTGGTGGCTGCTACAGAGGGAGGAACACTAAGGGCAGGGGTGGGTGGTGAGATGCTAGAATCCTTCTGGCCTTCTTTGGCGTCCTCCTGATCAATCAGGTTTTGATCTGGTCGAATGAAGGCTTCCGCAACCCAGAGCTTCCCGGACTTCACGCTTTGCTGTAGCAGATCTTCAACCCACTCACAGTCACCTACAGCGACCATGCGGAGGATATCCACGCAACAGCCCAGACTCGCAGCCATTGCACGTAAATTGTTTAGGCTCTCTTCCATTTCATCTTCAGCCAAACCCACAAAAGAGCCATCATCAGCGACCCCGATCTCGTACAGGGCGCCCTTGCTCTCCTCCAGACCGGGAAGGAGCTGCCTGGGCACTGCAGGGGCAGAGAGGTTTGCCTCACCTGCGAGATGTGGCAGGACCAGGTCTGTGGACGAGGATATGTGATACGGGCAAGACTGCTGCAATCGCCACAGTAACTGAGTGGTCAACTGTTCAAGGCGGTGCTGCCGCGCTTGGGTGGATGACAGGGGAGGAGGAGTGTTCGACAGGAGTCCAGCCTCAGACACACTGCGGCTGACAGATGAGGAGGCAGGAGGTTCTGTGCGACGCAGTGACCCTGAGATATGTCGTCCGGTACTGGTCCGTGTGAAGGATCTGCGGCGCCGGAGCAGCAGATGAAGCTTGTACTCTGTAGGCCCCTCTTGCGGTTCTGCCTCTAGCCTCGTAATGCCACTGTAATCCTCGTCCACGCTGACGGGGTTGGGGAAAGCTCGGTGGGCCGCAGCGGTTACCGCCCGGGATGGAATTGTTGCGGAATCCTGCGGGATCGCATGGTTTGGCCTAGCGTCTGGGGGAGGAGTCGACCACGGAGAAGACACTCGTGGCGGATCAGGGTCAAACGTGAATATTGAGGCCATGTTGTTGTTGCTGTGGTGTTTGGACAGAGCGACCCCGAGGGTGACGGTCAGGCGACGGATCTTAGGCTGCGAAACACTGCCGCATGCGAAGCAAGGAGTCTAGAGGCGATATAGACCGAGAGTTGGTGTGCGAATAGTGGGTATGGAACAGGTGCGACAGTAAAGGAAGCATTTTGGGCGAGTTGGAAAACAGTTGAGGATGAGTCTTCTTGCAGACAACTGCGGATGCAGTTGCAGGGTGATGAGTCCCCTCCGTGGACTAAATTAGAGAAAACATAGTCATGGCGACATGAAGCGGTGATGCTCGTGTCTTGCAATGCAGATGTGTCGGTGGTGGTGCGAATCGAGGTTGTCGGCGACGTGGTTCAATTGAGGTTGCTTTAGAGTCACGATTGAAGGTGGCCCAAGCTTGTTCGTGGGGAGTCATTCACGCCCATCACGTGTTCTTGACTCCTCCTTGCACCTCACCGACACAGAGGATTCCCAGAGGGCCCAAAATCGAACCCATATTGACCAATTGCATCTTCCAAGGAGAGGCCGCAATTGGGGGTTACTCTGGGCGCATGCAGCCCTCCGGACAAATCCTTCGAGCAATCCTTCCAAAGCCATAGGGCGTAGGGCTGAGGGTTTCCGTAACATGGAAGGGCAAGACCAACCTCTACATTCTTCATAGCTAAGTCGACGGTGTGTCTGACACCAAAGCACGGCAGGGCGATGAAGGGTGAGTGGAGTACATATCACACAAACCAGAGAACATGTAAGACAACACCCAGACCAGATACCTTTCACTACGCCTCCAACACATTGACTCCACAAAATGACTCAATCGTCGCAGTCAGGGACCAATGTGGCTCAAAGATGCCATGCAGCAAAGCAAGTCACATCTCCGCATGGCATCACTCTCGTACGAGACCGTTGGTTTTCCGGACCAACTGCTCTGCACCCTGCTGCTGTCTGAGGAGCGCACGTTTACGCTGCCAGAGCGACAGGAGAAGGACGTCGTGAATACATTGCATCTGCACTGTGCTTTTCCATTTGTATTTTCAGAATCATGAACTTAAAAACCGGTCTCATCGGCAGGTCCGAATGCAAGTGCTCATCTGCCGCCGCCACTTCTCGGCTCTTTTCTCCTACGGGAAGCGGTGCAGGCTATTATTTGAAATCGAGGCCCCGGAAGAGCACGGTGCTTCGATCGTCGCCCAGGGTATCTCCCACAGGCCATGGTTGTTCATTTCTAGGTTGGAGTTGGACTGAAACATGAGGGGGTGAGCGCTTACGACATACTCATACTCCGTAAATGGACAAGCGACAGTGGGCAGTAATGAAAACGTTCTGCTCGAGCGCTGAAGTCATGTTGTATAATATCACGAGATTCTGCCTTCCTCTACTCTCTAATGTCCTCAAAGGTCATCGATGAGATCATTAGCGCGAGATCGTTGAAGCTCCGATGGATGTAGTCTGTGAAGAAGGGGACCAACCAGGAAGATATGCAAGCGCCGATGTCCGAGTCCGACGGCCGGTTCGCTGTTGAACCCCTGCAGAGGCTGAGTAGGAACGTATAATTAGCCCGACGAAGTGGGTGCAGACATCTGATACTTTGCAGGCAGCCAATCGAAAGACACCAGATGCAATAAAGGCCATTTTATTTCACCCGGCCATTTTGCACTAGAGAAGCACGCTTTGCAACGCCGACCAGTTGGCCTTCATCCTTGCGGCATACAAGCCGCAAAGTGTCGGCAGGCCAACGCTGCAAGCCAGCGACATGGAGATACACCCGCGTCCAGACGGTTGGGACGGGGTCGAAACCGCCTCGCGGGCAGCCTCACCCTAACGTGGGTGAGGCTTGCAGTTTGCGTGGTTTGATTCCGCGAGCAGTTTAATGAAGGATCAAAACGCTTCGCGGGTGATGAGATACTCTCTCGTTCCTCCCGTCTTGTGTGACTGGTCATCTGCGATCGATTCCTCCCGCATGTGCTTCTTTCTTTTGACGGGCCACTATTTGGACGAAAGGGGATCGTGCTGGACACCATCTACCAGAAAGAGACAAGCGTGACGCCGCGGGCGTGAACTGGACACAACAGTTGGATCGCCTGCATCACCGGCATCCGCAGGGCTGGAATGGTGGGAATGGAACGGTGCTTGCAGGTCGACAAACCAGCAGTCCAAAAAAATTAAAATTTCGCTGGTCAGGTTAACTCTGGCCTAATCTTGCCTGATGCTTCAACGTCGCAATTATTTCCCCGTGATTCCCTACCACAACCTTGAGATCACGAAACAATGGCAGCCTGCAAATATGTACAGGATCCAGTAGCCTTCGTGCGGGGTTCTTAACAGCACCAATTATGCATGCGCTGGTGTGTTGGTGGTGAAGCGCGAGTGCGCGCATGCTGACAAAGCTCGACATGGCTTCAAATGTTCGAAGCAGTGACTCGAATACTCTTCCTGATCACCGACGCAATTCTTCATCTTGGCAGGCGCAGGGAAGAGCAATCGGCGTCGATGAAAGCGTGAATACTTGCATACCGCTCGTAGCGCAGAGATAATTAAAGTGGCTTGCGACGGGCTGACGTTGTTGATGCCACACAAAATCGATGACAGACGGAGACACAGCGTTGTGATTCGAGAGGTCTTACGCTGTATGGGACTCGGTTCAGTATCTTCTCACCACAATGGATGGCCTTGTCTGCGTCTCTGATGACCGCCCGGCACCCAACCAAAGTAGCACGAGCTTAGACAGGGCGACCAAGCATAAGGGTAAAGTCATGGGACTCGTGCCTTACGTTACAGCCGTGACACAAAACGCAGCCCTACGCCGCATCGTTATGTCCGTCTGACTTTTGTGCTGCAGGAAGTGGTGGATGATGCCGCAGGCTCGTGCCTTTTTCCCTATCTGCATTGTTCGGTATCGGGATGCTTCATTTGTGATTCGCCAATAGTGGCGTAGACAGAACTGGGCCATCTTCTCTGCTCCAATCTTTTCCCTGACATCCTTCCCGCGGGTCCGTTTCCGCCTCCGCTCATCTTAAACGGACGACCCATGCGGTCCTCATCTGTCAGCCAAACAATCTAGGTCATGTCAGCACTCTGTTTTGACTGCGGCGCAGTCAGAGAAGTGGCCATTCAGAAGACCTCGGGGCCAAATAACGAGCAAAGAACGGAGAGTTCGCCCGGACCGACGCAGAGGGAAAAGGCGGTCTGCCGTTTCGCATCGAATGACTTGTAGTACCAAGATGCAAGATCCTCTTTCTGGTGCTGTTTTGGTGGCCGCTATCTCTGAGTCTGGTGCAAAACAACCTATGAAGTCGTCTGTCTGCAATGCCACGGTAGTCTCCTTCGGGTGCCCAAGGTATAGGCCGGAAAACTGGACTCCGGGTCAATCTGCAAATCGTGGGTACGTCTCTTAACGATTACCATGCGTGTCGGATGGTTTGCCTGAGTAGGGTGCTGCAGGCCTTCGGACCCGTGTTAGAGCCCCGGCCCCGACCGGGTGCTAGGAGATGCTTGATTTCCGTCAGAGGGCAAGGCGTGAGCGAACGTAACGGGGTTCGCGCGCCATCCATCCAAATCAAGTATCAACCAACAACGGGGTGACGTTCAGCATGCGTACCACTTCCTTCTGACACCTCTTTGCCGTCTCCCACATAGCCTTGGCGTGCATGCCCGCCAGCGATGAGCACTTTCGTCGAACGACTGGCTGTAGCCTACACGTTCTAGGGTAAGCTTGTGCCGGAAGCAGTATCCAGGTCGTAAACTAGTGTCGCTTAGCCAATCTTCAGGCCCTGAGACTTTTCTGCGTTCGTTTCAAGGTGTGGAGGTTGAACGAGGAGCAAATGGATTGGTCCCTTCGTTGACCAGCGCCCCACAATGAATTATTCTGTCAAGAGACTTAGTCCACGATCATCCGAGACCGAACCTCAGGAGGGCAGGTGTTCTTGACACTTGCAGTCCCCGATCCGAAACCGTTTTACTCGATTGCAGTAGATATTGTCTCGCGATATGATCTTAGTGGTGGCCAAATATGGTCATCATGTACTTTCGAGAGGTATCGTGATCTGACAGGCAGTTTTCTTTTTTCAGTATGCGTCCAACAACACTTGCTCTGAGAACGACGGTCTCATCGGCCCATCTATTGCTTCACAAGGCTTCCCGCCCCAATCATGCCCCACCTCATGCCCAAATCTCTCATCATCTCGTACGGAAAATATCGAAAGTGCCGCCACTGGTATCAATACTCGTGTCTGTCCTCATCTGCTTAATCGTTGCACAACCCAGCCGCCTGTCTCGACCTGGAAATTAGGCGAACGCACAAAAGCCCCCAAGCAGAGCTAAAAACTGTGCCAATGAGCGAAATAATGCCTAGGGAGGGTCGACACTTCATATCAAAGTTAAAAATAATACCATTTGATGCGCCAGCTGGCTCATAGGGAGACAACTGTCTGCCCGGTGAGCAGCTGGAATTAAATGAAGCAGTCATGGCTTTCCCCAACCCTTGAAGCGACCTTTGCTTGAACTTCCCCGCCCCTACGGGTACTTTGGCGACGTCTGCAGCCACCTCATCCAGATTGGATTGTGCTACCGTGACCTTGCAGATGATCAACGCCAAAATTCCATCGTTGCTGACATGTGCACCGTGTTTGGAGTGCAAGCACCCAAACTTACAATGATTCCCCAAAGCAACCTCAGCCCTTGAGCTTGCTTCAACCCCTGAGAAGTCTAAAGATGCCTCCTGATAGCATGCAAGTCTAAACAAAACGTCGTCAACTTTTTGAACAAAAGGGTGACAGGAGAATTCGATAAGAATAGATTGCAAATGCGAAACGCTGCAAGAACTCCAACCCTGATGCATAATCCACCGGCCTGTATACCATACCGAAATCTTTCCCAAAACATTATGATCCAATACATAACAAAACCATGGGAAGGGCTTGTTTGGAGGTTGTCGGCATCTCCGAACTGTGATATCGGGTGGCTGCATTAGGATACCGCTGGGTCCTTGCGTAAGAGTAGGATGTCGTTTTGGAAGGTATTGTGAAGTGACAATACTTCCAGAAAATATTCCACGTCTTCCCTGAACGCCTCTTTGCCATCCCGAACCACCCCCTTTCCATGAACAATTGAACGCCGCCCAAAACCATGAGGAGATTCGTAAGATGACTCTCGCGGAAGGCCCAAGCGTTTCATGCTCAGCCCTACCGCTTACCTGCTCGTATCTGACGTTCGTCGTGGCTTGCATTTCTCGTGAGCCATATGGCCGTTCCTGGCCGTGGTACGAGTGAATTCTGCCCCGCAGCGCGGGCAGTAACTTTTTGCCGCCGTACCGGACTTCTCTCGTTGGTGGCGTAGCAAATTGCTGAATGTCGAAAACTGCCGTCCATTGCAACCATGCTCCCAGCATTGAGGCTTCGGTCGAGCACCCACTATGCGCGGTGGCATTACGCTAGAATTCTGGCTTCCAGGTGATGAAGAAAGCCCAGGAACGGTGGTTGAATGATGTGGAGCTAGCCCGGCTGGCGGGTCATACGATGAGTATGGGGCAGCTGAGGTGGAAGGAGGGTACATTGTGGTTGGGAGGGAATTGTACGGATCATAGCTAGATGGGGGGTAGATAGGCGGTCTATGAGGTATTAGGCCTGGCTGCGGTAGGTGGGATTCAGACTTACGGTGGATAGCTAGAGGAGGTACTCGCCATTGTACCAATGTTTTGGCCAGGTAGACTGGTATGAATTGCTGGGTAGGGATAACTATGCGGGGCAGAGCTGAGCATTGGAGAAGGTTCGCTAGATGGAGGATAGCTGATAGGGGTTGGACTTGCACGCATGGAACCCAGAGGTGGCTGATATGGACTTCGTGGAACTGATGGTTGATAGGGAGGTAGCACCGTTTGCTCGCCGGGTCTGCTAGAATGTCTGTGGTTTTGAAGGCTAGGGCTCGATGTATAAGATGGCACATACGTTCCCGAGCTCTGAGGTGGAGGTTGGGATGATCGAGGTTCAGGGTACGTTTGTTGATTCATTGATGGATAGCCTGTACTGTTAGCTCTTGGACAATAGAAGATTCGTTGGGTCTCTTACTTGGCGAATCAAGAGTTGGTGGAGAGCCGTAGTGGTGGTCCAGAGAACCGTATTGCGCAGGCATCTGAAAACCCAATATGCTAACCCTGAGTCAATGATGGGAAATCAAGAGGAGCTACAAGACCATTTACCTCATATCTTGCAATTCCACGGACGGATCCTGTGGATGATCAGGGTCTGGTGAGAGGTGGAATTCGTATTCCCCAGCAGGGTGGCTGCCAGACAGCGAAGGTAATGGAGACGGAAGAAGATCAGAGCCAGACGAATGCGGAAGTTCAAATTGTTCAGGCTCTGACTGAGTCGATATCGGCACAAAATCGGTAGGTGAGCGTTGGGGTGAGTGATAGGGAGGGAGATCGAGTGGTTGGGAGAGAAGTAGGCCAGGAGGCGGGTTTTCTTCAAATCCAGTCGGATGGGAGGTGTTGCAACGTGGAAGCGGCTCGAGGATTTCGGAAGGATCCCAGACGGGTGTATGTGTCTGTTCAGGCTGGTAGGTGACAGATATGCGGCGAGCGGAAGGCAGTGTTGCGGCACGGCGCGAACGGATATTCCGTAGCTGTGGGAGCTCCGGCGGTTGGATAGACAAGCTCTGGTCGGTACGGGTTCTAAGTCTGCGTGAGATGGTCGAAGTCTTTGGTTGTTGTTTGGGAGACCGAGGGGTCATGATCAACAAGAGAAGGGCAACATAGGTTTAAAGGTGGAGCGCTGGTGGGGTAAACATACTTTTTAGTGTTCCTGGATTTGGATAATTTTGGTGGACTTATAACAGCCTTATGGGTCAAGGAGCACTCGCAAGGCAGACTTGCGGCATTGATCTTGATTTCGAGAAGCGACCTGCGCCATGCCGGGGGTTCTTGAGGGTATATACTGGTATAGGGTATCTGAGCTCGAGTAACTTACAGGTGTGATCCGACTCCAACATCATTTTCGGGACAGCGGCTGGTGACTGGTTTGTGCCTTGAAGGATGGGGCCCTGGACCATGCGTGCGGGCCAAGCTCCCGACCGTTTAGTGCAGGACGTGCACGCGCGAAGGGTGCTTGCCCTTGGAAGCGGCGAGGATCTTGGGTCCAAGGGACAGGCGAGCATTTCTGGAGCCGGTGCGTTGATGCCATGAATGGTCGTCATCGACTCAGGCGACCCTCCAAGTAACACAGAACTCAACTCACACCTGGTCGCCCGCATTTGCCAGACTAAGCATTGCGTGCGTTGCCCGAACTCCTGGTGTGCCGCTCGTCGGCTGCTGTGTCTCTGCCAGCTGCTGCGCGTGCATGGCGCTGGAAGAGGCGCTGTGTTGCCAGCGAGAGAAGAGAAAGCACTGCTCCCGCACAATGTTGGTGGCGGACAAGGGTAGCCGCACCGGGCGGGCAGAGCCCTACCACGCAGAGCTTGGTGGTTTCAAGGGGCCCTGTCGGGGAAAGATGCGTGAGGCCAGTGCGAAAATAGGTGATGAGAGGGTGGATTGAATTGGGTTGTGGCGCGTGCACTGACTGCTGCTTCACATCCAAGCCTCGCCGGAGAGAGTTGGCATGAGAGAACCTAAGCCACGGCGATCATTGTTTGAACGAAGCCGGCGGCGGACCATCAACACCAGACTGCGTGTTATGCGAAGCAGGGAGTTCAAGGCTCGTGCTTCTATATTTGACCCCAGTGCCCGTCCATCGCATGAGTGAATGAGTAGCAGTCTCCACCGATCGATGTCGACGGTCAGACACGGGCCGCCCTCAGCAACGGCACATGGTGCGTCACGTTGAAGACAGTCAGGGCTGCTGGGATCAGGACTTCTGGAAGCCATATCGAAGCTGCAGCAGCATCTGCTGTTACAACATGCTGCATAGGAGGGGGGTACAGTAAGATGACAATCTGCAAACGGACAGCTGATGTGTGATCGATGGAGACGGCCGATGAAGTCCAGGAAGCTAATTTCCGCCCCAATGGACCACGCCCACAATTGACATCGCCGTGTCCGAGTCCGTGGACACGCTGGCAGCACCCGTTGACGCTATCAAGGCGTTGCGGACCGAATGATGAGCGAGGGTTACTCGGAACAGACGGCGCTGCATTGGGCATGCAGAGCGCTGCCGAGAGCCCTGGAGCAACTGCCCGGCCTAGTGCAGAAGCCATCATCGAACCTCGACAGCTGCATCTGCATCTGCCACCTGGGGGTGGACATTGCGTGAGTTGTAAGCGGTGGCCAGTGAGCGCAGAAATGCGGTCGCTAAGTTGCGCAATTGGGGCAATGGGAGTATGGCGAAACATGAGTTCTGCATTTTGGTGCAGCGAGTCTGACGTAAGGCAGTGGTAAGCCCCCTTGGCCATCTCTGATTGGACGACAGGAAGTACGACGCACACATCGACGGCGAGTCTGCCGCGTCCGGCAGGCGGCTGCTGTGGCGGTCTTCATGGATGCCGCAAAACCCGGCCATCGTGTCAAGTTGTCAAGTGCAAGGGCCTTCCGGGATACTTGCGCCGCAGGCATCAAACTCGGAGAATTCCAGACCCAAGGCGACTCTCGAAAGTCGATGCCAGTCAGTTGCGGACTCGGCCTTCGGTGATGTCGGCCGTTCCCTCGATCTTGCCAGGGGCTGCGAGTTTGATGAAAGCAACCGAAGGGTTGTGACCTGCTCGCCGAACGGGCCACGGACGGGTCCTCGAGAAGATCATACACGTTCGATTGTGACGTACGTCCCCCACAACTTGAATCATCTTGACCATGTTTTGCAAGGGTAGCTGGGACGGGTGGCGCAGTTGCGCAAGATGAATACGGGTACCTGCAAGATTGGTCCTCAAGCAACTTTCGGGGCGATACACAGCATCTTTTGGAACGTTAGGGCGGGGTCGTGGACAACTGAGAAGACGACAGGAATGCTCGACTGTGCGAGCATGGAGACATCCACCATTACTCGCGGCACAGACGAGTGCGAGCAGCGGGCCTGATATGGTGAACGTGGAGGTGGCCCATAAGGGTGACCTAGCCCTAAGAAGAAACTTTAGACGATATTAGGCCTGATTAGACCTAGGAAAGCAAACATCTCCGTTCCGTGAAGATATCCATAAGCATCTTCTTCTCCCACCATGTCTTGTGCACGCCCATAGTAAACATGGGGAAGTAATAACTTCTATGTTTCAGCCTTTTCAGCAGTTTCAGGAGGATCTGATACGATACGATCGACTCTCAAACAGCTCCTCGAACACTGGCCACTAACCACTGACCACTGACCACTGAGTTGATGTGGAATCGGTCAAAGTGGCAGCCACGCTTGCCAGGACGTCGCGGAAGATGTTTGTTCGTCACTAAATGAGCTGCTGACTGCATGGACGTTTCATCGCTTCGTAGAATCGTGTTCTAGTCACGGCGAACCCGTCCAAAATTTCATAACATAGTAGTGCAAGCTAGAATGCGACGGCGATCCTGAGAGGTAGTCCAGGCGGTCTTTTCCAAACCCATACGTATTCCAACGACACGGTAACAACGAAACAGGAAACGCATTCTGACCCTCCTGGAAATTGTACTGTAGAGAATAATGCCCGTTTGACAGCTTCTCACCTGTGGATTTGGGCGAGGCTGGCTGGTCCCTGACCTTTGTTCGCCGAGCGGGAGGTGTGCCGACTGGAGTAAGGCGCACGAAATCGAGATACTTGAACTACTACCACGTCTCCTATTGGGCGGGATCGCTGCAAACAACATCGATAGTGAGATGACCAACACGCCAGCCCCAAAAGGCATGCTGGTCGTCTGATATGAATGTAAGCATTGAGTGCGCAGATGGCACGCATTAATTAACAGCTCTCTCATGCCGCTTGTCTGCAGAACTTGTCACCATTTTCTAAACTTCAAACAAAAGAGAATTCTGCCTCGCAATATCCGAAAATAGACATATCAACTTCGCCACCCCGCAGGCCCACTGCGGGAGATTACCCGAAAATCTCTAGTGTCGTGCCAAACCCAGCTAACCTAGGACAGTTTCAGAGGCGAGGAAGTATCAGGATCTGATTGGTAAGACTCTTTCCTGAGATAGTTAGCCGGTAACAGGACTTCGTCAACCGGATGACGCGACCAGAGTACCTTGGTAGTCTACCTTGACTTCATCTCTCAACACCTCCTTCCAATTTTTCGTCGGACACCGATGTTTTCGCCGGTAATAGCTCAATGCAGATCATCGAATGATGTTGGCAGTGCAGGCAAACAAATTCCGTAGCACGAGATTCAAGAATCCCGACCACATGATATTATTGAAGTGAGCTTGCTGGAAACCAATTGTTCATCCCTATCATACCAATATCCACTAGTGTGGTATGCAAGTTTTGTTCTGAGACTATGTTGGGTGTGGGCTTTCATCTCGGGATAGCCTCAAGAGCGTGACGGAAGATATTCACAAGTTTACAAGGCTCTTCTAACCCAACGCTAAATCGCACGAGGTTTGCTTCCACACCGTATGATGCACACTGCCAATATCAACTCAATGCACCATTGTAATCTCTCAGAGAAACTCACCCAGTCCAACTCTCCATAATGGGCAAGGATTACGTAAGGCGAGCTGCCGATCAGTTAGCACCAACGCGACGATCCAAGGTGAATGGTCTGGAAGATTGGCAAACCTTAAAGTGAAGTTGGTTCCCAGGCTTGGCCCCTTGGCCGTGTCAAGATTGTCAAAGAAAGCCACGGAGTCTTCTTTCGAAAAAAAGGTCGCTGATAGGAGACCGCCATAACCGCCATTTGGGGTACGGCATTTGTCATAGAAAGGCCTTGTGTCGCTGAACTTAGGATAATTGACTTGCTTCACTGTCGGCGCATGTCAGTTAGTGATGTTTGAGATCTCTTACGGGAGATAGCAGCTTACCACGTGGATGCGCACGTAAGACGTCGCAGATGGCCTCTGCGTTAACATTGATACGTTCAATGCGCGAGACGAAGTCCCGACTATTGCGCTCGAGGAAGATGCTATCCTCAGCCCAATGGTTGTCCTCGAAATTATTCTCCCAAGTTCGTTTGAGGATGTTGTAAGACCTCCCTTTAGGATTTAGGATGGCACTATTGGATCTTAGCACACAGTTTCATCTGTCTGAGATTCTGCGCTTACCTTCCTCCCATAACGTTACTATCGCCGCTGAAAACTTTGGTCAGGCTACTGACGACAACATCTGCATAGGGGAGGACATGAACATTGAGGAAGTTCCCAACCGTTTCATCAACGACCACGAAGAAGTCATACTTGTCAGCGAGGCTATGGATGCGCTCCAAATCTGGTGAACGCAAGAGTGGGTTTCCAGGAAACTCGGTAAAGAGAGCCAGATATCTCTCGCCGTCTTTCAGTCGTCTTTCAAGGTCATCCAGCTCTTCCGATGAACCAAAGCCATAAAATAAACAACCAGGTCCAAACTTCTGCGTTACTTTGAGCGTATCTATGTAAGGAAACCTGACGTCGTGAGCTTGCTACCCTTCCATTATCGCTCTCACTTACCCGAAGACAACGCTCTTCAATAGGCCTTTCGCGGCCATCAGACTCTGGTGGGTCATAAATATTGCATTCATTCCACATGCGTAGAGGTATACGTCGTCTTCTGAGAATCCTGCTACCTTGCGTGTTCGTTCTAAGTCTTTCTCTAGAGCTAAGGCCTCAGTCAACCCAACATCTGCTGTCAGCGACCCGGCTATACGTCGACGAACCGCTAGCTTCGCATTAGAGGTCATCGAAATATCAAGGTTTCTTCCAAATCTCTCCTCAACAAACTGAGTAGGGTCCTGTTCTGCGGCACTATCAAGCCGATCCGAAATATTGCTTAGATCGATGGAGGTCTTCTTTTGATACCGCCGAGGCCCTTTACAAAATCGAGCTGACTCCTGGATAGTCGCAGAGTCTACAAGGACGCCTTCATCAAATAGGGCGTGGCAATACTCTGCTCGACGGCTAGAGATACCGTCCCCGGAATGCTGCCAATAAGTTTTGGCAATCTTAAATTTTTCTTGAGGGAAAAGAATTGCCGATATCTTTGGAGAAATAATGGCACACTCTTCAGATCGCGCTTTCTTCGCAGCGGGAACAAGATCCAGGATTCGCACTTGCTGGGGTTCCAGTTCCGGGTCTTGGTGGAAAAAGAATTCAAGACACCTTGATGCAGCAGCATGAGAAGGGAAAATAATTGCTCGTGCTCCAGCCTCTCCATATTTTTTCACAATAGCAGTGGCAAACTTCTCGATGGATTTGTGTATGAAGAATCTACTTGTTTCAGTGCCATGCAGGGACGGTACTCGAAGGGCATACCTTGGGTAACCGGTCTTCATTTTGCTTAGAACCCATTCTTCCCCTTCCTCGTAGCCTACATTTGCACGCCAGGTAGGCAATGAAACGCTCACAGCCTTCAGTGTGTCAGAGAGACCTAAGCAAAGGTGGGGAGCCAATGTTTGACTCACGTGCGCAGTCATTGATGGGATAGTCTCCCCCACCTCGACGTCATTTTCAAACGCCATTGAAATTGTCATAGCAAATTATTCCGAATGTTATCGCAACTGTGATAGCAAGGTGAAATGGGCAATGAGAAGTTAAACAAATGTTAAGAACTGCGGTGCAACGATGGCAAAGAGGAAAGTGTTAGACTAAGCCATGAGCGGGTCGCGTTTGGGCCAACTCCGATGTTCGGCTCGCAAAACTTAAGGTTATCGATAATGGGCCCAGCCACAGACCAAGCCACTCGCGCCACAGCCCCAGAATTTCTCCAGAAAATTTGCCAATACAAACCTTTCATGACTTTCGCACATACTCCACTCAGCGCACATCGACAATGCCCCCCCCCGCCGCGAAACGAAGAAAATTGAGTTATGGCGACGGTGAACAGAGCGACGTGAGCTTTTTAGACTGTAATCTAGATTTCGTTCGTCCAAGCGATGAGATTCTCGAGGAGAGCGGAGCCAGCGACAACGATAGCTCAACACATGATCGAACCAATCTAGAAGATGAACAGTCGGTAGTCAGTAAGGACTTTGAGCCTGACGAAGAGAGCAACACGCTGCTACCTCCAGATTCATCAAGAGCAACGCATAGGAACAATGTCCAGCCGGCGACTGATAATAAGCCCCATAGGAGGCAGGAGCCGATGCTTCAGGATGGGGCTTACACAGCTGAAGTATACAAGTCAAACTTGTTCAAACTCCAGGTTGACGAACTCCTGCAACAACTCAAGCCAAAGTATGGAAAGAAAGAAGCGCCAGCGGAAAAGGCGATGTGGACTCTCAAGACCATTATCGAGCAGATACCCAGCCGAGCTCCTCTTTCGGTACAAGCTATGACATAGTTCATATTCACTATGCTAACGGTTTCCAGATTCCGGACTCAGAGACTGCACTCGAGTCTGAGAAGATAGTCATACCTTTCCCCAATCCACGACCACCAAGAGACGCAAAATACAAAATGCAATACGACCGGCCAACGAGCATAAATGCTATAGGCAGCTATCCCTTGAAAACGACGACTCGGGCTGAAGATGAATTGGCCATTGACTTAGCCGTGACCATGCCTAAGTCCTTATTCCAAGAGAAGGACTACCTCAACCATCGGTACTTCTATAAACGGGCGTTTTACCTGGCATGTCTAGCGGCTGGTATTCGCGGCTCGAAGGAACATAAATTCAATGCCTCGTTTGAGCTCCTGAATGGGAATCAACTGCAACCCATCATCGTCATTCGCCCAATTCGAGATGGTAACGCTGATGACTTTTCAGCCTCTAAGTGTCGAATTCACATTTTACCCGCCCTCCCAGACAAGATGTTCTTGGAGAGCAAACTACGACCGGATTCCAACTGTATTCGTCCCAAGGACTCCAATGATAAGCCCGAGAGCATGAGACCTAAGCCCACACCATTCTACAATGCTACAGTTCAGTCCGATGCCTCGATTTCTCCCTACCTTAAATTCCTCCATTATTCGTCTAGTAAGTGCAACGCCTATAAAGATGCTTGCATCCTTGGTCGCACTTGGCTGAGACAACGAGGTTTTGGAGGCTCTGCCAGGAATGGCGGCTTTGGCAATTTCGAATGGGGCACAATTATAGCGATTCTCTTACAGGCGAATCTTGGAGATGGAGTTCCACCCCTTTCTTCTGGATATAGCAGCTACCAGCTGTTCAAGGCAACTCTTCAATTTCTTGCGACTCGGGATTTAATTAAGGCTCCATACGCTTTCAATTCCTGCTACAACTCCAGCGACTTCTCGGTTTCCACGGCAGAGTCGACACCTATCTTTTTCGATGGTCCTAGAAACATAAATATCTTGTTCAAGATGAGCCCTTGGTCCTATGAAAGGCTACGGTCGGAAGCAGAGTTGACTGTTGACATGCTTGGAGACTCGGTGTTTGATCAATTCGATTCGACTTTTATCCTCAAAGCCAATGCCCCGAATTATCGTTACGACACTACTTTAGAAGTCCCTTTGGCCGCATTTGGATTTGACTCCATGAGTGAAACGCACGATCAAGATATACTCCAAGCATGTCGAAATATGTACTTTATCCTCGCACGGGCGCTCACGAATCGAGTCACAACTATAAGCTTTCATATGCCAAATCAAGGGAGCTGGCCAGTGACTTCGCGGAGGCCTCCAGAGGACCAAAAAAGGCGCATTCTCATTACTTTTGCGACCAATCCATCCTACGCAAATCGAACTGTTGACTATGGGCCAACTGCGGAGAACAAGAAGGACGCTGCGTCCTTCCGTCAATTCTGGGGTGAGAAGGCCGAGCTCAGACGATTCAAGGATGGGAGCATTCTTGAAAGTGTGGTCTGGTCTTACAAACACAACTCCACTCCAGTCATCCAGCAGATCATACTCTTCATCATCGGAAAGCATTTTAGTGCCAAATTAGCTGGCGAAGCAGTATTTACGACTGACAGACTTGGCCATCTGATTCCGTCTGGACGTATCGTAGGAAAATCAGGGATCGAGCCTTTCTCCCCTCTAATGACTGCATTTGCGACTCTTGATAAAGATATCCGGGGCCTTGAGGGTTTCCCTCTCCAAATCCGTCACATCATTGCTGCGGATCCTCAACTACGGTACTCGACTGTCGAATTTCCAACATATGCCTCCAAAACATTCCCGCACACACCGGCGTCGGTTGTAGTCCAATTTGAGGGGTCTGCCCGTTGGCCTGACGATCTTGCCGCAATTCAACGAACAAAAATAGCATTTCTGTTGAAGGTCGCTGATTTACTATCGTCATCCAAGTCTACATATGTCACACGCGTTGGGCTTGAAAATCCGTCGCAGCCTTCCCTGAATCAAGCGTACCTCGAGATCATTCTCCCATCTAGCCTCTCCTTCAGACTACGGATACATCACGACCGCGAAGCAACTTTACTTGATCGCCAGCTTAAAGACAAATCCTTAGATGGGTTCTCCCGTGAATCTTCAGCTTTGGCACTTGCTGTTTATAAGCGCGAGTTCCAGCATTTACCTGCTCATACGCAAGCCATGCAGTCCATGTGTACGCGGTTTCCTGCTCTCTCACCCTCCATCCGGCTGACGAAACGGTGGTTTGACTCACATCTTTTGTCGCCTCATTTCTCCCCCGTGCTCATTGAGCTTCTGGTCGTGCGTACATTTTTGCAACCCTACCCTTGGCCTGTCCCTTCTTGTGCGACGACAGGCTTTTTAAGGACATTAGCGTGGATCAGTCGATGGGACTGGCGACATAACCCACTTGTTATCGATTTCTCTACTTTCCTTCCTGCCAAGGGTTCCACAGATCTTACAGGGGGCAATACAAAAGGCCTGAAAGCGGAAGACTTGGACAAAATCCACCTATCTTTTGAAGCATGGCGACGGATTGATCCCTCCATGAATCGTGTTGTCCTCTTTGCCGCCTCCAATATTGACCCACAAGGCACGACATGGACGGACCGGGGAATGCCAGAGAAGGTTGTTGCTGCGAGACTAACATCGCTGGCGAGGAGTGCGACTGGTCTTGTCCGAGAGGACGATGACAGACTTATGTCACGTCTGGCGGGGGAGGAGAATCGCGATATACTATCTAACTATTTCACTGCCGAGGCGCTTTTCATACCCCAGCTTAAGGACTACGATGTGGTCATCCACATCTCCTCTGATTTGTCTAGGGCCGGAGAGAAGAGAAAGGAGTCAAAATTCAAAAATCTACAGATCCAGCTAGAGTCACAAGAACTCGGAGATTCGCAGAAAATTGGGTACGACCCCGTCGAGTTATTTGCAAGAGAACTGCAGGAAGTATATGGAGAAGCTTTACTCTGGTTCTGGGACCCTGAAGCTTTAGACGTTATTGCTGGGCTTTGGAATCCTAGCGCCACCGCACAGAGAGGGTTCAAAGTGAAATCTGGTTGGAACAGTCTGCCTGTCAACACTTACAAGCAGGGCCAGAAGAACAACCAAGGCGAGACAAGTCACCAGGTAGAAATCCAAATTAATAAAGGAGCCATACTGAATGAAATTGGGAAGTTGGGTGGGGAGATAATTAATACCATCGAGGTTCGCTAAGTAGGTCGGCGGCCACTACTTGGTTGAAATTCTGGGTTCATCGTGGACTTAGTTTTTTCTGTCCTGTCAGCCCTGTAATGGATGGAACAGATCCGTAAGCAATCGAAGCAAACTCGAACAAACCTCTTGTTAATGACGAAAGAGCTCTGTAGAGCTTCTAAGGACGTGAACCATGTTAATCGATGCCCGTGATAGTGATTAAAGTGTAGAAGTATGCTTCCTTAGGTAGATACCTTTACTTTAAGGAACCAGAAAGTTCAAAGAACCACCATTTAAAGCAACTCAATGGTCGGTCCTAGCGGCAACATGCTTCCCTTCAGGGTCGCGCATGGTGCCGAGGTCGCAGGTGTGACCTGAGCTGCATACGTACTGTTTCGTTGCAGGCAAACGGTTGACCGACAGATGCCTTAGTGTCGACAGAGCCCTTCCGCATTGACCTTAATCATACTCTTGAGATTTTGTTCATCAATGTTCCCATCTGTCGGAAACATGCGTAACCGTTCTGCATGGTTGGACCCTCGGCAGTTGGAATTCGCTCGCTCCGCAGCCTCAACCAGCTGCTCTTCATCCCTTCGGCGCGCAAACTAGTCCATCTTCATTCAAGTCCATAGGAGCCTAGGCATCGCCCATTGGCTTCTCCGCAATGCGTTTCTCCACAGATTTGCATGGGTGGACACCTCGCAGCTCACCCCTGCTGCAATCACCTCCAGGCCACATGCTACGCTCCAGCTCCGCATCTCCAAAGCCAAAGCCTCTCGGGACCATTCTCAATTCCTGCGCTTCGTCCACCGACACTACTCTCACCAGGAATCTTGTCAACGATGTCTACAGAGGTCTTCCAGATTGTCCCTCAGCCTTCGTTCCACGGGGAAACTCCGATCAAACGAAGCGGTCGAACGAAGCGAGTCTATCGCTGTAAACACTGTGCTAGGCAATTCAAGCGCTCCGAGCATTGCGCTCGCCACGAGCGAGTGCATACCCATGAGCGTCCCTTTCCATGTAGCTTCTGTGATCGAAGATACGCTCGCAAGTCTGTCTTCTCGAATTGCTACGCTGAAGATGTTGCTAACTTCTCGTTAAGGGATTTAGTCAAACGACACGAGCGATCTCTGCACGCAGAAGAATATCAGGCTGCGCATCCGACAGAATTCCAAAAGAGGCCCTTCAATTCCGAGAAGGACCATACAACCACCCCGGAAGGTTTCCGAGTCAAACCATTAACCCAGCAGAAACTGTCAGCTTCAATGGAGCGCTCAGAACCTAGCCAGAGCCCGAGTTCTCCTTTGACTCCGCCAAATGAGAACCTTGCAATTGGGTTGAATGAGCCTCTGGACAGTCTCCACACTCACCCTAAAACAATGACTCCACCTATGTACGGCATCAATGAAGCATTCTTTCCGCATGAAAGACAGTGCCCTCTAGACCAGTATTCACCTCTTGCATCGCCGACGGAACAAGGCCAAGACACAGTCCTCTCAATCCCGCCTGGGAATCCATTCGAGACCTTCGTCGGCATCGATTATGACCCCATTCATCTCCCGCCAGACCTCAAAGTAGTTACACAATGCGTCGATGATGCAAGTCAGTCCTCTTACACACAACCCCGAATCGATGTGGATCCTTTCTTACTTCTCGACGATGGCCAAAGGTTGCAAGAGATAGCAGTAGTTGAATCACGACGCAAGGTTGGTCTACAAATGGACGAGCATTTACGAGATCAGAGCAGACCTTCCCATATTAGCCACGAGCCTACCACCCTGAGAAATAGTATCCCTTCCCCTCACTTGTCTAGTATATCCCCAGGACCCTTGACCTTATTCGGTATCGACGATCCTTGGCCTCTTTTTGTGCTAGAGCAGGGGCATGATTATATGGAACACTCTCCCAGAGTGCAGAGGGAACAATGCTCTGAATTGCCAAAATATACTTTTGACGAATGGATCCACCAAAAAATATGTGAGGATGCCTATACACGCACACCTGTCGGTGACGCTACAGCCGCGCTGCTTCCAAGCATCAACGACCTGAATAGCTTTTTTTCAGGATATGTGGAGTGTTTCCATCGACACTTTCCCATAGTTCATCTTCCCTCGTTTGACCTAACAGAAACACCAAGCCCCTTAATTTTTGCCATATGCAGTATTGGCGCTCAATACCGTCTTGATAGACGTAAAGCAAAGAATTTGTTTGCGCTAGCGGGCACAATGAGCTCATATGTAAGGGTGTACCACCTAAATTAGTTTCAGAATTAACGCTGCATAGGCTCTTCGGGCTGGATTGCCTATCGCTACTGGTACACCAAAACCTGCTCCTATATGGGTTATGCAAACAAGAGTTTTACTTTCTTTGTGTGGGATCTTTAGCGGGTATGTTCATCCGCACTCGCGTGGTTGGGCCGGTTAATCGACTAACATGCCCTCAGGAAAACCAATGTAGTCCTGCGAACAGTAGAAAATCTTGGCCTTTTTGCAATAGATTACAGACTTAGACGATCTCTGCTGAGTACGCCTCAAGAATCTCAATTGGATTGGGAAGAGTGGATTAGTAGAGAGTCCAGCAAACGGCTTCTATGCGGGATGTTTATTGTCAGCAACCTAATTTCAACAAGTTTCGGTATTAATCCTGGGTTTTCCCACACACAGGATCTGGAATTTGAAGTCCTTGACGAAGAGAAGCTCTGGAACGCGCGTTCGGCACAAGAATGGATGGAGCTTAGAGGGACCCAGTCAGCACCAATTGGCATTACCGTTCGAGATGCAATGGCGGATCTCGTCTTTACAGATCAGCCTGAAAACCAAACTCAGCCGTACCACATCTCTGGTTTTACAATGCTGCTTATCACGCACGCAGTCAATATCCATATGTGGAGTTTGCTCCAGTTTACGGATGTATCCCGCCTTCATTACTCCGACAAATCTCCTTCTTCAGGCATACACACTGCTTTATTGGCCTCGGCATTTTCCACGCTTTCAAGATGTCATCAGGTCATTATTAGTGTGAGAGGAGGAGAAAATCATAGCACCACTTGGAGCGATACAGAAGGGCCACTTATGTTCAACTGCCAGGCGTTATTGCGAATTGCACATATTCGGCTATTCACTGACATTCGCGCGTTCAACCGGCTCACCCTGCTCACGGACAATCCAGAAGACATTCTAAGGGCGGTAAAAGAATACGCCGAAGCTCCACAACAACGCAGCGCAAACCTCACAAAGGCTATAATGAAAGCCTATGAGGGTTTTTTGGCACCTATTAAGATTGGACACCTACTGGTCAGGAAGACTGCTGCACTGAGTTGGAGTATTGAGCATGCGGTTGCAGGGTGGGATGCAGGTATGCAACTTCTCCAAAGCCTGATATTTATAGCTAACCGGTCTTTAAGCACTGCTCCTTACCAAGTGGGTTCATACCATTGAGACCGAAGCACTAATTCTACCCCCGGATGCTGAAGAGGATTGCATTCTCGGAGGATTAAAAGGGCTTCTCGTGGAAGTTGAAAGCGACTATGATGGCAGTGGCTCTCTTGCCGCAGCAATTGCACGTATCTGGTCGTCATTTCTCAGCGATGTCTGGGTATGGGGAGTGACTCCGCGGATGGGGAACATTCTCCAACAATTAGCACTCGCGTATGAAAACCGCTTTCATCCTTAATGCCCGTTAATTGAAGAGTTCGCCATGAGATTCAGGGAGCCTGAACTGATATCATAATGACGGGAACTCGGGATAGGCGGCCACGTTCAAGTTCGATGGCTGTTAGATCGGATATCGATTGGAACGACGGTTCAACATAATATCATCCTACTACGAGAATCCACGTTATTACTATGCAAGGCAAGAACCCGTCCATTTCACTCAGCTCTCTACGGTATCATCCTGTCTTAGCGCTCCCAGAAAGGAAAGAAAGGCACCTTGACACTTCTCAGCCTGGGTCACGTATATCTCATGACCTGGACCGCTGATTATTTCCATCCTGGCACCAGGTATTTGTTGTTGAAGCTGCTGCTGCTCCTTCAGTGTCGTCGCAGCACTCTGAGAAGGTGCTAATATGAGCGTGGGTATTCCTATCTTCGACAGGTACGGTCGAGCATCCAAAGTCGATAGAAACTGTGCATAACCAGCAAGGCCCTCACCGTCGCTAACGCTTATTTGGTCAAGATACCATGGGAGGTATCCCTGGTCTACTATGGGTATTGTTCCTGGTATGTTGCTTAATGCCTCAGCCCAACCCCGCGAACCGAGCTCTCGACATGCAGCCGGCCAGTCTTTCTTGTGGAAAGCGAATAGTTTGAGGGCCGGTTCTGGGAGATGCGTAGGAGTTGAGCATACTGTTAGCGAATGGAGCCGATTTGGATGTCTGCAATTCGTTAGAAGGATTTACCTTCTGAAAGGATTTCCAGCGCTCATACCTGGCGGCCAGTATTTCCCCAAGCATTCCTCCTGTCGACTCTCCCAGAAAGTGGACCTTCTTGACTCCCAAATGATCCAGCGTATCTATGATTTCCTCGAGGATCGTATCCAACGTGTATTCATATTTTTCTCCGAATTTGGGATAGCTCGAATAACCATGCCCGCGTAGATCCCTTCGGATGACATAGTATTGGCGTGCGAGGACAGGAATCCAATGGTACCAGAATTCTGCGTGGCGGCCGAATCCGTGCTGGATGAGGATTGTTTCGTGTGATTTCCAGGGGTCTGCAAAGCTGGTCAGGATGTAGTGGGACCTTTGGCCGTTGGAGTGGCGCACGTAGGTTCGGCCTTCAGAATCTCTTTCCAGGGGCATATTTAGCTGCAATTGTCGACTTAAATACCGGAGAATGTCTTTTGTTGCGCTAAATTTGATACTGTTGTAAATATATGTTGCGTCGCCAAAAGGTCAACCTCCCAGCTAGCACAGCAGAAGGATATATATAGGCGGATAATTGTATGCGGCAATATAGGTAAGAAGTGTGAAATTTTTCAAACTGCGGTCGAACTTTCAATAACGCTAAATCTTCGCTGCCTGATCATCATCACATCAGAATTTTTTTTTTTGTGCAAAGCAGAAGCTCTCCAATTTGAACTCATCTGCTAACAATGCCCAGGTAAGCACCCCGCACTTGCCCCACCATGGGGAGTTCGAACTTGAGTCACATTTATGCTTAGCCACAATCACCCCTTACTTCGTCATATCTGAACAGTCTTCATGTCGGCTTCTGCTCGAGCCGTCATCCGAGCAAGATACAAGAAGAATGGGCATTATTTGTTCCCGCGTACTAATGTCTCACTTACCTCGCTCTTTCCAGACTACTAATTATTGGTTTCATCATCTCGACGCGTGGCGAATGAGGCGATACGACTCGGCGCCGAGCGCCAACACGAGGAATGTGTAACACAGAATCGTTGATATGGGAACTCACTCCACCTCACCTTTGCATCATTATAAAGCCGCCTATATGTCTCATGATATGAGGCCCCTTATCTCTTCTTCGATATCGAACTGGTGACTATAGAACACAGAAGCTAATGGCAACACTGAAGACCGCTTTTGGGGAGTTTCGAGGTAAAAGGAGTGATTTTGTGGTGCAATATCTTGGAATTAAGTATGCGAGTTTGAAAGACCAGTTATCGGCGCCGGAGATGGTAGACAGGTATGAGAGTGAAGTTGTGGATGCTTCGGAGTTTGGGTGAGTCTCTAGATCTTGTCAGTTCTCTGCACCGGACTTGATGCTGAATATCGTAGACCCAAATGCATCGCCACAGATGCTTGCGAGTACGAACAAACCTTTCTCATTCAGCAGCGACTAGAAATCCCAAAATCTCCTCCCATGTCTGGCCTTGAGTCTCTCAATCTCAACATCACGGTGCCAGACATTCCGAACACAAGACCGCTTCCAGTGATGGTCTTCATTCATGGCGGAGGTTATAGCATTGGTTCCAATTACTGGCCGCAGTATGACCCCGCACGGTTTGTCAAGCTATCCATAGAACAAGGACGTCCGGTCATTGTTGTCAACATCAAGTAAGTAACAACTGCATTGCTACCACTGAGCCTGTCTCACTCGGTGTAGCTATCGCCTAGGAGTGCTAGGCAACTTGACTTCTGAAGAGCTCCACAGAGCCGGATACCCAGGAAATAATAGCCTCCGTGACCAAAAGTGTGCTTTGCAATGGATCAAATTTCATATTGAGGGGTTTGGAGGAGATCCTGAGAATGTTACGGCTTTTGGGGAGAGTGCAGGAGCCAGTAAGATCTTGCAGCCTCCTGTTTTCTAACCGATGCTGAACTTTATAGTTTCCGTCCTCAACCAATTGTACTCCGAAGACCCACTATTTAAGAGGGGCATCAGCATGTCCGGCACACCGATCATGCTCAAGCCACTCCCCCCTTCGGTCACTGAGATTGCGTACGGGAAGATCATGAAAGAGCTCGCGCTTGAAAACGCCACTGCTGAGGAACGAATCCGGCGACTCTTGACAATTGAGCCCGATGAACTTGTCGCAAAGACTCCGATGGCAGTTCCACTTTTGCCTTATCTGGACGGTGAGATCATCCCCACCATGGCATCTTTCGAAAAGCTCTCGAGTACCGCAAACCGACCAGATTTCTCTATTCCTGGAAGTCAATGGTGCACTGACCTTATGATTGGCCATTGCCAGCACGATGGTAATGTCTTCATGTTCATGGGTCTCGAGTCTCGCAAAGCCGGCATCGCAGCAGCATTCTGCTCCTCCCTCACTAAAAACCTCTCTAGCCCAGCTGCTGCTGGGGCAGTTCTCCAAGCCTACAAGATTTCTCCGTCAACATCAGACGATGAAGCTATGAAAGCTCTGTTATCTTTCACAACCGATATTGCATACTACGCCCCGGCGCTAGCGTATGCTCGGTTCTGGCCCGGCAGGACGTTCTACTACCAATTCAACGAGCCCAATCCCTGGGACGGCCCGGCTAAAGGTCTTGCAAACCACATGCTAGATGCTGCCTTTCTCTTCCAGAACTATAACAACAAGCTTTCACCGGAGGCCTGCGAGGTAGCTGTTGAGCTAGCTAAAGACTTCATCTGTTTCGCAAATGGTCTGCCGCCATGGGAGGAGTTCAACGATGCGAAAGGAAATGTACGTATCTACGGACCGAGCAAGACTTGGATCACAGGTATGGGGGACTATAATGGGTGGTATAATGGCAGAAAAGATACGCTGTTCAAGCTACAAGAAGAGGGCAACGTTGACTTGGATGAGCTGAGCCTAGCATGGGATAAATTTTTGGCAGGGCAATGAAGACTTCAAAATAGCAGGATGCCACCGAAGAGTTCAGGATATGACGAAAGTCGGGGTGATTTTTCTATAACAATGCTGAGTTTGGCGAAATAGGTCCGTTTGGTTAACCTTTAATGCCTTCATGACATCCGGGGCTGCAGTGTAACAGCTGTTTTCATAGTGGTACCTTTTCCATATGAGAAATGAGGGAACCACTAAAGCTTCGACTTAACCTTCCTTTCCTTATCCGCTACCTCTTTCTTAGACTCTTTATTCACCCTCTCCGCAACCCTAAGCGCTTCCAAAATGGCTTAACCTCACTAGCGGATGTATTCTATAGTAAGCCACACGACACTCACTTGCTAGCAATCCGCAATAGCCACCAACTTGTATCAAAGGCTCTCTAATCTCCACCTCTATTAACCCATTCTTCAATGCCTCTCTTACATGCACACCAATCTAGTACTTCTGTTCAGGGCACAAACTATACTTAGGTTAATTAAACTCCTCTACTTACGATCAAAACTAGGGCGCGTCCGTATTCACTCCCATCCAATTTCTGTAGCAATTTCTTGGAGTGGACGGGGAAAGTCTGAGGAATGTCGTTTCAGAGAGCGATCGACATACTCGTCACAGGCGACTTCCTGACGAAGTTTGATGCCCTCTTCAAAGAGGGTGTTGTGGGCGTCTTGGATAGCGTTTGGAGGATGACACTGTCGTAACAAACCCCATGACTTAATTGATCCAATATTCAGGTGGAGAGCACTGTGGATGTTCTTGTGACGTTTTATGTTACCCCAAATTCATCTCCCTGCTATGCAATACCCCGCAGCTTTCAGGAAGGGCCTAGTGAGGGGGCGTGCGGTACTATTCCGTCCCATCTCCCGAACATTATGTGGGGTCAATCAGACTCCACAGCACTCGCATCAGACCAAATACGAAGGGAGAACGGGCAGAATGAAGTGAATTGCCGCGATGCGCCCGAAGGGGCCGCTATACTCAATCTTGCTAATTCACCTCTCTTTCCATTCCTCTCGTCAATTAACCCTACTTTGTCTTAGACACCCCCTTTGGATTTGAGAACCATAAAGATATCTAAACCTCCAGAAGAGAAGGCCAGACACAGCAGAACATGTCAAAACCCGTAGGCATCGTAACCGGCGCAGGCTCCGGCATCGGGCTCGCAGTAGCCACGCACCTTGTATCAAAAGGCTACAAAGTCGTCATCGCAGAAATGAATGCAGCGACTGGGTCCGCAGCCGCAGAATCTCTCGGGCCCGACGCCAAATTCATCCAAACCGATGTATCCTCCTACCTTGCACAGGCGCGACTCTTCAAGGAGGCATATGAATGGGGGGGGAATCGACTGGATTTCTGCCACGCAAATGCTGGTATTGATGATAGGCAGTATTTGTACGATCAGAATGAGGAGTTGGATGAGGCGGGTTTGGTGAAGCCACTGAATACAAAGAGTATGCAGGTTAATCTTGAAGCAGTTATTCAGGGGCTATGGTTGTTTAAGTATTATGTGAGGAGGAGTAAGGAGGCGGGTGGTGGGAAGGGGAAGTTTGTTGCAACAAGTAGTGCGGCGGGATTGTAGTATGTACACCCCCAGGCTAGGACTATGGAGTGCTGGTGCTGATGCAGGAGCAGTATGATGACTACGAATCCCCAGTATACGTCCAGCAAGTATGGAGTTGTGGGCTTGACGCGTGCTGCAGGTCCTGTCTTCGTTAAGGAAGGGATCACAGTGAACTGTATCTGCCCAGGCTTTATACCAACAAACCTCTGTCCTCCACACGTGCTAGAACTTTGGCCAAAGGAACATATCACACCCCTATCAACAGCTACGAAAGCAATTGATGCGTTCTTGGGCGACGATACAATGACTGGACAGACAGTGGAACTTAGCTTGGACCAGTTATATTTTAGACAGATGCCCGAATGGGCAAACGATAGTCAGAAATGGATTGGGACGGAGAGCTTGGCCTTTTGGGAGGAAGCGTATGCAAAGGTGCCGCAGAAGGCTGGGTATTAAGTATGCCATTTCTTGGCTCTTCACTGCGACCAACCCACAATGAAAATAATCACAATAGACAAAGTGGTATGGAAGAACTGCAGAAATCAAAAATCGAGTCCCTCCCTTTCCGCCTCCATGAATGCCTGCCTCATGATCTCCGCATATTTCTTAGATCTTGGCTTAATTTCGCAGTCAAATGGCTCCGGTACCGACATGAAACCCCTGACCATTGCCTGTGACGGTTCGATTAGCTGCCCATCTGGTCCACGCTTCTTCGTAATATTGAAGCCCCATAACACTCGGGAAATGTTGATGTAAAGCGATCGCTCTGCAACATGCACACCAGGACAAACTCGCCTACCGGCGCCATAGGTGAAGTGGTCTCGCTCATAAGGGTCCGAAGCGTTGATGTAATCAGCGGCTGGGAGAGGTCTGCTTAAATAGCGAGCTGGATCGAACGCATCTGGGTTTTCCCAGATCCGAGGGTCGCGATGAATGGCCCTAAGAATCTTCAGTTACAATCGGTCTAGATGCAGAGATAAATTGGGCTTACCACCAATTCAATACAGCCACAGAGCCCTTGGGAATAAAGTAGCCATCATACCAATCGTCTTCAGATGTAGCGTGGGTCATCCCGAACTTATTGACCGGTCTCCATCTCAGAACTTCTTTGATCAGACTCCGCACGTAAGGCAGATCTTGCTCATCATCCCAGGTTGGGAGCCGATCTGGGCCAACCACCTTGTCGAGCTCGTCTTGAGCTTTCTTCTGAGCATCAGGGAAGAGTACCATGCACAAGATGAAGTTGTTGAGCGTTGTGCCGGTAGTTTCAGATCCAGCTTCAATCAATCCCCCACAAGTATACGCCGCTGAAAGATCGTCAATACCATGTTTGGCCGGGTCGTTGAGATAGAAGGTCTTGGTAAAGCAGTCTCGGGCTTCCCCTTTGTCAGTCTCCCGTCGGAGCCGATTCCAGAGATCAAGGTAAATCCTGGAGTCGTGATCGAAAACGCGTTTCCCAAACGTACGCCAATTACCCATCAGCCATTCCGGGAGTGAAGAAAGTGAGGGGAAGCTATCAATAGCATGGGCACCCGGCGCGCTGTGTCGTATTAGTCTAAGCTTAGAAGTATAGTGAAGAGATTAGTTCCTTACGTCATCTCCGTAAAATTATCAATCACATCATATATCTTCTTAATCAAGGGATCTTCCCAAGAAGGAATCCGGTAGCCATAAGTGACAAGCATGATGACCGACGCCGAATACCGCCGGTTCATAAGGTAGAAGTCCTTCGGGCTGTCCAGGAACTCAGTCAACAGCTGTTTAGACTCAAAATCTTGCACGGGCTGGTATTTGACTGATGTGTTAAGGTTGAGCAATGTATGGCTGTGTTTTCGGATGGACCTCCAGCGTGGGCCATAGGGCATGAAGAGTTGCCGTCGGCCAGCGCTGGCAACGTCTTGCGCCAAAGGCGCTGGGGAACGAGAAGAGTAGACACTGCTCTTCTTGTCCATGAGATCCTTGACAACTTTTGGGGAGGAAAGCCAAACAAAATCTGTGCCGCCGATCTTGGTGTAGAAAAGGTCTCCGTATTGCTTATGCCAATCGATGACCTTTCCTCGAACAGCTTCAGTGTCGGCTAGGTCGAACATGTTTCCCACGAAGGGTAGACCCTTAGGCCCTGGAGGAAGTTTGCGCCTTCGAGAATCCTAGAGGCTTGTAAGTCTAGTTGTATATTAAACAGGGCTTGCTATACGTACCTTGAGGACATTAGGAACTAGGAAGAAGTAAACTGTAAACAATATGAGGAAAGGAGAAGAAACAAACAAACAGGCCTTCAATATTAAAGGCGAGAGAAGCGCCTGTTGGAGTATGCCTAGAACCTCCATGAAGAAGACCGAAGGGAACTGGAATAAGGTGTTACTGGCTTCAGAGAGTGAACGTCAAAAGGCGAGACTGGTAAAGTACCTAAACTTTTGAGATATACATTTACTCGGGCATGTGTCAGGTCAGCTATAGACTAACTCCAACTGCTGTCTAAAACTTGGGGATCTGCGTGTCCACTGCTGCTTGCCCCTCACCACTTGCACACCCCGCAAGCAAGATGCCCCACAATCCATGTGTCGTACAGCGTGCAAATGGACTGAGGTGTTTGATGAAACACCCACGTGCTATTGCTTGTATATGGATATGGGTACTTTACGAGAGGGCTTCATAGAAGCACGAGATTATTTCGTGGGATAGTGAAACCTGGGTCTGGTGGTAGTCACCTTGTAAGGCTCCATATTTTTGGAACGCGAGAGACATTAGTGGAGACTACTAGAATGAGCAGGAAGTTCCAGTACGTTCAGGAGATCGACAGACGTTCACCGCTTCGATGCGATACTAGTCATCTAGGCAAATCACCTGGGTTGTCATTGTTGGGAGTGGCTGACATGAAAAGTGGCGTGCTTCAGGTGGTGGCGGCGGGTTCCGCAATGCAATGAGATCGCTTCCAAAGAGGCTCACAAGAGGGTCCCAAACCGTCAGAAAGTTGAATTAGGTGGTCTTTTATTGTGCAAACGACTCTTCTCGATGGCACACTAACTTGGATGGAGAAAATTGCAAAAGAAATGATAGAGGATGATGATGTTGAGCACGGCGAGCTCCTACACCGCGAAAGCTGATCAGGGAACCGAAACTTGATTGGCTGGACCTCAGAGAAGAGAGTTCAATCAGAATGGACTGAAAGCAATATGATTATTCTCGAATTTTTTCACGCATATTGATTACCACACATGTGGGAGACATTCTGACGAAAACTCAATCAAATCTATGGTGCAACGTTGTTGGTGAACGATCGAGTGGTTTTAGTGCGCCTTCGAGAACTTTGAGGTGGTTCCACAGCTTCGCCTCACGATACTTGGCAAGTAACCTGACCTTGCGACAATATCACACAGTACGACAGATTTTCAATCGTATCTTACGAGCAAATTCTACGGTGAAGGCATCCCACGCTGTGCAACTCTATCAGCCTTGCCATTCACTCTATAAAAGCCCCAGCTATGAAGGCAACAAGCGAATTCCACTTCTATCATCATCAAGACATCAAAAGACATCGACAAAGCCTCATAGCTTTACACCAATCCCAGTCTACACGAATCACACAAACCACCAACTATCGACCTTCGAGTCATCGACATCAATAGCATCGATATGAGCGGCGAACAAAGTCATACCAACCACGCCGGCAACTGCATTGGCCATTGCCGTGCACAACGTTTTGCCATGGACTCCCACTGCGCCGAGCTCTTTGAGAAAGAGAAGGCTGCAATCAAGTCCTATGAAGACGGATGGGATCGTTGGGACGGACCGATCTGGCCATGGCGAGAAACCAACAACCCGCAAGCACAGGCCAAGAATGAGGAAGAATGGCAAGGGTGCTGCAACACTCCGCCCGAGAAGGTGGAGATGTTAAGTATGTCGGCTGCATCGAAATTAGTGTGAATAATTCCTAACGAGTTGATAGCGAAAGCGATTTCGAAGAAGAGGGAGGAATCTCCTGTTCGGCCCACACGGACAACAAGTTCCGGTAGCTCTGCTTCTTCAGCATCATCACTTTGGAGCTCAAGAACCAATTCACCTTGCCCAAATTGTGGAAGGACAACTTCACATCTCTGAACGAGCTTAAACATCTCTTCTTTCACTCCATTCGGCACATTCTGAGAGAACGTCTGAACTTCGGTCACATGGCGTTTGGGTATCGAATATTCGGAGGTCTCCTGCAGCATTACTTACTTCCAAGATCGAAAAGGAATGGGATTATATGGTTTCAGGTTGAGTTGGACTGTAATGCAGGATTGTAGCATGTCAACGACACTAATAGACAATTAAAGTTTTAGATCAATTCATGCAAATGTGAATCAGTCAGACTCTGAAGTGGTTAGAAACTCCTTCCGCCCATCCTGCGGAAACATTCTTCTGCTTCACAAACCATCTATTTAAGAGCTCGAGGTCGAAGGTCTGAACTAAGTGCCTAGTCAGGATCGAGATCTCCTTAAAGTTAATATTCTTGCCAATATAAGTATGACTGTATGAGGTCCGTGGCCGAACTTAGGATAGATTAGTGTATGATGCTTTAAGGAGAGGCCCGATAGTATACTAACTAGCATATATGACCCTTCTATTCTATGAGAAGGCGCCTCGCCTGGGAGCTACCGCTCGGGTCGAAAGACTGTCCTGTCATAGCCAAAAGCACAAAGTTGTTGTGAACAACCCAGGAGCTCCCGCCAACAGCTCTCTGAACAATGTCAACGCGATTCGTCTCCAGATCCGCTTAACTTTACCTCCGCCTTCGGAAAGATATTGTCCCGCGATCGTCACCCTATCTTTGGGGATGACGCGTTCGAGAGGTAGGCCAGTGGCTGAATGCAGTTGTAAGAGCTCCCTTAATGACTGCTTGTAAGTAAGGCATTATTTGGGCGGTTGCAAATGTCACTGTATTGGCAACCCAGCCATCAGAGGCCATATTATCTATTTCTTTTTGCAACTAGTGGGAAGGTCAAAGTCAATAGCCTCAACGTTAACATCCGCATACCTTTACAAAGGTCTCGGGATATTTCAGTAGATCTCAGAATATCGCACAAAGCCTAATAGATGTTGTGTCACTCCCATCCCCAATGTTCGTCATGGAGGTGACGGACTCTTCCTGCATCGTAAAGCTTTCTGGGTCCTCACTGTGCTTCTGTAATACTTTGGTGAGGAAATCATCCCTTGAGCCCGGGCTTTTCTCTACATATGCTAGGGCTTGAGTCCGCTTTTCAATTTGCTCGGCATGGGGTTTCGAAGATTCACTCCCTTTACCGATATACCGTAGGATTTTGTACAAGAGAGGGTGCGTCTCGTTATTGATTCCGACATAGCTAATATATATAAGACATGCGGTGAATAGGCCGTGAGGGCTAGCACGATCACCTCGAAACCCAAAGCGTCTGGCAACCTAGGAAGGTTAGCATATAGAATAATGCTACCCTAGGAGGGTTGCCTTGTAGTGATTAATCTAATCAAGTCAAAAGCATAGCATTGTTCCCAAGTTGCAAGCTTAGAACAGCCCGAGTTCGGGAGAATTCACGAAAATGTTCCGTTAAGATAGCAATGCACTCTTCGATGTATTACTCCGTGTGGATGAAGTCAATGAATGCAAGGAAGCCGCTTTCCGACTAAAAATAGCGTGCCATTAAGAATTCTAGTCCGTTAAGAGATATGGCACAATATGATGGCCGGGGGCATAGTACCAAGGTGATTTGGTGTACTCTTAGTGAGTTCAAAGGCGGCGAAGGGATGTAATTGCAAATTACCTTACCGAACTTGGTACCATCCTCATATATTAATTTAATTGCCTCTGGATCATCCAAACCTAGCTCATTCGGAGCGATCCTAATGATGCTTTCATATCGTCTGCGAGGATCTGTGTTAGTATTGTAGAGGTCCCGTCGCCAAATTTGTTTTAGATACCATAACCGCAAGAATTTGGCAAGAAATAGACCTGGGAATAACTTTCTTATTCGATAAGTAGGCATGGAACAGCAAGCGAGCACCAAGGAAAAGAACAAAGTGAAGAAGATGGGAGAAAAGAGAATGTGTTGGTAGATGTTCTGACCTCTTCTTGCATTTTGGTACTCCCGATTACCGCTTTCGTACTGAAAGGCTTTGAGAAGGAAAATAGAGATCCAGAGTGACCTCGCTAAGCTAGTAAAGCAGCCATCGCTATTCATTGAATGTCTTAAGTGGGATAGTTTGACGGATTGGGATGGGATTCTCAAGAAGAGCTTGGAGAAGTTGGGGCAATCAAACCAGCAATGTGATTCCTGCAGTGGCCGGAGAACTAGAATCATCAGAAGCGGATTGACGAAGGACCCAATGGCTGTAATAAGCTCGCCTAAGTATTTACCCATGGTCGTGATCATAACAATACTCTGCGATTAATCGGTGGCAAAACTAGGGTAAACGGTGGTCCACTTCATGATTCATGAGGAACACAATATGGATGCAAAATACTTCAAGGCTACCCTGGAATACTGTCGCGAATGAAGGATGACGAAGGTTGGTTAGAGGTTTGTGAAGTCAAGCTGGTACAAGAAATAACTATATTCAATATAGAAAAGGGAAAGTCTCCAAACTCAACCCTAGAAGACTCAAAAATCTCTAGTTCCTCCACTATGTTACCTTAGTCTGAGATAGTGCTCACGAACTCCGCGCACGTTTCTTACATAGAGCCCTGAAGGAATCGATCGATCTAACAAGGTCTTTACAACATCCAAGGCTTGTCCGATACCCCCAGGTCCAATCTAAGAATGAAGGCGACGGCAACAAGGGCTCCTGGCTCTCAGTCTATGACTCCAGAAACCGCCCCGACTGCGATATGGGCCTCGCCCTTCACCGCTTGCTCAACATGCGGCCCTCTTGTCACGTTCTCTTTGAAATGGGGGGTAAAATCGTACCGCAACGCGTCCATGCCCTATGCTCTATCATCAGTACGAAACACTATCACAATATTTTAGCACTTCACTTACGCTCTGCACTTGGCGTGCAAACTCGATATCAATCTCCGTCCGTTTACACATCTTCAGGAACTCGTCATTCTCTAGAGCTACTTCTGGATCTTGGCCAAATAGCCTTCGAATATTGTCCGATGAGATTGGGTCGATTAACTCTCTCCATTTCTGTCGCCTCACTTCGTCGTAGACGTCAAGAATCGAATCGTCCGCCTTCCCCTCATACATCGCAATAAGACAGTCGTGCAACGAGCCAATGTCACATATACCCCCTGTCAAACCCAACCCACCACTTTAGATCTAAAGTTAGTAACTTTGGATACATTAGCAGGATAGAAAATTGGGTACTCTTACAAAGGATTACAGAGGTGTGCAGCGTCAGCGGCTAGGAGGAACCTCCCGACCCTCATCTTCTCGGCACACCTCTGATGTATCTTGTAGGGTCCAATATTGGTAATCCTATACTCATGTGGTTTCGGATGTCCGGGTAGCATTACCTCATACTTCGTCGGCTGCCGCGCAATCAGCTCCTCTGGGCTGAGCCCGACTAGCTCTCCGTAAGATACACGCCACATCCCATCTCTGGTAATCCGCGCGGCCATATACCAATGTTCGGGGTGGATGTGAAATTGAGAATCTTCATATCCGAATTTATCGAAATCATAGTAGACCTCCAAGCTGTTATTTAAAAAGGAACAATGGAAGAGTCAATCGGCATGAATCGAAGATTGAAGACTCACATTGGTTGCAACCACCTGCTCATCCCATGTTCGACCCGGGAAATTTAGATCTCCGAATAAGGTCCTCCGAACTTGGCTATTGGCACCATCACATCCAACAACGTAGTCAGCTTCGAATCTTCTAGTGCTGGACTGGTCCTTTATGTCCACATCTACCCATGCTTTACTTCTTTCTGCATCTTCTCCCAAACCAGTCACATTGTGTCCCCATTTGATGCTGACATTAGGGTGCGACTTTAGATGATCTACTAAAATTTTCCCGAGCCGGTCAAGAGGCAAGCACACTAATCTGTCCTCTGTAATTCCCTCCATGACGCTGCCGTCCAGACCGGCGAGATATGTCCCATCTAATTTTCGCCAACACACCTTCTTCGGGATGAAGCCTTGAGATTTGACATCTTCGATGATTCCTGCGCGACGAAGTTCGTAAGCAGCCGGAGGACCATAATGGGTTGCTCGGGGTCGAGTATCGAGACCATCATTGGCATCTACAAGTGTGATCTCTATCTTTGGAAGCTGTCGGGCTAAGAGAAGTGCAAGAAGCAACCCCGAAGGGCCAGCACCGACTATGAGGATGGAGTCGAATGGGGGGTTTGATTCTGCTGCAGACATAGTGAAGAGTCACTAAAATACCAAAGGAGAATTGAGAAGAAGAGTAGGTGGGGTCTCGGTAGGAATAAGAGAGGGGAGTATTTCTATCTTAAAATTCAACATATCCGTGAAGCACGGCATGGACGGAAAATTATCGTACGACGCTCTTCTCTTCCCCTTGACTCAGGTGAGCATGTGGGGTATGAAAACTGCGGGGTTCTCAATTCGACCTCGAAGGATGATGGTGTGAAAGGCAGAAACAGGGTGCGTTCTCCTCGCCCGAACATATATCCGAAGGTCAAGCATTAATGGATCGATATGTGTTTCAGAAGCCAGTGATATCGTCAGGGGACAAGGTTGGAACTGTCAGAGCGCCAAGGTGACACTCGAACGAAACCTACGCTTGGATGCTTCAGGGCAGTTGGCACGTGACAAATCTCCTTCAAATCGGATTCGGTAAAGAGCACTCGTAAAAGGTTCCAGGACTCGGCTCAAGCCATCTCAACTGCACAGCTTTGACTTCTGTCTTCAACCACGGACAATTGTCAGCAATCCATTGCGCTTGCGTTTCGCCGACTTAATTGAAATCCCTCTCTCTACTCCTTTGATCCTTCCACGTATTTTAAAATATATCTTCTCTTTTCTCAGTTTTGGTGCATCGTGTCCTGGATCCCGAACTTCTACTCCAAAATGGCCGGACTTAAAGCAAAGAAGCTCTCTCTGTTGTCCCAGAGCAGCCAGGAAGATTTTTCCAAGGAACGCCAAAGCCTCCTCATGCGCGAACTCGAGCTACTACTGGACCTAAACCCGAGAGCATTGAATTCATGCCTTCTAGCCCTCCCAAGAGAGCTCCGAGACCACGTACTCGGATATGTTCTACCTGACACAGCAGAGGAAAACCGGCCGGAACTTCATACTTGCCTTTGGGGAGCAGATATGGTGCACGAGCCATGGCGCCACGACATCTTCGGATATGCAACTTCAGTACCGAAAGAGGACCGCTTGCACCCATGGCTCCTTCTTATCAATCGACAATTGCATGACGAATTCTTGGACATTTACTTTCGAAGGAGCAAACTGACACTTCACGCAGAGTTGCGAAACTCACGGGAGAACAATTGGCATTTTAACTATTCCCCTCATGTTCTACAACTCCCGATGTTGAAGTTTGTAACCCATGTGCGTCTCTACACGGAGTGGAACTACATCATCACAAAGAATGATCGAATCAAGGACCAGGTTCGAATGACCAATGACCTTATGCAAGCAATGGATAAGCTTTTGGCGCCACTTCAAGCAGTTGAGACTATTGAGTTGTCCGTGCTCTTCTTTTGGAGATACCGTTCAGGGAAATACTACAATCTATCAATGCGGGATTTGTTTGATCTTGAGGACGTCTTCAAGCGGCACGCTGAGAATCGATGGCTTCAGATCTTGCGGACCAACAAATATACTGTGGATTCTCCAAATCCTTCAGCTGGAGTTGGTTATAAGCTCTCATCGGAAAGGAAAGGGACAGACCAGAGCGGTGCGATGGATATCTTCGTGTCCCAGAACCTGGAGGATGCTATGCGCTACCGACGGCATAGTAATGTTGATTTCTACGGCAACTATGGAATATCCGATCCATTGCCGCAGCCATCGTTCAGGCATGGAGCTATGATATGAATTTGAGAGGCTGTGTCCTTAGCAGACATGAAAATCCTGGAATCTTTACATTCAAGGATCACGAATCTATCAAAAGGCCCCCAGATTCAGGAAACGGCCCAAGCGATTCAATGCGAGCCACGCCCGATGCACACCAATATCTTCCTTCATGCAACTACTATTATTCAGGAAGCCGAAGTAGGTAATGCTGCCTCTTCAATGATAGGCCCTTAACTACATCGCTTACATCTGCAGATATTCCCCTCATTGACAAGAGCATCACACGTTGGGAGTCATGTTCAATCATCGAACATTATAAGGCCGTAGACTTTCGCATCCTATCCAAAGCTAGACATTCTTTCCTCAACCTTGCAACCAAGTAGACTTAAATGCAAATTCTTGGGGTTTGTTGAGGCTCATGGTGTGGGAGGGGTAGCCCAGGAATTCCAATTAGCCAGCTCTCATCCGCCACATTAGAAGTCGAATCTAGCCATACAGACTCTCCCATTTGTTCCACGATAGTTCCATTCCTACGGGTTAATAAGATTAATAAGAATGCCTGCTAATTCCTCAACATGTAAGATCGCCAATTTTGCGATGCGTTCGCTCTTAATCTTAGCAATATAGCATCTCTTGCAAGATGCGTCACTGCACGACCTTCGTATAAGCCCAGGGATCACCCCATTCGGTTAGCCAGACGACCTACCGTGGTCAGAAGCACAATTGGGCTTCCTCTTCATAGTCCATTCGTCTTTTTGCCCACTGTAACCACGAGGCCACTACGGTCATTGGGAACACTAAATTATCCTGTTCAAGTCAATAGAGAAGAGTACAGTTGCAAATGCTACTAGGATGACAGCCGCCCATCATCAGCCGGTGCCTGGATGAAGCTGAACTCGACTGTTGAAGGAAATTTGCGAAACTTCGTTCCCTCTTAAAATTTGTGCTCAAGACCTTCGGAGGGCTTTTGATATACGATGCAGCCCCCGGCGAACAACCTCGTAGCGGCTTGGGTGCAAGCAAGCCAAACACCATTCAACACGCGCACCATTGACCAGGACCAGAGCGGAAAATTCAACATAGGTTATCAGCTGACCTACACGAACAACATCTGCGATACAGCCTCTGATCGCCAGGAAGAGGAATGTGCGTTGGACTGCCATGCAGACAACGTCGTGATGTCGAAGACTAAAACCCATATTATCGCCGGCGTGAACTTCGCACGACAGAGCAACATCCACCTTATCATCAGAGACACCGGTCACGGTTTCATGGCGTGGTTGATAGGGCGAGAATCTCTTGCCACTAACACTCATGCATTCCAAGATGTCAAATCTGTCGATAAATACACAGTCCCAGGACCTGGGACGGCGGCGCGGTGACCATTGACACAGTGGTCATGTATCAAGACCTATACTCACTCATCTTATACAAAGGCTGAAATTTGTTGTTGGGAAGCGTGTCCGACCGTAGGATTTGCGGGAAGGCATTTCTCTGGAGGTGGACATGGTCCACTTTCTGGATACATGGACTCGCAATTCACAACGAGCTCTCCTTCGATGTGGTAGCGGCTAGCGGAGATCTTGTCGCAAGTAATGCGAAGGAGAACACGGATTTGTTGCAGGCATTGAAGGGGTGGCGGGCTTTGACATTCAGACCTGTGACCAGCTTAACTATAAAGACGCGCCTGGAGATTCTCACGAATGGTACTTACAAATCTTTCATCTATCCCCTGCTGTCTTATTATATACTGACGGCATTCTAGCTATGCTCATATATATCGCCGGCCAAGGCGACACTTTCTGGAAAAGAGTATCTTATTTCCACAAAATGGCACACACTTCTCGAAGGCTGAGACCTATCTCTAGCTCGCCATACACCAAGGGGTCCTCGCCATCCAGCGAATAGCCAGGCTAGCCGTGACTAGATTGGGGATCGATAGAGTAATGATGCCATTTATTGGCAAGCTACGAGCCGATAAAGCAGACTTCAAAGTCAAGACGTACAAATTCAAGACACTCTACGACATTTACAAGTACACGTTCATTAAATTAGACGACTCTAGGTACATTTCTCTCCTCCTTTCTTCCCTTTCCCTTTCTTTCTGTCATGCTAACCATAAATTAGAGGCAACCATGCGCTCATGGGCGGCCGCTTCATCTTGCAAGAAGACATCTTAGCGCATGGCGATGGGCTCATCCCCATAATCAAGTACAGTTTAGACACAAACTACATCTATACCGGCTACGTCGTCAACCCCGGACACAATACCTCCATCTCCAACACCCTGCTCACCTAGCCCTAGTGGAAAGCAGCATCAGCGGATAGAGTGACCATGTTTCTGAAAGCGCAATTAGTGGCTGTAGAGAGGAGACGGCTAGTGAGCATGGACTCAGGGATTCGCTGAGAGAGGTGACGCCAAATTCTACGTCGTATATTAATGGGGTGTGTAGATGCTCCTTTGGCGCCTATAAATATGAACATGGTTAGAATTTAAGTACCAAACCGTCAGTATGGTGATATCAATGAGTTGCAATGGCAGGACGTCTACTGGAAATACAATTATCCCAAGCTTCTAGAGATAAAGAGAAAGTACGATCTACATAGAATTTTATATACGAAGGCAATCCGAGAACCAAGCAATGGGAAGAAGTGTTAGATGGGAAACTTTGTAAGAAAGGTTGAGGATATAATATGTCGGGCGTGGTCGAGCACCGTTATACACATGCCCTACACGAAACGAAAAAGAATTAAATTAAACGTTGCCCAAGTTGTTAGTGAATCTCGGAAATCTACTGCATGTTATAAAAAAAACGTGGAATGCCACTTTCTGACCTAAAATACCCCTGCCATGTTCCACGGTAGTTGAGATGATGCAGTAGCAGTCGTTCGTCACTCGAGGAGTTAAACCACAAGCAGAAAAGGCCCAATCAGTAGGCCTTCTAATTGATGATTATATGCATGCTTAGCACTACGTTCCGAGTCCTTAAAGCCTCCAAAATCACCCCTCGCTGCCTGTCAACCAGCCATTGGCCTCAACCCCTCAACACTGCAAAACTTGCGGCCCAGGAATCTTATACGGTTTTCCACCACCATTAGGATTGCCCATTGTATCATAAATATTAATCAAGATCCCCGGATCTGTCGCCGAATACGCTCCGGGAAACGACACTGTATCGCCCGTCTTAGTTCCACTGCCCTGAACATTAATTTGCGCACACCCCATGTAAAATTGCGCGGCTCCTTGAGTCTTCGCCGAGTGCAGGGCGATGATTTCAGCGCGGAGAAGGTATTGGCCTGAAGCGACGCACGAGGGCATTGTGAAGTCGGACCAGCCACCAGCGGCGATCATCCTATCGACGCCCCACTTCCCGGACCCGTCGAGTCCGTCTTCAGCAACTTTGAACCATTTCAGCCCACTAGGTTGGGCGCTTGCGGCGTTGTCGACTTTGGCGCTGTGAGGGATTAGTGTGGGTTGACGTTGGGGCCATCACAGAGTGCGTAATAAGCAGGTGGACGGAACGTGTTCTCAAGTAAAACCGCAAAAGTCGAAAGGATTGAAGGGAGGGGAATATTGTGTAGGGAATGGAGGACATACAGGTAGAAAATCGTAGGGCCCTTGTGGCTGGGTGCGATCGGGTTGTCCTTGTCGTTGGCGAACTGGGCGCCGCCGAGAACATGTCCCCACTTAACGCCAACCTTGTCTCCTGGCTTAACAGAGATGACCGTGGTAGATACAGGGCTTTTATATCCAGAGTTACAGGCAAAGCTTCCGTCGTTTACGTTTTGAATAGGGTTGTTGCTGTTTGGAACGCGGATGCCAACGGCCTGACCTTGGTCCTGGTTGTTGATTCTAACGTTTTGGGCGATGCAGTGTGCGGAGCTGAGGGCAGGGAGAAGAGAGAGAGCTGCTGCAACGAGGACCTTCATGTTGGCTGACTTGACCAGACTTGGCTGGTCTTGTGCTACTTGACGGGGACTGTTGAAGGTCTTTGAAGTCAGTGGAGGATAAGACTGAACTTCCTTCGCCAGACGACTCTCTTATATATCTCTTCCCACTCCCCGGAATCTGGAGTAGCATTGACACTACGACGACCAAGCATTCTAATCCGCACCTGGGATTCGTGCAGAAACCTTCAAATCCAATTAACACAATGCAGTCATATGCTCCCCAGACGCAACTTGGCATGCTCCCCACATTTTCCAGAAAGAAAGGCCCGCCATCTACCCGTATATGTCGATCGCATAAGATCGGTAGTAAGCTTAATACAAAATTCGAAGTGCTAGGGTCTTGTTCCTGAAGGTCGCGTAGTGATTGGGTTGCAATTTCGAAATTGTCGTAGCTCACATGAATGGATATTGCGGTTTCATATAATTTGCCGGCCCGGGCGTCCGTGGGCCACGCGCCCAATCCTTTGAGTGGCCATTTGGAAACTTTTGGAGACTGGGAGGTTTGGTGTTGAGAAACGGACATCGTAGTCCGATATATTGAGTGTTACACTTGAAGGCAAGGCGTCTATGTGAAGGCATGGCGTTGATGAGATATACGGGATTTCCCAGGCCGAGACCTCTGCGGTTAGTAATGGATGGAGGCGCAACTATTCAGGGTCGGGCTGTCGAGGCTTTGCCTAAACTTACCCTCCATCGCTGCGTTTTGTGGGCTCCGTGAGTTTCGAAGCGATGGTATAGGGGACTTTGTGATTACGATGGCTGGGGTTAGATGGCGACTATGAAGCCCTCCCCTTTCCAATGAAGTGCTCTGTAAGTAGTCCAGGTACCGCTTTTGGCTTGCATTCCATCGACGTGAAAATGCTCCGAGTTACTACAGATGCCATCGCTCTACCGAAAACTCTGATGTCGGCAATCTTCATGTTAATGCCCATGGGAAAGGATTCTTGGCGGTGTACTTGGAGTCCTAGGCAATTTGAATGTGAACTTGGCGACAAACAGCAGGTCAAATTGTCGACCGTTGAAGATGATAGCGTACCAAAGGGGTCCGTTGTGAAGAACTTGGCACTTTAGCTGACGAGACGTTGGGCAAATGCTCCGCAGTCTGATATTAGCTTGTTGCCTTCAGGAGTGTAAAATCGGCTAACGCGAAAGTAATTTTCGAATACGAAGTAGGGATCCGGGACTTTGATCCCCAATGCTGGTCCACGGCTGACTCGAAACTGTACGCTGCATACTTACACCTACCGGGGAACATTAGCAAGGTGGGATTGCTCAGTTTATCCTCTTTCTAGAATTAGGGAAAACGTCAACAAGTTGCAACTCTCCGTTCTAAACTACCCGTACCATGTTCCGCGTTTAAGGTGATAAAATACAGCCTTTTTGGTAACTAAAGCCTTCTTAAAGGCAAAACAACAGCAAAACTGTGCTGAACAGTTCAGAAGTCCGTCTGGAATAGGGCTTTCGAGGGGGGTTTCAACTCTCCTTCCCTCTCTGGCAGTTCTCACCGTAGGACACTGAGTATCAAAGAGGTAGCAGACGACCGTAGCTAGGCAATGATGATTTGCCTGCTGACTGAAGAAATTGCTGGTTGTCGAGCACAGGCAGTCTGAGAAAATTGGGGGAGAGGCGCAACACAAAACTGGATCGGGGATGACATTTACAAGGCGACGGACCCCAGCCAGCAATAGTCCAATGTTTCAACACGTCCTGGAAAGGCCGGTAGATTTTCTCCACTGGGAGGTCGCAAATTCTCAACACGTGATGAGATTAACTTCATACGTAATACTCAGTGGAGACCGTTTTGTCCCTGCGTCTACGTTTCTCGTCCTATCGGGCGGGTTCGGTTCTTCGTGAACGCCCTATTTTGTGCGCTACAGAGTTTTGCATGTGATGGCAATGCCGAAAGTAAACTGGTCATGCCAATCGGGGGAGAGAGACTCAGAAGACGCAGGGCAGACGCCATAGCCTGGGCTAGAGTAACCGTTGGAAAGCAAGCAGGACACGGAGTGGGGAGAGTGGATGGGTGGTGTGGAGCAAAGTTCAGTGGCTGCGGGATGACGATTTGGTGTTGAGAAATGGGCGCCAAGAAGCCTGAATCCAGCCCGGTTGCCATCTTGAGAAGGGCAACGATGACATCACGCAAGCGTCTCCCATTTCTTCCGAGGCGGGCAACGCCAATAACAAAAGCTCTTGTTAGGCTCATTTTGTCTCGCTATTGTGTTTTATCTTCACGACACTGCCCGCAATCTCTTCGAGCATCGAGCTGCAATTGAGATCCTCGCCGCTGGCTTCCGCGTACCGCAGCTGTGTTTGCGCGACTTGCACCGCCTCAATCGCCTCAATCCCCTTTCTCAACGCAACATCACACGTCATACCGGCACGTCTCTCTGCAGGCCCGCCTGCACGACCACAGCCTGCTAGTCTCCTATAACCTCCCAGTGCTTGCCCAGGTTCCTCCACAAGCCACTGCACCCGTCCACGACGACATCCCCCCACATCCACCATGGCGACCCAGAGACCCCAGACCCCCCAACTGCTCTACAATTCTGTGCCCCAACCCAACGACCCTTCCCACCTTAGTAGGGGCTATGGTGGTGACACTCACTTAGACGTCGACGCGAACGACTTTGCAACCACACCTGCCAATCCCCCAGACTCGTCCCCCCTCTCGCAGTCTCTCCAACCTCAGCAACACCAGCGCTTAGGCAGATTCGAGGAGGAATTTGATGCGCGCACCCGGGGATCTTCGATCCTCATGGACGGGGACCTTCCCCAGCGATCGGCTTCGCGAGCGTCCACACTGAACCAAGGGGCCGCACCCTCACGAAGTGGAACCCTCAAAAAGAAATCATCGGTTCGTAGGAGTGGAAGCCTGAAGCGTAGCGGAAGTAGGAGAAGCGTACATGCAGGTAGCATTCGTGGCGTGAGTATCGAGGACGAGGACCGCGAGTCTAGTAGGCACAACAGCGTCTTCTACACGCCCGTTCCCACGTCCGGCTCACCCACCGAAATTCTAGCCAACCGCTTTCAAGGTAGAGCAGATTGTCTCAGATATGACAGCTGTCACTGACGACTCTTACAGCTTGGCGAAAATTGCTGAAGGACTTGATTACATACTTCCGCGAAGTTTCCACGTCCTACGAACACCGTGCCAAGGCTTTGCTCAAGGTTTCCAACGTTATCAATAACACCAACGCACCCTCTGTGTTTATGACCGAAGGAGGTCTGAATGATGCAAACCGCATTTTGCGAGACTTCCACAAGCAGTCGGTGGTTGAAGCCAATAAAGCCCGAGATATTGAGAGTGAAGTGATCAATCAGCTGAGCGGGCTCAGGGCCGACTTGGGCCAGAAGATAAAAGAGATTAAGTCACTATCCGGTGATTTCAAGAATTCTGTCGAGAAGGAGAAGGAGACCACGAGGAAGTGTGTTACGGCTCTTGAGGAAGCTCTATCGTTGGTCGACGCAGATCCTTCGGCTGTTGCAGGGAAAGGTGATCCATATGTGGTCCGTCTAGGTGTCGACAGGCAAGTCGAAAGGCAAATCGATGAGGAAAACTACCTGCACAGGGTATGTTCACTCTCCCCCACACAGGCTCAGCATTGTTAACTTGCGCAGGCGTACCTCAATCTGGAAAACTCCGGCAGAGAGTTGGAGTCGATTGTTGTTGGCGAAATCCAGAAAGCTTACAATGCTTTGGCATCCATCTTAAAGCGTGACGCCGACGAAATCTATTCGACGATTGACAAGCTTCGCAACGGACCGATTGGAATGCCGCGAGATCTTGAGTGGAATCAATTCGTGACCAAGGACCCTCACTTTGTTAACCCCAACATTCCGTTGAGAAGGTTGGAGGAAATTGAGTATCCAGGCAAGCACCACCCTGCAACAACGGAGGTAAGGGCGGGTATGCTTGAGAGGAAGAGCAAATATTTGAAAAGCTATACCCCAGGATGGTATGTGCATGTTCTATTCGATGTTCCATATTAACTATTGTTAGGTATGTTCTTTCACCAACACACCTCCATGAGTTTAAATCCGCAGATCGCATCTACACTCAACCTCCTATCATGTCTCTGTATCTCCCGGACCAGAAGCTTGGGTCGCATTCCCAGCCCGGAAGCTCATCTCACAAGTTCGTCCTGAAAGGGAGACAAACTGGATCGATGCATCGTGGCCACACCTGGGTTTTCCGGGCCGAGAGTTACGACACCATGCTGGCTTGGTATGACGACGTCAAGAACTTGACGGAGAAGAGTGGAGAAGAGCGAAATGCATTCGTTCGGCGACACACTAGAAGTGTCAGCCAAGGCAGCGCACGTTCTGTGAGTAGTGACGGCGGCTTAGAGGAGGATGAGGCAGATGAAGTTCCATACTCTGCGAATCATTCAATAAACCAGGCCGTGAGGGACGAGATTCCGCAGCGACCATCACCAGGTGGGCGATTTCCAAGCGATCTTCAGGTCAACCATAGCTTAATCCCTCCGCCTTCTAGTGGTAGCTCGGACGTCGGTAATGATTTAACGACCGCATCCAGTGGCTTGCAAGGCACATACCCATATGCTGCCCTTCAGAGCCCGTATGAACCTGTTCAGCTCCCTCAGCATAGCGAAGAACCAGCCGCCGCTCAGAATGTCTACGCATATGACCAAAACACTCATAATCCGTATCAACAACCTCCCATAGAAACGCACCAATCACCATACTACCCGAACCCTACCCAACCCGCACCCCAGTCTATTCATACCGGGGCGTCTCCGCAGCAATCTTATGACCCAAGTCCGCCGCATCAATCATATGTTCCGAATCCTCAAGACGAGCCATCATACCCTCCTCCGAACCCAACTATTCAGCGGCATGAGAGTAATTATGGCGATTGGATGGCACCAGCAGTAGGCGGAGTAGCCGCAGGGGCTTTAGGTGCTGAAGCTTATCGCCGCCGGCAGCTATCTCAAGAGCAAGAACTGAGACCGGAGCAGTATCCTCTCAACGAGAGCTCGCAAGACGTTCCTAATAGCGATCCAACAGCGATCCTAAAATATGCTCCCATTAATGTAGAGCCTGTTAGCCCAGTCTCTACCGTCCCCACCTCTGCTGCGAATGAGTCTTTTTTAGACGAAGCTGAGGCAGTTCCCGTCGCTGCCTCACCCAAACCTTCAAATGGCGGGCACATCTTTCCGCCCATAATGAGACACAATACTGATGTTAGTGTCAGTGATTTACATATTCCGGGGCAGTATCCGAAGACTCCCAATGCGTAGAATCTAGCTTTGGTTTCTTTGTCTTAGTCTTGGTTTGATGGATATTGTTACTTATATATGTCTACACGTTACGAAGGGTTGTGAAACGGGCTAGGTTGGGGCTTCTGGGCTTTCAGGGTACGGTCGTTCAGAGCATATGCATGTGTTTTGATGGGTTTGGGTTTCGGTTGGTCTCTCTCCTGTCTGTCTCCGTTTTGTCGTTTCTCGTCCATTATCTCCCCCTTTCTGGTTCTCTCATTGCGCTCGTTTTAGCGTGGGTGGCATTGCGCTTCTTGTCTTGGATGAGACGCTTTTTTTATTTTAACTGCCCACTCACTAGTATGGTTTGAGGGTTGGATGATTTTTGGGAACGAGTGGGATTGCGGATATTGAAGTGTAGAATGAGGGAGGGATATACGTGTATGAAATTAATGGATATATTAAACTGTATTCATTGCGAAGTAGCCTCAATTTAAGAGCGCATACTATTAGGCAAAGCTCAAATCTTCAAAAAGGTTTAAGCTATAGATATCTAATTTTGCTACTACTTATATGATCATAGACTTTTCAGGTGATCCTTTTCGCTGACTATAGGCAAACAGGTACAGAGGTGTGGTTTGGAGAAGAAATGTGAAATATGTTGGAGACCTTATGCATTAAAATACTTCGAGTAATATATACTGTACGTATGTTTTAATTTTATTTAGTTATTTAGGAAAAGAATGCTAAGATCTGCGTGTTTTTGATGGTTTGCGGGTGGAATCTATTTATGGAAGAGGATTCAAGGATGTATAAGGAAGGGTTCTCAAGGAATGAGAAAGGGCTACAGAAATGGGGAGTCGCAAAGCCGTTGGTCGGTGAGTTTGGTCGGGCAGCAATCATTCTGATAAATGTTCCGGTCATCGGCGTGTAGATGAATGGTAGGTTGAAGGAGTACATCAGGCGCAAGAAATCCTAGGCTTGGCAGATGTTGGATAATCTTGGGAAAGCTGGAGAGTGTGACACCTGGAGTCGAGTTGATATCGAATGTGGTAAGCCGAAAGGCTCAGCTCCGAAGTGAGTTCCCAACAATTACAGCTTGGTGTGATCAAGCTTCAGACCGCATGTTCCCCCGCATGACGATCCTCTTCAGCCCTCTTTTAGTGCTGTTTGACGCTGAATTGCTTTTGTTTGCGTCACCATGGCGTCGTGCTTGAAGAGTCTGGATTTGGGGAGGGGCGTGGTGTCGATGGGCCTTATTCCCAGCCCGCGGAGAGTGTGAAGACGAGTTACGCCCACTTTGTCAGCACCCACATACTCAGAGGGCGGAGTGAAGGGTAGGACATCCGCGTGATTAGTGTTGAAACAATTGGAGATATCGACGTTGCTACACATTCGGAGTTGAAGAGTTGAGGGCTATCGATGAACAAAATGGAAAAGAAATAGTGAAGGAAATATGTGGGAAGGAATTGCATGGCGTTTTTTTGAACTCGGATCTGATTCAACATCTTCTATCCTTGATACCTTTCAACGAGATGCTTCAGATGTCGTGAGAAGAAAGTAGTTTTAGCATCCCAATTCCGCTTAGGCACGGGACGGGTTTATGCATGTCAGACTGTCCGAGGAAGTAAAACCCGGGCAATGGAGTTCCTTATCCAGCTTCAAGATGCTGGTCGCTGTCTCACAACCACGCGTATGTGGGTTCACTAACTGTTCGCACCATGACCACGACCGAGTGAAGGCCTCGAAAACATGGCTTCGGGTCTTCGGGGGATGTTAAAGTCCTCCGACGTAGGTGTTCAGGCCTCCTGATCCGCCCATGGGTCAGGGCTTTTCCGACGGTTCAGGCCAACCAGAGGACAAGCCATGTGTCCACCTCGCATCTCGTATCGCCTGAGTGTTCGGCCGAGACCAAGAAGCCTATCAAACTAAGGTGGAGCATCTTAGTATTGCGAAAAGAGATGCCGTTTTCGGTGTTGCAGAAATCCCGAGTGGAGTGGTCACAGTCGCACAGCATACAAGTTGTGCTCAACCACCATTCAGAGCCGCAATGCACTAAGCGAAGGTGTGTTGAGGCTTCATTCACTGGAGAGGTCCAACTTCTCAGTGGCGACGACGCCGAGTGGGGAACATCTTTCGTCGGTGGACTTGCAGAGAAAATCTAGCCGTTAGATCGGTGAGTCAATTCCTGACCGCATCGTGCAGGGCTCGGTCTCGCATCTATGGTCGGCTTCAACTCTGGAGAAAGGCTCATGGTGGAGAGAAATGGTTCGAAGGAGGAACTCCTCGCCATACGGGAAGTTGCTTTTTCCCTCCATCATTTGCCACTCGCTCGTCCACAAACTCTCCATCTCAACAGGAACCCTGTCCGCAGAATCTAGCGTCCTGCGACAACAGGGCAATTGGCGGTGACCTGCAGTTGATCACGTCTCCTTTCATCCCCATGACGGGCTTTGCGGGATTAGTATCCTGCTCACAGCGCCTGGTGGGTTCTCGCTCAGGCACGCCAAACTAAAACTGGTGAACGGCAAACCGGCACTGTGGGCCACCAGGCTTCTTCCCATCTCCATGTCTGCGGTCCTCTCGTTATTAATAATGTTATGTCCTTCTGTAGTCATGGCTATTTTTCTCTTTCACATCTTCTCCTCCAAGAGCTAACTGTTCCGTTCTTTGCTCACACTACATGTCGCCAGTACTTTTTGACTTCAATTCCGACAGCGCCAGTTCAAGCGCCACATATTTTAGTATTACATGAGTGGATCAATTGCTGTTATTTTCAAATACCCATTCGTAACTCTCTTGTGACTGAGTCAAATTCTTGACCGCTGCCCGCGCATTCTAAAAGTACCTAAATTTCAGCTCCTATTTTCCACTACTGGTTTCGATTCGGATCTAATACTGTCGCCATGGCGGAGTCAATGTATAGACATCCTACCCGGAGCGAAATCATAGAATTGGCAACCGAAGAAGGACACGACGCAGACATACCCACCAATGCTGGCACTATAGAAGTCACATCTCAAACCATTTCGCCCTCCCGGAAGCAGCCTCAAGACAGCGAGAAGCAATCTAACCTCGATTTCGAAAATGATATCGAAAAGGGATTGCGGCTCGAGTCATTATCTAGCGAGGAGCATGACAATGAAGCCCTGGAAGAAACTGCTGACCCTAACGTCGTTTGGTGGGATGGACCCGACGACCCCCAAAATCCGATGAATTGGCCATTTATGAAGAAGTGGGGAGCTGTTATGCTGGTCTCTGCGGTTACTTTTCTTACACCGCTGGCCTCTTCCATGTTCGCTCCTGGAGTGCCTGAAGTGATGAAGACTTTTCATTCCACGAATGAAATGCTTGAAGGGTTCATGGTGTCTGTCTACGTTCTGGGCTTTGCTTTCGGGCCACTGAGTAAGTTCTATGTTCCTAGATTCAATCTTCAACCCTTACGGGAAGCAGTCATCGCACCTTTATCCGAGATGTATGGTCGCCTTCCACTGTATCATAGCTGCAATTGCTTCTTTGTAATCTTTACAATCGCCGCTGCAGTCGCTTCCAATATGGGCATGTTCATTGTGTTTCGGTTCTTCATGGGATGTAAGTACACTCCCCAACACGCATAAGACCGTCCGAGCTCACATTCCGCAGGCTTCGGAGGAGCACCGCTTGTACTCGGCGGTGGGACAATTGCAGACCTGATCTCTCGGGAGCAGAGGGGAACCGCCATGGTGGTTTGGATGATGGGGCCCAGTAGGTCTTAGCACTAATCCTTTACTTGACTTCTCTAACACTTGGACTATAGCGATTGGACCTTGTGTTGGACCAATCATTGGTGGCTTCTTAACGGAGGCTCGAGGTTGGCGATGGAATTTCTGGTTCGTCGCAATCTTGGTGAGTCCAGTTTTCTGAGTCTGTCTCTCTACAGTTCATTAATGCTTCTATAGGCTAGCGCATTTACGATAATGTCTATGGTACTTATGAACGAAACCTCCGCACCCGTTATCCTCAAACGTAAAGCGAAGCGTCTCCGCGAAGAAACTGGAAACCCAAAGCTTGTGTCTAAACTCGACAGTGGCCTCTCCGCAAAGGACTTGTTTATGTTCTCTATTGTACGCCCAACAAAGATGCTAACAAGATCGCCTATTTGCTTCTTCATCTCTCTATATGTCGCCATCACATATGCATATCTTTACATCCTCTTTACGACTTTCACAGCTGTCTTCAAAACACAATATGGCTGGCGCGGCGGTATTGTAGGGCTTTCCTTCCTCGGCTTGGGTATAGGGTCCTTGATTGGGCAAACTGTCTTCATACACTTTGGGAATAAGACAGCAGAAAAACACATCAAAAGAGGCGACTTCAAGCCAGAGCACCGGTTGTACATCATGGCACTGGGCGGATTCTTCCTTCCTATTGGTTTATTTTGGTAAGCAGTATCTCTGCAATTGGTTGGAAAATCACTTACATTTTTCTCCTAGGTACGGATGGTCCGTCCAAGCACAAACTCATTTCATGGTGCCTATTACTGGAACTGGGTGCATTGGTTTCGGGCTTCTGATGACCTTCATGCCAGCAAACACTTACCTCGTTGACGTCTTTACTATCCACGCTGCTTCGGCTATGGCTGCTAATACGGTGCTACGGTCTCTAATGGCCGCCCTGATACCGTTGTCCTCGCAAAGGATGTATGCTGTGATGGGTTACGGGTGGGGTAATTCACTCCTCGGCTTCGTCTCGCTGCTGCTTGTTCCCATACCTTTCTTGTTTATAAAGTATGGCGAGCGTATACGGGCACGGTCTACTGTGAAGCTGTAGAAACCTTGGCATACAATAGCATATCGAATAATGATGAGATAGCGAATAGGACACCCAAGCGCATACTATTATAATGATATGAACTGATCGCGGGAACTCAACTTTCCCCCAGCTCGCAATCTCACAAACCCTAAACCCTCCCCCACCCCTCATAAACTTTTCCACCCTCATCTCTCACAATCCCTACGCATATCGATTCCCCAGCAAATCCCCGATCATGACTCGTCATAACCTCGGCCTATGCAATCACAACCCCACACACTCAGCCCTATGGCCGTGGGGCATCAGCAAACATCATTAGGCTATTGACCAATAACCCTCTTTCTCACTTCGGGATGCTAGGTGCAATAAAGTACCTAGGATCCTCTGGATGAGTATTTACATCGCTTTTCATTTGTCGTTTACAGTATCCCTTCCTTCGTGTGCTATTTGCGAAGTGATTTACACGGGCTCCTTCATCTCCGTCGCACCCCATTATTGATTTCAGATTAAAAGCAGCACACAGTTCTAAATCACAACCATGCCATCTCTCCCCTCTCCTCCTTCAAATTTCAAATCCCTAACATATACCCAACCCTCCACCACCCCACACCTAACCCACCAACCCTTAACTCCCCCCTCTCCAAACGAACTCCTTATTAAAGTCAAAGCGGCGGCGATAAATCCCGTGGATCTCCAGCTCTGGGGAAACCCGTTGATAGGGTGGCTGGCAGGCAAGAAAGAGAAAGGGATAGGACGGGATTACTCGGGGACGATTGTAGGGGTGGGGAGTGAGTTAAAGGGGAAGTGGGAGGAGGGAGTGGATGTTTTCGGACTGTTTAGTCGACCGGTAGGCTCGTCTTCCCTGACCCATTACTATCGCAAAGCCCCCTACTCTAGGGAAGGTTTAGATTCGAGAAAATGCTTACACAAGTTCTACTGACAGACCGGCGGCGGCACTTTCAGCCAATACATCAAAGTCACTTCCGCCGATCCCATCTGCAAAAAGCCCACGTGCTGGTCTCACCAAGAAGCCGCGGCCGTCCCACTAGTCACTCTCACCGCATTTGCATGTCTAGACTGGTTACCACCCGAAAATAAAGTCGATGGGAAACGTCGCGTGGTTGTAGCTGGTGCAAGTGGAGGCGTAGGAATGTGGTGTGTGCAATGTGAGCCTGGTCTCCATCGGGTCCCTACATTCCTACCAAACCCGTGGATCAGATCCATAGAATACAGCCTAAGAAGAAGTGGGAGGAAGAGTAAGTTTGCTGACTCGTAGTAATAGTAGCCAAGAAACTATACAATTGCCATGTAACTGGCATCTGCTCCAGCAAAAACGCAGACTTCGTGCGTCGCATGGGAGCGGATGAAATCATCGACTACACTACCCAAGACGTTGCTCAAACTCTCCTCAGTAATTTGCCTAACGGTAGGAAATTTGATGAGTATATTGATTGTGTTGGTGGGACGGAGATGTTCAGTTACTGGGTATGTGACTGACTCATTTATTCCCCCTCAACTCAAGCATCCGTAGCACATGAATGCCCATTAATATATAACACATCTCAGCATGACCTCCTCCACCGTTCTGGCGCTTATATAACCATCGTCGGCGACAAAACCTCGCGAACCTCGATGGGCGGCCCAGCCACCTACTTCACCTACCCATCACAAGTATTACGGTATCTGCAAGGTTGGATATTCGGCCCTCGGTACGCAAACGTATTGCTGTACTCTAAAAGTGGGCTATTGGAGCAGATTGCTGATTTAGCGGGAAAGGGGAACGTTGAGGTGGTGGTGCAGGAGGTGGTGAAAGGGGTGTTGAATGAAGGGAGTCTAGCTTGGAAAAAGATTTTTGAGTTCATGGAAGGAGGGAGGGTTAGAGGGAAGATTGTTATTAATATAGAGTAGATGGGCATAGCTGGTCACTTGGAGTTAGAATAGCGTTTGTACTAGTGGCTTGGTTCATGGCTTGCTGGCAATAGCGTCAAGAAATGACCAACTCGTTTGAGAGTCATCGCCACAAAGCGCTGGCTCCTGTTTCCGTTTGTTTCATTAAAGGCATGATTGAGAGGTTTGTTGAATCGCGAAGTAGATTTAGAGGCTGTAAAGCACATCATTTCTCGAAGTTATCCATCCCTTCGAAACCATGACCATCGCGGCGAATCTGGTAGTTTGTCATCCGAAGTCTCCATTGCACCGACTGCTGGGTATCTCCTCGACATCTACAAAGCCGCAGTGACGAGATGACCTGCATCAACACTAATCTGCCATCACGTCATGACTTAATGCTTTGTTTCCGCCCTTTCCCCTTCCAAACACGAAATAAAATCAAGGAGAAATTTCCATTACCCCTTCGCAATTATATAGCTCTCCCAAGGAATCCAAACACGAGTGTGTACCCGCTCCGGGCCATGCATGCCACCGCTGATGATGCAAATATTGCTACTATCCACAGGCTTAACCTCACCATTCTCATAGCCACTAAAACAAATGCTACCCACTATCCTCCGAAGGATCCGGGGAAGAGTACCATGTCCAGCGATATTCTTCCGCGGGTGCAAATGGTTCCCCAAGGCAGTTGTACCCGGCGGATTCCTGATCCCGATCAGGGAACAGCTGCTCCAAGTCAGAATCGGTTTCAAACGACGTTATGATGAACGGATCATTCCACCATTGCGGATAGGAAATGCTATGAAAGCGTATCAGCAAGGAGATGAGACCGGCATAGCAAGACCCCGTAGAATATCTTACGGCATTTCCTCAATGCCGTTGATGATTTGCACATCTTGATATTCTGACGCGTCAGCATCCTTCATTTCAACCTCAACTGATCCCGCCTCACCAGGTTCTCGTCGGACTGCTTCCGTTAATTTGTCTACCTGGTCCGCGCGAACGTAGACGATACCGGTGGAGGTGGCGGGGTTCTTCTCTTCTTGCTCGAAAATATCCTTGAGGTCCTCGACTTCGTCAACGCGATCGTCATTGTACTTGCGCCATATCCTTTTCTGGAAATCGTATATGAATATCCAATAATGGCCTCCAGTGGCACTGCCTCGATGCATGAAGACAGCATGTAGGCGGTAGGGGTGATCCGTACAATCAGTAAAAATGGAGTTGATCTGGATATCGATCTCCTTCATCTGTTCGTCCAGAGTACTAGCTTCCTTGTGAAGCTGGACCGCCCTATCACGCATCTGATTTGCGAGGTCGGGATAGGTGGGTATGGAATTCTCATCAAGATCAATCAGTGTTCCCTCCGCAGCTTTTTGAAGGTCCTCGACGAAAGCAGCAGCTCCGTCCACAGCATCCGCTAGACTAAGTTTAAGTTCGGTCTCAGTCAGCTGAGCCTTACGGGCCTCCAGCGCCTTCAGCCTCCGCTGAAGCTGCCACTGTCTCTCGCGGCGCTCTTGAAGCTCCTCTTCGGATAGAGATTTCGTCTTGTTGAGGTATCGGTCGAGGTATAGAACTTCATCCAGGGCAACATGCGATTCGTCTTTCTTGCTTCGGCCGCCTTCGAATACCAAACGCCGAACGTTCACAATCTGGATGGGTGAGGCCACGTCAATATACTCGTACTTCGACGCCTTTGCATTTTCTTCCTTTGACGTAACGTCCTCAAGCTCAATCAGACTGAATTCGTCGTCCAATGCCGCATAAAGAGGTCGATTTCTGTTGCCAGGCGAGATGAGATGATTGTCCTGAAGAGCCATATTGCGTGCCGTAACACCTTTCAGCTTCCTGACGGTGGTTATATCTGAGAAGAACAACCTCTTAATCAAATCGACTTGCTCGCCATCGCGCATTGTGCCCTCTCCTTTCATTGCACAAGATAGTAGATCGAAGATATTATTGAGAATTTCTGCAGCATCTTGTTGTTGCGCAACCGCTTCGAGTGCTTTGATGCTCGCGCTGACTTGTGCGGAGGTTTGCGGTCTTGGAGGAACTGGAGGAGGCCTGGATGGTGGCTCGGGTTTGCTTGGGGCTTTCGTTTGATCACCATCAGTCACAACAACCTCCATGCGGTCCTCGTCCACATCTATCTCTGCTACTGTAGAGGAAGTATCGCTCTTCTTGGCGACGTCATCGTCTCCCATGACCGAGTCTATGCCATCCGTGGCATGGTTCTCATATGCTGTGCCTGGGGGAGGCATTGGACCAGCAACTGGCAAGCCACCAATCTCACCCAGTCCGGAGTGAGTTCCGTTGGGCTCTGCTGGCTTATCCGCGATAGTTTCTGACTTCGCGAGCGCTAGGGCTGCCAACTTGGTCTCCGGTCGCACGCTGTCGGTCGGTGCGGTAATCATGTGACGAAAAAGCTTCCTTAATTCGAGGACGACTTGTGTCTGTCAGCATGCAGGTTTTTTTTTTTTTTTTGGGATCTAGGGAATACTCACACTGCTGCGCTTTTTCGACCTTATCAAGCTTCACTGCGGTTCGCCCCACTCTTTTACCAACCACCGCCTCCTCCGTGAGCTCCTGCATTTGATCGTCGCCGTTCAGGACCATCTCCCGCAGGGGTTTGATGGTGAATAGGAATTGCAAAACACTATTCAGGTAGCAGGTATTACCAATGTTCTGGCAGCCAACCGGCCAGATGTTCAGAGGGTATGTCTTCCTTGGCGGGCCGAAGTCATGGTTTGCTGGCGTTTTGTGGTTGTCTTTCTGATCTCTGCAGATCAATTGGTACGCTTTCTCGTACTTTTCCGCGCTTTCGGGGTTGCTCGCTACGTATGTTGCGCGTGTCGCCTCTAACACCTCAGCGTCGAGGGCATTTGCTCTGTCTTGGATGCCCAGAAGGGCGTATGCCTCAGCCACATCCATCTCTGTGTCGCCTTCCATAACGCCTCTCTCAAGGAAGTCCACTAGTCTCTGGCTTTTACGGTGTTCAGCGACGATTTGAACTGCTTTGGTGGCAATATCTTTCGTGCTAGGATTTTCGTTGGTCTAGGAATAGAATTAGCGAGTGTCGTGGCGTGGGGGGCTGAGCAATGGTGAAAGTGAAGGTGAAGGTGAAGGTGAAGATGAGGGCATGTGAGAGGAGCGTGGACGCCAAGAGCAGGGGAAGCAACGACGCTTCCCCACGGTAGAAACTGACCTTTAAGGTGTACATGGTCATAACAAAATCATCAGGCTGTCCAGGGTCCAGATCTAGCCATGACAAAGCTTGCTCGTAGGTCTCGATTGCGTTTGACGCCTCGTTCTGTATTTTCTCACTCTGGCGCGCATAGCCAATTGTCCGAAGATTGTTCCGCGCTGCTTCAACCTGGGCAGGAGGGATGTCTGCAAGGCGGGCTTTGAATTGCCCGATGATAAAATCATCACTCAGAAGACTTGAATGCCTCTCGTCCAAGCCAAACCATCGGTATGCCTTCTCCACCTCCTTTCGATCCGCCTGACCTTGTGAAGCCAACATCTGCACCTGTTCTTCCAGCATGTTACTCTTCCTGCCGACGGCAATCGCCCGCAAGGCCTCAAAGTAGTACATTGAGTTTGCCAGGTCGACGGCAACCTGCCTAGCGTACGCAAATAGCAGTAATGCATCTGAAAAGTCGCCGACGGCACCCAAGCCAGCGTAGTATGGATGGTCCTCTTCGTGGTTTGTACTGCGTGCTTCCGTGCGGGTCATGGGTTTCTTGTCGTAGCCCAAACAGCCAAGCGCTCGTTGTATGTCGTTGATGGAGGGCTGTGGCGTACTTACCGCATTCCTGGCTCCTAGCCGCTCAGACTCTGGATATTTGAGGATAAGTGTTATGAGCTCATACCGCGCGTCTTCGATTAGGGTACGTGCTGTGTCCGTGTCTAATGGGTGCCTAGCGGGTGGAGGCCTAGGAAGATACCACACCTCTGCATGGCTTCCATCATCTTCAATTTCGACGGCATTTGTGAATCCAAGGCCCTTAAGGATGTCGTCGCAATCTCTCCCAAAAGTTTTCAGAAACTTGCGATTAAGGAGAGGAATCCGAGCCTTTCCCTTCTGGGGCGATAGGGAGTCCTGTAGATAGGTACTCAGGAAGTCCAGCGCATCCACAGACCGGGCCATATGCGCATCGGCACGGTCTCCGCTTATCTGTCGCGCGGCCTCCCACCTTTTCCTCAAGTGCATTCGATTTGTCAATAGTGTTATGTGTTGGTCGCTGAACCGGGGAGGCAGCAGCCGTATGCGCACTTCTACAGGACATGTGGGCGCCGAGCAGTGAAACCGGTAACTTCGGGGAACGTTCTGCCTTCCAAAGGGGTCTCTTTGCGAAGTGTCTTCCTGCTCGTAGATGAAGTGATGTATGGGGAAATCTGCACTCGATGAACGGCAGGGGGAGGTCTTGGAGCCGTTGTCGCGGAAGTCGACCATGAGGTCCAGATGCCAGCGGCATTGTTGGCAGAAGGACGCAATCCGGTATACAGTCTCATGGCACGGGTCCTCGCCAGCCTTGGGGAGCACGCTCTGCTCATTTTTGGCCATGAATATGTGCCTGCAGTTGCGGAAAGGGACGGCGACCACCGGGTCATCGTCGGGGTCGAAGGGCGGAGGGGAGGTAGTGAGGAGGTTGCGCCCGGCTCGTTCTTCGTGTCGCGGATCGTAGGTGAGAAGATCCTGGAGCAGCCGTGGCGCCGTCTTACCTAGCAATTACAGATGCATTAGTACACCACGTTTTTTTTTTTTCAAGCTTCCAGTAGTTACCTGGCCTTGTCGACATTTCCACCGCAGAACTTTGTCGGGGTCCTACGGCGGAAAACCCGGGGAGAGAGAGTGAAGCTCTGGAGTCTCAACGAGGTGAGAAGCACTCCGTGGTGGGAGATGGGGGGATAGTGGAATCAGAAGAGAGAGTGAGGAGATTAAGAGGACGAGAGTGCATCTGCAGCATAGCAGGCGGCAACTCTGGAAGCTTTGGAAACCTCGAGCGGCTGGCAGGCTAACACTCGCCACGCAAGCCCAGATAAGCTGCCGTGCGACACGTGGACTAAAAAGCCTTTGGACGCTCTAGAATCAATCCAAATAGCGGCCAAACACTGGACCAAAGTAATTGCGTCGTGCTGAGACACTATAACACTGGAGGGCAGTGATGCATGCACTTTCGCCGCGAAGGCGGTGGCAGAATCCTTGCCCGACTAAGGCTAGCTGCGAGTGGACTGATGGTACCTCATCCGCAACACCAGACACCCTCCAGCTCTTGACATCCCCATCCGCAGCCGCCACCCCGTCCGCCATGGCTGCCGAACACGATGCCTTTCACCCAGTCGATACCCTGGCGAACACGGCCAGCACCATCCTCCAAACCACCGCCTGTGGCGCCATTGTCGCCGGTGTGCAGAACACTTTAAGGAAGCAGAATGTAGGCGCCATGGGTATCATCACCCGCTCAGGACACATAATTGCGACATTTGGTATGAACTGGCATCCATAGTGCACCCTTGGTGAGGGCAGATCTAATTGAGGTATAGCCGGTGTTGGTGCCTTTTATCAATTCTCTCGTGACTCTGCCGCCAACCTCCGGTCAAAAGAGGACGCATATAATGAAGCAATTGGCGGTTTCATGGGAGGCGCAGTAGTAGGTCTAGCGAGTACGTGGTCCACGATGTCTTCACAGCGCTTGGCTAATAACCTACAGGAAGACGCATACCGGTGATGCTTGGATCTGGGGCTGCATTGGCTGTGGTCATGTCAGCGTTCTACTACACCAAGGGATTCAGAGGATATAGATATGGACAGGACCTAGAGGAAGATGAGGTTGAGCGAAAGGAGCGAATGAAGAAGCTCCGCCGGCGCCCGATCCAAGAGACCATTGATCAACTGGGCGAGGGCCGGGGTAGGTCTGATATTCACTCCGACTTGGAATTGCAAGCTAAGAGTACTAGGTATCTATGCACCAGGGTGGGAGGAGAGACGACGAGAGCGATTGATGAAGAAGTACGGCGTCGACGTAGGTCCGTACCAGTAAGCGCAGCCACAGCAGCCAATACCTTTTCCTTGGAGTCTAGTCAAGCAAGAGCAAAGGCTGACCACAGAGATCTAAGCCTCCACTGGCTTGTGTATATATTGATCCAAAATCGAAGATCCGCAATTGCAGACGCCGTGCGCAGTTTCGTGGCACAAAGTTCACACTTATGAAGTCTTATACTGCTGTGTTGTATTGCCTTAATGAGACCAAGCCGTGCGTTTTCTAAGACCTGGCCTGACCTAGTGCTTGTTGGACAACGTAGTTGGGTTTGGAAGCCCCCATATCACCTGAGATGGCTGAATGGTTGAGGATCGATCGTTGATCGATTGCGAATGAAAACACGCGACAAACAACACATGATCGATAACGACGTCAAACCTAAGTGGCTCTTGCATCTGACGGGAGCTCTAGGTACCGTCCGTTAGACTACCTGCCTACTGTGGCTTTCCCCTGAACGCGCGTGATCATCCCTGAACACATAACGCGGAGTATTTCCTCCTGTTTGCTGGTTTGCCGCTGGTTTAGAAAAAGCAGCCGCCTTACGCCCACCTGCTTCACCAATTGGCCCGTCACCCACGCGCCTTTTGCGCGGCTCTTCATTCCAAATATCTGGGGTCTGCCATAAGATGTCGGCTGTGGCACTGTACGGTGATGCGTACTCGGAGAGCTGTTACGGACATCACTTACCCCACCACTTAGGCAGAACCCCACCATCCATCAACTAAACCGTACGCGCGCCCCCCCGCGGATGGAGAACAGGTAGGCTTCAATAGGGACTTGCCTAGAATAGATATTCCACCAGCCTACGAGAGAGTGTGTCAATCTCCGCCATGGCGACTTCTACCGGAGCTCCACAGCCGCCATCGGAGGCCAGCTTGAAGGAGCGCTTTTTCCGATACTTCCAGCATGAGGTCACGGGTAAGCTTTAATATTGAGAATCTCATACTCGACTAAGCAATGCAGACCTCCAAGAGCAAATGGAGCGTCTAAACAAAACCGCCTACGCGGGCGGCGAGCGAAATGATGCGGTCGACCACTGCCTTGCAGGTATCGAGCGCCTCTCTCACGAGGTTAAGGATGCTTCAAGCTACATACCCGCCTACGACCAGCGAACTTATGGTGAAGTAAGCTGACAGCTTAATAATCCTCCAGCTCTTTCCAAATACAATAACTAAAAGCTGATATCTCCAGGCCATAAAAGCGCTTTCGGAAAAGCTACAAAACATCCGCAACTCATTCGCGCCACCCAAGAAATTCCAATTCAAAACCGCGCGCAAGAACCCCTCCGCCATCTCCCTCTCTGATGTCGCTGAACTCGCACAACAAACCAAGCTTGGAGTGCTTGGATACCAATCCGACACCTCGAATGCGAACTCCTCCTTTGCGCCGACCCCACTCGACAAAATGTCTCCATCCGAGGAAAAACTAGAGCCAGAACTGTGCGCGGGCGAGAATCCTCAAGGGATAAAGGAGGATAAAGTATCTGGAATCCGAAAACCGTCCTTCTCGAACGCGAATAGCGTGACCATTTCGAATCATAGCGGCGTCCATATCATCCTACCTACTTCTGCATCGCACGCCACAAGTTCAGGAACGGTGTCGAATCTCCGACGTTGTGTTGTGGATCTTTCGCCGCCAACTTCCAATGGCGGTGCTTTTGCTGGATTGGCGCTGAAGAATATCAAGGATTCATTAATCGTGTGCGGACACGTTGCTGGACCAATCCATATCACGAGCGTGGAAAACAGTGTAATTGTAACCGCATGTCGCCAGTTCCGTATGCATGCGTCCAGGAACACAGATGTGTATCTCCACTGCTCAAGTCGGCCCATCATCGAGGATTGCGAGGAGATTCGGTTTGCGCCGCTGCCGGAGAAATACGTACGCATCCCCACCCATCATCTATCATCCACCCATCTTTATTTCTTTTCTCGCTGTCCCATAAAACACAATCATATCACATCTAACCTAATTCATAAAGAACTCCCCCGACATATCTGTCTCTCAGAATCAATGGGACCAAATTGATGATTTTAAATGGCTAAAGTCCGAACCAAGCCCACACTTCAGTCTCCTTCCCGCTTCGGACCACATTAAAGAAGAGGTTTGGAAAGACATCGTACCAGGCGGCCATTCTGTTAGTCTAGATGATGTTCTGAGGGCCCTGGCAATTCTTCACTGAATTCTCGAATCTCGCGAGCATGGGGTACTTGTGACTCGTTGAAACGAGCTATAGATCGGTAGTATCTACGGCGGGAGCATGGCTTTACAATCCTCTAGAAAAGACTCCTATTGGTGGAGAACCATAGACTAGATTGGTGGGAGAAGACGGATGTAATAGTAGACGGACAGAGTGTTACGTGGCGTCCATGGAGAGGGCAAAATTGAGATGTAAGTTTTCAAGGACGGAGGTTATGGATATGTACGGACCGATCGATGAGGACGACTATGGCGAATGGTTGAGGCGAAGATGTTTTTGGGAACAGTTCAGTATTGCCGCGCTTTTGCTTTTGCTCGCGTTGTTTCTGCTATGTAGTCATTCCTTTTGGTTGTTTCCGAGCTACTACAGCGTTGACTCGGCTTTCGATTAGTCATTTTTGGCGCAAGATACACGGAGACAAAGTGACCTCACACAAAGGCCTTTTCCGTTATGAGTAAGCAATTTGAGCCGTGGCTGAGCAGCACTAAGCTTGCCATGAGCCAACATGATTCAGCGTGAATTCAGCGTGAGCTCGCCTGATTGTGGCCTGAGCCACTTTGATTGTGCCTGATTTTATCCCTGAAATTAGTCCCAAAGAGCGTAGAGGGGTGCGACTATCCTAAGACTGACCGGTCCCATTTTCAGGCCCTACTTTCCCTCTAGTCAAAATCCATGAAGCTGCTGGTGGATGCAGATATTCGTAGCATGAATTGCTGGAGATTCGCTTGGTGGGCGGTTCATGGTTATCTCATGCCTGGCAAAAATTTACTCCGCCTCAGCCTGATCAACAATGTCAAGCCCTTCGCTTGATGTGCCAGCAAAACATTCCAAGAAGACAATGGTATAAACAATACTCTTCATCTAAAGGCCACCTCCACCACACTCCAAGTCGTGCACCAGAAACCATGCCAGTCAATTTGAACTTGTCTCGCCCCAGACTAGGTCGCGGCGTCCATGTAGCAATCACGGGATGAGACATGAGATGGTGAAAATCAGTGAATCGAGGTCTAAATCTGCTGAAGTGGGTGGGTACAAGGGCTCCGAAGGAGTGCCTAGGCCACATGCAGCTGCTTAGGAGTTGGATTGCCTCAAGTTGCTCGACCGAACTTTCTGCTAAGCAGAAGAAAAATCTAGAATTGACCGAGTTGCCGACGTATGATTGCCTTGCGATGATGTCGTGGGCCTGCGGTATCTCGGTAATCTATCCGGCGAACGAAGCAGAAGCGTCAGAGTAGATACTACGACGTTGATTGTGTAGAAGGCTCTAACTTAAGCAGGGTGGCACTCCGTGTAACGAGGGAGAGCAGAGAAGTTTCATTGCTGGAGCAGCGGCACATTATCTTGAGGCAGTATCGAAGCTTCTCGGGTGAAAAAGTTGGTCCATAGTGCAGTAGTTTAGGCAGCAACAGCCTTGCTTGCGAACAGATGCGGCGGGGCGGACGCAGGTGTTGAAGCTTAAAATCCTCTGCAAAGCGACGAGTTGTGTCACAAAGGCAGCGATGTGGCTCAAATAAGCGCTCGCGGCGCTGTCGAGAGGCATTGAAGGTTTCAAGTACGTGGTTGGGACAGAGCCGCACGAACCTGGTCAAGTCACAAGTGAGGCGCGAGGCGCGAGGTGTCGCGTCACGTGCGCGTATCTAGTCGATGAACTTCAGCTTTTTGCTTCACTCGCTTTAGCATCCACCTTGCTATTTTAGAATCGCAAGAGGCTGTAGAAACCGCAACTGATCTCAAAGTAGTTGCTGAATTAGCAATCGAATGACACAGCACATGCACCGTATCTTCAAAGGACTTTCTGCAAGCGTCAAAAGGGCTTCGAGACTCGCACCTCATCAATCTCTCCACACTCAACACACAGAGTGTGTCCCTCGACTCTGGGAGTCCAATTCTGGTAAGCTGTCGTCGATTTAAGCGCCCTTTCGCTATCTAGTCTAATCCATTGTTGCCAGCGTTGGACCCCTATCACTACACCAGTGGAAGATGGCTTCACCGTGAGGAAGAGCATCAACGCGCAAGATACATTAAATTCGATCTCAATGCTCTATGCCGCAAAGCCATAGAAGCCTATCCGGGCGCATCCCGAGTTGTAAACTACGAGAAAAAAGAGGGTGGTTTCAACCGCGTGTTCATCCTTCATTTCGATAACGGCGCCAAGGTTATTGCGCGAGTCCCCTTCCGTCTTGCAGGTCCTCTAGCCTTGGTGACGCATTCTGAGGTCGCAACGATTGCATACGGTAAGTGTCATTTCCAGTTTCACATTTCTGCTCCTATGCTAACTTGAAAGTCCGGTCTCGCACATCTCTGCCAGTGCCGGAGATACTCGATTGGAGCGACGATCCCGAAAATGATATCGGCACTCCATACATCATAATGAAGCACGCTTCAGGGGTTCCATTGCAAGAAAGGTGGCCAACTATGAATACAGAACAAAAAATTCGGTGTGTTGAACGCCTATCCCGATACCTAAGAGAACTTGCAGCCCTCCAATTTCCCGCATTCGGTAGCCTGTATTTCTCAGAGTCATTGGTGAGCGGGAAAGGGGCAATCGATATCGGGTCTTCGTTTTGCATTGGACAACATTGCGGTACAGACTATTGGCCCTCTATTCCGACGGAGCCACGATACTACGAGCGCCGAGGGCCAAACCGTGGACCATGTAAGTGAGCTCGCCCTTGTTGGCCCAACTGCTCATTCGGAAGCAGGGAAGGATCTCAGAGAATACAGTACAGGATTATTAGATGCCGGATATTCACGTTTGCCTCCCAGCCCGGCGAAGGATGAATTTGAGGGCACGGTCGACGAACATCTTCGATTACTCAAGCTCAGTGAAGAAATTCTTGACGTTCTCTTACAACAAGAGGATATTCAGAAGGTTGCAGAGCCCACGCTTCTCCACATCGATTTCCATAAGCGCAATATCTACGTTTCTGACGACGATCCGCGGGTGGTTACGGCGATTATTGACTGGCAGTCTGCCTGTATTGAGCCAATGTTTTGCTACGCTCACGAGACGCCTGACTTTGTCGAGGCACCAGCCGACATTCAGGAATATTTGCGACAATTTCTTGGTCCAAGTTCTGAGGATGTTCCCGATGATCCCGCTCGTGAGAAGGCCAAGCAGAAGCCGGAAAAGGAGATTGATCTCTGCCAAAAGACCTACACCACGATTCTTCGGGCCCTGATACCGAATCTCTGGTCCGCCATGCAAATGGATCAACGATACGTTCGACTATTCCGCTATTGCAACTCTTCGTGGAGAGATTGCGCCGTCGCGCTTCGTCAAGAGATCTTAGAGCTGTCAGAAGGCTGGCAGGACCTCGGTTTACCAGGCACCTCTCCCTATCAACCAAGTGAGGAGGCACTTGCAGCGCATCGCAATGCATGGGAAGACTATGAGACAGTGCAGAAACTCAGATTGTTCATGTTCAAGATGGCGGGGTCAAACTCGGATGGCTGGGTTCCTAATGAGCACTGGAAGGAGGCACAGGTCGTCTGTCGCGATGCTTTTGGGCTATGGATGGAGGCTATGAGAGAAGAAAACGATCCCAACATGACTGAAGAGAAGGCTCGAAGACTTTGGCCGTTCGAAGCTATTCAGTGACCTGGGAGGCGTCTTGCGAAAAGCGGAACTCTGATAATGATGGACGGACTTACATTCAACTTGCCTTGAGGGGCCGAGAATAATTCAAGCTAGTGGGGCCGGCATACACTATAAGCCTGAGGCTCTTGGAAGGCCTTGAATTATCAAATCAGTCACCGCTTCTACAGCCCATGTCTACTAGTACGCTATCGTGCAATATCAGGCTGGGATGAGAAGAGTATGCAGGAAGCTGCAGCGCACGCATGTCGCTCGCTAAATGTCTATTTCAGCGAGCTGCCAGTGCAATTCCGCCTTGCGTGTTCAATTTTAGCAATTCCAATTGCATCACTTTCGAAATATCTCTCAGTATGTACATCTTGTCAGATCTAGGTCACGTGATTTAGATTGTGATGACTTCCGCAGATTCTTCATCTTATAGCTCCAACTCTTTACTTGTAATCCAATCAATAATGCACTCATATTAGTCGCCCCAAAATCAGACACATCTCGAGTCTTGCAAGGCTAAACTGCTAAGCATTGCACAGCCTCATTTCGGCTGCTGCTCTGCCGCATTCGGATCTGAAGATTTCCATGTCAGACTCGACTGACTTCTTGCTCGCTGGCCAATCTAATCGCAAATGGTGGACGGGTGGACGGTTTACGCCCCATCTTAACAATACAAGTCGGAGAGAGCTGCTAGGTCAGCCCTGGAGCCATGTCGACTTCACTGATATCTCCGAACCACGGCTGGCTCAACTTCAGGAGCCGCGAGCCGCTCGCAAATCTTACAGCTATCCCTGCAAGCTCTAGCCAACTTAGGCTGACATTGTGACAAGGCCAAGGGGGGAGTGTCAGTTTAAACTGAAGGCTTTCTCTCCACGGAGACGTTCTCTCCACGAAGACATTATCTCTACGGAGCGGCTCTCTCCTTGAAGAGACTCTCCACTAAGCTCTCCTCTCCTCGAAGAATCTCTCCACAGAGCTCTCCTCGCTCCTCGGCGATCTAACCACCATTTTCAGAGAAACTAGAACATTGTTCTACTCGTTATATTAGCTGCGTATATCACGACTGACGAACTGCACAGTACACGCTTGATACGCTCCAGGCTTTGCCTGCTCACATCCATTCCCACTCCTACATCAAAATATATATATATTCTTCGATAACGTGACCTTTAACGTTCTTTCTTCCTACTTCCACATGTCATGCGTATCCTTCAACATCTCGGAAAGTGGGAATAGGGTGACCGCATTGTTCTCGTCGAAAATATGTTGCGGGCTCTCGGTTTCCGTCTCTTAGGATCGATTACATCATGCTCTGGCAATGTCACCTTAGCAAGATAGATGCTTGAAGAATCTTCTGCCCGTATCGCTCTCATCTAATGAAAATACTTTCTTCTCAGCTAGACGTATAGACTATTTCGAAGGAAATTTGGAAAGCAGATCAACTTCTAAATCTTCGGCAAAAGCTCTCTGCAACTTTTGCAGGATGATGCTGTTGAATTTCGCTGCTTCGCTGTCCGTTGGAACGGTGTCCCTTTGACTCGTGGTATTTGAGTCTCTCATCGCTAAAGACCGCTTGAGCTGAAATGAATCTTTAATTTTTGTTGTAGTAATCTCACAAAAGGAAATACGAGACTAGACTGGATCAATGCTTCAGAGGAGATTATTACCGTTCAATGGACTGTGCCGAATCAATCAGGTATTTTGCTTTTGGCGCTAGCGGTTTTGCTTCATGTGGCTTTTGTAAACATCGCGCGGGAAAATTGTTAATTCTTTTAGTGTTTTAGAGACCTTTGAACTAAAAACTGGTGGCTTCCTCTAAACTTAAGAATATCCTGAAACCCTATACTCTGTTAGAGGGACTAAGAAATCTTTGTGAAACGATGACTATTTTGGGATATTTTTGGCCTACTCAGCGGATCGAGGATATTTGATCCTTTGCTACGTCCTTAATAAAATCACCATCTTCGAAGGGCTTTGAGTTAAGGGTTTAAAGACCCCACCAGGGCCCTGGACCGTTCGCTAAGTTAGTTTTCCTTCCTGAAATCTTAGATTCCCAAACTTTCGGTCACTCAAACAGCTTTCCTCTTCCTACCTCCACCTCTTCTCCAATTCCACAGCGCTTCCTGCGCATACGTCCTCGCCGTCAGGTGTCCTCTTTCCTTCCCAGCCTCCTCCGTCAACGTCTCAATGATCCTCCCCTCCTCAACACAATCCCACAATCCCCTCGCTATAGCACTGCCGACGCTCTCCTCCTCCATATCTTCCTCATCAGCGTTATTGGGATCCCTGACAATCTGTACCGGTCCATCAACATCCTGCTTCCCTTCCTCCTCTCCAAACTCGCCTTTCCCTAACCGATATAAAATCCGCCCCAAGGTCTGGTATGCTACGCACCGTTGCGTGGGCACCGTACTCCGTGATAGTCTCGCAAGTTCAGGTATTGTATAGCCCGCCGCCTCAGGGGCGTCACCATGGTGGTGCAGACCTTCTGTTACAGGGATTTCTCGCGCGGCGCTAGGTGCTAAGAGCGCACCCTTAAAGTTAAAACGTAGCTCAGACGGGTTGAGCGCGGTCTGTGAGGGGTGGTAAGGGGACTGGGTATCTGAAGGGTCGATTGGTTTCATCCAGGAGACGGAAGAGGGGTCGTATGGGAGGTTGGGGAAATACTTTTCGTGGAGATCTGTTAGGAAGGTGGAAGAGGTTGGATCAAGGTCTGGTGGTTGCGGGGGCTTGGGGAAGTGTATGGAGGGGGGTAGTTGGTCGGGATGTAGGGTAGCAATGGGGTCCACCTCAGTTGTAGTATTCTCAGTATCGAGTGGAGCGGAGCTTGTGGATTCCGGCTGAGCTTTTGGAGGTTCCATGGTCCACGGACCCGCAGCATCGAATGACACTTTCTTGTTGCTCCTAGTCTTGTGTTCTGCATTTGCATCGTCAGTTTGGGGAGCAGGCGGCTCCTCGATTAAATCCCGTTCATTGCTCCCATCGTCAATGTTAGCTCGAGCGAGAAGCTTCTGGATTAAGCTGGGAGGAAGCATTGAAAGAAGTTCTTTCTGCTCCTGCTCAATCTCCTTTGCAGACATCTCGGCTATGCGCTGCCTGTTCTCCTGATCGATTTGCCGCCGCTCCTCATCATCAATGGTGGGCCCAAAATTCGCCTTCGCAGTTTCATTTGCGAAGGAAGAGATTGGATCGTCCCGTTTAGACGCTTGCCGCTGTTTGAAAGCAGAGACTCGGTTCACGCGCTTCTTGTGCGCTGGGAAGCCGGTAGTGTTGCTTTTGAAGGTCGGAGCTAAAGGTGGATTAGCTGTAGATGGAGCCCGCTCTAGGATATCGCCTATGAAATCCGCTGACGATGGCGAGCCAGCTTCTTTGCCGTCGGAGGGGGCAGGCTCGATCGAACCACTCTCAAAGTCAAAGTGTACGCGCTCTCCCCTTGCGAATGCCATGTTGCAAGTCTGTGTTGTGGAGATGGAAAAGGAAAGGCCCTCAGAATGTTCATGATCTAGAAATCTTGGCGTTCGGCTAAGCTTGCCTCTACACTCCGGCCCTTCACAACTCGTATTCACTTCAAAGATTAGGCAGTAAAAAGTTCGTGGGCCTTTCTCGAGATGACGCTTCCCTGCAGCTCCTCTGCACAATATTAAAAATCAAATTGTGACGAAGCCAAGCACTCAATTGCCCAGATAATGAGCTTGAAAGTGAGGCTAAATTCATACCTACTGTGTAAGCTTCATTTTCGTACCCAAGCTGACCAAGACTCCTGAGCCAACGCCTGTTACACCTAGCAGCCCAGACTATACCAAATATTACCCAAGACTGCAGACAAACACACTGTATCGAAGATTCAACTTCGATAGGCTCCAGTTCACTTTGAAGACGTGATATAGCTTTGGCATACCACCGCAGCCAGTCTCGTCGTCTAGTTAGACTCCTGCCTTTTCCGGGTCGACATTCAGATTCCAGTCAATCTCAGAATCCTTCCCATATCTCTGCACAAGCCATTCGTTGGTTTTGATGAAGTGGTGGCAGTCAAACTAAGCACGGTTAGATTCATAACTGATGAGGAAGCTGCCTTAAAGCTTACCCATCCTCTACTCGCGCTAAGCGGACTTGGATGGACACTCTTGAGGATCAAGTGCTTCTCCGTGTTAACGCCCTTAACACGATTGGCTGCTGGTGTACCCCAAGCAAGGAAGACCACTCCATTGGTCCTCACTTTTGCGACCGTGTCAATGACCTTCTGAGTCAATTGCTCCCAGCCCTTGCCCTGATGGGAGTTGGCTTCACCACGTCGAACGGTAAGAACGGTGTTGATCATCAGCACACCACGCTCAGCCCACGGTGTCAGCAGACCTCCCTTGTTAGGCGGCGCCTCGAAATCAGGATAGTCCTTCTTCAGCGCGGTATAGATGTTCTTGAGCGAAGGCGGAGCTGGAGTAGGCGGCCGGACAGAGAAGCAGAGTCCATGGGCCTGGTTAGGGCCATGATACGGATCCTGACCCAGAACTACGGCTTTGACAGTGTTCAGCGGCGTATGGCGCGACCTAAAAAGCAAGCGTCAGCAATTGGCATACATGAATACTATGTATGATGTGAAATACATACCATGAATACACGTCCTTCATTGGAGGGTATACTGTCTTCCCGCTCGCAAGCTCTTTCTTTAAGAAACGCTTCAATTCTAAGAATTGGGGCGACACTAGGACATCCTTCAAGTGAAGCAGCCAACTCTCATGCAAGGTATCAATCTCCAACTTGAGTAAGTCCTTCTGCTCATCCGTGAGCTTCTCGACCCAGGCGTCCTTGTCGAATTTAGCGGCAGGCGACGCAGTAGCCGAATTTGGCTTCGGTGCACCAAAGAACGAAGTGATGCTACCATTGACTTTTGTTTTTTTAGCGTTAGTGGCGACTTCTGCTGCCTTGCGCTTGAGACTCATCGTGGCGAACTGCAATTGATCGGGAAGGTTGAATTGAAAATGAGAGGAGATGCAGAGACCTAGAATTTAAGGGGGTCGTGATCTGCTCAGCACTCTAGGCATCCAGCGCGTGAAGTTCCAAGTTCAGGTGATCCGACACCGCTCGAGCCATTAGGCAGTCTGTGAGGTTCGCGGAAGGAACGCCCACACGTGCGGACGCGTCCGCGCTCCCGTGTTGTCAGATTTCAAGCTCTGACATCATGCCTCGACAGGGAAGCAAAACAACACGGAAGGACATCCTTGGTATCCCAACTTGCCATGCAGCAAATCAGCTTGACACAAACCGTTGATCTCTATTTCTAAATGCTAGAGAGTTACACTGGCAGAAGGCCGTGTGCCTACTTTGCCCTGGCAAATAGCGTCAGAGGGTGAAGAGACGAATATAAAAGGAGAGGCTTCTTACTATCCCTCCACCCCCATTCTACTTTCGAATATTCCCAAGCTTCTCTTTTTCAATCAATCAAACACTTCGATTACACTTTCCAGCAAACCATCCTACCACAGCAATGGCCAATACCAACCCCCCCAACTTCGCCAACCTTCCTAAGGACGAACTCCGAGAGATTGCTGCTAAAGGTGGCCATGCCTCCCACGGTGGACAAGTAGCTGAGGTACCTAGACCGCATTTCCTGTCTGATAGTCCATGCACTTACAGCCACTACAGCCGCAACAACAGGGCCGTCGTTCTGATGGAACGTTCCTTCCCGGTAGTCAGCTAGCCAAAGACCTTGGGTCCATTGGAGGTCATGTCGCTCACGAACACGCCATCGAGAATGAGGGTAGAAACCCGGATGGTACCTTCAAGGTGAGCCCAGATCTGAGTGTTCTGTGGTTGTTCTGACCATCTCCAGGCGGGGACTGCTTTGGCGAAAGAACTTGGCGAGAAGGGTGGCCACGCCAGCCATGACAATGCCTAACTCTCACATGCCCTGACAGATGAGTGAACTAGCACTCCCGATGGCTGCCAGGAATGGGAGTTGCAGATAACGATTTACCGACGGAGGGCTGATAGCAAACAAAAATACAAGGATTAAACCCCTCTGAGTGAGACACGTATTCTAGAAATTCATGACTGATGCGGTGACAAAGTGGATTGATTTGAAGGTGTATACTTACTGCTGCCGATACCGTCTAAACTCGTTTGCGATGGGTACATTTATGAGCAGTTTGGTGTGGCATGTGTAGTAACGATTAGCCTACTGCACAGGACAGGAAGGAAGCGGTCTAAGAAAGGCGCCACACATTTCTAGATAAATATGCAACACTCTTTATAGTTTGGACAGATTCGTGACGTTGCCGACTTGCTGCATACTAACATTTATAATGCAAGATGACAAGGACCTTATTGTAAGGCAGAAATTAGCACCCTCTAGACAACCACTTGAATTCTAGTAAGAACTTTAACACATTAACTACATCCTAGCTATATTCCATAGTTCGCAATACTATACAGTGCCGGTACCGTGTGTTCCACACGACTTTGCCGTGGCCTTGGCGGTGAGCGCCTACCGTTTCCAGCACAGTGGACAAAGAAGAGGCGAATTTGGCTCATGTTTCGCTTCAGACAGAGATATGCTCACCGATAATCCGGATGGAATAAGCAAAGGGGCCGGAAGCCTTCACCCGCCTGCATATAAAGCCCGGGAAGCTCGCAGGAAGCGCTCTGGTGAAGTTTATGCCTTCTCTTTTTTTAAGACCGCCTACAGAGAGCTAGAAATAGCTGTCATCGCCTGTTCAAAAATCTCTGAGTCAACTGCCAAACCGGCCTGTGACCTGTCTTCGTACGGCCAGGCTCATCCGGTCCAGAACCAGAGCTTGGGGATCGAACCTCTGCAGCGAGGATGCGAGACAGCGCACCGTCGACAACCCAAAGCCATCGAGGACACGTCAATGAGGCGCCACTGCGGTTCCAAGACGGAATCTGTCCAATCCTTCTCTCGAGACGCCCTGGTCAGCAGCCACCGCGTCGGGATGAGACAGTCCTGCGCAGGCAATTACGCCATCGAGCGACGACGGCATGAACCAAGTGCCGGGAAGGGCGAGCCCTCGACTATTAGGCTCGAGGAGAAATGCAACAGGGGCGGCGAAAGGAGTGCGCGTGGTGCGCAGGCCCAGGAGGACTGAAGTGCACTTGGTCTTCATGCTGTCGTGGTGCTGGTGATTGCTGGTGGGTAGGCCAAAATTAATAGGCGAAGGATCCGCTCTGGGATGGTCGCTGAGTCGTTGATTTGGACTGACCGCCTCCGGATCCCTGGCCTTGGGTGGGAACCACACCACTCGATTACCTTTGCGCTGGGTTCTGGCTTCTCCAGCTTGTCGCTCCACAGGCCCTTCCTACTCGACTTCTCTTCCCGACAACATGTCTCTGACCATTCCTGTCCCGCCGCACGACACCAGCCCGCCGTCGTCAGTCGAAGCGCTGAGTCCACGATCAATAATCGAGCCCGATGTATGTGAGCGCTGCGGCATCACCAGCCTCGGTGTGTCTCCCGCGACAACTCAGCTAACTCGCCTCCTACATGTAGTCCGACCCCTCGGACGGACAGGAAAGCTGTGGCACGTTGGTCTCCCTCGCTATCCCGCACCGTAATTGACCTCGCTCACCGCGCTTCAGGAGCACCAAGTCCGTTAACCAGAGCATCTTCGACTTTGTCCGCGAGAATGGCAGGACCTACCACCGCTACCAGGCTGGATGTACGTCTTGTGCTGACTGAACACCTCTAACTGATACCACGTGCTAAATGATGGCTAGCATACATGTTCCCCAACGATTCGGTACCTCTCCCCAATGCCTTGCCACCCCGACCCTGTCTCGACAGCTACTCCTGCGCTTTGCCCTGCGACTGACTGCCCACCACTGTAGTACGAGACTGAAAGGCTAGACCTGCAATACGAGATCTTAAAGGTTCTGTTCAAAGGCCGCAATTTCTATGCGCCGTTGAAGAACCCAAAGAGGATACTGGATATCGGCACTGGAACGGGCAAGTGGGCTATAGAAATGGGTGCGTGGGCGGTCTGAACGTGTTGATAGAACCATACTAACCAGATATAGGCCATTATTTTCCACAGGCTGAAGTAAGTAGCTGTAAGAGTTTACCCCCCACAGCTTTAACGCGCGCTCAGGTCACGGGAACGGATTTATCTCCTATTCAACCGGAATGGTAAGGAGAGCAAGTATGATTGCATTGAAGCGACGAAAGCCAGCTGATGAACGCTCAGGGTTCCGAACAACGTCAAGTTTGTTATCGACGACGCAAACGAGGAGGATTGGATGTTGGATCCTCTCGACTACATCCACACCCGCATTTTGGCCGGCTCTTTCGAGGATTTCCGGGAGATCATCGCCAAGTCGTTCCGCAATCTAAAGCCAGGAGGGTGGATGGAATCGCAAGAGTATATGCCCACAGTTTACTGCGATGATGGGACCATGAGTCCCGACTATGCCTTTGCAGAATGGACGCAGACCCTCGATAAAGCCGCCATGACACTCGGGCGACCGCTCCGTACCGCAAATAAGCTAAAGCGCTGGTATGAGCAAGCTGGCTTCGTGGATGTCCATGAGGAAGTCTACAAGCTTCCCATCAACTCGTGGCCAAAGGATCCCCAATGGAAGATGCTGGGTCGCTTCAACGAGACCAATCTTCTAGATGGCCTGCAGGCATTCAGTCTTCAGCCATTCCAGAAAGGATTGGGTTGGACAAAGGACGAGATCGAAGTCTATCTAGTCCATGTTAGAAAGGCCCTCTCAGATCGCAATGTGCATGCGTACCATAAGATGTAAGTACTCCCTCCTACTCAATTTCATCAAAGGAATGCACTGGCTAATGGGTTAAGATATGTTGTTTGGGGAAGAAAGCCTGGAGAGGGTGACCTGGGTGTTCCGAGTCCGCCATCATCCGATCCACCGCCTGCAGAGTCATAACATGAATTTGTGAATTGTTCGTCCGCTGCAAACAGTTAACGAGTCTCCTTGAAAATTTGGGCATTTCAGCGGTGTACAAAAGGCGGCGATTTCGGCGTTGGTCCTTGTTGATTCATACGGCACTTCGACACCTCTCTAGCATCGGCGGAGCTAGGCGTATGTTCCTCACAGATATCCGTATATGCGACTGGGGCAGGTCTTTTTCGCTGCACACATTGCATCGGGCAGACCTTATGGACTTTCGTTGAAACAGCACTTATATCGAGATGGGGGAGAGCGCATCGTACATTTCAGAAGAAGGGAGCAACGAGTTGGAAAATGCAAGCGTGGACTTGGATTCAATCTCGTCTTTATTATTAGCACTATTTTACGTTAACACCACTCTCGTCTCATTATCTCAAATGCATCTTATTACCTAGCGTGGAATAGGGTAGGGGTATTTCGGGGCAGAAATCTGTGTAGTTCCTGATGACGTTCTCACTAATTCCATCAGGAGGTCTAATTCAACCTACCCTGGTAATATTCCACGGTAGGTGCAAATATGCTGGAATTGCTTTTCAAACCCGAGTCTTATGGCGCAGCAATGCCACCTACCTTAACGCCATTTCCGAGACAGCGGACGGTGGGTTTCTTTGCCTTTTCAGGCCGTCTTTTCAATCTGCCGGTAGCGAGTCCCACGATCAGATCTCGACATGCACGCTCCGCAGGGTTTTACGACTTCGTGGGACAGAAATGTGTGTTTCCATCAGATAGCGGAATTCTATTCCATCACCGCATGAAGAAATTTCTGATTGTAAAGATCCAGATTGCAGCACGTGATGGCGAAGTTGGTGTTGCAGAACTCCTCGGAGGTGTAGTCGGCGCTCATTGGTTGAAATTTAAAGGAGAGATAAGGCGATGAAAATCATTCCACACTTGCGACGGGAGCTAAGGTCAAAGTCAAATGACAACGAAGCCAAGGTGCCAGGCACAGGATGCAGTGGCAAGGCAAAAATTTCCGCGAAGCTTCTCTTGAAAGTGGTGTAGCGAGGATGCAGATGCACTGCCAGGCCCCTGATTCGGTCATTCATTCATTCCTGGCTTGGGATCTGCAGGGTGGAGATAACGATTCCTCGAAGCACTGGGCTGACGTTAAACAGCAAAAGATGAAATGCCATGATCAAGGAAAAGGATGTCAAACCAATTAAGAAGCACGCCGTGAAGGAAGAGATTCGCCCAGTTTATGTGGTCTTCTGCAATCGCGAGAGCTTCTTGCTGTCAAGGCCTAGACAAACTACGACTGGCCTTCTGCACTGGAATGGACCCTACCAGGACCGCAGGTAAGACGATCAACAGCCTCTAGGCCCATTCGTCCAATAATCGCGTTTTCGTTTCTCCCTCCCTTTGATATGGGCTTCAAAAATGCCCCCAGAGTATTCTAAAGGTTCAGATTCAACGCTTGTCTGAGGATGCCAAGTCATATCGCCTCTCACCTTTCAGCTTCCAAGCATGCTGCGTTCTGCACCCCAACCTCAGCCGCTGTCAATCTCAGAGGCCAGGGGATATATTTTGGGTATGGTCGATGCTGACTCCTGCTTGCTAGCGTGCCGACTGCTCGTCTTAAGTGGCTCCCTGCTCTGGACCCTAGCCATGGAGGGATTCCGGTTATGAGGGACTTGCCATCCGCTGTATTCTGGACGATAGGCATGGCTATTTCAATGAAGATATCGAAAATACGCCCTTGACGACTTCGAGGCAGGGGGCATTCCTCAGTCACCTTTTACTTTTCTTCTTTATTACAAGCGCAGCAGAAGCTTTCACCAATTAAGATGTCTCAAGCTTCACTGCTCTGGTAGACACCCCAGGTCAACCCAATTAATAAAAAGGCCCAATCCATTCCATTCCTCAACCCCGTTACCAATGTCTACAGTCGCGTATTCTTCTTATCTTGGTGCGGCTTCATGGTTGCTTTCTAATCGTGGTATGGTAAGCCCAACTACTAAAATCCTATGACATCGTCTTGCACGCCGCTTATTTCTAACTGCCTCACCCTAACATCGGATCCATGCTAATCTAGATAAACCGCGTTCCCGCCCCTTCTTGCAGATTTTATCGCAGGGGATCTCCACATGATGCCTTTCCAGGTTGTGAACTCGAATATTATTGCGCTGATGGCTACGCAAGCGAGTCTTAGTGGTTCATGAGATAGCGGATCTGAATAAATTGTGGATAGGCTGATTGTGAGGCTGATTACTGGACCATATTGTGACCGCTTCGGATCCAAAATCACTTTTGCTGGATGTCTGCTTGCTGGTGCGGTACCAACCTTCCTTGCAGGAGCTTTGCATAACGTCTCAGGGGAGTGGTAGCCTTGAGCTTAAACTTAATAATTATATTCATTTATTTTATGTAGGCTTGTATGCTCTACGCTTCGTCATCAGAATCCTTGGTGGAAGCTTCGTCCCTTGTCAAGTATAGACGACTGGTTCCTTCGACAAAAGTGTCCTCGGGACCGCCAATGCCTTGACTAGAGGGCTTGGTAATCTCGGTGGAGGTATCATCTACTTCCTGATGCCGGCTATCTACAACTCGCTTCGCCACGGTGGCCTTAGCAAGCATAAGGCCTGGCGTGTTTCCTTCATTGTACCTGGTATCCTTTACCACTTTCGTTGCACTTTGCTTGCTCCTCCCCTGCCCTGGCACTCCCACTGGGTAAATGAAACGAACGTTTTGCCGCTGCTGAAGAGAACCTTCGTCGACACTCCGCCAATGGTGTAGTCGACACCACTGGCCATATCGGCGACGCGCCCACTTCCCCAGAAAAGGCCACCTAATCCGATGGTGAAAAAGACCACGGATGGAAAGACAACGAAGCCCGTACCCCAGACCGAACCATACTCGACACGGCTCCCGGCGCAGTTATCACAAAGCCCTCATTCAGCAAAATCACGCGCGCCATGATCTCCCCTAAAGCGATCGTCACTGCCGCATGCTCCTTATGCACGTTCGGCGCCGAACCCGTCATCAGCTCCATCCTCAGGAACTACTATTCCAAGAACTTCCCCAAGCTCGGGTTCTAACAGACAGGAAACTGGGCTGCTATGTTTGGTCTGTTGAATGATATCACCCGTCCCCTCGGAGGCTTTCATAAGCAACGTTTTCTGCCAGCGCACCCATTCCATGGGCCAAAAAAGCTGTCCTCCTCACCTACGACTTCATAACCGGCATCTCCCTCGTCGTTATCGGGGTCCTAGATTCCAAATCCCAAGTCACCATGTTCAGGCTCGTCACCGGAATGGGGTTCTTCCTCGAAGGTGGCAACGGTGCCGACTTTGGGCTTGTACCAAATGTGTACCTGTATGCTAATGGAGTTGTGTCTGGGTTCACCAGCGCGAATGGGAACTTTGGAGGTATTATTATCGCGATTATTTTTAGGTATAATGGGAAGGATTATAGGAAGTTGTTTTAGATTATTGCGGTTAGTTGGATTAGGCCGACCCCTAAAGGGCAGGTTGGGGGGAGGTAGACAGGTGGTTGTTGGGGGAATGTAGAGTTTAGTTTGGTGGTAGGAATGTAGAGTATGATATCACATATCAAGGAACATGATCAGGGTGGCGATATTTAATTAAATCTCTTGCTAGAATTAAATAGCAATAGAATGTAAATTTCTGTGCTAAGTGGCCATTTGTCAAGTTCAATGATAGGTGATAAAATGCAGTCCTGTACGTCCTTGAAGGGTTCCTGTGAAGGCCATTTGGTTGCCAAAATGGTATCTCCCAAACCAGCCATTGTTTTCCTGATATTTGCGGGAAAATGTAAGCGTTATGGAGAGACTACAGTAGGGCCCGGAACTTAGTGGTTGTTACGAGGGAGAAATTTAATGACGGCTAATACACAAACTCACTGCATTGAAACAATGTAATATCCGCCCGCTCAGCTCCTATTCCCGTTAATGAAAAGAAGGAATATAAAAACTTTTAGTTCAGCCCCTATTCGTATCCTGCCGAATACCGCACACAAAACTAGTCTGAAGATGGTGTCGTGGCCAACGCGTCCGTAACGATCATAAGACTTTAAAAGTGAAGTACAGTCATAAGACCACCTTACACTGCATGGATGACCCAACCGTAGCCCGGTAGATTGTAGTATTGATCTGCAGGGAGAAACTCACTAGGAAACTTCAAACCATTCAGATACCAGTCAAGATTGAGGATCAGTCGTAGGGGTCATAGGTACGAACGAGACGACCAATATCCAATCAGTATATTGACCATTACCATCAGGCCAGAAGAATGTTTACTGACGCATGAAAGACGTGGTGGTTTGTACCGAATCTACTACAGTAGCTCGTTCAATTACTCAACTAGTTTTCCGTACCCGACGGTGTTCTTAACGAACATGAGTAAGCAGGTTCCACGCATTTTGTATTCTTGACTGAAAGACTGGGTAGGCTTCGATGGTAACGGAATTGCTCATTAATAGGATAGTCTTTCTGAAAGACTATGTTACAGACGATGCTGATGATCATTCGTAGGCCATTATTGCCCAGGTTATCGAAATAGGTAGATCCTTTAGTATCGAAATGATAGCAGGAACCACACTTGAGGTAGCAACTAGTTCCTCTAGTTATGCCTTGCAATCGCTTCAGGGGTGTCTCAAAGCTTAAGCTACGTTGGCGGAGCAGCCTCTTGGCAGCATAGCATGTATCCTCTGTTTTGAAGTTAGAGTTCTAGGTTGTAAGAAGGAATTAGCGACGTTAGAGATAATTAGAGAGTCTGCTAGAGCCAAGATACTATTCTTCGCGAGTTCCGTACCATGGCCATAACAAACAGAGCTAGTAGTAGAGGAAGGAAGGGAGGAGGCCGAGAGCTGTAAGGGCCGTTGGGGGGTGGGCTAGATGCTAACTGGACCGAAAGTACAGACGCCCAACCTTCCCTCTACTCATTTTCAAGCCTTTCATTCTCCAGACCCTCCATCGCACGCTGCTGCTATACGGAAGCATTAAAGATAGCCTCTTTTAAACATCCCAGACGCTTACTGGGAATCCTTGGTGTTCACCAATCTTCCCTAAACTATAGGGAATGAGCATGTCATCGCCAACATATTCATACGAACTCTCTTAGAGCCATGCCCTTCCATTTTATTTTCCGGAAGAGAATCGTTGATTAGTTCGAGGAAGCTTCTTCTCGATCTTGGTAAATATCTTGGTTTTGCAGGGTTGAGTGTGGGGTGTCTCTATCAAAACAAATGTAACTACTTACCAAGCACAAAATCTAATCCAGCTACCCCTCTTAGCGGGATATTTTCCCCTTCCTACTTGCGTTCTCTTCCCGACGCGCTCTTTTCATCATCCTCACATACCCTATAATGATGGCACTGTTCATCCTAACTTCTTAATGACATTATCAGCATCTTCTTCACTTCCACTGACGCCAGAATTGAAGTAGCATAATCGTATTAGTCGCTTGTATTTCAAGAATCGTCACAACTTAATTGCTGGTGGAACATCTAGACTTCTGCAACATCACAAGAAGTATTTTTTCCTTAGAAGCCACAGGTTCCTCCTATCCTGCCTCCCAAGCTCCCAATTCCACATGTCTCAAACACCGCCCCCAAGTTTTCTGTGGCACCATACCCCTTCTTCGCCGTCAAAAGTAGACATGCAAAGTCTATCTGATTCAAGCCGGCGGCCTTACTATCCCAAAATACCTCTCCCTTCTTCCACGCCTCAACAAACCTAATGATTCTATTCTACTAGGTTACGATAAAATTAAGGCCGAAATTTTCTATGTCCTGGACTTAGTGTTCCTGATCGAACATAGTCCGACCAAGGAGCATTACATATTTGACCTTGGCATGCGAAAGGGCCTAGAGAATCTCCCACCAATTCTCTTGAAGTATGCTTTCCCGGACTCCCACTGCGGGCCCAGCAGCCCAGCAGCCAGCAGGTATTCTGAAGAAACATGGCTTTAGACCAACAACCTAAGAAGATGAAAGCAGTTATATTCTCGCTCCAGCACTTCGACCATTGCGGTGACGGGACAAAGGCCGGATTTACGAATGCCGAACTCTGGGTGGGACCAACCACGTCCACGTACGCACGACCTGGGTATCCAGTGGACCCAGAAAGTCCATGCTTGACGGAGACCCTACCCACAGATGACAGTAGAAGGATCGTAGAGGCATTCGCATCTAATGCTCTCTTAGAATAGGCTGGAGATAAGAGGGCTGGAAAAGTCGCGCAAGCGAAAGCTCAAGGATCGTATGAAGCTGTGGAGCTTCGCGACTCAGGGGGCAAGGGATGGTTTGGTTTGGGAGGGTTGGATCAGCGTGACCAACAGGAAGGACTACGATTCGTAGAATACGATACGTTACGATCACGTGCATCGTAGAGTCGTAGTGAGTCTCTGAGTCGTATCGAATCGTACTTAAGCCTGAAAAGTATATCGTATTACGACTTGTATAGGCTTTTTTTGGTGGTGAGGTTTGAGGTGAGGCCTGAGGTGAGGTCGTCGGCGTTGTACAGAGCACGCAAGGGCTATAGGCAGTGCAACTAGCAGAGTTTTCTGTATCGCCTCTTAGTATAATTGTATGAAAAAAACAGTGATAAATCACCTACTTTCGCATTGTCTATCTCATAACCTGTTTAATGTATACAGACCCACTTGGTTGGTGGCTCCAGATTGGTTGTTCACAGTACCCTACTGTTTTCAAGATAGCCCTTGATTTCCTCTCCATACCAGCTAAGAGGAATCTCCTTAGTGGAGCAACAATTCAAGCGCTACAGCTGCAAAGAATTAGCTTTATCGTAGGCTAGTTGCTAGTAAGCTTAGTGAGTTAGTTGATCACATAAAATCCGCCCCATCTAATCGTACTACGAACTGATTCTTGGCAATCGTATTGTAAGTACAGTGAATTGGTTCGTACCGACTACGACTCGTAGTCCCCTCTGCTCCTCTAGTAATCGTATAATCGTACTAACAAACCGAGTCGTAGGGCGGTTGAAAACTCCCAGTCGAATCGTATTACTTCCGATTGGTTACGCTGGGTTGGATGAGGTTTCGATGTCTTCGGGGATGGATCCGCGTATCTCGTCGATGCACCTAGACACTTACTGGGGCATCAGATGATGTTGATTCGTGTCAACACTTCATCTCCCGCTGACGATTTCGTTTTGTTAGCAGGTGACTGTTACCATCATCCAGTGCTACTCAAAGATCCAAAGAGAACCGCCCGCCCACTGTTTTCGAAGTCTGCAATGCATGCTGAGCCGGGAGAAGCCATTAATACAGTGTTTCGTGCCAGGTCGTTCATGGAAAAGGAAAATGTTTGGGTTATTGGGGCTTCACGATTTCAGTGTCTGAGAGCCGATTGCTCCCGGGAAGAAAGAGATAGAAGATTTAGTAATTCTGAATGACTGGAACGCAAGAAAGAGGAAGAGACCACTCCACACTTCTCTGTAACAAGAAGGCAATCGACTTATTCGGAGCATTTGCCGTATTGCGCCTTGAATATGCACTCACACCATCCAGCTCAGACGCTTCGGTGCTTCACTTTACGCTTTACGAACAACGACAAGCTAAGAATATATACTTGTTTGAAGACACTCATATTTTCGAATCTAGACTAGGTCATTCTTTCGCCCGGCATAAGCCCTTTCAATTCAGGAAAATTTTCCGTCTTAAAACGTCCATTCCTTTCCCAAAGAAGGTTTCAAGAACGTCACATAGCACACCCTAGAGTCCCGGATAATATTCACTGCAATCGACACCTTTCGCCATCTACATACCGAAAACCGCAATTTCAAGAAACTCAAGCCGCAACTTCACCCAGCATCCTGGGACTCAGTCTTGGCTCCCGAAACATACGAAGCTTGACCAAGTTCGCGGCCCACTTCCGCAACAAGGATGCGAATATATGGCGGGGCTGGAATGAGCGTGCACTCCGTGACGGACGGAGGATCGGACCTACCAGATGAAGCGCCGAGTTATCCGTAAGATTTCCTGCGGCGACAGTTGTTGTTTGAGTGGCGAGAGTGCATGAGAGAAAGTGGCGTGATTCTTCTCTGCCATGGATGGCAATCAAACAAGTCTGATTCGAATGTCTCCAAGGCCCAGTACCTTTCCTTATCTCTGTCACTCGATTTTAAGTCATGGAACTTATGTGACGTTTGACGTGTGCTTCAAGTTTTTTTGGTGATCTGATACTTCTACATTTCTAAGCTAGGTGAAAGATTTTGGCAACCATCGTGATGAGTGTCGATATCCTGGCCGCACGCGGCTCTAGGAATGGATTTGGAGTAATAGTGATAGTACGCTCCGAAACTCAGAAAAAAACACCAGGAAAAGTCCCGCCTTGTGAACGGCGGAGTGTTGAAATATGTACTGAGTGACAAGTAAATTCAATACCTTCCACAACTGAATAACCTCCTCTACCTCCAAAATCTAGACATCTCCACCTATGCTTGACATGATTTGGTGGAATAAATCTAAAAGTTCTCCTTGCCCCAAACAAAGTTAAACCCTGGCTCTGAGTACATGTTACACTTAACGTGAAGCGTTGAACCTAGTGCTTTGGGACCGCAGAAGAAAACTCCTGCTTCGGCCGGCGCGTGGATCTTACGGATAGACTTGAAGATCATATCCCAATTAGGTCGACCGAAATTGGTAGGGGCTCGAAGACCAGTGATGGCATCTTGCTCTGCGTTCGCGTCGTTAATCATGATGTTCGTTGCATCGTCGGCCTTGATCTTGGCAGTGAGATACTGTATACGTGATTAGTATGAATAATATGAGGAATATAAGATCTAGTGACTTACGGTATGAATCTCAATATGGTCGTCGAGATCTTGTGCCTCAATGGCCAAGAGCAGCGATCTGAACCATTCGAAGGATCCAAAATCTCTGCAAATCCAGAAGAAATAGACCTTTCGGAGACGCGTCCTTCCCTGCGGGTAGTTCATTCTGTACCAGATACTCTTCAGGATCGAAGCGAAAGGAGTTACACCAATACCCGCACCGACCAGCACGGCAATCTCGAACTTGAAGACATCCTCAGAGGCGGAACCAAACGGACCATCAATATAGACTCGGGGAAGGATTTTGCGTAGCTCCGAGTTGTCAGAAACGGCCTTTTCTCCTCCTTTGCTACCTCCAGCTCCTTTCCGGTCGAAGTCACAGCCGAGCGCTTTCCCGAAAGCCTTAGTAAAGTCTCCGACCATTCGAATGTGGACTGAAATGTAGTCCTCTTCGGGCGCACTCGTTAGAGTGAAAGGATGGTACTGCCAGATTGAAACCTCGGGGCAGCAAATAAAGATGTACTAAGGCGGTTAGTAAACTTAAAATATCTACGAGAGAAGAGAGGATGCATACTTGGCCGGCCTGTGTCTTCGTGTGCTCTTTCTTGATCTGAACCTCCATGACATTGCTTGGGTGTTGAATGACTTTCGAGATGAAAGTCTTGTGGCGGCCTCGAAGTTCACGAGCAACTCGCTCTGCCAGATAGGCAAATCCACCATACATCCAATACTCCCAGAAAACACCAATTCCGGCACAGAATGGCGCAAAATCGGGCTTAATCATGCAGAACGCTCCGTGAATCGACCAGAATATGAAAAATATGACGAAAAGGTGATGCGTGTACCAGAATCGCTCGAAGTTAGACCGTCGATACTGTTCGATCGCAGTCCCCACCATGGCGCACAAAGCAACCAACATAATGTATCCAGTCCATCCAGGGCCAGTGAGCAGATTAGCCGCGATGAATCCCTTAAATCCCAAGTTGTTAACAGCAGAGAATTTGGCCAGATTGTTCCAGTGAGCAATGGTGTGTACCCAGGAGAAGAAGAAGATCGACCAACCAACAAGCTTATGGAAGGTGATGTTCTTGTCGAAAGGAATGATACCGTTCAACGGGGTTCGGCGGACCATGGAAATTATGTTCCTACAGACAGGAAATAGAACGAGCGCGATGTCTACGTGAAGTACCAACGCGGCAGAACGGGCGATAGGAAAGGTGAGTCCAAATATTGATCGCGAACCGACGGATCTTTCCTACATTTGTGTTAGTATATATTTAGCTTTCTGGTCGCATTCAATCGCAAGCTTACCGTAAGCCCGTAATTCATCATACCGAAAATGAAGACCATCAAATGGAGTATCACGAAAACAAAAACGAATCTGTACCAGTCAGGGGCCAGTTGGGCAAGTAGTTAGAAGGTAACCATACAATCTTCGGTAGCCTTCATTTACCATCCATCGGTCGATTTTTTCCTTTAGATACAACTGTCTCGGTGCCTCGTCCGACATCTCCCCCGACATGAGCATACGGGTGAGAGGCGGCCATCTCGACCTCTCTCGACCCGTGAGACTTGTAAAGGCCGACATGCGGTTTAGTATTAGGTGTCGCCGTTCTTCAGAGCCTGCTGAAAGTGGCCAAGGGTATAGAGCAAAGAGGCGCAAAGAATGACCAGAATATCTGCGCGGTGGTCAGTCTGATGGATGCATATGTGGCGCCATGATGGTGTGTAGACTTACTAACAGGTGCCCGCACTGAAGAAGAGAAGACACGGGAGAGGATTGCTTCGAGACCGGTTAAAGAGCGACCGGCATGAGAACGGAGGCTCTTGGAGGGGAAACAAAAGACTATAAGCACATGCACGCGGAAAAGGGTCAGAGGGGGTGAGGGAGGGATATCATTGCGCCGCCATGTGGGTACTTGACAAGGACGCGTGGAGAAGGAAGCAAAGCTTAACGGGGAGAGTTCACGCTGAGAAAGCTGCGACAGGAGGAGATAGGCCGGCTACGAATGTGTATCGCACGGGTGACTTCAGAAGTCCTGGTTTCGCCCACCGAGTCCGAAGGACGAATTGGGGGTCAAGCATTGCCGAGAGTGGTATAGGCATGCGTAATAGCGGAGCCCTGAAACCCGACAAGCGGTGCCCCATTGCTTTTGCCCCAGGCAAAGAGAGATGACTTCTGCGAGGCGCTGTTTGAGGAGTGTCTCGAAACCCTGTCCCAAACTTAAGCGAGTTTGAGGCGCGCGCTTCCAGCCTGGCCACTCATCTCGCCACCGCTCTGCGACACCCTCTCACAATTCAGATACAAGCTTCACATTCGCGCCTCTCGACAATTGTAGCACCGATGCCGACGCTGGAGGGCTCCACTGAACGCTCAATGGCAGCCTGTCAACTACCCACAACCATGTGAGTAAAACTAACGAAAAGTGAGAGCTTTGTGGAGATGAGCCATTGGGTTTGCTCCTCCAAGACCCCCCAAGACCCCCCAAGACCCCCCCCAAGACCCCCAAGGACCTCCAAGCTGCCGTTCACAAAAGGCTGCAACGGCTTTAAGCGCTGGCAACTGAGGTATTAGTGCGGGCTCGGCTGACAGGACAACTTGCTCCATAACCTGAAGATGGCTATTCGGCATATTCGTCACAGTTACTTCCACCTCATCCGTTTCTCGCGTGTTTCTCATGTCACTAATTCAATATTTCTCTCGGCAATGCCGCTTCCAGCTCAAATCTTGAGTTGTATCAAACATTTGCAGTCTTGGAACCAAATCTCCAACACAGAACATGCCAGGAAACCGATCTGATCAAACAACCGAGGAAACACCGCCAGCCATCGTGAAAAGTTCCCTTTTACATCATCATAAACCCTCCGCTGGCGGATATGGTTTGTCCCGAGATCCATCTCGACTGTTCCTCGGCCAGCCAGCCAACCACCTGTGCGATATCATCGACTGTGCCTGCCCGGTGTCCAACAGGAGTCCAGCGTTTCTGCATCTCTACAATGTCTTTGGGGATGTTATCCAACATCTCCGACTCTGTAGGTCCTGGCCCTACGGCGTTAACTGTATGACCAACATCTCCCAACTCTGCCGCTAAGCCTCTCGTGAGTCCTTCGAGTGCCGCTTTCGAGGCAGAGTATAGTGCCAGCCTTGCAAAGCCAAATCGGGCTCCAACAGACGAAACGTTGATGATTCTTCCTGGGACTCGGAGATGCGGCAGAACCGCTTTCGTCATGAGCAATGCTCCTCGTACATTGATGTCGAAAATTGCAGCATAGTCTTCTGCTGTCGTTTGGAGGAGCGATCGGTCGAACTCTAATCCCGCATTATTGACCAAGATGTCAATAGAGTCTCCGAAAGCGGCCAGTGTCGCTTCTACGATCCTTTCCCCAGCATCGACTTGACTGAGATCTGCCCTTACTACTGTTGCCTGGCTTCCACTCCCAAGGGATGCAATCTTAGCAACGAGAGCATTAGCCAGTGTCTCACTCTTTGACGAAGTGTAGACGATCGTTACCTATCATTGTACCAGGTCAGTTGTTTTTTGAATCTGATCGAAGTCCGTTGACTCACTTTGGCGCCTCTCCGCGCCAACTCGAACGCCAAGCCAGCTCCTATACCGCGAGAGGAACCCGTGACAATTGCCACTTTGTTTTGTAGTGGAAGATGGCTTGTAGTGGTGTGTATTTCCATGTCTATTATGGCGACATTGATAGGCAAGAACGGAGGAGGTTGAATGTGGATGAGCACAAGATGGGCTACAGAAAATCCAGGCCCAGAGACGAAGCTCACCATTTATACCAGGAGGACAAACATAGTGATCAACCAGAGAATTGCACAACGGGGTTGGTCTATCATAGTGATCGAATAAATGCCTTTACTCTCTTACTGTCGAGTCCGATACTCCTCGGAAGAATCCAGATACTTCGGGTGATCGACAATTGTGCCAAGTTGTTGGCTCTAGGCTACATTTGCTAGTCATCATGATTTGTCGGAATGCTTAGTAACGATGTCCTCAATTCTCCTTCCCAGGACTGATTGCGGCGAAGTCAAGAGGGACTCCTCTCTACGGAGTGATGATCACGTGAGGCAGCCCCGAGTTTAGGATTTTCGGCCACCGAAAGTTACCGAGAAACCCTTTTTAAATCCGCACACAAAGAGACAAACAATCCACCTTTCCATCACCTTACGCTTCAAGCTTCGATACTACTGACCACCACTATTCTAGGTATTCATCTGTTGTAAGACGTCTGTACCTACTTCTGAATCACCACACCGCCAAGACAATGGGCGCAGTCTTAAAGACGGACGTTGAGAGCTCGAGGAAGCCCCCACGAGACTCTCCTGAGAGAGGGAAGAAGCGGATAAGTCAGTTCAACACTGTCTATTAAACTCCTGCACAATCTGTAATTTCATTTACGACTACATCCTTCCCATTCAATTCCTGCCCTCTCATATCTTACCAGCACGATGCAGCAGACTGATCTCCCCACTCGAACTGCAGGGACGCAATCACTTCCACCGCCCGATCTCCCTAAACTCGTTGCCGAACAGCATGTCCCAATACCGACCAGCGACAAAGATTCGCAGCGACTTATCGTTGTCCTCTGCAACGCGACTCTAGAAACGTACAAAGCAACGCATAGTTCAGGTAGAGGTCCTGGGGGAAGGGAGGAGAAGTTCAACTTATTGAACAGTGACGATCATATCGGCGTCATGAGGAAGATGGGCCGAGATATCAGCGAAGCACGCCCGGATATAACCCACCAGGTGCGTCTGACCTGGGATGCATCTTAAGACTAACTAATTGACCCCATTAATCTAGTGTCTACTCACCCTACTCGATTCGCCCATCAACAAGGCCGGAAAGCTTCAGATTTACATCCAGACTGCGAAGAATGTGCTCATTGAAGTTAGCCCCACCGTTCGTATTCCTCGTACGTTCAAGCGATTTGCCGGTCTCATGGTTCAATTGCTCCATCGGCATCAGATCCGGTCCACAACCTCGCAAGAAAAGCTCATACAGGTCATCAAGAATCCGGTGACCGATCATCTTCCCCCGAATTGCCGCAAAGTCACCCTCAGCTTCGATGCCGAGGTCGTGCGAGTGCGGGACTACATTCAAGGGCTCAACACAAACGAAAGCATTGCCGTCTTCATCGGAGCCATGGCAAAAGGAAACGACGACTTTGCTGATCACCTAAAGGACGACTCCATCAGTATCAGCAACTTCAACCTCAGCGCCAGCGTCGCGTGCAGCAAGTTCTGCCACGCCGCTGAGGACGTATGGGGGGTCATCTGATCAAATCCCTCATGTCTGGCCTATCCTCAGCGACCACGCTTCTTGGCCCATTCTAGATGTTATTGTCCAACCAGACTCCCGCCTGGGCCGTCGAACGAGGATTGGAATACGGGAGTCCTTGCCGCAGGACGCACATTGAGGCTCGAGATCACAACATCAAGAGACCTTGTGTTACACTGCTTCTTTTTGAGCGATTTGTCGAGAGTCTTCATTTTTTTACAACAAAAAAATAACAAGGCTTCAACGTCCTCAACCCAACAATTCTTCTGTGGAACAATCAACTTGCTCCACATCTCCTGTATCTTCTTTGTTCAACTAGAGCGGCTGCACATAGCCTCATTGCGTGGGCGAAAATATGCTAATACCACTGGCAAAGGTAATGCAGCCACATGGCTCATCTCAGATCCAGCTTATCTGGCTCAAGACACAAAATTAGTAATGTACATTGTCGGACCATATCTCGGGCACTTCTTCAAGGATACATGCCAGTTCGATACGTTGGACGAATCGGCTCTCATGTGAGGCAAGGGGGCACGACATCGACAGGAGGTTTTAATCGCGGCCCCTACGTATGGCATGCGCTGGAAGTTTCACAACTTCACGACCCGAACAAAGGTACCGATGCTAGATTCAGCTGCATGCTCAAGAGCAGACCTTTCGATCTCGTTGCTGGTATTAAGAAGCGGTCAAGGGGTAAATAATCAACCTGCCAACACCACCTACTTCTACCGTCTCTGTGGTCCGCGCCCCTTGTACTGCACCATCAATTGCCAGCTCGTTATGTGTACATGTACCTAAGCGATAATGCCTTCGCTTCGTTGAGAGCCGAGTCCCTCGAAGCTCAGCCTCCTTTTTTTTTCTTTCCAAAATGCGGCTTTTCCCCTCTCTCTGCGAACGGCAGAACTTGCATATTGCTCACGCATGTTTACTGACATCTTCCTCATCAAAAGGGCAAATTTTGTAAGTGGCTTGCTGCGTGCTCGATTCAAAATGGGCGAGGATTTTTCTGTCTGGATCTTCGTGCAGTGAGGCGAGAGCCGCACAGGGCACGTCGCGGATGCGGGCCGATGGGATGATCCAATCGATTGTCTTAGTTTCACACTTCACTTTAGTTGCATACAGTGGACATGTGGCAGCACGAGGGCGGACTTTGACAACGGAGTCCTTGGTAGCCAACGGGATCAGCAGGGCGGTCTCAAGGCGGTAGTATGGGCTGCCCTGCTCTTTTTTGGTTTCTCACATGGTAGGCGAGCTTGCCGAAGGTGGACAACATATAAATTGTAGAGGTGGTACATTGGGGGAATACTAAACTTCAACATTGCAGTACTTGTGTTCTCTCTGTAGTTGTTTGCGTCTTCGCGTGCACGCAGACACAGCGCCTTTCAAGTCCTCCTTCTCGAATTCAATTCAAACTTCGTCCTCTCGTTTACTCGGTTCACCGCCTTGTTGTCCAAGTCTAGGAACCATGCCAGTCTCTCACATTGGTCTCACTGTCTCTCATCTTCCTACTTCTTGTTCGTTCTTTCTCTCTGCTCTCCAGCCTCTTGGGTATCGCTTCATCGGTCAGCAAGGTAATCAAATTGGCCTTGGGATTAACGATGCGGATTTCTTTCTGTGCCAAGAGACACCAGGGTAAGTTGAGCCGAAGTCGGAGAATCACATATATATTAACAACTAGTAGTGTAAAAGCCGGTGCTGCGCACATTGCCTTCACGGCCCCTGATCGAACCGCCGTTCGAGATTTCTACACTGCTGCTCTCAATGCTGGAGCTCGTCCCAATGGTGCTCCAGCAATCCGAAATGAGGATACCGGCCACTTCAATGCTGCCGTCTTGGATTTGGATGGCAACAGTGTTGAAGTCGTGTTTAGAAGCGAGCCCGATGTCAGAGATGACGGGACTGTAGTCGAACATAGCAGGGTCTTGACCTGGCAGAAGAGTGTCACACAGAGCATCCGCGATGATAGAAGTGTCGTCAGCGCTCGGACTACTCATTCTACATCGAAGCAGGCCCTGCTTCCTGCTACTACAGCAGCACTCTCAAAAGCCCCGACCGTAGTCTCGAAGACTGCGAGTATGGCTCGAAGTGTATCAGCTCCCGTATCCATACCCCAGGTCACGGGACCAGCTTCGACCTCAACCTCATCTGGCGACAATGCTGCGAAAAAGATCATCGGCACTCTACTCGGAGCTGCAGCTGGCGCAGCGGTCGCCTACGCAATGTGCAAATCTGAAGAAGACAGTGCGCGACAAGAAAACGAATTTAACGCGTTCCAGGCCGCCAAGGCCCAGCAGGACGCTATGATGGCTCAAGTCCAGGCCGCTCCACAACACAAGCTATCCATGCAAGACCCGCAGCCGATCTACGAGACACCGCCAAAGTCTGTACACCGCAATATCAGTGACACTGACTCTCATTATAGCGCCCCGACACATAGCATGTATGCTCAGAGGGCGATTGAGGCAGCACCGAGGAGTTATCATAGCCCCACGTATACATCGGTGGCGCCGACGAGGGTGGCACAGATGGAGAGGGAGATGCAGGCAATTGAGTATGTGCCTGCTGCGAGTGTTGCGCCTTCACAGAGTCGGTTCACTGCTCAGAGATCCGTGACGAGTCCCGAGATAACCATGGTCTCGAGGGCGAAGAGCAGAGTGCCTAGTACACTCATATCCTCGTTCACGCCTGATCAGTTGCCTCGACGGAGAAGTGACGGAAGTATCCATTCACACCAGTCCAGCAAATCTAAAGCCCAGTCCTCTCATACGCATGCCTCAAAGCACAGTTCAACATCCAAACACACTAGTAAATCCCGCAGTCGCGCACCGTCTCCTCCCCCTTCCACAACTAAATCCGGATCGATTGTCGGCAGCATTCTCGGCCGAGACACTTATTCCAGCGCAAGCAAGAAAGATCAAGACAACCTTGAAATCTCAGATCTCAACGACACCGATACCGTTGCCCCAAGTGACAGCATCTCGCAAATCGGATCCCCACGCCGAAGTCATCGCAGCCACAAGAGCAGCACTAGTAAATCCGGAGCCTCCAGTGTCAGCAAACATAGTTCGTCATCCAAACATAGCAAGTCCTCCAAGCACTCGTCACATTCGCACCACTCCAGTTCCAAAAAATCCCATCACTCGCAATATGAGTCCTCACCTGAATGGCACGATGTTGACGAGTACATCGTTCGCCCGAGCGTGGCTTCCGAGCCTAGTGATGCAAGTACAATTAGGCCGCCGAAGTCTAGAAGTGGGAGCCGGAAAGACTCAGCGGTGGGGGGAGGATATGAGGGGTTGTTTAGTGGGAATGGTGGGTGGGGGTCTGGGACAGTAGCGAGCTTACCAATTAGAGGGATCACGCCGAGTATGATTGAGGAGAGTAGGGATGGGAAGAGGGGAAAGAGGAGTGTGGTTAGTTATACTATGGGGCAGTAGGCGCTCGACTAGCATTTTGGGAGTCTAGGGATTGACTATTGACGATTGCATGATCATATCTGCGTTTTCGGCTCCGGCGCACTTTCGAGTCCATTTGGTTTTTTCACTCCCGACTTGGGTCATGGATGCCCCTTCGCTCTGGTCTGCATCTGCACTTTTTGGAACTTGCTTTTTGGACCTGGTGGACTTGCATATGCATCGCATCGTTGTCTTTTGGTATTTGGTATTTGGTATCGTCTTACTTCTCCATTCAATGAGCAACAATTTGGACCTAGTCCCATCCTGGTTTAGCTGTTTCCTCCTCCTCCAACTTAATAACTTAATCTGGTTCGGTTCGGCCAGTTCCCTGAGGTGAGTTCGTGATCACAACTAACGCTCGCAGCATTCAGTGGACTCGATCTATCTTCTCACGTCTTATATTCGAAGCTGCTTGAGCTGACACGCTAACAACAGAGCACTACAAATGAACCGGTATTTTTCCTTTTACGTCAAATCTGACCCTACCATTTCTAACATGCGCATATTTCAACGCGACTGTGAGCTCTAACTCAATACCCCAACTCCTTCGCCGACTCCTCAATACCTTTCACTAATCCATCTAGCGTCCCTCTTCTCGTATTCCCATTCACAACAACCCTGAAAAACTTCCCCTTCTCCCCAGGTGCGAAATCAATCATGAATCCCCGACTAACCAATCTATTCGCAATCGCCGCAGTAATTTCTGAATTCTTCTCCGGACTTTCATCCAAGTTCCCCCGTGTTGCGTAGTGGAAGCATACTTGCAAACAAGGCAACGGCTCCGGGCTCACCACCACGAAATCTGGACGATTTTTAAGTAGGGAAAGGAGGTACCCTGCAGAGTCAAACCCGCGCTGAATCAAGGCCGAAAAATGATCTAATCCGTAATAATTCAGCGCGAGAAAGAGCTTCAGGCTATCCGCGCGCCTGCCACACTGCGGCGTCAACTCCGCAAGATCATAAATCTCCGCCGCTGAATCTGATGCGTTATGAAACAGGTATCCTGCGGGCAAAGTCATAGCCTTCCAGAACTGACGTAAGTCACGGCCGAGCAGAAACGAACATGTCATTGGCACGCCGAGCATTTTATGCGGTGTTATGGCGATGCTGTCGGCAAGGTCTGCGCCTTTGAGGCGTAAGGAGGAAGAAGAGAGCGCAGTGTTGAAGATTACGGAACCGCCCCAAGAGCCGTCAATGTGTAGCCACAGGTTGTGGGATTTGCAGATGGCGGAGATTGGAGGGAGAGGGTCAAAGGAACCGAGAACGGTGGTGCCAGCAGTGGCGTTGACGAAGAAGGGGACATCGCCCCTGCCTTTGGATTCTCGGACTAGTCGGTCGAGTTCGGACGGTAGCATTGTGCCAGCGCTGTCGACAGGTACGGGTATCACGGCCGAAGATCCGAGGCCGAACATCTGCGCTGCTTTTTCCATAGAGTAGTGACCGTGGGCGGAGGTGAAGAGCGTGAAGCGTCGACCTCCCATGCCATCCTTTTTCGTCTCTGGGTACAGCGTGTTGCGAGCTATGACGATAGCGGTCGAGTTTGAGGCGCTGCCGCCAGGTTGCGATATACCGCCCGCGTGTTCAGATGTATAGCCAAAAAGGCGCGCGAGGAAGCGGGTCGTGTGTTTCTCGATCAGTGTTAGGACAGGGGAGACTTGGTAGACGTGTGCCTAAGGAATGAAGGATTAGGAGAAGACCACGTGATTAGTTAGGGGAGGGGTTAAGTACATTTGTGTTCAGCACAGCAAGGAGAAGTTCAGAAATTAGGCCGACCTATATCCATATCCATTAGTCTCTCTCAATCAAACAACAGCATTGTCGCAGTGACAGTTGTATACATACCGCATTCGTACTCGCATACAGTTTGTCCAGAAACCCTTGATCCCAAGTATTCACAGAATACTGCAAAACTTTCCTCACCAATTTAACTAAACCCTCTTTCCCACCGCTCTGCTCGGGAATCTCCAGATTGAGGAGAGTTTCAAGCTTCTTTGGCGGATGGTGCTCGACAAGTGTGGTTCTGGGTCGGCCACCTGAGATGGAAAGGCCATGGCCTTCATGCTTGGAAGTCGCATCCTCAGCAGAGCGTATGAAGGGAATGATGAGTTCTTGAACGGCGTCGAGTAGCTGTGGTAGAGCAGTGAGCGGAATGCGTTCCGAAGATTTAAAAAAGCAAAACTTCGGAGTTCACTAACTTCTTTGACTTCATCCGCTCTATTAAGAGGAGCTTCTCCTCCATTATTCGCGTATAATGTGCCGTTCGTGGCCATAATGCTAACTTTAAAATATTCGAGAGTCAGACGCTTGAACTGAGGAGTCAAAATGTGCGATCAAAAGCAATGTGAGATCGGAATGCATGTTGCCGTCGTCACTAGTCACTTTAGTCACCCATGGGTAGGATGTCAGCGTCAATTCTTCCGAGGTCTAAAGAATCGAAAATTTTTGCCGGCAGAAATTCTTCACCGCATCATCTACCGGCTTCAGAAGGTATCAACCAACTCAACGACTCAAATTACTCATTAGACGGGGACAAGTGCCTTTCCTTTCCCTTTCCTTTTGCTGTTTTCGCTACTACCGGTACTCTTCGCCTTTTTTGCTTGGTCCCTAGCTTGCACTACTTTTGCTGCAGCGTGCTTCTGGCGCGCAAGCTCGATTGCTGTAAGGTGTTTACCAATTTTGGGGAAGTTTGGCAAGTCGCCGTTGCTCTCAGGAAAGGACTGAAACCCCTCGTTTCCGGCGGTATATCGGGACTGCTTGACCCAATCTGCTCTCCTTCTTTTATATAAATCCATGCGCCAGTTCCGCCAGACTGCCCTTCCCACGAAAGATTCCCGTAACGCAGCCTCATTCTCCGCGAGTTCCTCTGCGATTCTCTCCCGGATAAAAGCTAGGCCATGCGTGCCTTGCCAAACCGCGTCGATGACATGAGAGCCAGCCGGATCCAGAGCAAGTTCGCCAATATGACCGTAGAATTGCTGAATCACTTTTCGCCGGAATATGACGGATGCGTTGGGCGAAGTTAACGCCGCTTGCAGTGTGCGTGATGCTGTAGGATCTCGTGCGATCTTGAGAGACAAGTGCGTTCCCAGTCTCGCCAACGAGTCGAATATTAGATTGCCCAAAGGTCCTCCCACCGACATCATAGCCTGGGCGAGGAGAGAACCATGGACCTTGTCTGGAGGTGATTGATTTTGCCTCTGGTCTGACTTACCACCATCATCTGAAGGCGCTTCGACGAGCTTGAGAACTCGAGTGACTTCAAATCCATTGGAGCCTCTGTAGGCTGATTCAAGTTGGGCCTTGATGGGGGTTGTGTCCACCTGTCGGACTGCGCACCGCTCGATCAAAGTCTTGAGGATAGCAGTTCTGTTCCGTTCCACTAGGCCAGGTATTTGTTCGACGATTTGACGCACGGCCTCTTCTAGATCGTCCTTACCTAATCTCTCCACAATCTTTCCCGCCACATAACCGGCGATTTCATTCCGTGCCAAACTGCCCATCCGATCTCTGAAGAACTCTCCGTAAATTGCTTTGAACATTTTCCCTGGCGCATGCTGAACAATGGTTTCAAGAAGTCGCGAACCAATTGCATCATACACTAGACCATTGATGAAAGCTGCACTCTCTGTGCCCTCGGCAATTGGGTCGTCTGGCAGGAGTCTATGAATGATGGAGTTTTCGTCCTTGGCCCTCGACTTGCCAAACTTAGATAGCTCAAGCTGAAGTAGTAGTTGAAGAGTAGGGTTACCGGTAGGGTGGGTAGCCAGCAACCGCAGGTAGGTGGAATCTAGATTCGAGACGCTTTCGTTGATTATTCTTTCCAGGGCATCCAGAAATGACTGAGGGACAGATCGTTCCTCGAGAGACCATTCCTGTGCCCTATCCGCGCCAGCGACACCGATCTTTTCTTTTCTCTTGCTTTGTAGAACAGACCTGTTGTTCTGCTTAGGGAGAGGGACGCCAGCAAGAACTACCACGAGCACTCGTAGAACATGAGAAGCAAAGCGGTCTGTCATTAGAAATCCAAGGAACCCTTCTAGCTCGGCCAGAGTGTACAGGAAGAGGTTCTCCATGGAGATAATTACACCATTGGGATCGGATCCTGGTGGGGATTGTGCGAGTTCGGGGTTCGCAAGTTCTTGGGTGACGATTGGTGCGGCTTGGATGAAGAGTGCTTCACAGCAATGGGAGGCAAACCGGTGCTGGACGAGATAGAGAAATCTGCTGAGATTTAGCGACGCACAAGAAAACCAGCTGGAAAACTCACTGCCCACTGAATTTCTGGAACAGTAATTTTAGTTGCTCTGGCGTGGAAAGCAGGATGAGTCGCTCCATCAGTCTAGAGCACGACTGGCTGCTTGCAATCTTCAATTCATTGCCGTCGGCCTCCCGGTAGACGCTCTCTAAAAACAGCGAGCGTTCCTCCGGCTCCCCAAACTGATTCAGCTCCAGCATCTCGTCGGCGCGCTTGAAGTATTCCTGCTGGTCGTCGTCCAGCATGCCATAGAACGGCATGTCGCCAGGGCGCGTGACGCCATCGATAGCTTCATCCTGGTACGAGACTCCCTCGATGGGCAGCTCCTCGACGCTGTCGGCAGCCTTTTTATGTCGTTTGGAGGTGGACTCGTGGTCGCCGTGGTCGCGCTTCCGCTTCTTCTGCTCCTCGCGGCGGCCGCGCTTCCTGTTCTCCTTGGGCATGGTAGAGGAGATGGCAGCAAAGTGCGAAAAACCGGCGGAAAAGTTCAATCTCGGCAATCGGAGAGGCGTGGGGGACAAGAGATCAGGACCCAGGCACTTGCAGGGGCGGGCGTTCCCAGCTCAATAAATACAAAGCACGCCAGACAGGTAGGCGCCAACGAGAAGCAGTGCGAGGGCCCTTAGAACACGACAGCGCGCATTAGATATCTTTCGATAGCGGCTTCTGCGTTGTCCCAGGGCACGCTCTCCAAAACTACCTAGAGGCGGGTGACAGCCAGCCCGCTATCCGCTCGGCAAAACGGCGCTACAGACCCACCAAGGGAACGAACATTCACGATCGACGGCCGCGATCGCGAGCTGGGTGCAGGCGCCACGACCTACCCAAGCCATTCACCAGCAACCTCGTGCTACACACACAGCTGGCCATCGTGCTCCTTGCCGACCCACGGCCCCTATCGCCGCCATGGACGATGCTCAGGCCCGCGCAGCCGACTACCTCGATGACAAGCTGCAGACCGTCGGCGACCTTGACTCGCTCGACGCGTTGCTGGCGAACATCCACAGCCAGCATGGCCTGCTCAAACAGCAGGTGAGACAGCAAATTCCTCTTTCCGCAGCACACGCGGTTGACTGCTGCAAAGCTCCACGACGCCCACAGGGACCTCCACGCGGCCAAACAAGCTGCCCACGACCATGAGGGCTCGCTGCAGCAGCGCGCCCGCAGCTTCAGGGCAGACCAGGCCGATATCGACCGCCGTCTGAGGGTCATTACCGCCTCCGAGACCAGCGACGAGGCTGTCCCGCGCTTCGAAGCCGTCCTCGACACCCTGCAACGCCTGGACGTGGCCAGTGCCTACGTGGAATTGCTGAGGGAGGTCGATGTGCTGAGGTGTGTAGTCCCTCTCTCCCACCTGTTTGAAGGCAAAGTGGGCTAATGTCGCCCAGCAAGGACGCACAAACACAGCTACAGTCGTCCAGCAACGCCGCTCTAGACCCCTACAAGCAGCTGCGGTCCCTTCACACCCGCCTCATCCCCCTGCAAGACAACGCCGAGGGTGCTACTCCTCAATTGCTCCACCACATCGACAAGATCACCCGGGCCCTCCGCACGCAGGCCCTAGATACGTTTACGTCGGACCTCGAGAAGGTGCTGAAGAAGATAGGATGGCCCACCCCAGATGCCTCCATCCCAGACCACCTCCATGAGGAATGGCAGTCAGCAGTGGCGAAGCTGTTGGAACTGCAAATGCCTGAACTTGAGGGCGTGGAATATTCCATGGGTCCAGGAAATGATATCAACCTCCCAGCAGTTCTTTTCCCATTCGAAGTGCTAGTCCAGCCGCTGGAAATGCGATTCCGATACCACTTTGAAGGCGATAAGCCAACAAATCGAATCGACAGGCCTGAATATTTTCTCACCCATATCACCACCCTGTTGAACGACTACAGCCCATTCGTGGTCGACTACGTGCAGCCCGTCCTCCTGAAACATTTTCGTGGAACTGACGTTGCCCTCAAGTCCGTTTATATCGATGCAACGTCCGCCTTCATCACCGCCTTACTTCCGATGCTGAGGACTAAGATTGGCGCACTGCTCCCGAAGGTGGCTGGCCAACCCCAGCTCCTGAGCCACCTGATGCACGAGGTCATGAATTTTGACACTACTATCAGAGAGGAATGGAGGTATGATGGCGGATATGGCTTGGAGGGGTGGAGAGGACTAGCATGGGAGTTCCTTGTCCAAGCCGACTGGTTTGGGCGGTGGCTGCAGGTCGAGAAAGACTGTATGGAACCTCAACTGCCGAACCTATATTTTATGCAGTTATTGACTTGCGATCAGTTGCACTGGCTCGCTATCAAAGTATTGTCGATGCTCCCGACTTTGGTGATCTTGACTATGAGAGTGTCGATCCGAAAGCTACTAAGCCAACCAAGGGAGCCATTCGCGTGAATGACTTACTGGAAACAATCACAGGTTAGAGACTCCCTACAATCTAACAGCCTATATCTGATCGTTTCTGCAGACCGATACCGACCCCTGATCTCCTTTTCGCAGAAACTTCGGTTTCTGATTGAGATTCAAATCGCCATTTTTGACAAACTCCATGAACGCCTCCAGAGCAATCTAGAAGCTTACTTGACCATGACGACGTCGTTTGGTCGCGCTGTTGGTGGCGTAACAAAAGAAGAACAGGATAAGCTGCAAGGCCTTGAAGGCCTTGAGCGTCTCTGTAAGACGTATGGTAGCGCAGACTATCTGGAGAAGGCGATGCGAGACTGGAGTGACGATGTGGTTAGTAGACTGCCTGTTGGGAGATCGGCGATCCGAATGCTAACTAGTACCGTAGTTCTTCCTCGACATTTGGGAGGAGCTCCAAGGCCGCGCCAGCAAGGCTAGCAATATTGGCTCCATGACAGTTGCCGATGTTGCTGAACGCACTTCGAGTGCTGTAGTCTCAGGCACTGATGGTGGCGCTCTATTTGACGAAACGGCTGGGTGGTACTCACGCCTCCGCATCCGCAGCGAAAAGATCATCATTGACTTGCTAAACAACAATGTGCGGGAGGCGCTGAGGCCTTACCGAAATATGTAAAGATCCCGAAAACGAAGCCACAGCGTTGTGCAAGTACTTACTTTTCCCGCAGTAATCCCTGGTCCACCCTCTCTGGCTCCTCGGCCTCAGCCAACGCCAACGTATCGACTACTGCGGAGCTTGACCCACTGCTCACGCTTCTAAACAATACATTGAGCTTTTTGTCCCGCGCTCTGGCCCTGGCGCCTCTCCGCCGCATTGCGAGAGCGGGTTTGGCCACAATTTCGACCGTTCTCTGGGACAATGTGCTCGGCCGCCACCGCTTCTCTACTGCGGGTGCGGCCCAATTGACGGCTGACCTTGCAGCTATTTGTCGCGTGGTGGACGAGAACGTGGGTACAGGTGCTGCAGAGGCCGGCCTAAGAAAATGTCTAGAGGGTGCTCAGCTAGTTGGACTGCCAGTCAAGGGCGGCAAATCGGAAATCAAGGCCCCTGTTCAAACCAACGAAGAGGAAGCCGGAGAGGATTGGGGTGCTTGGGGCGGAGAAGGCGAAGAAGGTCTTGGGGAGGGAAAGAGGGTAGAGGCGAAGGCTGCTGGTGAAGAATTAGGCCTTTGGGAAGTCGAGAAGAGACTATTCGCTGATAACAAGAGTGCGAGAGAGGTTCTTGACGAGTTGGGCATGGAAATGTTGACAGAGACGGAGGCAAGAGCCGTTCTAGGACGAAGAGTAGAACTCGCGGGTTAATGCTGGGCGGATCAGTCCTTTGCCACATACGAAAATTCAAACGCATCTGTAGAAAAGACTATGTTCGTTACGGAAAATATTCAAATGAGTATCGAAGGGATGCATTAAAAGAATTAGATCTATCTAATCATCATACAATAGCATATCGTCTTTTAGCATGCTCCAATCGCTACGTGCAGCGTTGTGTCGTTACATCTTTCCCTCTCCCTGGGTTTAGTTGGAGAACTTCGTTGGTACATTCTTCCCTGTCGTCTTCTCAAACATATCCCGGGCGCCGTCGGTCTGTTGTTATGTATCTCATCAGCATTCTTTCCTTCTATTCATTAACGGTGAGGTATAGGCACGGCACTCACGATCTTCTCATTAATCCCTCGGTTTTTGTTGGCATCCTGACCCATGGAGCCTCCGAACTTCTTCTCCACAGAATCGAGGCCGCGGTCTAGGTAATCTTCGTTTCCAGCGTTCGTGTTACCAGTGGTGTTGTGAGTAGCGCCGGAGCTGGAAGACATGGCGTTCTTGATTTGATCCATTGTTGGTTGGTTGGGTGTGAATTGGTGGATGAAGCAAGAAAAGTGTGTGAATTGACTATTTCGATGTCTGAGTGAAGAACACAATACTAGGAGTAAGCGTAGATTTATATACCCAAAGCATAGCCGGGACGATACGTTGCCGGGAGAGTGATGCTATACGAATTCCCTCCCTGCACACCACTACGTACCCTCCGATAACCAACCCTCCATTCACCCCCTCTATTTAGGCCATTGAACCCTCCGAACTTGGCACTAACCCGGCTACAGCCCAGTTCTGCACCTTCCAGCAAGCCTCTCGATCAAGAGCTTGTCCAGTGTGTCCCCTAAGCTTGGCACCGGTTACGTAGCTAAGTACACATCTGTACTACTGCATGAAAGGCGCAGTGGCAATTGCGACCCACGGATCCTGGAATGGCTTCTGAATGGTGCGAGTCGCAATATCAAATCTGATGTTCCAGGAGGATTCAACATTCCTGTTTTTGGGTGTAGGAAAGGGTGACGTCAGGGTTTGATACTGGCTTGACATGGGGGAATGACGGCATGTGGAGAAATTGGTGCCAATGTAAGGGGGCTTGGTGGACTGGGGAGTTCGATAACGGGTGACGGGGTTTGGCTTCAGTTGGCGCCAGCTTTCCCTACTTCTAGAATACATTAATTCCTTAACAGCCTGTCTCTCGTTCTCTGAGCCCTCAACACCTGCTGCCTGGCGTTCATCACACCCTGCAATAACGTTTGCCCTTTTTGCTCATCCAAATTTTTTTGGCGAAAGGAAAAAAAAAATTTAAATTTTGCGCAAGGCTGCACAATGTCTGTGCTCTGCTGCCTTGGTCTCTGACCCCAGGGAAAATTTCATCTGTGTCCTTGTCGTGAATATGTTAAAGCCTTTACGTTACCTACACACCCAACTTTGTCGACATGGTAAGCACCTGCTTCCTTCCACCAACGGTATTGGCTAAGTAGTGAGCACCATGCTAGCCTGCCTGCCTAGTGGCTATGGCGTGAGAGCACTTTACACACGACGGCTAGTGTTAAAAAACGTGGGTCGTCACATACGGCGTGGTTCCACTGCGAGCACCTCAGTAACCCACAGAAAATCTCTCATAAGCAAAGAACAGAAGGTTTGGCGACGAATAACAGCTTGTGACTCGTACATGTTTCTTCAGGGAACCCAGTTACCCACAATCGGCTACAACGCAACTCAAGTCTACTTAACCTAAAGCAGCCCTCGGCCTCAACGAAGAAAACCGACAGACTCAGCCTCAGCCTTTGCCAACGGCCCAACGCTACCATGTTCATTCCACGTCTACCCCTCGGCCGTCTCAATCATCCATCCATCCTCGATACTCCAAAACCGTTCGTTTCCCACCGAAGCCCATAATTCATCCATCCTGTCCATCCACCCATCCATCTAAGCATATCCCAAGGATAAAAGAAGTCCATCTACCCTCTCTGGCAATCGCACAATTCCGACCAAATTCCGAGAAAGAAGGAAACAGGGGGGGAAACCACATGGAAGGTGTGAGGGTAATAAAGCGGGCGGGGTATCTAAAGGGGGTATCATTCCGCTTGCTCAATGCTGAAAGAAGCAGAGCGAACGACGAAAGAAGTTCAATGACGGTCGTCGCTGAATCGGGGACGAAGAAAAAGGAACCCTATAATGACTACAGATCCTGGGAGAAAGCCAAAAGGTCAGGGGGCTGCCAAACACCGGACCGAAGAAGACGGAAAGAGAAGAACGCCAGAGTCAATGAAATCGCTGAAACGCAGGAATAAAACGATGAGAGCATATAGAATACACAACACAAATGGTGATGAAAAGAACTGACGGAGATGAGGTCAAGAGCGCGAGCGCGAGCGCCAGGACACAGAAACGTATAACGGTTGAGCATGAGACGTATAATGCGACGGTTGTCATGCTCCGAACTCTTTGATAAGAGAATGGAGGAGACTGCAGAAACAGGCATGGAGGTTCACAAAGAAATCCTCTTTTCCCACGATCTCAATCAAGCTCTTCGCTCGCATAACGTCGCGAGATACACGAGGATACCCATCCGGATCAACCTTTTTGGCAGACAGAAAGGAGGAGACTGGGGTAATGTTGCGGGCCGTTGGTGAGCTTGCCATAGAAGAAAAGGCATTCTTCTGTGGCGATGTGAATGCGGGCATGGACGATGCTGATGTTCCGAGAGGTGGTGTGCTTGGTATGGCAGTCTGGGGTCTGGAGAGATTCTGAGTGGAAGCCGCAGATTCCCGTTCGAGCACCCTCTCAGCAAGCCCTACGATTCGGTTCGCGATGGCTTCGAACACCTCAGTTACTTTAACCATGGCCCGAGTAGCACGACGGCAGTCACGACCGGCCATGGCAATCAACGCATACGTCCTCTTCTGACCGCGTGCTCTAGGATCTTGCAAACGGAAGACATAGGCAATGGTATATCCGACCACTGGGTCACCAAACAACAACGGTCCGGAGGGTTTTCCGAGGGGAAGAATCTCACAAGACAACGTGCGGATACAAGTGCGTCGAAGCAGGGAATACGTTGCAGGCGACTGCGGCTGGCGGGTGGAGATGTAGTTGAGAGTATGTGTGTGCATTCCTCTCGACATAAACATAGGAGAGGAGGGCACTGACTCTGGATATGAACTAGGCACGCTGTCGTACGACCTGGATTGCTCGGTATCAGAGGCGTCGGATGAATCTGGCGAGCTGCTGAACTCATCGCAACTTACAGCAGGACGTCGGATGGCGAAGCTTTGCGAAGATCGAAGCACAGGGCTACCGTTCCTTCCACGACCGTCTTTTGAGGGGCTTCCCGGGGCGCCGGCTGGTAGTCTATCGGCATACACCTTTGGTATCAGAAACTGGCAGTTCTCGCACACATCAGGGTCACAATCAAAGGTGCCGCTGGATCTCCTGTCGGCAAAGTCACTTCCAGAAGAGGCAAAACTCGGGAAATACGGATTATGTGTTGCAGATCGCGGGCTCGTGGGTGGCGTCTCAAAGGGCGAGGACAGCTGTGGCAGCCGTCCGTTCCGCTTCACCGACGGTTGTTCGTACAGTCCATTATAAGAGTAGCTGGATGGAGGCGCATCCTCAGTCGGAGGAGTCACGCATGGGTTGCAGGTGTTGCAAGGAGAAGTCGAGGCTTGGGTACAAATTATGGATGTCGGGCCGTGGAGCTCACAGAAATGAGCCAGCGAGATCTGCCCATTCTAGGGTTAGCCATGATGGTCTGGAGGGTGAGGTCAGGTGGACCCATGGCGGGTAGCGGCTGGGATGGCTCCCAGACGGCACCGCGACGCTTAACTGCCCGAAGGAGGGGTCTTAAGCGCGGTAGTCTTACCGTGAAATCCATCTTCCTCGTCTGTCTTATCTTTAGGGCATCATGATTGTTGTGGTATACGTAGTGGAGGGTTGAAAGTGGTGGCTCAGCTGACAGATGAAGGATCCCTGCGCGCTCAAAGGGTTCAAGTGCCCGCAACGTTCGCGCCTGGCGGGGGTTGGGTGTGCTGCGATGGTCGCTCTAAGTGGTGAATGTCGGAATATGGTCGCCAGGCACAGCTCCACACGTCTCAGCAGAGAGGGAGGTGGCGACTTGGTGATGGTGTTGAGGGCGGAGGAGGCGTGGCCACCCGGATACGGTTTTGTTGCTGTCGCGAACCTTGGAACGGCGACGGCGACGGCAATGGGTGCGGCCGGTGGCGGGCACAAAGAGTACAAAGACTACAAAGGCGAAAGTGAGGCTCGTGAAGGCAGAAGAAAAGAGAGGGCACCGGCGGGATTTAGGTCGCAATATGGAGTCTGGAAGCAATTATTGCACGCCGGCAGTGATGAGCATCTCTCCGATGGTCTCGGAGCTAGCGTATTAGCAAGGGTTGTCAGTGCGCTCACCGCCATGGGTTGCTTATCGATGCTGCCGTCATTGGCTGTGCGACCCTGATGGCATTCGAGCTTTGGACACGATTGACATGTGGTAAAACGCTGCCCTTGTTGTTTGCGATGCAGATGCAGACCTGTGCGACGGCGGCTGCGCGCGTCTTCTCACCACAGACGCGAGCAGTCTGGCTGTCAATGCTGCCATCTCATCAATGCTGCTATCTCAACTCGAACTCGGCGTGAAGTGATCGCATTGGCCGCGACCTGAGCCTCGCTCCCCCTCCCACCATCCTGCGCTTTCCCAACCTCGAGCTATCGTTCTAGCTGCTTGCTAGGTTCTGCTTCCTCAGCCCGGCGAGGTGCTTTACGGCCTCTTCTCCCCCTGGTTCCGGCGTGTTCTAGTCCAAGCCCAACACACACGACAGCCATGGCCCTGTCACAGTCTGCTTCAAACCAGCACACGTCGTACGACTACCTCGCTCATCAAGTTCTGGTTCCAGCATCCGAAAGCCTTCTCGTCGCGAATATCCTCGGACGAGCTTTTCGCATTTTCTGCCTTATATGAGGTTTCATCATCATGCTCCCGGTTGGTCAAGTTCAGAGCTCTTCCGCTTTGGGCAAGCAGACGCTGGTCAGCGCGCCGGAGGAGCTCTGTTTTTTCTTTGGCTTCGCGGCCATCGAGCGATCACGGTTGCAGCCCTGACGAGCCTCACCGGCCTCATCGTCACGTCTCCTGCTCTTCCTCCCTGAATAGTTGCAGCGACCGACGTCATATCTGCCCCTTGAGATCGCAAACATGGCCCTGGTCGCCGAACGCACAACTTCCCTCAACGGCCTCTCTGGTTCCTCTCATTCATCGCGCTCTGGGCCGCAGTTCGTGTTCTTGTCTTTTGGCTGATTCAGAGAAGCCCGCAGTGTCGTCCGTTGCTCACGAGCAAGATTGAACACCTAGTGCTCTCCAAAATAGTGCAGCTGCATCACATCTCGCAAGCATTGGCATGCCTCCCCATCGCAACTAAGTCTGCTGGAATTCTGAGTAATTATTAATCGCTGTGTTTTCTTTTGACGGGCAGCCCCGAAGAGTAACCCGCTTGTGGAGGCCTCTTTTTCCCCTCAGCGAAACGTGACGGTTTTCCGGAATTGTTCAAGATGCGCCCCGCCATCGCCTTTGAACGTCTGCCAGCCCACCACCAGCTGCCCACCAAGCCAAGTAGTGGGCCCAGACTATGACGGCTCCGAACTCGCTTGCAACTCCTGCAGGGACTTCCAAGCCTTCAACGCCTGTTATTACCTTCTCCCAAACCAGCACTGACCAGAACTGACCATAACTGACCAGAAATGCGGGAATTTACGGGGAAACTGGGGCGACGAGGGGCCTGCACAGTGCTGATTCGTTTTGAGCCTTTTTTACTCGTCAATTGGGCTTCAATTGAGCAGGAGAAGCATAGCCGATACGCCCGAGGAACTCGCCGGTTTGCACTCCACAAATGCAAAGTCCAGACTCGTTGAGGAAGGCTTAGCAGCCCTATCTTAAGGTCAGGGGTGAGGTAATGATGACGACTTCAGCCTCTGCGTACCGGTAGTTCACGACGGCTTAATATTCTGCGCGTGTTGGTACGCTGGTTATTGGTGAAGTACGAGGAATGCGTGTTGTTAACTTCTCCTGGCCACGGAGCCGGAGATGCACTTCACCATCTGAAACTCTTGAGCGCAGAATCCCACCCTTCGCCAGCCAAATAGGGGGGCCAGACCAGGGGAAATAGCTCACGGGTCCACCCGCCAATAATAGGAAGAATCAGCATTCCTACGTCGCCCAATATCAGCCCCCTGAAGTAGTCCACAAATCTTTGGTACATTGATAGGGTACAAAGTTTAATCCTACATCTCCCCTTCATCACCATCCGAATCATCACCATCGGCCGGCCGCCCCCTCAAAATGTCATAGCCCATTAACTCATTAATAAATTTCTTCGATGTTTTCACCTCCTCGTACCTTAATTTTTGGTTTTCGGTAAACGTCCTGCTGTCCGGCTTCATCATCTCAACGATGAGCGGTTCCCATATCTGGTCGAGTTGTGTGATACCAATACTCGCACAAGGGATATCGTCCAGTAGAGCAGGAGAGCTCACACCAATATCCCTCCAGTGACCTCTCCATGCTGTGCTCTCATACGGAGAGAGCCGTGTGATGAAGTTGTGCAGGAGTCGTCGCCGCTCACTGTAGTTCCTGCAGGCCAACAACTTGGCGACCTGACTGACGCCACCGAGCACTAACACAAACGCAATGTCTTCCGAAGAAGCGGGGTGTGCCGTCCATCCTCGTACGAACTTCTCGACCGAGCCGGCATACGTTGGGGGCCGTAGCTTGCGGGTGAGTACTTGGACGATGAAGCAGTACATGTAAAAGTACTGCAAACGCATGGGTGGGTCCAACCGCTTCATGATCTTCCTTTCCTGGCTCGTAATACCAGGAGTGGTGCAAATATCGTATGCAATGTTGGACCGAGGCCGAATCCGTCCGAGATCTCTTTCCAGGATTGCTCGGCGATGCTCTTCGAGGAAGTAACCCACGGCGAACACCAATGGAATCATCTTTTCATATACAGAATTCCACATCTGCTTTTGGCGCTGACTGGTGTGCTTCAACGTGTCTCTAAGTACGAAGTTGGCCAGTTCTCGGGTCAGCCGAATGGAGGCGATGTGTCGCCTTCTCATGGCCAAGAGATACTGGAGAGCCGCCTGATTCGGGGGTGGCGGTGGATACAGCTTTGTGTGAAGCGAACCGAGTTTATTCTTCACCCAGAAGCGGACGAGAGACGCACCGCATGTTGAAATGAGGTCGTTCAATGCATGGGAAGTCCTTCGGAGAGCAAGTAAGTCCGATATGCAAAGTTCGGAGAGAATGTGGATATGGATCTCGCTGGGCAGACGAAAGAGCCCCACCAGGAACGAACTGCGTCGCCATCAGTATCCAGACGATGCAGAATTGAGTACCATCGGCTGCCTCGAGATACATACCTTGTCTTTTCTTGCTCATTTTCTTCTGACCTCTTCCTCACGCTCTTGAATGATGCGATGAGTTTGCTCTGGAAGCTCTCGGCTGCCCGACCGATACTAGGTCTTTTCTTGCCTTGACTCCTCTCCCCATTCGCCACCCCGGTCCAGAAAATAGGTGGAGAGCTACTCTGACGGAAGCGCTCCATCCGGCGCGCATGTGGGGATCCAACTCTTCAAGATTCCGATTATCGTCGTCTACGCGACGAAGGATCTAGGAGCGGAAGCTCTGCACAAGGCCTTAACGTTCCGCAGCAGCAAAATCATGGTATTTGCTGCAGTTGTGGTACAGAAGGCAGGGAAGTTGAGCGTCAAGCGGGCTTGACAAGTCCAGGTAGGGTGGGGCTTCTCGCGTAGACTCCGCTTGACCAAACACCGCATCTGAAGGATCTGCCATCCCGCCACGAGGGCAATCTGAAACGCAGCCCTCAACACGGGGTGGTTTGCAACTGAGCCGGACGGACGGCACTAAAAATAAACGAACAACGCAGAAAGTGTCTTTGCGCTGGGAACCCAGAAAAGCCGGCTCCAGTTGACCTTCTTCATTTGCTCTTCAGGCCTTCTGGAAACGTCGCAGAGGTTATATTGCGGACATGCAGTGAGCGCTGGAAGGAGCATCAAGACTTCCGTGCGTCCTCTACACCGCTCCAGCATATGTGACACGTTGGCAACTGTCATGCTGCCCTTCAATTTCGACAGGTTGAGACGGTCCGGTGCAGACACATGGCATTACCGTCGGAGCCAAACTTTACGCGCCCACTTGCATAAGTGACATGTGCAGGCCCAAGCAGACCCGGAATCTTTCGAGAAGACTGTGAGATCCCAGTCGCTATTACTATCGAAGCACCTCTTTTAACATTTGTGTGACGGAAAACAAAAATGGGTTACAGATGTCAAAGTCAGATGCACCTGAAAAATTGCCATGTGTTACGGTTGCACGTATGCGACTTGCTTGCAGATGCGAGAAACCTCTCTAACGAGATGCCGCAGTTGACCTAGGGCTGTTATTCCATTGTTGCACAGAGACAGATGATCATCTCAATACGATGCTGCTCCCTGTTTCCTTAGCACGACTCGGACGGGTTGCCGCTGCAGAGAGCACAGCTAGAACTTCAATTTAATGTAGAGTTTTGACTATCATCTCAATTCCATGACAACAAGTTAAAATAATATCTCTTTCCTATCCTTCGTTCGATGGAAGTCACCAGCACCCACTCTTGACAGCCTAGTATGAATTTGGAAAACAGATCCACTATCCAGTACCGAACCCCTCAGTAACGATATTTCTAACACTCCATAATATTAACTTCAAAGTTGTACAGCATGTCTTCCGCATCCCCGAAAAGTTCCCACGAGCTTAGGAACACAACATGGACGGCTCAGAAACGAACAAGACCCACACGATCAAACCAGTTATCCTTAATCCAGCCGCCATAGCTGCAACCCCCGTCGAAGGCTTTTCCGATTCCACGGGCGGCAACGTAACGTGGAAGACGCTCTTCTCGTCGCCGAATAGCCCGACGAACACTTTTACCACGGGCATTGCGAGATGTAATCCTAAAGGAGGATATCTGCAATTACATCGCCATAAGCAAGCTGAGATCTACCATGTCACTCATGGACATGGTATCGTTTCAATAGAAGGTGTCGAATACCCGGTGGAGAAGGGAACAGTGCTGTTTATACCTGGGGATGCAGAACATGGCATTCGGAATACGAATGAGCGTGAAGAGCTGGTTTGGTTGTACGTGTTTGCTACGGATAAGTTTGAGGATGTTGTGTACAGGTTTAAAAAGGATGGGAATTTGAAGTCGAAGCTCTAGGGCAGGATATGACAACAATAAAGACGATGCAATGGATCTGCGAATCCCTAGTGCGAATAGAGTCAGCAAACCATATACCAGTGGGGCTTTAGTCACATCTATCCACACCTGCTCAAGCCCGGCGTCCATTTATGATAGGTGAGAAAGGCTCCAAATAGCCCGAGAACGTCTCTATAACCCATTGAAGCAAACGTTCACTCTTGGCATACTGGCTGACGCCCAAGCCGACATGGACCTCGTGGATCTTCCGTGCCCGCCAGCGAAATTCAATGTGACCTCGTATCATACCATGCTTATGTCATATTACTCATTGTGCCTATCTAAGATTATTTAGTTTTTGCCGCTTTATAGTACTATACCTCAACAGTCTCTTCAGGTAGTAAAATAGAAGGTCACGTAGGCAGGATAGCATATAAGAGCGGCATAATCACAGGTACGATTAACAGTCAGACGAATCTTTGAGGAATACTCCATCATGCTTCGTATCAGTAGCAGCAGTTTAGTAGGCAAGCCTGCATCTTATGATATATTTACGGCTAGGGCCTTGATACTGTGGATAAGTCAGGAAATGCTGGCTTACCCGTACGTTATCTCTTCAACCCTCGAGTTTCTAAGCATGGTCACCGAAATGAGAACCAATGAACAGAGGGAGATTTGAGCCTGGCGGAGTTGAATGTTAGAAGAGACTCGCAGGGCCTCTTGATATAGACATCATTTTATATGTCCAGATTTTGACGACGGGCAACTGTATTGCAACTGAAAATAAAAATAGAGATGCAGTACGTCCAGCAGACAGCAACTTCCCCCTAAAATCCCAAATCACCGCGTAAGGCCGCATTCTGACTAATTAGGGGTAAATGCTCTTCGTCAAACATACCTAGGTCATGCACCTTGACATTATGTTCAACGACATATAGCTTCCCATGATTAACACGTGACTCTGGCGCGAGTGTGTTTGTCTGCATCGTCCAGACGTGAATCAGGTATTATCCAGGTCTTCACCCAGAAGGAGGGACGGCGGTGTTGCGCTAGTGTAAATAACCCCATGGTCGCGCATTATAAAGCCAGGTCTTGTCGCACCTTGGCCACCGTATGTCCGTATAGAACTTTGAAAGGTGTTTAGCACGCATTTCAGCAGCGTCAAGTCCCATAATTTTGACTGATACAGATGGATATAATTCACGCGCACTGGCTGAATGACAGCCTATTTCGTGCAACAACAAATCGGCTTATCTCGGAGTATGTAAACTCATTTAACCTTTTGATAGTGAAGACTGTGGACCATCGCCTACGACCACATCCAACCATTCTCAGTCCTTGTCGAGGAGCTTCATGAAGACCTCAAATCTGAATCGGTACCACCGAAACTTTCCTACCTTCCAGGTTTCATTACCTCCATGAAATTCTTAGATATATCCAAACGAGCGATAGCTAGTCAGGTTTCGGGCAAATGCTGATTTATACTACAAAATCTGCCGTCGACTACATACATCCCGGTCACGATCCTCTTGGGCACGGTTTCCCGCGAACCGTCGCTACTACTCATATTTTTATGATGAGGGAATAGTTGTCGAGACCATATGGTCCGATGGCCCCGACTCGTTATCTCAAGACACGGGTGAGACCCCCACAGTTGTTCATGTGCAGAGGGTACTAACATTTATTTCAGAATTGCCTAGAGACAGTTCCATGAAGGATACTAATACTAAACCCTCAGAGCCAAAACAACAAGTTCAACAAACCGCTTTCACGTAAGCGTTGTGAGAACAAAGTCTATATTGTAAACTGGTGCATTAGTGTGCTACCAAGTTGATCTTAAATTTCGTGCGGATCTCTTCGGATCTCGTGAAGCAAAGCCGAAGCATTTTGTAAACACACAACTCGAAATTTTGGAGCACCCGTGGAGCTTTATCTCACCCGCTTGGAGATGCTAATGAGGCGTCGGGAGGCAGAGGAGCCTTCCACACTCTATCAACAAATATGGTCATCACGCATTAGCACAGGCCAAACCGACGAATGCACAGATTTGAAGATAAGAGCACTGCTCAACTTCTACGATGTATGTTCAAAGGCCCGTTTTCGATTAATGCAACAGGATGATTCCAACATTGCTTCTTTAGCTTATTCCAGCACCAGTGCCACGGCTTTAAGTCAAACTTGCCTCATCCAGAGCACAGAGGTATCATCACCTAACCTTACCAACATGTGTTGTACTGTGAGCTCTCCCAGACTTTGGAATACAACTCACTTCAGTCAATAGTTTTCTAAATCGAACGAGTCCCTCATGATTACAAGATGTCCGGGGAAGCATACGCCGAAGATTGCGCTATTGAGATGAATGATGTTGGAATAGTGATGTCAGACAGAATACATTTTTGCATCCTATCTAGTCTACATACTTCTGATCCTTCGACCCTAGATGTCGCCGGTTGCTCCTCCCTCGCTCACCGCTGCCGTTTGCCGTAGTCGAGCATCCACGGCTGGCTGCAGCATCTAGCTTGTGTGCAGGAGAATAAGAGCTTTGTGACATATACGTGTACATAGCATGTCCTTCCAATGCCTTAAATCGCCCTGAGTTCTCGCCTCTGCACAACTGGCGGGAATGGTAGATTGGAAACAATAGCCCCCAACCCAAAGCTGTGATTCTCATAAGAAAAGGGCAAAAGGTAAGTAGACCAAGCCTGTTCACCAACTTCCCAGGATGTTTGGTCCTAAGAATCCTGCTGTCCTGATACACGCTTAAGAACCATGCCGGGGTCGACACGCCCAAGGCCCCTTTTAGCCCACAGTTTGTTCCCGGCCAAGGACATCGTTCTTAGAACCACATGATGACAAGGACAATACGGCTGGGACAGAAGGAGTTCTAGGGGAATGATCCCAGGACAAACAAGGCTCCTAGTATGTAGAATATACTAAGCTTAGTTCCTAGGGGTTGTCTCGGTCTAGGAGCAAGGCCCGGGTTGCATTCACTATACCGCATTCAATCCTGACAACTGACAGATATTGAGAAAGGAAAGAAATATGATGATGTGCTACACAATCCTCGTATCGGGGTAATCAAATTAAAGGGTATATCAGAACTCTATGGTCTCTAGGACAAGACTAGCGACATATATTTCTTTCGCAGTAGAGACTTGCTAGCTATTGGTATAACCGGTAGGTGAATTGATAGACATGTAGCATTTGAATGAAGTTGTGTCGGGTGTACAGAGATTTAAGATAGAGACGTTAGAACAAAGGAGACACACGATAGAAGATATAAAGACTCTGGCGGTGTAGTAATATTTACGTGTTCCACCAGTCATCCGGCCAACCCAAAAACCACTAAAAATCAGAAAAGCTGTACCTTAATATCTCATCGACGGCAGAATAATGCATGAATCCTAAAATCCCATTTATAATTAGTCTTCTATAGTAGACCTATTCAAGGCCTCTTATTTGATTTTAAAATCAATCCTTCAAGTAGTTCTACAGACATAGCAATTGCGCTTAAGGTTAGAGGTCAAACTTAATATCTTGATAACGGCTAGACTTATTAGTCCAGAAATTTGTGCGAGCTTTAGAGTAGGAATAAAACGGCTACCATAAGATTCTAGAATTTATTTTCCTGCCGTTATTAGGGTATCAAGTTGCAACATTTCTGATTTGTAGTATTTAACTCAACTAACTAACGTTGTCTCAATAATGGCTTAATAATAAATTATAAACTGTTAAAAGTTATCCTTTTATGCCTATTTCCTGTTCTATATTCAGCTTTCAGTGTAATTTATTACGTAGTTCCAGAGATATAGCGGCTCAGCTCTAGACTAGGGACTAAAAATCGACATATGGATAACGTATCACCTTAGAACTGTAAAATGCCACTTGTTCAGTTTTGGAATTATTACCCGTTGATGAGATATTAATGTACAGTTCGTCTGGTTTTTGGTCATTTTTGGGGTGCGCCAGGGATTGGTGGAGCATCAGGATTTTGTAGGCAATGGCATCAGGATTTGGAGGTCTTGATGCCAACTTCAGACATCTAGGAGCAAAATGCACTGAATCACGACGTCACAATTGTATTCCGCTTGCTTAGATCCTCTCCATATGCAGCGTAATGCCATCTACCAACATGCAAGACCCTCTAGATAACTTGATCGTAAGCTGATATGCCAGATGTTTAATCATCATTACTGTTTACTCATCCTGAAATTTCGGCTAGCGCTTTCCCTTTTCGAGAAACTTTCTCTTCTCCAAGGATCCTTGCATCAAGTGTCTTTGTAATATCATGAAGAGTAAACACGAGTAATTGGCCGTTTCGTGATGGTTTGTTGCACAGTTTTTCTTCAAATTGCCTCGGTAGATTGAAAGAGTTCGTGCGAGATGGTGTGAAAGAGTTGTATAAGAGTGGGTTGCGCTATCTTCATGTGTGCAATATACGGAATATCAAGTAGAAAGCAAACAACTGCCTGGCTAAACTTAAATATTCCATCTCCCCCATCTCCAAACACTTTAATTGCTAGATATTTTCATCAATCCATCACGACCCACGACTGGCACAATGTCCAAAGGTCTTATCCTCATCTCGGGCGTGAACGGCTACATCGCCGCGCGTACCGCAAAGCACTTCCTCGACAGCGGATACTCAGTCCGTGGCACCGTTCGTAAACTCGCGTCTGCACAACCGCTGCTTGAAGATGCTCTGAAAGACTATGCTGAAGCCGGGAAATTCGAGGTTGTTGAAGTCCCTGACATCACTGTTTCAGGGGCTTTTGATGAAGCTGTTAAAGGTTAGAATTCCGTCTCCTAGTTTTACTGATTACGAGGATCTGAGATTTAGAAGAGGGAAGCAGTTTCTGACAGAATTTGTGTCGACAGGAGTCACGGGAATTGCCCACATGGCCTCCCCTGTATCATTCTTCTTCAAAGACCCGGACCCGATCCTCCACGCCGCTATCAACGGGACTAGAACTATGCTCGATTCTGCCCTGAAAGCTGGCTCACAGCTTAAAACGGTGGTTATCATATCTTCCATCGCCGCTGTCAAAAACCAATCTCAACCGCCATACACCTTCACAGAGAAAGATTGGAACGACTTCGCAGAGGCTGAATGTGAAAGACTTGGGAAAGAGACGCCGGGGCCAATTATCTACAGCGCGAGTAAAGTAGGGGCGGAGAAAATGTTTTGGAAGTTTAGAGATGAGGAGAAACCGGGGTTTACTATGACGGCAATTAATCCTGTGTAAGTGACCAGCAAAGCCCTCGTCGAACGCATACGTAGTGCTGACGGATAACACCTTCTAGCTTCGTAATTGGACCGCCCCTTCTCCCACCAAAAACCGAATCTGCAGTTTCTGAAACCATCCGCTCCATCTGGACAGTTTTCTCAGGCGGCCCGCTTCCAGTCGGCGTGCCTGGCCTCACTCAAACCGTCGACGTCCGTGATGTAGCCGCTCTCATGCTATACCCCATCGAGCATCCTGAGTCGACTAACGGCGAGCGATATATCGCCAGCAGTGCTGTAGGAGGAGCTCAAGCCATGGCAGATATCCTACGTGAAGTGTTTCCAGATGCAAGAGGTAGGATCGTCGAAGGAACCCCTGGAGAGGGGTATAAGAAGGATTTTACAGTTGATAAGGAGAAGATAACTGATATTAATAGTAGTAAGGCGAAGACTTTGTTGGGGGGGTGGACGGGTTATGAGAAGAGTGTTGTTGATACTGCGAAGACTTTTGCGGGACTGGTTTGATCTGAGCGAAACTGGCTAAAGGATAGAGAAGCTACAGCAAGGCTCTATCTTATGAAGAACCGGGACTTGTAGTTTTCAAGATGGCTAAATGTATGCACTCTTTTGAATTTAGCATCATTACCATTTCGTTAACCATGAGGTTTCTGCGCTACCACCGAACCTCGTTATACTTCAAATCCATAACTCGAAACATACAACCCATCCATGCAGCCTTAGCCCTTTCTGATCCCATAAACATTCCCACCCATATTAACAACTTTCTCCGCTGTCACCATCTCTCCAAGCAAGCCCTTCAACTCATCAGCCCCAAACGGAAACCCACCCTGCACCATCATCCTCATCATCATAAGGATCCTCTGCAAAGGTAAGTTGCCCTGATTGGTGAGCATACCGAAGATGAAGCTCATGTAAACATCCTTCTTCTCCTGCAATAGATCTGCTTGAGTTTTGACAGCGCCTGCTTGAGCCTGTGCCTGAACCTCCGCAATCTCTTGCGCTGCAGCTGCAGCATCTGAGTCTTTATTCGACGATGACGCTTCCTCAATGACTTCATAGGTCTCTGGATGTGTTTCACGGAGTACGGATTTGCCGACCCAGAAGGCGAGAGCCTGGTAGACGAGCTGCTCGTCCATTTCCAGCATGTCCCTGAGCTGATCCACATTTCTGGTCACACCTGAAACCTTCTGCTTGCCTTTTCCTTTGCCTTGCCCACCTGCCCATTCCTCGCTTGGTTGGGGTTGGAATGCGTATATTACGCTCACTTGCCAGGGAGTGAGCTTTTCGAATTCTTCCGTTCGGTCCGCGAATTCCAATGTGATTGTTCCGTCACCGAGGGCGTTCATCCAACGGAGCTTGCGCATTCCTTTAATGCGCTCGAATCGGGATTCGTATTCCTTTTGGAGGGCTTGGATCTGATCCGGGACTAAGAAGTCGTCTTCGCGAAGGGGTGGCCAAAAGAAAGACGATAGAATCTGCGCGTTGAGTCTTGGGCCTTGTGGCGGGGGTATAGAGGGTGTTGATGGACCAGGTCCTGACTGACGACTAGATTGAGGAGTGCTTGGGTAACCTTGCGGAGACGGGAGTAACTGTGACGCTCCACTGGCTCGAATCGAAGAATTGATACGCTTGGAATCAAGGACATCGCGTAGCATGACTTCGCAAGCTTGGAGTTTGTCGTCGCCGAGTCGGATCTTGATGAGTTCTAGTAGCCGGATCTCCTTCTCGTACTCAGGGTCTTGACACCTGAGCAGATGATTTCCCAGTATGTTCTTTAGTTCATCGATGAAATTCTCCCTGTCCCACAGCGTCAGGAGGAACCAGATCACATCCTCCACCTTCGCCTTTTTGTAGTCCGGGGATGCGTCCGTCGGAAGAGGCTGCCAGTTCATATCGTTCCAGTTGAGTTCTTCGTCTTGATCCGGGCTGAGGTTTGCAATGGGCTTCTGCATTTCGCTTGCAATCTCGTATGACAGCTCACTGCCTGGTGCGAACTTGTCCCCAACGTTGTCCGTTAGATCCGTAAGAAGGCTTAATATGATGATTCGAGCGGTATCCTCCCTATCTTTCAGGTATCTTCGAATGGGACGCGCTACTCTTTCGAGTAAAACTCCTTTGGGCTCTAGCTCATGGAATGCGCGAATGACGTAGATGTAGACATTCAGTATGTATGTCGTGGTAGCTCCGGCATGAAGTAGTCGGCGTGACACCTGCTGGGAAAAGCTGGAGGTCAGATGTTGTTTTGCGCCGGAGAGTCTGAGATATTCCTGTGCTCACCATTAGCCTGGTGTTTCAACACTAGGTGTGAATAGAGGTGCAGACTCGCCTTTATGTCCATGATAGCGCCTAGGCTCTTGTTCCAATTGATTACAAAGTCGAAGAGATTATCCACTCTTGCTCTGCCTAATCTGCCCAAAGCCATATCTTGCCACTGCTGTAATTCTGTTGGCTCTACCTGGCTTGGATCGCACTTCAAACATCCCAGCACAAGCTCGACGAGGGGGCAGAAACCGTCTTTAATCCACATTCGCAGGTGAGGCACAACTGACTTCTTGGAGTACCAGTCCACCTTGAGGTAGTGACTGAGGATAAACGAATCCACTAGCCTGTTCATGGCGTGCGCGAATGCTTTCTGGGCATTGTCTCCACCTAGACCAACCTGTTCTAGGCCTCGTAGAAGGGTCATCACACGCTCCCGAAATTCCACAGTATTCTCAGATGTGGAACTGACGACAACACCATCATGCCGCACATAGATGTGGAACAGTCTGCATCCCGCATCATACAATACGTAGCTTAGCGCTTTCGAGAAGCGCTGGGGAGGCAGACAGTGGGCGAAAGTAGCATGGATGTCTCGTCGTAGCTTCCAATTCGTGGAATGTGCTTGGGTCTGTTCAGGCTTGTTTGGGCGAATGGTGGAAGAAGAACCGTCATGATATAGGAGAGGGATTATGTGATCATTGAACGGCTGGAGGTAGAGATGTTGCACTTGATGGAGAATTTGTTGCGTCTGTTGCAAAGCGTCCCAAGAGTGTCGCAGGTCCATTTCCTAGATCGCTAATTAACCCCCACAGATGTGTATTATATGGTAGGGCTTTTCTACCTTGTCCCATAGTTCCTCTAACGTCGGCCGGACAAAGTTCGCGAAGTGCAGTCCCGCTTCGTTGGTATACCAGTCTACCAAGCTCTCTTCATGTCCATCCTCGCCCTTGCCCTCCCCAACAAGCAGATAGCGCAGAGATTCTTCGACTTCGGCTGTCTTCGGTGTCTGCTGCAGATCAAGTGATGTATCACCCAGTGGCAGTTTCGGAAGGCTCAGGAATCGTGTTGCGGTGCTCCAGGCAAGGTTGCGCCTCACCGCACGATGTTGCCCGCTGGCATTGCTGACGAACGGGCTACCGAACGATTGCCCAGGGCCAGCATATCCAAGATCTGGTGTTGCGATAGGAGTAGGTGTAGTATGAGAGAGAGAGGGCACCGGGAAGACAGACGCGAAGACACGGCTTCTGTGATACATCGTGGATGGCGCAAACCCCACCTAGGGAAGGTCAACAAGGCCGAACGACAGTAAAGACTTATTGGAAAACATTGACCGAGCTAATTCTACGTGAATATCCAGTCCTAGGTGCTCATAATTGTTGTTGCAGAGTATTGTCGCGTTGCTGAGGGTCGCGTTCTGTTCATGTGAGAGAATGACTTCGAGGTTTCGGGGTCTGCGCGAGGTCACGTGTAATAGCCGTGTCGTAATGTGAGTAGATCTGATAAGACAGTGGGTGATTTCTTCCCTACCATCTGTTTCCACCATGAGCCTTTCTTGTTACTCTACGTGCTTGAAATCAAAATAATTGCCGATGCATCACTTTCTGGGAGGCACATAATGAATCTCTTGAGTGAGGGTAGCTCTATCTTCTTGGTTTCATGCAGCCTTCACCCCTTCTCTCTCCGGCTCTGTCGCCAATTCCCTTTCCTGTCAGCTACGTCCCCGTGCCATAGCACATGACTGATATGGAAGTGTTTCCTTCAGTTGCAAATTCTTTAACTATTACCAAGGAAGTCGCTGTTAGCATAAAGATGAGTGCGGTTGGTGGAGGATCACAGAGAAATGAACCGCTCGCTGACGATGGCAATTAAATTGATTCCCTGCCTATTAAGGGTAGAGAGTGATGGTTTCTGCCAGGGGCCATTTCATCTCACATATCCAAGAAAGAACATGGGTTCATCGTCTCTGGGACGAAGACGCACGAGAGGTTGGCAACCTTCAAATGCTGTAAACATATCCGATTGTAAAAGACGCGCGAAGAGTTGCATGGTGGACAGAAAATATACCTAAGGTCATCGGTTTGCTGCGTAAGATTCTATAGTTAGATAAGCGGATGTTATCCTAAGTATATTTCTTCCTTCACCATATCTCAACAAATCACTAAAAGCCATTTCCCATGTACATAATCTTAGTAGTTGGCCGGGTTGTCACCGCAGTGTGCGGATAGTGCATAGCGCGGCTCATCACATCACTATCGCTCCTGAAAACAAACGATTTCCTCCAATCCGTTTCCGTCTCCATCCGTCAATTTCCCAATCCGCTCTTTCACCTGGGTACCCTCCATTACCGCACGCACACGCACCTCCCCACCCTTCCCGAAAATCCAGCTCTTTTCCCACTCACTACAGATATGTACGATTTCCAACCTGTAACTCAAGAACCTTCACTGGGCGGCCATTTACTCAGCATTAGCGTGCAAGGCCTCACTCGAGTGAGTGACAATGATAGTATTCCTACCATAAGTTGATACGTGAGTTTAGAATAGCGCAGGGCTTAACGAGAGCTCCAATCCAGTAAAATCAGACTAATGGTATATAGGATCCTCTGGATTCTGTTAAAAAGCGTTTCTTTTTGCGTATTCTTTTAGATGCTGGCTGGCTTGGGGGGGGGGGGGGGGGGGGGGGGGGGGGGGGGGGGGGGGGGTTATGGGTAAGGTGACTGAAGGTTCGCTGTGTTATTAGGAAGTGGATGACGTTGGTTATGTATTTGAAAGTGTCGTTGTGCTTGTAGTTGTTTTATGATTTTGGCTATTGCTGGCTCTAAGGTAACAGTCACTTAGAGGGGCGAATTAGATATGATTGGCGCAAGAGATTGATACCAAGAGCTTCGCTAGAGCGCTGGAAGAGAGGCTAGAGATTATGTCTTCGAATATCTAGACAGAGCACCACGCACATCAGTCCCGAATGTTCCTTATATAGGAGAGCAGCGGGCAGCGACATTGATATCCTGTGGTTTTTAACAACCGCAACACCCGCTACGACGCGCTAGATACCAAATCTTACTGTTACCTAGTCCAAAATTCAAATCTCAGGAACTTAGACTTTGCAGGACATTGAACACATTAAGGTACTGCGCACAATGTTGACCCGCACCTTGTTGACACAACTTACTATTACTATCTTATACTGAACCTCGCCGATTCGGCCTTGGCAATAGGTCCGAAGTTCCATCTTTTTTAGTAATCCCTTTGGCGGTACTTTACCCTCCACCTGAGCTCCTAAGTTTAGCTTTCATGGACACCGCATGTAAGCAACACTCCTCGGCGTCCAGTACAAAATTCTGTGGAAATGGACGTGCGTTCCTGCTGAACTTCCCCGTCGAGACAAGCTCGGCGACGACGACGAGGCTGATCCCAGATCGATACGAGGCTAGCTGCATGCGCTGGGCTCGCTTGAGGCGCTGAACGCTCAGCACCGAGATTCGCGTGCGCCACAGTGCAACACCGCCATTCTGCTGTGGAGAACATCGCCGCAGCTTTATATCGCCTTGAATATATAATAGGTTTCGCGATGTCCCACATAGTTCCCCATAACCATAATCGTAATCTGAGTACGAAACCACTGCCCAACCCACCACCAGCCCTCCATCTTCCCATTTCCCATTCCCCATATACCGCATAACCATATAATTCTCAACATACAAACACAATGCTCTTCAGCACGACCATAACATTCCTCACCGGCCTCGGCCTGTCTGGCCTCGCAACTGCCGCCCCAACATCTAACCCACCCACCCCTAACACCCTTGAAGCCCGCGGCCGATACGCACAAGCCGCATCCCTGGCTACCTGGGAACAAGGCTGCTATTCTAAAGCGCAGCATGACGTTACGGTGCCGGATGGGACTTGCTACCACCTCCCGAATGACTGGATGACGCTGTGGTGGTTGAATGATGGTTGTACCGGTACGTAATCTAATCCAGACAAACTACCTACTCTTTGATTGAAGCTTGAGCTTGAGCTTGTGCTGACTTGGGTAGTGCGGCTCTTCGAGGGCGAGAATTGCTCATTGAGTTGGTATAGCGTCAGGCGCGATAACGAGAATCAGTGTATTGATATTCGGAGGAGGTTTTCGTATCAGGTATACTGTTGATTGAGAGGAGAGGCGGGAATGGTTCTGAAATTTGATGTTTTGGTGAACATACTTCTGGCTGATGATAGGTTTCGCCTTGTACATATTGATCTTCTTTTGTTTTATGGTTGAGTTTGTTGCTAGTCAAATTTATTGGGACTCCCTGCTTTGTGGTTTGGGGTTTGATAATACTATGGCGCAAGAGGAAAGGTCCCTTGTGAACACATGGTTGAAGGTCTGATAGGTCTTCTGCTGCTAGAGTTCAGATGGTCATTAGTATAACCTATTGAATGCAGAACTTAATGATGATATGGTACTCGGATGGTGCCCATTCTATCGCACTGAAGGCCTGTAAACATGAAATCGGCATCTGAATCTGCTTCACTACCATTTCGTTGGCATGTCCTCTTGGTGTGCATATACAGGAATGGCGACCAAAAAGTAGATAAACAGACACAGAAGCTACGACAGGGTACCCTAATGCTTCCATACCAATATCCCAACAGGTGGTTGCTCACATAGGGAACTTTCCCCTCACTGGTGCTGTGTGATCAAAGAATCCTACATCCTAGACGATGTAGTGAAGGACAAGCACCCACCACATCGCTGACTTCTTCGCATGCGCAATGGAAATCTCGAAGCTAAAATTGAAACATTTGGAATTGGCAAAGGTGCCGCGTTTACAACAATACCTGGTGAAGGAGTAGAAATGGATCTGTTTCGATCAGGGCAATCTGATACCCTAAAGATACAAAAACTGGATAACCTGGATCCATTGAACTGGATGCACACAATACGCGAAGAGTGGGGAGTCGACGGATCCAAAGTCGCCGTTGACCATACCCTCTTTAGTTCGTGGCTCTGGGGCAAGGCTATCTATCCACAGAAGCCATTCTGCATCGGCAACGTAGTGTCGATTAGGGATTGGAGGACGACGAAACAAAAGAAATTAAAGGTTTAAGAGATAGACTGTAAACTTGATGAGTTCCTGAAGCAGCACCAGCGCACTTTTCCTAGCAGTGAGGGGGAGGTACAGGACAAGTTAGAGGCTTTTGAGATATGGCTGCATGATTATATTGATAAGAAGAATAGTGGATTTAAGACGACTGATGAGTGGCAGAAGAGAGGAATGTATGATTAGAGCGTAGTCTGCCACACCACGAATCCCTTTACGTGCGAGAAACGGTGTCCCCTCTAATCCTGATCGCCTTAGCAGTTCAAGTCTTCGCGTGACAGCACCGTGGAAGCAGTGTTATCTAAGCTGAGTTCATGCATCGTCGTTAACTTCGTGTCTGACATTGATTATTTGATGAGGCGAATGTCAGGCTCGCACAGTCTAATTCGGGCTCTTTCGTTCACCATACCGTCTCTGCGTGACTTTGGTTCGTTCGGTCAATCCGTGAAGGCCGCCCAATCTGCTTGTGCTCTATTAAAACCATGATTTAGCTCCATCCTCTTTCACGTATCCATTTATTAGTTCTGTGACGATAGAGCTCAGCGCTTCAACATACTAGGAAGCGCCGTTAGATGCCCATTCTGTCTTATCTGCGGCCCTAACATTGTTAAGGGTGCTCCTAGCAAAAGCCCTCCACTCGTTGGCAACTCCAAGACCAAACTTGGCTTTAATCTTCATGCAAGCCTCAAACCTGGGGCTCGCGGTGACGATGACTGAATCGTGCAAGCAGATTGGCACTGAAACGGGCTTCTAACACGTGGGTAGGACGCTTTCCAGCCCCTCTGTCCCCTCTATCTGTGACTCCGGAACGCAACCTGCCGTCCTCCAGACAGTCTTATGGACCGATGCTCACCTATTGGCGTTAGTGGCAGACAGGGCGAGTACGCGCCGGTACTGTCTGCATGGCTCCGCGATGAGTCGGAGCCTGCTGAGTCTGCCTCGTGTGACTCCAGTGAAATCGTCCTTGAACCTAGGGCATTCTACGCCAATCTTCTTCCGTGGGCTTGCAATTTTGTATATTGAAAGAAGATCAAGCTGTGGGTGCCCGGGCCCCTCCTGATGAGACGTTATCGAAGCGTGCGAGGCGTTCAATGTGCCTATGTGATGACGTGGCATGTTGACAATCTCCAAGACGAGCAGGTATGCAGCTTCTCCTGATGGCTGCGGTTTGTTCATGTGCGAGGTCGAGGCGGATGGTGGTATATGCCTTGGAACACTTCTCAATCACTGGGAAGGCAAGACACCTTGAGCGGCCAAAATCCAGAAAACAGCAAAGTTGCTCTTAGGGCGTTGAAAAGGAGATGGCTAATGCTTAGACGCGGCATAGAACTCTCATCATTGGTACCATCTAGGGGGAAGTTGGAGCCATCTGGGCACTTAGGCTGCCATCTCCTGTTCCGCACCCTGAATATGAAATTTTGGTGGAGCTCGTTCATCACACCGAGGTTTCAATTGATCCGAAAAGAATAGTCGAACCCAGGATTGGGACCAGCGGTTGAAGCTGGAACAGCGGAAGCCGGATATAGATGCAAATATGAGCTAGAGCGCTCGGCAATGCCGGTATCCTTTGAGGCGCAGCAACGAAAGGGCACCATCAGTCTTAGTGAGGTATTTTATTGATTGGGCTGGTTTCATTGCATAATATGGCGCGTAGCTTCCATAACATGGCGCGTAGCTTCGTGGCTATTCAGTGCAGCAGCTGAGCTCGGTGTCCTAGTTGTGGCAGCGAAATAGGTCGCATGAGGATCAATCTCTGAGCTCTTGTTCAGCTCATTGCAATTTGTAATGCTGTCTGTTGATCCGAGCGAAGTGTTGGCGGTGTTACGTGGCCTTCTGGAGCGGAGGCACAGAGATCAAGCTTCTGCGAATTCTAAGAGCGCTGTTCCTGAAGTCGTCGAAAGGCCACGCGAACGATAGGGTCAAAATACTGGACAGGTGCAATGAAGCAGGGAGGCCGCTTCATAGAGGGAAAATATTGACGATAGTTGTAGTTGCCATCAGTGAAATACAGACCCGGAGCATCAGAAAGGTACACTTAGCTTCGTGCTAACAAGTAAGAATAGTAAAACGGGGTAGTAGAAGGTAGAAAACCGATGGCGAGGGTTGAGAGGTTTTTAGGTGAAATAAAACTAAGACGGGGAAAGCTTTTTATACTTAACGACGATTATGTAATGAACATGGATCAGTCGCGGATCTAAGAATCTCCGGTGCCAAGATTTCGCTGGCTTGGAGGCGTCCATTTTCGGACGCAAAACTCTCCAGATGTGGAGGCATCTAAGCCAACCCAACATCGTTTATGAGGAAATGTGTAAGACCACAACATGAAGATGTCGCGTTATGTCATCTTCTTATTTGAAAGAATATGGTTTGCAGCGTTCCAATATTAAGGATAGCCTAGATGATGAAACAACCATTGTCTTTTCAAAAGCAAATTTCGTGTGATTTGATGCACACCTCCACTCTCAGTCATCAGCCCGCCGATAGCATCGGGTAAATCAACTAGCCTTCATTTACCACTACGCAACGGTCACCCGCAGATAGCAAAATTAAAGAGCTCACAAATTTTCCTTAGTAGTACCACACCAAAGAGGTTTGTATGCTACTAATAGCTAAGACTACATAATGTTTTCCAGAAGATGTGGGTGCCAGACACTAGGCCAGGTCACCTCACCTCACCCAAACCCCGAAATCGCTCAAACCCAACCCAGTCATTAAGAACTCACTGAATCCTACAGTGATATGCCGTACATACGCCAATTTGCTCCTGAAAGTGCTCAAATGCTTCAATGGTCGGGTCCCTAGTCCACTACTCGCATGGTGCGAGGGATAAGGTGTCTGCCCGTGGACCCACAAAATTGCTGCTACAGTTTGCCATGTCGTGCACGGAAGCAGCTTATCCGTTCCTCATAGTATCTAAAAGAGCAAAAGGTCAGTTGAAGATCTATTAGTGGGATAGTCAGACACATACAGTATTTCTCGTATGCGAAGTTTCGGACCTTTCCTGTCATCCATGAATGACTCATCTTCATCCGAATCGTCATGGGGATCGTCTGAATTCTCGGAGTCGACATCTTCAGTACCGCCTACAGGACCCACACCACCATCCAGATCATCGTCCTCTTCGTCCTCGGTCGTCTCAGACCCGTCATCCGACATCATGGGATCATTTGGGACGTATGCACCTCCCATACCGTCACCAGGACCGTCTCCTCCATTCGCATCTTCATGTCGTAGATCGTAGTTAGAAGCGCGGTTCTCTAGTATCTCGAAGCATTTCGTAGATATGCCCATGTAACATAGTTCGATTTCAGGGCGAAGATGCACAATATCCAAAATCTGTAAAGCTAGCTCTCGAGGATCAATGTTGTTGCCATGAGCATGGTCGGCAATGTACGGAATGTATAAGGAACGGATATGAGGGATCAGTGGAAGTCGTTGAAGGAAATAGTGCTACAGGAGATCGTTAGCTGGAAATACAAAAGCATCTTACACTACCCACCCAATCTCTGTAATCAATGGACGCTGCAAACTCTCGCAAAGAGTTCATGCGGCCGCTTGTTATGAATGTGATTATTTCCCGGTTCAGCATCCACCTCCTCCATCTTGAACTTGAGGTCGGATGACCATCTGATCCTTTCTCGCTGCTGTCGATCATCAACTTTTTCAAACTCCCTCGATGTCTCCGAAGCGGTCCCCGGTATATTGCATCCACGGTCACCGTTGACGAATACGATCGCCCTTCCTGGAGGAAGAGCACTTCCAGGCTGTTGGGAGCAAGAGTTTCCTTCAGGAAGGAAATTAAGGACGGAGAGACTGTGTTGGTGTGGATCTTCTTGAGATTCAAGCTATATTCCGACCGGAGAGTATAAGAAGCTCGATATGCTTTGCTTGCGGAGGCGGACGACCCAGCCAGGTATGGAGGACGGGGTGAGTAAGTCCGCCGAAGAGATTTCCACAATTGCTCGTGGTTGTTGCAATTTAGGAGGGTTAGAGTAGTCAGAACAGTCCAGTCAAAGGCTTTCAACATGACCGTTACCGAAAGAGGAACGCGCTCCAGTTCAAGGGTATCCAACCTCAGCTGGCCATTCAGAATAGGCTCGGCAGTTTCCTTGGGTTGCTCCCTAGAGGTATTAAACACATCATCCGTCGAGGCCTTGTTATTCTGAGTAAGGATAGGCACCCCGGAGTTATGACTTGGGGGTATACCTGACAGGTTCGGACCTGACTGGACGATCTGATCGGGTGTGGGTGGTGGGACATCGTTTAGCAAGCTGACACCTTCTTGAACTGTCGGCCCATCCAAGCCACTCTCAGGTTGGTCAACATTGTGCTCTGGCTCTCGGTCGTGAAGGGGGGAAAGGGATACAGAAGATACTGCAACAGCAGCGCCAGCTTTCGTCAGTGCAGGATTTATGTGACGGTCCAATGCCTCACTGGCATTGCGGCTTAGTGGGTCCTCGTTTTGCCGAAGGTTGTAGACCCGCCCGACGAGAATTCCAAGGATGCCGCCAAGTCTCTTTTCGCCGATAGAACTCGCAGCCGTCCAGGTAGTACTGTAATCGACTTGTTGAATCCCATCACCTTCCCATGCCGTGACCCAGTCCCGTTGCTGTGCATGGGGAGCAATGCCGACCCTGAGCTCGCGTAGCTTTCGCTGAGACCGAGCAATGAGAATGCTCATTTCGTCTAAGTATGGCAATTCATCGATATCCAAAACGCTCAAGCTCTTGAGTGGAGGGATGACAGAAAAGGTGGGATGCTCAACGCGGTCTATTGCAGGAGGATTTGTGGATGCATACAGGCTGGGAACCACAATCGGAGCTTGAACTGCTCCTGTTCCACTGGGATGGGTGTTATTCGTCGGTGGTGGGATGTTGTTCAGAATCATCGGTGGCGGCGGTGCTGGGCTGGGCGAATCTAGTTGAGAGTTATCGTGCCACCGAATCCATAAACGCTCAAGACGGCATTCCTCCCCATCCGTTCGGTCCGCTAAGCTCGACAGAGCCAACCAGACGTCGCGAAGCACGCCCGTTGGCATATCCCACACGAAGGTCTCGAGGTTGATCATCCGGGCAATTGCGATGGCCACCAGGGTACCCAGCATCTTCCCGCCTTCCTTTGTGATCATGTATTCCTGTACCCATGCTGCAGGTCCGTTGCCCAGGGAGAATTTCTTCGTGAACTGGGCGTAGTAGTTCCCAAATCGCCTGCGGGTGATCGGATACGGTGTGTCGGCAGCCCTGTTTGAGGTCGTCCGCAGAAGAGAGGATGCGTTCTGCTGTCGTAGCCGGTTTTGGTGAGGGAAGTTGTCTTCGCCCATGACCAGAGTCGCGAGCCCGTAGGTGAGTGCATCTACGCCCGTTCTCGGCTCTGTGTGCGTGCTCTCATCCGGCCAAACGATATCAAAGCGGGAGTAGATACAGGGGATGGTGAGGCGGTGGAGTGCAGAGTGACATAGGGCGAGCGACGTGAGATCATTGGTGTGAGGGAGCTGTGAGTGTCGGAACTGTTAGTCAGGATACGCTTTTAGTGTCACGCGCAATGACTTTTGTAACTTGCCTGATGAATGATTTCCTTCAGAATATCTACAGGCAGATCGAGAAGCCTCAAGGGACCCTTTCTGGCTTTCTCCTTTCCCTTTTGGATCCTGAGAGCTGTCTCCCTTGGAGGCGACTCGACTGCGCTCCTCGCGTTCTCATCTGGCGCACACTCCGAGTCACCATCTGTTTCATCTGCACTCAGCATTGTTTGCGCATCGTCAAGAGAAGGCGACTTAGGTCGGTTGAGTTCCTCTTCGAACGGGGAAGATGCAGAAGTCCTGAAAGAGTCGGGAGCAGAGAGCGGGGAGGAATCCATGTTGTTTTAGAGACGTGCACGTCTCACGAGTGGGGCGAAGGCATGAACCCTCATGGAGGGAGCGGCGGTGCAAGTAAAGGACAGCCCAGTGCAAAGTGTGGGTGGAAAAGCGTGTTTTGCAGCGAGTGGTGAGAAAGTCGGTGGTTGAAGGACTGATGTGTTGCGCTGCAACGGACGCACAGACGGTACCAGCCCAGCCAATAGGAGGCCTAGTCGCAGATCAAGACCAGGTACACACAGATGTGATAGACTAGGTGTACGCGCAAATCACATCAACCATGCAGCGAGCATTGCATTATCAACTACATAGTTCTCTGTTCCCGGGAAAAGGCCGAACCATGCCCATGCTGCCGGCCTCTGCCCAGCGATGGCATCAAATGCTCAAAATCCATGGAGAGAAGCTACGAAAGATGATATATTATCCCGTATGCCGAAAATAGCCCTCGTCTTTGAAGAAACCCCAAACGCCGTGTGGTAAAAACGATTCCTCCCGACCTCGGAACGCGGAAGCTGCCTCGGACTCAGCGCGCGTAAGGGAGTGCAGTCTGGCCTCGTTCAGGATCATTCATTCTACCTCGTAGTTAGCACTAGTTTGGTGGAATACTAGGACACTATGGCCTTACCTTATAATCTTGACATCGCCTTCATTTTTTATCCCGCTGCTCATAGCCTGGGGCGTAATCAGGATATACTGGCGCCCAACGGAACGGCGAGCAGCTCCAATCATCATCTTCATACTGATTTCTCTGTTGACGCTGTCCATGAAAACGTCGCTGTTTCGAGTAAGCAGAAGCCACGGACTGTGGCTCCAAGGAACTTACAATTCATCTAGGCACCGTATCGGGGAGCCCATGGCATCCCAAAGCGCAAGCAACAAGCAAATAGTGGAGAACGATTTTTCGCCTCCGGAGAGAGTTTTGGTTTGTCTGCCGGCATCATTCCGCTTCGTGATATCAGGTTCGACCTGACAAAAGTAATCAGTTGCTGACGCTCGACAGGAAGCTATTGCCTAGGCCATACCTTGATATCGAGGAGTTGTTGAAGATGGTCAAGATCAAGATGGCCTCGGAAATTCCGCTCACTGAGCAGATATCCGAATACAACCCTTGCTCGCATAGATATATGGTCTCGAAATACTTGCCAGCGATCCCTTCGGTTGCTCAGCGCCTTCATTAATACCTGAACATTCTTTAGCTTCGTTTGAGGATTTGAAATAAACGCAACCTACTTTTTCAATATGCACCATCTCGGCGACAGCGTCTTTGGCTTCTTTGAGAGTTTTCTTTGCCACATTAGCAGCGCGCAAAAGCTCTACCTCTGAGCCACCAAGTCTACAACATCAGCTTTGAATATTCGAGTGGAGAAAGCAGACATACTCTCTCTCGCTGTCCTGACGTTCCTTCTGCAGTCTCTGCAGCTTTGTCTCGAGACTCTGGAACGTTTCGCGAGGTGGAACTTCCACGCGTGGACAGACTTGTTCGGCTTCCGCAATAGTTCCTTGGACAAGCTCCTGTTGTTGCCCACGCTTCCGATCCCACTCAGACTTGTTCTCTTGGGCTTCGTTGGCTTCCTCTAGAGAACGGTTTTTTTCCCGTAGTGCTTGTTCTCGCCTATGACTCAACTTAGATGCTTTCGCCTCCGCCTTGCCTAGTTCAATGTTCAGTCGCTCTAGGCGTGCCTGAGCCGCATCAAGGTCGGCCTTGCTCTTGCGTTGGGATTTGTCCAGATCATCTTTTTCGGTAACATTATCCTGGTACTGTTGCTCGATGAACTTCTTGTCGTTCTTGACCTCACGCAGATCTTTCTCTAATTGTGCAATCAGCCCGGCATCTGGCGTTGCGGCATTCAGCTCCTCTTCCAAGTTCTCAACGGCGGATTGAGCCTCTTGGAACTGGACGGTGAGACGTTTCTTCTGTTTCTCGTGTTCGTTGATAGCATGCTGGCAAGCATTGAGCTGACCCTGAAGCTCTTTCGCCTGTCCCTGTAGTTCCTGAAGTTCTCGCTGAAGACGTTCAAGATTGCTCCTTTCGGCTCTACAGGCAAGGTGAGTAAGGTAATCGTAAAAGAAAAGTAAAACCTACCTGAGTTGAGGTTCCTTGTCTGCTTGCATTCGGGTAGCGCCGACATATTCAAGAATGGGTCCCATATTGACAGCCCCGCTTTGCGGGTTGAAGTTAATGGCATGGCCTTTGCGAGGGTTCTTATCTGAGAAAGTGTAGACAGCTTTCACGTTGACCCTGCGGCTTCCACCGTCGTGCATAAAGTCTTGGCCGGATTTTCGGGAGGGCAAGAGTACAATTTGGTCGATAGCGTGATTGATGATCATTTGATTACGAACGAGATTATTATCAATCTACATCATCATCAGCGCTGGTTCTTGAGATCAACGCTCTACCGTCATACCTTTATGGCTCGCATCCAAGTGTCCATGTCGGGGGGTGGCTCGTGACGACTGGTATCAATCCGTTGGTCGTTACCAATTAGGATCGCGGATTGACTAGAATTATCAGCATTGAACTCAGAAATCTTGAAAGTTATGCGCCTACTAGTTAGTCCTTTTCATGAGCGAAGAGAGTAGGTTCTGGTCAGATCTGCTTGTAACCACAAACGCGTTGAGCGTGCCACCGGCCTGCTTCTCCAAGATGGAACTCCACTCGAGTTTCTGTAATTTTATATGTCGACCTATGGGACCGATCGGACGTTCGTGAAACCGCCGTTCTTCTCCTATCGCTCTCAACAGCTTGTGAAGATTTGCGGGATTGGGATATGAGTCCATCCAATTGCGCTGACCGTTCTCGATGTCGTTAATGGTCTTCTTCGATCTCCTGATCTCCTCTTGTTTCTGCTGGACGTGGTCGTTCGTTTGCATCCTTTTTCCCTGGGCCGACCTCAACCGTTGGTTCAGTTCTGGCAGTCCATCGCCGTGAGTTTCTAGTTTAGCTTTGAGGTTTTCGCAGTGCTCCTTGGCTTCTTCAAGTTCCTGAGTCTTCTGTGCATGTAGACCGTTATCTGCTTCGATCTGTCGCTGTCGGTGTTCACGGATCTGGGCTTCATAATCGTTGATAGCCTTCTGTTTGCTGCTTATTTGGCCGCCGATTTGTCGCTGAACAGTCTATTGATGGTTAGAGGGCAGAGACTGTAATGAGCGAGCAATATGAGTAAATACCTGCATCTTCAGTAGACGAGACTTCGTCTCATCAAACTGTGCCCGCAGGTCAGCACGTTCCTGTTCCACTGGAAGTAATTCACTCTGGCGGTCCTGAATGCTTTGGTTCGCATTAGACCATGCTTGGTTCGCTTGCTCATAAAGCCTCGAGGCATCATCCGCTTCTACAGTCCTCTCATGTATGATCTGATTTACCCGTTCGATCTCGTCATCGATCTCTCCCAGTTCCTGTTCGTGTCAGCACAGGCAACGTGTAAGTAAGCAACCTGCCTACCTTCTCCTTGGCCTCAACTTCTGCCCATGCCATCTGGTTCATGAGAAGCTTCTCACGGGCTCTCATGGTTTCCAAATTTGCTGCACGCCTAGCTTTCTCTGTCGCCTTTTCGAATCGCTTCCGGTATACTTCAACGTCGGCATTTACAACCTGAGCTTTGGCTATCAATTCCTGCAGGCGTTCGTCTACCATAACATATTCATTATTCAAGCTTTCTAGCTGAGTTCCTTTGAGGAAGAACTTGTACTTGTCCTTAGCGGACGAATCGTTGAGGAATTGTCGGGCCATATCTTGTGTCAGAACATTCATGGGATTGTCAATCTGCAAGGCAAAGGCGTCGATGATATCCTCTAGCTCCGCTTTCTTGGTCGAGACGGTTCTACCGTTCACATCCTTGAGCTTGAAGCCGGACGTTCCAGCCTTATTGAAATGCCGCTCGACAATGATGGACCTTCCGTAGACATCTGGTTTGAAAGCGGCCGAGCCTTGGTTCTTGATTTTCACAGAAAGGACGCAGAAACTAGGAAGACCGAGTTAGATTGAAAGCGGATTAGGCATATTTAGCGTTGTCTTACTCTCTGCCTTCCTTGATGAAGCTTTTCAGGTTTTGACCGCGGTTCGTGGAGGTGGCCTTGCCTCCGAGGCACAGAGTCAGAGCAGTGAGAACTGCGCTTTTGCCACTGCCATTATGACCGATGATGAAGTTGATAAGCGGCCCGAGGGTGACGGTTAACTGCTCGTGACACATGAAGTTGGTGCACCGTATCTCCTCCACGATTCCCTGTTCTGCTGGAACATTCTTCCTGTTCGCGCTCTCTCTAAGTTGTCTCTCAACGACTTGGGTCGCTCGTTGGTAAAAGGCCCCATCCTCGTCCACGCCGTCAGGCACCTGTTCGGCTGGAGCCCTGCTCTGGACACTGGCGGTATCTTCTTCAATAGAGCTGGCATCTGATCCGAAATCTGGAGAAGCAGTCTGGCGAGGTCGTTTGGTCTTTAGAAACTTCAGCACGGCGCCCACATACTCTTGGTACAACGGAGGAGGGGACACCTACGCGACTCCGTCGGGTATCCCCCGCGTCGCTCTCGACAGTTTCAAAGTCGTCGGTGTGCGCACGACGGCGCTTTGAAGGTGGTATCGGCGCCATATATCGTGTATTATACAGCGCAGAGGCTCAACAGTAGTCGACACAGTGAGCGCGGGCTCTGGGGTTGTGCGATGAAATCAAACTGTTGTAGGCAAACAGAAATCTTGGACGCGTTCGGACTAACGATAAGCGACTAGCGGATACCGCTATTTTACAATCACTCTTGGCCTCACCCACATCTTCACCTCGAACTCTACCCTTATTTTCACCTCATTTGGTAGTAAACGAAGTCGGCAGTTGGCAGCAATGCTAAAGTTTCTAAATTAACAATGCTTTCTATCTAGCACCACTGCATCCGTAACGGAATTCTAGGGTTCGGCATAAATTTGGCTCACGTGCTAGCGTGTTTGCTCTGGGCGTCCTGGATAACGTCCTCCAATGCGACTCTCTGCATTTCTTTATTATCTTCCCATCGCTGTGCAGTCTTTTCGCTGAACTTAGGCTGCTTGCTATTCTCTTAACGTTTAAACAACTCGATCTACCCCCTCCCTGTATTTATCACATACCTTCGAATATGCAGAGGTTATAGTCTATCTATTAAACCACTTGCCAGGAGCAAGGAGACAGCTAATGAGATACAGATTTCTATACTAAGTTATCCTAGGATATTCTATGTTACGTGACTAGATGTAGTGGTTCTGTTAGCTAGGGAAACCTGTGATTCCACTATATCAGAAGCACCGATCCCAAAGCGACTGCAAGTGAATACTTCCAGTAGAGGTATACCCACCGCAGTAAAACATGTCAAACGGAGTAAAACTATCCCTGCAATGGATGGAGCAGCAGCAGTAGAGAATGTACGACAACAACGAGCAACTTGAGCGAAAGTTTAGTAAGGATGAGGGACATCGTGGGGGATTCCTGCGGGAAGATTGCGAGAAGTCACCCACACAGATGAGAGAATGAAAGCTTAGTGGGAAAAGTTGAAGAAGAAGGGAAAAGTGCACATAATCAATCTAGAAGGATGTCTCCTGGCGCAGCGTTTTGGTGCCATTCAAGCTCAAAAATGGCCGCCATTCAAATCTCAGAATCTGGCAAATAGGCAACCCGTGTTGGTTTCAAAATGATCAAGTGTAGCGCCGTTGGGCTTTCGGGGAGGGTATGGAGTGAAGAAAGTGGAATAGAAGGGCTGTAATGAGTGTTCTTACAAAACGAGCACTCCAGATTAGGACCGTTCCCCTGGAGTCCTGGTAGTACCATGAGCGCATGTAGGGGATATGGGAGTCACAGTGACGAGAAGAGTTTTATTCTGAGGACCAACGACACTGATAGGCTGTGTTACACGCTCGTCTCAGTTGTCACAGGAATGGTAGTGTTCATAAAAATGCAGCGAACTTTTAGATTTCTCGCAAATGGCAGGTAAAGAGCGTGTTAAGGGAAAACTGAAGCAAAGCATCACAACACCAAATTCTACCAAACACAATCCGGGTGACCCTACGGTAGCCAGAGCTAAGCCAGCAAGCTGTCCTTGTTTAGATATCCTAGTATTGTTATTCATGCTCGACCTCAAAGAAGCCTCAACGTAGTGAGAACATACAGTATTTCACATTTCTAGATTGGACGTTCTGGGTTTGTGTAACGGCGCTCATGACCATCTGGAGAGTATTGGCCCTAGCAAAGATGATGGTGCTCGAGAAAAGCATGGCCATGTTGATGCTTTCTAGCGAAGCTTGAGCTCGAAACGGGCTTGAAGGTAGGAGGCCGAAGAAATTGATTGTAAGAAATCCCGTGACAGTTTCTAAGTTGATAGGGATGCCTTCGTGTCAATAAAGGCATGCGAGGTTTCAAGTTTGAGAGAAGAAAAGGCCGACCCTGCGGGTTGAAGCTGGAACAATCAGTTTGCCGTGATTTGATGAGAAGATGTTCTCACACCGATGGGCGCTATTGTCCGGCATCCTCTCGATTCGATGAAAATTTGCAGGGCCAGTAATGAAGTAATGACCCTTCAGGTATTGTATGAGGGCGGGTTGGCACAAACCAAGTGGTCTCGTAGGGTTCCGAGTCTTTCCTCTGTCAGATGGAAGTTCCACTTTTGAGTGGGAGTGACAATTGAATATTTGAATTATTCTCCTTAGGATAGCAGTTAGTGATACTGAATCCCCCTACATGGGAACAAAGTCTAACTTTGCATTCTCAACAATTATCTAGCACCGGAAGAGTATAGAGGGGATTTTGAAGGTCTATGCTAGTAGAGGCACCCATGAGATAGGCTTGAGCAAGCAGCTGTGAAACATCAAGAGCTGATCCCAGCTCACCGCAATTTAGACGTTGAAATGGACAGATGGAATATGAAGGGAATAAAAAGGTTCGTGATGGAAACGGGAACGGTTGGTTCGGGAATTAAGAACTGAAGCTAGCTCCCTTTCAAGACCCAACCAATCATAAAGCGTCCTCCAATATCACCCATCCCACCAATCACCGCCTTCCTCAACCACCCTCCTTCCATTCTCCTGAAACACTCCACCCACTCCTCAACAAACTCCCACCAAACACATTGGCCAGCCGTTCTCAATTTATCCACATCCCTTCCCCTTTTACCCTCCCACGTGAAGGCATCCCGCATCCCGCACTTTGAAGCAAAACTTCCCCAGGAAGTGGATCCGGAAGTGTTTGCCTGCGGTTTCAGGAGGTTTGACTTGTGGATATAGAAAATAACGATGCCTAGGAAAGAAGGGGGCGAGGTATGGTAATTGGCTAGATAAGACGTCATTCAGAGGCACAAAATGAGATGTGCCATCGATCCATGGATCTTGTGATATGCCGAGATTCAATAGCCTCTCAAACGCAGAGACTCTTGAGCTAGCTAGGTCTCCAATCATCTATCCTCTACGCACAAGAAAGCGAACATTCACACAAATAGCCCAGCACGAAGCAATCCATCCTCCAAACCTCCCAACACTCATGCAACACGAACCAAAGGTATGAAACGCTCATTTACAACGTTTGATAATCCTACCATCTCAACTATCTCTGTCGTTTCTACTATTCCCATTGGTTCTTATGCGCGCATATCGGAGAATTTAGTCTTCATGCGCCAACACCAGGATGCTCAGCCATTGTGTCTAAAAAGGGAAGTTGGGCGTTAAGATCGCCAGAATCAAGTATGACGATTGTTACTTCGGAAGTGCATGGTATCACACAGTTCTGAAGAGTGTTTTATGCGAAGGCTGCGTGAATTGCTCCTCGCATGCAATGGTAATCGAAAGCGATGATAGGTTGGCGCAGCGATCCTCTTCGAGCATATACCTGTGCTGTTTACATTATGGATGGGTAGAAAAGCGATAGCGGGTCGTAGAAACAAGGGAGCAAGAAATAAGCGATGTTACCGATACTCGTCATTCCAGCTATAGAGGCTATATAACAGAAAAGGAAATGGGAACCCATTTTGCGCTAGACCAAGCCCAGTCACCAACCGTAGTTGATACAGGATGCGGTAGAGGGGGTAGGAAGAGAGTAAGAGACTAAGGAGGTAGGCAGATGTGAGTGCGACTCGGTGAGAGTGGGGGTACAGGACACGGAGAGTACAATAGGGACTGGAAGGACAGAATAGCTTCATGTCACGATAGGTGAGGCAGGCTATTCCATCCGAGAATAAAAGGAACGACAAATTGAAAAGAGTGACCTGAGCTCCATGTTGCCTGCCCGATATAGATAGTTTGCCCATTTATTCCCACAAGTAACACCGTAGACGCCGAGAGATTGAAAAGAGATCCTATATAACACAGGTGAAGATACTGCGGACCAGATCTTGGAGAGAGCATCCCACCAAACCCATGACTTAGATCCGTCCAACTCTGGGGTTAATTCAAAATGTGAATGATAACGCCGGTCGAGCACGCGGATCCAAGACGTGTTCTTACTCTCGTCAAGCATAATCGGACAACCCAGTACATTGGTGATGCAATGCCCAGCACGTGATGGGAAGTAGGCGGAATTAGGAGCAATGTGGTAGTAATTGGATTTGAAGGTCTGGGATATCGAGGCTCGTCGAACAAGTTCCAAACGTGACAGAGATGATGGCAAAGGAAGAGAGTCGTAATTTGTTGGGTTGCCATGACTAGTTCGATGGGTTGGTCACCTGTTTTGCGTTAGATACGAGACATTATACTTGGGTAAGTCACTCTCACCTTCAATATCCGCCTAGAGTAGTCCTCATTATCCGCAATGCTGCCGTTGCTTGCTCTCCGCATCATGAACTCGGGGTCCAGCCGAGAGTCGGTCATGGATGAATTGCTCGTGTGGAGCTTGCCGCCTGACACAAATGAATTGACGGCGGCCTGACGGCGATACTCTTCCTCAACTGCATGTCTTCGCTTCTGTCGCAAGAAAAAGAAGACACCCGCAATGATTGCAGCAAGGACAACAACACCGACCACTACTCCGGCAGCGATTCCAGCCTTGTTCGGACCGCTGCTTCCCTTATTCGATCCTCCAGTGGGAGACTCGGAAGCCATGATGATGACAGTAGATCCGATTGTGACGACAGGGGAAGGAGTGCCCTTTGATGCAGTAGCAGAGGGCGATGCCGGGTCGTAATAGTCAATATGATTCTTAGTCAATCCGGTAAGAGATATCCACCACTTAGAAGGACCACCACCTAGAGTGCACCGTCAGTTTGTGCGCATCTTAGGACAATACTGATGACCTACACGTTGCTTTGTCATATCCGTTGCAAGGAGTATTACAAGATGAGTTGTCGACCTGTGCTTTCTTCGGGGGAATTAGATCACCACACCAGCAGTTGGTCCCATCGACAAGCCCCATTACGGGCTTCTTCAATCCGACGCAGATGGGCTGACAGTTTCCAGATGTTTGGTATGTCCATGAGCCGTGATCTTCAAGGGGCACTGCAGTTGAAAAGCATCCAATGTCTGTCATTGCGGCAAGGGCGACGCTGGCTGTTGGTGTGGGAATCGAGACGACGGATGACGCGCTATCGTCTGCGGATGCCATGGAGAATATTGAGGCCGCCACGAGAGCGGACACATACTTGGTAGATACCATGATGAAGGAGGTGGGAACAAGAGCACGAGACGGAGGACGGTGATGGAAATGTCCCGTCGTCTAGACCAGAACAGGTGGAACTATCGCAAGTCAGAGATGAGTTTGCTGGGTTCGACACCAAACCACGTGTCGTACCTTTGGTCTAAACAGTGACAGGCGCACGCATGAATTGTCGTCGTAACGGTTGGACAGGACTCGATTCGAGGTGGTGAAGTGTTCGGCGGCTACGGAGAGGACGGGTCCGGGTCGAAGGCGTCGAGGTGTTGAGGTGTTGATAGGACAACGTCGAGGTGAGTTGTCGAGACAGTAGAGAGGGATTCTGACAGCAATTACAGGTCCCGGTCACTGGTTTCGATGCTGGCCCAGCTGAGGACTCGCTCAACGATGTCCGCCACTACCGATTTCGAAACACGAAGTACCCTGGAATGCAGTGTTTCGCGTTTGGCACCCTTTCTCCCCTGGCGACAGGAGACGGCTGTATGTATGGAGAAAGAGTGTATCTAGACGCTGGCGTCAAGAGTGAGCGTTGGTTTGAGATGAACAATGATTAGAATCAGCAGCAACAACGAGTGTGAGTGTCGTGACGACAAGAGCAAACAGAATGGCGAGGTGGGTGAATGGAGGCTTGGGTGGTGAGAGTGGGCCGCAAAAGGGGAGATTGGGGACCCACGGGCTCCATAGAAGGAAATTGACCGCCTGCACGGGCCCCACGACATATGTCAGTCCGAAGAACGCGAGTCCCGCCAGGCCGTTATTGACACAAGCAGGCTATCTCCAGCTGATATTGCGCCGTGGCACTATGCACCCTATTAATACGACCTTGCACCCGTCGGCCGTGAGCGAGCACCGTTGCCAGCACTGATGAGCAGGGACAGCGGCCGACGACACCCAAGATGGGCTGCGACGAGGACAGGAACAGGAGACAATCACAAGCGCGCACGTACGTGGCACTCGGCGCCGTCCTCGTCCAGGGCCCAACCAGAACGCGGTGCCTGGCGGGCTTGACAGGCGGCGGCAGGCCTCTCCCTCCATCGTTTCACGCGCCACAACCCTAGCAGGAATAGCCACGCGCTGCTGTGTGAGCCCACAAGCCAGGCCTTTCTGTGAGGATGAGTGCAGGAGCCACTGAGGCCTTTCTGGCTCGTTGTTTGCTTACTTCGCATATGCATGGTGAAGAATTTTATCGATTCGGCGATTCGAAAAGCGATGAAAGGCGCTGTCATCTGACAAATTGTCTCCCCTCTTGAAGCAGCAGCAGCTTCATGAGTCCCTACTATGTCTGCTCATTGGTTGATGTTAGCAACTGATAGAGTTATCTTCCCCAATCTCGAGGTTGTGGGGATGAAAGGAAGCGCCAAGCATGTAGCACGTGATCCTTGTATTATTCGTCCACTAAGCTGCGTTTTGAAAAGTAAACTCGACCTTGCGTGAGCTCCACCACTGACCTCAGTTGCGGGCACAAACCTATGTCCACGACGCTTGATGCAACGCCCGCCCACAGCCTACCGACAAGCAGTGCGTTCTCTTCACTCGTTCTCACCTGAGCCTGTGTGGATCTCCGATGAGCTGCTCTCGTTGACTCTTGAGCGCTTCCTCCGAATTACATGTCACCAGCAAAGGCGACATGGCAGCCATGTTCCTGGGCCATTGGAGGCCAGACGACGGGCCGTGAAGCGCCGGATGACTGCTCTTGCTTCTCCAAGTGGCGTTATAACTCCCCCACCATTCAGTCTAGGTGCATTGTTCGGTTTTCGCTCGAATCCTGGCCCAACGTGGAGATATGAACCACCCTCCGTCCTCCCGCTACAGCAGTCATTGGATCCTTGTAAGCTTGATATGGACCCGTTCTAGGTAATTGACGACTTTGCTAATTGGGGTTCAGCTCGGACAACTACAAATTCATCCCCTTTCTTCACCTCTGGTAGCCATTTCCCCACCTCTGATACAACGGTATCAACTTTATTACAACCCCCTGCTTTTGAAAGTCCATTCTTTGAGGAGACTTCATCATCGGTTCAGACAGAAGGCCAAGAGGGTGTAAAATCTGCGGAAACAGACGAAGCGGCAACTGTCGACCTCGATGCCTGCCTCATAAAGTTCAAAAGCTTGGTGAATTTGCCGATATCGGAAGTTGGCAATCAATGGAGAAGTTTACAAGATGCATTTGAACGCTCCTGTCCTGCAAGTGATCAAGCTGGAGTTTTCTGCCTTCGCGTTTTAGAGTATCTCATGCAGGACAATTGGAAACCAAAGGCGATCTTTGATCTTCTGTTGAGACCGACTCTCTGCTTCCCAGAATTTCCAAGTCCTGAGTCTATCGAATTCGCGCATCGTGTCAGGGCATTATCTACAGGTTTGCCAACGTCCAAGATGAAGTTGCGCAAACTATACAAGAAACTGTTTTCGAGGATTTCAGATGATTACATCACGCAAGTCGTTGCGAACAACGCCAATCTCGTTGCTCTTTATCCAACGGTCTTGGAAAAGGTCGTTCTCTCACTAGATGCACGAGTTGATACATTCAGAGATGATGTGCGCCGGCTTGCGAAGAACTTCGCTATTCCAGACCTCGAGAAATGTATCGCCTTTATTCTAGCCAATCCAAATCAAGGCTTAAATCACATCGCCGCCTTAGTCACATCCTACCGAGGAAAGCGAGACCGGGATCTAGCCATAATTGGACGCATTTTGCATTATATTCCACGCTCATCGCTATGCGGATACATTCGAGCTATGCCCGGAGAGCTGCTTAAGGAAGAGTTCGGGTCAACTAGGACACTCAAGCAAACCTCTCGGTATATTATGACTTGGTTGAAGATTCTGCACCACTTAGATTCTCTAGCAACCATGAGCGAGGAAGGCCAAACATTCTCATTCCTGGCATATGCAAGTCTTGCGGCGCGTGGAATTCGCCCTGTGGAAATTGGAGGTCGTCTAACCAAACTCCAGCCGACTGATTTAGTAAAAGCGTTGCTCCATTGGATGCCGTATCATGAATCCATTCCCAAGTCACAAACCGCCAGGTTGGTGGATTTCATCGAAACGTATCCTGTTTTCATGGTTTCCGTTGCCTACCCATCTGGTCTCCGCCTGAATGAATTGCTCGCTGAGGTTTTCATTAAACTCCAAAGTCTCTCCATACCAAATCACGGGTTTGCGGAACTAGCATTAGAATTCGTCCACGAACACAAGACTCCCGGGTCTGTTCTGGCCACTCTAGAGCAGTTGGCCGTCAAGGGGGGAAAGCTTTCGGATACAACCTTTCTATACCGCTACATGTTTCGCGAACTAGAACAGTTCAGTAAACACCAGGATCCCTTTGTGTTTCACCTTATCCGGTCAATATGTGCGCTTGACCTTGGAGTTGACAAACCTTTCCCCGTGAAGAAAGTCCTCAACCGACTCCAGGCTCTCCAGGCTCGTCATCAATTCCAACATATACTAGGCCGCGCTCGAGATGCCCATCTCCTCCCACTTGTGTACAATTCTATGGCCGAATCGCTGATGGACGGGTCCACAAAGCTTGTCCACCAGCTCGCACACCAATACTCGATCGATCATACCCGGACGTATCTTCAAGCTTCTCGTTCTATGTATTACCTTTATAGATACATAGTACAACGCGAGCTTCCAATGGGGCCACTGTTTACGAAGGCTCTCGTCCGGGTCTTTCTGATACGACCGTTGATGGAGAATAGATTCGTCACTTCTCGTCGGTGCATATGGGTGTGTGGAATGGTTGCCCAGGTTGAGGGTGAACACGTCGCACGGAAGATTCGGGAGATATTTTCAAGTTGGAGAGGTGGTCTTATTGGTCATGCACAGAAACGACTTCATAGATTTGGAGGAAGTGGGGAGGCAAGGGTCGCTACCATGAAGAGTTTAGGACTCCTCGAAGACTAGCCAGTTGGCTTGCACGTAGCCTCAATTGCATATGCATGTACTGAAGTCTATGTTCACAGAATACCCTTCGTCCGTCTAAGAAATGCAAAAAGAGATACACTGCATATTACTTCCTCTCTCAATCTTTCCCCTGCTCTCTGTTCTCAACAATCCCCTCCCAATCCCTCTTCGTCAATCCATAAATATGCACATCCCTAACCTCCCCATGCTTTTCCACATGCCCTTTCAGCACACCCTCCAACCTATACCCACACTTCTCGAAGCACCGCATACTCCCCCAATTTCCACTACACACGCGCGCCCACAACCTGCGATACCTCTCGCCTCTTTCCCGGAACACCCACTCCGTCACCGCCTTCAACGCCTCGGTGGTAATCCCCTGCCCCCAATACGGTTCGCCGACCCAGAACGCGACTTCCGCAATGTGGGTTTCGACGTCTTCACCAGGCTTGAGACTAATTCCGCCGATGGCGATAGTTGGCGCGGTGCGCAGACAGATGGTGAAGCTATTGAGTGGGTGTGTGGTGTTGCGGCTGATCCAGTTCCGTGCATCGTCGAGGGTGTAAGGATGTGGGAAGGCGAGCGTCATGTACTTTGCTATTGAGGCTGGGGAGGCGTGGAGTTGCATTGATGGAGCATCTTGGGGATGTAGAGGCCGGATGATTAGACGAGGGGTTGTGGTAATTGGTTCCGGTAATGGGGAATCCATTGTGATAGTTTGGGTGGTTGTCTGAACAGTGTTGGCTATTATGGCTTGATCTGGATGAGGCGAAGGAGCTGCCATCGCCATGGTGGTTGCTGACCTTTGCATAGAGGAAGTGAATTGAGTCAATGAGCTAATACGAGCTAGATAAAGAAGCACGATGTGGAAGGTAAAGATGTCAAGTTGAGTGAAGTAGTATAAGAAAGTGTATCTAGTAAATATTGTTCTTATAGAACGCTACGCGTTTTCGCTGAGTCACTGTGCAACGAGTTGACTCAACCATACGTGTTTTGCATGCTCGGGTAGCTGAAGGTGTTGAGCACCTTCCGAAACAGACAAAGTCTGCAGGCTCACCGATTATTCTCAACTCAACGTTTAATTCATTAAGTCCTTTCGAAACACGTCAATGAAGCTCCATTTACGCCCAATGCCTCCTAGTTGACGTGCAGAATGCAGAGTTGCTGCAGCATGAAAATCTAAATCTGGCGTCGTACGCCCTCATCAACGACTGCCATCAACTCAAACCGACCTACTATGGCAGGCATGGCTGATCCGCATGTCGAGGGACGGGCTAGGTCCCTATCAGAGTTTAAGAAGTTCCTCTAAAGCCGTTCGTTAATAATACTGACGATATTGGCTATGGTGTTTGGCATGAGCTTGTGCTGAGCACGGCGAACGCGCTGTTCGTGGAGGCGTACAATGGAGATGGACAACCTCCTACTGTAGACAGGAAATGGCCTATTGATTGGCTTAAAAGACACCCCAAATTTGCGAGACAGAAACAAAACCCTATTAAAATTGCACAGAAGCTTGCTTAGCAGCCTGTTGCTATCTTAGAGTGTTTAATAGCTTTAAGAAGCAGGTTCAGGAACACGGGATTATGCCATAAGATATCTAGAATTTTGACAGATCTGGTATGAGAATTGCAAAGAATTAGTACGTGTAAACTAAACATAGGTCTCTTTGCTGAATGTCTTCCAACAACAATAGGGAGCTTGTTACCCTTACTAATGCTGTCTCTGCTGGTGGAGAATCTATGGCCCCTATGGTAATGGTCAAGGCCTTAAGTATTATTAAGAGGTGGTGCATAGAACTGCCAGGTAACTACGTAATTAGCGCTAGCGATACGGCGTACAGTAACTACTAACGACCAACTGTCCTACGAATTTATCTAGCAATCGTGCAAAAGGCGCCTGGAGGATGCTCCTGAACAACGCCTTTAAGGAAGACTTTACATTATTAAGCCTTCTAACTCAAGAACTGGGCAGTAGAAACTCTAGGAGCGACAACGAGGTCAATTCAAGCGGCCCTGATGTGCGCTTTTGAATATATTGTATACAATATACTATAATGATCATCAAGCCTGCAGGCTTGCGAAAAGTTGATTAAGTAGCCAACTCGGGCTTGGGTATCAAACATATCTCTCCAGCTGTGGTCACTGGGCGTGCAGCAGGAACGTTGCTGCCCCATACCTAGGTGTATTATGAGCCTTAAAGTCTCAGCTTTCGAATGTTATATGTCGGGACAATTATGGAGGACTTCTTTGGCACATCAGAAGTATCAGAAGCATCATTCCGCTTAGCATCCTAATATATCACTCGCTACCTTCTCAAAGACAGCGGCACAGAAGCTTCCTCGAAATATTATAACATTAACGCAGAAACTTCTACGACAACAACAACGTTGAATTCGTCCACAATCAAATGGGAGAAACCCAAAAATCTTACTGATACGCATCACCCAGAAATTGCAGCGACTTAAAGCTGTCACTTAGAACGATCATGTACAGAAAGAAATTCGAGAGGATGTACACGGCGATGAGGCGTGTTTAGTAGGTATTGAGGTTTTCTTATATTGTGACTAGGCCGGTATTCTGCTGGCCCTGGCGAGGCTCTAGAGCCCGCATCACTCTTTGCTTGAATGTAGTGTCGAGGTCTTGTATCAGTTCTGTATCCTCGACGACGGCAATCTTTCCATCTGTCTCTACTGGCGTGTACAGAGCATCTGCGCAAGATTGAACATCGTTCTTGATACTCTAAGAGATGTCGCTCGCGTTACTAAATGCATAGACTGTGTGGATGTTCGTATAGGACAACGCAACGTAGAGATCTTGTGCGTAAGACGTTAGAATATGCCAGGGATCTAGGATATAATTCCGGCCGCTGTATAGACGTCAAAAAATGGAGAGAGCGGTGACAATGACAATGATAAAACAAATATTTCAATAGTACTCGTTGAAGTAGTTGGAATTGCAGCCCCATTTTGGTTGTACGTGAAAATCATCTACGCACATCGCCAGGTAAATTGCGATCATTATGAAGTACAGTTGGATAGTGCCCAAGACGACGAACAAAAGGAGGTATACTAGATACTGTCGATTGGGCCGAACGGATTGCAATATGGCTGTGCAAATGTATGTAACTTGGATGACTCTGTTTACGATGGAGAGTGCCACCGCCAAAATGGAAAGCTACTGACCAAAGCATTGGGTGGAGAGTCCCTTGAGATATTGCTGACTACGAAGATTGCGCGAAGGAAAGCTGACAACGCAAACTAGTAGACGAGCATTGAGGTTACGTTTTAGAGAAGCTGGATGTGTAACAAATTTAGGTGACCAAAATTATGTCCGTGTTCATAGGTACTAGGGAACCGCACTTGAGAGTGAAGTGTGGCAGGTGAATGCTCCGTTTAGTTAGCGGCGCCTTTGAATAATGAGATCAACTATAGTTGTAGGCGTGTTAGTCTATCCCTTTGCTGCCTCAGAAAGGGCGTTACTTTTTATACGTATTCCTCTTCCCGTGCATCGTGTCCGAGGTTGTCTGTGCGCTAGGTCCGTGCGTATGATATCGATAAGCCTCGCGACGCGCATCGCGTCTACCCGCAACCACGATTATGGCAAGAATTCATTGCTTTCTTCAACAATGTCCTCCTTGACGGCTAAGTATGTCCATTTCATCGTGTGCGGCTTCGGATATTAACTCAATTACAGGAAGCCCATAAAAACCTATTCACGGCGACGTAAACACTCCCTCCGCGATGAAGAACCTTCGCCGAAACGAAGGCGCGTCGATGCTATAGTAGAGATGAGCGAGATGATAGAAGCACAAGGTGCTACATCGCTGCTACCGGGCAGTATCTCATCTCCCGTGCGTGACGTCTCTGCGCTCCCAACTTCGAGCCCCAACGAGCCGGCAGTCTTTCCAACTTTGAACCCCAATGAGCCAGCAGTCTTTTCAGATGTTCCACTCCATTCCACTCCGCCATCCTCCCCATCGCGAAAGGTATTTTCACCTTCTCCACAAGCGAGACGGCCACTATTTCCAATTTTCAAGCGTCAATCGGAGCCTACGCCTCCCGTCAAGGAACCCCTCTCCGAACAAAGCCAAAATATCCAAACTCCTGCGCAACCACCGGCGCAACCACCAGCGAAGAAGAAGCGCTTAGTACAAATGCAACTCGACCTTGCCAGCGAGGTCAGGAAGGCGTGCAAGACTTGTGGAATGGAGTATATCCCATCAAATGCCGAAGATGCAACGATACATCGGAAGTTCCACGCCATGAGTGTCGGAGGCGTAGATTTCACAAAAGCCGTTATGGAGAAACTAAGGAAAAATCAGGTCTGGGCGGGGGGGGACGGAAGCTTCATCGCCGTCATAAGGCGAAAAGATACACTAGGGTTTCGAAACAAGGTCATCGAGGTTCTGAAAGTCGTCAATACGGAGCTTGCGGCCGTTGCCATCCCAGATGAAGACTTGTGGAGACAGATATCCATCGCAGCATCGACGAACGCGCAAGCAAAGGGTTGCAGCGGGCAGAGTACCGCAACGGGAAAGGGAGCGTGCTCTACTTGCGATAGGTTTAAGACCTACCTATACATTCGCGGCCAGAAATGTGTTGGCGCGTGCCTGGCAGAGAGGATTCAGGAGGCTTATACTGTATTGGACCAGGATGACGCGTCCGAGCCTCCCGGTCATGTCACTGCCGAGTTCCATAGCTCTTCCATTTCCGTCAGCACAGAGACCGAGGCGGCCATTTTGGGAATTTCGCGAATATGGACTTCCAATTTGCATCGGAAGCACGGCATAGCCACAAGGCTGTTGGATTCCGCGAGGTCCGACTTCTTATATGGCATGACTATTGAAAAGGACCAGGTAGCGTTCAGCCAGCCAACGGATAGTGGAGGTCAATTGGCGAGGAAATGGTTCGGCCGACAAACGGGATGGCATGTTTACATCGATTAATGTCGTGTTCGCGGGTAGCCATGAGTTGTTCGGCTGTGCTGGGAGGCACAACAAAAGATGCTTGTGCATTAGGCCCGCTTTATTCGAAGGGGGGCAATATTTGGTAGAGCTACAATACACGCCGTAGATCAGACAGGGAATGCTAGTAGTCCATGAGATGTCAAGATGTCATCTAGAAGCGCTCAATGAAAGTGTGGGAAGGGCGTCTTAGAGCCAAGACTTCTAAGTGGTGGGGGAGGTCTTTGCTGGCTTGCAGATCTGCTCTAGCATGCCAGCGACGATCTCCACCGCTGCCCATCAGCAACCACAACTGCGGTCTGCCCTCGTCCGCTGCAACCACGAGACCCCTTCGTGTACATAGAACAATGCATTGTTCCTAGTCTCATCATGTCTGGGAACCCTTTCCGTACTTCCCCGCAGCAGAACCAAGCCGCCATCCCCTCAACTCCGACTATCAGCATTATCGATGGTGATTCCAGTAGGGCTGAGGCACCTCAGCTGGGCACTGATTCCGGTATATCTTGCTTGACGTGAGGCTCCTCGTATCAAAGAATCGGGAATAATGGTATGACAGTGCACGCATCACCGCTGCCCGCAAAGACAAAGAAATCCGTCCGCATAGAATCACCCACAACCTCTGCTTCGCATCCGGGACTCAACGATGGAAATGATGCACATGAACAGCGCAAAACCCGCGGACACCATGCGGGTTCCCCACCTCTCACAGTTCATGCGGGCTTCTCAGACAACTTCTCAGACCAAGTGGTGGAGACTCCGTTCAACAAAGACGCAGATAACGACGAGGATGGACGCGGAGGCTGGGGCTTGATAGGAAGCACAAGGAAGAATACAGGCATGGGATCGCCCGCCCCGTCTCAGATATCTTCTGGAGCTCCTGCCAATCCGTTTTCAAAGACGCTGGCAACGATCGAGCCGCAAGAGAAGGGCACTGCGGAGCGCCGGGACCATCTGTCAGATCGGTCTGCTGCGGAGAAGGCAGGATCGGGGAACACAAAAACATCGCTAGACGTGGAGGGATTCAAGAGACTTCTGATGACAGGAATATCCAATCCGACCAGTCCCGTGAGCCCACAGCCACAGATGGCGACAGCCCCAAACCATATCAACCCTTCCATTTTCGAGAGTAGTAGTAGTACCGACACATCTTCAATATCTCGCCAATCAATTTTCGAGCCTGTTCAGGACACACACGGGGAGACGCCTCGGACTTCATATGAAATGGCTGCGTCGGATGACGAGGAGAAGACTGGATTGATTGGAGATGTGAGGAAGACCCCGAAGAAGAAACCGCCGCCACCGAAGCATCGACATGGCAACCTAGTTACGGTGAGGACACCACAGACGGTCTCCTTCTCGGAATTCTCCTCATCTTTCATGTCACAAGCAGCACAACCGACATCATCGCCTATCGCCCGAAACAGGACCAACTCGGACCTGAACAAGCCGCTTCCCCCGCCTCCTGTCCTCTCACCACCCGCACACATTGTCTCTCAGGACATATCCCAGGACGAACGATCCCACCTCCAAACAAACGCAAGTGAATCATCTAATCAATCTGATGTTCCGACGCCGCAGAAGAAAGTGCCCCCCCCAGTTCCCATTGCCCGTAGACACAGTCAGCTTCGGTCTTCAAACGCAGGAAACCGTGGTCGAAGTAACTCATCTCTCACATTGTCGTCCCAACATTCCACCGAATATCCGCTCTTAAGTCCAAGCGCCCCAAGCCTCTCAAGTGAACCAACTTCGCATCCTCAGGCCTCAAAACCGCCCCCACCCCCGCCTCCCGCTCGACGACACGGCACATCTTCAGCAAGTATCAACACTTCTTCCGCCAATTCATCTACCACAGAGCTTCCCTCCACGTCTACACGCCGTACCACCCTATCATCGCCAACACCTCCGCAGTCCCGTCGGACCACAGTTTCCTCTCCGCCTCCATCACCTTCACCAGGGCTTGCGCGCACATCGTCCGTAAGCTCGAATCGGAACAATCGTTCCGTATCCAACGAAAGTGCACCCATGCCCCCTCCACCCCCGCCACCTCGGCGACGGCAGTCCCAAAGAAGAAGCATAGATAAAGAGAGGCCATTGCCCCCGCATAGCTCTTCGCCTACAGAAAGCCGTCGGACTAGCTCCGAAAACAAACGCAGCAGCTTTGATGGGAAGAGAAGGACGAGTGTCGCAAGTGAAAGTTCGCTAAGATACGAGTATGCCCCTTCCTCCGAGTATGAGCAAGCTCTTTATTCTCCCAAGGATGACATAACCGAAGGGCCACGGACCCTAGAACCCCTTGAAGTACCGAAGAGTAGTCCATCTAATATTTTAGACGACTTGGATAAGTTTCAGCGGGAGATTGATGAGTTGAGGGAAAAGTACCAGAAGGCAAGTTGAACGAGGAATCATGAGATAGATTGGAGAGGAAGATTGCCTCGAATTGAAGATTAAGTGGTGTTATGAGGCAGCAGGCGTTGCAAGTAGGATCGACTTGGGTGCTAGGCGTTCGGCTGAACTACACTATCTTGGAAGGCAGCTTCCTGGGCATTGTGCATTTGACTTCATTGTATGACTTGTCCATACAAATTACATATTCTTCTTTTGAGCATATATCAATCACAAATGGACTCACCTCGGTCGAGGACCCCGACCGCGAAGTCTTCCCACCAAAACCGGCGTCCCTCATATCGTACACAATGCTAGATCCATCAGTCCTTCTTCTCTTCCTCAGTCTCACGTCTCTCTAATATTCGATCTACAATTCCAAATTCCAACGCCTCCCGCGCATCCATGAAATAGTCCCGCTCCATCAACTTTTCGATATCGCCCAAACTCCTCTCCTTGGTCAAATGCTTCTGATATATTATATTCAACTTATTCCTCACCCTCAGAATCTCCTTCGCATGAATCGCAATATCACTCGCCTGTCCCGAATATCCTCCACTCGGCTGATGAATCATAACACTCGAATGCGGCAGACAAAATCTATTCCCCGGAGCACCTCCACAGAGCAGCAATGAACCCATGGACGCAGCTTGGCCCATGCAGATTGTGGTCACGGGGCATCGAATGTAGGTCATTGTGTCGTAGATTGCGAGACCAGCCGTGACGGAACCGCCTGGGGAGTTTATGTAGAGGGAGATTGGCTTTTCAGGGTTGTCAGCTTCGAGGAAGAGGAGTTGAGCGACGATGTTGGCTGAGGTTTGTTCGTCGACGGTGCCGTTGAGGCAGATGATTCGTTCTTTGAGGAGGCGGGAGTAGATATCGTCTGCATTGTGGTCAATTAGGTCGAAATTAAATTCCAGATGAGGGTTGTGTACATGTATGCCAGCCTCCTCCCTACTCGATCAGCTAGATCCAATTTCGGTAGCACAGTGAACGTACAACTGTCTCAGTCACATATGGTGTTGGGGACCATGCCTTCGGGGCTAGTTGTTGCGCTGGGTTCGGAGGGAGAGAGAACGGCGATATTGACGATATTGATCGTATCCCATTCCAATATCGACTTGCGAGGCTAGACGGCCTTGCAGCCCTCCTGAACAGTGTTGCCATTGTTTTGAATAGCTCCGAGAGGGTGGGGATGAAGCCACGAAAGAGCCATGACACGCCAAGACGCTAGGTATCATATATTTGCTTCCGCCGGAGATTTTATATTGCACAATTGAGATCCTCAAGAATACTCACTGATGCCCTGCGGGGTGGTTCGAAGACCGCGGAAATTCCCAGGTCTACTTAATCGCGCTCAGCACTGCCTCTACTCCACTCCCGCGCCGAAAGGCGATGAGTTGGGACCGATACAGCAAGATGGGCACCAAAGCTTCAGGGTCCGCAGAGATGGGAAGCGTCTCCCACTGCCTCCACTCCTCGACCCCGTAGTCCTCTCAGAGAGATCACGATGGGAGCAGCCCAAGGCGAGGCCCAGTGCCAATAAATTCACCGCGTTCCAGAGAAAGCTCAGGGAGAGTCCTTACGGTTCGCTGTCCTCTCACACTCCCGTCTCCATGACACTCTAACGTCCGTTATAGCTCATGCCCTTGCCTCACCCGTTCGCCAATGCCGGGCCACGCATGTTTTCCTCCCATCGGCCTTGCTTATTTCACTCCATCCAAGGCCACATCCGGAGACATCAGAGCCATGGCTTCTTCCTGTGAACCTGACAACCAGTATAAAGCACCTCGGGCCACCCTATAGATTTCTCAATCGGCACCTTGTTGCTACGCAATTAAGCCAGAAGCAGAACTGGAAAGCCGGCATGTATCCCAGACTGCAAGATAAACTTGGGAGCAAAGCATCCAATATGGTATGGCGGGAGGACATGCCCGAGTTGATTCTTACACTATTGCGGAAGAATCTTGTTTACAAGCTTCGGTGGCACCTCCAGAAGTCTGGGGGCCGGATGGTGGTTTGCGACGATGCTGGCTCGTCTGCCCTCCAGGCCATTGAGGATGTATCATGCGTCTTGTGTTTTGGGTCTCTGAAAACCAGCGCCGACGAGATCCAAATTCAGGCGAATGGGATACTGGAGGATGTCGAATATCTGGCCGGTTACTATGCTGAGGGCCACAAAAAAGCCTTAGACCCGCACCAATCGAGGTCCATATCTCATCATCCACCCCCTTGGTGGAGAGGGCCAGTAGTGCCGCGTCTCCAGCCGAGATATCAGTTCCCTCCTTTAGAGTTCAAGACTACCGGATGGCGAGGTACGCGTGTTGCAGTCTATGGTCTGTTTGACTTGTTGGGCGAGGACAAGGGACGAGAGTTGGTCGAGGGCACACGATTTGAAGGCGCACAATGTGTAGTCATGAAGAGGGGTCATCAGAATGTGCCGTTGCAGTTGCAGCTCATGCAACTGCAAGCATATTTAGCGACTCCTGGGCCTTAGTCTTCTCTTGCTGCCATTCGAATATTTCACAATTGCTTGTGTTGTCTCCTTCTCCCTTTCACCCTAGGCTCCACGACAAGAGCAGGTTGTGCCGAACACCTCTCCCCGACGTAGGTGGTATCATTTCTCCCCAACGATACTTCACATCGACAAATTCTAGTGAAAGAAACATGGCTAGAAGCAACAGAAGGACAATTGAAAGCGCCCTATGAGCTGAGCATATGCAATGACACCATCCTAGATTAATGTACGGAAAAAGGTGAAGGTAGCTGTGACTTGTCGAATTCTGTTCTTTGATTCTCCACCGGCCCTGCAACTTCCCGTTTGAGAGCCAATCAGCTAATTGGCGACCCCACCTTCTACTGCCTATCTCACGCCGTGTTTGTGCAACTCGAGCAGGTACACCCTCCAGTACAAACTCAGACAAATTGCTCTCATACACTCTTCCTCACCTTCTGTCCTTCTCGACTTTCCATCCGCTTTCGATCAACCTGACTGTCGATGAATGGCACACTCGGCTGCTGTGAAAGTTCTGATACGTTATGGATATCTTCATCACAAAGCTGCCTCGTGAAATCAACCAAAATGAAGTAAAGGTGTTTCTGAAGCCTTACTTCTCAGATGTCGACATTCTTGCCTTCGATGTCCGAAAAAGGGTTGGAAAATGTCATGCCAATATCACTACCCCCAACCTGAGGTGCGCTGAGTGCTTCCTCCAGAAACATGGAGGCGATCATTCTAGGTATCCCCCAAAGCCACTCAACTTCCGCGGAAAGGACCTTTACTGCAAACAGGGTAAATCTTCACCCACACCGTTGAACATCCAGGCATTGCGAGAGGACAATGAGCGCTTGCTAGCAATGCGAGATGGTCTCTCTAGAGCGTTACCAGTTTCCAAACCATCACGGCCGATATTTCCCTTCATTGCACTCCAGCTCGGTACATGGACCTATAATCACCTTGGCAAGTTGGCCTTCGACGAGAAGTATAAGGATGGGAGATCTGGCACGGTGACCTTTGGCAAGAATGCCTTTGTCATTTATCTCCAGCAAGGAGCCCACGCAAACCTTGCCCATTGCAGGATCGACATTTCGTATTCCATTATCGAGCATGTCGTACCGTCTGCTGGCCACGGCAAAAACCCTATTATTTCGTTCACGCTGAGAACGCCTCCAAAGATCTTCAAAATTATCAACACTGATGAGGTGCATCTCTATTCAAATGAAGAATCCCCCATTACTACATCCTTTGAACGTCTTTCTCTCGATCCGGCTCAAAAGCGATTGCGAAGACTCTGCCGGCTCAACAACGAGTTTGAGAAAGCCAACGGCCTGTGTGTAGTCTATAGGCTTGCTCTGGCAGATATGGGCATGGCGCTTCAGGTATGGCAGTTTGTGGGACGGTTCTCAGTCATTCGCCGGGGGGATGCCTTCAAAACAGCCATACCAGAAACAATATTCCAACGGATTGAGATCGAGTACAAAGAGCTCGAAAAGTGTCTCAGCAATCCCCAACACCACCCAAACGTTGGCTATGATGGTCGATTTCAGCTTTTGGCGCTTGCTCTCGAGGGATCCCTTTCCCCCAACATGATTCAAATTCTTCTCCCTGATGTGGACAACCTTGCTCAAACACATGGCTCCAAGACCGTAGCAGAAGGAATACGCCAGCTTACTTATGCCCTCCCAATCCCAGGACTTCAGACGCCTGCAAGTAAATTAAGTAAAGGTGCCATCCTCCAGACCCTCATTGACAACGTCAAAAGCCTTCTAGAGGTTGATGCTGCAACCAAATACTTAGTCGACCAGCAAAAGCAACAAGATCATCTTGTCAGAACCCTCGCAGCAACAGTGACTCCAACTGGTATACTCCTTCGAGGCCCCGATTTGGGAATCTCGAACAGAGTCCTTCGGCGATATTCTGGCTACACCGAATATTTTATGCGCGTCTCCTTCGCTGATGAGGATGGAGTTTCTCTCCTATATGACTCCCGTGCTTCACAGGAGGAGGTCTATGATCGCTTCAAAAGCGTACTTCAGGGAGGGATACCGATCGCAGGACGTGTATACAAATTTCTTGGATTCTCCCACTCGTCATTACGTAGTCATACGGTTTGGTTCATGGCACCTTTTCAGCATGAGGGAACACTTATTATACCATCCAATGTCATCGCAGAACTCGGAGACTTCTCTTCATTGCACATTAGCGCAAAATGTGCCGCACGAATTGGACAAGCGTTCTCAGATACGATGTTCTCGATACCAATTCCGAAAGATGCTTTCGTTACGGAGCATATGGCGGATGTGGAGAGGTTTGGGAAGATATTCTCTGATGGATGCGGTACGATATCTCCGAAATTGCTCCAAAAGATATGGAGGACTCTGCCGCCTGGACTTCAGGGTCAAAAACCGACGGTGCTTCAAATCCGATACAGAGGTAAGTTGCTTTCTCGCGTTGGTGTAGAGAACAGTAGTCGGCTGCTAGCATTTGAACATCTTTTCAGAATTCAGTCTGAAGAGTCTTTCTTGTGGAATAGCGCAAGCGGCTAGAGTACTTTATCTTTTAAAGGTTGCTTGGAGCTTGTTCTGGCCTATGGTAAGACTTTGAGCCAGGCTCCCAATACTGAAAGACATGTTCATATTACAGCGGTTTTACCCTATCTATCATCATTTAGAGTAGATGCTAACGAATCTAGGAGCGAAAGGAGTTATCTCCCTAGACACACGCCTCATTGGCGAACAGCTCAACATTCGAAAGAGTATGACCAAGTTCCCAGCCGGAGAAAGTTGGCAAGACCTTGAAATCTGTGGCGGCGCATATAGGCCTCTGACCATGTACCTCAACCACCAATTCATCAAGATCCTAGAAGATCTGAAAGTTCCGCACAAGAATATCCTTGACGTTCAGAACGACGCAATCCAGGAACTCAAGATGATGCTCGGTCATCCTCGTAACGCCGCATCGTTCCTTGAAAAGTGTCGCATCGGAACTTCAGCCTGGATGCCGAAGTTGCTCGAGCTCTTACATGCCATCGGCCTCTCATTCTACGCAGATAAATTCTTGATGGGTGTGCTGGAGATTGCTGCAATGTCAACGCTTAGGGATATGAAGTACCGTGCTCGCATTCCAGTCGCCGAAGGTGATCTTTTGTATGGTATCATGGACGAAAGCAATACACTAAGAGAAGGAGAAGTACGTGTCTGTTTGTTTTTTTGTTTGAAGGCACTGCTGACCAAGTATCTACACAGGTATATATCGCTACACGAACGCAAAGACTCGATGGTGAACCAGTGTATAAGGTGCATGTGTATGATCGAGTTGCTATTACTAGAGCACCTGCGTTGCACCCTGGCGATATTCAGGTTGTCAGAGCCATCGACGCACCGAATAATTCCTATCTCAAGGGATTGTACAATTGCGTCGTGTTCAGCCAGCAAGGCAATTGGGATCTCCCCAGCCAATTGAGTGGGGGTGATCTCGACGGTGACCTTTTCCACGTCATATATGATAAACGTCTGATTCCTTCGAGAACCGAGCAGCCTGGGGAGTACAAAGCAGCACAGCCAAAAGATCTCGGAAGGCCCGCAAAACGAGACGATATTATAGACTTCTTCATTGAGTATATGCAATCAGATCAACTTGGTCGGATCTCGAACATGCACAAGATCCTAGCAGACCATATTGATGAAGGAACAAAACACTCAGACTGCAGGGCTCTAGCCGAATTAGCGTCTCATGCCGTAGACTTTAGTAAGTCCGGACAGCCGGTGCGTATTCTTAGACAACAAGTAAAATTTGATCCCGACTAACATGTGCTCAGGTGGCCATGGCGGACGCACCAAAGGCCCCCTACCATCTCAAACCAGACTTCATGGCTCCTAGCCCAAATATTGCCCTTGAGGACAAAGGTGTTGCACTTATGGAGAGTGAGACAAATGACATCGATGACCTGGATAGTATAAGTTTGCTTGATCCTGATCAGTCTCGGTAAGTTGTATCGAATGTTAAGCCAGGATATACATTAACCTTCTGTATCGAGGCTTCGATATTACAGGAGCAAACAAATCCTCGGGAAACTCTACCGCACCATTGATGAGCAGGCGTTCTTCAACGAAATGAAGAAAGTATCTTCAGCATCGTCCTACGCCTTAGGGAACGAAAGTCTAATGGAGAGACTCGAGCGATATATAGACAGAGAGACCATCGGATTGCAATGGAAACACCACTTGCAGTTTGCAGAAGAGATTCGAGAATTGTATGCCTCTATGCCCTCCCTATCACCATCTATAGCTCACTGTATAAATAGCTATTCCAAAAACATTTTTGAAATTATGACATCACTCGCCACCCACCATGGCGAACCCCTCAAAGAACTTGAAGTCTTCAGCGGCAACATCCTCGGCAAGAAGTCCCACGACACGTCCCGTTCGGTCCGCGAAGCCAACCAAGAAATCCGCGAACGTTTCAACCGCGACGTCACCTCCGTTGTGAATTATATTGTGAGGGGCGAGAGAGCAGGCGACGAAGAGGAAGAGAGTCTCCCGAGAGCGATCGCATGTTTCAAGGTGAGCTTGCAGAAGGAGGGTCGGGTCGGCTATGAGAGGGAATTGAGGAGTTTCAAATACGTAGCTGCCGCGGTGTGTTTGGAGCGGCTTGTGCAGTATCGGGGCGGCATTCTGCGGTCAATTTGAGGGATTGGGACATTCAAGAGTGAACGGAGCTGGAGACGGAGTCGAAGGTTTCTAGGCGCTTCTAATGGCCAACTTTAATACAAACATGGACTTTGGGTAGCATGGTTCTCTCGAGCATATTAGCGAGTATCACCATAGTGTTGGAGCATTGGATGGGCATCAGCAGGTGATCTTAACGGCTGCTATATGGATTTTAGAGGACGGTATGCTTCTCAGTCTAAGGTTATCCTATCGACAAACAATACAATTTCGGATTTGTTACATACTCGTATCTCCACGACGTTCTGAACCACACCCAAAAAATAAGATTTAACAGGCTAGGAGTTTGGGAAAGATATAATTGTATTTCATCATTCATAATTCATCATAGCATCAAGGATACATTACCATGGAGGCAGTTAATAGGCCACGTAGTTGCCCCAACCGAAGCAGGACAAAAAGCTCCCTATTCTTTCCCGTACACCCTCTCCCAAGTCGTTGAAGGCACTCAATACCTCTCAATCAACCATACCGTCTTCTCCCCATCCTCCATCTCCCCCAACATCTTCTGCTCACTCCTCTTCATCGCCACAAAATCCTTCACCAAACCCTCCGCCAGCATCTCTCGCAAAACATCATCCTTCTCCAGCCGCTCCAACGCCTCGTCCACCCCCAACGGCATCTTCTCCACAATTCCGTACGGAATCCTCTGCTCCGCCGACAGCGTCGACGGATTGACTGGGATATCTTTTGCCGGAAACTCTAGCCCACCTTCTTTCAACCCAAGTAGGCCTGCAGCGAGGACCGCACCCAGCGCGAGATACATGTTCGCCAAGCCATCCAAGCATCGGATTTCCCAGCGCCCATCTTTCACGCGCCGCAGTGGTGTCTCACGGTTCTGCGTGCCCCATGCTACCCACGTTCCGCCGGTCCAGTGGTCGTCCACAACGCGGCCATAGCTAGCGGATTCGGGCATAGTGAAGGCGCAGATAGCGGGGAGGTGTTTGAGGACGCCCCCGACGAAAAACTGGAGGTCTTCTTCGGGCGGGTTTAGTGAGATGTGTGCGTGAGCGGCTGTCCCAATGCCGGGGAATGGTTGGGGATGGAGTGTAGCTCGGAGATTATGTGTTGCTGCTATTTGTGCAACGACTTGTCTAGCTTGGATCAGAGTGTCGACGGCGAAGAGTGGTGGGAGGGGTGGTAACACGAATTCATATTGCCCGGCGCCGGATTCGGCGTGAAACTGTTGAATGTCGATGCCGATTTCTTCGAGGCTTGTCGCGATCTCAGCGAGGAGTGGGAGTTGCAGCCACTGCTCCGGTGTTAAGGTCCCCCAAGCGTGGGTTTGAGTGAGGGGAGTATAGGGATTGTCTTTGTTATCGGGGTTACGGGAGAGGAAAGTAACTTCGATTTCGAAGCCGAAGAGGAGAGTGGTACCGTGGTTAAATTGTAGGTCGTTGATGAGTGTTTCGAGATTTCCTCGGGGACATTGGCGAATAGGCTTCCCGGAGTCGTCTCGCCAGAAGCAAAGGACTGTAGCGGAAGGGAGAGGGTCCTTCTTATGGGTTCGCCGCAGTGTCCTTAAATCCGGCTCAACATATATCTGTCCGACTGGGTTAACGACTGGTGTGATACAGTCGTTTTGAAGAGTGCCTGTATTCCCTTGCGAAATTCCAACCCTCTCCCCAGCTCTTATCATCCTTCCAAACTCCTTAATGGGAATAACCCTCGCTCGGATAGTGGCCATAAAATCCAACCACTCAACATACACGAACTTGACCCCAGGATTAAGCTTTAAGAACTCATCAAAAACCCTGACATCATAGACTTGGGGCGCTTTGGGTGGTGGAGGGAACAGAGGGGGCTGATACGATGAATCAGCTTGAGGAGGATGCCAGGCCAGAGATTTAGGGGCAATCTCACTCATATCTTTGAAGTCTACTTGGTAATTTAGGGCGTAGACGTTGTTCGAGTTATTGAAGAGAATGTCTTTTGAGAGGGCAATGGCTTGGTGCGGGGTGATGTCTTCCTTTGTTACATATTCGACGAGAAGCTGCCATGAACAGTTAGCGAACAAAGCACTTGAAATCTTGCTAGTTAATCTGCCAAACATAGACAGAACAATGGAAATTGGCCATACAACGTCTCTCACAATCATGCAGGTAAACGTAGGAGGGTTCGCATGAGTTAAAGGGTATGTAGATGAATGCAGTCAAAGCTCATGGGAAGGAATATAAACATTGACTTAGTCGAAATGCGAAGGATCAGAGAAACTTACGTCTAACCACACCTCCCTGAATTGCTTGTTCGCGAGCCAGTACGTCTCCGGAAAGTAGTGTCCGTCAGTCGAGTACAAAAGCTTACTACCAGGCACCAATTCCAGACAATGTCGTAGTATTGCCATCTGGCCGTCTCTGCTGACCATAGGGAAGACTTCGCCTACGTCTAGATAGACATGTTTGTATACGGTGGCAAGATACCCAGCTTCTCGAGTATAAGGGTAAGCTGAATGAAGCAAGACAAACGGCACCCGAGAGTAATTCTCAATCAATGGTTGGAGGTACGCTGGATTGGACTGTAAGAGACTGATGTCGTTATCGCCCAGCCCGGTGTGAAATTGTATTGGTTTGGAGAATGCAGCGTCGCGTGGAAGCCGCTCTGAGAGAATCTCCAGCGTTCTCAAGACCAAGTAATCGTTGAGAGCTTTCCGCTTGATCCTGAATTTCCGTTTCCGAACAGAGCGCTCCACGTACCGCTCAAATGGAGTGCCTACGTCCCGCGCCGCTTGTTCGTAATCGGGTTCAACATCAAGTCCGGTTCTGTAGCAGATTATGGACTTGAATCCCGCTACATTGGAGTCCTGGATGTTCTCTTGGATCTCTCGTTCAAACTCCTCGGTAAATGTAACCCAGATGTCCGTCAAATAATTTGCTTCCTCAAGATCGATCTCTGATGCGCCTCTGAGAATACTTTCCATAAGCCTTTCGGCGACAGTCTCAATCCGGATAATGCGCTTGGTTGGGGCCTGAGTATATCGGTCATGCCAGCTGTACGGGTGCACTTCTTCGGTTTCGCCAAATCCATCGTCCATTAATAAGGCATACGTGCCCTGAAAGCATCTTTGAACCAGCTTTTCTGGACTAGTTCGAAGCCATTCGGTTCGCTGCTCGAGTACTTCTTCCCAGTCGGCATCATCCGGACATTCATACAATTGCCGAAGCTGCCGTGCTGCTCGAAGGTGAGCGAGGCCTTTGAATGTATCTCTTAAGGCTCTTCCCTGGGCCTCGGAAGTAATTGACTCGAAAGGAACTGTATCTATATGAGTTGGGAGAAGGAGGTTGTGAGCGTGATTGTCGATTATTGGGTAATTGTTTACGACATGTCGAAGCTGTTCGATAGTAGGTTTAGGCTGGGGAGGAGGTGAGACTATCTCGTGAGAGTCTAGTGAAGCCATCTGGAGACGAGGTCAAGCAGTAGGTCCTAAACTGCCCAAAGTGGTCGAGCACGAATATTAGAGGTTTATCTTGGAAGTGAGAATGGGGTAGCATAAGAGACCAAATGACGTAGATTCCGGCAAAGGCTCGGACAAGCAGCCCTGGATAATATCGCTAATCAAAGTGTGGCCAGGGAACTGCTATCGCAACCCTACGTCCTAAAGGAGGTATCCGATATCAGAGTCGGTAGGTTAGGAACCTGTTCGTTCCTCAGGCTGATATGAGGAGGTACAGTGCACGAGACCGAATCGATAAGCTTCAGCGCTAAGCCCTACCAAGCCCTCTTAGCTAATGAAAGTCAATGGTGCTATTAGTCACGCCAAAACTCCATCCAATATTAACATCGACCTCATCTCTCGAAAATCTATATTGTTGAAGACACTAACAATCTCCGTTAATGCATGGAAATAGTTCGGGCGATGAAGCAGCCGTGGACTATAGAATTCAAGGATCACCCAAGTAAGCCGTCGTGCTTTATCATCACACATCACGATAAGCGCCATCCGTGTCTAGATGCTGTATTGTTCTTTTTCTTCATCATCATCCGCATACAGTATATCATCGTGTGAGCATAGATCACGAGAGTCGCCCAGTCATCCGCACCGCCATCTCAGCTCATCTGTGGTGGAGCTCGCCTTCCTGCAGCTTGTCGAAGTTGGGAGTGATGATCACCTGTTCGGAAGCCAGTGTGCATCACTGCGTAAATAAAAAGTCGTACGATCGATGTAGAAAGTGCGCAAACACTGGACCAAGCATTATAAGTATGCCGCAAGTTCTGCTTGAACATCTCTCTATCTCCAAGATCAACTCGATCGGGTTCTCACAATAATTGATTTTATAACTCGCGACTCGCCGCACGACAAGTCACCATCAAACGCACCTCTCATCTATTTTTTTTCTCTCACCTATCAACTGCACCCGCCCGAATAAAAGCAAACAGCAAACATCATGAGAAACATCCTAATCGTAGGCGCCACGCGAGGCCTGGGGCACTCTCTGGCGATCCAGTACGCCAAAAAGGGCATGACTGTCTATGCCACTGCCAGATATTCTATTCCTCAAACACCATCGCACGGCATCCACTGGATCGCCAACGTCGACGTTTCGCACGAAGGAGCCGGCCGTCGAATCGCCGCGCATTGGGAAGAAGAAACCAAAATTGATCTCCTTGTCATCTGCGCCACGTACTTCGCGAGCGAGACTTTCGACGGCCTGCATTATGACAAGGAAGTCGCCATGTACAAGACCGTTGCAATTGGACCGGTTTTCTTGGTCCAACATCTTGTGCACGCAGAAATATTAAAAAAGAATAGTAGAGTTGTTTTGGTGGGATCGGAGAATGGGAGTATTGCTTTGCGACACGAGAGTGGCGGGGGAGGCAATTATGGGGGGCATGGTAGCAAAGCTGCACTTAACATGGTCGGGAAGCTGTTAAGTATTGATTTGAAGCCGAAAGACATCCCGGTTGCTATTGTGCACACTGGGTATCTCCGGAAAGAAAATAAGGAGGGCTTCTTCGAGCACAGCGGAGACAAGCACGGTACATTCAACTATTTCCATGCCTTAAATACGAGCTTCTTTTTCTAACAATTTCCATAGCTGTCAAACCCGACGAAGCAGCGACCGCACTCCGCGACTGGCTCGAAACCTTCGACATGTCCAAGACCGGCGAATTCTGGGCTGTCCGTGGAGCCGCAGACATTAAGACTGCCGAAGCTGTACTCGGTCCTCTAGACTCGCTTCCAACGCCACTTCAGCTTCCATGGTAAATGCATTTTTTTCCCACCTTGCATGGGCGACTCAGGCGCAGTATGCCTTTGGCGATTCTAGGAGTTTAGGTTTCAATAGGTTTAGTACGATGTTCTGAGGTTGGGGTCTTCGACATCCTAATAACGACCTGTGGATGGAAATTGAATTCCTTTATGTGATATGGCGGGGGGCTGGATATGGCTATTGGGTGGGACAGGTAGCATGGAAGGAAGATATCTCCGGATTCCAATACACAATCATTCTCATTTCTGCTTCAATGCTTCTGACGATGTCCCATGCCTTTGATTCAATCTAACCCTCAAGAATACAATCTCCGTTCCAGCACAGGCGAGTCCGTATGCCCTTGTCAACAGAGCAACCAGTCAGCATACGACCGGACGCTTTTGTCTGGAACACACTCCGCCCAAATCCTCAAGCACAACCCTGTGAGCCGAGATCCCCGTACCTGCAGCAACACGACCTGTGGCTGTTGCCATCAAGTGTCACAGCCCCAACTCTACCTGACCTGTCCGCCGCAATAAGCCCCGAACGCCAATTGGCGTCTTAGATATGTCCAACAACGGTGGTAGGAGCATGCGGGTACAGTGTGCAAGCTCCCATATGTTTGATGAGGCAGTACATACCCCACGCCAGTTCACATACTCGAAGTTGGAACAAAACCAGCACAACATTAACTAAAGAAACCAGATAATGTTTAGCATTAGTGTGGCGCTAATCTTGCTACCGTGAAAACTAACCGGAAGAAAGAACCGCCAAGTCAAGTCTCTGTGTTTTACGGAGCCGAGCTGACGTCTCTCTTCCGCCACTTAAGACCAAAAGGGGCATTAAATGCATTTGTTTCAAGGCTATCGTCTCTTCGGCCTCCACATAAGACACAAACGAGAAATCTAACCCATCAAAGTTGCAGAATGGAGTAGCCCTCACAAGTTGGTAAAACAATACAATCGCATTTCTGTGTACAGGTGACCGCGTAACCGGTTGTCCCCCAAAAAAAAAACCCCGCTCATGCATGAAATCACCCCTACCACATCCTCTCCAAAGGTCAAACTTTTTCACAATAGGATCATGGCCATGCCGGAAAATGCTGCACCGAGGACATAGACACCAAGTTGAAGGAGGCCAGTTTCCATTGTCGGGACGGTGAGAGCAACGCCCGCGCCTGAAGACTTGGCGCCCGTGGCTGCGGCACCAGTTCCGGTGGGGGCAGAGGTGACGGTGCCCGTTCCAGCCGAGCCAGCCTGGGACATGAGAGCCTTGCAGTCCGAAGCCTGGGTCTTCACGGCTTGCTTAGTGACAGCGGAGCCCTTGAAATCGCAGCCACCGCTAGGATTGGCAAGAGCATATTGATTGAGAGCAAAACCTAACTGCTCGGTGGAGTTGCACATGCCGTAGGCTCCGTAGTTGCCGGTGGTGGCGTTCTTCTGGATTCCCCCACAGAACTTGCCGCTGCTATAACCGCAAACCGTTCCGAAGAGGTCGCCGTAGTCCTTCTCGTTAACATTGCTGGCGACAACACAGCTAAGGCTGTCCATCATGCAAGAGCAAGCGCGGGCATTTACGACTGGAGGTAGGGGGGTAGCCTTGGCAGCCCAGTCGGAGTTGACTGCAGGGCATGAAGCACCAGCAGTATTAGTCGGGTTGTAGTCCGCCATCTTAGCACCGCTGGGGGTCACCTTGGCGATCTGGCTGGAAAGGTTGTTGAAGTCGTCGAGGGTTTTAACGTTGCTTCCGTCAACGCTCACGAGACCTTCAAGTTGTTAGTAATGAGATCGACAACGTGGAAATCTTTGTCAGCCTACCGAACTTATTCTCCTCCTCAAAATACATGTACACAATGCCTCCAGACCAGACGCCCGTCATTTGATTGCCATATAGGGCGCCGACTTCAGTGAACTTGCGAGGACGGGGAGTGTTGCAGCCATACTCGGCGAAGAAGACGGGGACGTTGTAGTTCTGGAACTCCTTGGTACGGACATCGAAACCAGACTTGGTGAAGGAGGAGTCACCACACCAGGAATAGATATTGTAGCCCCAGAAATCAATGGCGTCCGAAGCATCCCCGCAGTCAAAGTAGTTGGCCAAGTTCTCACGGATACTGGCATCATCGTTGGTGGCATAACCAACACCAATCGTGCGGTAGTTCTTGGACTTAATGTACGACTTCATGTCACGAACGGCGGCCTTGACGAAAGCGCTGGCGTTGGTGTTGTTAGGCTGGTTGGAAACCTCGTTACCGGCAAAGAAGCCAAGCGTGTTGTCATACTTGGCCATTACATCAACTACGCTGGTATATCGCGCGTAGAGTGTGGTGGTCCATGCAGCATCGTCTCGATTGATCGACTCTCCTGGCTGAGACAGGTCGGCAATGACATAGATGCCAGCATCAGCAAGCGCGTTCATACATGTGTCGTGGTTTTTAGTGGGGTCGAGGGCGTATACACGAATGGTATTGGTGTTGAGCTTTTGGAGGAAGGGAATGTCACGCTTGCAAGACGTGGTATCGGCGAGAGGATCAGTGTAGTCGACATTCTCGGTCTGCGACGTGTTTGTGCTAACGCCCTCTGCTTCATGTTAGCGACAACTGGGTGGTGAGGGAAGGAAGCGAGAGGCATACGTTGGTATGCGATACCCTTCATGAAGCTGCAAATGGTTAGTTCGTTGATCTGTGGGATGGATTGGAAGAGCAAGGCTTACAATTGGGTGCCATTGGTTTTGTAGAAGAATTTCGAGCCCTAAAGGCCGTCAGTAATGGACGGGCTGCACGTAGTGAGGTCGGAGATTCACCTTAATAACAATAGGGTCGATGGCTGCCGACGCGGTGGACACGAAGAACGCCGTCGCGGCCGCTGCGATAGCGATGCCCTTCATACTGATGATTCCTGGCCAGAGAAATCAAGAGAGGCGAAGAAGACTGGCGAAGGTTGGCGACGAGGGCAAAGCCTGTGGTGATTTCTTGAACAGTGGCAGTTGAGTTGGGTTTCAGGAGGTTAGAGGTTGCGAGTGTGTTGGAACTGCGCAAACGAAAGAGTAAGGTATGACGTAAAGAGTGTGTGAATGGTGCAACAATAAATTAAGAGGTTCTACTGGAGCGAGAGCAAAGAAACAGAATAATTCACCCAAAGAAACAGTTGTGAGGCTCGAGTTGGTGGTGAGAGGGAGCAAGCTCTCCAAGAAGGCCGGAGGCACGCGGCGACATTTCAGGGGGACTCAGCCCGAAACGGGCAGATCATAGCAAGACACTTACGAAGCAGCAGATCCACCGGCGGCCAACACGGGTTAGCCAGACATTTGATGCAGCTGCTGAGAATTAAGACGATCCCTTGGAATGGCTCACCAGTGCTGCAGATATCCTTTGCCGTAACCTAGTTTTACTGCATGTTTGCGTCGAGCATTTGTGAGGGCAAGCCGAAATTGGCTAGGCGGTTGGTTTGCCTTTCAACATCCGACGGCACCGCCGTTGCCCAGTGGAGAACTGCCTCAGGGCATGTCCGCGTTTCTAGTGCCCTGTTTGCGCCGCATTGTGTGTCAAAAGATCCCGCGGTTCTAAAATTATCTACTTTCGATAGGTCTTCGATCCCTTTGAGGAGTTTACGCACGTGTTGTTGTACTTCTGTGCACCCTCCACGTCGATACATGATACCTTTACATGTGCGAGCCTTGAATCGTAATTTTACTGTGAGGCTAGGTCACTCTGGTGATAACAAGGACCAATGGGGTCGCAGAAGATCGTGATTCGTGAATGGGAGTGAGCCCTTGGAGGTATTCCCACTGGAGTGAAGCTCCAACACGATGCCGGTTTGGCTTCGAGGCCGCGTACGACAATCCTTACAAATATCACGTTGGCCTAGGTACAAGGAAAAAGAAACTCGATTCATTTCATGGCTTGCAGGAGTTGTGCATTTCTGACATGTTTGGATCGCTAGAAATACAAAGGAGCTTTCACCACTGGCAGGACATTCCTTAGTCTCCCGCTATCTGTAACCGCGGAGGAGCTTGTTGAATGATATCTGGAATCAAGGAAATCTAATATTACTTCGGATCCCTCCCCGGGCCTGCTTGACAGCGCTTGTCACTTTCGTCATCCGCGACACCGTTAGGCGCAATTTAATCTATCGCCCGATGCGTGGCTCAGGGGAAATCGATTGCAGCCTTGCCGGGAAGAAGTTTGTGCAGCAACGAAACTTTCGCGGGCTCTCGGCGTCGCGAGGAGGTGCAGTGCAATTTGAACAGGGCCATTGGCCGCCTGCGTCGCACACAGACGCTGGGCCGGTGTCTCCGCAGCTGAATTGTTGAGGCTCTGGAGCCTTTTGCAAGCCCCTTTGCACAGGACCGTTCGGCATGGATCCTTGACAGGCCGGGAGACGGCGCCACCGCCATCACCGATAAACCACTTATCGTTATCGAAACGGCGGACATGCTGGCACTTCTGTGAAGTTGCAGGGACCCAGCCACAGCGAATTTCTCATGCCGGACAACAGGCTTCCCGACAAGCGAATTCCTGATTTACAATGGTGTTGGTTTGATCGCCTGTCCACATCACCCGGCAGCCAATCTCGGCCGGGCGGTGTGCCAGATCACTCGCAATCGTGACGTTGAGCTCTCGAGGGGCGACATTGTCCATGGAAAAGTTGCACCAGCGCATAGCACCAGCAGCAACCAGCGAGGCGGACAAGCGGGGAAGCATTAGAAACACACGTTGTCAACAGGTTTTTCTCCACGCTGTCAGCCAATATCGATGTCGCCAAAAGAGATCCCATGGGCCCGGCCTGATTGTTCCTGAAAAAAAGAGTGTGAGAAGGCGGGCAGAATTGGCTTGTGCCGCGGGGGGGCACTCGAGGCTGTTTTTAGAACTGCTTTCTCGTCTGTTTGTGCTCGCCACATCGCGAGAGCTCGCGCAGGTGCCCGTGACGTGCGGCCCAACGAGCAGGACAGCAGTAACTTTGTAGTAGTGAAGCGAATGTGGACGTTCTTGGTGCAGATGTTCACGGCGAGCTGCGAGCGCGAATGAGCAGGCTGCTGCGGTGGCGACGAGCTGCCGTTGTGAACCAGCGCCATCAGGGCGATCCCCTGGCAGCGGCGCTGTAGATTGCTGTCAGCCAATCACGGAGGCGGCAGGCTAGGAGCTCCACCTGGGTCTTGGCACGGTGAAGGGGGAAGTCCAGGGCACGCTCATAATGTGCCCCCTTTTCGTGACCTGCTCCGAGATTCAATTCCTCATTCCACGCTCGTTTCCTCCTACTTCTACCTCTCTCCCCAGCCCCTCCACCCTCCCCTCTTCTACCTCGTGTTCCTTTCGCCTCCCACCTCCCGCCTGTCGTTCCTGTCGGGCCCGGTCTCGTCCACAGTGACTGCGTTGCCAGTCGGAGAGCCGATCCAAGAAAGCGCTACCTTGCCGCGCGTCCTGTCGTCCACAGCAACAAGTGCATCTTGCCTTGCAACACTCCGCTCATTTTGACATCAACACCAGCGACAAGTCGTGCAAGCACGAGCAGCCCGGGCTGTGTACCAAGGCTCTAGCATCTCCCCGGTGACCTGACGCCCCTTCGCTCGCTCGCTCTCTCCTTGCCCCAAAACACGTCAACACTCGTTCACCAACCTGCTCGACCGCGCAACAATTATCCACCGACTTCCCCCTACGCCTGTCGGAACACGATTAATCTCCTTCGATTGGACCTAATGCTCATTGTTTGAGGTACGCAGCCTCCAACCGCTGGTGTTTCAGCCGCTCCCTCCCCCGCTCATCCCAGTTTGTTGACAGCGACACCTCGCAGTCTCAACATCGCGCTCTAATTGCTCCCTACGATGTCCGGACATCCGCAAGGAGGCCACTACGATGATGGCTACGGCCAGCACCAGGGCCAGGACTCCTACTACCAGGATGATCAGTATGCCCAGTACGATCAACAGGGTGGCCACGCCTACGGAGACCAGCACGGCGATGCTTATTACGATGAATCGTGCGTCTACACAAAACACTGCAAGCATCGCATGCCGACACTAACCAATCTGCAGTGCCTATTATGACGGTCAGCAAGGCCAATATCAACAAGACGGGTATTATGAAGGCGGTCAACAGGGCCAATACCAAGACGACTATTACAATGATCAATATTACGACCAAGGGGGTGCCCAGGCCGGGTATGGGCAAAACGGGTATGCCCTCATCTTACCCACAGTGTACCCAATTGAGTTACTAATATGTATGCAGCGCGAAACCCCGACGCCGCGGTCACGACTCTGAAGACGACTCGGAAACCTTCAGCGACTTCACGATGCGGTCAGACATGGCTCGTGCCGCCGACATGGATTACTATGGACGCGGCGACGAAAGGTACAACAGCTATGGCGAAGGCATGAATCGTGGATACCGACCTCCGTCTTCCCAGGTCTCGTATGGCGGCAACCGCTCATCTGGTGCGTCCACGCCTATCTATGGTATGGACTACACAAATGCACTTCCCGCCGGTCAACGATCTCGGGAACCGTACCCTGCGTGGACGACCGACGCCCAGATTCCCTGTACCAAGGAAGAGGTCGAGGACATCTTCCTGGAGCTCACTGCAAAGTTCGGTTTCCAGCGAGATAGCATGAGGAATATGTACGACCACCTGATGACGCTTTTAGACTCACGGGCATCGCGCATGTCCCCGAACCAGGCCCTCTTGTCCCTACATGCCGACTACATTGGAGGCGAAAATGCTAACTACCGCCGGTGGTATTTTGCTGCCCACCTCGATTTGGATGATGCCGTGGGATTTGCCAACATGAAGCTCGGCAAGGCTAACCGGAGAACTCGGAAAGCCCGCCGGGCTGCAAAGAAGAAGGCATCTGAGAACCCTGGAAACGAGGAGCAGACTCTTGACGCTTACGAGGGTGACAACAGTCTAGAAGCCGCCGAATACCGCTGGAAGACACGGATGAACCGGATGTCACAGCACGACCGAGTCCGCCAAATTGCCCTTTACCTCCTCTGCTGGGGTGAAGCTAATCAGGTTCGATTTGTACCCGAATGTCTTTGCTTCATCTTCAAATGCGCGGATGACTACCTAAACTCACCTGCTGGTCAAGCCGCGACGGAGCCTGTGGAAGAGTTCACATACCTCAACAACGTCATCACGCCACTCTACCAATTCTGCCGCGATCAAGGTTATGAAATCCAGGACGGTAAATATGTCCGCCGTGAGCGTGATCATGCGTCCATTATTGGCTACGATGATATCAACCAATTATTCTGGTACCCCGAGGGCATCGAGCGTATTGTCATGGAGGACAAGTCCCGGATTGTCGATCTTCCTCCCGCCGAGCGATATGCGAAGTTGAAGGACGTAGTTTGGAAGAAGGTCTTTTTCAAGACGTACTACGAACGACGGTCATGGTTTCACATGCTTGTCAACTTCAACCGAATCTGGGTTATCCACGTAACATCTTTCTGGTTCTATACCTCATATAACTCGGCTCCCATCTACACCAAGGGCTATCAACAGCAGCTTGACAACTCACCGGAAAAGGCGGCAACGTTGTCGGCTGTGGCGTTGGGTGGAACCATTGCTTCGCTGATCATGATCTTTGCAACTCTTGCAGAATGGGCTTATGTCCCACGGAAATGGGCTGGTGCTCAGCATTTGACAAAACGACTATTTTTCCTCCTAGCGGTTTTTGCGGTCAACGTCGGTCCCAGCGTATACATCTTCTTCGTCAGCAAAGATCAGAAGGGCAAAATCTGCCTCATCCTCGGCGTGGTCCAGTTCTTGGTCGCTCTCGCTACCTTCTTCTTCTTCTCGGTTATGCCACTAGGTGGTCTTTTCGGGAGCTATCTAACCCGCAACTCCCGCCAGTACGTTGCCAGCCAGACGTTTACTGCCAGTTACCCTCGTCTGAAGGGTAATGACATGTGGATGTCATACGGCCTGTGGGTTATGGTCTTCGCCGCCAAGCTTTCTGAGTCTTACTTCTTCTTGACACTGTCATTGAAGGATCCTATTCGAATCCTCTCACACATGAAGAAGCCTGACTGTGTCGGTGATGCAATCCTTAAGACTTACCTATGCCAATACCAGCCGAAGATTCTCCTTGGACTCATGTTCTTTACAGACCTCATCCTTTTCTTCTTGGACACGTATCTATGGTACATTATCCTCAACATGTTGTTTTCGGTATCTCGATCGTTTTACCTTGGTGTGTCCATCTGGACTCCTTGGAGAAACATTTTCTCCAGGCTACCCAAGCGTATCTATTCCAAGATCCTTGCTACCACAGATATGGAGATCAAGTACAAGCCTAAAGTGCTGATCTCCCAGATCTGGAACGCCGTCGTCATCTCGATGTATCGAGAACATCTTCTTGCCATTGATCATGTCCAGAAGTTGCTGTACCACCAGGTCCCTTCAGAGCAGGAGGGGAAGCGTACTCTTCGAGCCCCCACCTTCTTCGTCTCTCAGGAAGATCACTCTTTCAAAACGGAGTTCTTTCCTGCGCAGAGTGAAGCTGAACGTCGTATCTCCTTCTTTGCTCAATCGTTATCAACGCCAATTCCGGAACCGCTACCAGTGGATAACATGCCCACATTTACCGTTCTAATCCCTCATTATAGCGAAAAGATTCTATTGTCTCTCCGCGAGATTATTCGCGAAGATGAGCCATATTCTCGTGTCACTCTTCTGGAGTACTTGAAACAGCTTCACCCTCATGAGTGGGACTGCTTCGTCAAGGATACCAAAATTCTCGCCGATGAAACTTCACAATTCAATGGCGACTACGAGAAGAACGAGAAGGATACCGCTAAGAGCAAGATCGATGATCTTCCTTTCTACTGCATTGGGTTCAAATCGGCTGCACCGGAGTACACTCTACGAACTCGTATCTGGGCATCTCTTCGATCACAGACCCTGTACCGTACAATTTCCGGTTTCATGAACTACAGCCGTGCGATCAAGCTTCTCTACCGTGTTGAGAATCCCGAGGTCGTCCAGATGTTTGGAGGTAATTCTGACAAGCTTGAGCGCGAACTTGAGCGCATGGCTCGACGCAAGTACAAGATCTGCGTTTCAATGCAACGCTATGCCAAGTTCTCGAAGGAGGAGCGCGAAAACACCGAATTCTTGCTCCGTGCTTATCCGGATCTCCAAATTGCCTACCTGGACGAAGAACCACCCGTTAACGAAGGCGAAGAGCCTCGTCTATACTCGGCTCTTATTGACGGGCACTCTGAGCTCATGGACAACGGCATGCGTCGACCTAAATTCCGAATTCAGCTCTCCGGTAACCCCATCCTTGGCGACGGTAAATCAGACAACCAGAACCACAGCATTATCTTCTATCGTGGAGAGTACATCCAACTCATCGATGCCAATCAGGACAATTACTTGGAGGAGTGTCTAAAGATTCGAAGTGTCCTGGCCGAATTCGAGGAAATGACTACCGACAACGTCTCACCCTACACTCCTGGTATTCCGAACACCAACTTCAACCCGGTCGCTATCCTAGGTGCGCGTGAATATATTTTCTCTGAAAATATCGGTATCCTCGGTGACGTCGCTGCTGGAAAGGAACAAACATTCGGTACTATGTTCGCTCGTACTCTGGCCCAAATCGGCGGCAAACTGCACTACGGTCATCCAGATTTCCTCAACGGTATCTTCATGACTACTCGTGGTGGTGTTTCCAAGGCACAAAAAGGTCTTCATCTTAATGAGGATATCTATGCTGGTATGAATGCCCTGATTCGTGGTGGTAGGATAAAGCATTGCGAGTACTACCAGTGTGGTAAGGGTCGTGATCTTGGATTTGGCTCTATCCTCAACTTTACAACCAAGATTGGCACCGGTATGGGAGAGCAAATGCTGTCTCGGGAGTACTACTATCTCGGCACCCAACTTCCGTTGGATCGCTTCCTATCCTTCTACTACGCCCATCCTGGATTCCACATCAACAACTTGTTCATCATGTTGTCTGTCCAATGCTTCATGTTCGTTCTCCTCAACCTTGGCGCCTTGAAGCATGAAACCATTCTCTGCCGATATAACAAGGATGTACCGATCACGGACCCTCTCTTCCCTAACGGTTGTGCCAATCTCACTCCGGTCTTCGATTGGGTTGCCCGTTGCATTGTCTCCATCTTCATCGTCTTCTTCATCTCTTTCGTGCCTCTCGTGGTGCAGGAGTTGACCGAACGCGGTTTCTGGCGCGCTGCCACTCGTTTGGCTAAGCACTTCTCCTCACTCTCTCCTCTTTTCGAAGTGTTCGTTTGCCAAATTTATGCGAATGCCCTCCACACTGATCTGTCATATGGTGGAGCTCGATATATCGGTACTGGACGTGGCTTTGCAACTGCGCGTATTCCCTTCGGCATTCTCTACTCTCGATTTGCTGGCCCCTCCATTTATATTGGTGCTCGATCTCTGATGATGCTTCTTTTCGCCACGATGACCGTTTGGGGCCCATGGCTCATCTATTTCTGGGCATCCCTGTTGGCTCTCTGTATCTCTCCCTTCGTGTTCAACCCACACCAATTCTCCTGGGACGACTTCTTTATCGACTACAGGGAATATCTCCGCTGGCTCTCTCGCGGAAATACACGCTCTCACAGCGCGTCTTGGATTGGGTACTGTCGTCTCTCACGAACTCGTATCACTGGGTACAAGCGCAAGGCTCTTGGAGACCCATCGTCTAAGTTATCTGGTGACGTCCCCCGCGCCCACTTCAGCAATATCTTCATGAGCGAGATCGTCGGTCCTCTGGTCCTAGTTGCCATTACCCTGATCCCGTACCTCTTCATCAACGCTCAAACTGGCGTGAAGAACGCTCAGCAAGAGCAAGATTCCCCAGATATCAAAGCAACGAATTCGTTAATTCGTGTTGCTCTTGTTGCTTTTGGCCCCATTGCTGTCAACGCCGGTATCCTTGGAGGACTGTTTGGCATGGCCTGCTGCATGGGACCAATCCTCAGCATGTGCTGCAAGAAGTTCGGCGCCGTCCTCGCTGCGATTGCTCACGGTGTGGCCGTCGTCATGCTCCTTGCGTTCTTCGAAGTTATGTTCTTCCTGGAAGGATGGAGCTTCACCAAAGCGTTGTCGGGTATGATTGCCGTTGTGGCCATTCAGCGATTCTTTTACAAGCTCATCATCTCCCTTGCTCTCACTCGTGAGTTCAAGGCTGATAGTGCCAACATCGCCTGGTGGACTGGCAAGTGGTACGCCATGGGCTGGCATACCATTTCCCAGCCTGGCCGTGAATTCCTTTGCAAGATCACCGAGCTCGGTATGTTCGCTGCCGATTTCATTCTGGGACACGTAATTCTGTTCCTCATGCTACCGGCATTGTTGGTCCCCTATGTCGACAAGTTCCATTCGGTCATGTTGTTCTGGCTCCGCCCAAGGTATGTAATTTTCTCCCGTCAACAAATCGCAGATGCTAATCCTTCATAGTCGTCAAATCCGACCTCCAATCTATTCCCTCAAGCAGACGAAACTTAGAAAGCGAAGGGTCATCCGCTATGCCATCCTTTACTTCCTTATCCTCATCATCTTCGCTGCATTGATCGCTGGTCCCATCGTTGCTGGCAAGTTCCTCAAGTCCTTGCCTACGATTCCGATGGACCTTCTTCAACCCACCGGCCTGAACAACAATGACACAAGCGGCCAAGTCACAGGTACTTGCGTCAATGGTCCTTGCCCAGGTGGAGACGGTGGTAGCGTTGCAACAGCAACAGGTGGCGCTCGTTTCAGGGCTTTCTAAAAGTGCGATAATGGTATGAGATTCACCCCTAGTGGACTAGTGCCTTAGGGGAACATGCATTGTACAACATGGCAGAAGCAAGCATGACGCCTGGTGACCACGGTCCCATAATGATTGTAATATTCGAGCCGTCGACTGCTGCGTCTCTTTTGTGTTTTTGGTGTTTGGGGGTGGGGGATAGATGCACTTCGGTTTCCCTCTCTTTTTTTGATTGTCTTCTGCGCCTTGAGTGCGGCCTACACATATACTACTATGGCTGGTTCGGAGACGGATTAGGGCGGCAATATGCTAGATAGTGACTGCATATTAAATACAAGGTCTACTACCATAATGCAAGGGCAAATTCCACAAAATCATTCAACTGCTCCAATGGTTGTCCCGGTGTATGTCTCTCCACCATGGTCTATCAATCTACAATGATTAGAACATATTCCGTTCTGGTTCAGATATCCCTAAACTATTCAGAGCACCAGGGATATATATATATCATGCAGTTGATCTGCATTGCCTACGGGTTTGAAAGCACCAGGTCGGAAAGGCAGACAGGATTACTTTTCCAGATTATATCTCTGATATATCCGACCATCTCCATCACACATCGGTTCCGGTCCCTATTCCAGCGCTCCAGTCTCCGGGGATCAATACGGTGCTAGGGAATATCTGAAAGTTGGGACCATGTAAAATTGTTTCTAAGTTAGATTTTCATCTAAGACATTTTCTAGGGCTCATGGGCACAGTCCGTTACATAGGTGATCGTATCATCAAATATTCTACGCTGGAGGTAAATGGTTGGTTTTCTAAGTTTGTGAGCCGAGGACGAAAGGACTCACACAGGTTTTTGATGTCAACTTTCCGGGTCGACGAGTTCGCCTCTTATTGCTAAATAGTTGCCCTAAAACACATGAGCGCTAGAAGTTTATGCACATTTCGACGATCTGTGGCGAACTCCAGCTCCACTTTTTTATGGATAAGAAAGTCCCATACTGTGAGCCCAACAATTGAACTCTCTTCTGCTTGTCTGCGTAGACAAAATTCCATACCAGGCACTGGTGAGCCCTTCCATGTCATTATCCGTATCACTAATGTCAAACTTAATCGCGTGGTGAAGTTGGTGGAAAGAATCCGGGAGGGCTATGTCTTCTAGATTAAGATAGCACTGGTAAGATGTTTTCCAAACCCTGCGTTTGTTGTTACATGGACGATCCTTCGGTAGAAGTCATCTATATCCACAGGAGTACTTGAGGAATTGGTTTGCCATCTCTTCTTGCCTAGGCAACCCAGGTACAGGCAGAAATTCTTAGTTAGCTTTGAGAAATAAAGAAATATCCTGATTGACTTGATTTTATATGGCGGCTTTTCACGTGACCTCAATCCTTGGGTCAGTGTTGTTCAGATACTTGTAGACTGGATCTCTCCATGTCATAAGTAAGCACAGTGACTAGAGCTCTTGCACCCTCGCCAGATATGCCGTAAGCTCTAAATATCCTCCGAATTCATTAATGGCGTCTATGATCTAAAATTGAAGTCGGCGTAAGCGTGTACTAAGATTGTATGCATATTTGACGACGCCAGAGAAAAACATGATTCACCTGGCTGGTCGAAGTATCCTGCTAATTTCATGCGATGTTCGTGGTAGCGGTGAGAGTCCTCGGGCGAAATATGGCCATATGCAACGCCATTGACCGCAAGAAAGAACTCATTGTAGATAAGTCTAGTCTCCTTTCCACCAAAAAAAGAAGCAGCAGTCCAGGTCACGTTCTCGGAGATAGCTGATGATACCGGCGGATAAGACAATATTCCCTGCCCTGAAAGCCCCCAAGGTATTAGCAACCTTGAGAGCGATGCATCCTGTCACTGCAAAAACCCATCTTTCTGTAAGAACGATTCCCATGTCCGCGGCAACTAGACAGAGTCATATATCGTCACGTCACCGCCTGGCGTGTCCGAAACCCCCAGAGATTCCCTAATTACCTTAATCGCGTTTGCCGTTTCCCTGATTCTTGTAGACACCTTTTGCCTTTGATTGTGGTGCCCAATGTGTTTCGAATGATTAAATACGATGGGTCCTCTCGAGAATCAAGGAATCTCACGATGATTAAAATTTAGTGCCCTTCTCCTCTCATATGGGAAATTCAATATCGCACGGTGTTTCTCAATTACAAGACCAATTCCAATGCCAAGGTTCATGGGCTTGTTCTCAAAGGAGAAAAGGCCGCAATACCGCAGGAGTTCTTCACTAATTGCTGAAGAACGGGTGATTTTGATGAAATAACCGTGAGAAAAGGATATAATATTGGAACCAGTGTCAAGATGGGTCTAAGTGTATCGACAACTCCGGCCATTTAATAGCGAGCTGCAAGGAATAGAAGCGCATAAATATTGCGAACGAAAGAGCTGAACTTTGGAATTGGGTGACCGAGGATAAAGGCTTTCTGCATGAGGATCCCCCACATACTGTGGCAAACACAGATCATGAGAACCTAAAGCGTCCAAGCTTCCACATCGTAAATACTGAGAGGCCGATTTACACTTCCCCACGAGTGATACCCGGAAAGTCGTGAATATCTTCAAGTCGACATCGCACAAAACCCGTAACGTTGAGAGTCGGGTTGTGGCTCAGGCCTGATAGGTGGCCGAAGGTGTTGAGCCTAACGTCTTGGAAAGCGTCGTCTTTGGGAAGCCAGTCCTGTGGCCCAAAAGGAGACAAACCTCCATTTTGGCTCAAGTACTCAGCGAGGCGCCGTTGAAGCCATAGATGAATATCAAGCCAGCGACTACCTCCTGCTGGGGTTCGTGAAGCGTGTGAGGCTAATTGTAACCTTTGGACTTTCCAGATTACCTTCGCCTAGACCCTCCTTCCGGACAAGAGTTCATAAAATCAAAGATAAACTCAAAGTGTTTGTAAAGTACATCTTGCCAAGGGATATAGGACATCCTAAGTCCATATGGGTTGCAAGGGTCGTCCAACTCGGGCAAGGCTGAGCCAGTGCCACACCGAGATGTTTCGAAGTGTTGACAGAGCGGATGTACTTTGACTTGGCATAAGTTGGTCTGGTTAGCTCTACAACTTTCCGGAGAGCATAAATCTAATCCCCTTATATACCGGGCAGAGGAAAGGATAACAGCGAGAGGGCTCCAAGTGCAATGAATACTTACTCCAGAATTTCGAGTCTAACCGTGCTGCAGGTCTTGCTCGTGCCGCTGCCCAAGCTCAGCGACATGCTGACTAGTCAATGCCACCCTCCTGGTACAGCCTTGGGGCTGTGCTGCAGTGAAGGACATATAAGGAATATGTCCTTCGTACACTTCCGAACATTACTCTACAGCAATACTAGTAGCGGAATGGTAGACGCTTCGACCTGTGATCAGGAGATTGCAGTTTCTAAGACATCTATATCATCTGTTGATGAAGGTGTAGAATTGAGTAAGAAAAGAATTCGCTGAAGCTTCCTTCTAGACGCGTTCCACTTAAATATGGTGTTGGCGAATAGGTAGTGGATGATACCGGCAAAGCAATGATGTTGGTAAACTCAATGCACGATAGGGCATCATACTGCAATGCCTGAATATCTCCTGCCCTGGCTAATTGGATGGGCCAAATCGCGTTCTAGGTATCGCGAACATGTTGGCACAGTTACAGGAGAATGGACGAAGTCCCACCTTTGTGAGGTTCAGGTTTTGCGTCCCTATGTCCCAAGAATCTTACCTTTAGGAAATTTGGGTCTACAAAGAAGAGCTTCCACAGGACTATGTTTGACTCCTGGGAAGCTAGCTTTTGGCGCAGCATTCAGCATTTGTTCGACCTAGTCCCAATACTATGAGGAAGGGGAAACAGAGTTGAGGATTAATGAATTTTAAGGTCAACGGATAGCAGCTCGGGTCACTAGATCTTACATAAGCAGCCAAAGATGCGTGTCACATGATAAGGAATAAGCACGTGATTGTTCCGTCGTCCCGAAATTACACCGACCTCCGCGACCTCCGCAAAGTGACCTAAATAAACCTTTTAATCTTCCCAGTCTGAAGGCTTCTTTCCCGCGAACTTACATATCTGATCTACCATGGACCTCAATGAAGCACAGAGTACTATAGTGCGCCTCTTTAGCGACGCCAATGTGCAATTTCACAAGATGCCTGGGTCTGCCATCATCCTGAGATATATCAAGTCGAGTTACCAAAATGACCCTGTTCGTTCTGCAATCGAACTCTTCCTTTTCCTTTTCGCAGTGCGGTATTTGTTGGCTCCGACGTACTCAACGCAGAAGAAGAAGCATGTTGCTTTGACCGAGGAGGTACGGAATTCCGTGTCTACTGTGCAATGCTCACGCGCACACTAAAGGGGTGAATAGGAGATCGATGAGTTAGTTGAAGACTGGACGCCTGAGCCTCTAGTAGCTGCACCTACACCATCAGAGCAGTTGGAGAACGAGAAGCGCCCGGTCATTGTTGGGTATGGCGGTAGCTCGCAAGTGTTCCTACCAACTTGCTGACCAATACGTAGGCCTTCGGGACCAAAGTCGAAGCTGTCGACTGGCCGAACCGTAACGAACCTGGCATCCTATAACTTTTACAATTTCGTGGCAAATGAGAGCTTGAAAGAAAAGGCTATACAGACGCTTCGGACATATGGCGTGGGACCATGCGGACCGCCTGGTTTCTACGGAACGCAGGACGTGCACATGAAGACAGAAGCAGACGTTGCGGCACACCTTGGGACACCGGCCTGTATTGTCTACGCGCAGTCATTTTCGACTATCTCCAGTGTTATCCCCTCCTTCTCCAAACGTGGCGACATTATCGTGGCCGATAAGTCAGTGAATTACGCGGTGCGGAAAGGCATTCAGATTTCACGAAGCACGGTCCGATGGTACGAACACAATGACATGGAAGATTTGGAGAAGGTTCTTCAGCGAGTCACCAAAGAGCAGGCGAAGAAACCCCTAACCAGGCGCTTCATCATCACAGAAGGTCTGTTTGAGAATGTGGGTGACGTGGTCAACCTGCCTAAGCTTGTGAGTGGCATTTATGCTCTGCCGCTTCATTAGCAGGATTCTAATGACTATAGATTGAGCTTAAGCTTCGTTTCAAATTCCGACTCATCCTCGACGAAACATGGTCATACGGTGTGCTTGGCAGAACTGGACGCGGTGTAACCGAAGCACAAAACGTGGATGCCACGGAAGTCGATATGATCATTGGCTCCCTATCTGGACCTCTCTGTGCTGCTGGTGGATTCTGCGCCGGAACTGAGGAAGTTGTTGAGCACCAACGTATCTCCTCCGCGTCTTATACCTATTCCGCTGCGTTGCCTGCGATGTTAGCAACCACGGCTAGCGAGACAATATCAATGCTGCAGGAGCAGCCCGAGATACTAACCGGCCTACGAGATAACATCAAGGCGATGCGAGCACAGCTGGATCCTCGAAGCGATTGGGTTAAATGTTCTAGCTCCGTGGACAATCCGATGATGTTACTTGTTTTGAAGCCTGAAGTCATAGCGTCTAAGAACTTTACCCTTCAGGATCAAAGTCAGTTGTTTCAGGATATTGTGGATGAGGTAAGGACACTTGATACCTTGGGCATATAGCAAGCTAACAACAAACAGTGTGTTGCTAATGGCGTTTTAATCACCCGACTGAAGAATATGCCTCTAGCTCTTGGAACAAACCCTCGAGATCAAGGCTGGCAGCCTCAACCAGCTCTCAAAGTCTGCGTCACATCCGGTCTGACGAAGAAAGAGACTGAGAAAGCTGGCATTATTATAAGGCATGCCATCACCAAGATTATTACAAGGCGAAAATAGTTTGTTTTTGGAGCATGCTTCATATCATTACACTATTAGCGCATGGAAGGCGTTCACGGCGCCGTCAGAGGCAACCGGAGGGGTTTTAGATTTGGGGTGGCATTTTCCCTTTGTAGACAACACCTCCTAATGCTTAATACTAATATCCTCCTGAAGCCCTTTAAGTATTGGTGTCCTGTTGAATACTTTCTTCGTGCCGCAAACAGTTGAATTGGGGACCAGAATGGCCTATTCTATTTCAAAAATCTCTAATCTGGGATTCTATGTTCACTAATGCAAGGAGTTGTCGCAAGGTTGATGAGCGAAATCATTCCCAGCCTCCCCCTGTATGCCCAGCCATCGTGATTGCGGCGAGCCTTCCCTTGTCCGAACACAACAACACTACCTAATCACCCCATCACATCACAGCCCAGGAATCTCCTGCACTCTCTCAACTTACCATTCAACCTTCCATTCCTTTTGTCGCGTATTGCTTCTTCGTCGAGTTCTCAAATCTACCACCTCCGAAACTTCCGCGACAAGCCTCTCACCACGTTCTTGCGTTCTCCACACGTCATTCGCTTGCGCCCACTTCCACGGTCGTGGCAGCATACAATTGAAGCTTCCAACCCCCCTCGGGATTTTCGAAACGATTTCCCGGCCCCGCTGCTTTATCGCTGGGTCTGTGCAGAACTTTGGGTGTGGACTAGATTAAGTGGGAGGCGAAAAGCGAGGTGCAACCAAGGCTGAGCTTCTCGGGCGCTCCATTCCTGCGAGGCACAGCTTGGAGTGATCGCGCGCAGCTTTCCCTAGAGGAATTGAAGTCCGAACCACGTTCTTGAAAGCGCATGTGAGAGCGGAGGAACTTCATTGCACAATCTTGAACGCGACAGCCAAGGCTGTCCGTTATCCTGCAAGCTTCCTATACATTACCCTAAAAGAATCTCGACATGGCGCGCACAATAGTAGGCTCCGCGGTGGTGGTGAGAGAGAAGTACTACTGGCCAGATTTGCAATTGAACATTTGGACCATCATCATGCTGGCAACGGCCGGGACGATACTGGGAATATCTGCAAACTTCATGATCATCCAGAGTCAGATGCAGCGAGACACGCCATGGTGGGTACCTCTCATCATCTTTCTCCTTCCCCAACGGCCAAGGAGAGAACGTTAAGCTAACAAAGCCCTCTAGGATCTTCCCCTACGGCGTCACAGTCGGCGCTCTCACCATGGTCGTCATCTTCATCGAACTCCTTCTCATTGCGCAGCGCCGCCTGCTCCCTGGGATCATGATGTTACTCTCCTTCATCCTGATAGTACTCTTCATAACGGGGATAATTGGAACTTCAATACAGCTTTTTGCTGGTCCGAATGTCAACAATCTGTGCAATGCATTCGTGAACAACCAGAGGCAACACGGGGCGAGTTTGAATACGCTGGGGTGGCTGGAACAGAACAGTATCTGTACGATTCCTCTTCAGAGAACAAGGGCGACAAACATACTAATCTGGTGTGTAGGCCAAAGTTGGAGTGCATTATTCGCCTTCTGGATCATAGGGTCCGTCTTCCTGGTATGGATGATGGTTATGGCGAGCCAGGTCAACCAGAATCAATACGACTAAGGCACCAAAGATCTGGGCCTCTTCTATAGAGACTGGAGCCCTTGAGACGAATTAAATGAGGCGGACGATGAATGTCTTCTTGTGTATAGGTTGATATGTTAGCCATGATCACCTCTCATGGTGTGTACGAATGGGACCAACGGCGTTTATAGGTATGGGCGTTCCTTTCGATGAACCCGAGATACTGGGGCATGACGGACGACATCGGAGAATGGCATGAGGTTATTTGGGAGGGTTTAGCATTAGCAAGGCACATATCATGTGGCTTTTTCGGTATTTGAAAGCGACCCTCGTGGTTAAGGAAGCGACATGTCAATCGCATGTCATATCCCAGTTGATGCTTGGGAATCTCTTTATATAGTTTTCATAGTCTATACATATTAGAAGCAGTCCATAATCTATTAGATGCTCGTGTGAAATCCCGTCTCAAGTTGAATTTCTACGGTAACGCAGAACCAAGTTCAATACTCGCGTCTGAGCAATTGAATATCTCCGGAACACAACATCAAGAACCGCATACCCGAAGGCAAAATACCACGTCACAACAGCAGATTCTGATACTGTACTACTGCACAGAATACAAACGCTCTGACATGCCTGCCAAGGTTCCAACGGCTCTGCGGGCGGTAACTTCCAAAATCTATTGGTGGCTGTCTCCATCCCATCACAGCTTTCTCCACTTGTCCAAGCATCGCCGCAATAATCTCCGTTATCTGCAGGATTCGTATGCGATAATTTTTAATATCCATGTGTTTCCTGGGCCTGATTTTTGCAAGTGACTAGTCAGAGATCTTCAAGTCGAGGACAGGTTTTTGCCTTGGTATGAGACTACTAGGCGAGGCGAATGTGCAGGTGAATGCCCGGGGGGTGGGGGGGGGGAGAATACAGGTTTGAAATGGGATGCACGGCAGCAGCAGGATAGGCGGCTCTCCGGGGGTGTACGACAGGTATTTGAGTGGCGAGGTGGCGAGGCGCGCTTAGAGCTCACACCAATTGTTCCGCGTTGAATTGTGTGAAAAAAGAAAGAAGATGTGGCAGAAGTTATCTCATGGAGAGTATAGGAACGGTGTTTTCTCTCCGAGTTCTCTTACTGGTGATAAAGAAAGCCATTGTTCTGAATCCCATCCCTCGAATCCAACCATCGCAATTGCAAAAAAAGCCGGAAACATGCATGCACTGATCATGCACCCAGCCCACTCTACTAACTACTAACCCCCATCCATCTAATTTTATCGCAACAATACCTGCTAACCTAAGATCTGACTGCTCGAAACAAAACACTAAGCTCCAAGGCCCTATCCTAAATACGACAATGCGCACTAGGATCCGAAGGACAAGGAACAAGGATACGCGTAGACGACGCGGTGCGTGCGCTTTTTCAGACCCCACTTCCCGGTCCGCAGCTTTGATTCGTTGCACGGGGTAAGCGCGTTGAGGGGTGTGGCTAGCTGGGAATGACTCCTTTTATGCGGGATCGGTTGTTGGATGATGACGAGGGAGATCGTGTAGTTTTGATGGTAGCAAGCAGTAGAGCAGAATCTTTGAAAGGCCAGGATGTGAGATGCAAGGAGGTGGTTCAGTTCCGTCCATTTCGCGTGAGAATCAGGCACAGGCACAGGCACAGGAACGAATCATCGCGATACGCTGCAAATGGAACCAAAATAGTGGTTGCCATGTATGTATGTATATTTTTGACCCGAATCATGGGCACTTCCCCTCGCCGCACTCCTCCCTCCCTATCCTTCAAAATATCCAAATGGTCGGGAGAATAGGTTCCTGGGAGATAGGCACGGATGAAGTTCGCTCTAACCAGCTGTCTAAATTGTGGCGTAACCTGCTTCCCTCGTATCGAAACTGCACAATCGCTTCATACGACAAAGTGGAAACCTGATTTTGAGGTGCTGAATGATTGACGTCTTTCCATCTGCACTAGTCTCTATTTATTGTGTTTCTTATTCGCTTGTTGCTACTGCTACGAGAGACGCAGTGAATATGCTATGCTAGCGGCGCTAACTCGCGCTGAAGCTGCTTGGGCTTTGCCTCAGATATCCATTCTCCTCATGCTAATCACCGAGTACATATCAGAGCAAACAAATCGCATCGCCGAAGTCTTTCAGAATACATTGGAGGAAAGGCAGAACACAAGGCCGGGGTATGCTGGGTATGTTCGGCGGGAAAGGGTGGCACAAGGCGCTTGCCGCATCGCTCGCTTGTGGACAAGGGGGTAGTAGTGTGAGGAATCAGGATGAAAGAATCCAGAGATGCCGCCGGTGGTATCATCCTCGAACGAACCAGAAAATAGACAAGATGAAAGTGGCCCCAATGATTACCCAAGTATTATCCCGTCTGCAGTCGAAATCGAATCAACATTGGAATAAAGCGGGCCTATACCATCGATCCTTTGTATAGAGCGCTTAACTCCATGTTGCGAAACAAGTGGAAAAAGACCATTCTCAAATAGAACGCCATGCTTTTCTGTAGGGACCGTAAGAAAGGTGGAAGATGTGTGCCGTGCGGGCGTGATGTAGATCCAACAACACTTTTAAGGATGAATCCAGTGTCGTGTCGGAGTCATTAGTCATACCTCATCTTGTAAGGAGAAGATTAGTCGTAATTGTATATTTATTTTTCCTGTCGTTGATTTTTTTGACATTCATGAGACAAGCTCTCCGCCTAGGTCCATGCCAAGACCTTCGACTTTGCCGATTCGTGAGCGGTCCATTCCAATGCGTGGGCTATCGCCAGTTGGAGGGTGGAGATTATCGAAGTTGAGTCGCCGCCGGGCCTCGCGAGCAGCGGCAGGAGTCTTTCCGGCGGCCGGTGTGCGAGTCCACGACCCACCAACTTGAGCTGGGCTGGGAGTCATATTCAGAAACTCGGCAAAATTGAGGTTTGCGGAGGGTGTGTTGAGGCCAAAGCCTGGGAATGGGGCACCTCCGCCTCCAGGGGTGGACATCATGGAGGACGGAAGAGGAGTCGATTTTGGTGGAGGAGTAGAGGGTGCGAGCATGCGAGGCTTGGAGGATCCTGGGTGTGCTGGCGAAGGGGATGTGGCTAAGTACATGAGAAGATTAGCATCCTCCTCTCCTTTCTGTCCATCACGGGCCGCAGCTACAGCGAAACCATTTTGGCGAAGTCGAGCGGAACGGGCGACGGCGGGGGGTGGAGTGCGAGGCGGTCGGGGCGGCGAAGAACGCATGTGTGAGCTGTTGATTTGGAACGAACTTATGGGAAGGTCGTCATCGTCGTCCTCTGAGAGGGGTGATCTAAGATCATCGGGGACGGTAGAAGTCTCCGAGACAAAGGACAAGGTAGGGGCGTGTGTGTTCCCGAAGCGTGGGTGTTTGCGAGGGTATACGGGCGATGACTCGGCCAATTGGTATGACGTCTTCCACGAGGTTGCATTTGCGTTGGAGGCTCTAGTCTTGCGGGTGTGGTTGCTGGATCCCGGGTACCTGTTAAATGCTTGGCCGTACCGTGGTCGCTTGCTCTGACTATGACTGCTACCAGAGCGACTCCCCGACCGCTGAACGTCATCCGAGAATATCGGCGCAGCGAGGGGAGAAGAGTCGAGGACACCGGGCTGATAAAAGCGCTCAGAGACACTGGACGTTTCCGACAATGTCTCATTGCTGGAGCCGGGCCGCTTCCGTTTAAGCTCAACATCGACTCTGGGCTCGAGAGTGTCGAGACTGAGACTTTCCCAGCCGTGCTTGATCTTGACATTGGCCAAAGCGAGGCGGTTCTGCAGCGTCCGGGTCATCTGCAGAGGCACGTATTAGCACCCAATGCTGAGGGAGGAAGGGGAGTGCAGGCATGTGGGATGTAGGGAGATGCACCTTAGAGACCTGAGCTCTGCGCAAGACTTTGGTCGCAACCTCGGCGGGCTGGTCCATTCGGTCGGTCGTCGCCATGATGGTTGAAGTCACAGAGCAGACGGGTAGACTGGGTGGAGAGGTCGAGGAGCTCTTGAAAGAGTTTCAGCCAGGAGGAATGCGAGGAGTTTGACCTTCTGAGCACGGCTTCGGGGCGACTTTGAATGCGGGATAGCTTGACAGGGCCAGAGGGACAGGGCAAGGGAGCACAGGCGCTGGGCATAATTGTTATGCTAGACTGGACTCGGCACGCAGTAGGCAATTACAGCAGGAGGACTGCACATAATAATGACTGACCCGTCCACAGCCGCCCGCTGACTGGAGCCTTGTCTGGTCAAGGCAGCGCGAGATTGCTTTTGAAGTGTGTGGCGCTAGGAGCTGGGGGGTTCACTGTAAAGTATAGCCGCCGTTCCATATGCTGACTGGCGTCGATACGTTTGTTTCAAAGCCTATCTTCCGGCGTGCTGTGAGTGGGCCGGCTTGCCAAGGCACAACTGATCCACCTGCATCCGTCCACGGGTGCTTGGCCGCAAGCAGGCCCTTGGCTATTGTCGTCATCACTGTTTGGCTGAAGCCCATTCACAGGAAATCGCATCCATCCAAGCAGTGCTCTGCTAAATGGCCTTGGTGCAACTGCCTGTTTGGTTGCTGCCACTCACTCAAGTGCCCCGCTACATCCGCCTGCACGTCTGGCCTGAGGTGCGTGAAAGCTGCGGCGTTGAGGTAGTCATTTCCGCTTCTGTCCTCCCTAGCTCAGATCCGTCGTCCGTGGTGTGCTGCAAGGCTACAGATATCGCCCGCCAGACGTCCTTTGTCGTCCTCCGCAACCTCAACACCAGCGAGGAGCCCACTGCCGCCCCTCCACTTCTACTGTCTGCACCCTCATTTTGCTGCCATCGTCGTTGTCCTCTGTCTTTCTTCGCTCGTTTGTTTTTTCAGTATCTAATTCCATTGCCAGCATTGCGCATTCGGGTACTCCCAAAGTCCGATTAACCCACCACTCCCATATTACGCGTCCTCGGCAACGCCCTGCTCACGCTGGAGCTGTCCATCGTTAGCTGCTCACCGCTCGTCCTTCTATGAGTCCCACACTGCTCCTCACATACCTGCCCCTCGTAGCCCTGCCGCTGAGCTTTCCCTCGTGTCATGCCTTCCTTCCTCAGCAGCTTCCGGAGCAAGTCCAGGTCGAGCATCAAAACAGAGCAGTCGGCAACTAACCTAAATCCTCCCTATGTGAATGGCAATGGCCACGCCAATGGCATTCCCACTGGCATGGCAAACGGAACTGGCACCATGTCCCGCCGCAAATCCTCCTCAACTCTAAACTCCTCTGCCCAAGGATCCTCCACCCCGCCAACGTCGGAAGATTTCTCAGTGCAATCAAGGCCTCTCAAGAGCGGGACGCCGTCGCTCCCCTCGCGACCAACCCGGCCCACTCTAGGTATTAAATCGTCAAAGCGGTATAGCATGAATGTGAGTGGACAGCGTCCCACCCAGCTTGGCCAGTGACTGATGACGTCGTAAGGGTTTGGCCTCCGCTGGCACCAATGGCTCCCAGACTTCGGTTAACCCGTCCTCATTACTAGCTCCTCGCGTTCTCTCTGTGTCTGAAGGATCATGGGTACGCATCCCAGAGTGTTAGCTGAAAATTGGTGCTGACGACAAGTAGGTACACCAGCAGGTTCTGTTGATATTTGGCCAGGTTGGCGAATCCGCCAGTAGGCCGCTGGACGGCATGGTAACGGTCAACCATCATCAAGGTCGCTTCCCACCTATGGCATGGCCGGTATGCGACTCTTACTTCAAAGCTCTTGTCCATCTTGAGCCAGGGTGGAACTGCGTGCGGCTAGATTTCTCCTCCCCAAAAGTGTCATCGAACAGTACTTCTATTCCTGCCCATGCTTCCTTCTTAAATGTCAACTATCTTCCTCTCACCCAGAATCCGCCTCTTCAACTGGCAATCATCCTCGGCAGCGACTCTTCAGGAACCTACGATGCTATGCCAGACCGCTTGCAGCGAGAAGGGAATGGGCTGGAGCTTGCGATGAAGAAGTTCCGAATGTCTGCATATCTCTGGCAAGCCTTCACTGGCGAGCAAATGAATCGCCATGGCTTCGGTCGACGGTGCTTTCGTTTCGAGGACGAATGGGCACCGGGAACTCTTAGCTACCAAGACTGGGCCACTGGTGAATTCAGGACCCAAGCGAAGATCCACATTATCCGGTCAAAGAAAACTGTTGCTGAGATCAGAGATCTTGACCTCGCCCAGCAAAACGAAAAAGCAACGAAGAAAGGTGACCTATTTGGCATTGCTGCGGAGGCAGTTAAGGATTATTTCAACGTTAAACCAGGACAGAAGCAGTACGTATCCTGCCTGTTCTTGGATACTCACTGGGACGCAAAGGTCAAGACTGTGCGGGGGCATGCGGCCCTAGGCGGCGGGGACGGAAATCTCCAGCTTGCAATCTTCGGATCCCATGCTCTCCAAAGCTACCCATCGAGCATCGAAGAAGTGTGGCAAGCTTTCGGCGATTGCACGCGCACTGACACTACATTCGTCGCCAATGATTGTAATGAGTCGGGAAGTAGCTGGGAGGCAGCGAATATCGGTATCGGTGCACATCTACATGAAACAGGGCACCTCTTTGGCTGCCCGCACCAAGAGTCTGGTGTCATGTTACGTGACTACGTTAGATTGAATCGCACGTTTACCTCTCGCGAACCCTACTCGACTCGTACCAAGTCCCCCGGCCAACGACTCGTTCTACAGCACGATGAATGCGCCTGGCATAGGCTCGATACTCTACGCTTTCGTTTCCACCCTTGCTTCAGAATCACGATTGATAAGTCGATTAATGGGGACGGAAGCGTACAAGTGTGGACGGTTGACGACAATCAGGGCGGTGTTATCGCGACCTCCGCTTCTGGCATTGCTTGGGTCGAGCTTTTCACTGAAGGGGACGATATCTGCCACTTCTGGCGCGAGTGGCCGGAAATGAACAATGTGTACCCACGGCAGGCCGCTCTCATAGAATCTGAGCTACGCAGTCTTCTTCCCAAGGAGAAGCGCAACTCGCGGCTAAAACTTGAAGTCTTCTCAGCGGGCGGTGGGAAGCATGTAGTCGAAGATTTCAGCCAGCTTGCAAACACGAAGTATTCACGGGTGCGCATTCCAGACGGTCGGTGGGGCTACCGCGGGAGCAAGCTAGGCTACTCGCAAATGCAAGGTTCTGAACCGCAGGAAGTCATATTGGAGAGTGCTTACATCCAGACGAAACTTCTCGTTTCCATTCGAGTATATCATGGACTTGCGTTAGACGGCATCGAATTCATCTACGAAGACTCGACCAGCCAATTATTTGGCAAGCGAGGCGGCAAGACCGGCGGATCCGAATTTGCCCTAGACACGCGAAGAGGCGAGCTCTTGATGGGCTTTGGGCTTCGAGCTGGTCTATGGATTGACGGACTACAGATATTGACGAGCTTGGGACGAAAGAGCGAATGGTTCGGAAAACCTAATGGGGGTAGCGGGTACGATTGTTGACGTTTGGTACTATTAATATGGCAAATCACTTACATGATACAGGCACACCCTCATACCACCTCGTGGGTACACCATTGGCGGCATCTCGGGTTCATGTGCTCAATGGGTCGACGGTTTCTCGTTGATCATCACACGATAAGACTCTTTACTCCTCAAACACCACCACATCACTCCATGCTTCCGGTTCTCCAGCGCTCCAACGGCAAGGCGCTCTTTCACCTGCACATGATTATCTAAAACTTTCCAACCCAGCATAGTTCCTGCACTCAGTACCTGCCTGCTCGCGGGCTGCTACCTGACATCCCATCCGCCTAATATCCCGAATATTTGTTGACCGCTCCACTGGTTGTTAAACTTAATACTTGCCTCTCTCATGCTCTCATTTGTCTCCGCTTTGGGACCCAGATGCAGTCTAGATCTCGTTTTCTTTCTGGATACTTGTTAAGCAGATTCATGACAGCACCATGACGGCACCATGACACCATGACGGCTCAAGCAGTGTGTTGCTCCTACTGGTAACCGGACGGATGGTTCGAACGGTTGATTCGCGGTGGAGGGGCGGGCTTGGGTGGGATCGGGATAGGTACACATACATAAATATCGACTTGGGGCGGAATTAATTCAGGGACTCTTCTACGGAGAATTTTTGTAACAGTACACCGATTGCTCTCAATAGAAAGCCTAGTGCTGCAAATAGTAATTAGATAATGATTCATCTGTGGACTTCATGTTGTTGACTGGGCTGATGTGAGCGAAGATCACTCAGATTCATCAGCTACCAAAGCTTTGAAAATGGCTATTTTGTTCTTGCTACTTATCGCTAATCATTACTGTCTATTACCAAGCCGCATGATTTCCCTAGAATGAGAAGAGAACGACTTTGCCACGCCAAGATCTCTAGTGGATCCATCCTTCCAGCCACCCCAATATATTACCATTTCCAGCTCTCCGAGTGTCTCCCCCTCTTTACGGCTTCGGTATATGAATAGTTTTGCTAACCATCAAACATCCATGCACAACAAACATTCCTACAACGGGGTGCACCTCCCACCACGCGCCAGTTCCCCACGTGCCCATTGGGATATCTCCATGCGTCCAGCCATTCCAGACCCAGTAACCCATTATACTAACCAATCCAAGGGACATGGGGATTGGGGTACCTTCGAAGTATTTCGACTTTCCGGAGCCGTCTTTTGGGAGCATGGCGACGGTTACGTTGAACCGGGCGAGACGGGTGAGACCGCAGAGGATGAAGAATGAGAGAAGGAGGTGGTCGACGGGTGTGCGGAAACCCATGCTGAAGGCTGCGGCGGCCGGGGAGACGCCAAAGGATATCTGGGATTATATGGTTAGCATCGTTGCCCGTGTTGGGGTGTAGATGGTGGGAGAGTGCAACGGAAGGGGATAAGTACCAGGTCCGCGAGAGAATCAAGTTCTTGTCCCATCAGCGACGCCTTCTTCCGCCAGCGCGCAACCTTGCCGTCCATGAAATCGAAGAAAAGGCCGAGCGGAATGAAGCTCAGGGCAAGATAGAGGTTAGTGTGGTCGTTCGGGTCACCAATACAGTATCGAAGAGACGAGAAAACGGACATGACGCCGCAGAAGCCTAGTCCCACCATCAGCATACTACTTAGAGTATAATCGCAGAGTTCGTACCATTAAGCTCGGTTATGAAATCCGCAAGGTGCAAAGCTCTGTGCGATGTTAGAAAAGCATTGCTGTGTGGGTTTCCTGTGCGCACCGGACAAGTGAAAAGTGGCCGGCTTCTGAGGATAGCAGTCTAGCTTGCTTGTCTTGAGCTGTCCGATTCATTAGCAAAGATGTTGCTATTCGGCTCTAAGCTTCACCTACACAAGTCTACAGGAGGTGGTGCTACATCCTTTTCCGGAGCGGGAGCTATGGGAGCGCCGTTTCTTCGCGACATGTTCCAGAAGGCGGTGTAGACGAGCACGCTGTGGAAAAATAAATAGGAAGAGGGATAGTTGAATGTGTTTGGGTACTGAAGGAAATTTTCAGAGGGCTGGAGCGAAATGTTTATAGTTTGCGGATGTGGTGCGTCAGTCGCGGGGAGCTGTGCTTTTTGGCATTCAAGATCTGGCCCAAGGCGTACGTCACAAACCTGGAGCACTCTGCCAAGACTTCTTATCCAGCCACAACCCGTGATCAGAAAGCTTTCCGGAGGTCGTTTTGTCAGCCAGCTTCTGTGTATAGTACTGTGAATCACCAAATATGGCATGTGTAGTGTTCGATCTAGGATATCATTAAAGTCTGAATCCGCCTTCTCGGTTTAGAATTCGATTGCAGCGGAAACTCGTGCAGAAGGAAGGAGCTCCTCAGAAAGCAAGCAATGTGATTTAACCCCTATACGACCATTGTCGTCATATAACCCTTCTCGCATATCCTAGAAACAGGCTCAAAGATGAGCTTGACTTTTATTCAGTATGCCGTGGGGTGGCAGCATATGATTAAATATCTAGCCATTGCTATCCTTCGAAGCTCACGGAAGCTTGCCGGAAATTTTACAGTGGGAAAAAGGTTCAGACCCGCCCCGGAACGCCGTCCTGTGACCCTGGTATATGAAAAGCCGGACAAAGCTCCTCTCTGACGATGGAAAGAGAGTGTCTAGCCTCGACCCCGTCCGAACCCTCTGCCACCTCCTCCCCTTGGAGCGCCCCTTGAGAATCCACCACCACCTCTTCCTCCAAAGCCTCGGGAAGCACCTCCGCCCCGACCGCCAAATCCACCCCGCCCCCGAGGTGCCCCTCTTCCACCCCGTCCTCCCCTGTCTCCAAACCCGCCTCTACCCCTAGCCCCTCCTCGGCCACCACCGACTCGCTTGGGCTTGGGTGCTCCAGGTGGTCCTTTGGGTTTCGGGATGAATCTAACAAGCTCAGCGCTCTTCGGGTCACTTTCTGCACCAATATTCACCTGTCCAATGGTAGAAGCTTGTCTCCTCCGATGTAGAATTTATCGCCCGGCTTGAATGATGTAGCTTGAATGCCCTCGGAAGGTTTAATTGTGAAGAAAACTTGGTTCAACGGGCCCAGGACCTCGTCAACCTTGCCAACAGCAGTCTGTGCTTCAGATTAGCACCAAAACAACCCCAGAGGATACGCTTGAGTGTAGCCTGCCTTGCTCTCAAGGAAAATCTGCGCGTTGAAGTATGGGAGCTTAGGATTTATCGATTCGCAGAACATCTCGCCTTCAACCGCATGTACGAACTTGCCCATTTCTAATAGAGTCGTTAGTAAGTGACCACCACAATCGCATGGATGAGTGCCGTACCATATACTTGATCTGGAGGGCCAAATGACTGGGCTGCGCCGCCACGGCCTGTGGAGGAGTTAGCTACGCTGGAAGACAGATGGTGCAAGTACGCCCCTCCATATGAACCTCCACGAGGAGCAAATCCACCTCGACCGCCGAAACCACCACCGCGGCCTCGAGGAGTACCGCGAAAGGACATGTTATCTGAGAATTGTTCGTTGGATGGTCAATTGTTGCGGCGGCTTGTCACACTCGAGGCCGAAAAATCGTGGAAAATCTCGGCCAATCGGATAATCATTTATTCCGAGCCAATGACATCCCACTGTGCCAAGACTTGCTCGTGGTCAGAAGCTGTCCTCAAATTGAGTCAACCCAATGGGTGATGCAACATGCACAAGTGACTGTTCGAGGTGACACGAGCTACCGCAATTTCCAAGTACCCTTGCCCTTAAATTGACTCCTTACGCACTTTGATTCACCGGTCTTGGAACAGAGACTGAGTCAGAGCGAGTTGTTTTACCTTTGATACCCCACCGTCTCAAGGAGTGTCCTAGAAAAACTCCACAACAACTGCAATCATGGACGCTGTCAAAGAGGCTGCCGATGGCGTGAAGAATCTCGTTGTATCAAAAGATCAAAAGCCAAAGAAGGAGAAGAAAAAGAAGGGTGGTATCGCTGCCGATGGCCGACCGTTGATGCTGGATCCCCGACCGACATACATTGACCACCGAATCGAGATATTGTATGTGAGAGCATAAGCTTGCAGTCCTAAATCGCTAATAAACCGACAGCGAGAAGCTGAAGGCAAAGCACGACGAAGAAATCGCCCAAAAACCGCGCGGTAGGAGAAGGCCTTCCCCAGTCGCAAAGGTCACCACTCACTAACACATTCCCTTGCATTGTAGAGAAAATCGATATCACACTCGAGGACGGCAAGATCTTAGCAGGAGAATCGTGGGTCACGAGCCCTGCTGACATCGCGAGGGGCATCAGCAAGAGCTTGTTCGAGCGTACGGTCATCGCCCGTTTGGACAAAGGAACCGATGACGAGACGTTGTGGGATCTGGAGAGGCCACTCGAAAAGAGTTGTCGTCTGGAACTGCTCCCCTTCGACCACCCCGAGGGAAAGAAAGTGTTCTGGCATTCAAGTGCTCACGTCCTAGGAGAAGCTTGTGAGCGTCGATTTGGCTGCGATTTATGCATAGGGCCTCCAATTGAAGATGGCTTCTACTATGAGGTAAGGTATCGACTGTGTCGCGCGCCAATCCTCTAACCCCTTTCAAGATGTCTCTGCCTGAGAAGGCGGTAGTCGAGTCCACGGACTATAATCCTCTTGAGTCGATTGTCAGCAGTATCGTCAAGGAGAAGCAAGTCTTCCAGCGGCTGAGTCTCTCAAAGGATGACCTGTAAGTTCATTCAATTACGAGATACCGTATGTTTATACTCACTCAGTAATCTAGACTGGAGATGTTTAAGTCGAATCCATTCAAGCAACATATCATCAAAGACAAGATTCCAGATGGAACGTTTACTACGGTGTACCGGAACGGGCCTTTAATTGATCTCTGCCGAGGACCGCATGTGCCCCATACGGGAAGGATAAAGCAGTTCAAGGTCATGAAGAACTCCGCATCCTACTTCCTCGGAGATGCAAACAACGAAAGTCTGCAGCGCATTTATGGAGTTTCCTTTCCAGACAAAGACCAGATGGTAGCGCACCTCAAATACTTGGAGGAGGCCGCCAAGCGAGACCACCGAAAGATTGGCAAAGAGCAGGAACTCTTCTTCTTTCATGAATGGAGTCCGGGTTCGTGCTTCTTCTTACCTCATGGCATGATCATCTACAACACGCTATTAGCCTTCCTCAAACAAGAGTACTGGAAGCGTGGTTACCAGGAGGTCGCTACGCCGAACATGTACAATTCCGCTTTGTGGAAGGTTTCTGGCCACTGGCAGCACTACCACGAAGACATGTTCACGTTTGAGGTCGAAAAGGAACAATGGGCTTTGAAACCTATGAACTGCCCTGGTCATTGTTTGGTGTTTAAGCACCGCGAACGCAGCTACCGAGAACTTCCTATACGTATGGCTGACTTTGGTATCCTTCATCGGAATGAAGCCTCGGGAGCTCTTACGGGATTGACGCGAGTTCGGCGGTTCCAGCAAGACGATACGCACATTTTCTGCACTGAGGACCAGATCACGGAAGAGATCTCTGGGCTGTTCGACTTCTTAAGGGAAGTCTATGGCAAATTCGGCTACACGTTCAAGCTAAAGTTAAGTACGCGTCCGGACAAGTTCCTTGGAGAAGTCGAGGTGTGGGACAAGGCCGAAGCGAAGTTGTCTGCAGCCTTGGATCAGTTCACTGCCGATGGGGGCGGTAAATGGGAGCTCAACCCCGGTGATGGGGCTTTCTACGGCCCAAAGATCGATATCGCCATCTCAGATGCCTTGAAGCGAGAATATCAATGTGCTACAATTCAGCTCGATTTCCAGCTTCCTATCCGTTTTGGTCTTGAGTATATGACCTCCGAAGTTGCAAAGAAGGAAGAGGCGGCAGTCCTGGCACCGACGGAGCAAACGAAGCCACAGCCTGGGTATGCTCGTCCTGTAATGATACATCGTGCCATATACGGATCCTTCGAGCGATTCATTGCGTAATTACTTCCTCCCACACTCATTTATCTTTTACTCACCCATCTTTCAGTATTCTGATAGAGCACTTCGCCGGCCGCTGGCCGTTTTGGCTGTCCCCACGCCAAGTCCTCGTCATTCCCGTTATGCCTGCCGTCAACGATTACGTCAAAGAAGTGCAAACTCAATTGCGATCGCAAGGTTTACATGCAGACATCGATATCTCCGGGAATACAATGCAGAAGAAGATTCGAACGGGGCAACTGCAATTGTACAATTTCATCTTCGTTGTTGGAGCCGAAGAACGCAACAGTAAGACGGTGAACATTAGGAATAGGGATGATCAGGCTACGCAGCAGAGAGGAGAGATTGTACCACTTGACGAGGCCTTGAAGAAGTTGGTAGTGTTGAGGGACACTAGAGCTCTAGTGAACAAGATGTAAGTGGTGGTGCTCAGGGAAAGGAATGACATATGAGACGCCATCCGATGAAGGAATGGTTTTTGGGGGGGGATTCATACACCACTTCTATGGAGCTTAGAAAGGTCGCTCATTAGAGCGGTTACAAAAAAAAAGCTTCGAATCAAGTCTACAAATAGCCCAGCTAAGATTAGCGTGATTTTTGCGGGCCGTTCATTCTCATGCCAGATTTCCATCTATCATCAACTTGAAAATGCATCCTTGAATCTCGCTCAGTTCTATTGCCTTGGGGAAAGCTTCTTGGCCACATAATTCAGCCGGATGAAACAGCACAAAGTCAGCCGCCCGCTGTTTATTTTCGGTGCCCACGATATCCTGTCTCTATTCCCAATTAAGTTCCAAGACCTCAATCTTCACAGGAATCAATCCCTATCGGTATCTCAGCATGGAGCTTGTCCAGGCTTTGCTTGCTTTCAAGGAACAGCCACGCGACTAAAGGATCTTCAATATCGACCTTCTTCTTCCGGCTAGGTTTCAGACATTGTATGCATCCGTTTCCACCTACCGATATTTTCTTTCCGCTTGCCGTTATTTGACATCGCGCACATGTCTGTTGTCGTCAGAGGCTGCATTTCTCTCCTTTTCTTCCGTTGCAAGGAACATACAGCAAGCCGAACCCGTTGCCCACACTCTGCACCCCGACAACTGGCCTACTATTTTCGGTAGAAAGTGGGTGTGTCGCATAATCAGCTTTCGTTCGGAGCGCTGCCGTGCCGCAGATGTGTGTCTCTTTTTTCCAGAATCGCAATTTATGCAAGGGCCCTAGTTCGAGGTACACTGGTCACCCCTAACAAAAAGAGCAGGACAGATAAGCTTCCCAGGACAATGGTTTCCCGCATAGTGCTATCACTGTCACATTTATAGAGCAACGCCCGCTAGGTCATGCTGACTTGATCCACGTCCAATGTACCACAGTCTGAAGACTGAGATCGTACCTAAAGCTGAGTATTTGCAATGGCTCAACCTCCTGCCGGTCTTGCTCTCGATGGTGGCGACCCTCGATTGAGTAGTGGCCCAACTGCGAAGATGATTCACGATCCAAAGTTTGTTATCCAAAGAATCTATTTCTAGCCCTAATCCGATGCAGTGTCACATTTGAGGAATATGTGTACTATGCGAAGATCGAACGGGCTCGCGAGAAACAACACCCAGACGTACTCGATCTAGTCACGTCTTTGAAATCCGTCTTGGGAAAGAAGAAGGTCGTTGTAGACATAGATGCACCGTCTTCTGTGCAAGCAACTCAAGCTACGAAGGATGAGAAAGGGATCCCTAGAGATCAGCCACCAGCGGTAGCTGAAGAGGAATGGTACCAAGCTTCGAGGGCTTTGCGAACGGCGACATGGGGGGCTGTATTTTATCTCATTACGACAGACGTCCTTGGGCCATATTCTGTGCCGTACGTACACGTCAAAGAGGGTAGAACGACACTAACTAGCCTGGTAGTTGGGCTCTTTCCCAGATGGGGTATGGACCAGGCGTGACTTTGTATACCATCTTTGGACTCTTGGCTGGATAGTGAGTCGCCTTTCCACACAACTTCTTGAAGCAGCCCTTTCTGCCCTCATTTAGTCCTTTCATAGGCATCGTATCACTAACGACCTCCAGCACCGGGTGGCAAATCTGGCAGATGTTTCTCCGTCTCGACTCGTCAATCTACCCTTTGAAATCTTTCGGAGACATCGCGTTTCGTGTTTACGGTTCCTGGGCTCGACACTCAGTCAACATTCTTCAATCCCTCCAGCTTATCTTCAACGTCGGCGTCATCGTGATTCAAAATGGCCAAGGTCTATACCAAATCAATAGCAACATCTGCTATGTTGCTTGTTGCATAATCTGGGTGTGTTCCGGCATGATGCTTGGCCAAATCCGAACGCTGCAGAAATTTGGCTGGGTTGCAAATCTAGCCATATGGATTAATATTGTGGTTATGATATTGACAATGGTTATAGTGAGCCACAGCCCACCGAATTACACCGCATCTGAAGCATCAAATGGACGTGGCCGAGATTTTGGACCGATCTCTACATATGCTAGCGCGCCACCTTATAGCGAAGGGTTTCAAACTGGTATCTCCGGTCTGATGCAAGCAGTCTATTCATACGGCGGCGCACTCATCTTCTGCGAATTTATGAGCGAAATGCGAAAGCCTGGTGACTTCTGGAAGGCTTTGCTCATCGCTGATTCCTTCATTTACGTCACATATCTCTTCTTCGGACTCTACGTCTACAGCTTCCACGGCGAATTCGTCGTCAATCCAGCATTCCAAGGGATCTCGCCTCAGAGTGCCTTGAAGGCCGGAAATACGTTGGGACTGATCTCTGCGTTGATCGCTGGAGCTCTGTACGGCAACATCGGCGTAAAAGTAATCTATACCAACATCCTCAGGGAATTCTTCAACGCGCCCCCACTGGACGAGAAGTTGGGGAAGTTCTTGTGGGTGGGACTGGTCCCGCTCTATTGGGCCGTGGCTTTCGTTCTTGCAGCTGCTATTCCGAATTTCCCATACCTCTTGGGTCTTGTGGCGGCAGTTTGTATTCTGCAGTTCACGTATACTATTCCGCCGCTGATGATGCTGGGATGTGATATACAGTACCATTCTATCAGAGAGGCACAAGGTGAAGGGTTTGATCCGGCAACAGGACAGACGAAGAGACTGGATGATGGATGGAAGAGATGGCTCAGAGGCGCGAAGACGTATTGGTATGTTAATGTGTGGAATTTGCTGTTCTTCTTTGGGGCGCTCGTTACAGCGGCACTAGGGATGTATAGTAGTATTCAAGGACTGAAGATGGCATTCGCGACTGGCAGGAGTACGAGTTTCAGCTGTAAAGGTCCTTTAGGGTCGGGGTAAAGCGAAAGGCGATTTAGGTAACTCTAGTTCTGCCAACTCCTTCCATTATGAACTACCTCAAGAGTAATAGAGATAGGCAACACAGCCAGCAATCTATGATCAACTTGGGTATGCAAATAATATCACACTTTAGTTCAAACTCCTGGCTATGTTGGTTAGCCTTACAAGGTCACAAAGATTTCACAGAATGCAAACGATATCTCAGAATACTCGATATTTTCGACACTGTTGTCTATTGAATGCAACATACCATACCATATCCTCAATGCCTAGCATAGTGATGCTGCTGAAGCAAACCTAGCCAAACCCCCCTCACCAGTCAAACAACTCAGAAGGGATCCAATATAGAATATCCAACAAAGAAGTACAACCCCCCACACCCGTCCCCATCTCTCGCATGCCTCAACTATTAGCGATAGGCACGGCCAAGCTCATGAGGAGATTTCGGAGCCAACCCATAATCCCTCTTCAACTTATTTTTATTCATGTCTGCTGATCAGTCTGGAACCAACGCAATCCCTTAATCTCCCAATACGCTTGCGCGAAAGCCTCAGGGTTATCACGGACATACTCTTCACACGTACTCGCACCAGTCTTCGCAGCGCACGATTTCGCCCACTCTTTCTCCTCGCCCGCCCATTCTCCGCAGAAGGTTATGCCGAGGATAATTTTAAGGTCCTTGAAGCGTTCTTTGAAGTCGCAGCCGGAGCCCTGGAATTTCGCTATCGGTGTGCCGAAGGTTCCAGGTTCGGGGTTCATAGTCAGGTCTTTGGGGAGGGATGTGGAATTGCGGGCGAAGAGCCAGACTGAGATGTCAGTGGTGGTCCACTCCATGGCGTAGATACCTCCACCGGCTTGGTTGAACTCGGTGCCGTAGGACGGCGCCGAGAGTGATGAGTCGTGGATAGAGCATCCGACGTTCTTGGGTTGATCGGTTGCAGCCACGTCGCAGTTTGAGGTTGCCATGAAGCCGGTGAAGGTGGCTTGTTCGTTCATATTTCCCTGGCCGCCGCCCGTAGTGTTAGAAACAGTGCAGCCAGTTGAGGTGTGAAGAGTGACGGTGTTTTGAGTGTAATGGTTTACGCCTTCGATGATGTCGATTTCGCCGCCATTGGGCCAAGTTTCGGAAACGCTGAGCATCCAGGCGGCTGGCCATGTACCACAGATTGAGTCGGGCATGTGGACAATGTCCATGATGAGGAGGCCCTGGTTGTAATGTTTAGTGCTTTCTACGCGGATGCTAGGACGGCCCTCGGGAGTCTGGTCCTTGTAGTTAACGCCCAAGTAGATCGATTCGTTCAGATAGCCGATGTATTCATTCTTGACGGCATCTTCGATGGACTGATATTGAACAAAGCCATGCGACGGATCCGGATCATTATAGAACTCGAAACTGGTGAAGAAGTTCTTGTAGGATAAGTCGTCGACGAGGCTGTATTCAGGTTGGGCCACTGCAATGGGCGTGAAGCGAGAAAGCGTGAAGGTGGCCAGCACCTGGAATGCGAAGCTGCGCATGGTGGATTTGAAAGATATGCGAAAAGAAGTCTACGCAGACATGCCGTTGTTCGAAACAGCAGGTGCGAAGGAATGGGTTGAATATAAATGCAGAGCGGGGTATTAAAAGAGGCCTAGAGTTCGGAGGTAGATATTTATTAGTGTTGAGCCATGTGTAGAAGTCATTTGTTGAGTCCATTCAATAGCATTTCCTTTAGGAATTGTGCGAGAATAATAACAATAAAAAAGTATTGTGCACTCCGCAACTGCCAGGGGCGGTGAAGAAGGTAGTTTCACCGCAGATGGTCACCTTGAGGGCTCACCTTGACTCGAAGGGTGAAGAATACTGGCCTGGTGTGAAGCCGAGTTCACTTAGTCTCTTAGTACAGAATCTCTCGAGTTTCTTGCTGAAGCCATCAGTACCTGATCTTTGAATTAATACTAGCGAGCGTACCTTGATGAATACAGAGACGGGAATAGCGAACAATGCATTGCATCACCAAATAAAAGAATAGGAGTGAAAGTGTCAAGATTTCGTTATTACTCTGCCTCACGACCGCATCTACCTGACATAGGCGAGTAAATGACAAAGTTAAAAGCAGCAAACCCAGTAGCCATTTAGCTATATGTTGAACCCCACTTATGCAATCAACATCCAAGCAAGATCTCATGCATATGGACATCAACGCCGAATCTGGCTGCAGACCTCATTGATGTCATAATGGGGTTGATAAGAGTGAGAGCGCTGACAGACAAATGTAACCCGGTTATCAAGTGTCAATCGACTTGGTAAATCTATGTGCGCGAACAATTTTGGTTCTGGGATAAAAGGATGGAATGAGTGGGACAGAAGGTATGGGTTGCGGACTCAGCGCAACTTGCCCTCGTTTTTTGCCTCCCTGACTTGCTCAAAGACCTGGCATAGTTAGCATCTGGGCAAATTTCAGCGCTCAAAATCTAAGCTTACCTTCAGCATCTTTCTACGGGCGCCCAAAGCATTCACACCACGCTTCTCCAGACCCTCATCATCAAGCTCGACCAGCTCATGCCATTTCAGGTCCTTGAGATTATCGGTGTACTTGTGCAAGCGGAGACTCCTAAGCCAGCTTGGGATGTCTTGAAGAAGATTGGGATCGGTGGGATCTTCCGGAGGCTTAGAGCTTCCACGCCGGCCACGCGGGGATCTGCCGCGGTTGATCTCTGAATGATCGGAGATGTAACCTGGATGATCACCACCAACTCCGATACCGAACTGACTCAAGTTCAATCCTGCCAAACTATTGTTCATGAGGGGGTTTGTTCCATAATCAGCAGCTAGGAATCCGTTGTTCTGTGGAGATGCGAAGCTCATTCCACCAAGTCCTTGGCCCTGCATAGCAAGACCTGGAGAGTTCGGGCGAGAGCGGCGACCGTGCATAGCAGCAAGTTGCTGTGCTTGGAGGGCAGCAGCCTGTTGAGGGGTCAAGACCTGGCCCATTTCGTTGGTCATGACAAAGTTGGCATTGGGAACCTGGGAGATGTTTACACTCGGGGACAAAGGAACATTGTTTCCAGCTCCTTGACCTTCGGAGGATCGTGCGCGGCGGTACTTGCGGACATCATCTAGTTGAATACGATTGTTCACTGTGGAAAGCGCTGCGAGCTTCATGGCTGTAGCATTGGCTACCATATCTGCCTGGCTTGCACTCTGCTGGTTCGAGAAGTTGGAAACCATGGGCGTACTCAGCTGCGAAGCCCAGCTTCCGCCAGGGGCATACGACGGAGAGAGCATTGGCATGGAACCAATATTCTGATCCGGTGCATTGAGGGTAGTGTTTTGCACGTTTCCGTCGCTCGAAAGCGGCAGGCGTGGGGAGCGGAGTCCAGCGGACGGAGGTGGCTGAGAGAACTGGCCCATCGGTTGATGGCCAGAAGATGACTTAGGGCGGGCTTGACCCTCACCCCATGGAGAAGTGGGATTTTGGTTCTCCTTCCTGTCCCCTTCCGGGCCTGAAATGACAGGGGCAACCAAAGAGCTCCGATCGCCTACGGTACTGTTGCGGTTTGACGCTGGTGCAATGCCGGTGGTCTCGGTGAACTCAGCCTTTTGCTTGGCAATGGCGGCGGCCGCATCGGGGAACATGCGGTGGATAGTGGACGTATCCAACCCAGAGTTGCGCTTCGCGCCTGGAGATGGGGGGGGTCGGCCAAGTCCCAGAGAGTTGCGAGGGTTCTCGCCGACATTGAGCTTGCTCATGGCATCGCTCAATTTTTGCGTCATCGGGTCTATGAGACGTAAGCTTGGAATCAATTTTCATCTTGTAGTAAGAAAACTGACCCTTCTCCCCAAAGTTAGCGGGCGAAAGCACGCCAGACATGGGGAGGCTCTTCGACATCTGCTGCAGGACCTGGATGAAGAATCTGATCTGGACCTGTGTGGTCTGCTGCAGCAAGGCGTAGAGTGCAGCCGTCCGCTCGGCCTCGCTGAGCACGCGAAACCACTGCTCGATAGCGCTCAGCTCGTCCTTGAAGTCCTGGTCGAGGGTGGCGGTGGCCATCTCCTCGAGCGTCACCTCGTACTGATCGATGTCTGCGAGCCATTGCTGGGCAGCTCGTTCCATCTCGTCTGGGTTGCCAGAGTTCGTGTTCGTCCGGCCAAAGTAGACCTCCGAGGCGGGGCGAATGCCGCGGTTGGCCAAAGGCGAGGAGAAGCCGCCCATGTCAGCCGACGCGCGAAGGTGGTGGCCGGCGCCGATAGAGCGAGAATTCGGGGGGCGGAGAGAGCTCGAGCCTTCGGGGGTGCTATTGCGGTTCGCAGCAATGTGGGCTGCAGACATAGTGTCGGTCGCAGCTACTTCCTCTTCGATATTCTGGGAAGTGTCGTTAGTGGATGTGTGGCAGGCTCGAGGGGAGCAGGCGGCAGCGCGAGGAAGGTGGGGTGATGGCACACACAGTGGGGCGGGGAAAGGCAGGCTCTTCACAGGGCTGGTGGGCGATCGAGGTCTCCTGCAGTTCCTGCTGGCCTCAAAGGAGCTCGACGATTGTGCGCTTCAGGAGTCGGTGCTCACAGCAGGCGGCGCTCGTGCAGGCAACGAGGCACTTGGCGGGGGAAAAGAACAATCGCTGCAGCACCGAGAAGAGGAGAGATGCGTAAAATACCAAAGTACAACGAAGGAAAGGAAGGAGGAGGAGGGAGAGGGGGGCGAGCGAACGCGGCCGTCGTTCTGTGCGTGAGTGAAGGAGAAAGGTGAGGATCCAAGACTTGGAGGTCGTTGGTCGTTGGTTCTTCGGCTGGCCCAATCGCCGCGCTAAAGGCGAGAGATCCCTGCAGGCACAGTGAATGGTCAGCCCAAGGCCCTGGTCCTCGAGCGTTTTCAGCTCTGACACCTGGGCAGCAATTGAAGCCTATTGACCGTTGGCGCACAGCTGCTGCGCATGCCGTCGTCGTACAGAGGAACGTCTTACACAGCATGGCCGTGTCCCTCACTGTCGCCATTCACCAACCGCCCCACCCTAGCTATCCATCTTATTGACACTTGCCGCGTTTCGAGTTCATCAGGCGTCGCTCACCAAACCCCCCCCCCCCCCCCCGCCCCCCCAATTCCCTCCGTACCAGGCCTAGCGCCAGAGATCTATCAACATTCACCAAAAAGGACATAGGCACACGAGCAGCTGCTCTCACCAAAAGAATCTTTCGGATCACATCCTTCTGTGACGTTTTATGCTGACCGACTGCCTCGATTCGGCCATCTCGTTACATCCGATGCAGGCTATGGAGCGCATGAATTCCTCCCCGGAATATTTCTCTGCTGTTTCTCCGCCGTTTGACTTTTGTTCTCCGCATGCTATTCGTTTGGGACCTCCGTTTCTATTAAAGGAGCACCCCGAAAAGTCGGCCTGGCACCCCCCGCTATCATTTTCTGTGTGAAGCAGGAGGTGAACGGGTCACGCATTTCACTTGTGTTGCTGGCAAAAAGACCTTCGTTCGCCAGTTGTTTGTCAATTGATGAGTGTGTCGCTTGCTTCTATTCACCACTCAATGGCATAGTTCGGCAATTCGCGCCTAACTTCATCTACCCAATGCTCCCATGATCGATCCAACCATTACCGCGGCCTCACGTTCCCAATTTCCTGCCATGACTGTTTTTCCCCTATTCATCGGACCCGTGGGCAACTGCGATCCACGATTCACACATTCGCGGACAGCATCCTTGACCTTTTCCTTGTTCGATCGTAATGTCCTCGCTGAGACCCCGCCCCTGTGCATGATCTCTTGCACCCGTGGCGAGAGACTTGAAGCTAGAGACCTCCAGAAGTAGGATGGTAGGGAGGAAGTATCGAGAGCCTGCAGAATCGGTCGTAAGAAGTTCACAGGCGCTTTCCGCTCTAGGTGTTGACCCTCCATCACAGGTGGTGCTTCCAGGAGAGGGTGAGCAGGAGACTTTGTGGATTCTAGCAGAGCTTCCAGGGCTACAATATTTTGACAGCGAGCCGATACTTCTAACAGAGTTCGATCCAGAGTAGGTAGTGTTGATAATGACCGGGAAAGTGATGCAAGTGAGGATTTCAGTGCGGTTTGTAGATAGTCCTGAAGTGCATTGAGCAATAGTGTTGGCTGGAAATCCTCAATGGCAGTATTTGGTGGTGTGGGAGAAAGCAGGTAAAGCGTTAACAAGGCAGACGTAGTTCTCGACTTCGTGTCCTCAGTCTGCGTGTAGGTAGACGACGAAGATTGGCCCGAAGAAGTAAGCAGCGAAGACATTGAAAACTCCTTGACCACTTGCTGTGCTCTCGAGGAAATGCTCCGCTCTCCAGGATTGGCCAATTCATTTTTCAATGTGTTGATTACACTGACTCTGTCCAGGCCCTCGCCCTCCTCGCCGCCCCCCGAAGCTGCAAATATCTGGCGAAGAGATAGCAGCGTATCCGCAGACCGCACCATAGCCCTATGATCCTCCTTTTTTGCACTGCCAATACCACCCAATTCGGACATGCGAACCTCAAGCTGTCTTCCAAGCATGAGGCACCTTGCAACCGCTCTTCCAAGCTTTACCGTCTGGCAGAGCCTCTCGGCAGTGAGACGAACTTGCTCAGCGACTTCATAGCGGTCTATGACTTCTTTTTGGAGGGTTCTGTACGACTCGGTCAGACTGGCCACTTGTGCCTCGACCTCTTGCCGTATTCTTCCACTAGACTCGGCATGGTCTCTTGTATGCTCTAACAACGGAAGTGCAGCCTTGGTGGTAAGCGAGTCAATATGGGTGTCAATCTCCTGCACATCGAAAAGGACACGAGAGAGGGGTGTGGACAGGTCTAGCGGCGTATCCGAGGGGTTATTTGTCGCAAGCACCAAAGTATTTGCGAAAGAGGCTGCTGAAAAGGCCGGGGCCAGGAATACTTCATAGTCAATGTACGACGGCTCACCGTCCGACATGTTGGAAGTTGTGCGGAAACGCTGGTGCAAATGGTCTCTTATGCTCGAAGTTGACGACCTGCATGGCTTGGCGGAACCGGAGATTATTCCAAGGTTGGCGGTTATCGATATCGCTAAACCCCTAACCCTGCAATGTTTAGCGGACCTTGACATTCACAAGCTTGATCAACTCTTCGACGCCTTGACTCCTTTCCCTTCTCAACCCCACACCAAGTCCAATTGCGGCAAAACCTACCCATCATGCCAACCTCAATGCCGTGCCCTTCTATGCGTATCCCCATCGAGCTTCTCACGCAATCCTCTTTCTCACAATTCGGCACTGTCATCGAGAACCCCGCACACTCCAACGCCCCGCGTTCCCAACGAATGCCCCTACCAGATGCCGTATCTGCAAATCAGGGGACCGCACTCAAATTCTTCGATGTAACACACATGTCGAATCTTTACAGCCTTGCTCCCAGCAAGAAACCGGCTCGTGCGGTCATGAACATGTTCGTCTGCGCACCCCGCGATCTCCGCCCTCACGAGCCTTCGGAGAGCATGCCTTCGAGCTGGGGAGACATAGACTTTGACGAGGATGATGACGGAGATGGAGACAGACAATTGTTTGATGTGCAGATACTAGAAAGACACCCCTTTACTACACAGACCTTCATTCCTATGGGACTGTCACAAACGGACAGGCACACTCAGTACCTTGTCATTGTAGCTCCGACGCTCCCAGCCTCCGCGTCCCGAAGGCACACTGGCCGACCGCCTCCATACCCAACCCCGAAAGTCAAAAGGCAGAAGTCTATGAAAGACATATTTGCTCGAGCTCGACCCTCGCCCTTCACCAACGAAGCCGCTCCACCACCAAATATAGTCACACGGCTACATCCCTCACAACAACCCAAGGGGCCAGGCCTACCCGACCTGAAGAATCTCAGGGCGTTTGTCGCCACGGGAAATCAGGCAGTGACATATGGGGCTGGAACATGGCATGCTCCGATGGTCGTCATTGGGGACCGACCTATTGATTTTGTCGTCATTCAATTCGCAAATGGTGTCAACAACGAAGATTGCCAAGAAATCACTCTCCTGCCAGATAGAGACGCAGAAGAGGGTATGGTCATTCAGGTCGATGAGGATTCTTCTGGAAAGGTGCTGGTTAAGGCCGGGGTTGGATCTGTAAAAGCTAAATTATGAGCGAGATCTCGACTGTTGGGCATTGCCACGCTTTCTTCCATTCGAGTAATATACAATTTGGGTCTAGATTTTTAATACAAGAGCAATTCTTCCGTCGAAATCGGAAGAGGGGCTTTTCTTTACTCGGTTAGCATCTTGAAACGTGCCGCGATGTGTTCGCAGTACATCTTGTCACCTTACGCGGAACATGGTCGGGGTAATATTAGACAGAAAGCTGCACCCTGTTCACGTTCTCCCTGGTTCTAGCAAGAGGCTCAACAAATAGACTCTATCCTAGTCATGTTCCACGTTAGGTGAGAAGGTATAGTATCTATTAGGCCCCGGGCTCGTGCACTATCGTAAAACGAAGGCACAAGTCGTCCATTGGGAATGAAACAGAAAACAATCAACATAAAAGACAATAATCACGATCTCCAAACTCGTTTCGCCACCCCTCACATAACCCTATCCTCCAACCGCAGGGCCTCAAACGCCAGCTCCACCTCATCAACCACCTTTTCCCCTCCCCTCTTCTCGCCCCCCTTCCTCTCCCTATACTCTCTTGCCACGGCCTCCATAACTTTCCCCATCTTCGCATCCAACCCCCTTTCCTCAAGTTCCTTCTTAACCCTCGAGAAATTTTCTGTGACAAAGACTTGATACTCGCCCTTTCCTCCGGGCTTCTTTCCACCCGCAGTACTCCTGGGTGTCGGCTTCGTCTGCACCAATTTCCCCTTACACTTCCCACAACTATGCCGCTGAGTGTCAACACTCTTACTATGCCTCTTATATTCACATCCACACAGCACACACTCCCAGATATACTTATACTCGATCTCGTAGGAATGCTTTGTCGTCACTTCGACGCCCAAGTGCTTGAACTTATCGCTCACTCTCCGCGCCCAGGATTTGAACTCTGCGCCGTGCGGATTTTTGCGTTGGTTGGAGATCATGAATGTGGTTAGATGACAGTATTCGTGCGCAAGCACGTTATAAAGTCTCTCTTCGTCATCAATGACTTTCTCCGCGAGTTCGATGGAGCAGTGATGTCGGATCTCGGGGCGGATATCGGTAGGCTGAGAACCCATGCGCACGCGGAATTGCTCGCGACGCCAGTTTGCGCGGCCAGCAGTTGTTTTGAGTGTTTTAGACCATACGATCTTGATACCGCCTGTTGGCCGGGAGAGTTCTGCGATCTTGCCGTTGGTGATCGTGGCATCGAGCTCGGCGAGGAAAGACTCTGCGAGAGAGTGTTTGGTGGTGGCGAAGGCTTTGCGCTGGGCTCGGATGGAGGCTACGGTTGGAGAGGCAGATGATGCATCTCTCTTTATTGGGTTCTGAGACTTCTTGCGTGGAGAAGCGATTGGGGAAGGAAAGAGGGCATCACGGTTGGATGAAGAATCTGAATCATGTTGGTCGAACAACTCCTTCAGCCATTTCTGCTTCCGGGGCGATATCAATGGCTTCGCAGGAGAGAATTGGTCATTCCAGTCATTGACTACTTCGGCGGACCAGAATGCATCAATACTGGGACGAAGGGCCGTAGCATCTGGAATGCGGTTTTTCTTCTTGGAGGGGGAGACAAGTTTAGAGGGACTGGCTGGTGGTGCAGGAGGCGTGTTGGGTCGGGAGATTGGAGGAGCTTTTCGAGGAGAACGAAGCCTTTTTGGGATGGGTGAACTATGCAGGTAAGTTTCTGAGCAAAAGTAAAGAGACAAAGAGAAATGATAAAAGGGAACGTACTATTGAAGGATGGCAGCTCCATCGTTGGAGAAGGAACTCGTCGGCCGTGATCCAGAGAATGAAGGCGAACCGGATCGACTCAGAGCCGGAAGTATGCAGGATGGCGGAGCTCCTGGTGAGCTTGTCAAGTCAATGACTTCTTGCGCCCAGTTCGATATCAGGCTATGACCCTTTCGGAAGGGTAGTTTCATAGAAATAAGTGGAGGCAGCATTTCAGTCTTAGTTACGAGTCCTACAGTTTTAGCCTTCAAGCTACTGCTCCTGCTCCTACTTTCGACCTCCGGATCCCCGTCCTTGACCGTCTCTTCTACGCCTCGCTTCGTCTCAATGGTTTCGGCGTGCAATTGGCGACGCCTATTCCTTGGATCTACAACTGGCTCCTCATCGTCGTATCCGTCTTCGTCTTCCTCTCCAGCATCGGCTTTATGTTTCTTTTGTTCGACAGCATCTTCATCATCTCCACACCAAAGACTCTGATCAAGCACTGTCTCTGCCTCCGCTTCCAACCCCATCGCAACCTCAATCTTCTTTTCCGGCCTATTACCAGGCCTCTTCGCCATCGTCCTGGCCAAGCTCTTTGAATACAAATATGTCAATCCTTCCCCCCTCTCTCTCCTCCTGGTATGTTTCTCCGGTGATGCTAGACTCTCATTTGACAATTTCCTCAACAATCTGCTATTGGAAGCGACCGGTCTTAAGATCCTCTGTTTCCTGGGCGTATCACCCACTGGCGCTTTCGGAACGAGGAATGAGTCTTCGTTATCTTGGGATGTGTATCTGAGCTCTCGTTTGGATGGTGACTCTCGCAGTGTTTTCCGCGGGCTCATTGTGCCATTTTTTTGTGTTGACGCTGGAGGTAGTATGGGTAGATCAGTAGGACTGGCTTTGCGTAGACGGGCCATTGTTGCAGAATGCGTGTAGCAATATACAAGTAGTGGTATAGATATTCACGAAGATCAAAAAATGCTTGTCGAGATGATCAGAAATGGAGGTTGATTATTTGTTGATTGGTCCGTTGAATGGGCAACGGACTTAGCGCAAAGTCACGTGAATATCACAATGCTACCAGGGCTCGATGCCGAGGTGGATGCCAAGGCTGCCCCTCGTTTTCGCACAGGAGAAAATTCTGGAACACCCGAAACAAATGGTGGAAAAATCAATGAATACATTGCATGCTAAACACCATACACAAGTTACAAGCCAGACCCAGTCTAAGTGAGTCAGGATGAGAGTCATAAAAGGAAGAGCTTGCTGTGCCAACTGCTGCTTGAGTCTAAAGACTCTCCAAAAATTCCCAATTATCCTCCCCAAAACCCGATATCCCGTCCGTCGTCATCATCCTGTTTATGCTTGTGTTTGTGTTAATCTGGGTCTTGTCGTTCTTCTGCATGTACCACCCCAGTCATGATCGTAATTATTCCGCCCTGAACCTAAATCGTGCCATTTATGAGTGCTTCTTCGCCATTGTGTTGAGAGCGCTGCCATTCTTGAACCACTCAATCTGACCCTCATTGAAGGTCTGGGAAAGCTTCACTTCAAATGGCTTGCCGCCATCGGCAGGGTGGACCACAAGGGTCACGGGCTTGCCGACAGCGAGCTCGGTGCATAAGAGGTCAACCTTGTCATTCGGCCCAATCTTGTCGTAATCGGCAGGGTCGGAGAAAGTGAGAGGGAGCATGCCTTGCTTCTTCAGATTGGTCTCGTGCTGTGGAGACATCAGATTTGATCTCTTCCAAAGTATAGGTTAGGATAACTTACGATACGTGCGAACGATCGAGTGATGATGGCAAGTCCACCCAAATGCCTCGGCTCCAAAGCAGCGTGCTCACGAGAGCTACCCTCGCCGTAGTTCCAGTCACCGATAACGACCCATTGGATTCCGTTCTTCTTATAATCACGAGCAACAGCTGGGACAGCGTCGTACTCGCCGGTCAGAATGTTCTTGACCTTATTAGCTTCACCGTTCTCGGAGTTGATCGCACCGATAAGCATGTTATTGGAGATGTTGTCTAGATGTCCACGGTACTTCAACCACGGGCCAGCCATTGAGATGTGATCGGTGGTGGTCTTGCCTTGGGCCTTGATGAGAATTGGGAGATCCTTAGCATCCTTTCCATCCCAAGGTTTGAATGGTTCAAGGATTTGGAGACGGTCAGAAGTGGGAGAAACAGCAACAGAGACGGAGCTACGATCCTCTGGAGGAGCTTGGTAGGTGTCTCGTCCTGGGTCGTAGCCGTTGGCGGGTAGGCCGGCGCCTGTTGGAGGCGACAATTTGAACTCTTTGCCATCCTTGTCCTTGAGTGTATCAGTCAAGGGGTTGAAGTTCAGTGTACCAGCGATGGTCATAGCCACAACTAGATCGGGAGAGGTGACGAAGGAGTGGGTGGCGGGGTTAGCATCGTTACGGCCGGTGAAGTTACGATTGTAGGAAGAGATGATAGAGTTGGGCTCGCCCTTCTTCACATCTCGGCGATCCCATTGGCCAATGCAAGGACCGCAAGCGTTGGCAAGGACCATACCACCGAATTCTTCAAAGGTCTTCAACTGTCCATCGCGCTCGATGGTGGCGCGGATCTGCTCTGAACCAGGAGTAACAGTGAAGAGAGCCTTGGCCTTGATGCCGTGAGCCATGGCATCCTCGGCAATGGAAGCAGCGCGAGTCATGTCCTCATATGAAGAGTTGGTGCAGGAGCCAATAAGACCGACCTTGAGCTCTTCTGGCCACTTATTGGCCTTGACCGCATCTTTAAATTTGCTAATCGGGGTGGCGAGATCGGGAGTGAAAGGACCGTTTATGTGAGGCTCCAGCTCAGAGAGGTTGATCTCAATGAGCTGGTCATACTCGGCGCCCTCGTCCTCGCGGAGCTCCTTAGCGTACTCACGAGAAAAGTCGCCGATTTCCGATCGTTTAGTGGCCGCGAGGTAGTCGTACATACGGTCGTTGAAGGGGAACAGGGAGGTGGTAGCACCGATTTCGGCACCCATGTTACAGATGGTGCCCATGCCCGTACAAGAAAGAGCCTCAGTGCCGGGACCATGATATTCGACGATAGCACCAGTCCCACCTTTCACGGTGAGAATGCCGGCGACCTTCAGGATGATATCTAAAGGTGGTGTAAGCTTCACCGCAGCTCAATTGACAGCTATTACCCCGCAGCTCCTCTGAGGCTGAAGCCCACCCGCAATGTGAAGCCGCCGGAAAATAACGAAACATACCTTTAGGAGATGTCCAGCCAGAAAGCTGGCCAGTGAGTTTAACACCAATTACCTTGGGCGCCTTCAATTCCCAAGGAAGATTTGCCATGACGTCAACAGCATCGGCTCCACCGACACCGATGGCGGCCATACCAAGACCACCAGCATTGGGAGTGTGGGAGTCGGTACCGATCATAAGACCACCAGGGAACGCATAATTCTCTAGAATGATCTGGTGAATGATACCAGAACCGGGCCTCCAGAAACCAATATTGTACTTGGCGCAAGATGTAGACAAGAAGTCGTACACTTCCTTGTTGATCTCATTGGCACGAGCCAAATCCTTCTCACCACCAACCTGTGCCTCGATAAGATGGTCACAGTGCACAGTGGTCGGGGTAGCAACCGAGGGCATGCCTGCCGACATGAATTGAAGAATAGCCATCTGGGCAGTGGCATCCTGGCAAGCAACTCGGTCGGGTCGGAGCTTGAGGTAGCTCGTGCCACGCTCAATTTCCTGGCCGTGGGGGTCGTCCAAGTGGGAGTAAAGAATCTTCTCGGCGTAAGTGAGCGGGCGGTTGAGGCGCTGGCGTACAATGCTGAGGTTCTCGCTCATCTTCTTGTAGTTGATGAAGTGGCCCTTCTCCCAGTTGGTCATCTCGACCTTGCGGGAGAGCGGAGCATCGCTGACAGTAGCCAATTGCCTCTTTCCAAGGCTCTGGCCAATGCGGCCGAGCCTCGAGAACTTCTGCATTGTGGGCGAGGTTGTGAAGGATTGAGTGGAGTGGAGAGGGGTGGTGGGAGGAAGAGATGAAAAGAAGATTCGAAGCAGCCCACCAGAGGCCCGATAACTAATGGGCAACAGGGCACAGCTGATTGGGCGTCGCTCCGTTCGCACGGTGCCAGCTACCTCGGTGTCAAAACAAAGCAGGGCGGTAATTATTTCCCGCTGGCCCGCGTTTCACGTGCGGTCGTGGGTGAAAAAGACGCAATTAAGTGAGAACACTTCCGCGCGGAGTTCGTCATTGAATGATTTACACGAGGGCGTGAAGGAGCCACTCTGAAGGCTGTTCACTGTGACGCAACAGCCTCCCAAGGTTTGTCGTCTGTCGTGAGGATCAACCCCTCGCCTCGTTTCATTTTGGTGGGTTGATTGTCACAGATAACCACTGCAAAGTGAATTGCCATGCGCACGCTTACTCTGATCCGCAAGACCCTCCTCTAAACAACCAAACTCGACATACAGTCGGTCTGCAGGCCAGGTCTGCAGGTCGGAAATTCCGATAGTGCCAAGGCCGGGGTTGAGCTCGAAAATTCTTTCGAACCTGCAGACATGTCTCGCGCCCGCTAGCCGAGTCTCCCACAAACACCAACCATACATACCCGGCTGCCAACCGTATCCGCGGCCGACTGGACCATCATGCCCGCTATCCGGGGTTCTAATTCGAAGAAGAAGACGCGGCGACATACGCGCGATCTCGATCAGGTGCACGCCGACCTTCACTCCGAACGACATCTTGCCCAGTACAAGGACACAAAGGCAGTTGAAGACCTCCCCGGGCTAGGGCAGTGGTATTGCAAAGAGTGCGCGAAATGGTTTGAGAGCGAGACGAATTTTGGAGCGCATCAGAAGGGGAAGGTCCACAAGCGGAGGTATGGTCAACGCCAACCTATTGACGGATACATATTAGAGCAGGCGAGCTAATGGAGGAGTAGAGTAAGGCAACTCCGCGAGAAACCATACTCCCAGAAGGAGGCAGAGGCAGCGATAGGCCTTGGGACAGACAACGGCAAGCGGACGACCACGCTAATGGAGGTGGACGAACTCCCAACTGCGGAATGAGTGCAACAAGAGTTAGAGGAGACCTGAGTATTGGAGGCTAGGAATTAGCTTTTAGCTGTTGCGATGAGGGGTCTGATTGAGTGAATAAGTGCTCATGTGGAGTTTGGTTTACAAGCATATGGGCGGCATAGCGTACACCCAGCTCACAGTCTGGCTGCCTGGGCGATATCTGCATTGCAAGGTGTTCTGAGACAGGGAAAGGGCTGCGAAGAGGTGTCCAAAATATTCAAATGATACCCGGAGCAAATGAACATAGAGGATGATTACCAATCTTAGCTGTTCGATGTTTCAGAAATCTCAAGTTGTGAATTAGGTACCGATGTGTCTTGGTGCCTGAACCAGCCTGATTGCTACCTACGAAAATTCCGTCGCCAAAGGACCTTCACAAAGCCATATAAATTGGCACACAAAAGTCTCCATTATGTGCCTCTCCTAACAAGATCCACCAAACTCGATACATCCAAATCGTAAACCGAAGAAACAACCATGTCATTTAAATCCCCCGAACTATATGGCGGCGCCATTACCGTCGAACTGCCTGCCGGATTTGTTGACGCGAGGTTTGCATCCCCACTTATCTGTGCCCAAAGATACCCTTGCTAACGACCACCAGCGGCATCCGCCAGATCCCAGATCATCAAGAAGTCTACCTCGATAGCAATAGTTACTCAAGTATTGTCTTCGACATCCTTGAGAGGGTCGAGAAGCCGGATGATGAGGCAGCTCTGCAGTACCATTTCGCGGACTTGATTGAGGGGACTGGGGACGAAACAAACGTGCTAGGCCAGGGAAAGGCTACTATGTTGAAGATGCCGTAGGTTTTTACCTTCTCCCTTACTTCCTACTATTTCATCTAATTTTCCCCGTCTCCGTATCTTGCCCTCAGCGTATTGTGCTGTCACGTGCAACTGTAGTTCACCTCTGCTAGCTTGATCTCGCCGCCCCTAATCTTTCCTTCCACATCGCTCTAGTCCTATAATATTTCTGTCTATTTTCTCTCAGTATTACCTAACACCATTGACAGGAACAAACCCGTCTACTCCCTCAATTACATCCAAACGCCCCCTCGACCAGACAGCGCACACCATCGCAAAACTCCTGACTTCGTCTCCATTCACCTTCTTCTGCTCCGCCTAGAGGAACAAGCCACCGACATTACCATCACAATCAACGTACCTCATTATTCAGGCGAGTACGTCAAAGCTAGAGAAGGAGAGCCAACCCAGCTAATGAAAGATGGGGAGACGGTCAAGCAAAAGATCCTTGAAAGCTTCGAGATCAAAGATTGGGGTCTCTTTGGTGAGAATTAAGGGGCTAGATTTCAGCTCCATGAATTCTTTCATAGAATACACAAACACATCTATCTTACGTAGCCAATCGTCTGGAGGAAATCCTCCCTTTCACCATGCCAAATTGTGAAAAGTTAGCCCGGTGATAGTAAATCTTGTCACCTAACATGGAACATGACTGGGCGATAACTCAGACCAGAGTTCTACATCTTGTTGGCGTCCTCCCTAATTCTAGCAAGACGTTAAATAGATCAACTCCGTCCTGGTCATGTTCCACGTTAGGTGAGAAGGTGCAGTCGAAATATGAAAGATGTCACAATCCATCATGCTCTCGCCCTCGAGATCATCCATGATAACATTAACTAAGCTGCACTGTCATATGAAGCCTGAACCAAGAAAGTCTAAAGGTATTCCCCCTGATCCGAAAGCAAACCCGAGCGCCTTTGCAGCGCTCCTTTGCAGAATAGAGAACATAGGCTACGTGTTCACCTTTTGCCCCTTGTTGAGAGAAGCCTGAAATCATTGACGTACACCTATTGCAAATGCAGCATGCTCTCCGATTGCTCACTTGTTAGCACCATATCCGGCTCTCGTCAGCCGACGCCGAAGTTCTTCCTTCGCAGTGGGTGCTCGCACTTCAACTCCCGACATTGGAGTGTCCTCGGTTTTGCGGGCAACGGGGTTGGGAGAATCCAAGCTAGGTAGTGGCGGCATTGGGAGACCACGGCCGGCGGCCAGGAATGGTGACGGTGGTAAGTCTTCTAGGTTTGCTGTCTGATTAACGCCATCCATTAGTGCTGGATCGACAGGCATGTCGTAGTTGTTATACTGAGGTACGGGGTCCATCATCTGTGTATGCTGAGCGTGCTGGGCCGCTTCCATCTGTAGTTGATCGCTAGGAGAGGGTGACCGGGTTGGTTCTCGCTCCTGATACCTTTGAGGCTGAGTAGGGGTGACTGAGGACTGTGGAGCTGGCATGACACGCGATTGAACCCGCATGGCTGACAGCCCCTTATTCATTTCGCTGCATTCTGGACAGTTTCGGATGACTTGGCTGACGGTTTCCTTTATCCGAACCCAATGATATGCTTCAGCGATGGCAGCTGTGGTCTTGTTGATGCCTCCGTGGGACTTATGATGGACCGTTCGAGCAATCTCGTATTGCCTTTGGGGATCCGAGATGACTTCCTTTCCTTTCAGGACGAGCTTCTCAGGTCGGTCTCCTTCAGCGGGAATGAGCTTGTAGTGTGTGGCGGCGCTCCGAAGGCGACTCTTCTCCGCCCTGTCTGCACCATTCGGGTACTTTCCGTTCTTCAGGTAGAAGCGAATCTTGTCGAACCGCTCTTCTGATACAAAGTCATCGTCCTGGCCAAGGTCTCTCCCGTAGATTATGGCGTCCACGAGCTCGCCAGGATACGACTTGAGGTTTCCGCACCCTTTGACGCGCCCAATGCGCTTGAAGCCAAGAGCATCCCATATTCGGCAGGAAGCAACGTTGGTCTCGTACACGAGATTGAAGACAGAGTATGTATACCCCTGCACTCATTAGCAAACATACTCTCTAGCCTTTAAAGTATAGCATGTTATCACATAACGTAGAACATGATGAAAATGGGGCCTGCCTCTCTACTAAACCACTTGCTAGAATCGGGGAGGACAACACCAGGATACCGCTTTGTGACCAGAAATACCCCTACCATGTCCCACGCTAGGCGAGTAGGTGCTGTATACTCACCAATTTCGGCGCCCACTCCAGGTACGTCTCACCCATCAAGCGTCCCACGCCTCGATTCCGCGAGGCATCCGTTACCAGGAATCCGCCATTGCAGACATGGCTGGATCTGCCAGGGTAATTTGGTTTGATATAAAAGCTGCCAAGACACTCCTTTTCCCAATCACGGCCTGTCCGCACCATGTGGTGTACTTCATCGATGTTGTGTACGTCTCCAAGAATCATAACAGCGCCAAATACACCAAACCAGTAAGGACCAAAGGACTCGAGCGGTAAGGGATCGAGCATCGGGTACGTGTCGCCCTTCTCAATTTCACGACTGAACTGGTCAGCGAGGTATGCGAGCAAGGTGAGGGGGACCTGGTTCGGCGTCGAGAATGGAATGATGGTCGCGATGGTTACTCGGTCGCGAAGGGTGACTTGACGCGGGACGATGCCCTGGGGAAGGGTGGCGCCAGGAATAGGGTAGGGCATTTCGCCAGAGGTGCGATACATGATGGGCGCGGTCGGGTCCTCCAGCATTGCGGGCATGGCGGCAATGGGGACGCAGGTCCTAGGGTGCTGTCTATGGGTCAGCCCGGTCAGCCTGTCAGTCTTGAGAAAGTTCGATGATCAAGGAATCGTGAGTGAGTCGCGTGCGGAAGCATGCGCAGCAGCGCCTCAGAGCCCGAGGTCTGCGACATACGACATGGGCCGCATCGACTGGATTCTCTGGTGAGTATTCAGGCCGACGAACGCACTTACCTTCGAAGAAATATTAGGGCAGGTACGCTTGACACGGCTTGAGTATAATTCAGCACGAAAACTGCCAAGCCTTTGCTGAGCCAATCATACCCCAGCTAGCATTCACAAGAAGCCGATGCTTACCTCCCTAGGTAGGTAATTTCGCGTTGTGGATAGAGTGAGCAGGTTGACGGTGGTGTTTGCTTTGAAGCTGCTGTCAGTGTGAGGTGAGAGGTGGAAGGCGCAGTTTAGTCGCGCTTGCCAACGCTCAAAACTTCTGGCGTGGTCTCTCCTAGTCAGTGGATTGCGTCACGTGCTCATAGAAAACCGTAACCTTCAAGGCTTCCTGGGCTGGTCTCTTACATACACACCAAACACGATAGAAATGCTGTGATGAGAGCACAACGTAAAATGACAGTTAGTTATTGACTCTCCTGATGAAATCACCGGGAAGAGGAGTTGGCTGGAACAGGAGCCTTTCCTATTGCTCGAACTTCATCGAAATGCTGACTTGCTCGTTGAGATCTTTGGCCCTGCTAGAGACATCTGGATGCATATATTTAGACCAAATCACTTGAAAGGTAGATGCAGGAGGCGTCACTGGAGGTGATAGACCTTCTATGAAACGCGTTTACAGAGATAAGACTTGGTCCAGCCCCCATCCCTTTTGCCGTTTGCCCACGCGATGCCCATCTCCGTCTCCCTCCACTAAGTCGAACAATTTTCAACATAGGCCCCTCGCTTTTGATCACTGAGTAGCCAAAGAACGGAATCGCGGCCAAGGCCGTGAAGTCACTTGAGTGGTGTGACTCAACAGCCGTTCGAGGTCTTTGAAATGCATTGATGGTAGCGCTACCTTGGTACCTAACGTGGGACTGGACAGAGGTACTCTAGGACAGATATTTGCATTCTGTTGATGATCTCCCTGATTATAGCGGAAGGTTTGATAGATCAACTCCACCCTAGTCGTGTTCTAGGTTATGTGATAGTACGCTGTAAATCTCTCGCACTTGGTCAGACGTTCAGGACGTTGGCTTTGCACAGATGGGGAACTAGGAATAGTGCTTCCAATGATAAGGCCAGAATAATCTAAAAGGGAACTGCGTGCCATCCTTATCCGTAAGCCTGGAGAGCTTTCAAGGACACAAGCCATAGAAGATAAATTCATTGACCCGCGTGCAGCCAAATACAGGCCTAAAGTCTATTCGCATGACATATCTTGGGGTGTATCCGGCATGTGGGAGAGGTCCGTCGGAAGCTAATGCTACTCCGTGAATCTGGACATCGGTGTTAGGAAACATGGATTGTCGGTAAAGGTCTCACTTGTAGTATACATGTTAGTGGATGGCCTTTCGCGTTTCAGTGTGCGAGGAGTACGCTTGCTGGCTTGTGCCCTCGGACTTCTGAAGCAATATGGAGATAAGAAGATCTGACATGCAGAATTCCAAACTCCTGCTAGCCCGTGCAGCGTCGAGCGCACCGAACACCAAATTCCTCCTTGGCAGGGTCATCGGATTCGCAATTGTGCTGTGTGTTGGTACACCCCGCGAAACAAAACAGTCTCTCGGTTCAGGTAAGAAACTGCATGCTGTCAGCGCTCTCTCTAATTCCGGCAATGGGTTCGAGAGTTTCCCTTACCTCTCAACCCATCTTAGGTTTGCGCTAGCGAAGAACAGTCCCATACGCCGTTGCCAATCCATTGCGTTTTTAAACTCTACTCCAATTCAACTCCTCCCCTCGTAAGGACAACCCCCAACTCGCTTCTCCCGCCAGTTGTACTCAGCTCCTCGATTCCCGCGCCACCACTCTCTAAGGGCCAACCATCAATCGGAGACGTCCTCGTGCGCATATCTCCATACGCGTGCGTATACGGGCCCGATTTCTGAGTTCTTACCAACTCTCTCTTCACAAGCCGCTGAATCTCGAGGTTCCGTTCCTCTGTCTCCCTCCTTTTCCTCTTCTCCCTCCACAGCAGAAATGAAACGCCAACTAACGCTAGTGCGAGAGGTGCGCCTACGCCGACTCCAATTGCTGTCTCTTTGGCTGTAGCCAGGGATTCGGCTTCTGATGAGACCGGAGCGGTGACGGTGACGGTTTGCGTGGGCGCGATGCTGGCGTTAGAGACGATGACTGGTGTGGTAGCATTGGTGTGTGTCGAATTAAAGACCTCAATACTTCCTGTCCTCCGATCTGTAATTACCTGGCCAAAGGATATTGCGAAAGGTTTGCTAATAGTGCCGAAAGACGTACAATTTCCGCTGTCTTTGTCAAAGGTGTTGACATCGCAGCAGAATAACCTAACACCTGCATCGACGGAGACGAAGCCACCTGTCGGAGTGATCGGAATGGGGTTTTTGGCGCCTTTACATTCCTGAAAGCATGAAGACGATCTCCAATTTACGTCTGTACAACTCCATTGTGAAAGGGTGAATGTGCTATCGTAGCAAAGCCTGCATCCTGTCAGCCGGCCGGCTGCTGAAGAAGAGAGATTCTTATATGTACCCATTGTCTAGGCAGTAATCCCCTGGCTTACAGCAGTGCGAATAATCGGCGGACTGGTTACAGGGCACATGGTCCGGCTCAGGGACTTTGTTCGGGCGGTAGCAGGTTTTCCCCGCTGAGGCAACTATGCAGAAGAGAAGAAAGGCCACAGGCCCTTGATATCTTCGAGTCATGATGCTTTTCGTGAGAGTGACGTCGAAATGGTAGGGATAGGATAAAGTTATGAAGCACTGAGGCGTGATAACGCTACCAACCCTGAGGGCAAAGGAAATGATAGATATCTTGGTAAAGAAAATATATAATATTATGGCCGGGTGGTATTGCAAGTGATTGACGCAAGACAGAGGATAAGTTCTACTTATCTCGAGGCCTCGAAGCTGAGTTGAACAGACTAGCGAAACTGTTTGGATCTTGGCAGCATATTTCGGAAGCAGATCGCTCAGAATACGAAATTGGGGGCGTGTTTCGCAACTCTTTGATGCCTCAAGCCGATGCAAGGCCAAAACATCAAACAGACTGGAGCACCAGTGAAACTAGGCGCGCAATCAACTCCCTCGCGTGCGCGAATGCACGTTGTCACTTTCTATAGGGTGTAACAAAGATGTGATTTGCAACAAAGGGTGGCATCTCTCAACATCCTCCTCAGATCTGGCAAGAAGGTTGGTAGATTAAATCTACCCTGGTCATGTTCCGTGATATGCGATAATATGGCGTAATATCTTCAGTGGGAACATGAAAGATCTACAAACTGATAGACATATGGAAGACGGGTCCCCCTGCTTTAGTAGAGAGTTAACCTTTTAATGGGTCAGCTTCTTGACACTCTTATAAGCTTTGCCGAGTGCTCAAAGCTTCGCCTTCAAGGGTTTCTGTATTTCTTGATCTTTTAGGCCCTTGAATTCCCAACCAACTTCTGGTTGCAACTTGAGACCCTCCCCAGCCTCCGAAACCTCGATCTTTTGCTTTGCAGCACTCTCGATCCACTCGTCAACGACAAGTCTAGCTACATTCTTCCCCATCAAGGCACTTGTCTCCATCGTGCTGATGAAGCTCTCAATGCCACTGGTATAGAAGAGCCCTTCGTCAAGCTTAATCTCATCGAAAGTGACTCTCGGGTACTCGTAGGGATATGAATGCCACAGTTTATGGTATATCCAGCTGATAGGTCCATTCGCTGACTCCCCCTCTTCAGGAACATGCTCACCAAGGATCTTGGATAGGAAGACCGAGTCGATTCGCTTTGGTGAGAAAATCTTGTAAATATATTCCGGACGGTTCTTTGGCGTACTACGAGGATTCAACCCAGCACCCACGATCGAGATGCTGAAGAAGCCCGTAGAGCCCACACCGTTGGGATCAGAACCATAGTTTTCGTTTGGCAGCAGAGTTGTAAGTACAAATTGTGGTACTAGGTTTCCCGGATCAAGCTTGAATGCGGTAGGATCCAGCTTATGTGGTGAGGCGAAGAGGGTGACATGCAATTTAACATAGGGAATCTGGTCGGGAACGTGCTTTGGCGCTGGGTCTATAACGAGTTTTGAGAACTGGAGCGGTGCTGCAAGGATTACAATATCGAAGATAGACGTGTCTCCGGAGGAGGTGGTTAGGGCGTATGTTTTGTCAGCTTGCTTGGAGATCTTGGCGACTGTAGTGTTGAGATGTGTTGTGGCGGAAGCTTTCAACATTTGAGAGAAGATTTGCCAGTTCCCTCGATCGACACTCATAGCGCCGGAGGCGGCCATACACACCATAGTTTCGAGGCCGTGGATCAGAGGGAGGTTTTGGGCATAGTTTACCCTCGTGCTGTACACATATTAGTTTATTACCTGGTAATCTATACACCCCGGCAAGAATATACATACCTCGCCTGAATGACGTCGTTCGCAAACTGATCTCCGATACTGTTCGCTTTGAGAAATTGCTCTCCCGTCACCCCGGTAATGTTGGTCAGCCCGACTTGCTCCGCAACATCGCTGAGAGATTTGAACGGGAAGGCGGGTTCCTCGTACATCTTCAAAAACTTTCCAACTGTACTCCTCATGAGAGAATTAGTCCTTATAGGTGCTAATCCATACCTCCACAACAGCTTCGCCTTATCCCACCATCCATCCTCGGCGCTTGTTACTAGCACAAACTCCTCTCCGTTCCAGATTCCAAGCTCCGGTGCCCCATCAGGTTTCGGCCTATCGTCTGACGAAGTGGAGAGGTTGAAAGTTTTCGCCGCAGAAACGAGTATGTGGTTGACCTCAACGAAGATCGAAGCGCCAAGCTCGATCGGCGCATTGGGGTCTGACCAAGCATTCACAGTGGTACTGCGGCCGCCAATATGCGAGGAACGCTCGAATACGGTGATATCCGCATGAATTCCAGCCTTCGTTGCGTTCTGTGATAAATAGTACGCTGCGGAGGAACCCCCAGCTCCAGCACCTGAGAGCTGGTTAGCACAGCGCAGGGTCAGGCGTCGAGGCGAGCGACAAACAAATACTCTCCGGTGCAGCGCTCTGGAATGTGGTAGAAAACGCTTACCTATTATGGCCACCCTTTTCGCAGACATTTCTTGTGGTTGGAGCTCATCTAACGTTTCATGCCCGCTTCTGCGGAAAGCTTCGGAGAGCGGCAGTGAGAGAGCGGCAGCTAATGGGGTGAGAAGGTGCATTCTTCAACAGGTTCTCAAATCGAGAGCGAAAAGCTGCATTAGATGTACAATTTCATCCCCAAAGACCAGGCTGAAGAGATATGGGGACCGATTAGTGCATTTTGGAGAGATGTTGTTGGAGAGGTTGGTGTTCGTCAGCAATCACTTGGAGCTTGGACGTGGCCAAATTCCATGGATCATCTTACATCTACGGCCTCGTTATGTCACCTGCCTGTTGTCACATCGCCTCTTCAAACCTCAAACGCTGCATAATCGAGGGCACAAAGAGTTTATTCAACATAATACAATCCAGCCAAGCCAGTTGATTTCTCTTTGCTATATGATGCGGGTATATATAAATCGGTTTTAGGAACAAGGAAGCATAGATCATGTGGTATCATCAGTCATAAACCAGGACAAGCATCGTCCGAAAATGCGCGAAATTCTAAAGCAAAAGGGGCGTGTGTGCCAACTAACCTGAGCGAGTGAAAACGATCCTAGGAAGTGTCCCAAGTTCCACGCCTCAAGAAACCGAAAAGCCCTTTCTTAACTTTAGGTTTACTCTCCCCAGCCGGCTGAGGATATCCATTGACCAGCACATCCGCATTCAAACGATCTGCCTCTTCGTAGTCCCATGGCGTCGTCCAGTTTCGCTGCGGAATCTCGCCTAGCTTAGTACTATCGGATGCAAAAGTATATGTCGATGGGGTTGCCTTGTCAGTTCGACGTTTAGAAGGCCCTACTACAGGAGAAGAAGGAGAATGCTTTTCTTTCGGCAGCGGACCCTTCCGCGGGCTGGGTACTTTGGGAGGAGGTAGCTGAAGCGGCATTGTGTTATCAGGCCTCATGTGAGGCCAAGTTGTCGGTCGCGGTTCGTCGACTGAGCCCGCTCTTCTTCTGCCGATCTTGGGTAATACTCCTACATTTGGAGATTGAACCAGCAACGGATCCACAGGTGCGTATTGGGGTAATGGTGAGTTTAGTGGAGAGGGACATGTTGAGCTAAGCGCCGTAGAGGGAGATCTAGTCGAGCTTGCACTACTCGAGGAGCTTGTCCGGCGATTTCTGGGTCTGACAACAGCTAACTGAGTCTGACTTGACTTCTTAACGGGTACCCGGGTGATGGTTGGAACGTTTGAACGTGACTTCGAACCAGCGTTCTTTCTCTTGGCCTGGTGTCCTTTGCCTTTCGGCGTATGTCCGTTCCCTCCAACAGTTCCCATACAAACTTGGTGTTTCATGCTTCCGCACCGGGGACATCCACCAATTCTGTAGACCTGGAGTTGGGAGTGACTTAGTCGTTGATATAGCTGGTTGAGTGACTCGACAGCCTCAGCTCTGGACGCATCAGAGAGGTTCGTCAATGATTTGTAGTCAAGGTTGAGATGGCTGGATTTGGAGTCATGGTTCAAAAATGCTGCGATGATCCCTACAAGACCGGTGTTTAACTTTATGAGGGTTTCGGCAAGGGAAGCATGAGCGATCGCTGCATTATCTTATGATCAGCACAATGCATGCTCTTTCAAGGAAGAACCATGCGATTCAAATAGTTTGAGAGCTCACCATCGCCCTTTGCAAACTGATCCCCAGCCTTACTATAGTGGTTCTTATAGCTTGATTCAATGTCGGCTGGGCCTCGTCTTAAGGAGTTCGAGAGCTGCAGCTCAGCACTGGACGCTGAGTCGAAATGAGCTTCTTTCTTACGTTCCTTCCGCCTGCGGCGCCGTTCTCGAAGACGCTTGAAGATGTCGAGGCCATTGGTGAAGGCATGTATGAGATTGGTGACACAATTGGAGACTTCAGCTTCGCCAGAGAGATTGGCATTCTTGTCTAATGGGCTCGACATTCCAAGCTAGAAGCACAAAAGGAAGAAGTAAAGAAAACGAGGGACGAGACTTAGAGGAGTCACAAGCTCGGCGGGGAGAGGCCCATTGTTATCCATTATCCTGATCCTTGCTTAGAGGCTTCGCCCTCAACCAGCGCCCTGGTTCCTGCATCTGTGACTGGAGAGACAGTATTGTTTCAACCTTGCGCAGCACGAGGACGCACCTAGCCGCCGCGAAAGAAGATCTTGGAGCTCTTTGGGGCTGTAAGTGGTGGGAGGTCTCCAGAAAGCTCCGCGGCCCCCTGCACAACGGCACATGGGCGGCCTATTGTAGTCTAGCGCGGACACTCGGCTTGCTCAATAAGCTCCAGTGGTCCCCCGCACTTGGTCCTGCATATAAAAGGCCCAGTCCGCGTCGAGATGGATATCCCTCAGGGTTTTGGACGCTGCGAGTGCAACCGAATGACAGTTATCGCGACATGCAGGGCGCTGAGAGATGCTTCGGTACTACTCCGTTAGGCTTGAGGCATGAGTGCGTTGTTCTTGCTTCCCCCACTTTCCACGAAATGTTCCCGGAATCGAAAAGTCGCAGAAAATTGAAACCACGGGGATCTACCCAGGATGACCTTTGTATGTTGTCAACGTCTTGAAAGAAATTGATAGAAGTGGAATGATTTCTGTTCATTCACGACACCCTCCCGGAACTGCCGCTGGCACCACCCTCCTTCTATCCGATATGGAGAAAATTTGAGAGGGGAAGGGAGCACGGCAAAAGTAAATTCAGGGAGGCCAACATATCTATTCACTAATATCGAATAGCAGTGGCATTTAAAGCTACAGCGGGGTCAAGGGTGCGTGTCACTACCCCACGCTCTGAAAAGACCCTCTAAGAGTTGATTGAACGGAATCAGGCCTCACCAGAGGTACCTGCCAAAATGACTGTCCCAAAACACCTCGCTATGCTAAATCCAGGAAGCCGCTCAAAGAAACACAGCCTCACTGCCCACCATCTTCGGCCTCCTCAACTGTAGCCGTGCGCCTCGTTACGTTCTGCCCTTCCGAACTGCTTCCCGCGACCGCAGAACTGGTAGCTTCACCTTCGTTGGACCCAGCAGCATTACCAAAGCTCCAGCTCGATTCAAGGGAACTAGGCTCGGCCGGCTTTGATGATGGACCGGCCACGGCACTCGAAGGCGCGGGTACTCCAGATGAAGAGGGCCTGGGCTGTTGGTAGTGGTGTGCTTGTGGTTGGAAATTTGCTGTTGAGAACGGAGGTAGGGTGACTGGTGGCACTACTCCTGGCGCTGACTGGCCTCCTTCGTATGATAGCGCCGGTATCTGAGTATCCTGATTGGTAGGTTGAGGAGCACGTGCTAATGGCCGCAACGTCCATCCTTCAGGCAACACTAGTCCATCTGGCAATCCCGTATCGCCTTGTCTTAGAATTGGCCCATTGGTAAAGTACGCTTGGGGAGTCATTGGAGCGAGTCCGTAAGCTGAACTCATCGGTGCAATAATAGGGAGTTCCTGACCATTGGCCGCAGTTATACCAGAGGCTTGCTGGAGGCGGTGAAGCTCACTGAGAAGAGCATGAATATATTCGAGCTGATCATGTTGGGCGTTCAGTTGATGAAGTGATGTGATAATGTTTTGTTGCAGCCGTAAGATGTCTGATTGTATGTCTGCAGGGTTGTGCGTGAAAGGACCCGGCATCTGCGTGCCTTGGAGATTGAGATGAGGGAGTTGAGGAACGCCTTGGTTCGGGGGATGGTTCGCAATTTGATTTTGGCCTTGGCCTTGACCTTGAGCGAGGTGTTGGGCAAGGTTCGCAATGGCGTTATTATTATTGATGTTGTTAACGTTGCCCTGCTGGTCGGCCGGCAGTCGCAAATTCCCGAGAGCAATGCGAATGGGGCCGAAGTTGAAAACACGCATGTTGCCTCCTGGTCGATTTTGTTGGCCGCCCTGTTGTTCTTGCTGGCCTTGGAGTCCACCTTGACGCTGCGGTTGGTTACCCTGATTACCGGGGAACAAGCGATTAAGCCCAAGCCCGGGTTGATTCTGTTGATTCTGCTGGCCCTGATTTGCCCGGTTGTTCTGCTGGGTGCTTTGCGCTGCTGCTTCTGCGAGGACCGGTCGACGGCACGTAGGACAAACTTGCTGCCTCTCAAGCCAGCTTCTCAGACAGTGGAAGTGGAGGATGTGCCCACATGGCAGCTTCTTCGGTCTCTGGCGCTCATCAACGCGGCGACCAGCTTGAGTAGCGTCCGCTCCGGGTTGGACCCAGGGTCGCATCTCCTCCCGACAAACGATGCATGTATTTTCTCGAGCCAATTCCTCTGCCGTAGCATCGGGGTAGCGGGCGTTCATGTCTCGGGTTGCATTTCTATATTGAACGAAATCGTTGATTCTCTTAATGAAAGAGCGGATAGTGATAAAGAGGTCCCTCATGATATGGATGGGGATGCCGTAAAAGGCCATGAGAATCATAAAGAACCCCAGATAGACGATAGACTTAATGAAGTCTATAGATGGTCAGCAAACATAATCACACATCATGCATTAAGTACGCACCTGTAGTGAGATCAAGGTAAAATACCCAACGACCCTTCTCTTCCCATCCTAGGACGTCTCCGTCGTCATCATCCTCTTCAGCGGCAGGTGCAGGAGCCCCTTCACTTTCAGTAGCTTGTTCTTCAGCTTGCTCTGTAGCCTGCTCTGTAGCTTGCTGCCTGGCTGATTCCCTTGCTACCCTTCGAGCTTCAAACAATGCTGTTTCCTGGCGGCGAATGATGACTAGCTCGACAAGCGAGAGCGTGTAACGAAGCAAGGTCGAGATGGATGCGATAGCCAGGAGCACATACTCGAACCCAAACATCACCATAACGCCAGGACGAGCGTCCTGTAGTATAGAGTCGACACAGTACTGCATCATGAATATGTCGAATCCAACTGAGAGAAGGAGGGAGCTCATCAAGCGGGTGTGGAACAGGCGGGGATTCGCAGGCGGCTGCTGCTCGAGAAACTCAACTCGCCCTTCGCCTATCCATTGCCATACCTTCCCTCCAAGAAGGCACAGAAACATAGCGAAGAACCAGGGTCCAATGTCGTCCCGGAAAATTGTCATTGCGAGCAGGGTTTCGCTGACGGCAAACCATGCCTTATCGTAAAGTTGTTCAGTCTCGATTGGGCGGAGGTGGCCATAGAACAGGCGCTGAAGCCCATATCCTATGCTTGCGGTGATGATGAGTGCAAGGTTGATGAGGAACTAGCCCGATGTTAGGTGCTTGCATTGTTCTCCATGGTGCAGGGAACTCACCATCAGAGAGCCGGTGCTCTGCGAGATATAAACGGCGGCCGAGTAGAAGTTGGGTCGCTCGTAGTACGCGCGCAGGAGGACGACATTGGCAAGGAGGGCAGAGCCCTGAGGAAGTCAGCATCTCGAATGCTTGTTGCAACAGTGCAACATACCGCCACGTAGACCTGAAGTCTAGTCATGCCGGAAGAACTGGGGCGAGATTTGTGCTCAGGAATGAGTGGATAGCCCCATAAGAGTGAGAAGGGAGGCTTTGGAAGAGATGAGATGGTGGGATGGGAGTATGCTGCGGCGAAGAGGCACACCTTGAAGACACGTTGGGAACTACATCACGTGACTCTGGCCGACGTTGATGACGAAAATCCCGAAATCCCTGTCACCAACAATTAAGCCCCCTCACTCATTGCTAGTGCGCAAACCACCTCGACTTGTTTGTCAAAGCTGCTGCAGCTTCTCTATAGCTTCGGTCGAATACTCGGACCCAATTGAGCTTCACAGACTTAGAAGCAAAGCTCATCGGAGAGCTCCCCGTCATCGTTTCGTTCTATCTGGCCTTAGCCGTGCACACCTGTGTCATTACTCTTCTCTCCAGTTCACTACCAGGTCTCCAAGTTTAATCTAGCTTGGTACGTCTGTGACCAATAATTTTGTTTGTGTTCCCGCATCTCGTGCCTGGGTTGCGGAGAGCGACGAAAGGCTACTGCAGGCCAGCCATGTCAATTTTGCATCAGGATACCATCCATTGTTGTCATGATCCCAAAGTCTAAATCTAGTGCTTGGGCGCTAAGACCTCGACGATTCAACATGTTGGCAGCAGCTGACGAAAGACACTCTTACCGCGCTTCACCAAAACCTATAAACCAGAGCCCAAGCATCCAGTTATTCTGCAGATTCTCACCCCAATCCTAAAAGCTGGGTTAGAAATCTGCTTCATTCTTTATTCCTAAACTCACCTCTCTTTACAATGTTGTGGACTGCCTCGGTATCAAGCTTTATGCTCGGTGCCTTGCCAGCTCTCAATGCATAGAATTTAGACGCATCAATGATCAAGTCAGTGGGGAACAACAGTCTGTTCACTCAATAGCGTCCAATATCCCATTTCATTGCGCCGGCAGGGTGGATGAATGTGAGTGTCTGGGTTCCGGACGTGTGCTTCGTCTTCTAGCTTACCGTGGACCATGGCTAGGCCAGAGTCTATCCCTTAGGCTCTTGCTAGGATCCAGGGACAGTGCCAAGAGGAGGCAAATTTCTGTTCAAGATTGCCCCTACCATGTTCCGTGTTGGGTCGCATGGTGTAGTAAAACAATCTGAAACAACTGACTTACGAAGGGACCCGTGCGGTATGGTGTATGACCCCACGAGGAACGTCTACCACCTCATGTGCCAGTGGCATCCTTATCACATCAGGCTGAGGTGTTAGCCACTAGAGCGGTTAGTTCCTGCGATGGACTAGGGTTGCTTTCCAACATTACCCAGCCTGTGAATCTTCAAGGGAAGGAGGATGGTACTCTACTTATCTTCTACTCTTCAGTCTCTAAGCTCCCAACTGGTTAAGCAATTCCGTACTTCAACGGAACCGAAACCCAAAGTTTTGCTATATCGACAGATGGAGGCGAGGCTTGGACTAAATACGAGAGCAACCCTATTATCTCGCATTCACCTGAGGGCTGGAACATCACCGGTTGGAGGGATCCATTCTTTGAGCCCTGGCTAGAAATGGATGCCATTCTTGGATAGACTGAGCCGCACTTCTACGCTGTTTTGGTTCCGGTATCAAAGGTATTGGCCCACGCATTCCCTTCTATAGTGCTCCGACAAGCGACTTGTCCAATTGGACTTTCTTAGGGGCTTTGTGGGAGCCTGCAGACAATACTACCCTTGCAAGCATCCTTGGATCGGGAACTTACGCCTTCAACTTCGAGGTGTAAGTAAGGTATCCGAAAAGTCTATCCGCACGATCTAATACTTCTTCGCTCAAATTTCTTCCCTCCAAATGACGAGGATGGAGATGTTCACTACTATGTCAAATTTCATTATCGGCCTCAATGGGGGTTTTGGAATGAAGGGCTTATCTCTCGACGAGCGAATGGATCAGCACGGTTTACGCCAGTCGCCGATAGTGCTGTTGATTGGGACTATTGTAAGCGATTACTAGTTTCAATGACGCTAAGAACAACTCTCGAGTACTGTGGGGTTAGGCTCCCGAAGAAATGGGCGATTACGCTCTAACCCAGAAGGGTTTTCAAGGCGCTTTCGCTCTTTCACGGGAACTCTTCGTTATGATTAGCAACGGGCTGGTGAATTCGGACGGAAACCTCACAGCCCTCGGAAATAATCGTCTCGTTAAGCATGACAACGGCACATTCACAGCTTACAATCTAGGAGTTCGTCCGCTTCCTGAAGTTGTTTCTAGAATCAGAAATAACTCCACCCAGCAAAATTTGCCGCTAGATCTGTATCTTCCAGTATGATCTTGGGCAGCGGAACCGACCACATGGAGCTAGCCGCAACCTTCCGCTGGCACCGCGGGGTTAACCATTGCAGCGTCTCCCGGGGGGAGATGAGTATACGATCATATATTTCGGCCTTGTGTCCTGCACAATTAACGCTAACAGAACGTACTCTTCGACCATTAACCTGTTCTAAAACTACACTGTCACCGGTTACTTCTATCCATATACATACGCTAAGACCTCTACCGAGGACGTCACGACGCTAATTATCCTTGACCGTTCTTGCCGGAAGTCCACGCAAATGTGAGTCGAACGGTGTCCTTTGCTGTGAATCTAGCACTAACTACCAGGACCAGTTTTCTCTCACAACGCGTACTTACCCAACCCGTAATGATAGTACAAGTTTTGGTGTCTACGTTGCCAGTAGGGCAAGTGTGATGTGTCAGCCATTGAAGTATGGGCAAGACTTGTGAAAGTCTTCCTCGAAAGACCACTCAATTTAAGCAGCCACTTAGTCTTTGATACGGCCGGGCTAACCAACAACTATACCTGGTGGGCCGGAAACTAGTAGACTCATCTTGAGGAAAGCACCTCGTAGGTTCAATTTTGAGAACTGACCAGCATTTTCCCTAGCGAGCCCGTACATATTAGTAATTTTTGGAGTCAACATCTCTTTGTTCCCGTTCAACCTTCCTATACCCTTTCCGTATGTTATCACATAACTTGGCACATAACTAGGGTAGAATATTCATGTTAAAGCTCTTGTTGGTATTATAGAGAATGCTGACTGGATGTAATTCTCTGTTCTAAATTACCCTCTAGTTGTGTTTCGCGTTTGAAGTCCTGGCGTCGTCCTTGATCACCTTTAACTGGGAGCCGCAGATCTACGTCGCCAATCCGCTCTTCCAGTGGATTTCCGCATCAAACATTTGCGGCAATGAGAAGGAATTATGCCATAATTTCCGCTTTTCGGAACCAGCACCCCGAGAAGTTTCATCGGCTTTCCTGAATGGCTCACCCCGCATTTCAACCTCCCCGGACGTAGCCTTAGCTGGGTCAACCGGCTAAATTGGGTAAACTACTTCGTAGCTTCAGCACTGGAAAGAAGCAACACCCAAATTCAAGTATTCTGGAAGCAATCTATAAACCGTCCGCTACCTGATTGTAGGGCTGCACCTAGGTCCCGAATTTGAAGTCCAGGCTAACCCTTTGCTACAATACACATCATAGCTACAATCAGTACACTAAAATTTTCTTCGGAGGGGAGTATTGAAGGGGATTGGATTAGCATGGCAGAACAAGAATATCAACTTTCACTGACGGAGATTGAACACTTCCTTGAGCACGGGTGGATAAAGTTGTCGAATTGCTTCTCACGAGAACAGGCAGCTGAGCTGCAAGAAACGCTATGGATCCGGCTCGGTATGGATCCAAACGACGTGTCAACATGGTACATTCTGTCTCTTTGTTGCTCAAGTCCGCATCCCCCTCCAAATTCCAGACGCGGCCAACCATACGGTTTCACCTAATTCAATGTCTTAGCTGCCACCTAAGGCTGATATCTGAACAGGCACACCGAACGAACGAACATGCCATGGTTCAACTCCTTCTCCGTCGCCACTCTAGCACCAAAAGCTTGGGGTGGTATATGTTCCCTCCTTGGGGGGTCCTCTCGCGTCAACCCCGAAGCTTCAACATGGAAAGACAGCTTCATCGTCAACCTCGGCACCCCCTCTAAGCGCAACAAAGTAGTCAAACCTCAGGAACTAAGAGGCTGGCACATAGATGGAGACTTCTTCGTCCACTACCTCGACTCGCCCGAGCAAGGACTTTTAGTAATTCCGTTGTGGACGGACATCAGCCCTGGGGGTGGTGGGACCATGATTTGCCCTAAAGCGATCGGGGTTGTGGCGAAGCATCTGTACGAGCATCCGGAAGGGGTGAGTCCGAGGATGACACCGAGGGCTCAGAATCCGACGTTCAAGCAAGAGGAGACTGGATTGAGATGGTTCAATGAGATCGCCATGTCTATGGCCGATTCAGACTTTATCGAAGCAACGGGAGTCATCGGCGACGTTTACCTCATGCATCCACTGATGCTCCATTCAGCCAGCAACAATCAGTTACGGCAGGTTAGAGTCATTACCAACCCTCCAGTTAGTATTAAACAACCATTTGTCTTTGATAGGGAGGATGGGGATTATTCGGTGGTGGAGAGAAAAACCATGAGGGTGCTAGGGAAGGAGAGGTTGGAAGGGTGGAAGATTACGAGCGAGAGACAGGGTATTGTGCCTGAGAGAGTGAGGATCCAGCAGGAGATGAAAAGAAAGGAAGAGGAAAGGTTGAGGGCCTTGAAGAGTGGTGGCGAAGTAAAGCAGGAGGAGGTGGCTCCTGTAGTATAAATCGGCAGATTGCAGAAATCGTCCTTCGTCAGAGGCGTAATGCTCGAGGTTTAGTAATAAGACATTAAAGCCAGACTAATAATCAAAAGTACTTCGTGTTATCACATAATGTGAAATATGAGCAGGGTGGAGTCTACCCATTGAACTTCTATCGCGAAATACCGTCATGTTCCTTAAGCCATAACCGAATTTAGGATTCTCGAACGTAGTTTCTCTGCGTGAAGAATCGAGGAGTAGAAATGAGGCGTCTTTGAACGATAACCCTTTCTTCCCACTCCCGAAATGGTTGGTATGCCCCATCTACTGTTTGATGGCAGGTTAAGTGTTTTCGAAAAACACACCGCTCTCTTAGGATTTCACCGCCGTATCGTTTATAGTGTCACCTCATCGAGTGTTCTTGAAGAAAGAAGGCACTCTATAGTAATTCAGGAAATCCGAAGTCGGATATTTGCTCACCCAGAACAAGATTGACAAAAAAGGATACTAGTTTGTCCGTCTCAACTGAAAACCGGAACCCTTGGCTTACGCGAGAACCCCTGATAGTTCTGGGTAGGGGCTATCAAAACTATGATCATAATGGCTCGCTTGTGTAGTTCAACATCCCGAAGCCATCCGGAGCTTTGGAGGAAGGGTATCGAAAAGCTTCTGGATGCCTCCCTCAGGTTGACCCATTCTTGCTAGCCATCAAAATTCGCTGAAGTTCATCTTTTGTTAGAGTCTGATAGCCTATCGCTCCAAGGTAGACCTTAGATGTTGCAAAAGAAAAGAAGAAAGATGGATGATAGATTCACAGCAGCAACGAACATCTCAAAGCGATCGCAGACAGAATGGATATGTGACCAAGCGCCGCCGCTACTCGACCGGAGTGCTAAGGATGAAAGATTAGTTTTGAAGGGAAATCCTCTGAAGATTAGTGCACTGCTTTTGTTGAGAATTTACCTGAGTTATCTATGGTTGAATCCTCTGCCTCCTGTGCACAGCTCGTACAGTTTCAACAAGATCCAGTGGTGTTGGAGCTTCACACATGCTTACTCAACCATTGAAAAGCGAGCTGCCGAGCCATCACACCACGCGAAACTTGCGGCCCCTGAGGTTGATTTTCAATCATGGTCAGCATGCCAAAGACCACCTGGCCTCGTGCGCAGAGTTCGTAACTCGTATATAATGGGTGGTACGGATCCGTACTTAGTGATATTAATAAAGCTCTTAGAGATCTGCAGGGGCTTTGTGCTAGCCGGATAGGGCGAGGAATTAGAGGCTCGCTAGGACAAAGAGTGAATGCGTTGTGGCTGTAATATGTGCCCCTGGATTCGGGACGCAGAGGGTAGAGGGTGTTACCAGGAGAGAGGCTAGAGGGCTCAACGTGTCCAATACCGCCGCTGGACGAGGGTAAGGGTGGTTGGAGGTCTAGTACCCCAAGCTTGGCGCCGGGGCTAAGAGAGGCTGATTTCCAAGTTGACACCTTACCTTTGGCTTTTCACCAGTGAGCGCCACCAAACTGGCTACAATAAAATCCCCCTCCGTCGCCTGCTGATCCAGTCCATTTCCACCAACCCCCAAGGGACAATCAAACCAGCTTCTTTTTTTTTTCCTTCGCCTTCTAATTTCTGTCTACGATGCGTTACAGCATTCCGCTCTGCGGCCTTTTGGCCTCTGTCGCCCTTGCATCCGACGTCCACGAGCTGAAGAAGGACACGTTCAAGGGCTTTGTGGAGGAGCATGACCTCGTTCTAGCAGAGTGTATGACACCCCGTCATTCTTTTAGCTTCATTCAGCAATTGGTGATCTAACACTCACCGCAGTCTTCGCCCCGTGGTGCGGCCATTGCAAGGCCCTTGCGCCCGAGTATGAGACGGCCGCGACGACATTGAAGGAGAAGGACATCCAGTTGGCTAAGATCGACTGCACTGAGGAGCAGGACCTCTGTCAGCAGTATGGCGTCGAGGGCTATCCCACCCTCAAGGTCTTCCGGGGACCAGACAACATCAGCCCCTACACCGGCCAGCGGAAAGCGGATGCTATCATATCGTACATGACGAAGCAATCGCTCCCCGCTGTTTCGGACATCAACAAGGACACGATTGAGGAGTTCAAGACGGCCGACAAGGTGGTCCTGGTCGCTTACTTCGCCGCCGACGACAAGGCCTCCAACGAGACCTTCACCGCCGTTGCCAACGGTCTCCGCGACAACTATCTTTTCGGTGCCACCAACGACGCCGAACTGGCCAAGGCTGAGGGCGTCGAGCAGCCCGGTCTTGTGCTGTACAAGTCGTTCGACGAGGGCAAGGACGTCTTCACGGACAAGTTCGAGAAGGAGACCATCGAGACGTTCGCCAAGGTTTCTTCCGTTCCCCTCGTTGGCGAGGTCGGCCCGGAGACGTACAGCGGCTACATGGCCGCCGGAATTCCCCTCGCATACATCTTCGCCGAGACCCAAGAGGAACGGGACACGCTCGCCAAGGAGCTGAAACCCCTTGCTCAGAAGCACAAGGGCGCCGTCAACTTCGCTACTATTGACGCTAAGGCTTTCGGCCAGCACGCTGGCAATCTCAACCTTGAGGTTGGCAAGTTCCCCGCCTTTGCCATCCAGCGAACGGACAAGAACCAGAAGTACCCATATGACCAGGACAAGAAAATCACCGAGAAGGAGGTTGGCGAGTTCGTTGACGATTTCCTCGCTGGAAAGGTTGAGCCCAGTGTCAAGTCTGAGCCAATCCCCGAGAAGCAGGAAGGTCCAGTCACCGTTGTCGTTGCCAAGAACTACGAAGAAGTTGTCATCAACAACGACAAGGACGTCCTTCTTGAGTTCTATGCACCATGGTGCGGACACTGCAAGGCGTAAGTGCTTCCATCTCTCTGGCTACGTTCCAGGGGCTAACACAATGTTCAGTCTCGCTCCCAAGTATGAGGAGCTTGCCGCTATGTATTCTTCAGAGGATCTGTCCAAGCTCGTAACCGTCGCCAAGGTTGACGCCACCGCCAACGATGTTCCAGATGAGATCCAGGGCTTCCCCACTATCAAGCTCTTCCCCGCCGGAAAGAAGGATTCTCCGATTGACTACTCTGGCTCCCGAACTATCGAAGACCTCGCCCAGTTCATCAAAGAGAACGGCTCACACAAGGTTGAGGCCGCTGTCCCCGAGGAGCCCGAGCTCCGTGAGGAGAAGGAGGAGGACATTCCCGAGCAAGCCCCTGCCGCCTCAGAGAAGGCCGAGGAGGTCACTGAGAGCGTTAAGTCCGCAGCCTCGGAAGCTACGGAGGCAGCCAAGAGCGCTGCTGGGGAGGTCCACGATGAATTGTAAAATATCAATGTGATCTTTTTCCACTTTTCTGCCTAAGCCTGTCTCTATATATCTAGATGGCTCAGCGACTGTAAGTTGGACGGATGGACTGGATGGAAATTGCGGGGCTGCACGAGACAAAAGAGACATGATTGACACATGGGATTGCGAGATGAGGAGAAGTGGGGATTATTTTCATTCCTCTGTGCGCCCTTGCGGGTTAGGTTGGGGTTACAGGCCAGCTTTAACGGTGTTATGGTGTTCTTTCTTCTTTGGATGGGTCTATTGATGTTATTGTGTGATTGTGATTGTGGAATCCGACACCTCCATATTGTACGCATATACTCACCACCAGGTTTTGTCTTTGATTATTTCTCTCACTAAATGTCTACAACCCACATCCACACATGGCAGAACAGGATGTGGTCTAATTAAGAGCACAATTTTTGCACCCTTTTGTTGCCCCCACTCATTCTAGCCACCGATTCGAAGACCGAGTCTTTACTCTTAAATTTCCGTGGGGACTAGGTAATTCAACCGAGTAATCTTGTACATCTTCTATGTCCCGTCTTTCTCGTTAATTCACTACTGCTTCTCGTGGCCATCTCGAAATCAAGCAATATGCACCTGGCTACAAGCATCGCTAACATATCATATTCCATAACCGAAGAATGTCTAGTTAGAACTCTAATGGTATGAATACAAAAGGAAGGAAGGCATGTCAATGTCTATGGATTTCCTGTACAGTTTTACTGAACCACTTAAGCTGTCTGCTCTAATAGAGTGTATCGGGAATAGCCACGCGCGAAAGTTGAGCAGTGTACAGTTTGTCCGTAGCAAGGTATTATCCAGCCTCTGTTAAAACATTGCTATTTACGAGGGTCTGTTACAGTTAATCCTTTGCTACTATGCCGGCGTTGAAGTCCGCCCTCTATGTTCTTATGGGTTTGTTCTGAACAGCAGCTTTCCCATTGAAACAGTCAACATATAGGTCTCTTGTAATGTAAGAGAAGACAGGGGCAGGCAAAGCATACGCGAAGAACGGGTTCATCTCTCATTCATTTGGGCTAACTATGTTACATAAAGTACCCGTCATGTATTCATCCTAGCAATAGATGCCCTTTGCTGGTGTGGACAGACCTAGGCTGTTGTCATGCAGGTTGAAAACCAAAAAAAAAGCAGGGAATCACGGTAGACCATAGGAGTCCCTTAAGTGGAGAGAAAGCCCCAATGACGCTCAGCATAAAAGGTCTCTGCGGTCTCCATCTTCCAAGTGGAGTCGAACGGGGATAGGAGGATTAGGTCTTGGCTAAAACTGCTTCGGAGGGACTCGATGGCCACCTTCTGGTTATCACGGCTTGGTATAGCTTTGCCATGCGCCTGACCCTGGTATGGCCACCCGGACTCCATAACAATAACTCGTTTGCTTGGACAGACTTTCTCGACTAGGGCGACCTGGTCTTTAACAAACTGGCCAGAATTTGGAGCCTCAGTGTTCTCATCGAAGAAGGGGTGGATGTTAACGAACGCGAGGTCGGAATTATCGCAAATGGTCGGATCGCTAATAGTAAATGCTGCAGTTTCAACAGCTCCAACCGGGCCATCGTAGTGGACCGCACGGAGACCCTCCCGAGTCTGGTTTATTGCATCGACAATAGCCGAGGTGGTAAGTTGGTGATCTGACGCTCGTTCATTCTCCACTGTGACTGCGATGACCACATCCCAATTGCTCTTCGCGTATTCCTCAATGGCGCTAGAGAACGCTTCAACTGCATCGGACGGTGTCTCATCTGGCAGATAGAAACCCAACATCAGCTTTTGTCCATTCGCAACTGCGTGTTGTACTACTAGATCAACTTGAGAGCACCCAATTCCGTATGTTCGAACGACTTCGTATTCTTTGATGATTTCGAATTCGCTAGCGACCTGTGATTCTGTCTTGCATTGCGGCTGGCCGTTGATCATAGAAAAGGCATCCCAAGCAACGCCGATTGGAAACCAAGTGTTGGAAGATGCCTGCGGACTTGAAGTAGTATACGACTTCGTGGTAGCGGTGGACGATGTGTCTGGCAGTGGCGGAGCGTATGAAGGTTCTGCAATTGAGCTGGGAGCCATCGAAGACGTGTCCAGAGAAGATGATTCAGCAGGAGCGGCCGAAACCAAAACTGGCGGGATTGAAGAGATAACTGAAGAGATTGAATCCATGGATGATACGACAGAAATGGATGAGGAGGTCAATGGGGCAGAAGTGATCACTGGAGTCTTGGAAGATGTATACGGGATAACAAAAGACTCGGGGGAACTTGGAGCAAACGAAGATGGAACAGCCATAGCATTGTTGGCCAGCTCAGAAGCTGAGGGGGACACCGGGAGTTCGGTCGCAGTTGTCTCCATAGTTGTGACTATACTCACCGCCTCGGTTGAGTACGGAGCGCTGTTCTCATCAACCCAGACTATGACACCGGCCACAGTGACGGTCGTGAAAGTGACCTCTGTGACCAGACCACGTTTGATCTCTGTATCATGCCTTAGGTAGGTTGTAGAGCTTCGCTGGCGTTAAGGCGCGCTTACTGTGCGGCTGAGCGTTCACACCAATTCCTCCAATCGCAGCACCAATGGTACCAACCACGAAGATTCCCTTGGCTAGTCTCATATTGTTCAGCAATTTTTGTAGCTTGTAGAAGGCGACCTCGAAAATATATGCTTGTGAAGAAGAGAGGATAGCGACTGATAGTGCCGTCCAGGGGCGTCAGCAACGAATGCAGCGAGTAATATGACGCAAGCGGTGAGACTCGAGGACCGCAGGAGGAAGCAGGCCGGTGCCGGTGGAAAGGTGAAAGGAAGGGAGAGAGAGCTGAACTTACGAGAACTAGCTCCCGATGTGATTGCTAATAAGAAGCTTCGGATTGTATAAGTAATTGCCGATGGAGTAACTGCCGATGAAGTAAACCAGTTCAGAGGCGAGAGTGAAGGAATGAAGGGGGGGGGAGATTGGACGAAAACGTGGGCACAGCCACGGAGAATGAAGCGATAAGGCCAGGAATGTTGGAAGCTGTGGCACGACCAGTGGCAGGTGGAAGGAGTGGAATGAGGTAGGGATTGAAGGAGTGTATCTACCTTGAGTACGCTAACATGTAGCGGGAAGAAAGAAGAAAGGACCGGGTATTTGAAAGCTGGAAGTTAGTATCAGAGAAAAAAGTGTGTTTTCTGGATAAAATAGGGAGAAGAGAAAGAAGAAGACAAAGAAGAAGAAGCAAGGGCGGTGGAGGTTTGTTTGACAGCAGGTAGTGCACGGGCCATACGTTCCTGACTAGTCTGCTCTGGTTTATGCTGAAGAGGCTCAACAAGGAGGACTGCGGTGTGAGGTATTAACGACATCGCTTTTGTTATTTTGCTACCTAGAAAATTTTGGGATAGCCTCGGGAAGTTGCCGCCTGAGTGGGAAGGTCGCGGAAGGTGTGCTATGATTACTGGGAGTATCCGGCGGAGAGGTGAAAGGACATATGCAGTCACAGGGCGTGAAGCCTGCAGCCATGCTTCCTGCATCTTGTCACCTAACGTGGAACATGGAAGGGTAATTTAGGATAGAAGTTCGAATCTTGATGGTGATCTCCTTGATTCTCACAAGAGGTTTAACAGATCGAATCCACCCAAGTCCTGTTCTAGATTATGTGATAACATGCTGTATATCGCATGGTGTTTTTAGAGTCGCCTAGACAGCGACCTCGGTGTACCTATGACCTCAATTTCCGCAAGCGCCTAGAACAATACTCAGGGTGTGGTCGTGGACTGGAGAAGGGAAACAGGATAGAACAAACGAAGCTGAAGTGTGCACAGAATTTGCCACTGCATCTTTTCACCTAACGGGGAGCATGAGGGGGTTAATTCCGGACGAAATTCTTCATCTAATTAGCATCCTCCTTTATTGCAGCAAGATGTTTAATAGATAGACTCTATCTTGGTCGTTTTACGTTAGATGGGAAGGTACAGTAGACCAGGAATGCTGGTCCAAGATTGGGGCTGATGAATTGTCACGAGCAGAAAGGAATTGGAGTAGGGCCCCTGCGAGATCAAATGAACACTCAGACTGACCAACGAATGGTTACCATAAACCAACCGATAATCTCGAACTTTGCACTAGATGTATTCAACTGCATCAGCTCCACTGAGTTTCCACGATGACGCGAGTAAATAGGCAACCAGAGTGCGCCAGGATTGCCTTAGTACGATGATTCTAGTATCGAGTTCTAAAGAAAGGTGTGGCAACGCACGAGGAAATGGGGAGGCGCCTATTTAAATACATGACATGTCCTGATACTCAGCGTTAGTTTACGGTATAAATGATGTTCTCCGAGTCTCTTCAAACCTGACTATTGCTTGATGGTGGAGGTAATGAGAGCCTCCTCCTTTCGTATGGAAAGCGAAGAAGACATTCCTTCTGCGAGTGCAGTCAGCCTATTGGAGAACTGGTCAGAATATCTAGTTGGTGGCCACTTCTAATGGATTCATGAGACTTGATTGGCCAAAAGCTACTGTATTCTTAAACAATTAGACCTTGTATAGAGACTATAGATCCTTTATCGTATTTGACTTCGAAGAGTTTCCGATAGCATGCGTCTAAGATTAAGTCAAGGGAGGGAAAAGAGGTAATCATGCGGAGGAAGATCAGGGGTGGGTAGGAAGTGAAAGATCATTTGAACTGGAACACAAGAAGATATTCACAGGCGTCGTGAAGGTGTGATGATGTGACATCGGCAGAAAGTAGAGCCGGCGCCCGTTCACAGCCGAAAGGGGGCTGCATAATTCGCACAAACCTCGCTCGTATTTCGCACATCGATGGCAGGCTGCACCACATTTCGCATTTTCGAGATTTCGCACGTAAATAATAACCTAGCAAGAGCGGCATAGCCGGGGCAATTCCGATTTGGATCACGACCGCACCTGCCACGTTCTGAGGCGACCCTTCCCGCGCCCTACCGCCCTCCCCACCTTTCGCTTGCTACCGCCAAATTTTGTTTTTGCGCTTATCCAATTTTTTTTCTTTACAACACCCCTCGCTCAGGGACTCTATAAACCAAATATTTTTGAAATATAACTTGTGCAGTGCGAGAACTTGTACGAACCCATTTCTTGCCTTTTACCAGAAGTGGCCGCGAGCTCCGCACAAAACTGCACTTCGTGAATCTTTGGAAACCTCATGGGTTCAACCCATTCCTTTTGCTTTTATGTTTTTGATAGTGCTGGGTTTAGCGTGTTATGTTCCCTATAATATCCTTTTTTTTCTGTGTTTGCCGCTTGTCGTTCTTTTTGTTTTCTATTTTGAAGTTGGTAAATTGCAGAGCCTCATCCAGGTAGAAAGGTAAAACCAAGAACAACCTATTTCCACTTCAGTCTTGCCATGTGACATCGTTATTAACACATGCGTGGTTTTGATTAAAGATTTTTTGGCTCATGAAACTTGGGAATGGGTTTCTCTTTTCGACGGGACGATCAACAATAACCATAATTTCTTCCTTTGCAATGGAAGGTGCTAGGTAGAAACTAGTCTATGAAGCAGATTAGCACACGAGCGCAACCGCCTCAGCATTTCATCTTAACTCCCTCCCGCTTCTCCTGCTCCCTCACCTCAAACATGACCTGGCTTCCAACAAACAGAGCACCGCACGCCGCCCAGAAGAACGCAAGCCCAGAATAACTCCCAACAATGCCCTTGACTAATCCATCAAGACCGTCCAATCCTAGCGCAAATCCGACTAAATTTGCAGCCATTAACATTAAGATATTCGCTACAGCCCCAACTCCACAAATCACGCGATATGTATTAGGGTTGTTTTTCCATTTGCGTGCAGGGAACAGCATAGATGCAATGAGCTCTGGAACAACGAACAAAGTGACCAGCCATCCCCACATCAACAATCGAAGTTGGATATCATGCCAAATTGCAATGAAGGTGAAGACGGCTAAGTAATTGAAGATCCCTCTCGCTTTGCCCCAAGCCCCTGGAAAGGCACTGCCTCCCAGGGGAATGTAGAGATATCTGACACTCCATTTGTTGAAACTTCGATGCCAGCCACGCCAGAAGGCCATGACGGAGTAATTGTCGCTCATGCACCGTACCATGTTTTCCGGAGGGTCAATACCATCTAGCAAGGCCCAGAGTCGAAAGAATCGCCACGGAAGGAGTAGTTTAAGCCAAATGTGCTTAAGGTTAAAAAACCCAAGCATACTTAGCTGAAATGGAGTATATTGGTTCCAGTCCGGTTTCGCTTTAAATATGGCAACCATATACATGTAGTGAATCATAATTTCCATGACGAGGAGACAAATGATGAATCGAATTGCGTACAGCGTTGTTCTTTTCGTGGTTATGCTGTGTGGTCGGTACCTCAATTGCGACATGTAGTCGTTAAATGTAACAATTGGGCCGGTAAGGAATAGCGGAGAATACAAAGCGTATGCAAAATAGTTACGGAAGGAGAAGTCCGTGGCTTTTGCTGGTATTGAAATACGATCTCTTTCGGAAAGATTTGAGGGATCGAGCTGCTTCTTCTTGATGCCATTAGCTTTGTCGGGAGAGAGAAGAGAATAAGGTCGCACCTCGACTGGACTATTCCCTCTAGAGTTTAAACTCCAGTAGTAGTCGAGGTTGAAGCTTATGAGGCGTAACACAGTGAAGTTGAAAAGAACCTCCCATCTTGACATGAGGCCGCCATACTGGTCAAGCATAGTCCCTAGATTCGCTCTTGGCTGCTCCTTCTCCGGGCCAGAGGTCGAGGGGAGGAAGGCGCCGAGGATCGAGGCATATGAATAGCCCCTACATAGCTCATTTGCGAACATTATGCCAATGTTGAAACCCCAGGTAACGGCTGGCATGTATGATCTTGGGACCTTCTTAGCTATGCTGTAGTTGATATACAGAATAGCGAAAATCTTCAACACAGAGAATCCATGAAGGGCACCTATGAATAAGATGGCGAAGCCGACATCGAAAGAGATGCGTTGTTCAAGTCGAGCGTCTGCAGCGGCCGCTGAAGTTAAACCTTGGGTCAGCTGACCGTCTCCACCATTAAATGGGCGCACTTGAGCGTAGGTGTCTGCTCTCCAGAACGAATCATAGGCCTTCCGAAGGATTGGATGGAGTAGAACAATAGCAAATAAGTATGGCATGTTCTGGCGGAAGCCAGAGTACTGAGCATCCGAGTTGTCCTGGAAAAGGCTCAGCAATTGCCCGAAGTGAAAGAGGGGAACACGTACAACTTTACGGCCAGGTACCCAACCATTTGAGAGCAAAGGAGCGAAATGGGAGTAGTTTGGGTGTGATTCTTCATTGCGATTCAATAAGTTGTCCTTGCAGTGGTGCTCCTTCGTTGTACTGACCTCGTGATACATCATGCACCGACTTGCACATGGAAGGGATTGCGGTTAGGAAAACAAAATAGTAGAAATAGAACTCTGGTGTGTTCCATCGCGAAGGCTGAACGCTCTCAGCGGAACTATCTCCTTTCGACCGCCCGCTTTGAACGGGTCCTGGCTTCGCTGGATCCACATTGGCTTCTTCTAGAGCTTCTTTCGGGGTTGCGGTGGCTGGTATAGTGAAGCGAGTGTCGAGTGTGTCTAGCGAGTACAACTTCCGGAGACTGCGGAAGGCCATGGCGATTCCGATGATTCTTATGTCATAGCAGAGCCTAGAAGTGAGGGCGTTGTGCAAGTGGAGGATTGTGGGGGTTGTGGTGAGGTTAATTAGGTTTGCGAAGGAAGGCTCGCGAACGGGGCAACTGCAGCTTCGCGATGCGACAGCTTCCCTTCTTCAACATCCCCGACATCCACCCCTCCACGGCCTAAATACGGATATAGGCCGAATTTTAACGTGTCAATGCGCTAGACACGACGGATTACACCCTGCACGAAGCTTCACGTTTCGAGATAGCGTTGCGCAATGAATATTCCCAACTCCTCGACGGCACCGAACGCGAACGAGTATGCTGGAGGTCCGTTGCTCGGTGCAGCTTCGTCACTCCTGCCTCTGTACTGATCACCTGCACAGATGAGGTCTCCGCCATAGTTCTTGACCCCGGCTACTCGACCACGCGGGCAGGCTTCGCCGGGGAAGACGTTCCTAAGTCCGTCTGCCCATCCTTCTATGGCCACATCGACTCTGACTCGAGCCCGCAATACTTCTTTGGCGAAAATGCGATACACAACCCTGTCCCCAACCTCGAAATTAAGAACCCTTGGGGCTCAGATGGCATTGTCGAAGATTGGGACACGGCGACAAAGATTTGGGAATATGCCATCACATCGCGCCTTACGGGCTCAAAGCCAGGAAACCCGGGAAAGAATGGGCTGAACGATGCGAATGGTGATGATATGGATATCGACATAGAAGGTCTCGAGAACATGGAGAAGCCGCTGGAAGAGAGCCCGCTATTGATGACAGAGCCGGGATGGAATTCGCAGAAGGCGAGGGAAAAATGCATCGAGATTGCCATGGAGGAGTGGGGTACGCCGGCATTCTATCTGCAAAAGACTGGGGTTCTAGCGGCGTAAGTGCGAGTACCGCCGGGTCTGTGGCAAGTTGCTAACCTCAGTTATAGGTTTGCGTCGGGGAAGGCTTCGGGTATAATCATTGATGTTGGGGCCTCAATTACCTCAGTTACGCCGGTGCTGGATGGCATGGTACTAAAAAAGGGCGTCCAGAAGTCACCGCTCGCCGGAAACTTCGTCTCCAACCAGATCCGCATGATCTTCAAGCAATCACAGCCCGAAATCCCCCTCACACCGCACTACAAGGTAGCCTCTAAAACTCAAGTCGATGCTGGTGCACCATCGCAGGCTATATACAAGAGTTTTGAGATACCGCTAATGGAATCCTTCCATCGACACGAGGAAGAGCGCGTCCTGACCGAGTTCAAAGAGTCAGTCGTGGAAGTGTGGCCTGGACCTGGTCGCTTCAGCAATGGCACTAATGAAGAGATTGCCAAGTCCCAGCCTGGTAGGCCATTTGAGATGCCAGATGGCTGGAACCAGGTTTTCGGCGTAGATAGATATAGGGCCGCAGAAGCGTTGTTCGATGCCGGTGCTGCTCTGCAGGTAAGGATAGTCGTCTGACATATTAGAAGATCCTAATTGGAACTTAGGATGCTGAGAACCCACGCCCAAAGGATGAGCACACCATTCCCCGGCTTGTTCAAGCAGCCATACAACAGGTGGATACCGATCAGCGACCCCTTCTTCTCCAGAACATCGTTGTCACAGGTGGCTCGACTCTGCTCTATAAGTTCAACGATCGTTTGAACTACGAAATTAACGCGATCTATCCCTCAACTCGTAACAAACTAATTGCACCGGGTTCTGTGGTCGAACGCAAGTACGCGGCATGGATTGGAGGCAGCATCCTTGCGAGTTTGGGTACTTTCCACCAGCTTTGGATTTCAAGGAAAGAGTATGAAGAGCACGGAGTCAATATCGTGGAAAAGAGGTGTAAGTGAGATAATGCGGTATGGAGAATCGGTCTTGAAAAGCACTCTGCCTGGCGTCGAGGAGTCAAAAGCTGGGCGGCTCAGCGAGTCCAACGACTTTGATTAGTCTTTGTAGACAATATTTCGAGAAAGATTGAATTCATGATCAATGCTAGTCTCTATCTGTTCAGCTCTCACCGTTGCTAAACCGTGTCTCCTCCATAATCCGGGGGGAGTAGTCCATGGCCTCGATGCCCAAAACGCCCAGTGGTGCACTGACTATCATCATTCCTTCTCCCTCTACCTCGCACGAAGCTGTGCGTGTCTCTATGAGTCCACATCCATAGTCTCCGCCGTAGCCGTCACATTCTCATCTTTCAGCTCATGCACGGTGATATACTTGCTGATCTCCTCCCTCGTAATGATCTTCTCATTCAGCACTGCCGTCGTACCCCTCTGGAACTTGTAATTCCTCTGCTTGGGCGCACGGACATTCGGCGTGATGTAGTTTCGCATCAACGTCGTCTTCTCCTCAGTGATGATGGCAACATCGACATTGCTGCCAGATCCCAGATCGTTAAAGATACCGGCCTGAATTGCATCTGCGCACAGCTTCACGGCATCATCCTTGTTCAACTTCGGCTTCCACTGCGTCTCGAAGACAGACATGGCGGCTAGAGAGCCAGAGCCCATGGTTACGTAGGGGAGCTTGTCGGTGGAGCCGTGGGCGTGCACGGTGAAGAGGTGTGAGCCTGTTGGGTCTACGCCTGCTACGACGAGGTACGCGCCGATGTGGCCCTGGTAGCGGAAGAGGTGCTGCTTTAGCATCGTCATGCAGGTGACTACGCGTGGCTTGCGGCCGGTGGACAGGGCGTGCAGCTCGAGGTTGGACGAGATGATAGCGGTTGTGAATTCGGTGTCGGCGGCGGTACCGGCGCCCGCGCACCAAATCTGAGGGGCAATATAATGCAGCTTCTCGCAGTTCTATACATGGCGTCAGGTGCATGTTCAGTCTGGGGCTATTGGGTACGATGCATCGAGCATCGTCGGCAGAAGAGCTGAGGGGAGGGGACTCGGAGGTACCTTGTCTGCCACTATAGGCCCGCTCGTAGCTCGTGTGTCTGCGGCAATCACGACTCCGCCGTCGAACAGACAGCCAACAATGGTAGTTCCAGTGCTTGTGGCCTTCGGTAATGGTACGCCTTGGGCGTGGAGCGCAGCATTGCGGTTGTGGTTGGAGAAGTCGAAGCCTGCCATGGATGCGTGAGGGGAAGGTCGGAATAGAGGAGTAACGATTGAGGTGGAGGTGAAGGTGGAGGTGGAGGCTTAGGTCGGAGGCTTCAACGAAGGCTTCGTGGGAGGGTTCGGTGGATAGAAAGGCGAGAGGGAGTGGTTGACGCAGCAGCTCTGCCTGGAGCTCAAGCTCGGGACGGCATGTGCCGCTCGTCTTTCACCTCCAACACATCAATCAACAAGCGGCGTCAACGCGGTGAAGAGCCCCAGGTCACAGCGTCCGGTGCTTGACGCTCTCATCGCCCAGAGCGCCAGGCAGCACGCCCTGCTACTATTTTCAATAAAAGCTTTAGTCTTTTCCGCCAGAGCCCGCCCAGGCTCTCCTCACGCTCTCCTCACGCTCTTTTTCTTCGCAAGCTTTCGCAAGAGCAGTCGCAGATGCTCACAACCGCCCGTTTGTTCAAAGAACCCCGTCACGCGAGATCCGGCCAGAGCACGTATTAGCAACCATGGACTTCGCATTCAAGTCCGCAGTCGGAAGTGCCCCGTCGATTAATGCAGGCGCCGATTTGACCGAGATCAACACAGAGGTAACTTTTCTACGTAGACTCTTGGTCACTGGTATTGCTAATCACGAGCACAGAACCTTGGGTTCGCTGCCTTTGGAGGAGAGAAAAAACTGCAGCTGCTCCCGGATCCGTGGCCGACTGATGGTCTGCCACCATCTACTGCGTCCCTCCTCTCTGTTGCCTCCCGACGCGGTCTCCTGGCCGCCGCTTCGCCACGCGCCCTCGTCCTCGCGTCTACGGAAGCCGTACGTAAAGCCTTCAATGGAGCAGCGCCCGAGGACAATATCATTACCGACTTTAAGCCCGACGTGGTCGTTGCCCTTCCCCAGCTCCGCCATGTTGCCTTCTCCAGCAATGAGGACTTCTTGGTAGTCACCGCCGAGAGTGGAGGAGGGCTCGCCGTGTACGGAGTCGACGATCTTTTGCGCTCAAAGGCACAGCCTGGAGTCCAGATATCGACCGAACAAATCACTGTTCGCTCGCTTGCCGCGAATCCAAACCCTGACCTCGAGCAAGCCTTCGTTGTCGTCCTTGACTCCGGCCAACTCCTCTTGGCCGACGTGGGAGAAGGTCAATCGAAGATACTACAAGCTGAAGGTGTCTCATGCGCAGGCTGGAGTGCGAAAGGAAAGCAGATAGTTGCAGGATTGAACGATGGCACGGCCCTTCAGTATACGCTTGTGGGCAAAGTTGTAGCTACAATTCCCCGCCCACCTGGGGTGGAAGCGAACTACGCCGGTATGTTTAACCGAAAATACGTATATCCCGTCGTGAGAATCTCTACTGACTTCTCCTAGTGTCCGCCATCTATTGGTTGACTAACGACGAATTCTTCGTTATTCATTCGCCTCCGACCGCTCCCTCAGCAGACGACGATGCCATGCAAGACAATCAGGAATCTACCTACCATCTCGTGAAGACCGACCAGGGCCGGACGACCTTTTCGTTTCACAAAGCTTCCTACGCCATATGCCCGCCTAGTTTCGGCCCCCAGCGGGACCCTCCACTGCGGTTCTCGATCACGAGGTTAAGAAATTGGGAGCCCCATCTTCGAGATGTTCTCATTCTAGGTGCATCGAACTGTGTCGATTTCACGACGTTAACTAGCGCTAGCGCACCATTGGCCCCTACCCAGGAGGTTCTCAATGACTTTACAATCACGGATTTACAGGACAATCGACGAGCTACGTTACCGCAGATGACTGGTGGAGAAGATGGCGTTATGGATAGTGTTACGATTGGTGAGGCTTTAGATTTGTCAAGTAAGGAAAAGATTCTGCGACCAATCCCGATGGACGAAGAGATCGCGGAATCTCCTACGCCGCTGCCAGCCTTCCTCGCACTCAACAACCAAGGCCGCTTGTCTGCATGGTGGATCGTGTATGACAAATCAATCCGAGAAGGGACTGGGTACCACGGCCTTACTGCTCTCAGCAAACCTCGATCAGCCCTCCCGACTCCAATCTCAAATCCTTCGTCAAATGCCCCTTCATCAACAACTGGTTCTGTCTTCGCAAAGCCAACTGCAACATTTGGTGTGCCCTCCACTCCTAAATTTGGATCCACTAGCTTCTCAAATGTAAATGCTGCCTCTAGTAAGCCCGCCCAGCCAGCCTTTGGAACAGCTTCGGCGATAGGAGGTATATCTAGTGGCTCTGGTTTTGGTTCTACAGGTGCCATTGGCATTCGCCAGTCCCCATGGGCTGCAGCGTCACAGACTCCGGCATCCCAACCCCAACACAACCCTTTCCCCAGCGCAGTGGGCAGTTCTTCTGGTTTCGCGAAGTTTGGAGGCGGCACCGCTCCAGGCACTGGCTCTCCTTTCTCCAGCTTCGGCAGTGTAGGTACTGCACAGTCGCCATTCGCCAGCTTAGGACAACAGAAGCCAGCACAGCCAGCATTTGCAGGCACATCAAAGGAGATTACAGCACCCAAGGGACTCACTACACAACCAAGCTTTGGTTCTACTGTTACAGTGGGGTCGAGCTTGGGAGGTGGATCCACACTCCCTTCTTGGGCCAACACTCCAGCGCAACAGGGAGATTCGATATTTGGACAAAGAACATCCTCTTTTGCGTCAACCAAAGAATCCGATATGGGCGACTCGGATGATGCAGAGAAGCGGGAGAGGGACGAAGCTACGCCTACTCCTCAAGCCCCTCCACCACAACCAAAGGGCCTCTTTGGCTTATCATCCAATGGTTTCAATGTCGGCTCTTCGTTTAAAGGAGATGGGACAGCGAAAGATGATCTTCCCAGGCCCATTTCTCCATCGAGCGGATCACTATTTGGTGGCGATTTTGCATCAGCCCTTGGGGCACCTACCATGAGACCTCCAGAGACTCCCATTAAAAAGGAGGAAGTAGAGCCCAGTTTGCAGGAGATATCCACCACCCCTGCATCACCTCCGAAGTCCGCACCTAGCACGCTATTTTCTAGCACAACACCAAAAGCACCCATAGCCCAGAAGGAGACACCAATTTCTCCATCGGACGAGGCGCCTGCTACTGGTGAAGATGCACCTCTTCCTCCCGATCCCATGACATGGAAGCCGCCCCAAAAGGCAGATGACGATCTGCCTCCCCTCGCCGGGAGCCCTGGCATTAAGGTGGAGGCTCCAGATTCATCTGTGCCTTCCTCAGATGATGACGGCGGCGAGAATCTCTCTATAGAGGAACAAGATGAAGATGAAGAGGAGCCATCTCCTTCAGATGCTGCCCGAAAGTCTCGGCCACTAGGAGCCCGCTATACACTACAAGACAGCATTAACCAGTCGCCCCGAATCTTTCCGGCTGCTCCCACGCCTCCCGTTATCAAGTCTAGCGCTTCGTCACGCTCTGGGAACGATTCGAGAGGTTCGTCTCGACCGCCTGTTCCTCCCAATCTTTTCGGTCAAACTTCCAGACCAGCTGCGTCACTCTTCGGACAGTCATCAACCCCAACCGGTTTCCCTAGGCCACCAGCAATGTTTGCTCCTCAGCCAAGTCGTGCTCAAGAGCTCCGTTCTCCAAGCCCAGTCCGATCCGCGTCCACCTCTGCAATTGGAACACGGCAGCCGGTGGCTCGGGCTCAGAACACTATTCCGTTAGCTGGGTCCACGCAACAAATGTGTAAACCGCAAACTTCCCAACCCGAGGTATCCGATTTGTCTGATGACGAAGACGAGCGTATTCGACAGGAGCTTGCCAGTGATATCGTACCTAGCTGGACTCTGGATCCATTCCTTGCCCACCATGATTATACTGGATCGGTCACAAAATCGGGTATTCCTGGACAGATTGAACTGATGTATAGGGATATCAACAGCATGGTAGATACACTTGGTCTCAATGCGCGTACTCTGACTGCATTCATAAAGTATCATTGTGAATCAACACAGGATAGCCTGGCACGTAACGATCTCCAAGAGATTGAGGACCAAGGTGAGCAAGGGCCTTGGTACAAGCAATGGGCCCTGGGTCAAATGGACGACCTACGGACGCTTGCAGGCGAGCTAGAACAGGTTCTGGAAGCTGGCAAGACCCAACATGTATTTGAAAAGCTCGCTCAGTTGGCACGTCTTTTAAGCGATGGGTCGAAGCTCTCTACAAAGCTCAATGAGGTCCGTCGCGAGATCATAAATCGGAAGGACCCAGAAAGGACGGAAACCCTACGCAAAGCATCACTGCCTAAGGAGCAAGCTGATCAGCAGAGAGCTCTACGGACCCAATACGCTAATCTTCTGTCCCTCCTGAGTAAAGTCGAAGAAGCTGTCGTCGTCCTCCGGTCCAAGCTCGCAGCCCATAACGCTGTAAACGGAAAGACGGCAGCTGTCCCCACCGTTGACGCCGTCAAGAAAACAATAAATAAGATGATCGCCATGACAGAGAAAAAGAACAGTGACATCCTTCTCCTGGAAGCACAGATGCGGAAAATCGGTCTGGAAGCTAGCAGCCGGCCCACTTCACCCAGCAGCCGGACCTTCGGCACTCCTTCCCGCTCGAGGGCACTGCGGAGCAGGGATTCCGAGTTCACAACACCACCAACAAATCGGAGTAAAATGAGCACCTCCGAACTGAATCGTAGAGCAATGACACCGGACGAAGACACTCCGAGCCGTGGTTTTGGGCTCTTCTATACGCCGAACAATAGTCCAACGCAGAATGGTGGGCATCGAAAGCTTGATGTTGGTGATTTAGACGGGTTCGACATCGAAGCGCTGAGGGAGAGTGCACTGAGGCGGAAGAAGGTTGCGGAGGCGCTGACGGATGCTCTGCTGATCAGGGGGGTGAAATTTACTAAGGTCAATTAGTAGATGTAGAGGAGAGGGCGAATCAAGAGATTGGTGTTATGATTGTGTATGACTAGGCGTGCATAGTGTTTGAATAACATGGAGGCTTTGGGAGGATGAGATTTAGTATGCATTGATGGAACATCTTAATTTGGGTGCGTGGAGAGTCGCAAACTGGAGGCCAATCCTCCGATTTTTGATCTGCAGTTTAGACACAATGTCAGGCGGCGTAGGAAAATGGTGATTCAGATTGAGAAATCCGTTGAGATGAGGTCGTCTCTTGTCTCAGTCTTCAAGGCGCTGATTGGAAGACATATTTTGTCGCTTGCATTCAATCCGAATATCTATCCCAAGTAGGGTTACTAAATGAAACGCATACAGAGAAAAAATATCAGCCCGTTGAGTAGCCATCCAAGCAACTCTTAATTGCCATCCCGTAACGAAACCGCTAAATTAAATGTGTTCCGAAAACCGTATGCCTATCATCCCAGTCATTTCGTCAATTTTAAGCCCCTGGAAGATCGGTTCTCTGGGGATATATGGACGTCGTGAACCGCGACCTAGATGGCAACAAGAAGATCTAGTCAGCACATGGTACACTAAAGCGATAATCTAGTGCACCATAACGTCGGCGTTATGCGGAATCTGCTGCTCGGGATGCTTTTCACCATTCGCGGGCTCAGCCTCATCCATTTCCATGTCATCATCGCCTTCGCCCTCGCCCTCTTCTTCCTCTTCGTCTTCTCCCTCGCTCTCCTCAATGTCAATTTCCTCGCCATCGGCTTCAGAAACTGGTTCTTCGTCAGCCGCGGGTCCAGCGGTCTCTTCGCCGCCGGCCATTTCAGCGTCTTCGCCTTCGGCCGGTGCTCCCTCGGCTTCAATTTCTTCCTCCTCTTCTTCCTCAATGCCGTATTGGTCGCCGTCTGCCACGCCTTCGTCGGCTTCGGGCTGGTCCGGGGGGAATTCTGGGGGAGCGTCCTGCTCCGAATCCCTAGTGAAATCAACGTCTGCCAAAAGCCAGATTATGGCACCTTAACTCTTACCATTTGATGGCAAAGCGCGTAACGCGCGGTTTCTCGGCCAAAATGCTCCTCCGCACCTTCTCAATGATCGGTTTCGCTGGCGGCTCCAACTGGAGCGCCTCGTCCGTATACTCGTTGTTCACATAGTATCCAACTCGCACAAACTCTCTGTCCTCGTAACTGCAGCTCAGAAGAATGACCGTCACGCCGATGATCTCGCTGTTGGGGATGCGCGATAGGTCAGGAGGGTCGGCGCGAAAGACGAATTTGTTGATCCCAACGGGGAGGGGGCCGACAAGGACTGAGTCGAGTTCTTGGTCGTATTCGGAGCTGCAGCTTGTTACTTTCGTGTGCGTATGCGCGTGGGAGCAAGGGGAGGCACTTACGATGTCGCGGAGCCAACGTAGGTCAACTTCCACTCGAGATCTGGGGAAGAAGGCGTTAGCGCGTCGTATCTCCGTCGAGGTGGAGATTATTACCTTTCTGCAGCTGCTCCAGGCACTCAAAAGTGATTTCGAACTCGTATGGCGCGTCAAATGCGGCGGGATTGTTCTTAACCTCCACACCGAGAAGGCTCACGACCGACATGGCTGCGATTTGATCGTGGGGAGGCGGGGGCTTCTAAAGGCGATGAGAGTGTGGAGAAGGTTCTGGATGGGTGGGTAGAGGACTGCGGAGTGGGAGCGCCTTGGGTCTGTTTGTGACGTCGAGGAGCGATGGTGAAGAAGCGTGTTTGTTGTTGAAGCGGTGAAGTGTTGTTGAAGGTGTAAAATCCGTCCAAGCGCCTCCTGGCCCCTCCATTGCCATGGCAAGCGCCCGTCGCGTCGCGAGGAGCACTGGCTGAGGTATCACGTGAACGCGGGTTGCAATTCCTTCAACCTTGCGAGGACAATTAGAAGCCTTATGCTCGTATTTCACTTGTGTTCACCATGTCTGTCTGCTAGTCGGCAGTCTTATGGCACACAACATGCAGCGAGCATGGTAGTAGGCACACGGACGAGAAGGCAGTTATGCGCTTCTTTCTATATAGGTTGGAAAGACTGATGCCAGAATGACCCTTATTCAGCCACTGAAGCTGTCCAATCTGAGGTTTCCAGCTCTCATTTTCGTACTTCATTTAAGGGTTTCATGATGAAGCGAAGCCACAGCCACATCTCCGCCTGACCATCCTCTGACTCCAGAGCAGGAGACTGTTGGTCTGTTGAACTTGCAGCGATGGTGACAGTCACAGCGCAATACCAGAGCAAATAATCGTCAGTCGGGGTCTCTCATGTGCCGAAGAGGACAGGGGACACAAATTCGCTCCCGCAGCATGCATGCGTTAACCGTTTCCGAGCTTGTTTCGCATGAGCCTAGGTTTACCCGATCGAGTGGTGGCAGCAGATGGTACCTCACCTGAAGCAAACAGGCCTCTCGGGACACAGACGTGGACAAGCTCCAGAAATGCGAGGCTCGGAATTGGACCATGCGAAGTTCGATGAACAGCTAAAAATGGATGTTCGAGCCAAAGCTGAATTTCGGGTCATGCAAATAAATGCCCTCATCTCCCAGAGCCGTATATTGTTCAGCCCATAGCCAGACATGCATGCTTCAAGGCTTCAGGACAGCCAAAACAAACTAAGCGTTCCGAAAACAGTGTCGAAAAGCGAGAGCTCCTTGTGAAGTGAACGTGGTTGTGCCTCCGGGGTCTTCACAGCCTCAATGGCGCAGTACAAGCCTCGTTGCCCAACACGACACGCCCCAAGGCTCTGAACATTTATAGTAAATCACAGCTCTGTGCGCGCGTCAAGTCTGGCACCGTGTTGGTTCTCCTATGGGTTCCTGCTCCTCTTTTTCGACGCACATGGTGGTCATCATCGTTGCTTAGTCGGCCTGACCATGGCCATCGAAACCGTGAACCTCCTCTGATCCTTAATCACCCTTGAAGACAAGGCCAAGTCATAATTTGAGCCTCTGTCTCAGCAGGCTGCACCTCATTCTTTACAATTCCTATTCTTTGGCAAACACAGTCTTCCGCCGGCCTCCGCCTTCCCCCGCCTCTCAAAGCCAAAAACCTGGCCGACCCTCCTCAGAACACCATCTCGCTCCCCAGCCATCATCGCTGGGTGAAGTGTCACAGACGTGCAGTTGCTCGTGAATACGAGACAGGTCACAACCCCGCCAAGTACGTCGGTCATTTCTCCACGAGCCAGTGATCCCCATGGAGCTCCCACTTAACCTCATGACAACTCTGCGCGCGGGACTCCTGCGCGGCCACTTTCTACAGCGCAAACTTGTTGTATTTCTGGACAAAGGCTGACGCTTGTTTTCTTTACCCTCTTCAGCCTCACACCATAACAATGAGCTATCAACAAGGCCAGCCCCAACTAGGGGCTACTTTTATCCCCGGCGGCTTCGATGACTACTACATGCCGGCACCGTCGCCGGAGGTCATCTCTCCAGCTCCTCAGCGGTGTGTATTCTCCCCTTAGTGGGAGCGAAATTATGTGCTGACGCAGCTCCCCCTCGCAGGATCATGCCCGAAGTTCCCGAGAACATGCAAGAGAACATCGCACACCTGGAATTGGAAGCCAACGGACCGCGAAACTCCGCCGCGCCCATGTCTCCTCCCACACAGGGCTATAACCAGGCGTCGCCGAACTTCCCTCCCCGCGCATCGAGCCACCAGTATGGCCAGGCGCCCAGCGACACTCTGGGTACGCAAGGTGGGCAAGGGCAAGGGCAATGGCCGGCACGTCACACAAGCATATCGTCCGCCTTCAAGCAGCCTCCCAGCGTGCAGCCGCAGCCGGTGCAGCAACAGTCCTCCCACGACTACAACCAGTTCGCGAACGCTACAGAGATTCCCAACTTCTCGCCTTTTCCGAAGCTCCAAAGCCGCCCTCCAAATGTGCCCCCATCCGACGATGAGAAGGAGGCGGTGCTAGAAAATGCGCGGCAGCCAGTGCTCAACTCGAATGATCCGGAGATGCAGTTGGCGTGGGCGCAGGATGCTCTATCCTACGTTGACGCAGCAATGCTGCACGAACAGCGGCTATGCGAGACACAGCCGGCGCGTCCCGTCACGCCACAGGTTGAGCACAATCTGAGGGTCGATGCCATGAACGTTGTCAGCTTCTTGGCCGACCAGCACCATCCAAAGGCAGAGTTCATGCGGGGCATGTGGCTTGAGTTTGGCAAATTCGGTCTCCGGGTTGACAAGAAGGAGGCTTTCCGGTGTTACACTCGTGCGGCTCAGAAGGGGTATGCAAGAGCAGAATACAGGATGGGAATGCAATTTGAGCAGTCAAACGACCCCATTAAGGCTCTCCAACACTATAAGGCTGGCTCCGAAGCTGGAGATTCGGCATCGAATTACCGCCTGGGTATGATGACCCTGCTCGGACAACATGGACAGCCTCAGGACTTTGCGAAGGGCATCCAGTTGATCCGACTGGCTGCGAACACTGCAGATGAGAATGCCCCCCAAGGTGCTTATGTGCTGGGAATGCTCCAGGCCCGCGAGCTCCCTCAGATCAACGTTCCCGAAACGTTTCTTCCCTATGACGAAAAATCGGCGAGACAGAACATTGAAAAGGCTGCTTATCTTGGTTTCGCCAAAGCGCAGCTTAAGATGGGCTCAGCATACGAGCTATGTAGCATGGGCTGCGACTTCAACCCAACGCTGTCTATGCACTATAACGCTCTAGCGTCTCGCCAAGGAGAACCAGAGGCCGACATGGCAATTAGCAAATGGTTCCTCTGTGGCTACGAAGGAGAGTTTGCAAAGAACGAGGACCTCGCATACCAGTATGCTCAGCGAGCCGCCTCCACAGGGCTTTCCACGGCTGAGTTCGCCATGGGCTATTTCAATGAGATTGGTATGCACGTTGATATAAACCTCGAGAAGGCGTTGGAATGGTACGAAAAGGCTTCGAGAAATGGCAACAAGGATGCCGCAGCACGGATTGAAAGCATCTCAAAGTCTCGCACACTCTCCAAGAAGGATCATGAAAATGTCGCAATCTCCAAAATCAAATCTCAGCATGGCTCCATGCGTGGACAGCGTCCAGCAAGGCTGGCAAAGGCTGCCGCACCGCCCCTACCCTCAATCAGTGATAACAGTCCTTCAGATTATGGATCGGATGCTTCTCCAGCAGTTGCCTCACCAATCGACTCCCGGCTACCCAACCGCAACGCCACAACAACTCCATACCCACTATCAGACAAGCCTCCTGTCGTCACCACGTCCACACCTTACGAGCGTCCTTCGACCACGACACCATACCCTGTTGATAACGGACCACCTAGAATTGGTGGACAAAATCCTGGGTTCGCTGGAGGATTCGCCCCAGAGCTGCGGTCTGCCACTGCAAGACCGGCTTCCGCCGCCTTCAATATCAATCCGAATTTGTATGGAGCGAATGATCCTTATGGCCGTGGCCGTCATCCCCCCCAAGGACCCGGCAACATGGGTCCTCTGCCCCTTCGTCCTCATACTAGTGTAGATAACATGGGACAAGGACGAGGTCGGGTTCCCAGTGGACAACGTAATCCATCAGGTGGGCCTCCTCCCGGGCCAGCTCCATATAGAGGGCCGGGAGGACCAAGCGCAGAACGACCAGAAGCGTATGACAGACCTCCACCTCAGCCGCAAGCAGACTTTGGTTTCAGCGCCCCTGATGGGCGCAACAGGCTGCAGAAGCAAGGGTTACTGAAGAAACAACCCACATTGCCTGATATTGGCTACATCGCTCCGCTTGAAACAAAACAACAGACGCGACCATCAACGGTGCAACCTGGCCAGGAGAGCAGGATTAGTACACGACCGGAGCGACCTTCGACGGCGGCTCCAGGACCACGGCCGCCTTCGCGGCCTGGTAGCCGACCTGGGTCTTCTGGAAGGCCGTCCCACCATGATCCCATGCCGCAAGCGCCAGCCAAGCCTATTGCCGCGCCTCAGCCGCTCACCAAGCAGACTCCAGCGCCAACAGGGAAGTCTGGGGCTCCCGCAGGTGCGAAACCCGCCGCCGCGAAGCCTGCTCCTCCTGCAACGCCTGGCAAAGGGCCGAAGACATTTGATGAGATGGGCATCGGCCAGGCCTCGAAGGATAGCGACTGCGTAAGTAATACACTCGTCTTGCCGTGTTTTTGCACGAACTAACGCAACCTAGGTGGTCATGTAAATACCAAATTACAACTTGGTTGATGTTTGGCCGCTGATTGCATAGCACTGTGGTTTCTTTAGTGGTGGAAATCTTGCATGAAGTTTGAACAGTAATGAATACCCTATACCCATAACATACACTCTTGGAGAGATGACTTGTTAATCCCTTTGAACGTGGATAAAATAGCATTGGTATAGTTGAGCTAGAGCGTTACAAACATGACTTGTAACATGTACGTGCCCGCATTCAGTTTTCTTATATGGCCCCCGTCTGGGCGCTTTCGTGACGTCTTCAGGGCTCTGTCTGACCAATTTCGTCATTTTGCTCTCAGAAGCCGCCTTCCAGAAATGGCCGTTACGTTCCTTGGTGTTTCCTTCCCGTTTCTTGGGGCATTGCGTCTTACCTACCCAGGAAGGCATCTCAATCTTCTACCTAACCTCGACCTCGACAGCTCATCACAATATCGGAACACGCTGGCCATGGCCCCACGCAAAGAGAAAGCAGAGAAAGTATCTGCAGATGAAGCAGCTGCTAGCATTCTTAACTATCTTCGTAAGTTGCGTCATCCCCTCGTATTCATTCATGTAGTGAGCTAACTGACCATTAAAGGCAAGCAAAAGTGAGTCTGCGTGGCACTTCCTAGATAAGACGTAAGGCTCATTAATTGTATCTCTTTGTAGTAGACCATATTCAGTGAGTTTCTTACGCTTACTCTATCCGCTTAGCACAGCGTTATCTAACTGAGCAGGCCACTGATATCTCGGCCAATCTCCACAACAAAGTGACTAAAGGTTCGTAGCTGGTCAGCTACCTTTGCGAGCGTCAGCCGTTGACCGAAGGACAGCTGCCGCAGCCAAGATCCTCAAGGACCTCCATGAGCGCAATGAGATCGAAGGACGCGCGGCTGGTATGTCCATCACGCCGTCCTTCATTGAAGCCAAGCTTACTGACGCTCTTGTAGGCAAGCAGATCGTCTACCACGCTCTCCAGGTGTGCTCCGACGTTCCCTAATTCGTCCACTGCCCTGCTTATATACTTCCACGAACTAACATCGTCTAACGCATTATTCCAGAATGCAGATGACGCCATAGCCCCAGAAGCACTCGCAGCCCTGGACACACAAATCGTGCACCTCCGCACCAACACCACGACCCTGCTCAGCGCTGCAAAGACCCTGCGCAGCACTCTTTCCTCTCTCAATTCCTCTCTCACAACTTCGGACCTTATTTCTTCGGTCTTGGCCCTTCAGACCGAGAAAGCAGAGATCTTGGTGAGGTTGGAGAATCTGAGGGCCGGCAAGGCGAAGAAGGTAACGAAGAAGGAAAGGGAGCAGATTGAGGGGGAATGGAAGAAGTGGAGCAGCATGAGCAAGCGAAGGGAGAAGATTAGCTGTGAGATGTGGAAGTTGGTGGAGGATTGCTTGCCTGAAGGAGGGGACAAAGGGGAGGCTAGGGAGAGTCTAGGGCTTGATGATTAGGTGGGGGAGAGAATGAAGAAGAGGCTTAGGCGAAGCGATATGGAGAATGTGTGGTCGGATGGAGCGCAAATCGTGAAATCTGAATCAGTGTGGAATCGCGAAATGTTCAGCTCTACTAAAGAAACAGAAAGATACATCTCCAAGCAAGAACAACGAAAATGGATTGATATAAATGGTAACAGATGCTAAACTCCTCTTCCATGCAAATGCAATCAACAGTCAATGTCAATGAGCCTTATGTTACCGGTTCACCTCTCGTCTTCCCTTTCTCTTAAATCTTCTATATCTTCGTCTGCTTTTACATTTTCCTGTAATTCTCTTGCCAATGCGATACCCTCAGTTCGTCCTCTCTCGACGTCGACAAGCAGCATTATTGGGAATGGCAATCCGACCAAAACTGCCAGGAACCAGAAAGCCTGATCAAGTCAAAACCAAATCTCCTATCAAAGGCACTTTAGAAGGAGAACTTACAGGTCTAATCTCTCCATAACGATCCGTGATGGCGCCGACAATAGCGGGCCCAAATACACTACTCCCCTTATCTGTAATTGCATACAGCGCATAGAACGCCGCCTCGAACCCCGGTGGAATCAGCTCTCCAAATAAACTCCTACAATAGCTGCTTAGTCCCCCAAGGACAAATCCATACACGGCACCCAACGGATACATCTCCCAAGGTTGCTGCAATCCAAAGCTACCAAAGTGTTGAATCACGGGGATATAGCCAAGTAGTCCATAGAGGGGGATGATTTCGAAGAGTACAATGCAGGCTAGGATCGTGTGGCTGGGTTTGAGACCCATGTATTTGCTAATGCGGGCCCAGGTGACAGCGCCGATGATGCCGGAGACTGTAACAATAACATTAATGAGTGCTAGGGCTTCATATTTCATATGCAGAGTTGTTTTGGCAAAGAGGATGGCGGTGCCGGATACCGTCGCTATGCTATCTGAAATCATAAACCAAGCAGCGAGGAATAGGAGTACGTCTTTGAGGAGACGCGCGTGCCTGACTGTGCGGCCGAGGGATTTCCAAGAGTATGCAAAGTAGGCGAGACAGGTGCGCAAGTTCGAAGTAGCGTGCATGTGGAGTGGAGGTCCAGGGCGTGGACGAAGCCACATGGCAGAGGGGATGCTGAAGATGAACCACCATGCGCCGATGACGAAGAGGACAAGGCGGAGGCTGAAGGTTGTGGACCCAAGGGCGATTAAGATGAGGATAGAAATGGTCTGGACAAGCAGTGCGGCGATATATCCAATGGCAATTCCGTACGAGGAGATCTTTGTTGAGAGCGCCAGCTCAAGCGATGGTGCCACCCGTGATCTAGGATCCGAGACTGTAAGATCCGCTTCCCCTCTCGAATGTGGAAGGAGCGCTGTAGTCGCGTCTGCAGCCCCATCCATCAGATTATCTTCCTCGACGAGCTCACTAGAGTACTGTGCTTCGTGAATGATAGAAGACTCATCAGATCTATCCACATCTTCATCGTCCAAGTATGACGATTCGCCTGAGTTATACGCATACTTTATTGTCGGATGGTTGCGTACGAGCAGGGGGAGAAAGGAGTTCAACAGTACGAAAGATGCGCCAAAGCAAGTATTGGCAATAATGGCCAATACCGCGCCCAGTACATAGACCTTAGGAACCACGGCGATGAACAGCATCGTCGCAGTAGAGCCTATAAAAGCAAACCAAAGCAAGAAGGTCTTACGGAACCGACCGTGGTCTGCAGCCCCAGACAGCGACAGTACCAGTAGGCATTGGATAAGGACGGACAAAGAAAAGACGTATAAAGCAAAGCTAGATGTAACGACCTCTACCCCTAGTATTCGAACGATGCATTGCGAGGGGTCTGCGCTAGGAGCCCGGAAAGCCAGGGACCGCGGGGAGGCGTGGAGACTGGCTTTGCAGGGTGTAATCCTATCTGAAAGCAAGACTCCGTTCTCGCGAGCTAGCTGCTCGAGGGTAACGGGGATGAAAGAGCCTATGAGGGATTTGGTGAGGTGGGCGCGTTGGAAGAGCTGTGAAGAGGCTTACCGATTCCGCAGACAACGAACACCTATGTATCTCTTAGTAAAAACATGTGGAGCACAAGATACCACTTGATGTTACCTCGGCTGCCCACCCGTAGCTGTAGAAGCCTGAGAGCTCCTTCTCGCTGGTCAAGCGGGTGTCTTCACCAGCATATTGTGGAGATGGTGATTGCGGATCCATGTTGTCAGTGTCCAATTCAGAGCGCTCATCTGTGACATTTTAGACACTTAGACAAACGTGACATCAGGCTAACTGACCATCGGCCTCGTTTGAAGAGCTGGGGACTGATTTTGGATGCGTGGGCGCAAACCCATCGGACTCGAGCAGACCGGGCTCTGGCTGGGAGTGAGCGTGAGGAGCTCGGGGAACCATCGAAGCTGGCACGAGCAGGTCTGATTGGCGGGCTATGCTTGAGACATGACGGGGTCTAGGGAACGGCGAAGAGATGGCAGAGGGAGAGAAGAGGACGTGCCAGATACCAGATGTCCAAGTTTATGTAGGTTCACAGGAGGGGAGATGCGATTCATAACCAGTGGGTTGGATTGGCAGAGGTGATCTCGTGTAGAGTGTGCATGGGGGGTGATGACCACGCGAACAGAACACCTGCTCGCACTGCAAGGTCGCTGGGCAGGAAAGAGCGAGCTGACGGGTGCGTTCATAAACAGAGTTATGCGCAATTATGCAGGAACGTGGCTAGCAGCACGGGGCGAGCAGCGAGGGCTCTCTAGTGCAAAGTGCAGAGTGATTCGGCGCTTTGTTTGATGAACAAAGGCACTTGGCGGCGCGGCTGTTCTTGTAATGAGCCAAGACTGCCGCTGTTGCTGCTGCGTCAGGGCGCCCTTTCCGCTTCGACATTCCAACCTCACCACCACTGACCCCAACTCCAACCCACGCCTTCCCCGACATCTACCCCATCTCCTCGCCTTCGAAATACCTCGCCGCATCTGCCGACGTCTCGATCGCGACGCTCCTCCCGCTTGCTGCACACGCGCAACCGGCGTCCGTCCTCTCCGCCGGTCCCATGCGAACATGAGATAACCAACCCAACAACCCTTCAACTTGCCTCGCTCACTCACTCACCACACCTCTGTCTCGATTCCCCGCTTGCATTGCCGTACGCCTTAAGACCCCCCTCCCCCAAAGTGCCTGCATCCTTTTAGCACTCCCCACCCACCGCGCTGCCCGTTGCGACAACTACCCAGCTGGCCGCAGATTAGGCATCGGAGGCTCCGTCACCTCGCCAACTACCACCACCCAGACACTGCTCTCTGTGTAGCTCACGATAGTGTCGGCGCATCTGCAAGCGCATCGGGAGGGAGTCGCGGGGACGGCAGTGGAGAGTAGTAGGAGCGACGCGCCCCCCAAAGCACCAGTTAACGTGCAGCAGACTATGCCAGGCCGACTCCTCATCATGAATCAGAATGGCGTGGAAGGAGCGACGGTCGCAAGAGACAGCGAGGGCCGCAGACGATCCCACGATAGCAAGCTTGTTAATGGAGAACGAAGCACTCCTCGCCCCGATGGGCCTGTTGCCGCACCTACTGCAAATGGACCTGCCGGTCTCTCCGGCGCAAACGGCCCTGCCGATAGGCCCAGCACAAACGGAGCCATGGCATCTATCACTGCTCAAATGGGCCAACTACCACCCGAGCTCCAGCACTGTGCGTCCGAGCACTATCACCCGCTATCAAAACTGCTTTCGCGTATGGCGCAGGAATGCTTCAATGACCTAGGTGAGATGCTGACCAGCATGGCCGATATCCCATCCGCCCAACCAAATGGCCTTCTCCCAAACGGTATGGGCACCCATACCGGCGTGAACAGCCTTCCGGACAACTCAGACGCCAACAGGCAGAAGAAGCTCCTGATGATGAAGTTTGCTCACGATAACAGGGGCAAGTTCATCAAAGTCCTTGTCTTATTTGAGTGGGCACGAAAGGCCTCCCGAGACATCGTGAAGATGGTCGATGTAAACCAATGGATTCAGGAACAATTAGTTCAAGGCGATCATGTGACCTACGATATTTACCACACAAAAATGGCTTTGGCCGGCATGAGGCAACCCAACCCAGATATCAGGACAGCTTTGGAAATATTGTCTGCGGGGAAGGCCTCATGGATACCTGATGTGAGTTTGCTCTCATTACGCGCGTGGAAACATTAATTGAACAATGGTAGCTCGGCTTTATTCCACCGGAACCCATGTCTTCGGAGAAGTCGCGAAAATTGTTAAGATATATGAACACATCCCTTGCGATTCGGCTTAACATCCATGAGACCCTCCCACGACATCTTCGAAACTGGCGCATCGCGTCGGGACGGGCGTCCTTCGTAGTACCTGGAGAATTCGAGCTCGATGCGACAGCATTCAGCGAAGATGCATCAGACCAGTGGCATTTTATTGATATACGGCTGCTCTTCTCCCCAGCGCCAATTGTTGCGGCGGATGGACAATTCTATGCCTTCGTCAAACGGCAACTTGACAGCATTCTCAGGCAGTCCGGCCTAAGCGCCTGCTTTGACTTTCTACATAATTTCATCTTAACACATAAGGTTTCCATTCTCAGGTCGCAAGCATTCGACCTTCTTCGCGCCGACTGGGCTGGAGCGCTAAGAGTTGAACCGGTACATCGGTCGCTCGTTGTGCAGTATTGGTTGGATAGGCCAGGAAGAAAGAGCTGGGTCGAAATCGGATTATCAAGCGGAAGGTCAAGGAATGACAAAACTTCGTGGAGAGGATCGGGGGTAGCTTCTTTGGCAATTCGTTGGTTCCGCCAGGGGGTTGAGGTTAAGGGTATTGATCTCAAAGTGGACTGGAACAACCTGTCCATAGAGCGCATCCTCAAGCGAGTCATTGCGCTTCATGTTGCTCATCTTCTACGAAGCGCCCGAAATCAGATTACTCTCCGTCTCGCCCCCCGGTCATGGACCAAAGTCAACTCGGTACTCTCCGAGACGGAGCCTTGTGACTGTTCCCTTGAACTGTCATTAGGAACCCTTCAGAACAAAACAAGGGTTTCGATAGACCCTGTTACTGGAAGGTTTGAGCTGCGTCCATGCACTCCGCCTACAGCGAGGGCGGAACGCGCCATAAACCAGTCAAAGGACCCCTTGGTTACTGTTAGCACCGCTCTTCCGCACCTCCTATCATCTTCATTGCAGGATCTCATCCAACAATGCGCCCACCGGCTCGGCTGGAAATCAGCTACTCGATACGCTCTAAGGGTCGATACTGTCAAGCATGCAGTCAAACTGGATGTCATGCAGTTTGCATTGTATGCCCCTCGTGGTTGGGCACCCAAAACTCCTGGCGGTATGACGACGAAGTGGGCTTTGGCTGCTGTTATAGACCCGGCTGGCGAGTCTTGGTGGATCTTCGAACTTGGGTCTAGGGGCACGACTGTTGAATTTGCTGAACAGGTTACAACGGAAAGCTTAGGGCAGCATAAATTGCCAACCAATCAGAAGACACTCGCCAGCATTGAGAGGATTGCAGCGCAGTTCATTTGCTTCCGCGTCACAGATCGCGCCCTACAGAAGCGGGGCATCCCGTCGTTCCTCGAACGTCAATTAGCTTTGCGATCTATTACTCCACGATCAGGGGCTTCTCAGGCTGCTTTGCATGGTTGGGTATTGCGGTTAAGGGCTCCGGATCTACTGAACTCAAAGCCACACGACGAGCAATGGATTGAATCCGGCCTTCGAATCACATGTCATGGATTTAGAACAGACTACCGCAACGTGTGGCATATTGTGTCTGGAACTATGATCAAATCTGCAGACATAGACATGCAGAAGCTGATGGCAGGCTCAACGCAAAAAGATATCACCTTCTCAGACAATGGAGCATTCTCGATCCTCCTGTCTACGCCGTTCGGAGAGCCAATCATCAACCAAGTCACGGCACGGTTACGAGAGATTGACCGGCTCCGCTCGTTTGCCATCACGCTGAAAAAGCGGAAAATGAAGCTTAGGGCTTCGTCGTTAGAGCAAGTTGAGTTCCAGTATGGCAAAGACTCTAAAGCGACTGTCAACTTCAATCAAAAAGGTGGGATCAAAGTGGTCTTCCAAGACACAAATCCGCATTACAGAGTTCGGACGTTTCTAAATAATATCATCAACGAGAAGAGTCCGGGGCCACCAGCTCTACGCCAGGATGACCACTCGGCATTGGACCGGTTCTGCACAACACTCATGTACACCCGCCCAATGATCCGCATCATTGATGAGCTCCAAGCCGGGAACCCCGGCAATGTGAAAGATCCTGCCATTCATGCGCATAGCATGGGTACTTATCGCTTCACGTACAACAACCCAATGTGTTCCTTTGATGTTCGCATCCGACCGAAGCAAGATGCGACGTATTGGCACATCGAGGACAATGACGGGCAGGAATCCCGCCCGAGTGCCGAGCGTAATCCCAATCATAAGCGAATCGAGAGCCTAAAGACGGCGCTCCATGTGTTGTTCAGGAGCCAAGGGGAGGGCTGGATTGGTGTCCGCTCTGGCATCATTGCAGAACTCGACGGTGTACCGAATGCTTTGAAGAAGCTTCAGGAGACTGTGCTAAGTTGCGCTGTGGAAGGCGGGCCTGAGAAAAATGACAATGAGTCCTCGGCAACCCTTCCAAATGGGAAGCCAAAGCCTCCAGAGAACGGTACTATCGGTGTGGTGAACATGCAGACGCAACACGACGTCATTACAATCGATTGAGAGGCCACTAAGATGATGAAGGAGACTCTTCCACCATGATCTCGAGACAACAAAGACAGTGGATTATGATTTAGTACCTTTCCCCGTGCGCTCATGACGATGGAAGATACACAACAAAACAGTGGCGGGTTGGCATCGGAAGGGTTGTCTCATCATGGGCCTTGATCCAATCATCTCCATTTTCGATCAGTGTTTCGTGCCTAGTTTTGGTTCTACGGATCTGGAATTTGCGGGTAGCATAATGATAGCCTCAGCCGCCAAGGATGGGAACTTTGGCATAGGTAATTCTCTTTCCCCTCCTCGATTTGAGGGATGGGGTTTAGTTAGTTTCAGAGTGTATGAGTATGATATATGTCACAAAGGATCGTTAGGGACGATGGACGTCAGGATTCCGTGTACTGTAGATTCCGAGTTGATAACTCAAAAAGTCAAGAAGCCCTTCCGAATGATGTTAGGACTTGTATGGACATGTGAGTGGCAAACGAGAATGTAGGAATGCATTGAAGGGATCCTTTCCCTTCCTAGCTTAGACATAACGGCTCCTCTATAAGACAGCTATGTTACAGATAGTTGGACGGCCAAGTACCCCAGCTAATGTCCAAGTCCAAGTATGCTCGGTTGCGAGGCAAAGAAGCTCATTTCCCCTTCTTGACCCAGTCCTCGAGCTTCTCCCGCATCTCGCCAACCTTGTCGGTAATCATTCCGACCGTCATGACCGAATGGGCCTTCCCTGTATCCCAGAACTTTTGCACCCTCGCTTTCGCCTGCAAGTGTGTTTCGGCGACAGTGGGAAATCTCTCCTCATAGGTCCACGCCAGATCTCCAACGTTCTTCATGGTCAGTGGAAGAACAGCGGAGGCGGCGCCGATGCCGATTGCGGCGGGCACACTAGCCCTGAGCAAGATGTTACGGTTCCGTGTGACGATAGATCCAGCCATGCTGGCGACGAGCACGTAGATAACTCCGGGTAGGAGCTTCTCGTTGGATTCCTTTGGCGGGGCGAGTGAGCGGAGGGTGGATGTGAAGGAGTGCTCGAGACGGAGCGTCTTAGTCAAGGCAGCGTTGACGGCATCTTCGGCTCTGGTGGCCTGTTTATGGAGAGCACGGCGGGCACGGCCGACTTGGACGGCGAGGCGGTCGGTGGGAGTTGGTCGGTACGAGTCAAGGGACGCGGAAGTTGATGGAGTAGGGCCGGAGGGTGTAGAGTCATCATAGATAGGCTTGCGGTTGCTCGCTGAGTCGTCTGAGAGGCGTTCTTCGGCATGGAGCTCGCGGGGAGCGGAGAAGATGATGCCAGCGCCGGCGACGGCTGCCACGACCGGGGTGACGGTGCGCTGTGAGTTGGTCAAATTAGAGCTTCAACAATGCTGCGGCTGTACATACCTTCCGCAACAGCGGTCTAAAAGCCATCGTCGACGAAATGGCGGCGCAATGGATGGGGGAGTGAGAGGTCGCTGTGTTGGACGCTCGGGACAAAAGGATGAGGTGTTGCGCTGCCCGGCCCATGCCCAGGGACCTCGTATGCATACGCCACTGCACAAAAGCCGGCATGTACCCGTCCTGCCTCTTCCTTTGCAGCAGCATTCACGCGCCCTTCGCCATGCTCCAGCGTCTTGCGCGCGCGTCCCCGTCCACGCCCTGGATCTGTTCACCATGTCTGCTGCTGCAGACGCGGCGCCGGTTCCTGAACCATGCCGCCGTGGCGACTGCCACTGCACGCGACCCAGTACCACCGCCATATGCTGCGTCCAGGCTCTACGGTCTCGGGACCCAACATGCGCAGAAGGATGACGACACCCTGCGCAACATGTTCGACAGCGCCGACTTCTGGGCCTCCTTCTTGCACCGCTCCAAGAAGCAGCCGCCTACGGGCATCGTAGGCAATCGCTACCTGACGCATCCGGACGGCTTTCTCGATTTCGTCACTGTCACACTGCAGCGATGCGAGGCCGTCGTGCAGAAAGTGTCGGCCGCCAATGCAATCCATGAATATAAGTCCATGGTCAAAGATCTGGACAGGCTGAGCGATCTGCTCTGTCGCGTCATCGATCTGGCCGATTTCGTGAGAGGTACCCATCCCGACCGGAACACCCAAGAAGCAGCCTCAAAAGCATACTCGATCATGTTCCAATACATGAACCAGCTTAATACGACAACCATCCTAAACGATCAGCTGAAGAAGGCGGCGGCCATTCCAGACGTCTATGCCAGCTGGTCCGAGCAAGAGAAGGTCGTGGCGAAGATACTCATGGAGGATTTCTCAAGGAGCGCCATTGAACTCCCCGTAGGTGCTAGGCAGAAGTTTGTGGACTTGAGCAATGAGATTGCCCACGAGGGGTCTGAGTTTGTCGATCGCATGGGCCCGGAGATGCAATATGTGAAGTTTGATAGCAAGAGAATGAAGGGATTGGAGCCGAATATGGTGCGAGCGCTGACGAATTGGGGCGAGACGAGGATCCATACCATGCACAACGAGGCCCAGATGGCGTTAAGATATGTGGATGATGCAGATGTGCGAAGAGATATTTATATGGCTGTGCGAACAGCGAATAAGCAGAGTATTACCAGGTTGGAAACAATATTGAAGAGTCGGGCGGAGCTGGCAAAGCTCTCTGGCTACGATACATTTGCGCACTTGACGCTAGAGAACAAGATGGCAAAATCTCCCGAGGCAGTTAACCAGTTTCTGAACGCATTAATCGAGGACACCCGCCACCAGGTCAACGAAGAGCTCCAGGAATTGATGGAGCTCAAGAAGGCCGATGCTAGAAGAGACAACTTCCCTGACAGGATTAACGCTTGGGACAAATTCTATTACACTCACAAACTCATCCAGAATATGGACCACAAGCTCCGCTCTCCCGACTTTCTTTCCGCATATTTCTCCGTCGGAACGGTCATGCAAGGGCTCTCCCGGCTCTTCGATCGCTTGTACGGTATTCGTCTTGTGCCACGAGAGACACAACCTGGCGAAGTGTGGGATGATGGTGTCCGCCGGCTCGACGTTGTCTCCGACACTCACGGCCACATCGCAGTTCTTTATTGCGATCTCTTCTCTCGCGATGGCAAAACGCCGAATCCTGCCCATTTCACTCTACGCTGCTCCCGTGAGATCTCCGAATCTGAAATCGCAGAAGTCGCAACTTCTCCACACCCTTTCTCCTCCGCTGTAGAAGCTGCAACAGACGGCATGGCGGTGTCCTTCAACAAAGAAACGAATAGCTACTATCAACTTCCTACAATAGCTTTAATCTGCGACTTCCCCACACACTACTACCCCCGACCTACTTTGTTGAATTTCAATGATGTCCGCACCCTATTCCACGAGATGGGTCACGGACTGCACTCTTTCCTTGGCCGCACACCTCTCCAAAATGTCTCCGGAACGCGCTGCGCTACGGATTTTGCGGAACTCCCTTCTGTTCTCATGGAGCATTTTGCTTCCTGTCCCAGTGTTCTAGCTCTCTATGCCCGACACTGGGATACAGACACCCCATTACCCATGTCTGCACTTGAACAGCGCCTGGCCATCGATGTGCGGACCCAGCCCGCAGAAACAGAAGCACAGATTCTGCTCGCGATGCTAGACCAAGCATACCACTCCTCGCTCCCTCTCAGTTCCAACTTCAACTCCACACAAACCTACCACGACGTTTACAACGCATTCGCATCTATCCCCGAACCGGCCGGCACGGCCTGGCAAGGCTTCTTCGGGCACCTTTTCGGCTACGGCGCTACGTATTACTCCTACCTGTTCGACCGAGCTATTGCGGGCAAAATATGGAGCGATGTATTCCAGAAGGCAGGTAAAGAAGGGAGTGTAGACAGGCGGAATGGAGAGAGGTACATGAATGAGGTGTTGAGGTGGGGCGGGGGTAGAGATGGCTGGAAGTGTATTGCAGGGGTACTTGGAGATGAGAAGTTGAAGTATGGTGGGGAGGAGGCTATGAAGGAGATCGGGAGGTGGGGGGTTAGGTAGCTGGGGCTTGGATAGATTCTACAGGATACGGGAGGTATGGGCTCCGGGTCTAGGTATAGGGGTTCGAGAATAGACGCTTGGGAATTATTCTTTGGGTTGCATTTCACGGCGTTTATGGTTCTACCCTACAAGCGGTTAGATAGGGACCTAAAGGAGTACTTCGTCGTTTTACACTACTAGAAGTTTCGGTCAAAGAAATTAGACTTGGGATATGGCAACACACGAGGGACATGGGCTAGACTAGACAGGTTTTCCAAACCCCATCACTTCCCACTTGGTTTCACGCATCTCGGATTCTGTGGTCTCACAAAGAATATGTGGTACAGTGAAGCGTGCACAATAGATCGACCCGCGACATGTACAAGAAGATATCACGAAGTGCAACGGCTCCCATCACATTGAGCAGTTGCACCAACAAATCAACAGGTCACAGTGGGAAACAATCAAATGCCGTCTATTGACGTTCAAACGCTAATCACTGATCCTATCTTTCTATCGCCGTGACTCGAGCATCCCGATCTATATATCCCATTCATTCGGTCAAGATCGGATCACGACATCATCAAGATATGGAGAAGAGAAATGTCTCTTGCTTAGCGCTGTGCAGGTCTCCGCGCTTCAACCCCTCTAAAATATCAGCCTTTGACCACCTCTTCATGAATAGACAGCGGTGCAATATGGTATCTCCCTTATCAATATAGTCTCAACACTTCAAGGTCTCCCATTGCACCACAAATATGTATTGGATACAGTCCGCGCACCTCGTCATAATCCCTCTAACCTATGTAGGGAATACAACTGTGTCATCCGTGTTTTCCTGTTGCCATCTGTACGGAAAATATCATGCCGTTCGAGATACAGTTTCCAACACTGGGATTGCTTTTTAGTTAGCAAGAGGAACATTTATTCCATAACGAGCACCGCCTCCGTCACCACCCTCGCTCCTTCAAAGTCACCTGCCATAGCTAGGATCGATTGAATGGCAAATGCTGCCTCGGTCTCGAAGTTCTCGACAAAACTACGCTCCAGGTCGGTATTCTCTTCGTTCCTTACCCGCACGCTAAGTGCAATGCAACGCTCATAAGCCGGCAGCGCAAGACTCGTCAAGCCCAATGCATGCCACACTCTTCCCACATTGAACTCTGCTTCCGAGATATGCAACGCAATGTCATCTCTGGTGCGAAGTGTGTAGTACCGGTGAGTGAATGCGAGTCCCTGTTGGATCTGAAACTGTCTATTCTCAGAAAGCCGTTTCATGCCGTGCTGAATATACGCCAGTCCAATACAAAGATTCAAAACCGGGTCTTCGGGCGAGATAGCAAGGGCACGGAAATAGTAGTTCAGCGCAGCGACATACGATCCTCCGCTCATGAGCACATGTGCGTATGCGGTTAAAATGACAGGATCATGCTCTTTAATGTTTTCTGTTCCCTCAGTTAGGACGTACTCGGTCATCCAGCGGGTACTACGGTCGTTCTTGTTATCAAAGTTGTACCCGTCTCGTTGCTCCGGTGTCATGATCGCATGATCCATTGCCTTTACATATCTCAAGAACGCTTTGAGTGTTGCGTCTGTGTTGAACCCGTCATGGACTGGGCAGAGACGGTTCACTGTACTGTAGAGCCGGAACGGATCGTTGCCAAAGGTAAATGTTTTCATGAGCCAACGAACAGCAATGGACGATTGCTTAGAGTCCTCGAGTGCAACAGCACAGCCAATGCGACACATTTGGAGCCGCAGGCTATACGTTTCGTGTCTATAAAAGACATTAGCCTGGAAGGCCATGTCGATAGTACTAAAGCAGCGGTCGCAGTCGCCCTGTCGTGCACACAATACCGCATACTGGCAAATCACGTCGAGCCACATATGAAAATGCACTCCGTAGAAGTCTTCCGGGATGACACTTGGGTATTGTTTGATCTCCGGGCTTTCTTCACCATCTTCAATTTTGTTTGCCGCTACTGCGAGGACCATCAAAGCAGAGTCTCTCCAGAGATCACCGTCCCGAAGTTTTCTAAAGTAACCCTGGAAGGCCTCGCGCCGCTTGCCTGTATAGAAAAGGTCAAAGGTGAAGAATTCCTCCATGAGCTCTCGCGCTATCGACATCCACTCAAGGCTAGATTCCTTATCCCCTTCGTCTGCGGCCTCGGTTAAGTGCTCCAGGCGTTCGAAACTGGCCACAATCTCTCGATGTTGTGCCCTTGTTGCCTTCAAGTCCTCTGTGAAATCACTTGCCAGTCTGTCCAACTTTTTTTGAAACTTTCTCTGGTCAGTAGAGTCGAGACGTACGTCTGTACCCTTAAAGGTCGGTTTCTCGGGTGGTAGAAAGGTTTGGAGTCGGTGAACCGTAGCTGATTTCCTAGCGCGAAATAGGCCTTCCCTCGGCCGCTGATGGGTGGTGGGCGTAAACGAGGATTGCTTATTATTTGTTGGCTCCCCTAGGCCCATAGCAAGATTCTTCAGATTCTTAAAGAGCGACTCCACGCGAGTCTTCCTCCTTGGTTTGTATTTCTTCCGAGGCCTTCGTCTCTTTTCGCGCACGAAACGATCCTGCATGTCAACATAGCCGAGGAATCCGATATCTCGCAGTAACCGGGATCCGCCATTCAGGTAAACGAATTCCGCTCGCCGCAATGCCTCGTCATCCATGTTGTTATCTTCAAAAAATTTCGCCAGTGTCGTCAAGTCCTCCAAGTTTTCAGTTTCCCAATCTAGCAAGATAGCGGTGATCTCTTCGGCTTTGCTTAGGTTTCCCAAGTTTTGATAACATGAGTGGAGACCCGCATAAGTCTTCACTATCATCTCATCTGGGTTTTTGTTATACAACGGCTCGTAGAACCGTAACGCTTCCGCGTCGTAGCCAGCAGCGTGAAGCGCATCAGCCGCGTCGCGGAAAAGATCACCGTAATCCATGACCTTAGTATTATAGCCATCGTCTTCGGGCTCGAGCATCTCAAAATGTTGCTAAAGAGTTAGGTATACATTTACATCAGATGACAACATGACTTACCATGGCCTCATTGATATCAGGAGGTTGTAGTCGTAGCCGGAATTCACCCATCTTGATCCTGAGCTCAAATGGCAGTGTCTTCCCGTATCTAGCTTTAGTGCTAGTGCCAAACTCAGGGACAGTAACTCTTCTTGGCCTATCGTTGACATCAAACTCGCGGTCATCATCTTGGTTGTCCCAATAGGTTTCATCCTTTCTGCCTTGAATCCATCGTGAGAGTGTTTTCAGACGTTTGAGGGAATGCGCAGGGTCTCCTGCACGATCTAATAGGTCTAAATAGAGATTGAGTAAAGACCAATCAAGATTGCTATCTGATGGCTTATCGTTCGCAATGAAGTAAGCTATAGATGTATCAAAGGAATGGATCATCCTTTTAAGAAAAAGTTGGGTCTGCTTTGGCGAGGATACGCCCATTCTCGCCATTTGCTTGAGCACGTCGATATCGTATGGTCGTATCGTGAGCATTTTTCGGCAGAGTGTAATTACCCTAGATACGTGTCCCAACTCTGTCTCGATCTTTAGCTTCTGGCTACGTGCCTCATAGTCATTCGCATCGAGGATAAGTATCGATCGCAAGCAGTCAAGGATAATAGCCGTCTTGTTCTCTGGGGTAAATAGGGGGTATTTCTTAGTGTCCATGTCTTGGACTCGGTCGATGATGTGAAACCAAAGAGACTTGTCCCGCTTGGTAGGAGCTCCGACAATGAGAGCTTCCACAGCCTTCTGTTCTTCGGCCATTGCCATGTATATCTCCGAGAGAAGATTATGAGCTGTGAAAATTTCAGGATTCATCTGGACAGCCTTGTTCGCATAGTCAATAGCGTCCAGAAAGTCTTGGCGAAGAAATGCTTCATTGGCTTTCTGCTGCAGTTCCTTGAACTGCGGTCCGGGGTCAGCAGCTGCGCGAGGACCCTTTCGCGGTCGCTGCTTGCACGATCCGCTCCTTCCTCTTGTTGATCGAGACCCACAATGACCTCCCCTTCCCCTACCTCTCGGTCTACCTCTAGCTCTTCCCCTTTCCCGACTTGCTTTGTTTCCTCTGCCAGTGGACCGGGGGCGCCGAGTCTCCTCCTTGTCCTCTTCCTCCTCCCCATCTAGCTCTTCATCAAATTCTTCCTCAGTCAGCAATTCTTCTTCCAAATCGTCGACTTCTTCCACATCTTCTACGTCAAAATCAGGATCTGCCTCTTCCTGGAGATCCTCCTTATCGGCAATTTGTCGTAGAAGTCGCTCCTCGTCTTCCGCCAACCGTCGCTCCTCATCACTATCATCCTCATCATCGCTCCCCAGATTATACCTGTGGAAGAGAGATTTTCGGTATCCGGCCGGTAGAGAGGGGTACGGCGCTTCATCTTCATCGTCATCCTCATGGCCTGGGGCGGGAATGAATCCTTCATGAATTACTGGACCGCTTGAGACATATCCAACGCCTAAGGGACCCTGGAATCCGGAGCTAGTGAGAGGAATCTGGGGAGGCTGCTGGTGAGTCGCATATGGGGAGGTATATTGTCGTGCCTGAAATTGGCTGGGAGGAAATTGTCCGTTATTAAAAAGCTGTTGACCAGTCCACGGATTGAACAACCCGCCTCTGAGATCCATACTTTCTACTCCCTCCCACTTTTATGTTTTTCGGATTTAACTCTGCCATCAACTAGGTGGTTGGGTCGAGTTTGATTTGGGGCGTTGGGCATGGGAAAGAAGAACTGCCCGGGCGAAGGTTCGAAGGTTCGATTTGGCTCGGTTGTGCCACGTGAGCTCGCGCTAAGACCAGATCCTCGATCCTTCCTGCTCGCGTATTCATTGAGAGCAGGGGCTCACAACCATCAAGGTTTTTATTTCTTCCGTGGTTCTTCCACCACTTACTTTCCGGGTGCTTGTTGGTAACGCCATATCCACGAGAGGTGGTATTTTAGGAGCGTCACTCGGTCATGTCCACAAAGGTGGCTCTTCATTTTGCTCGCTTTTACAGACCTCGAAACCCTTTCTTTACTCTCTGTCGACTTTGATGGTGCGCGTAGCAGTTCAGTCAATGCCATATATTAGTGTATGTGCTCGGTATCTCTGATGCCAATGGTCTACTCAGTCACATATCCGAGAAAGGCATCACATTTTCTGGCGATATCCTCTTGTTTTCGTTTATTAATGCTGTCGAAACCCAGCACCCCACTGCCGATGCATAACCCTCAACTTTTCGTGTTCCTTTGTCTCATTCACCCCACAACGACTATAAACGTCAATAATATACAAAAACCTTTATCGCCAAACAAGGTATACTCAAAGACGTTCTCACTTCCGCACCACAAGTATCATCCTCGACATCACCGCTACCAAGATTAAGAATGGTGGCTGTTGAATTGCCACTGCGTCGACGCATCCCACCCAGTACGCATGCAGAGCTACTTGGACTTAATAGGTGTCAGACCTACATTGTGTAGGCACGATACCTCACCGCTTGCAATCTATGAAAATCTTCACTCTCATAGACGCACATCAACAAGCCGTCCCACTTAAACAGTTAAGACATATCATTTGCAAAGTCGTCCCAGTGTTTAGTCGCGAGGAGAGAGGAACTACTAGGTCCCGAAAAGGAGAAGAACAAGCATAGCCGTCATTCACAGTAGAAGACAGACCAATGCAGTTTGACGATCCCTCATCAAGGTAGTTCCTAGCTGGGAGAGATATAGAGAGCTTTGAATCCAGATGAAGTTCAGAGAGCCCCTTAAATATTCCAGAACCCCAATCCTCGAAATGGTATTCAACGCAAGTGCTTCATTAGTCTGCAATAGACGGAGGCTTGATAGAGCGATACAATATATAAGCTGACCTAAAGGCTTCCAGTATGTGCCATGGTTAGAACGCTTCAGACCGAGTAACCCAACGCCAAACAATGCATAACATGAGATCACAATCATACATTTCCATCTCCCACTCCGACCATTTCATATTCCCCAGCTCCATCCCTGCCCCTACCTCTCCCCCTGCCTCTTGACTCGCCCGCTCCATCGTCTTCAGGCGCACCATTCCCCTGTGGTCTAGTAGTGGACGAACCAGCTTTGCCTCCAAAATTAATTGGCCGTAGTTCACGCCATTGGCAAGCCCAAACCCCTAAAGACGTCATCAAGGTCGCGCTACATATCTGTAGAGCCCACCAGAAGAGATTTGTTGGAATTGCATGGGAGTAAAAAGAGGTGACAATCAGGTGGACGAAGTGTATCGTTAGCGCAAAATCGAGGACGAGTTTCGAGCGCGCAATGAGAAGGAGTATGAACACAGCACTGGCGGAGCGTCAGAAGGAAAACAAGATGCGCACTACCGTTTAGGGGTCCTACCAAGCTAAGCTGTTCAGTACCCAGACCAAGCCCAAGGTCCACCCAACCGTAGTATCGCCTCGGAGGCTACGCCAGCTAAACAGAAGGTCGGTGCTTATTTCCTTCCCGGCAACCAAGGCGGTAAAGACTATGAAAATCGCTGCGCAAGCATAGTAGGCTAGTTGCAGGACGACAATTTGGGTGAGGATCCGAGTTGGGGACAGGTCCGCGAGGGCGCCTGGGCGAGGAGGGCGGCGGCGGCGTGGCATCAGCCTAAAGTAGGATGTTTATTATGATAGTGACATGCGGTGTGCCCTGGTGGGGTTTTGCTGCAGAGAGCAGGGTACGTGTGAACTTGAGACGTGTCTATTCAGGATTTACAGGCGCAACATGTCAGGAACAGACTCAGCACTATGGCGGACAAAAGTAACGCCTTGGGCCGATCGCCGGTGGCCAATCACCGCGTCATCGGCCAGGCCTTGCCAAGATCGTCTAATCCTTTGCGACGCTGTCCTTCAATTCTTCATCATTGGTGGTCAACGGTTCGTCATTCAGAAGGTAAGCATACCATCCCCCAAGTTCTCTTCCGTATACACCGTTCATGGTTTGCGAGCCCTTATTGGTAGCTGCATCTACTAACATTGTTCCCCAACAGTTCCTGTTCGTCCTGCTCGCACTTCTCACTATTATCGATCATGGGTTGGCTACCGTGGGTATCATCAGATACACCTGGGGGTCCTAAGAAAACCAGCGACGGCGCATTCGAGGCACCGAACAAGACAAATCGAGCGAAATGCTACGAAGCAAGAGACGCATTTTTTGAATGCCTTGACCGGCACAACATCCTGGATAGCATAAATACAAAGGGAGGCCAAGCAGCCGCAAAGCAAGCTTGTGGCATAGCAGACCAGGAATTTGAGAAGAATTGTGCGCACAGCTGGGTAAGTTGCTGCTATCGTTTCCGGGCTAAAATAGCTCACTCGTCTCTTTGTAGGTGGAGTACTTCAAGAAACAGAGAGTTGTCAATTACCAAAAGGAGCAAACCATCAGGAGAATAGAAGCACAAGGAGGAGAAATTGTAGCCCCTCAGCTACCTACAAGGTCATAGAACTTGCGCCATGGTGATTCATTCGCAGTTATGTACGCTATGTAAACTACATGGGAATCGTTGTTCCTACCTACTGCGCGTAGCTTTCGCTTGTACCAACAAGTAGGCATTGGCAAATTGTCCTGGGCAAAATTACTGGAAGGTGCAGCATATCCGAGGCAAGTCTCAGGGCTTTTAAGTATAAGAAACATCCATGGCATATGTAGATGGAAGCTGCAGAGGAACTGGTCGGGTAAGACCTCAGGGTCTCTAGCCGATGGGTGCGATAGCTGAGCGTGTCGTTCCCCGCAGACAAAAACATTCTTCGCACAACGGAACTCCTATCATGGCAGTCTAAAAAGAGCAACCCAGGACAGACAACATATGCGAGAAACAAGGGTACAAACGTCAAAGACGCATAATGTCGTCACTATCCCTGACGTTCTCTGTCCGGCGTCCTCTGCATCTTCTTCCCTGGTTTGCAGTTAATCACACTCGAAACTGATAAAGCCAGGAGCGAATAAGGAATCTACTGAGGAAGCCCCGCTGCTGCAAGCCGAATGTGACCTTTTTCACAGCTCGTATTTACGTGGCTTGGAGAATCAGTTCCAGCTCCTTTTTCAACTTCAGTCGCATGCGCCACCTAACACGTCAAGCTTCGGACGGGCAGGAGTTCCCGGTGGTCTGGGAAGCTGCAGACTTCAGGGTGCTTTTTGCGCGGGGTTCGGCCCATGATACACTTGTTCTGCAAGACTCGGGCGCCAGAGTCCGGGTGACCTTGTTTCTTTTTAGCAGCTAATTCTGTTTGACGCCCAACCCGCGCGCCAAGATTGGGAGCAAAAGCAACCATGGTGTTGCGAAATCCCCATGTCCCATGATGGGTTGATGAATGACAGATGTCAAAAGAGGCACTACGCTAGCCCACGAAAACCCGAAAAATGGTCCTACGAAGAAAGATACTAGGTGCTTAATTGGCTCGCTTATGACGCAGGGCCTCCCGAAATCCAAACCAGCATGTCCACCGCTTCATGCTCTGTCCGCCGCTGACATCACTCGTTCCATGGGATATGCGGTGAAGGCTTGTTTCGCATCTTCTCACCGATATCGTGTTGGAAAGATGGCAGAGGGATCGAATTCTTCCTTGAACACCTCCAAATCTGACAATCCTCCTTTGGCGGTGCTCCCTCCCGGAATGCCCTCAATGGCGAACACCACGTCGGTGAAGACGCCACGAAATTCTTCCTCTTCAAATAGGAGCTTTCTCCACATTTTGGCCACTTCGCCGACCGGGTTGCGGAAGATGGGACCTACACCGAAGGCCCCAATGCAAATGTTCGTATGTCCACAATACGACGCAATGCGGAGGACAGTCCGCATCTTCTCTCTCATCAGCTCCTCCTCTTGCGTAAAAGAATAATTCGTGCCTGTCTCGTTCAGCTTTGGCCTGCGAACCGGTGCTACTGAAATCACAGGAAGTGATCTAATTTCTTTCCAAGGAACGTAATTTTTCTCAGCTCCCTCTCGAAAAACGTCTAGTAAATTGTGAGAACAACTGGTGGGGGCGGGGCATTGCTGCAATAAACATACACACTTCCGGGGAGTATATCCCTCCTCTTTGGGGAATCGGGTAAAAGTCTGCCGGTTGGTTCTGGTTCCACGGCATCGTCAGAGCGTGTACGAGGTTGCTCCTTCTCGCAAAACACTCTTCTGGCGCTATGAGGCCAGATTCCCAATCTCCACCCGCGCGCTTCTCGTTGGCCATATTGACAACAGGTATGCGCTTCACTGAGTGGTGAGTTGATGGATCTGCCGACGCATACTGGTACCAGCCCAAAGCATAATCCACAGGGTCGCCTTCCACAACAGCCACCCGTAATCGCTGTTGTGACCTCTTCTCGGAATTTATCTTAATGGCAGCTGCATCTGGATAAAAGTACGAAGTCACGGAGCTCTTAATGTAGTGTCTCCAAATATGCGGCATGTAGACCCGCTTAGCTTCGGCGGCGATCTCGGACGGTTTTGGTCTGGACTGGGGCATACTGGTGGGTTCACAACGTAGAAGATAATGTGGGCGTAGCTAAGGATGGAAGGTTCATGGGGTCATTGGAGAGAAAGGGAAATGTGTGTGGCAGAAACGATCAAGAAAACAGCCAGAGGACGTCGTGTAAACATTGAGCTGTGGAGAGCGAATGAGCCACCGTGATATATACGTCTGATAGAAGGAAACGCAACTAAATAAGAGCGAGATCAAGCCGTCACTAGCATGGGCGCGTTTCGCCGCGCCCAATACAGAAACGGCAGTCCTGTGCGTGAATCCTGATTCTGGGTTCTATCAAATACATGCCTCAAACGCGGGTAGCATCGCGCCGTCATATAACGCAAAGCTGCACACCCAGCGGAGGCTTGAATCGCCCCCAACCACAATAAGGCTACGCACAGGGCTTAGGACACCGGAATTGGCCGTTCTGATACTGTGTTGCCCCTATCCCTGGTCTTGGACAGTTGTCAATCCTGCATCGAGGCCAGGAACATCCCCTTGTAAAACCAACAGGACCATATGGCCGGGGCATCTGACGAGTATCTGCAACGGGGACGGCGTCAGAATCGATCTTCTAGGCCTTCATCCACCGATCTACGTCCCCATGAACAGCTAGACCGAGATCTGGCGATGGATGGTACGATGACAGGCGGTAGTGTGAGATCCTGCACTAGATAGCGTGCAGCGGTAGAGCGGTTCCGGACATGCAGGGAAACGGGCCTCGTCACTTAGACCTAGATCGCGGTGGAGCTGCGTGCAGCGTATCACGGCGATGTCCTCACGGCTACTCCAGTGTGATGACACAGCATCTGCCCACAGGCAAGCAAATCCGTCCAGTTGCCGTGCACCAATTACTGGAAGCGCGAGACGCGCTGCGCGAGATCATGTATGAAAGTTCGCGATACTGCAGATTAAGGCGAGGGGCCATGAAGTGCTTTTAGTGTCGTTGGGAGCAAAAGCAAGCGGGGCAGCCAATAGGAGGAGCCCGTCAACCAGCCAAGGCCCGGCGGAGACTCGGGGGGTGGAAGGAAGTACAACCACGACAGCGACGTGCGTCGTTAACCTTTGTGCGAAGTTGGACGTACACCACTGCCAGATCTGCTGGGACTTGCCGGCGTCAAATGACCGCGGCGGACTGTGGGCACTCTAGTCGATGTTTCGCTTCCGCTATGTAACTTTCACGAGCCGCGCTCCACAATCTAGCGCCTTGAAGCCCCTGCTCACACTCCAAAGTTTCTGTCGACGACATCCTGCACATTTCCCCGCCTCCAGCCTTACTGCCGCTATAATTTTGCCAGACGTGTCAATGACCACGACACAACTTTTCTCAGAGCGCATTGTCCGCCTGGCCCTCCTGCCCCGTTTATTTCCTTGCCTGACCACAGCCGTCGCTCGGCCTGCACGTTCACAATGGCTCTACCGTCCACGCTTTGGTTCAACATCTTCCCCATCTAATATAGCTTCCCTTTTGATCAGTTCCCCATTATCACCGTCTTCACAGCCATCAGCTTCTGCTGGCAAGTTTCTGACAATCAATGGCTTCGTGCGCACTTTGCGGAGGCAAAAACGCGTGGCCTTCGCCGCAATAGGAGACGGCTCAACAATGCAAGCAGTACAGGCCGTCTTGTCTCCCGAGCAGGCCGACGGGTCAGTCGTTCAACAAAAAGCTCTTTCTAGCCATCGGTGGCTTACTAACGTTTTCTTCATCGATCAGATTATCCACAGGGGCTGCGGTAGCAGTCACCGGGCAGTGGAAATCATCACCGGGAAAAGCTCAAACGCATGAACTACTGGCCGAAACTGTCCGCATCTTGGGTCATAACGATGCCGCAGTGAGTACATCGACCTAGACTTGATTGATGTGCAGCTCGGTGCGCTAATTCTGTACCCCGTGACTCGTTCTAGGCGTGCCCTTTGCAAAAGAAATACCAGACCACTGAATTTCTGCGAAGCCTGCCTCACCTCCGGTCACGACTTCCTTTCAATTCGTTACTTTTAAGGTTAAGGTCGCAGGTTACGGCTCAAATTACAAACTACTTATCCACACGCGACTTTGTCCAGGTGCATCCGCCAATCATCACATCCTCCGACTGTGAAGGCGCTGGCGAAGTGTTCACCGTATCCCCAGCAGTGTCGTCTTCTCCAAAGTGCGAAGGACAAAATCAGTCACACGGATTTGACGATCTGTTCTTCCAATCACCCAAGTATCTTACCGTCTCAAGTCAGCTCCACCTGGAAGCACTGGCTCAATCTGTTGGGAAGGTGTGGACATTATCACCAACCTTCCGTGCTGAGAAGAGTGATACGCCCCGCCATCTCAGCGAATTCTACATGCTCGAAGCGGAGATTGCCTTTGCAGAAGACCTTGCGGACATCATGGATGTGGTTGAAGACCTGATACGCAACATTGTTGGTGGACTCCAAGCTTCACACGTGGGCAAGCAGCTGATCGAATCCCGATCACGTGAGCATGAGGGGGGCGAGGTAACTGTGGCCAGCTCCGTGCTAGCACAAAGGTGGCAAGGCTTAACCAGCGGACCCTGGCCTCGAATCACCTATAACGACGCTGTACGACACCTTAAAAATGCTGTTGTCCAAGGCAAAGTGCAATTCGCGTTCGACCCTGGTCATCAAGAAGGCCTGCAGACCGAACATGAACGTTTCCTTGCCGAAAGTGTAGGACAAGGCGGCCCAATCTTTGTGACCGACTACCCCCGTGCGCTGAAGCCATTCTATATGGCTCCTTCGAAGGGCACTTCTGGCAAAGGAGATGATGGTCCAACAGCATCATGCTTTGACCTGCTTGTGCCGGAGATTTGTGAATTGGTTGGAGGTTCAATGCGTGAACACCGGCTCGCCGAGCTCCTAGAGGCCATGGATGACCACGGACTCCAACGTTTGTCGCCTTCGACATCTGACTATGAAGCGTCAAATGGCTCGCTCCAGTGGTATCTAGATCTCCGACGGTATGGGAGTGTCCCACACGGAGGTTTCGGGCTTGGGTTCGACCGTCTGCTCTGTTACCTGGCTGGGGTGTCCAATATCAAAGACATGGTTAGCTTTCCTCGCTGGCATAAGCGGTGCGACTGTTGAGTGATCAAGCCTTCTCGCCTACGGGGATTGCGTGTTGAAGATTTGTCCCACCACGGCGATTCGTCATGTACCCGCGAAATACGAACCCAATTAGTTTTCGCCTTTTGTGGCTCAGCAATCTCTCTTTTCGTCGCACTTGTAAAATAGGTGCTGAGGACTGTAGAGTGTCTGTTTCTTGTACAGGTGTTCCCTTGACCATAGCTCAGACAGCGTGAGTGAGCTTTCCGGAAGAATAGGTGTACTTTGGAGATTCCCATATTTCCTGCACCATATATCCACTCTCTTCGTCTTCTGTACAAAAGGAAGTAGCATTAACGGAATTTTGCACAAAAGCATAGGGCCATTGCAGCTCTTCCGATTCTCTCATGTATGTTTCTCCGAACCTAGCTGCGGCAGCCAGTCCATCTCCGAGGTGGCCTGTCATCTCCGAGGCAGCCTTCTCATCCCGAACTTTTACACGCAATTGACGTAGGACGAGGAGGAGGAGCACTTCCTTCATGGGTTTGCAGCGTGCGAAGCCATGACAGTGCTTCCCCAAAATCCAGATAATTCAATTTACTATTGTATTTCGAGCCTGCAGAATTGGCTCCAAGTGAAGTTCTTTTTCCAATGTAGGGAGCTTGTGGCGACGCTAAATCCTCGGGAGCGAAGGACGCCCAGACCAGCGACTTTACAAACAAATTTGTATACATTGCCATCGACTACATCACCATCGATCAGTCTTTGTCTGTACCCTTTTCAATACAGTCGACCACCACAATCGCTGCTCTTTTGTCGCAGCCCACGGAACGAGGATCGCCGGAGCGCGGTGGATATATGGCCACCCATGAGCGGACCGCTGTGGAAGACGCCGAACATGAGTAGTTCTCCCTGCTGTTGCGAGCGCTGTAATGGCTCCATTCCTAATCTAGCCTGCAGTTATGAGTCCTTGCCGCCAAACTTCTCCCTCACCGCGAACATGCTCGCAGGCGCGTTCGCCGGCATTGCTGTACGTCGCACGCGATCCAGAGTCGCTCCAACCATTGACCTTGAAACAGGAACACTCGGTGATGTATCCAATAGACCTGCTGAAGGTGCGCAACCCCATGCCAATTCATCTCGCTCCCCACGGGCTCTGTGTTGACCTGCGCCAAGACTAGGATGCAAGTGGTGAATCCATCCCCGACGGCCGTGTACACAGGAATCTCAAATGCAATGGTCACAATATCGAGAGCAGAGGGCTTCAGGACCCTGTGGAGAGGGCTTTCGAGCGTGGTTTTGGGCGCCGGTGGGTTTGGAGGTCGACTGTGCTTTTGCCCCTTCTCGAACTGACGGTCTTGCAGGGCCGGCACACGCCGTCTATTTTGCATCCTACGAAGCCGTAAAGCACGCTCTCGGTGGGAATGAGGGCGGGCAGGATGAGCACCACCCTCTCGCAGCTGGTGCGTGCATCACCCCTTGAACCATGGAACACGCGGTCTCCATCACCATGCTTGGCACTGACTTTGACAGCTGCTAGCGGGGCCGCCGCTACCATCGCCAGTGATGCGTTGATGAACCCGTTTGATGGCACGTCCAACTGCACCCGAACTCTAAACCCAAGCTGACTGGCACAGTCATCAAGCAGCGCATGCAGCTGCATGGCTCCATCTACAAGTCGGTCCCTCAATGCGCCCGGGAAGTTTTCCGGACCGAAGGCATGACTGCCTTCTACGTGTCGTACCCCACGACGCTCTGCATGACAGTGCCCTTTACTGCTCTGCAATTCATGGCCTACGAATCAATTTCGAAGATGATCAATCCCACTGGGCGTTACGACCCATATACTCATTGTACGGCAGGAGGATTAGCGGGCGGTTTCGCAGCCGGCCTCACTACCCCGTTGGATGTCATCAAGACGCTATTACAGACGCGAGGAAGCGCATCGGACGCTGAGCTACGCAATGTGTCTGGCTTGTGGCAGGCGGCCAAAATAATAAAGAGGCGCGATGGTTACAGAGGCTACTTTCGGGGCCTCAAGCCAAGAATCATTACCACCATGCCCAGTACAGCTATCTGCTGGTTTGTTTCCCTAAACCTAGACTTCCTTCACCTGCTAACGTGGCGCTCAATAGGTCGGCATATGAGATGGCCAAGGCTTTCTTCATTGCCCGAGGCGAAACACCATGAGATGACTTCCCGAAGATGGATAGCTACGAATATTCATTGCGTAGTGCTTTAGCTTAAGGAAGACGTGACCCGGAGCATGTGGTCCCAGGTAGACTCTGGCGCAGGAGAGTAAACGAGGCCTCGGGAGCTCGTTCACGAACAGATAACAAGGCCCCATGACGCTTTCCTTGATTGTATACTGATAGAGGTCTTGGTGGCATAAAGGACCATGCGAGGCGTTAGGGCTCTAGCTTAACTGGATGATCCATGGCTCAGGCCATATATGTGTATCATAGGAAAAGTCACGATTTCAAGACCTATGCTTTGACGTTTGACATAGCCCCTGGAGTGATGGTGCTCAGCAGGATCCATAACGGATAAAGGAATGAGAGCAGCCCGAGCCCCATCCAGTCTTGCACTCCAAGTTCGATGTCAACCCCCTAACGGCGATTCACAAATGTTTGTGCGTCGCAGCTCCGTATTGTTCTTCCAAATCCCGATTGTAGTTAAGCCCTGCACTGTGTTAGTGGAGTCAGCCTCGCCACAGCCGGTCGCAATAGCTCTGCTACCGACAGCGCGAAATGGAAGCGGCGCTACGTCACAAGCGCTAAGACCTGAAGACGACCGATACCTTCTCCAACACGCCCAACGTCCCCGATGATGCGCGCCAACACGTCGTCTTCGATGCAGAAGACATACGACGAGTGCTTTCTCACATGCTCCACCGCCGTCTACTTTGAAAGCCAGGTTTGGACCCGATATCCCCTGCCCATCCATGTCCATACTACCGACTAACTAGCCTTGTGTGAGCAGAACAACGAAGCAGAGGCTCTCCGCTCGTGGAAGGGCGCCCTCGACCAGATCTACTACCACAATGCCCACCGCGTCCCCACTAACCACCGCCCCAAGTCTGAGACAGAGAAGGCCCTCCAAGACTCGCTGCATCAACTGGAGCTGCAGTGCAAGGAGCGCGTCGACCTCCTCGAAGCGTTGAAGCGCAGTCGTGAAGAGGCAGGCGAGAGTGTTACCTCTCCTTCACCCAGTGCAGATGCAAATCCACCCCCCGGGCTCCCTCTCCAGGCCCCCACGCACACTGCCAGCGACACAGCCGGGCTGGGTTGGCTAGGAGGCGGCACCGTGCCTCCTGTGGACTACACTGATCTGTACCGGCCCTCGCTTCCGCTTCGGCCAGCCCTCCAGGCACAAAAGAGGTCTGGTGCCGAGTCGTCTCAGGCGAACTGCACTTCATTGCCACCCAATAGCAGTTCCCTTTCCCCGGGACTGGCAACGTCGATAAGAGAATCCCGGACACCCTCGCCCGAAAAGAAGAGTCGGATGCTGAGAACACTGAGGCCCGGGGGAAAGGAGGGCAGAGCTTCGTCCAAGATGCCCAGCTCCATGCGCAGTCGCCCTCCAGCTGCCGCCAAAGCAGCCACCCAGGCCTGGGGAACAAGCGCAATGACAAACCCAACCAGGCCAGTATACTTAGGAAACCAATCCAGTAGAGAGTCGATAGCAGCCTCCCAGAGCGCCTCAAATCGCCCATCCTTTGATCAGCCTGGGTCCGGGCTTGATTTCGATAGACCCTGCCCACAGCCTCCTAATCAGGAATTGTACCATCCCCAGTACTCCAGCACGTCAATACACCAAGTTTCTCGAAAAGGCTTAACCCCCCCACCACCCAGGAGAAATTCTTCAGATACGAGCCAAACAAAAGGCATTAAAAATGCCAGCCCTCAAGTCATCACATACAGAAACGAATGCCCAGCCATCTTACCAGACCCTCCCCAACTTGCGTCTTCAACCGCCGCTCAACCACAGAATGAGGTCGAATTTGACAAGACTAGACGCGAATCGAGCAGCAGTCGACCACAATGGTTACCCTCTAATCCATACTCTTCAGTCAACAATAATCGCGTGCGAAAGTCGAAGAAAAGTGCTCATCCTGAGACGATACCCCTAAACGAGAACGGAGGTATCGAGGAGAAAGAACTACCTCTGTCTCGCCGAAATGTCAAGGGGGAGGGTACAGCAGATCCTCTACTTACACCAACATCCAAGGCTGCAGAGTCGAACTGCCCAGAGAGCGATTCTAGTGAATGGAGAGAAAGGGTCCGACGCATACTGAAGAACCTCCCAAAAGGAGTGGATGAGTCTGCAGCTCAACAGATTTTGAACGAAATTGTCATTCACGGCGATGAAGTGCATTGGGATGACGTGGCCGGACTCGAGATTGCGAAGTCCGCCTTGAAAGAGACAGTCGTGTACCCATTTCTACGACCCGACTTGTTTATGGGCCTTCGGGAACCAGCTCGAGGCATGCTGCTCTTTGGACCACCTGGAACGGGAAAGACAATGCTAGCTCGGGCCGTGGCCACAGAATCTAGATCGACCTTCTTCGCCATCTCTGCTAGCAGCCTGACGAGCAAATTCCTAGGTGAATCGGAGAAGCTCGTTCGAGCCCTCTTTGCTCTTGCGAAGATGCTTGCACCATCGATCATCTTTGTTGACGAGATCGACTCCCTTCTATCTTCCCGTTCTGGGTCCGGTGAGCACGAGGCTACACGGCGCATCAAGACTGAGTTCCTGATCCAGTGGTCCGATCTTGCTAGAGCAGCCGCAGGGCGCGAGCAGAGTGATAAGGATAAAGAGCGAGGAGATGCAAGCCGAGTGCTTGTGCTCGCGGCGACGAACTTACCATGGGCAATCGATGAAGCAGCAAGACGACGATTCGTCAGGCGCCAGTACATTCCACTACCCGAGGAGCATATCCGAAAATCGCAGCTAAAGACTCTTCTAAGCCATCAGAAACACGAACTCACGGATGAGGACATGGACCGGCTTGTTATCTTGACTGAAGGTACGTGTTCAATACTTCCTACCCGTTTATTTCCTTACAGATAGTCTTTGCAGTAGTTTCGCTCACTCCAATTTAGGCTTCTCGGGCTCTGACATCACCGCGCTCGCGAAAGACGCTGCAATGGGTCCTCTCCGCAGTCTAGGAGAGAGGTTACTGCGCATGACAATGGATGAGATTCGTCCGATCCAGGTCGGGGATTTCCAAGCCAGCCTACAGACAATTAGGCCAAGTGTCAGCAAGCAGGGCCTCAGGGAATTTGAGGATTGGGCAAAGGAATTTGGAGAAAGGGGTGGATAGATAACTCCTGTGTTGAATCACCCTTGTATGTCCCAGCTGCAGCATTGAAATCGACATTTAGATTAGCCAGGACTTGGTCGATTCTAGATTCGCGTGAATTCGATGGCCTTTTGTGATCCCGTGGGAAGGGAAGTCTGAATGGCTAGCATACGAGTTTGTTCTGAATACGAACATGCTTAAGGTTGCAGTGTGCTGAGCTGGGCCCCGAAAGTGTTTGCTACCGTCTTACGAACATGAGTAGACCCATGACTTAGGATGTACCTAAACCAGGTCGACATACACTTATCATAAAGGCTGGGATAGGTCCTCTTCTTGTCTAGAGGTGTCGTATTGCTAGTCGTTAAGGACTTCAGCTCATATGTAGATTTAATAGTTCAGATTGTCAACAGTGCCATAACTAGAGAGCCACATGTGAAAAACAATTCCATGTAACTAATTCTCGCTATAGCCCATAGCTATGAGATGGGTACTTCGCTTCCAAGCCATGGCTCCTCTAATATGGCTTTGTTCCCTTGGTAGTTCCTCAGTTCGCTCACCAGCACAAGTTGCCGGGTAAGTTTTCAAAAGGATGTTTTGCTAGTCCTACGAAACACTAGATTAAAGACTTTTTTAAAATAATTTCATCGCATATCTATGCCTTTGCGAAGTCATTTCGTTATTTTACTTGCTTAATTTGGCCTTGACTGTTGTGAAGTTGTTGTTGTAATGCACGAAATCGGGTTGTTCTTCAAGCTCGCAGCTCAGTGCTATTAGGTCGAATTGGCTTACAACAATAAGAAATATCCTGCCTGTTGTCTCGCTACCTGTCTTTATGGCATACAAAATTCTTCGCCACTTCACACGACAAATCGTCTCTCAAACCGTACAAAAATCCCATGAAAGGTTAAATAATACTCTGAAAAGACCAGAGTAGGAGGCTCGGCCACCTGGGCGCTTTTTTTTTGTGAACCTCAATGTAGAAGAATAAAGAGGCGCCAAAACAGAGCCTGTCGGCTAGTGCAGCAAGACGCCAGGTGTTGGGAGACCATATAAGTCCAGTATAGAAACGCCGTAAACTACGAAGATGCCTTAGAGATGCTGTTATAAGCCTTACTAGGGAATTACAGATGGGATTTATCATAACGACTTCAAGCTGAAATCGTGAATGGTACAATAGGATGCAAAGACCAGGGTGCTGCATTGATGGAGTACAGCTACTGAACAACAGCCCGAATCGAACACTGCGTGATATATGCAAGGCTTAACGAAGACCGCTGATTAGGAAATCCTCCATCTAATAGATCTTCAACTTTAATTGCGAGGAAAAGGATGAACAACGCGAAATTATTTCAGGCCTGCCTTGTTAGTCTTCACGGTGTGAGCAATCGGTTGCAAAATACCCTTGTTGTCGAGAGCCCCGAGAGCAGTTCCTTTCCTCCAACCCATCTTCTCCAATAGAGCGCGACCCTTATTCTCAGGACCGAGCTCCGGCGCTGAAGCACCTACTGTATCGCCGTCCTTATAGAACGCCCTTTGATGGACTTTGACTTCCCTTTTCCGTAGAGTACCTCTCAAACTGCCCTGAAAGCGAACTTTGTAGCGCTTTTGTTCGACGAGCGAGTCAAACATGTCGTTATCAATTGGTTTCGTGCGAAGGGTTTTAGACAGGACAGTAAAGCGATCCTGACCAGATCCACGGGACTTGGAGGTCAAACCAATCTTTCCAGCGAACTGGTGAACGACAGCGCGTTGCGTTGCATCCATCGGGGGCATTGAGCAACTTGACCTGCGCGAGAAGAGAAAGTCACGGATCTCCTCCACGATCTGCGCCATGGTAAAGCCGTCATCGTATTTGACACTGAGGTCCGGAGCTTTCCCCTGTCTGCCAAGAAGGCCCTGTTTCCTGAGCTCTTCTCGCTCTGCTTTTTTCAGGCGTTTCTTAGTGCGATCTGCCTCCCAAGAGTTTCGAAGGTGCTCACTCAAGCCGGAATCAGAAAGTTCTGGAGGGAGTTGGCCTCTTCGACCCTTCTTCTTTGGCTTCAAAGATGGGCGTTCAGTGTCCATGACATCGAACCCATTGTAGGGATCCGCTTCCAAAACGTCAGCCATCACGGACGCGGATGGGAAATTTAGGCCAGGGAGGGAGCTAGAGCCATTAACATGTTGCTGTTGCTTCTTCCAAGATCTGCTAATAGAGAGCATTGGTGGCGAAGTCAGGCCATTTCCTGGGCCATTAAAGAAATCATCATGACCCAACAATAACACTTCGTCCGATCCGAGTCCGAGCTTTTCCTGTTTAGCTAGGATCCTCGCTAAATGCTCGTCATCTAGTGGGATATCTTCTTCGGTTTCCGTCTCGTCCTCATCCTCGTCCTCGTCCCCCAGATCGGAGTTGCCGGTGTCACTGTTGGATTGTCGTTGATGAGACAAGTGCTCAAGTGTGAATGCTTCAATGAGTTTAAGGTCTGTCGGTTTGTTGAGAAGGGTGGTAGGGAGCCAATGAGCATCGTCTGCCGTCGAGCCTTCGTACACAACCAGGTACTGCATCCCGCTCTTTCGTTCCCGGGAGGAAAGGATGCGTTCCACCGTGTCCATGACATCCGATGACGTGCTTAAGTCACCTAGATCTCGTAGCATGCCATCATCCCATTCATTGCCATCTTGCTGCTTCTTCCCTAAGCTCTTCGAGGCCCAGTCATTGTCAGCGCCAAGACCAAGGTCACGACAAGTAAATGTAGACACCGGCTTGATGTCACCAGCCTCGTCGCCACCCTCAATTTCGGCCTCAGGCTGTTGCGTATCTGGCATATAGTCGTGCGTAGTAGCGGCAGACGGATTCACTTCACCACGGAGGAATAGGTCTATATCTGGTCGCTCGTGGACAGGGAGCCAGCCGATACCTGATTTGCTTCTCGAAACCCACTCAGTGGTGTTGATTTCCCATTTGGATTTACCACCTAGTCTCTTCTGGAAGATGTCTTGTATGACACTCTCGGTATCAGAGTCTGTCTCACACTGAGAGACAAGAGTAGGCTCATCGATTGTTGGAGGAGGACCTTTGGAATACTCTGACGCAGATGGCTCTGGCGTCATGGTGATAGATATAGTCGAGGGTGTAGCCAGTGGAATGCGAGCCGCTGGGACTCTTCCTTTGAAGACGATCTCGTCTTCACTTGATCCAGATAGGGTAGGGGATGGACTCTTGATGGCCAAGCGGCTCATGGCGTTAGACTCGGTGGTTGGTGGAGCGGAGGAAACTGTAACCTTAGGGCTGGCTTCTTTAATGGTTCCCTCCAGCATACCCCCGTTGACAAAGTTAACCTTGAGATACCTTAACTTCCGGTCTGGGTCAAAGGCGTGCGTGTGGCTTGCAGTGAAGCGGGCCTCATCTAACATGGAGAATTGACGCCTCGCAACTACCTTAATTATCAGTAGGGAGAGCGAACATTTCGGGAAGCCGCGACTGCTCTTGCCTTGTTGACAGGGAGGGCGTGACGCCTTGCGTGGCGCTTTAGCCGGGGCCTTGTTTGGACCCTTGCATTTCTTCTTCCGGGCCATGCTGCTGCGGGAGATGGTAGTGGGAGGTAGAGAGATGTAGAGAGAAGAATCAATGTTTGGCGCAAACGAAAGCTCGGAGCACAAGTGTTGGTGTGGCGGCGGGTCAGGACGCTTATCGGATTATTGCAAGTACGATGCATGGCTTATCGTTTTATTGGTACTGTTCAGTCCCCCACCTCGCCCACCAGCAACTGTCCAAACACGGCCTCGCTGTTGGAACTACCACTGCAGTCGTGAAAGCAAACACTATCACCGTTTTCAAGTGCTTCACGGTGTGTGCACTTGTGGCTACCTCGTCAAGCTTGCTGCGTTTGGTGTCTATTGTCACTCTCGCCGTCGCTGAGCCCTCTCCACCTCAAGGCAGCATGACCATGACCTTAGCCCTGTAGCTTGCAGCAACATCTCTGTCACGTCGCCGCCACTACCTCTGTCGAGCACCATATTCACAACCTAGAGCATATGCACCTGCCATGTTGCGCCCCTAATCGCCCACATTCGTATCTAAGAAGCACTCCATTCCTTACCCAACATCCTCGCCCACGGCAGACTTGCCAGCCCACCCCCCCCGAGTATCAGTTGCCTCCCGCATCCGCACCATGAACGAATTCGAGCGCGTTGGTAGACATATTGTCCGCACCTTCTACGATCCCCTTCCAACCCTCGACTCGAACGCCCCGATTTGGTGCCTGGGACAGCAGTACGACCTGAAACATACCCCGCCAGCGTCGAATCCGAGCTCTGGCTTGAGTCTCCCCAAAGCCGACTCTTCCGCGTCGCATGTAGACCGCACAAGCGGACACGAGGAGGACAGCTGGATACGGACAAGCCTCGAAGAGTCGGAGAGGAAGGAATCACCAAACGGAGAAGACCCATCGCAGTATGGGGGCTGGCCCCATCCCTTCCTCGACGACTTTGAATCACGGATATGGATGACGTATCGGTCGGGTTTCGCTCCCATACAGAAATCGCAAGACCCCAAAGCAACAGCGGCCATGAGTTTCCGGGTAAGGATGCAGAACTTGGCTCAGTCGGCCTTCTCGTCCGACGCTGGATTTGGGTGCATGATCCGCTCGGGGCAGTGTATCCTAGCAAACGCTTTATTGTCCCTGAAGCTTGGGCGGGGTATGTCGCATCTGTCTAAAGAAGATTGGGCTTTCCGTCACGATATTAACAAGAGACTAGATTGGAGGCTTGGTGACTCAACGCCAGAGAAGAACCACCATTCCATCCTCTCCTTATTTGCCGACGACCCCAAGGCACCCTTTTCAATCCACCGATTTGTTGAGCACGGAGCCGCGGTCTGTGGCAAATACCCAGGCGAGTGGTTTGGTCCCTCAGCTACTGCTCGCTGTATTCAAGACCTCGTGAACGCCCACAAGTCTGTAGGTCTACGAGTCTATGTCTCCGGCGACGGCGCCGACGTGTACGAGGAAAAACTCAAGGCCGTAGCCATAGATGAAGATGGAAAGTTTCAGCCTACTCTAATCCTCGTAGGAACGCGCCTGGGAATCGACAAGATTACCCCAGTGTACTGGGAGGCTGTCAAGGCCTCGCTACAGATGCCACAATCTATTGGGATTGCAGGGTGAGTCACGGCATGAGCCCTCGGGAGCCTAAAACTAATAGCGGTGTAGTGGCCGTCCTTCAGCATCACACTACTTTGTCGGCACCCAAGGCAATATGTTCTTCTACCTTGACCCTCACTCAACCCGGCCCCTCCTACCATACCATACCGACCCATCTGCCTACACAGCCGAAGACGTTGCCACGTGCCACACGCGCCGCCTCCGCCGCATCGAGATCCGGGAGATGGATCCCTCAATGCTCATCGCATTCTTAGTCCATGACGAAAACGATTTCGAGCACTGGAAGGAGGGTATGGTGTCGGTGCAAGGCAAGGCAATTGTGCATGTCAGTAAGAGCGAGCCACTATCAAGGGGCCAGGCGCCTAGAGAGAGCGCTATCGACGAGGTAGAGAGTTTCGATGAGAGGGATGAAGACGAAGGAGACACAGTATTTTGAGGGTGTGGCCTACGAACCCATGCATGGTAGCTGACATCTGGCGGACGACGCAATAGGGTGATTGGTCCCACTCTCAAGCCTTGTGTAGTCGTCCTGAATCTGCATCTCTAGGTGGGTATGGAGTTATTCTAGAAGTATATCCGCAAATCCGCTCATATTAGGCGGGCAGTCAAATAGTTTAGCAGCCAAACACGCAAGGCTTAACAGGGCCGACTTCCAATACTCAGCATGTATTGCTTTACCACTACAGCACCACGAGAAGGGGTTTGACGAGCCTCGGGGATGCATTGGCAGTGCACAAAAGTCAGCGTTGCAGAAGGCCTACCCACAGGTCCCACGGTTATTTGAATCCTCAAGTGGCCGGGATCAAAAAGGCCGAACCCCAAAGATGAAAACCCCACATGATATGAAGATGAAATTGGAAGAATTCATTCGTTCCGACTGCAGAGGTATAATATACAACCCCATGATGTTGGACCCCGAAAGTCAGACCGTAAGACCTGCGGGCCTGGAAGACAAGCAAACCGTCCCATGATTGCATTAAAATGACCCATGAACACCATCACCCCCATAACCGCCTGACATCCATAGCGAATGTGAATCGCCGGATGCAAAAATGAAACCCAAGAAAATCCCAACACTTCACTCTTACTTAGTAGAGGAAGAATATTTGGTAACAGCCTTGGTACCCTCAGAAACGGCGTGCTTGGCAAGTTCACCGGGAAGAATCAGTCGGACACTGGCGCAAATTAGCAAGCGGAAAGCCGATGTGCAAGAATACATACGAGGTCTGAATCTCGCGTGATGAGATGGTTGACTTCTTGTTGTAGGCGGCGAGCTTCGAGGCTTCCGTGGCGACACGCTCAAAAATATCTAAAAGAATGAGTTTGTGACGCAACCTAAACCTAGGTATCACATACCGTTGACAAATGAGTTCAGGATGGACATAGCACGGTTGGAGATACCAGTGTCAGGGTGAACCTGCTTAAGAACTACATGGGAAAAGACGCGTCAGCTTATTTGAGCGGAAAGATGAATGGAGCAGAGGTGGTGCATGAAATAGGAAACTCACCCTTGTAAATGTAGCTGCTATAGGTCTCCTTCCTCGACTTGGTGCGCTTCTTCTTCTCGCCGGAAGGAGCGGCCGTCTTCTTCCCGGCCTCTTTCTTCTCAGCAGGAGCCTTACCAGCTGGTGCCTTGCCGCCGGTGGTGGGAGTCTTTTGGGCTTTTGGTGGCATTTTTGCGGCTGGAAGTGACGGAAAATTGGATGAAGCTGGGGCGTGGAAGCTGGTGTGGATGGACGATAGGTTGGATTGATGAAAACGGTTGGAAGCTGGCGGGGGAAGTGTGGTGTCGAGATGAAGGAAGAGAAGTTGTCCTGGCAGCGGGGGACGCGCTACTTATGGGGAGCGCGATCAATGTTGTGATCCGGCGGCGACTGCGTGATCCGTGGGGCGCTGGGCAGGCTAAGCGAGCGTGCGCGACAGGACACGACGGGCGGGCAGCGGCGACGGGGCCTTTTGTGATCTCAGGCAGTCGCCAAACCGCGCTAGCGAGGCAGGTTGATCTCGCGCACCACAACACGCCGCGCCGTCCTTATAAGCAGCGCCCCCCGCCCAACGACGACGCTCTCTTCATCCCCGAACTCTCACCACAGCAATAGTGTCCATCGACCGCATCATCCCAATCTACTCACCCAGTTTCACCCAAACTCCTCCACTACCATCAAAATGACTGGCGGCAAATCTGGTGGCAAGGCCTCCGGCTCCAAGAGCTCCGCTCAATCGTGAGTTTTCCATTTCGTTTTCTTATCCAGCGCGACTTCACCCCATTCACATTCTGCTTTTTTACAATGACTCATTGACGCGCCTGCTTTGTTCCGCTTTTCGTATTCACGCGTTGTGTCGCTCTTGGTCTTCCGATCACTAACACATTCCCAGTCGCTCTTCTAAGGCCGGGCTCGCATTCCCAGTCGGTCGTGTCCACCGTCTGTTGAGGAAGGGTAACTATGCTCAGCGTGTCGGTGCTGGTGAGTCATCCCCGTTTACCTCGGCTCGCGTACTTTCCTGACCTTGTAAGGCGCTCCTGTCTACCTCGCTGCCGTTCTTGAGTACCTTGCTGCCGAAATTCTCGAGTTGGCTGGAAACGCTGCCCGCGACAACAAGAAGACTCGTATCATCCCCCGTCATCTCCAGCTTGCCATTCGAAATGATGAGGAGTTGAACAAGCTTCTTGGTCATGTTACTATTGCCCAGGGTGGTGTCCTCCCCAACATTCACCAGAGTATGTTTTTCACATTCTGCATTCAATTCCCACATCCTAATCCGATTTCTAGACTTACTTCCCAAGAAGACCGCGAAGGCTGGAAAGGGCCCATCACAGGAGCTCTGAGTGTTTTTCGGCGCGGGTTTGGGTGTTATTTTTCTTTCTTTTCCTGCAACGATAATGGGGTTCGGTCTGGGTCTTGGGTCTACGGCTTTCACTGCACGGGGTTTGCAATACCAGAGCTGTATATTACACCTGTGATGGGTGAATCACGAGCTTAAATCAACTCGAATACTTCAATTTCTTGCCCAATTGGCTTTGTGACGTTTTCAACCCTGCCCCTATACTTACTACTGTAGGATCGCTTATTGAATTGATGTCGATCGAACTTAGTAGATCTTGGTTGTATTGGTTTGGTGGTTATCCGGGCGATGAAGAGATGCTGTCTGACCGTTCCTCTAGAAACATGCTATATTTGATCCTTCCCGGTTCTCGTTATTCGTGGACAAGACTGTTATGTATATAAGGCGATTTAGGTGAATATTCACGGATAGAAATACAAAGTATATCAGATTCTTTTGATGCCGAATGACCCATTCGAATCCAGATCTAAATGGTGTTTGTATGTACAATACTTTGCTCCCATGTCCCCTCTAAAGAATCATCTTCGGCGGGGCTGCGGGGCTATTAGCAAACTAACCCGAATGGCGAAAAGAATTACAGAACTTACGATCGAGGATTGGACAGGGCAGGTTGCGCTCGTACTTAGAGCCTGTTTTTATAAGCTGTCATGCCCAAGCCATGGGGAGCTGTCCGAAGGCATCATCAACTTACCTCCTGGGGCTGTTGGTGGACGGTAGGGGTCTGGGTGCTTCCACTTCTCCAGCAAGTCTTCTGTCTCTTGGATCAGGGCCTAGACTGTGCCGTCAGTGCTTGTCTCTGCATGTGGGTACCTTACGATCGTACCCGTTGCTGTCGTGGCTCTGTGACATGCTTCTGCGCCTCAAAAAGCGACCGAATGTACATAGCCTGTCCCCGCCAGAGGTATCTATGAACACACCAGTCGAGCGAGAGCTTGAGGGATTGCCGATAGAGGCGACTGCGAGTGTGTTAGTTTGGCGGCAGCGGGGGGGCCTATACGACGAAAACAGACATAACAGTGGCTTTGTGGCTCATGGTGAGCTGGATTCCACCGCGTGCGAGCGATTGCGTCGTTTCGCGTGAACGAAAAGGGGTGTATGGGTCGCAATCAGTAGGTGGTGTGGTGGTGTTGAGGTGAGTTCCGGGACAACGTTGGGGCTCGGCGCGCTGTGACGGAGGCGGAGGCGGTTACGCCCGGTTGCTGCTTCCGGTTGGAGGGCTGCAGCTCTCTGCGCTTTGGCATCAAGGCCAGGACACAAGTCTACCCTCCTCAATCAATTCCCTCACAATCTATTTTTTTCATTCCCCAATTCCTCTCATCCCACTCCCTGTGCCCTCTCCCCACCTCTTGCATCCTACGACCATGTCTGGCCAGCAGTGTCTCTGCCGCCTGGCATTGCGATGCCCTCCACGGCTTCGCAACGGCACCCGCAAACCTGTCTGGCTCCCGTTGTCTATCAATACGAGTCGCAGCTACTCTGCCCTGTCAAGGGCGACAGTATACAGCCTTCTCATGCAGTCTTCGAGACGTGGAACCTTCGGGACGGCCCAGGTGGTCCAGACACGAAGATATGCCGTTACGACGGTCAAAGTCCCGCAGATGGCTGAGTCGATCACAGAGGGGACGCTGAAACAGTGGTCAAAACGTAAGTACCCGGGCCCAGATGTAGCCACAGTGTTTGAGGCGGCACGAAGGCACTGACACACCCACAGAGGTCGGCGATTTTGTCGAGCAGGACGAAGAAATTGCTACCATCGAGACGGACAAGGAAAGCTCCCCGGCTCAAGCAAGCGCGGCCCGCGGCTGACATGCTCTAGATCGACGTCTCTGTCAATGCTCCCGAAACAGGGACAATCAAGGAATTATTGGTCAACGAGGAGGATACGGTGACGGTTGGGCAGGACCTTTTGAAGATGGAGTTGGGTGGAGCGCCTTCGGGGATAGCAAAGGAGGAAGCCAAGGAGAGCTCCAAGGAGCCTGCGTCGACGGAGCAAGAGACGTCTTCGCAACCTGAGGGTGGCCACAAGCAGCTAGCATCACAACAAGAAACGCCCCAGTCGCCAAAGCAAGAGCCGAAACCAGAGCCCCCGAAGAGACAGTCCAAGCCAGCACCGCCTCCGTCAAAACCCGAGCCGAAAAAGGAATCCAAGGGGGAGTCCAAGAAGCAGGAAAGTGCCCCCGGAAGCCGCGAGGAGCGTCGTGTAAGTTCTTTGCTGCCAAGAGCTCCACCACAAGACTAACGGTTATACGTAGGTCAAAATGAACCGCATGCGCCTGCGCATCGCCGAGCGTCTGAAGCAGTCCCAGAACACAGCCGCATCCCTGACGACCTTTAACGAAGTCGACATGTCGTCGTTGATGGAGTTCCGCAAGCTCTATAAGGACGAGATCTTAAAGAAGCAAGGCGTCAAGCTTGGATTCATGAGCGCCTTCTCGCGCGCTTGCGTCCTGGCTATGAAGGAACTCCCTGCCGTCAATGCATCCATCGAAGGACCGAATGGCGGAGACACTATCATCTACCGCGACTACGTCGACATCTCCGTTGCGGTCGCTACCGAGAAGGGACTCGTGACTCCGGTGGTGCGCAACGCTGAATCTATGGACATGGTTGGCATTGAGAAGGCTATTGCGGATCTGGGTAAGAAGGCTCGCGACAACAAGCTAACCATCGAGGACATGGCTGGTGGCACCTTCACCATCAGCAACGGCGGAGTCTTCGGCTCGCTCATGGGCACACCAATCATCAACCTTCCTCAAACAGCCGTCCTAGGGCTCCATGCCATCAAGGACAAGCCTGTCGCTGTGAACGGAAAGGTTGAGATCCGACCAGTAAGTCTTTCCATTGCGCCAATGTTAGTATAACACTCTCTCTAACAGTGTTTACAGATGATGTACCTCGCTTTGACATACGACCACCGCTTGCTGGATGGAAGGGAAGCCGTCACTTTCTTGGTGAAGATCAAAGAGTTTATTGAGGACCCACGCAAGATGCTCCTTGGATGAGCTCAATTTCGCTTTCTTTCATTCGTCCCTTCAACACAAATTTCATATTTGTGCATTCGTAGTATTAATATTTTGTACAGTGTGGCTATGAAATAGAGCCGTGTTGGTATGGAGGAGCTGACTTGGCTGTAAGATATGCATGCAGACTGAGCGATTTGTACCAAGTTCAACCTATTCCCAGTAGACTTTTGATATGCTCACTCCCCCTATCGTCCAACTATCCCTAGTTTGACAAATGGGCCTTTTAAACTGACTTACAGGTCCTCTGCTACCTTGGAGGTAAATTCTATATGTACAATACCGCGACATGTCACTGCTCGCCCTGATGCAAATCAAGCGTGCTGCGCTTGAGTATACTCGCTTCTAGTCACGTTTGATGGAGCTCTACCGCAGCTTGATTTCTCGCTACCAGAGACGTACTTAACATTCGCAGAGTTACCTACGCCTCACTCTGCGGCTTCCCGTTCCTGGGTAGGGTAGTCTCATGCCCACTCCCATTCCGTACCCAGAAACTCGCCACACATCCAAATCCACTTACGGCACCCACTATCCACCAGCTCATTCCCACCATATCATGTCGCAGCCCAATTCCATACCAATACCCAGAAGCGATGGGACCTATTGTCCGCAAGGCCGAGCTCACGCTCTGGCCTACACCATGAATTGTTCCCAATACACTTGGATGAGGGGTCGAGTTATTCACTAGGATGATACTTGCGGGCAACGCGAACGTCCGAGCAATAACCTGGAATACTAGGACGAACAAGATACCTAGCCATATCCAGATTCCAGAAGCTGGGAGTGGAGGTGGTGTCGAAGATGGGAGCAAAGAGATGTAAGGGGCCAGCAAGTACGCGATGGGGAATAGGAAAAGAGAGCAACGAAAGCAGCGCATGAGCCCGAAACGGCGATTTGCCCATGGATAAAGGACAATTTGAAGGCACAGTCCCGCAAGTCCCAGAATCGCGAGCGCAAGCCCGATTTTAGGAGGCTGGAAACTGAGGCCCCCCGTGAAATGAATGGCGTCCACGACCCTCCTGGATAATTCTCGTTCTTCTGCCCGGCGGGTCGAGAGGAATATTATCCAGAGTCCAGCGAAAGCGCCCATATGGAAATCAAAAATTGCTATGGAGAGCAATGTCCAGAGGACGTTTGAAGTCCAGATCATGCGAAATGGGAGGAAGGGAGCGTGCGTGGCATCTTCTGCTTTCTCACCCAGGGCTTCTTTCACACCAGCCGACGACCGGTCACTCGATTCCTCTCTCTTGAGAAGTTCGTACCCTTGCTGCCTCCCGTGTCGGTTCCGGAGAACTGACATGATGCCATCGTACATTTCCTTTAAGTGGTGTCCAGGCCCCCGAATTCCATGTCTTGTCGGAAGAGTTTCGTGCAGGAATACTACTACTACGATAGCCTCTAGAAATAGTAGCAAAGCACACAGGATGCTTGGAAGTGCATAGGGAAAGCTCCTCATCCACAGTACCCCATCCTTCCCACCGAATGTGGAGTTCCGGCCAAAAGTTGCCGGGTAAGTTCCGACGGGGTCCACGAGCAACCCTCCAACAACTTACAACACGTCAGAACAGATGCGTTACGGATAGGAGATCGGAAGGAACTCACCCGGACCCAGGATATTTGCAACGTTGAATGCCAGCGGCAATAATAAGAAAGCCCTCGAATGCCATCGCTTCTCGACAGTTTCAGCCACCATCGTTCTGGTTGCTCCAATCGTTCCATTAATTGCACCACCTAACAGCCTCCAAACAGTTGCTTGCCAGAAAGTCCCGGAAAATGCGACACCCAGGCAAGATATACCTGTTCCTACTAAGCCGATCAACAATACATTCTTCCTTCCCACGGAAGGCGAGTCCGCCGCTCGCCCCCACAGTACTGAGGTAACTATCTGAGCAGCCGTAAAACTTCCTTGGAGAACCCCAGCCTGATGCGAGATAGCAGAATCAGGGAGTGCAGGATCGAAGCTACGAAGTTGATACACCATGTAGGATTGGAGAGATGCCATTTGCCAGAAATCAACCAGGCGAGAGCAGGAGAGCACGGCGAGTTGGAGTTTGTTAGGGACGTTGGACCACGATGGCTCGAGAGACTTTATAGGTGTTGATGGTAGCGTTTTTTCCTCTTCAGATTTTGTTTGAGGCATTCGTGACGGGGTTCCCTCGAAGGAGTCGTAGCGTTCGCGTTGAGAGGCTGTGGATATACCGGAGCTCGTCTGTCGAGTATGGAACTTGTTGAGAACCATTGCGATGCCGATAATTAAAATCTGGATATGTGCTATATTTTCTGACAAAATATAAGGAAAAGAGAAGAAACGAGCGTGTAGAAGGCGAGGAATTGGAATGTAATAGGACACAACCGAACACCATAGCCAAGTAGAAAATTTTTGACACAACACGCACAACTAGACAAGGAGAATAAACTAGCTTGAAGAATCAACCCTTCCTTGTATGTTTCAACGGAACGAATAACTTTCACGATTGACGACCTTGGAAGCCGTGAATCCTCTGGAGTAGATATTGCGACTGAGACATCATCAAGCACGGGCCAACACGTAGCTGATTCGTGAATAGCGGCGTAACGAAGAGACGTCATCCCTCCACGCAAGGTAGTGGGGCAACTCGAACCACACCCGTCACGCTCGCCGTCTGCAAGAAATTTAGTGGGTGTGTTTCAATGTCAGGGGTGTCATCTTAGCGCCTACCGGTTGTACGCGTCCTTCCCAGCTATGTTTTCCAAGCTCTCAAGGAATTGTACGATCAATATCTAGGAACCTGGGAAGAGACTCTATCTTGCTTCTTAATCCTAAGACGTTTAGTTGGGCCCACGAGGCGAGGGCGACGATTAACTATTGGAAACGCGGCAGCTATGTGAGATGGTGGCTTGCATGAATTCGCACTCAAACAATTTTCGGGCTTCATGTGGCCTGCCCAAAGAAATATATACACGAGTATGAGATCGGCTTGAGCTCGTTTCCGCTCTGATCCTGCCATTTCGACCCCCAGGAGCCGCCGGTGGAGGTCCCTTCTACCCCCTGTGGATCATGACAAAGCATCATCTGCTTCCAACTTTCGATACCTCGAGGACAAGTGGAAAGACCCTCCTGATGTTTCTGTAGAATCCCAATCTAGAACTTTTGTTGTGAATAATTCATGGCAAGCTGAGACCATTCTCAACATTTTTCGCCGACCAAAGAAAAATAGAATGCAGATGAGGATGAATGCAAATTGTCGCAACGGGGCCGCCATTTCGGGCATTGCTAATCTGGATAGCGAGGGATTCACTGGGTAGTATCGAGCGGTGTCATATCCTCGGGTGTAGTTTCGACCTCGATTGGGGGTATTGGGCACGGTCTTGTCGAATTCTTCGCCTTTCTCAAGTGGAGGGACTGGGTCGCAACCCCAGCGATCACAACCGGAACGTATTGTCTCCGACGGAACAAACGTCCTAACAACGCTCGAACGCCTTAGAGTCTTTCCTTTGGCATCCATTGCTTCTACAAAAGACCACTCCTTCATGAAGGGGACGTGGTGTTGTGTCTCAAATCCAAACTTCGTCTTCGTACCTGATAGAGCGAAAGGACCAGAAGAGGAATCGGCTGTGTAGAATTTCCACGTATAGACTTCCGTTGCCCCATTCCAGGAGACGTAGAACACTAGGTTGGAAGAGTTTGTCCCAGTCCTTGAATACACCCAGAGTGAAGGTGCGGTGAGTGGATTTGCCACCCAGGGATACTTGTTGCATCGATAATTCATGACGTCCGAGCCCCAGAAAGCTACCTTCCCGTACATGACAGTTTCTCCAGTGTCAAGGTGCTCTGAATAAAAGGCATGGTCTCCCCAGCCAATGAAGACGTTTCGGTCTGGCAGTAGCTGTAGATTCCCCTGCGAGCCAGCTAATATGCCATCCTCTTCTGGCGCCAACCATTCACGGAGTTCGGTTGCCGTTTGGTCGATGTGGTTGATGCCAATAAGCATGCCACGAGACTCCCTGTTGGTGATGTTGAAAGTGTTGCTCGCGTTATCGAAAAGTGAAATCGTAGTGTGGGTAGCATTTTCCTGAACCCAGAGAGCATGATGCTGACTTGAAAAGTGAAGATTGACATTCTTGAAGGTCGGGTTGGCGCCATTCAACTCCTACAACACTTGCCCGTCCACCCCTGAAATCTTATAGACAGCAGCTACGTGGCGTGCTGAGATCAGATAATCGCCTTCTTTGTTCTTGTCGATAGAGTTGATATGGAAGTAGTCCCAGGGCGTGTCTCTGCTGAGTCCATTCCCGCTCGTATCGGTGCAATCTATGCAAGTATATGAAAAGCTCGGGGCGATGTGATCTAGAGCTCTCCACTCGAAGATCAGCTCCCCCGTTTCAACATCGATTTCTTGGAAGACGCTATCTTGGATCCACCCGAGACCGGGGCCAATGCCATATTCAGATAGATCGTACGGCCGAGCCTGATAGATTGTGACCAATGCTGATTTCCCGTTGTTTATCAAGCGAAACTCATGCATGTCAGTTGTCGGCGCTGAACCAACAGCTTCTACCGTTCGGACAACGCGGTAACTGTTATCCATAATGACGCCATGGCCTCTAGCCCAGCCATGATGTTGGTGTCCCTGGAAGAAGCACAAATGGTCTCTCCCTTTATACTCGCAGACATGGGGGTTGTGGGTTGTTGAGGCACCCTGAGTGCCTGCCCCAGACCAAATTAATTGCTGTCATAGTTTAGTTCGAGGGTGAAGGTTGGAAAGGGCACGAAGATCCATACGCCAAAATTATCGAAGATGTAGGGCCCAGGGTCTAGGTTGCGGTATGGCGCTAGAAAAACATAACCAGGTGATAGAAGCTCGGGTTGCAGAATCTCCACTGTCACTATGGGAGCATGGAGATCGGGTCTCTATAAAGATGTTAAATCTACATTTGCCTTGAAATTGGTGGAAGATGTTACTGAGTGGAATACCGACGTCGGTGATGAGAAATTATCGAGATGTGCGGCAGCGGAGACGACAAGGGAAACAAAAGTGGGACCCCAGAGGGAAAACATGACAGCTCGACAAGAGGAGAGAATGGAAACGTACGCAAAGGAGAAATGAAGTAGCGGGAGAGATGCGCTGATAGTAGATGTTCCGACTCTGGAATACCTATTGAGCTTGTGTCCCTTGTCATCATCGGGGACGGTTACAAGTTGATCTACGAATTTGAATGCTCCTCCTAATGCTTGCGCGTCCAGTGCGAATGGCCAGACAGTGGGAGCATGACTGGGAGAGGATTCGTTGATTCCGGGATCTTGGGACGAGCACCGGGCGTGATGGGTGGCCTGCTTGTTTCACAAAAATAAGGCAGGTAGGTTCCCCCTAGAGCTAATGCCAAGCAAATATATTATGTGCAGAAATTAGGAAATTTCTTAGCGTTCCTTGGATATTTCTTTCTCTACTAGAATTATATAAAATATTAGAATTTCAATAGAATATCTAGTGCGTTATATTAATAATTAATAGTTAAATTAGTTCTAGATAATTTAAGACTTTTAGTTTAAGTTATAATATACTTTGCAGGCAAGTTACTTACACACCTAAGTCGCTTACTTTTACTAAGACCTTACTAAACTACTTTTTTTACACTAATGCATTTCTAACAACACTAAGTCTTAGACATGCTAAAAGAATATTAGATATAGCTTACACTTTAAGCTTTTAAATAAAATATAACGTACCTAACGGGTTGGCCGGCCACACGGGTTGGCCGGCCACTTTTGCCAAGCCCCCACCAAAACCACCCCATTCTCTCGCAAAACAGCCCACTTTGGCCCTGTATAGAGTAATACAACACAAGATAACATACTATAACAGTTCATAAATGAATGCATAAGCGGAGCTTGTTTTAAGTCACTTATTAAACTCTTTCTAGAGAAGAAGACTGCATTAGAAGAAGCCTATAGAAGAAGACTATAAGTAAAGCAGATAATAAAAAGTAGTCTATAGACTAAAACTTATAAACTATATTTTTATAAATTCTACATAAAGACCTATATACTTATAAATGCTATGTAAAAGAACACCTCTTAGTAGGTCTGTCTACGCAAGTACTTATTAGCAAAGTTAAAGTACTAGCTAAAATCCTAAGTAATGTAAATAACAAGCTGCACATCTTAAGCTTAGATAGTGATGCGCTTACTATAGATAGCAGCTAGCTAAGTGCTTATAAATTAATAAGTCTAATACCTTATCTAATACTAATACATTAGCACTTATATTCTATTAAAGTTATAATAAAGGACTTAGTAGTTATTTATAATGCATAAAGTGCTTACTTACTTTAGCAGAGAGGTTTATTATTAGTTTAAGCTACATTCTAGGCAACCTCCTAAACAAGACAGCAGAAAGGAGTAATTATAAAAAAAAACTTAGTATTATGTTATTTAGACTAATAAAACTTAATCTACTAAAGAAGTGCAACTATTTATAGTTAGTAATAAGTATTAGATAGTAGAAATAAAATTTAATAAACATTTATTTTTTTTAAGCTTTTAGCCCTTACTAGTTCTTTTCTAAGCTAGAACCTAAATGCTAGTCTTCTTATACGTAACACGCTCTAAGGGTGGCAAATTAGCACACTTTAGACATAAACTCTTTAGAACTGTAAGCTTCTTAGGAGGGCGTTTGCCTTTGTTAGGCCTAGGAACAGAAGCTTTGTAGGGAGCTTTAGTAGCAATAGCCTTTTTCCTAAAGAGAGCTATAATGCATTAGCAGTGTCTATTACTATGTTTAATACTATAATTATACTCTTCCTAGCAGCATGAATATAAATAGGTTAAGAGTAAGACATTTTTAATAAAGTAAATATTATAATAAAGTAAAAAAGCTATACAACATGTTACTAAGCTATAATATTAGTATAAAAACAGCTTTAGAAGTAAATAAAGGCTTATAAAAAGTGCAATAAAGTAGTAAAGTAATTACGCAGTAAGTTATATTAAGAGTATTAGTAAGAAAGTCTTAAAAGTTAAATAGTAAACCTTTAAGCTATACTTTTACTTTTATAAACTTACTTAGATTTTTACTGCTACTTTTACCCTCCTACTACATTTTTATTATAGTAGATAATTATATAAACTTCTACATAACTAACTCTTATAATCTATGTGTAGAATACTCTTAAACTAGTATATAAAGTAGTATTAGACATAGTATTAGACGCATTATAGTAGAATAAGTAGAAGTAACATTTTTAAAAAAAAATATAATTTTTTTAAATAGCTTACTGCTGCTTTACCTATTACTTTAGCAACAGCCTATGTAGTACAGATGCTGCCTAAATAATGTAATTACTTTTATTTACTTTAAAAATTTAGTTTTTTAAGCCTCTGTTATAACCTTAATTTTACAACCTTAACTATACTACTATAAACTTTGTTTGTTAGTTTTACGTAACACTATTTAAACTTTTACTAAGCTATCTATTACTTATCTATTACTACTATGTAACTATAGTAAAGTGTAAAAAAAGCCTATTAAAATACTTAATAAATGCTTCTACTATAAAAATCTTAAAAAACAAACTTAGCTTACTAAAAAGAATGCCTAATGCAACCTAGACTATATTATAACTAATATATACTATTCTAAATTCTAAAGTAACAAGTTCTGCCTAGCAGTTTAGCATTTTTTAGATGCTAAACATAATGTTAATAAGAAGTCTAAACTAGAGTTGCAACTACGCATTTAGTCTAAGAACATAGTAATAGCACTTTAGTAAGTTAATATAGTATTAGACAGGTATTAGACAGCAGCTAATATGTTATAGATTTAAGAAAGGTAAACACTATAGCTAGAAAGTAATTACGCGTAGTGTAGACCCTAGTAAATTTAGTAATAAACATGCATTCTTTATCTAGTAAACTAGGCTCTTTAACCTACTAAAAGAGTTTATGTCTTTTTAATACTGCTAACTAGATAAGAAATTTATAGATACAGGACTTATAAATGTTAATAGCTCTAAGCTTATAAACAATCTTAGTCTACAAGCTAGAGCACTAATGCAAGCTAAAGTGCTAATAATAGATGTAAAAGTAGTAAATAAACTTTGCTAATAAAGATATATTAAAGCTATACTAGTAGATGCAGTTGCTAGTATAGATAAGAAGACAAGTTTCCTTAAAATGCATAACTTTAGCATGTATGTTTTACATATAAGCAACACTATCTTCTATATAAGTACATTCTAGCTGCTACGCCTAATACCTGTCTAATACCTTACAGCGCTACCTAAACTAGATGTGTCCAGGCTTTTCTAGGTATCTACTATACATTACTAACAATGTTTAAGACTGCTAGTGCTAAGTAAGTTTCTAGAAAAGTCTTTAACTATATAACTAATAAGTATAGTCTATATTTATTAAGCTAGTATTTAATTTTACACCTACAGCTTTTTATAAGCTTATTACTATTAATAAGCCTTTTTAACTACTAATTTCTTCTTTTAAGCTTCTCTTTTTAAGGGCTAAATAGGCAATTCTAACAGTATTATATGTTATATAATTAGGTAGTTACTTCTTTACTGCTAACATTTAATTAGTAGCCTAAGATAAGAGCATTAGTCTCTTAAAACTTTATAATAATAAATTTTTTAATAATTTAAAGTAAGTTTAGTATTAAATAAAGTATTAAACACACACTAATTATAGTATTTAGATATTAAACTTTATTCTAAACTTACTAGTTTAAGATAGAGGATGTAAAATACTTACTAGATACTATTTAAGGTAGAGATAGTGTTATGCCTGTAAATTTAACCTAGTTTATTAAGATACTTAAGCTAGAAAAGCACTAGCAGTAGAAAGAGAATAACCTTAAGACTTTAAATAAGCTATAATAACTTAAATATAAAGTTTATACTTATATCTAACTATTATAATCTCTAATTTATAAACTCTAATTTATGTTATGTTTATTATACTAATAAAAGTAATATATTATGCTATAAATTAGTTTATAAATTACTAAGCATATAGACATAATACAATAGTAGAGGAGGTATTAGACAAGTATTAGACAAATAGGTTAAAAATTATAGTCTACTACTATAACTAACTACTGCATTCTTTGCTGCATATCTGCATTTTGCTTTTTTATAGTTTCTAAATTACTACTTTTTAAATAATTTAAAAAGAAATACTTATTAAACATTAACTTATCTAGCAACTTAATATAAGAAACTATAATATACATAAGACCTAGTGCATAATCTTTTTTACTACTAATATAAATAACTGCTTTGTCTAGACTTAAGCCTTATAACTTGTAGATAGTTATAGCCTACATAGAGCAAATTAAAAACTGCGTGTAGGATATAACATTTCTCTAAAAGTAAAACTCTTAACTAATAAAAAACATAGAAATAACTGCTTTACTGTCTACCTAAGTGTATAGCGCTAGCCCTTTATACCTAGAGATAGTAATAAGAACTGCTTTTAAAGGCTCCTTGTAAGGATCTATAATAGATAGAGGCTATAGGATATTGTCTACTTCCCTAATAGTACTGTTTACAAGACTAACCTCTGTTTATATATTATGCA